CTGGCTGCGCCAGGCATTCCAACGGTGCAAAAAAGAAGTCTGTAGACCAACTTTTCGATTATTGCCGGTGTTTTGTAGTTCACAGAATCTCCCGCGGGCGCCAAATCTACGTAAGAACTGAGAACCCAAGGCTGGATTTCAGGGAAGACGAGAATTCCATAGGGAAATCGAGAGAGCAACGATCTCGCTGTCGCTCGATCGAAAAAAAAATGATTGCAGCACCACAATTTCACACATGGTCTCCCACTGTATTACTCACTGTGGCCCTCGGGCGCTTGACGTTCGTTGATCGGACGGGAAACAGTATTTTCGACCGGGTATGGCCGCAACCTGAAAAGTAGTCAAAGTCAACGCGCTATCTGCAACCGATCGGGGGCGCAGGGGGAGTTCTACAGTCGGAATTCGGGGTGGGAGGGAAGCTTGGGATAGCTTAGGGGGAAAAGGAAAGGGAGTGGGACGGTGGCGGGGGCCTGGGGATATATACCTCGGGGGTACGAGCGCGGCTGCCGCCAGCTCCTCAAATAGTCCTTTCCCAGCCTCCTACGGAGCGTAGCGTAGTAGCGGCGCCTGCGGCGAGCAAGTACCGTTGATTTGAGGTCTTGGGGAGTCTTTTGAGGCCTTTGGTGGCCTCTGGTGGTGTTGGTATGGTCGGACGACGATGTGGTGACATGAATGGCACTTTGGGTGCGAAATCGGTAGCTGGTGGCGATTGGGATGTTTTGGACTGCCCTCTGGTACCCTCTGATGTGTTGGAATATGGTGGTTTATTGCTGGACTATCTTCTTTATGGTGTTGGACACTGGTAGTGGGAAAGTGGTACTTCAAGCCATCAACCAGACCGTTCTCCACCGGGAGTGGCTCCACACTACCTTTATCCAACTCCATTGACATCCCATAATGCTGTGCTTTCTTTGCTTTACCCCCTTGTGTCCCGTTAGTATCACCTTAGCTTCCCCTGACGCCTCACCTAAAGTTGCCACAATGTCACCTTTCATCGCCCTTTCCCCACTAAGTCAACCTCTCTTATAATCACCATCACCCCACAATCCCTCTCCCTTCATTGGAATCACCCTAGAAGCGTCAAGATCGTGTTCAGACATGGTTCGCCCTTTCCCATTGCCGACGTGGTAGCTATTTCCCTCCATGAAAAGCACCACATCTTGGACATGTTAAACTCCTCAATTATGCTATCCCAGCTCATTTCATCATGGTCTTGTTGTCCTGGACTGACTTGACCATTTGAATTAAGGAAGAAGAAAGTGGTTGGGGAAGTACGTGTTCGCAAAAAAAAGGGGGCGACGGGGTGGCTGGCTGGTGAGCAATCTCCAAAAAATGTGAGCCGCGCACGAAGATTGCTACCCGTGGAAGCTCATGGATTGACGATTATGGGGAAGCAGTGTTACTTGGGATGTCTGAAGAGAAACTGATGCCGAAAGTGGGTCTGAAAAAATCATTGGTGGTGTTGGATTATTCGTGGGAGAGCTGCTTCTCTGGTTAAGTGGTAAAATACGCAAGGACGGGGACGCGCATATGAAATTCGTCCCCATATACTGAAGAATTGATTGTATTGATTGTATTATCTCCTTCTCTCTGTAATATTAGACTTATCTGAATAGTATCAGTTTTCATGGGTCGATTGGCTATGTTGCTCTTTGTAATCGCTACTTTTTTGATTCTCTCGGGCCCAGTGGTGCCTTGTGAACTATTAACGTACCTTCGTACATTCCATTCTCTTGACTAAAATGATCATTTGTTATCTAGATCTGACTCGGAGGCTGTCAAAGTCATTTTATCGTTGAAGGATTCATATTTATCGCTTTTTCTATAAACTTACACTTCCCTTGGTACTCGAGATGAGATAAAGCAAATGGTCACCAAAAACTTGATATCATTGTTCTTAGGTTAAAGAATTGTCTGAATATATTCAAAAATAAATCTAGAGTTGTTTGTATTAGTTGGTAATCATTGAAAGCTTTTCATTCAGTGTTTGGGTGGTAAAGTCACTAGCTTGGCCTTTTTTATACTATCTCAATAATATTACTAATGAAGGGCAAGACAACTAAATCTAAAGCCAGATATGGGCTAACAGAGCTCAGATTAAATCTTATGAATCTAGTTTTCACAATTTTATGATTCTATTGGAGGTTTAGCTAGCCCGTTTCTTCTGAGCCACAAGCGAATTAAATCAACACCACAGTATGGAAGAAAAAATGCTCCAGAGCTCCACAACTAACCTTCATGCTTTTATGAAGCCTATAAATACGTCACCTAAGTTTTACGATTTTTCGACCCCCTCAAGTGCTTTTTGAACTTGAAGTACCCCGGCTTCTTGGGAGTTCCGACGTGTTAAACGGACGCGTCATAAAAGCTTTATTGCAATTAAACGTCCCTAGAAATAGTTATAGAAGGGACTCTTTATTTCACGATTCACAGTATTTATATTAAGTAATATCCTAATAGTCAAACTTCATAAATCTTGGATATTTCTGAAAATGGGAGTTGTCGTTTTGCTTGTGTGCTGCGATTCTGGAGGGCTAACATAAATGCAAAGTTTAAAACTGTCACCAAAAATCGAAATCTACTTCAAAATTGAACAGAGCTTAGATTATAGTTTCTTAGGTCGTGAATTATACGTGATAGAATTTTGAGGTGCTTTTGACGGCTCTAAGTGGTATTTTCATAGCGTTGGTCAAAATGAAATTCTCTCACATACAAAGTTAGCATAGCAGGGGTGGAAATACTTAAGAAAAAAATAAAGTAGGAAACATTGTTATGGCTAAAGTACATAGTATGTTGAAGACAATGGCTTTCAAAGGTTACAATTGGTGGCTGCTTCACGTAATCGATCTATTGCAGTCAGGTTGTCAGTTGAGGCGGCGAATTACATCCATTAACAACAAAATGGGTGGCTACGGCCATAAAGAAAATCAATTTGAAAGCAATATCGTTTAGGTTTTATGATTTTCCAGGGTGTTGGATACAACAAATTTGCCTTTATTCTGTCCGTTTCTTTTGAGATGAGGTCCAGCTTCTGCGTGGTTAAAATGTTCAGATCAACAATTTTAAACCTGCCACAAATTCTCCCGTTATAAAAGTAGCTGTAGGTAAGACTGTCGCTACTAAAGAGCTTAATTCTTGATAGTTTGGACTTGAATTAATTCAGGTGGATGAGAAACAGATTTTTACTTTCTCACAGTGGGGTCGACCGTACCAGAAGCCAAATGTGCATCAACACCAAATCAGCACATATCCATGAAATAAAACTCAATAATCAATTGAATGTTATGTAGAGATCAAATTTTTTTAATTTCTCAATCGATTCATCTCTGATGGGGCTAGTTCTTCTGACTCAGTCGCTCGTGCCATGTCCACGTATCCTATTTGACTAAGAGGAAGCCTGTTACTTGAAGGATCATACGATGTTACTCTAAGATAATAGTCGATGCTTTTCTTTTGCCCGATCTCTTATCTAATTTTTATCGAGCTCTTGAAACCATTGAAGCACCCAAATAGGCAAGTCGATCAAACATACGAAACCAATTGATAAACCGGAAACGGAAAACATATGAGACCGCCCAGTAAAGATCAGAGAAAATATTATTCTACCGATGAATATATAAACCTAGTTTCTTCCCTAGGCTCTTTCAACATCATCAAACAAAAATGGCCGCTCAAACTACTCAGAACAAGAACAACACTCCAAAGGACAACAACTTGAACAAGCACGCTGGACGTGGTGCCGTTCCTTTCATGTGTACTATCGTTTAGATTAATACATACGATTCACTTTAACATCTTAAACTTGTAGAATTCGAAGTGGTGAAGTTCCAATCCTAGAAAGCACATTCAACTTGAGAACTCAAGACATTCATTACAAACGACGTTTCCGTAAAGTGATGAATCTTACTTAAACAAAGGGGACGAATTAGACCCTCCAATTATTACTCTTTTGCCTTTCGTTATTCTTGTGTTATCATAATTTTTTTTTTTTTTCGTTCCTCTCCGCCACTGGTACTGGTGCACTTTGAACGCGCTTTTTCAGGAAGATGAACTGGGTCAAAACATACTACTCCAAGAAATAGCCAAAACACATAATGGCTTTAATCCAATCAGTCGAACGTGGATCCGATTAAATTTTTCCCAAGGATTATGAATATGTCATTGATTTAGTTGCTGGATGAGAACTGGGCGCTTGACACGCTGGTACTGAAAGTGCCAAAACAACAAACCTGGTATACCTCGGGTTACAACTGTCCAAGGATGAAAGGCGAAGCTCCGCATGATCTATGTGGCCAATAGGCATCATATTAATTGCTTTCCAGGGAAAACACTCGTCATGGAACGAAGTTAGCGCCGTCTGTTTGAAAAATTGACAAGTTTCGATACGCTGCCTTATATTTCCATGCTGAAGACAAAGGTTCTTGGAATAATGGCTGGCATCTAGAGCTGTATATCTGGAGATAACATTGCTGCAAGCTTGATGGGTACCTTGTTCATATTCAATGAGTCATGAGCAATTTGGAACTAATCAGATCAATGTGAACTACGCTCCCCCTGTTTGGTATTCCCAGGCATAAATGATATCACAAGAATCTTCTAATTTTGGGCCACTCAGAGAATTTACTTCCAGAAAAATTGAATACCATTTGGCCAAATGAAAGCATTTTCTAGCTTTCAAGTGACAATCTTCGAAGAAAAGCTCATTTCTCATCGAAAACGAACAGAGACAACGGATTCATAATTGAGATTGTTTTATTTATACGAAACGTTAGCAGTTTCGAACTTATGATGATTTTAGGTGTCGTAAGGCGATGTTTTCATATCTGGGGCAGCTACGAAGGGTTGCATTAAGCGCCTGCAAACATCCTAGCTTAAAGGAAATGTTGGGACAACACAAAGACTACCGGGAAGCAAAAGAGTTTCAGACTTCAGACCATAAGCTTAATATTATTCAGAATGTATTTCATTATTCATAAGATTATATAAGAAAGGCACAGGTATTAGTTTTTGGTCTTCTCCCCCATTCCCACAAGCTTCTTCAAGTATATCAAAATGTAGTCCTTGTCATTAGTGAAAGAAACTGTGGTCTTAGTTTTGTCGGCTAAAGACTTGTGCTTCTCATCGTCCACGAGAGTTTCGTCGTCCAAGTTCTGCGCATCACCCAAGCGATGATCTCTCAAAAGGAGTGCAAAAATAAGTACTGGAACGGTAAGACAGAGTGCAGTGATTGAAAGATACTTCTGCACTTCAGCATATGCCAAACTGACAGCCATACGGGGTGGTGATCCCCATTTGTGTTGCTTGGCAAAAACATAGGGAGCCTGATACGCCTGCTTGGCCAAAGTGGTGTTCGTTACTCCAAGATCTGTCATCTTATTTTCGATTTCGTGGTACATTCTCTGCGTCCAAATTGCACCAGAAATACTATCTCCAATTGTCCATCCGACCTTGAAGAAAGCCGAGAAACAAGCGGAAACGATAGCCATATACTCGTGGTTTGTACAACTTTGTGCTGAGACCATCACAAGTCTCTCCAAAAAAGCCTGGGAGAAACCGGTAATACACATTGCTATGGCAACACCGTCACGATAGTATTTGGCACGCAATCCATCGTTGGTTCCTCGGAAGTGGACGAAAAGCCCCAGGGCAACGAACATAGCAACAACTCCAAAAAGAATAAACGCTTTAGATCTTTTGACGCGAGAAACGACAAAACCAAGGAAGCCAATGGTGAGAGCTGTAGTAAATGACGATAACTTAGGAGTTCTTGTAGCAACTGTGGGGGTAGCGTTCATTCCCACAAGAAGAACAGGATAAGCATAGTCGTTGACGATGGCACGAGCAAGGTTATTAATGACACTAAGCAAGAGGGCAGCCCAGATACCTCTATTTTTCATAATTTTGAATGGTGCCATAGGACGCGAGGTAATCTTTGTTTCCCAGAAGATGAATACTGGGATAAGGACGACACCAAGGACTAAAGGTCCAATGATCTCACCCAGCTCCCACTTACTGGTCACCCCACCCGCTAAAGTTAATGGCACTAAAATGAGACCGAGTATCACGGCAAGTAAAAGACAACCAATGAAGTCAACGTACCAAAAGATCAACTTGACATGATAGAAGCCCTTCAAGACAGCAAGCTTAAAAAATCCAGCATGCAACTTCTCGCCAGAAGACTGGTTCGAGTAGTATTTAGCTGCCTGTGGAACCTTTTCTAAGAAGTGAGCCTTGCGATCCTGCTTCAAGTGGCTCCATGGCTCAGTTCTAGATGCTCTCCAGGTGAGCCAAGCGTAGAACAAAATAAATGGAGAATATGCTAACGGAATGATGAAGGCCCACATACCCACACTAAAGTTCCAGCTGTACTTGCCCCTCAAGCTTTCGACGATATCACCAGTACTCCAGGTATTGATAATTGTTTGAGCATTCACCAAACCAAGAGCTAACATTCTGTAGCGCAACGAAGAAGCATCTGACAATTGCACCTGAAAGTTGATCATAGTACCACCATGACCAAAACTTTGAATTGCCGTACCGCCAGCATACTTCTGTACATCAGTGGCTTGCGACTGAATGACAATACCCACCACTTCAAAAACCACCGAAATGATCAACAACTCCAAACGACCGTAGGTGTCTGCGAGTCTAGCAAAGAATGGCAAAGACGCAGTGGCGGCCACACCTCTAATGACACCGACGGTGGACATCAACGAGTGCTGTTTGTACGACTCAGTGGCATATCCCACGAACACATTCATGACTGTACTACCAACGCTCTTCACGTAAAAGGCAACAAAGATGGTGAAGTAGAAGATCGCCTTGAGCCAGACACCATTGACTTGCTCAATCACCATCTCTGTCTGCCTGATACCAAACGACTTGATAGCCACAGTTGAGGCAACATCGCTCGCAGAGTCAGAGTCGGAGGAAGCATCGTTCGTTTTCTCTGGGAAGGTGGGTTGGGTTTGATACTTGTCCAAAGACTCCCTCGAAGACGCTGTTTGGTTCTTGTCCAACTTTTCCAGTGCCATAGTCAGAGGGTTGATTTCACGAGGATCATCTCCTTGTGGGAAATTTGCATCGCTATTTAAGTCATGGGCATCAGGGCTTTTTCACACACAATGCTTCAACTTGCAGCCAATTAAACACCCTTCCAGCGCCATTCAGGCAATGTAGTAGTGCCGCTTGTGCAAATATATGCAAACGGGGGACAAAATACGAGACCAGAACCAGGCTGGGTCCTCATTTTTGGTGGAGTGCCGTACAGTCATTGGATCAAAATTTTCAGTCCCGTCAAATACACTCTTTGTGTCAATGCAACTACCAACGATCTGCAGAAAAAGACCAGATGCACATCTTGACATAATCTATTTCATCTGGCAAGTTTTGCCAACGAAAAGAACCCAGAGGAAGGCTTAAATAGCCTACAGTTTCTGTGATGCTGACTTGGTCTGTTTTTGCTCTACTTCTCCAGGCGAAGAGTTAAAACTGTCATACATCTTTGTGAGAACGAGAATTGAGCCCGTAGCCTGTCATTTCTTGGCATGCATTGTACTGTGTTGAATGCAACCTTCTGCTTGAAGGACTAGCCGAAAATTAGAATACGGTAGCGATGTCGCAAAAAGTTTCTAAAACTCAGAAAATACGAGGTGTTTTCATGCTAGACATGCTTTCAGATAACCAGAGGACAGCATGACAGGGTCTGTTGTTGCCGCGTTACGCAAAAAGCCCTGCTTCTTGCATTGTGTGGTTGCAAAATCCAGGCAGCGCACCATAATGTCGTGTGACATTCCGATAATCGGCCTTGTGCCGAAAAATTTACAAAAAGCTTGGAAAGCAGGCTACAGTGCTTGTCTTGCTCCTGACGCTTCGGTAACGAGAGAAGCGGGGAGAGAAAAACCACTTTCGTGAAGGGCTGCTATTGGCCAGTACAGGCAGATCTAAAATGATTTTCCATTTCTCATTTCGCCTCAAGAAAGTGTCAAGTGTCAAACCTCTGTCAATGCCGCACACCAAACTTGCAGACCAAAGGTTTTGTGCATTGTTATCTGTTTTATCAGTGGTTGCAAATTCAGGGAAATGACACTATTTCCGGGTTATTGGTTGTTGAAAAGTTCACAGGGCTCTACAGTTGAGCTATCTCTAGGGCCTACTAATTGTTTAATCGTAGCTGTTTCGTTCTTCGCAAGTAATATCCATTGCTTTACGAATTTCTCCTAGACCCTAATCTTAATCCTCACTGAGACTTCTTGCTGCCAATTCTAAAGAGCCTCTTGACAAATATCAAGACATAGTCCTTGTCGTTGGTGAACGTCATTTCTGTCTTCTTTCTGTTTGCTGTTGATTCATTTTTCTCCACATCAACAAAGGCGTCGTCGTCCAAGTTTTGCTTGTCTACCAAACGATGGTCCCTCAAGAGGAACGCAAAAGCCAATATGGGAACACAAAGGCAGAGGCCAGTGATAGAAAGGTTTCTCTGTACCTGAGCATATGCTAAACTGACGGCTCTCCGAGGAGGGCTTCCCCATTTGTACTCTTCGATGAAAGTATATGGCGACAGGTAAGCTGGAAGTGCCAAAGATGTATCCACTCCAAGCTCCACCATCTTCTTCTCGATTTCATGATACATTCTCTGTGTCCAGATAGCACCAGAGATACTATTACCAATCGTCCACCCAACTCTGTAAAAGGCAGCGAACCACGAAGAAACAATGGCCATGTACTCATGACTGGTACAGCTCTGCGCTGACACCATCAAAAGTCTGTCTAAAAATGCTTGAGTGAAACCCAAAAAGCACATTCCAATAGCAACACCATCACGAAAGTACTTAGCACGCAATCCGTCGTTGCTTCCTCTGAAATGGACAAAAAGACCCATAGAAATAAACATCACTCCGCAACCAAAGAGAATGAGCATTTTGGATCTGTTGAAACGAGCAACAAAGAATCCCAAAAACACAGACGTAACACCAGCAACAAATCCCGCCAATTTAGGGGTTCTTGTAGCAACAGTAGGGGTGGCATTCATTCCAACATGAAGAACAGGATAAGCATAGTCGTTGACGGTAGCACGAGCAAGATTACTGATGATACTGAGGAAAAGCGCCGCCCAAATACCACGGTTCTTCATAACCTTCAAGGGTGCCATCGGACGTTTTGTGAGTTTTGTTTCCCAAAAGATAAATCCTGGGATTAGAACAACACCAAGGACCAAAGGTCCAATGATTTCACCCAGCTGCCACTTACTTGAGACTCCACCTGCTAAGGTCAATGGAACCAAGATAAGGCCTAGTATCACGGCAAGTAAAAGACATCCGATGAAATCCGCATACCAAAAGATCAACTTGAGGTTATAGACGACCTTGAAGAAAGCAAGCTTGATATACCTAGAGTACCATTGCTCTCCTGAAGGCTGGTCTTTATAGTACTTGGCAGCATTTGGAACACCTTCCAAGAAGTGGTCCCTGCGGTCCTGCTTCAACTTTTTCCAGGGTTCCGTCTTTGATGCCTTGTAGGTAAGCCAGGAGTAAAACAAAATAAAAGGAGCATACACCAAGGGGAATATAAAGGCCCACATACCCACACTAAAGTTCCAACTGTATTTGCCCCTCAAACTCTCGACAATCTCACCGCTACTCCATGTATTGATAATCGTCTGAGCATTTACCAACGCCAAAGCTAACATTCTATAGCGCAAGGTAGAAGCATCCGATAAGTTAATTTGCATACTCATAATGGTACCTGCCTGTCCAAAACTCTGAATGGCTACGCCTCCAGCATATTTCTGTACGTTCGTAGCTTGAGATTCTATTATGGTCCCAACAGATTCGAAGAGCACTGCAACGAGCAACAAGTTCAAACGACCGTAAGTATCTGAGAGCCTAGCATAGAAGGGCACGGAAGCTGTAGCCACAACGCCCCTTATCACACCGACAGTAGACATCAAAGAGTGCTGCTTGTAGGAATCTGTGGCGTAACCTACAAACACGTTCATCACGGCATAGCCAGCATTCATGATGTATAAGCAAAGAAAGATTGTAAAGTAGAATACCGCTTTTAAGGGAACGGTATTAACCTGCTCAACGACCATCTCTGTTTGTCTCACACCAAAAGATTTGATGACTTCTGTAGACTCAGCAAGAGATTTGGTGTCAGAGGAGCTATCAGTAGCATGTTCTGGCAGTGTCACAGAAGTCTGAGTCTTTTCCATTAAGTCCTCATTTGAGGAGCTTCTTTCACCTTTTGCCAAATTTTTTTCTTCGTTCATAATGAAAGCTTGGAACAAAAGCTATTTCCAACAGGCCGATCAGCACCTTTTATAGCCAAATGATCAAGGCTTATAAAGTACATTTGCAGCCAATCGTAAAACCACATATGGAAAAACTGTGTGGTAACTATAGGCTGCAAAATAATATAATTCAATCATACGAGCTTTGTCGGCAAAGCCGTTCTGGTAGGCCCTCATCGGTTTCACTTGTGCGTCACTGTCAAAGCAGTATTTTTTACGAGAGTATGCAACATTTACGAGATGAAAAGCAATTAGCTTTAACATCAACTGAACATATCCACCTAAATATCACAAAATGCTTTGTATAATAATCAAAGTACAGAAGATTATGAATACCTTTTTTCATTGACTGAAGAGACATTTGTCCCCTTTTCACGTCCATTATCTATTTCATCAGCGATCGGAGCTCACGTCAATCTCTTGGCATCTGGTATACTCGTAAGCATGTGCACTTTCCATGATTGGTTCAAGGTACATTACGGTTTTTTTCAACGGACAAAATTACGGAATTCGGTCGTGAGATGATTGGTCAGTATGTTGTGCTTCATTTACTGGTTGGATCATTGGGGTCCAGATGCCCAACATATGTAGTATTGCGAGAGATCCAGAAGAATTGGGTTTCTCGACTTATATGAAGTAAAGGAAGCTTTGCCAAGTAAAAGAGAAGCCAATACGGCTTGAAACGGTATGGTGGACCTTGCCAAATGATAGGATAAATGGTCTCTGCTATGGCCATTTTACTTTTCGAAAGTGACTCTTCAATGATCTTCAAGAGAACTACACCAAGTGCTTTTTTTTTTCTATAATATTATCAAAATGTATAAATCTATAAAGCTGTTCTGTATTATGGTCGAACAGAGATGCAAATAAGAAGTTCAAGTCTCTAAGCAATGACTTGAAGTAACGAAACGATAAGTGCAAGAATACCGGGTGCCTTGAGGCTAGAACCGGATCCAGCATATGTCGAAACAACGGGTTGAATAGATGATGAAGCGGAGGAGAAAGATGGAACACCACTGGTGCTCAATGAAGGGTTGCCATTAACTTGTGGGCCAGGGGTTTGAGTGCTTGGAGATCCCACTGGGGTAGCTGAACTGGTGACACATCTTCCTTTGTGGCAGATAACAACATCGGAAGCGGTAGAAGAGCTCGAAGAGCTTGGGTATTCGGTATTAGAAGCTTCCTGGTTGTTTCCTGGCTTGTTTGGAGAATCCATGGACTTGGGGTTCTGGTCTTCGTGAGGAACATTAGGGGTACCGCTTTCTTTTGGAGAATTGGATGGTGGAGATGTAGTCAAAGAACCTTCAGAAGTGTTACCGTCGACATCAACAACAGCTGGCTTAGTAACCGAGGAAGAAGGAACTTCAACCGAAGAGGAGGCCGACAAAACAGTAGACAAAGTAGTAAAAGCTGTGTTAGTGCCTTCAGTAGACTTGGCAACAGTGGACTTAGCATGAGTGGTAGTGCCCTCAGTGTTTGTAGCTCCAGTAGAAGTGGTCTCAGTGAATGTAACGGCAGTTGAGGTTGGCACCCAAGTATTCTGGCTAGTCAGAACAATCTCAACTGTAGACTCAGTAGTAACATCAAGGGAAGTGGATTCTGCAACAGAAACCTCAGCAGAACTGTAAGAGTTGTTCCAATTCCAGGAGTGGGAGGAATAGGCTGGGACGAACGAAGAAGGCGATGGAAGTGGAACCTCAACAACAACAGTGCCAGTAGAACCAGAATCAGATGGAGAATTAGTAACGGTTCTAGTAGTCTGGCCGCTCCAAGTGCTGGTCACTGTTGTGAACTCGGATGAAGGCATTGGGTCTTCCAAGTGGGCTGAGCTTGTAGTTTCAGAAGAAATGGTCAGAGACATAATCGACTCAGTAGCAGACTCGACAGAAGTTTCATAGGAAAGCTCGTCAACGGAAGCTGGAGGAACCTCAACCACAACAGTCTCAACAGTATCAGAACCAACAGGAGTTTGAGTGACAGTTCTTGTAGTAGATCCAGTCCAGACAGAAGTAACAGTAGTAGCATCGAAAGGAACATCAAGCACAACAGAAGGAGCCGACAGTGTCTCGCTAGCAGACTCACTAACACTCAAAATGCTGGTAATACTCTGAACAAGGCCTGGAACATTGACAATGACAGTTCTTGTGGCACCAGATTCTTGTGGAAGCGTCTCGGTAGAAGTCTCGGTAACATCAGCTGTGGTGGTGATGGTAACAACTGGAGGAGGAACATCAACAACGACAGTCACAACACCATCAGAGCCAGCTGGAACAGTCTCGGTCTTGGTAGTGGATCCAGTCCAGGTGGAAGTCACAGTAGTTGTTGGGGTTGGAACTTGAACAACAATAGTTTGAGTACCAGAGTTGAAAGGCTCAGTGACCACAGAAGTTTCTGTTCCGGTCCAAGTAGAAGTAACAACGGTAACAGGAGTAGGAACCTCAACAACAACAGTAACAATACCGTCAGAACCAGCTGGGTCAGTTTGAGTCTGAGTAGTAGTACCAGTCCAAGTGGAAGTCACAGTGGTAGTAGGGGTAGGCACGTTGATGACGATAGTCTGAGTACCAGACTCAAATGGCTCAGTAACGATAGAAGTCTCAGTGCCAGTCCAGGTAGAAGTGATCACAGTGACAGGAGTAGGAACCTCGACGATAACAGTGTTAGTACCACCTGGTGGAGCAGTCACAGTACGAGTAGAAGTCTCAGTACCAGTCCACGTAGTGAAAATGGTAGTAGTAGGGGTTGGAATATCAATGAAGACAGTCTCGGTTCCACCAGAAGCAGCAGGGAACGTTTCAGTAATAGTTTCACTGCCAGTCCAAGTTCTCGTAATAGTCGTAACAGGAGTAGGAACATCAATCACCACAGTGCCAGTACCACCAGAAGTAGCTGGGATAGTCTCGGTAGTAGTCTCAGAGCCTGTCCAAGTTCTGGTAATAGTAGTGTAAGGGGTGGGGACATCAATGATCACACTTTCAGTTCCACCAATCTCAGCTGGAATGGTCTGAGTAGTAGATTCAGAACCAGTCCAGGTTCTGGTGATAGTAGTAACAGGCGTTGGGACATCGATAACCACAGTTCCAGTGCCTCCAGAAGGAGCAGGCTCAGTCTCAGTCTGAGTAGTAGTACCAGTCCAGGTTTTAGTAATGGTGATATAAGGAGTAGGCACATCAATGATAACAGTCTCAGTGCCACCACTTTCAGCAGGAATAGTCTGGGTGGTACTCTCAGAACCGGTCCATGTTCTAGTAATAGTAGTTACTGGGGTTGGAACGTCAATGACGACAGTACCGGTACCACCAGATGGAGCTGGTTCAGTTTCCGTTTGAGTGGTAGTTCCAGTCCATGTTCTGGTGATGGTAACGTAAGGAGTAGGAACATCGATAATGACAGTGCCAGTACCACCAGAAGTAGCTGGGATGGTCTCGGTAGTAGTTTCGGTACCGGTCCAGGTTCTGGTGATTGTAGTAGTAGGAGTAGGAACCTGGATGATGATGGTCTGGGTTCCAGATTCGAAAGGCTCAGTAACGATAGAAGTCTCGGTTCCAGTCCAAGTGGAAGTAAGCACGGTCACAGGAGTTGGCACTTCAACAATAACAGTGTTAGTACCACCAGACAGAGCGGTCACAGTACGAGTAGTGGTCTCGGTACCAGTCCAGGTGGAAAAGACAGTGGTAGTTGGAGTAGGAACCTCGATGACAACGGTTTCAGTTCCACCAGAAGCAGCTGGAATAGTGTTGGTCACGGTGATGTCGCCAGTGTAGGTAGAAGTGACGGTAACAACAGGAGTAGGAACGTTGATAATGACAGTCTCGGTACCGCCAGATTCGGCTGGAATGGTTTCAGTAGAAGTAGTAGTTCCAGTCCATGTTCTAGTGTTTGTAACCACAGGAGTTGGGACATCAATAATAACCGTACCGGTACCGCCAGAAGCAGCTGGAACTGTCTCAGTAGTGGTTTCTGAACCCGTCCATGTTCTGGTGATGGTAGTGTAAGGAGTAGGAACATCAATGAAGATGGTATCGGTACCACCAAGCTCAGCAGGAACAGTCAGGGTAACAGTTTCAGTACCAGTCCAGGTTCTGGTGACAATGGTTGTAGGAGTAGGCACCTCAATGACAACGGTACCAGTCTCACCAGAGTTAGCTGGCTGAGTCTCCGTTTGGGTAATAGAACCAGTCCATGTTCTAGTAAGCGTGGTGTAAGGAGTAGGGACATCAACAACCACGGTAACCACACCATCAGATCCAGCAGGAATAGTTTGTGTCGTGGTCTCGCTTCCAGTCCAGATTCTAGTCAAAGAAGTAGTTGGAGTTGGCACCTGGACAACAATCGTCTGGGTTCCAGACTCAAATGGCTCAGTGATGGTTGTGGTGACAGAGCCAGTCCAGGTCGAAAAGACAGTTGTCACAGGAGTTGGAACGTTCACAACGACAGTCATGGTTTCATCGTCATAGAACATTGGCTCGGTCTCAGTAGAAGTAACATCGCCAGTCCAGGTTCTTGTCACTGTGGTAACAGGAGTGGGGACATCAATAACAACAGTAGCAGTGCCTCCAGAAGCAGCTGGAATGGTCTCAGTGGTAGCTTCACTTCCAGTCCAGGTTCTTGTAACGGTGGTGGTAGGAGTAGGAACATTGATAATGATAGACTCAGTACCGCCTGAAGCAGCAGGAATGGTCAGGGTAACAGTTTCGGAACCAGTCCATGTAACAGTTGCAGTGACGACTGGGGTAGGAACCTCAACGATAACTGTACCAGTACCTCCTGAAGTAGCTGGGATAGTGTTGGTGGTAGTGATAGAGCCAGACCATGTTCTGGTGATAGTGGTGGTAGGAGTAGGAACGCCAACAATCACAGTACCGGTACCACCGCTAGTGGCTGGAACAGTAGAGAAACCGGTTGTCAGATCAGTCCATGTGCTGGTGATGGTAGTAGTAGGTGTAGGAACATCAATGGAAACAATTCTGGTACCACCAGAAGTAGCAGTGTGAGTGGTAGCGACAGAGTTAGTTCCGGTGTTAATGATAGTGGAGATCGAGATTGGAACATTGACAACAATGGTGTTAGCAGTGGAACCAGAGTGGGTAACGATAGCAGTAGTGGTGATCGATGGGTCGGTAGCGGTAGTAACCACAAGAGGCAAAGCATTACCGTCAGCATTAGGGTCCAAAGTAGCATGGTGATTCCAACGAATAGCCCTAGCGTTAGACAATCTTCTGCTACCACACACCAAGCTATAGGAGTAAGTGTTCGAGGACTGAGAAGAAGCCTGGATGACACCGGTGTTGATGTTCATGTAAGGTCTGTAGCCGGCGGGAATCTGAGAGAAGGAAATAACAGCACCGCTTGAAGAACAGCTATCGATCTTAACATTGGCAGTCTCTGCACTTCCTGGGAAGAAAAACTCGTTGATCTGGTTACTGAAAGCTCCAGAAAGACTTCCACAGTCAAGGGGAACAGCAGCATTAGTGTTCAGGATTGTCATAGTACCATACATGTTATTCGAAGCACAGGCAGGACCCAAAAGGTAGTGTTGCTTATTGCTGGTGTTGATCATTCCTCTCAAACCATAAACACCGTTGTTGGCAGAGCCCAGGATGACCAGCTTGGTACCGCCTTCGAACTTAAGAGTACTGGTCAACTCGTTGTCTCCATCAGTCCAAGTAACAGTGTTGGTGCCAACTTTCCAGACCAGAGCGGCCTCCAAGTTCACAGCATCAGCAGAGTAACCGGCGTTGAAAGTAAATGGAAAAGTCAAGCTACCAGAAGAAGAAGCTAAGTTCTCCACTTCAGAAGTAGCGGTACACTGGACTTCAGAGTATCCAACGACATTGTCACCCGAAAACAAGTTACAGTTAGCCAAAGTTCTTGAGCCAGCCTTAATTGACACAGAATTACTGTTACTGGTAAACTTGTAGACGTAAGGCATATGCAAAGTAAAAGTATCGCCTTCTTTCATGTTCATGGCACTTGTGATTTCCCATGAAACAGTTGACTGCCAACCAGGAGTCTCAGGACGAGAATCTGCTGGAGGCACAATGGAGTCAATGGATTTGAAAACACCCGTGTGGACAGCTCCATGAGCCAAGGCAACGTGGATATAAAGACTCACCAAGAAGGTAAGAAGATTCATGTTGTAGAACAGCTTATGGAAAAAGGGAAAAAAAAGAAGGAGAAACCAAAGAAAATGGGAAAACCCCAGGTATTTAAGCCACCTCTTATTTTAAGCGACGGTAACGCCGGAACAGCTTGAATTGTGCCAAGCTCACCTAGTTATTATTTGAACGTATTCATTAATGTTCCAACGGCATCGCTTCTTTTGCAGCCTAATTTCTACCCTGCAGCATGCCTCGCAGAAGTATGCAATATGGTGCGGCTTGCGCTAAGTTTTGTGTGCTTCCTCGGTAACCAACCTGAAACAGGCCTGCCGAGGAACTTATTTTTTGCAGTGTGTTGGCAAGTGTAGTTAGCTACCTGGTCATACCAACTGAACGTTGATGCTCCTTGCATTTACGATGCAGGGAATGGGGAAATTGTGGTCGGGCGTAAGTACTAGAGTGTCTCAGAACCACCCAGTTTCACCTCAAAAGCCCAATTTCACCATCCCCCAAGCCTTCAATTGTGACTTTCTGGCTCCAAACTCAACCACAATACAATTGACACTACAATACATCCTCGGGGAGGATTGAGGGTCTAGGGCCCTCCGGGGAGATGGGCATCGAGGCGTAGACGCATAGAACTGTTCTGCGGGGGGAAACGTGCACGCATGGAACACATTCACGGCACTGTTCCCGAAATATTATTTGGTATTCATGTCTGTAATGCAACGCTATTATTGGACGAGGCATTCTTCATCCAATTATTCCGCTGCTCTTCGTTCACACATAAGCGCATCCTCGGTAAAGCCTGATCTACCGTACGTCTGGGTTCCATGCATGGCATCGAACATGTTTCTGTTTACGGAACAACGATGTTGCAATTTCATGACTTCTATTTTCGCTTCTCTTCTAAAGCTACGGTGTCTCATTGGTTTTCCACTTCTTTCGATGTCTATGTTACCTTTTGAGGGGGAAACCAATAAGGTGACGCCAAAACAAACCTGGAATTGCTTTTTTTGGATCTATTTTGTGGAGTGCTTTTCTGAATCCCATTATACTTTTAGTACAAAGGAGCATTGTGAGCCATGTGCTTTCGGTACTTGTCCTCGGTAATTCACTTCCTGTTGTTATTAACCCTGCATTCCTCGAGGCCAAATTAATGGTAATTACACCGTAACAGCAATTAAATATTATTAATGCAACTATGTTTTTTTTCTGTAGTCGAATTTATTTTGTAGTATTTTGGATTTACTGCAAATCTCGCTAGCGCAGATGTGAGGTCGCATTTTTGTTACTACATTGCGATTCCAGGCGACTCATGTAAAGCTGTATACTGAAACAGGCACCAAAAATCAGGTTTTAGAGTAGATCTTATGTAACTTGGTATAAAAGGTGTCTGTGTCTTGAGAAATCAGGCGAGGCTGTTTTTAGTTCACATTTACGGTGTTAGGTAGAGATATGAAGGGGATGGCTAATTTGGACTAAACCTGGCCATAAGGACGGGTTATACGGCAAAACGGACGGAGACGTAAATATTGCTCTTGAATTTGATCTTTTTTATTTATGTTGAAACTGGCTCGGGTAGTATGGCATTCTTGTTGGAAGTGAAATTCGCTACCTTTTTTTCTCGCTTAGCTTTACTAGGAATGTGTTTTGGGAATAAAGGTAGCCCAACATAAAAAATATAAAAAAAATAAAATAAAAAACAGAAGGAAACTTAGAAAAAGAAAAACCCTGAATTTCAATGAAACAGGTTGTTGTTGCGTACGTTTGGAATTAAGGATTTCTGTGTGTTGTAGTACATACGAGAAAATATGCTGTATGAAACTCGCTTTTAAGGTGATGATTTTTTATTTATTTTTATTTCACTGCTTCAATGGAACACTAAAGTTTGACTGAATAGATTTATGAAATCTCCATGGTTTCATAATCAGCTTCGGCGTTTGGGTGAGTAATTCGTGAATTTCAGTTGATACACTAGTTCACCTTCTCATGGACCTCCCAATAAGCAATAACGTTTCAGACGGCCTTCTACCCCTATTAGAACGAGAAACGGGTAACAGATCCATTAAACTTGTTGAACGAATCCATAAACCTCTTTATTAACCGGGACAGTGAAAAATTTTCCCTAATAACAGCCCTTAACTAACGATCCTCCGCTTCCAAAAAAACAGTTACCATCCCAAGTCTCCCAAATAAATATCAAGCAGTCAGAATCACCCCTTGTTTCTTTTAGATATCAATACAACCCATCTTCTACCATTACTTTAAAAATGGTACCTGAATCACTGCCCCACAGTCTCGGCACATGAGCCCGCGCTCTTGAATATCATCTCCATAGATCTCCAGAACTCATCAACTATTACACAAAGCATCTCCAAAACGCACCATGTCTGGCTTCAAGAAAGACATGCGCGAGGTCTTCCGTGGCCTCTCCCTTACAGACAAGCTTCTACCACTTCTCATCATCCTAGCTATAGTTCTAGGCGTCCTATTATCTGTGTATGTTCCTAGCAGCAGAACAGCCTTGGACAGTTCGAAGGTCGTTGGCGTGTCGGTGCCTTTGGCCGTGGGCCTTATCGTGATGCTTCTTCCGCCACTTTGCAAGGTGGAATGGGAGAATGTGCCGAAGTACTTGATAAGTACGAAGTACGTTAAGCCTATTGTGTTTTCACTCTTCCTTAACTGGATAGTGTGTCCGTTCTTGATGTTTGGGCTAGCATGGTTGACGCTCTTTGACCAGGACGAATATCGAACTGGTATTATCATGATAGGGTTGGCCAGGTGTATTGCTATGGTGTTGTTGTGGAACGACATAGCCGATGGTGACAATACATTGTGTGCGGTGATAGTCATCGTGAACAGTGTGCTTCAGATCGTTCTCTACGCTCCGTACCAAATCTTCTTTTGCTACGTGATTACTGGTCATAGCCAAGAGACTTCTAGCCAGGTTGCCTATTCTACTGTTGCCAGAAGCGTAGCCTTCTTTATGGGCGTTCCGTTTGGCCTAGGCGTCGCCATTCGCCTTTTAGGTAGAAAGCTTCTAGGCAAAAAGAGATACGACACGAAGTTTGTTCCAATCGTCAGCCCCTGGGCGCTAATTGGACTTCTATACACAATTGTGGTGATCTTCATGGAAAAGGGCAATGACTTTATTCAAGATATCGGTTCCGCATTCCGGTGCTTTGTCCCCTTGGTGCTTTACTTTATCATTACGTTCTTCGGGACCCTCTTCTTGTTTCGCTGGTTATACACTTATAGGATTTTTGAGAGCCAGAGTCTGGTGGAAGGTACTGAAGATGAGAAGAAACTGCTTTGTGGATGTGAAAAGACAAAAGAGTTGTACCCAGAAAAATTCTCTTACGGATGTGCTGCTCCTTACGGTGCAACAGTTGCCCAGACCTTCACTGCCGCTTCCAACAATTTTGAATTAAGTCTTGCCATTGCCATTTCCATTTACGGCTCGGGCAGTAAACAAGCTATAGCAGCTACGTTTGGCCCGCTCATCGAAGTTCCGCTTTTGCTATTGCTTGTATTTGTGGCTAGATATTTCAAGGTCAGGTTTGTATGGATCGATGTTGTGCCAACAGTGGAATCAGACGACGAAGTCCAAGCCTAGAGAATTTCCTTAAACCAGGGCCTTGTCTTTTCTTCTGATTTGTCGGCTTCAACCAAGCCCCTGTGGTACCTTTCTTTGTCGGGTACGGCGGAACAAAGCCCGTGTCTTTATCCGGGGACGGCACCCTTTTTTAAACCGAACCGAACCTTCTAGCCACCAATCAGCTAAAGCCATTTTAAGAATGGAGATACTCTAAAAATACGAATGCCCTTCGGTAGGCTTTGCAGTCTAATCGTGCTGCTGGGATTGGCTTAGAGGATGGAGATCGGAAATAAACGAATCCACAGCCCCAACAGCGAACCACTCGTCTACCTGGAATGCCAGCGTCTGTTGTCGGAAACCAACGACACTTTCCGTCGCCGACAGAACTGGAATGTACTACAATCAACCAGTCCCCCTTTGCTCACTCGCCACACCTGAAAAACGGCCTGTTCCCCATCACGTCCCCTCAAGCACTGCTTTGACGTGCCGCCACAGCCTGGCTTAGCAAAATACCCAACAGAGTCACATATTCGCCAGAAGAGGCCCAGCCGCAAGCGCGATCAACAAGCCAGAAGAGAAAGAGACAACAGAGAAAGAAAGAGTAAGGAAAAAAAACGCGCCACGCATGAAATCACGAACAAAATAAAAAAAAAAGGTGATGCCCAACAAGGGAGTTTTTTCGATCTGGCAAGGAATGTGGAAGCCGAAGCCGAAGCCGAAGCTGGAGCTGGAGCTGGACGTGTGAAGTTTCTATGAAGTTTGTTCATGTGGTGTCCCCCTCTCGCCGTTTGGATAAACTTGCCCTGTTTCATTTGCTTCCCTTTTTTTTTTTTTTTTTTTTTTTTTTTTTTAAGGCGAGGCCTGGCCCCGCCTTATCGTGCTACACAAAGCCCTGGCCCAGACCTCGGCCCTTTCCACTTGCCATCCCACAAAACAAGGTGTGACACACATTCACTACAAAGAGAAGAAAGACGTTTCCAGCCAATCACGTTGCTTTGTTTTGTCTCCTTCATCCCCTGCCCAATTCCAGTCTCGACTGACCCGCCGGAAAAACATCCCTCTTTCTCGACTCGTCTCCCTCGTTGATCTGGACAGGAATGGTCTGGACGTTTGCCCCTGCATCGAGCCCTTCTCACCTTCCAGCGAGCGCCAGTCCAACCTGGCTCACCACTTTGTGTCCCTCCACCAACACCCAATTCCAGCACGCCATTCGTATCCACCACAACAAGGAGAACCGCCTGAAGTTTGAAGTATAGCAAGTTCTTTTTTATTTTTCATCAGCATATATCCTGTTTATTGCAAGGGCCTTTCCGTTACACATACCCACATGTCCATACTCTTTACTACCGGGGCAACCGTTACTTTCCACAAACTCGTGGACTACGTGGTGGATCCTCTGTTTCTTTCGCTGTTGCACAACATTGGGTATTCCAAGTTTGCTATTCAGTTCGGGAACGAGGTGTCGCCGACCCAGCATATCAGCAAAAAGTACTTTTCAGACGCTATCGCTTCCAATCAGTTGATGGAGAAACTCGACTTGTCCATCCAGAACGAATTCAACGATAAACTGGTCACCCGCCTTGGCCTGCCGGATTTGCTGATAACTGTGTTCCCCTTTGCTCCTTCCATTAATGACTACATTGCTGACGCTGACATTGTCGTGTCTCACGCCGGAACTGGCTCCATTTTAGACGTGCTCAGGCTTGGGAAGCCTTTGATTGTCGTCACCAACCAGGACTTGATGAACGACCACCAGGAAGAGGTGGCCGCCCAGTTCGAGAAGTTGGGCTACCTCTACCGTGTCAACACCCTGGAAATGCTCCAGGGCAAGCTCCTTGATCTCATTACGCGCTTCAAGAAGGGCCTGCTACGTTTTTCCCATATGCTGGCTCCTCCAGACGGAGTCATCGAACAAGTGCTTTCAGAAGAACTAGAGCGTGCCCGGAGGTGACCTGCTTGCTAATTGCCCAGGGCCACTGGCTTGGCTCTAGCTGTTTCTTCCTGACATATGCTCATTTTTCCTCATTCCATCGTGCCACTTGCATGCTCATGCCTGACTGCAATCCCGCCAATGCAGTTAAAGGCTTCGTCTTTCGCCTAATAATACATTACTCCTGCTGCTTTTTGGGAGCTCCATACGGCTTATATTTATTGGGTTGCAATCCTCTACTTCGTCAAGCCTGTATATAATACTTTACATCAATACTATGTAACTCCAACTCCCTCTCATTCTACCTCCATCCTAACAACCATGTATTCTTATCGCCAGACGGCTCCACCCCCACGTCGCCGGAGAAGGCCTAGACTCTTCACTAAAGATATCGAAACGCTACTATATGCATTGGGTGATGGCCCAGTCTCGCTAGATTCCACAGTTAACTGCTTGGAAGACTGCCTAGCAGAATACCTAACAGATATGATGCACGAGGCATCTCAGTTTGCCAAATCCCAAGGAAGATCAAAGGTTAAACAGGATGATTTGCCTTTTGCGCTTCGGAATGATCCAATGAAGTTAGGTAGACTTGAAGACATCAAAGAGTTGCTTGCCAAGATCAATAGAGCCAGAAACATGTTGGAAGACTCTGCAACAGCAAAGATGGAGTATTTGGACGATGAGGACGAAGAAACGACCGAAAAGAAGCCCCGCAAGGGTAAGAAGAGAGGACGCAAGAAGAAGAACCAGCAGAATGTGGCCAACGAATCCAACGAGAGCGAGTAAAAGCTCTGTTTCATCTATGTACTGTGGGATGCCATTGGCTATTCTGTACTGCCGTCATCCATGTCAATATTTTGGACGGCTGTGCCACGGACGTACTTTTCATTTTTCACTTGATCATTCAAGGTTTCAAGCAAACGCGATCCAGCAAAGACAACCTTCACTATGGTGAAAACAGTCACGCATGCAATCAAGCGTGCTAACCCACTAACGTAGTGTGACTCGAACCACATAACTGCCACGTGGAATACAATATCGTCAAACACGGCAGCGTTCCAAAGGAATTTCCAAAACGGCTGCTCTTTCTTCTCCTGACGACCGCTGATAAAGACTGGGCTCCATGCTATAAGGAAGAGCACCGCATGTAAAGCAACAGCATACCGATTTGGGTTCATTGGGTCAGCCGCAAACTTTGTGCCAAAGAGGGCTGGCTCAGCTGCAAACACATTTCCTGTTACCTTGTAGGCGACAGAAGTGTGAAGAAAGAATGGAATCCACGAGGACGTGAAAAACCAACCTTTAACGTCGATGTTTATGGCAGGAGCTTGAACAGGGATCGGATTTTGCGCAGGAAGCATAGGACGACCATCAATGGCGGACAAGAGGCCCACTATCACCGTAAGTCCATACGCAACAGATTGGAGGTCAACGCGAGCATGATCGATTTGATATGGATGCCAAGGCAAGCCACTAGCATCGAACGCCATCGCGAGGACATTCACAATAAGCCGTCCAGCAAATGCTGCCGAAACTCCAACGAAAACGAAAAGAAGCTGGGCAAACACGCCTAAAAGCAAAACCAAAAGTATGCACCTTGATCTGAAGTCCGGTGGACGGTAGACAATGTCGTAGCTATTTTCATAGTTTAAATCCACATCTGAGTAGTCAGACTCATATCCGTCCTCATGATTCAGGTTCTTTGGCTCGGGCTCTTGAAGTGGCTGGTCTGCTTTTGTCACTGGAATGAATAGTTGATCAATAAACTTCCGGGAAGTATCACTCGAAGGTGCTCTCACATAGTTACCGTCTGGTACGAAACAAGCGGTTGTATTAGGCTCCTCCTTGAGCTTATGCTTGGCTTCGCTTAACGTGACTGGATGACTATAATCTGGTAAGTCTCCACGGAATTCATGGAACCAACTCTTGTACACGATGAAGCCTCGTTCTTCCGGTACTGGCTTTGAGAGAATAAAGTCAGAAAGTCTCAACTTATAACAGACCACGTCAAATACTCTCTTCCAGAACTTAACACAGAAGTCAGCTAACATGGCATGGTTCTCCTTTGCAAGCCTTCCAAATGCAATAACGTGCAAAATTCCCTCCCAAGTCAAGGGAACAGGCAAGAAAATACGCTTTTCTGAATCTGGAGACATCGTGAACCATCTGAGACCCCAAGTCACAAGACCGATACCCAAAAGGATATTACCAGTGTAAAATTTGGCACTGAGCCAAATACGCAGCAACTGGAAACGGAGAGACTTCACGAGGGCATCATGAATGAGTCTTGCGTTTGGGTCTTCAGGGCTTCTGATAAAGAAAAGTACACCAGGACGTAAAACGTTATTTCTCAACATGCCAACATACAAGGCGAAGCAAAGCATGTAGATTGTGCCAAAGCCCCAATAAATTAAGACGCGTGCAGATGGAGAATTGTAGCTCTCGATGGATGCAACAAAAAGGTACTCATATACTGTCGAGCCATCCTTGTTATTCACTTTCAAATCATTCTTGAAGATTGGTGTCAAACACATGTCGATGAGCCAGCCGCAGTACACTGGGAATACAACTATTTCGACAGCAAAGACAACAAATACCTTAGCTGTAGCGGTGACTTCAAACAAGACCTTGTAAATCTTCCTCGCGGTCCCGACGATTGGCTTCTTTCCGGAAATCATGTTTCTCATAGCTGAATGAATACCGTAGCATCCAATCAAGTAGCCAATGCTCAAGGCAACCATCCTTTCAGGCAATGTAGTTGGGCCCTTTTGAGTAAGCGTCAAGCAACGCGACACCACTTCAGTTAATGGCTGAAGGAAAACATCGAAGACGAAGAAACGAGTATTAGTAAGGAGCTCAGACTTTGCATAGAGACCATGGGCGAAATTGTAAACTGTGTATATGAAGCCGGGAACAAGCTTCTCTAACCCAAGGTGCGCAAAGTATTGAACAGCATGCTGATAAGATAATGCAACGATAAATAAAACAAAGTTTCCAACCATATGGGGTATCAAATATGCTGCAAATAAAAAGATCATAACGACGACATCAACAAAGATAGTGAGAAGAAGCGGCGTTGAGATATTGAGCTTGAGCCCAATTATTTCTAAAATACCTTCGTCAAGATCATCCATCTGTTGAGCATCGAAGGCCGCAGCCATACCCTGGGCATTGTCTGCAGCAACATCTTGCTCCTCCTCAGCGATGTTATCCTGCTCCCATGCGATATTTTGAGCATGTGGATCCTCTATTGATGCGTTCAGGTCGGAGTCAGAACCGGATTCACTCGCATTGTCTTCGTTGTAAACGTAGTCCTCATCTGCCGAGTCATCATCGGAAACATTCTCGTCGGCCTGGTGAGGGTTAGGCGTATTGGCCAAATCAATTCCCTCATGCGGGTCAGCATTGTCGTCATTGGCCTCAGAGGACGGATGGACGTGGTTAGCAGGCATATCAGGGAGAGGCTGAGGTGCTTCGAGATCGAACCCGCCAGGCAAGTTAGGAGCTTGGTCGGCCCCATTTATAAGAGGATCAAGCACACCATTATGAAGCGCCTCGTGTAGTTCAGCCTGACGAGGAAACTGATCAGGAACGTTCTGAAGGTCACGAATAGCTTCGTTGACGAGATCGAGGCGCATGGTACGGTTCCGCTGAGCAGCTCTGGCATTATCAGGGTTTTCGTCATTTTCATTTTCGTTGCCAGCCTCGTTATTGGCGTTCTCAGTCTCTCTTCTTTGCAAGCCTTCTAGTAGGTCCAACAACTTCGACCTAGGCTCCGTGCCAATATCGTTTAGAAGCATCTTGGTGTAGCCTTCGTCTCTAACCACCCATTCGTGTTCCACAAAAATGGCTAGTAGCATAATGACAAACGCAGCCACATGCACCACGCCATTCAGGAAAGTGTTGAAGAAAATGTGGACAGCCTTTCTGTACCACGTCTCATCCGGCCCGAAAGCCAGGTTCTCTTCGTATGCAATGGCAGTCCCGTAAAGTAGCGACTGAGCCACATTACTTCCATGCGGAAGAGGCCCGTCCACTACGAACGTATAGACCCTGCCAATAACCTTCCAGAAAATCGGAAGCTGGAGAACAAACGCCAGATATAGAACCACCAGGATATAAGTTATCAATGCATTCGTCACAGTATCCAAGATCTTGTTCCAGATAAGCAGTAGAGGCACTCTGTTGGGCATGTTGGGATCGTAGATGGTCTTGAACTGATATGGGGTATTACAGATGTCACACTGCTTGGTCGACTTACTAGAATGCTTGAGCCACTCCAAAAGACAGTCTTCGTGGATATACCTGATGGAACCTCTGCACTTACAAGGATGGATAAGTGGCTGTTTCAGAGTTGCCTCTCCTCGACAGATACGGCAACTGTGTTCACCGTCAGCCATGATGCCAGACATGATGGGGTGATGGGGAGTACTTCAGGCAGTAGATAGGAAGATTATAGGGTTGTTTTGGATATGCTGTGGGTGTTTTTGATGGGATTGGTATATGGTATGGTGATCTCTTGACCTTTCATTCATATGGCCACACCGTGATAGCATGTAGGGGCTACCTGCAGTACAGACTCCACGATTATATGGCTGCAAAAGGCACAAATCTGAAACAGCCAGTAGACCGGACTACATTACATATAAACCGTGAGCTATATTAAATCTTATGTGATATCACTTAGTTGACTGGTTGGGCAACCTCCTCGACGACAACGTCCTCCACAACCACATCGTCTGCGACAACTCCATTCTCGTCACCCTCAGATGGAGCTGGGTCCTCAGGAACGGCCTGAGGCTCTCCCTTGTTTCCTGTGGCCTCATCGACCAATTCGCCGACTGGAGCCTCCTCATCGTCTCTCAAGAAGTCTGGCAATGGGCCCTTGTGGGTCTCTGCAGCTGGTGGTTCCTCAAAGCTCTCAACCTCCAGCTCCTGCTGCTCCTTCTGGGCTTCCTGCTTGACAGCTCTTGGGGTCTCCTTGGCCTCGTTGACGACAACAGTCAGTGGGTTGGACAAGGTGCTTTGGGCAACAGAGCTCTCCAAGGACTTGTACTGGGCAGCATTGTCGAGGAAGGTGTTACAGTCGTAGTCCCAAGAAGAAACCCACTTGGTAGAGGCACACTTGCTCTTAGTCCACTGGTTTCCGTAGATCAATGGCGAGAAGTAGAAGTAGATAGTGGCAGCGGCACCCAAGTAGGCAACCAAGGCGTTAGCACCTTTTCTGCCAAAGAACGAGCTGGAAACGAGCAACTCGAACAAGTGACCAAGAGACAAAATGGCAAAGTATTGCGATGGCAAGTAGTGGTGCAAGAACAATTGTCTACCCATGATGAAGAATGGGGCGTAGTGGATGAACCAGCCGAGGAAGTAGGTGAAGACATGGTAGTTGAAGTGGTAGACGTCCTTGGAACCAGCAATCAGCTTACCGACCTGCCATTTCAAGACAGAAATACCGGCGTGAATGATGAAAGCGACCAAAGCGGCAGAGGCAGTCCACCAGACAACAGGGTTACCAAGGAAGTAAACCTGGGTGTGGTTCTTGCCCCAGTAGTTGATACCACGCAACAACAAAGGCCAGTCCTGAGGGCTGGATTGCCAGTTGTGGTGAGAAGTCAAACCCTGGTTGATCTTCCACATGGTCTTGTGGGATTCAATAAGCTTCTCCCAGAAGCTCAATGGCTGGTATCTGGCAATCTCTCTCTGGTCAGCAGGCAATCTCTGCTCAGCATTGTTGGTTTCAATGTACCAGTGGGTCAATGGTCTAGCACCTTGGCCAGCGGCACTGACTTCTTGTTGTTCGAAACCCCAACCTGGCAACTTGGTCTCACTGGAGAACAAGTAGTGACCAGTCATGGCGTGTCTCAATCTAAAAATGGTCTCGATGGATCTAATCTCCTTCTGGGCTCTGCCCTTGGTCTTGTGCTTGACAACCTCAAAGATCCAGTCATCGTTAGCGTCACCACCAAAGCCGTCGTATCCGTAACAAGAAACTTCCTTTTGCCAGTCACGCTCGCTCACTGGAGGCTTCTCGTCGTGGGAATGCAATCTTCTCTTGGTGTTAACGTGCACGAGTCTGACCTTATCACCATCCTTAAGCTGAACGAACTCAGCTGGGATGGATCTGTTGTAAGGTTCAATCAACCATTCGTTGTTGGTGTCCAAGTGTGGGTATAAGGTGATCTGCTGCTGCTTGGAACCGGTTGGGTACATGTGGTTGTGAGAGTGCAAGTAACCACCTCTGGTGTTGACGTGACGGATGGACACGAGCGAACCGTAACCAACCTGGGCGGTGGTCTGTCTTGGCACAAGGGAGCCAGCCAAACCAGCACGGAAGCCACTGGTCATGAAAGCAGAACCATCACCATCGTTAGTCAAGACATTGAAGTGGATGCTGAAGACGAACAAGTACAATGCGATTGGGACACCCAAAAGGAAGGAAGCACGGGAAAAGGCGTGTTTCCAGACAGCCTTTGGAGAAACACTCAAGTCACCAATGAGGAACCACATGTGGATGACACAGCAGATGCCAACCCATGCGATAGTGAACAATCCGACCCATTTGGAACTGAAAGCCATACCCAAAGCAAGCGAGCACAGCAAAAGGGAACGGAAGTAGTTCAAGGAGAAAGGCTGCTGGACCTCGAACTTCTTGAACGCGTAGATAGCTGCGGCAATGAAGAACACGAGTGGAGAGTCGAGCAAAATGTATCTGGAGATGGTGACAAAGGAGTTTTCCACCAAAAGAGCACCAGCGGTAGTGAAGGCCACAATTGGACGCACACCAGAGGCACGCAAGGTCAAGTAACAAAGGAACACCGTAGCCAAGCCCAAAACAGCAGGGAAGGCTCTCATGACGACATAAGGCACCGAGTCAGGGAAAACATCGCCAATGTGGGTAAAGCTAAAGTCACCCTTGAAGCCAGCAAGCAGGCCCACAGCAGCAAAGAGCATCTTAGCCAAAGGAGGGTGAACATCCATGAAGAAAGCACCCTTGATGTACTTCTTAGCGAAACCACCGAAGTGGACTTCGTCAAACACCACCGAGTTGGGGTGGCCCAAGTTCTGCAAACGCACATACAAGCCGGCAACGAAAAGAAGACCAAGCAAAACGTATTCCTTGCCAGAAACCGTACGTGACTTGGTGATGTACTCAGGCGTGGAAGTCAACAAGTATTCACGGTACTGGCCCTTTTCATACTGAGGCTGCTGCACCGTATCCAATTCAAACAAGAGATCGTCAGGTCCACCCAGCGCCAACTTGTTGGTCTGGGGCTTTGAGTTTTTCGCCATTGCCTTTGGGAGTTGTAGGGTAAGGGCAGTGGACTCAAGGAGCTTGAAAGTTTTATGGATTTTCCACACCGAGAAACTACTACGTGTAACGTTGACCTGCACAGCGCGCTATGTGGTCAAACAGGCCATACGTGGGTGTTTTGGGCGAGGGAAGGTAAGGGTGGAGATTTGGGGGTGAAATTGGATTCCTGGGGATCAGGTTATGGTGGCTAGGTTTTTTAAAATTTGTTTTATGACCATTTTTGGGTGTTTGGCGGGGGTTATATTTACCGTGTGATTTGTTAGGCGGCTGCGAAATGGCTGCGAAAAAGCGAGTCGGATATGGACATGGTGGTAAAGGTTAGTGGAGGGAAAGAGTAGGGGGATGGATTTTGGGTGGACGGTGGATTTGGGGTAATTTTGTTGGATGGGTGGATTTGGAAGATTTTTGGTATTTGGCGTCAGAACGTGGGTTGGTCGGTTGGCTGGTTGGTTGGGGATGTAATGGTAGGCTTAGGTTTGCACGCGTAGAAGTGTAAGGCCCTTGGCGAAGCGTGGTTGATGGAGTGAAGTGATTGTAGAAGATGTTTTTTGGAGTGACAGAGGAAGGAGATGAAACATATGTTATGCTCATTTTATCTTCATTGTCTTTTGAGGTCCTAAGTATCACCTGTGGACCGTTGGAGGATGGCTCGGGTATATCGGGCACACGTGCTGGTAATACTGTAATGGCAGAAACGGGTAGTAAAAGAGATAATAGATAGTTAAATAGGCTCTCTCGTATATATTGGGGTTTCCACTGCTTCATCTGTTCCTGTTGGTGCCCCTCGTCTGTGCATCTGGTGATATCATTGGACCCTTTTTCGCAGCCAAAGGAGAGTCAGTGTCAGGGACCAAAGGTATCCACCAAAAGGCATGTAGTTCCTTAGTTGAAATTTTAAGATCAGGTTGGATCGAAAATGACTAGTGTCATCTTATCTGGTGATTGGGCTGTGGGCTTCTTCATTGATCGTATTAATGAGTAATGGAGACTTCTTGGTAAAACCTAGGATAAGCGTCAACTGAATGAAATAAAACAAGTTTATTATCTTAACCTTGGTTAAAGTAATTCTATGCTTAGCTAGGGCACTTAAGAAGTGATCTAGTAAGTTTTTGATAATTGTCACACCACCAAACCGGAAACACCAATTTAATCACTTATGTCTCTTCACTAACACTACAGACCTGATGCAGCTACCGGGAAATCCTAAAAGTATCAATCCCCGTAATAAAATTTAACTTAACATTCATCCCCTGCTCACCTCATGTCTTTCCCACTTCTTCAGGTCCCGGAGGTAAGGACCAGACAGACACCACCCACACTGCACTTACCTTTACCAAACCTCACCCAAAGACCAAGAAAACCTACCTAACTCACCAAAACCTTCCCTTTACAGCCCATATACTCCCAAATATCCATCCAACCCACACAACCCTTTCCTAACCCAAACACATCCAGTGTCCCACATAGACGGCATACTTCCCACGAAAGCCAGCCCAAGCCCACCACACTTTGCCCAGAAATCATGACAAAGACAAAACCTACACCAAAAAACCTTATTGCTTCCACTTCCCTCCACTTCCCTCCACTTCCCTCGACTTCCTCCACTTACCTCCACTTACCTCTGTCCACCAATCCAAGCCATACTTAGTTCTCACCTCTCCCATACTAACCAGCCCAGGCCCAGTAACGTACCACCTTCCATATACCATCCACCAACACAAACTCGAAATCCCCAAAAACCACTTGCCAAACCAGCACTTCCCTAAAAAGCCAAATCCTATCCTTCCCTACTTCCCTCCTTCCACTTCCCTCCTTCCACTTCCCTCCTTCCACTTCCCTCCTTCCACTTCCCTCCCACACTTACCCTTTTTCGCAGCCATACACTGCTCATGCTTAGCAATCGGTGGGTCTTCTCTACACAGTCCATGGCCAATCGTTTCTCCTAGAAAGCACACCATCTTCTGCCTCTAACTTCTTTTTTTTACCCTTCCTTGCCACTGTATGGTTTTCTATAGACCAGCCACATTCAACTCCATCAAGTCAAGCTTTTCCAAGGTATTCCAGCGCAACATGCATGTCGAAGTGATTCCTCAGTCCTGGGGTAAGGGCAACAACTATGCTTATCTTTTGGTGGATGAGCCCTCGAAACATGCCTGGTTGATTGATCCTTCGTTTCCCGAGGACGTGAATGCTTACATTGCTGAAAAGCGTCCGAACTTCGAGTTGAAGGCCATTGTCAATACTCATCACCATTGGGACCATGCTGGGGGAATGAACACTTCCATAAGAAGTACCCAGACTTGCCAATTATCGCCGGGAAGGACTCGGAATTGGTCACTTACACACCTTCCCACCAGGAGGTGATTGACTTGGGCGATCAATTGTCCATCACGGCGTTGCACACGCCGTGCCACACCCAGGACTCTATTTGTTACTATGTCAAGGACTCGAAAACGGGCCAGAAGGGCGTGTTTACTGGCGATACGTTGTTTATTTCCGGCTGTGGTCGTTTCTTCGAAGGCACTCCAGCTCAGATGAACACTGCCCTTAACGAAATCTTGGGTAAGTTGCCTAAAGAGACTGTCACGTACCCTGGCCACGAATACACCAAGGGTAACCTCAACTTTAGCAAGACCGTTTTGCAAAACGAAGGCATCACCAAGCTCGAGAACTTCCTCAAGCTGCATAGCGTCACTGCCGGCCAGTTCACTATAGGCGACGAGCTTGCGTTCAACCCGTTCATGCGTCTTCGGGACCCACAAGTGTTGAAGGCAACCGCCATTTCAGGCGACGTGGACGTGATGGAGAAGTTGCGTGAAATGAAAAACAATGCTTGAGCCGCTGGTCAATTGATCTGCTGCTCATGGTTATAGGGGAAAGAACATTATCATTTATATTAACTGTCTTTTAGCTCATCCGGCTCTGACAAATCCCGGAAGCCACTCCTCCTCGTAGCTAAGCTCCGGCTGCCACATCTCTATAAACTCCAAGTCGAACTCTGACTTGCCCATGGCGAACTTCTCATACTCCTCGAAGATTCCGCTCATGCACCAGCCTTGGAGAATCTTCCTCATCAACCCGACCAAAACGCCTATTCGGTGTTTCCCCTTGTTCAGATGTATAAGTATAGGGAAGTTCCTCTTGTCTAATATAAGATGTAGAGCTGCTTCAAGCGACTCTTGCGTTTGGGCCTGGGTTTCTACCAGTGTAAATGGTTCTTGCGAAGAATGTACCAACAACGGACAAAACTTGATATCCGTCGAGCTGATCCATGCCTTATACTTTTCGTATATCTCTGCTGTCCCGTTCTTATCCTTCTTTGGCTTCTCTTCCTTACCTGTCTTCTTAGCCTTCTCATGGCACAAGTCTCCCACGTAAATAATCGTTTTAAGCTTCAACTGCTGCATGAACGGATAATTAATGGGCATAGGGAACCCAGACCTATAGATTCCATCCTCAACAAGGGAGAAATTTAGTGGTGGCACGTAATTGGGCCGGGGTATTATCGTTGTTCTGGTCTGCGAGTCATTCGGCTGTGACTCTGAACGCACCACCGAGTCCAGGCTTTCACTCTCTCGACTGGTCGGGTCTGTGGTGCTTTGCTTTCCGGGATTAGGGGGTATATCTACCAGAGACATATCTATAGGGGTTGAAATTCGTATATCTGGTGTTCATCAAGAGACGCTTCAGTCGAGCTCTAGGTGTACACCCGTGCACCACACATAGCTACTCTATCTGGAGGAATGGCTGCAAAATACCGGTAATGTATTGAAACGAGATGTAATGCGAGATGGGTATGCTATAAAAGTGGCTGGAACTTCGGGAGAAGCGGTGTTTTGGGCCGCTGCGTCAGAACGCCGTTTTGTATGTCAGTTGGTGAAGGAGGGGCCTTTGCTGGAGGAACCAGCGGTCTGATTGGTTCCGAGAGTGGTGGAACTGACGGTGGTTGTTTGTAAGGGGGAGGCAAGATGATTCTGGGAGAATCGTCAGAGTATCTTGATGGAGTGACGGTGTTTGCCATTTCGTAGATTGGAATTGTGGGGATGCGTTGGGGAAAGATCTCAAGCTCGATGTTATCTTCATGACCAAAGATCTTTTCTAGGTCAAAGTCTGAGTTCACGTAGGCGCCGGTTTTGGAGTTTCGAAGACCATAGATCTGGTTCCCGTTGAGTTTGAATGCTTGTGTAGCGTTTTCCATGATTTCAACGAAACGTGGAGGCGCCGAGTTCCTTGTAGGGTATGTGAACTCAAGTGAAGATGACAAGAACCGAAGCACAACCAGCTTTTTATCTTGCGCCAGATCTGGGGATGCACCGCGTGTATGACTTCTTATCTCTGTAGCCACAGCAGCCAAGTTTGTGAGTGAGAAGTTTGAGCCTTGTGTAACTTGTTGGTCTTCCACAGGTGGCTGCTGAGAGTTTTCAATGTCAGATCTGAGGAAAGGTTTCGAGGAGTTCAGAACCAACGGATAATCCAAAAGAATGCTGCGGTAGAAAGCTTCGCCAAGCGGGTATAAAATACGGTCAAAACCGAAATCTTTGATACAACAGCCAACTAGCGTTTGAAGCGTCAAAGAGGCTGTTTCGTCGTCTAGTGACTTGTTAACATGCGAGTCAGGTTCCAAGCTGCGGTAAAATTGAGCAAGAAACGAATGCAGTAGGAGCTTTTCCAGGAGGTAGTCGATGGAGGTCTGGTTGAGGTTGATGAAAGATTTTTCAAACACCAAGGCTGCGATAGCACCAATAGAGTTTTGGCCCAATCCTCGAAGAAACTCGTTCCTGGTTTTTGTGGTAGATTCCAAGCACAGCCTGGACCTCTTCATTAGTAGTAGAAGCGAAATACGAATGGCCTGGAGCTCTTTTTCATTCTCAGCCTGTGTTTGGCAAGAGCCAGCCATATTCGACAACGGAGGGAGCATGACGCCCAAATGAGGACGAGACTCGAACTTAGACAGCAAAGGCTGGATAAGCGAGCCAATAGCAGCCCGGGACTGGTCGTGGTTCGTGATAGACTTGGCCCTCAGGTAGTTCATATCGTAGACCTCATCATTAGCGTCTGTATTAAGCCTCGTGATTTCAGACAAAAACCGGTCGTTCTCGTGTCCTCCCGGCTCCGGCGTATTCGTTTCCTGCTTCACAGCACTATCCACAGACCCTTCAGAAGATACCCTCTGCTTCTTCGAACCACTGTTCCGTTTCAGCTTTGTAGACCGTTTCCTATTCCTCCTGACACTCTGCACGGCAGCACGAACAAGCTTATCAAAATCGTCAAAATACTGCGAGTCAAACTTAAACTCCAACCGCAACACCTCGGCAACCTTCCTAATCTCGTCCTCCTGCTCACTCGCCTTCTTGGAACTGAGATCCAAAGTATCTATAAGCTCAAGCCTCCTCGCCGAAAACCGTTTCCAAAGACGCTCATCCTGGAAGTTAAGTTTCTCCCTTATACTATGAGTGACACCTAGCTTCTTATCCTCGGCCATAGGGGTAGGTAGCATGCTAGTTTTGGGGTTTTTGGGGGAAGTAGCGAAGTGGGATGATTCAAAATCATCATGACTCGGAGCCTGCGCGAAATTTTTGGGGTGGGTCTCCCGATCTTGACTCATGACTCCGAATCATCGGACTGGGGGAGTAAAAGGCGCCAAGGGGGAAAATGGGAGTTTGGTTTTTGGAGGGGGCAATATTTGGAGGATATTCGTAAGGTTGAGTTTGTTTGAGGAGGTTTTTAGGGCGGGTGGTTGGTGGGTGGCGGTCTGGTTGGTCTCGGACATGGTGGGCACAATTCCGCGTGTCTTACTTTGGAGGAGGTGAAGGGAAGGGGCCCATGGGATGGAATGGAGGGATGGAAAGTATAAAGTGTTAATCTAGTGAATGTTTTTGGATGCTGAGGGGTTTTGGGAGGTCTAGATTGTCTTGGGTGGGTGGGGCACGATGATGTAGTAGATGCTTCTATGGGAGGTATCTGAATAGGAGACGCTAAAAGGAAGCTAGAGAAATTGTGAAAAAATAAGAACTGAAAACTTTCTTTAGAAGGATTGGTAATGACGAATTACTAGAATTCGTATGCCTCGGGATATCCTGGAATTAAAATGCCTTAACTCAGTGCTATTTAATAGGGGTTTGGTATATGATGCCTGGAATTTCTGAAAAGTGTCTATGGAAGAGATTCATTTGTAAGAAGGGAAACAATTTAGATAAATAATGACCCATAAGTCTCTAATTGTTTGCTTGTTGTTGTCTTTGAAGTGATGCTTTTAAAACTTGGTTTGGAATGAACGATCCGAGACAAGCACCAAACCTTTTCGTGTCGAAAAAGATAGACTAGATGTATGTTTTATATTAGCCTTCAAAACGTCGAATGGTATTACTATCAAGATTACCTGACGTTAAAGGGTTTCTTTTTTTTTACTGTTTCACTGGATGAATTCCAAGATCTGCATCGTCAACCTAGTCACCAGTACAATAAACACAGCCCATACTTGCGTTTAAAGCTGTAGTTTCTTTCTATTACGTGAATAGAAAGCGTTAATAGGGCTTGAAGGAATAAAAGACCTCTTCGTGTCCTCCAGCTTCTTGCCCATGAAAATACCACCCATATCTCCCCACAGCTCTTCCATAATATACTCCATTCCATATCACCAACAACGTGATATTCTTCAAATATCTTCAAATAGTCTCTTTCGTTCCCCCAATGGCTAGACACTGGCAACTGGACCTCTATCACTCTTCAGCTTTTCGCAGCCACTGTGAATCCAGCCATGTCCAAACATGTCCAGCCTTTCATATTCCCATCTCCAAAAACCAATAACTACTTATCTTCAAAATCAATCAACTTCCACCCCTTCAAACCAATTTCGCCTTATTTTTCACCCAAACAGCCTTTGTATTCACCGTATTGACTCATTCTCTGTACCGCGACTCGGTCAGTCCAATCAGATACCATGAAAAACTAGGTATCTCAAAACTACATAAACTTTTAAACAAACGCACGGCATTTTCAGACCAAAATACCCATACTTTTCTTGTCCCAAAACCCTAATCCCTCTTGTTGGCTGCAAACGTGGAGTGACTCATGGCCTGTAGACAAACAGTCCAATCCAAAGCGTTACAAGAAAGGGCGCCTTCCTAATCGGGCAAGTGAAAAAAACTTTTGCCGCGATGGACAATCAGTATAAAGTGCCCTGTTATCGCTCCATAAATTCACCTCTTTTTTTCTTCCTTATACTCATCTTAAGTACTCTTATATTTCACACGTCCACAATGTCTAAAGGAAAAGTTTGTTTGGCCTACTCCGGTGGTTTGGATACCTCCGTGATTCTCGCCTGGTTGCTTGAACAAGGTTACGAGGTTGTTGCCTTCTTGGCCAACATTGGTCAAGAGGAAGACTTTGAAGAAGCTGAAAAGAAGGCTTTGGCCATTGGTGCTTCCAAGTTTGTTGTTGCCGATGTCAGAAAGCAGTTTGTTGAGCAGGTCTGTTTCCCAGCCATCCAGGCCAACGCCGTTTACGAGAACGTCTACCTTTTGGGTACTTCTTTGGCCAGACCAGTGATTGCCCAGGCACAGATCGATGTTGCTGAGCAGGAAGGCTGTTTTGCTGTTTCCCACGGCTGCACTGGTAAAGGTAACGACCAGGTTCGTTTCGAATTGTCTTTCTACGCCTTGAAGCCAGATGTCGTTGTCATTGCCCCATGGAGAGACCCAGAGTTCTTCAACAGATTTGCCGGCAGAAACGACTTGTTGGAATACGCTGCTTCTAAGAACATTCCAGTTGCCCAGACCAAGGCCAAGCCATGGTCCACTGACGAGAACTTGGCTCACATTTCCTTCGAAGCCGGTATTTTGGAGGACCCCAACACCACCCCACCAAAGGATATGTGGAAGTTGACTGTGGACCCAACGGACGCTCCAGAGACCCCAGAGGACTTTGACGTTGTTTTCGAAAAGGGTTTGCCTGTCAAGTTGGTCTTGGACGGCGGCAAGAAGGTTATCACTGACCCAGTCGAGTTGTTCCTCGAGGCCAACTCTTTGGCCAGAAGAAACGGTGTGGGCAGAATCGACATTGTCGAGAACAGATTCATTGGTATCAAGTCCAGAGGCTGTTACGAAACTCCAGGTTTGACCATTTTGAGATCTACCCATATTGACTTGGAGGGTTTGACTTTGGACAGAGAAGTCAGAGCTTTGAGAGACCAGTTTGTTACCATCTCCTACGCCAAGTTGTTGTACAACGGTATGTACTTCACCCCAGAGTGTGAGTACGTCAGATCCATGATTCCACCTTCCCAGAAGACCGTTAACGGTACCGTCAGAGCCAGAGCTTACAAGGGTTCTTTGACGATCTTGGGTAGATACTCTGACACTGAGAAGTTGTACGACGAGACTGAGTCTTCCATGGACGAGTTGACCGGTTTCTCTCCAGAGGACACTTCTGGATTCATTGCTGTGCAATCCATCAGAATCAAGAAGTACGGTGAGGCTGCCCGTGAGAAGGGCCAGAAGTTGGATTTGTAAAAAGGCGGGTTTGCCTGGTGTATAGTTTACGAATAGAATGTCATGTATAATTTGCTGTTAACTAGTTACTCGTCGTAGGGTCTCATTTTGAAGAGTTCGTCACTCACGTCGTACTTTTCTCCAACAAGAGCCTTCACTGTAACGACTATCTCGTCAATCTTCTTGTACGCCAAATGAATTACTAAGAGACACACGATGTTAAGCTGTCCATCGTGAGAAAGTAACTTCTGGTAATTCACCATTCTGTTTTGTCTTTTTCTGAGATGGCTTTTTCCGTCTTCATCGTCGTAATCTTCACTTTCGTCTTCGGTTACATCATAAAATCGTTCGTTCAAGTTGGCGTTACTTACGCCCCATTGTGCACTAACTGCATCGAAATGTTTCAGTGACATGTTAGCATTGGTCACCTTTGGCAACGGTGACTTACGTCGAAGAGCAAAAGCTGACATGCTGGTAAGCGCAAGAACTTCTGCAACCAAGTCAGAGTTAGTCCAGCCAACCCTGTCGAGCATGACGGGAAGCCATTCTTCCGTGTCTTGGACTTGGTTGATCAGCAAATAGATCAAATAATAAAGTTGTATGAGATCAGTCACTAACGTTTGTAAAATGCTGTAAGTTTCAGTAGGCCAGTTACCTGTGAATGCCGTTTCGTACTTGATGAATCCCATCATAGCTTTGGCTTGTGCAAGAGATAACAACATACCTCTCATTTGATCACCGGCCTTGTCATGACGACGCTTGATGTGAATGTCCAGATTATCAATTCGTTGCAAAGCAAACTCAGAAATCAAGCAGAACATCTCATTTGATGATTCTAAAATGTTTGCAAGGATCCTCCTCACAGCAACCTTCGAACTCCGTGGTTTAGGTAAGCAACTAGCGAGCAACGCAACAGTCAAACCTACAATCACACTGACAAATCTTGTAACAGCTGGCCTCCAGCCCGCTCCAATATTGGACGGAAATTCGTCTCTTGTATCTGTCCAGCTTGTTCCTAAGACCAAAACTGGAGTGACAGACACCATAATATTCGGTACTTTGGACTGATGAACTGCAAATTGACGATAGTAGGCTGTGAGGAAATAAATAACAGCGGTGACCACTCCGTAACCATATGGATTACCATTGCCGCTGCCTGTTGAAATGTACCATCCCACCATCCCCGCAAGGCATCCAACGAGAGAGTACACCACTTTAGCGACAAACCCGTAAACTGTTTCGGCAGTGTATTCGGTGATTGAAACGGCACATGTGACAGGTAGCCAAATCAATCTATTCGTGGTGTAGAACTCGACAGACGGCCTAAAGTAATATGGAAAGCAACAGAATTGCAAAAGAACACTCAGTCGAATCCAGAACCAAAAATGGGTATTGTAGTATAATTTGCGGTAGGATCTGAAAACCCAACTCACGACTGCTTGGTAGAGATTCTCTGGATCTAGCATATCCGGATCTCTTCCATGCAAAACCCTTTGAACCTTGTATTCTCCGGCGTCGACAGGATTGTCATCGAATAAATCGCGATCAACCGTGACTTTCTTGTCATGACGAGTATTCGAGAACATTGTGATTATTTGAGGTGTAGGCCTCGTCTCATCTATGTCGAGAAGCACCTCACAGAGTTCAAGGAGATGATTTCCTATCTCTTTACAGAAAAACAAGAATAGCGAACTCTGACTCACTAAGCACAACCTTTGCTCTTCGCCAGAAAGCTCATTCGCAAGCCCTTTGATGAGTTCATTGCAGTGATCAAGTTTCCCAACTTCTTCTTTCAAAGCATCGTAATGTTGTAAAAGGCTCGCATGCTCTCTTTTCTGGGCTTCCACATGTTTGGACCACTTGAATATGCTATAGGCTCTGAAGTCATTTGCAGCCCTGAACCACGAAGCTATGGCCTTGAGTGTACACGGAACTTCATCAAGAAAATCTGAGTACTGATCTTTCATGTAGTCACAGATGACATCCAAATCATGAAGAGAAATCCTGTCTTCCTCATTTCTTTGCAGCAAACGTTCCTTCATCCTGTTAATCTTCATTTCGTTTTCGAAAACTCCGACCTTCGCGTACGTATGTCTAAATGCTGCAAGCAATTTGTTGTGGGAGCTCGAGTAGGTCTGACTCGATAAGCTTCCCCTTCTCTTGATGCGACTGAAGGACTCGAGCGCAATATTCTTTCGTTCATCTAGAAGCTCGTAAAAGTACTTGTAACCAGCCAAAATAGTAAGCATTGGCTTGATTCTCGACCTAATTTCAGCAAGGTCTCCGGCATCAAATCTACCAAAAGAGATCTCATACCGAGCAGATATAAGGAAGATTTCTATTGGCCCCAATTTAACTCTTGTTCCTTGAATGTCAGACGCTAGTTGGTGATGGTTATCAAAGCTGCTTAGTGAAGGCTTTAAGGTCTTGAAGAGACTGGCATTCTTTTCGCATGTCAGTGCTAATGAGTCATGAATGGCGGCCACAGCTCGAAGGTAGGTTGAGCTCGATGTATATGGGAAAATGATAACAGCAGCCACTATTTTCAAGGCAAAAGCCAAAAGCAATGGCTTCATGATAAGTTTAGCACTAGTGGGTCCGATAAAAGTCGGCATCTGGACAAAATTAACAAGAGTAATAACAATGGCAATTGAGCCCGCAACATAAGGTAGTCTCATAAGAGGATGATACCTATGACTGTATCCGAAGAAAGTAAATGCAAAGATAGATGCAAAGACCCAGATGATGGTACATCGGGTTTCCAAAAAGCGACCTTTTGTCACTTGCTCTTGGTAACATGTTGCTGCGTTCTGGGCCGTACATGTGCCATCGGCGATCAAGCTTTGAACGACTTCTTCTTGGGTTGGCCAGCCTCTCAAATGTGAGGTGATTGCGCTAGACACAATAAGGAATAGCCATCCGATGCAAGCGTACAAGGCGCAAACAAGGGCAATAGCGATGTTGATAACAACAGAGAACCCACCATTAGCCATGATGAAGCCAATAATCTGGAACAAAAAGCACGCATTACCAATCCATTGCTCAGACCTGGGGAATATGCATAGAAGCACCGTGGGCCACACCTGGATCCAAGTTTGCATGACCAACTTAAGATCTTTCAAACCGATATGATCAAAAAACCAATCTGGGTAGAAGAACTTGTACATTTTCCTCCAGAAGTTCGTCTTGGGAACGGTGGGCTCCAACGGATTCTCTTGCTTCGGCTCACCGTAAACATTGTACTGAGACACATCCGGTTGCTCTTTCTCATCAGACACAATGCCCTGAGGCTGGAAGTCCTCAACAGTGTCTGACGAACGAGCCATTGCAAAGCTGACAATAAAAAACCAATGGAAAAAACACTTAGCAAGTTTGTTCAAGATATCATCGGTTAATGAGCCAACAATAAGCACTGACAGCCCCCAGTGCAGGAAAATCAGATACATGAAATTATTACTGTGGGACAGTCTGCGCGTTAAACGCTTGGTATCTGGGCAGCCCACTTGTTGAGTTTTTCCAAAAACTGTGGAACGTCTTTGCCGATTATAGCTGTTGGAATTGCCTTTTTGGCCACCGGTTTCGTTTTCCCGAGCTCGTAATGTTCAGTCAAGTGGGCCACAAGTGTATATATTATTTGGCTGGCCAGCTGCAAAGCCTCAGACAGATGCATGTTTGGTTTCGCCGCGCCCTTGGAAAGACAGTCTTGTAGAAACTCCTCCTGGTGGTTTAAATAGTAATAGCTGGTAAGCCACAAGACACGGTTGAATTTGGGGAATCTGTAGCGCAGGGGGACGCCGGTGGTTTTTTCAATATTATAGATCTGCAAGTGCATGGGGATATCTTTCACGGTGAGGTAGTTGCCGCCTATGATAACGGAATCCTGCGGAGTATAGACCGAGTGGATCCAGCCGCTTGGTATTATGAAGAGGTCACCTTCTGCAAGGTTAACCTTGAAACCTCCAGAGGGTATTAGTTTCTTGCCATTGATTCTTTTGCTGTAAGTGCCGAACCAGGTGAAGTTTTGCTGTGGTTCTTTGCACCAGCTGGTGTATAATTCGAGGTTCTCTTTGGTGGGCGGGTACATGAGGAAGGTCTTGCTGCCATGGCAAATTGTATAGTAGACGGGCGTCCCGCTGAAGTCGATGTGGAAGTCTGTATACGAACCAGCAATTGACATTAGACAGTACGTGGTGACCTTAGGTCTCTCCTCATCGGTGTCATTTTGCAGCCAAACCTTATCCACAAGATCCATGTCTCGTACCATTTGTGGCCTCACGAATATATCGCCAAGACCCTTAACATCAGACACTTCGAGCGAAATCACGTTCCGAATACGGTCTTTCTCACGCATGTAGAAGTACTTCTTCCACTGGCCCAAGTTCCATCCTGGCGATTCACTTTGCTGAGAAAGAACGTCCATAACTTCAACAGACTCTTCTTCGCCAACCAAAGAAGCAATCCAGGAGACAGTCACGTCCTCACGCTTACACGGTAGGCTCATTCCAGCTTCTTCAGGCACCACTCGAGGCACCAAAACCGGTCTAGGCAAACCAGTAGCCAAGACATACTCCTTGGTAAGCTCGTCACTAGCCAAAATATCAACATAAACCTGTTTCTTCGCCTTTGGGTCCACCTCAGGCCCGAATTCCTTAAAGCTGGGAACATGAGGATGCACGCTCTTATCGACTGCAAACGTCTCGCCCTGATCTAGCGCCACATAGTCAATCTTCACCCTAGCACGTTTCAGGAGCCTTCGTAGCTGCGAGGGCCCATGTTTCTTAGCACATTTGGCACAGTGGTACGAGGCAATCTCGGCTATATCCTCTTCCTTGGTTCCTATACATGTAGTATGGAACCACTGGCGACAGATATCGCACTGGATCCAGTTGATGTCTTCAGTATCTGAAGGAGGCGTATCTGGACAATTGGGGCACAGATCCGTCGAATCAGGCATTTTTGGGATCGAGAATAGGGCTATTCAGGTGAAGTAGTAGTAGGTTAGTCTAGAGGTTTAGGTTGGTGCATTCGCACTTAGTAGTGGTCTGAGTAGGCGTGCCGGACCGGTGAATGGGTGCAAAATGGTGGTGAAGAGTGATGGTGGGAAGGGTGGGGAAGTAGGAAGGGAAGGAAAAGGATTTAGTTGAATTAATAGAGGTTGAATGATATCGTCCTATTTTATTTGCATCTTTTAGTGAAAGTTCTGGTTAGTTGGTGGACCCTTAGATGTCACTGCTCGTGTGATGAGAAGATGGAAAGACATCCAATGGAGACCACTATTTTCAGACATTTATTGGAATCTGGAAAAGCAATCGAATGAAATAAATGAGTTGTAAAAGGAAGGACTACCTTGTCATTATTTTCTGTTTTTCTTACTTTCATGCTTCCTGTTCTGACAGTATGTGTATCCACCTACTAATGGCCATAGATAAGACTTAGACATCTAACTGCCAATCTATAATCTAGAATTTGAATGTCACTGTTATCACCATCAACCTAAACTCTATAAACCTCAATCCCAATCATTAATCACTTCAAAACAAAAATTTTCATTCCACTTCTTCTGTCTCTCTTCCTCGAATTGACCTCACCTGGACCTCATCTATGACCACTCCACCAAAGAACCCCAAACCTAGAAATTCAATTTCTTCGACTCAAAAAAACCTCTTAAAACTCTCCCATTCCTCCCTTCCCTATCACCATTCTTCTACCACCTTGGCGTGGAACATTCCCCCACACTCAGTCCACCCGGTGTTCCGGCAGCTTGTGAGCTTTACCGATCTACTATTACTCATGCTACTACACTGGCGTTCCACCACCAACCACAACTAACCTTCACCAGACATTCATATCGACATACAAAACTCATCTTTTCTGTCAGTCACTAGTTTCCCCCTCCATATATTGACCGAAGGCATTGATCATCTGCTTGCTCTCGCACATCAATTTAAGCTTCACCGTTATCATCCAGAACCATGCTTCGCTCAATTAAACGCCTAAGTCCTGTTTCAGTCAATATAGCAAGAGCATACTCGTCTGCTGACCCGAGACAGAAGTTTCTTCAAGAGTATAAGGTTCGATCGTCGTTGGAAAGACTCATACATCACTATGCCAGTGAACCCTTGACGAAACTCTCCATTCTGACGATCTTGGAGCAATCTGAAAAACTCAATTCCACATATATCCTTCAAAGTGCCAGAGAGACAATTGAAATGTTGCTAGCTTACAATGCTCGTCGCTTGCGTCATTTCAGAGACCTTCCGTACTTGGTGATGCTCAATCCATCCATCTCAGAGTCATACAACACATACTTAAAGACAATGTCTGTGTTGCTTACAGCATCTCTTCATCCTCCATGTACGATGGAAGAAACGCAAAAACTCAGATCTGATGTTCTACAAAGTTTTATGGATGTACATGCAGATGCCTTGCCTACCTTGTCCAAGGGCTTCAGTGAAGTGTTGCATTTGCTTTCTGTGGATAAAGTAAAGACCTTTCTTGATGAACATTTGAGGGAAAGAGTCAGCATGCGTCTTATCGCTCATCAGCAAATATCTCTTACGGATTCGTTTGCCAATGGCACTTACGAAGAAGGAAGCCCATACAATGGTATTGTCAAGCCCCTCAATATCAGGGAAGTGATCAAGAGAAATGCAGAGCTCGTCAACGATATCTGTCTCATGAAATACGATCAAAGCGTGAAGGTCAAAATCGACACTAACCTTCATCCTCCAAACTTCTGGACTCTGAAGGATGAACCTGATATCTCGAAGAACTCTGAAGAGCCTATCATATTCCCTTACATTGAATACCATTTAGACTATATCTTGATGGAGCTCTTCAAGAACTCGTTTAGAGCTCACATTGAGAACCATGTTTCTGATCCCGTCCAGGTGACGGTTTCCACCAGCGACTCACCTTCGTACATGGAGATGAGAATCAGAGACAAAGGTAAGGGAATTGTACCTCAAGCCTTGAACCATGTGTTTGACTATTCGTTTTCAACGTACGAGTCTGGCGAGGGAGACAGTTACAAGACGCTTAATGTTCCACCAGGCGAGGCTGGAAACACCGTTGCAGGTATGGGGTACGGCTTGCCTCTTCTGAAGAACTACATTGAAATATTCAACGATACGCTTGATGGCGGCGCCCAGGAGCCAGAGAAAGGCCTGCTTAGCGTCCAATCATACTACGGCTGGGGTACCGACGTCTACCTCAAGACCGTTGGATCGTAATCCAACCAAAAGACAAAGAACAAATCAACTTTTGAACTTATTTAGACTTTATACGATGGGGTTGACTGTGTGGATGGGGCTGACTGTGAGTCTCTGGATGACAAGAAATGATGGCTGCGAGGCAGATGCGGATCTGGCTAAATCGAGAAGTGGCTGCGAATGCAAAGAAAAAAAAGAGCAGAATAATACCAGCCAGCGCCGAGCCTTGGATGGAAAAATAGCAGGTTTTGAGCAAACGACGGAAAGTTCACAGGCAAATTCCGAGCCCCAATAGGCTGGAATGTCTATCTTTTTCCTTACTTGTCTTTCCCATTACTGCCCCTCCACGGCTGTACCTATTGCGATCTCGGTATTGCACCCATACAGTTAATGCAGACCCACCAGCTACCAGCCCTCAGATCTGCCTTCCACCAACCACCCAACTCAGCCAACCCGCTAAACCTGATTTGCATCGCCTCCACCAGCTTATCCTCCCCACCGTTTCGTTATTGTTACCCAAATCGAACCCTCCCCTTGCCTCATTTATTTTCTTGTCTCTTGTTCCACTTTCCCTCTGTTCCTGGCTTTCCTGTCTGCCTGCTTACTGGACCCGCACTCCAGCCTCACCTGGTTACAAGCCCAATCTCTTGCTCAGATTCTCACCACATGTTCGAAGCTTCCTCCCACCGGGGTGACGACTTCAAGCCGATGCCACCTTCGTTCGACACTTTCTGCTCGCAGATCGCCGTGCCGCCCCTCGAACGGGTGCGTTCGCTGTGTCGTCATTTGCTAATAAACAGCGACCCCACAGAGTGCAACCAGAGTCTCTCCACGTATCTCAAAGCTGCCGTGGACCATTTGCAGACCGAGCTGGAAATCTACCATGTGTGTTCGGTGTTGGCGCTTGACTTGCTTCGCCTGAACTTGTTTACCAAGAACTTTGGCTTGTGTATGGGCAAGATGCTCAGTTTGCTCTCGGTGCTTAGTGACGCTGGGGCTGACCCTAATGGTGAGGTGAACAACTTTAAGACATTGCTTCTGGTGACGTTGCTTCTTACGTTTAAAGCAAAGGATGATCCTGTGATGGGCACAATCTTCTCGGATCACATTTCTGATAAGGAATTCGTGACTACGTTGCGTTCGCTTGGTATAGTTCAGGTGGTTGGCAACGTCATCAACAAGCACATTACCTCTTCATCGTCTTCCCACGCAGCGTATGTGTTGCTCAAGTTCAATTGTGACGTTATTTTCCAGTACCTTTATAAAGTGGTGCTTCTTTCAGACGAGGAATTCGACTCATTGACGAAAAGTCCCTTGATCCCCACACTTATTGCAGATCTCACTTCGAACGATAATTTCAACGAGTATGATGTCACATACGACGATTTCGAAGACGAGGAAAAACTCGTGGCCTACGAGGAGTTCAAGCTTCTTCTCCTCATAAACGAACAATACCTAATGAAAAGCTTATCTTGCACACATCTGAAAAACAAGGTCTTTGACGGTTTGCTGGTCAACCGCAAAGGGATCAACGTGCTCTGTGGCTTCACGAACTTGTTGGTCTACCACCTTAATAGAGAGGAGTCTAGCATCATTAAGATTTTGATGCTCAAGTTCCTCTATTCCGTTTTTACATCATCATTCTCAGCCAAGTTGCCTTACCTCAACGACGTGAAGATTCTTCTTGATATCATTCTTCGTGAACTTAATGACCTCGATTACCTGCCCGAGGAGCCCAAAGAGAATTGCATTCTTGCCCTCACATACTTGAAAGTGTTGAACCCATTACTTGTGTTCTCTCAATTATCGGAACTTAATCCTCCTTACAAACCTCATGAGATAATTGAGACACTTCGAAATGTTGTGATTAATTGTGATTCCAAGGCATACGACACTTCCTCGCTGGACGCATCACTGAAAACCAAGGACTTAGCATCCATCGTCAAGTCAGCTACAAAGTGTTTGAATATTCCTTGGGTCAAGAGATGCACCGTGGGACCACGAGTTAACCAGCTGTTGAGTTCCAGTAGAAATGCTAGTTCAGATAGTTTGAGCTCGGTGGCTTCCACAGTCTCCAAGATTGCCAATATCAAGTTGGTTTCATCAGAAAATAATGCCTCGACAGACTCTTTATCTTTCACGCGAGTGGCCTCCGTCAGAGCATCTAACAAGGACGATTACAATTTGCACACAAAATCCCACAACGAACAGCTTGAGAAGCCTCGTCTGGACAAGGACTCTATGTTTTCGGCTAATAATGGCAATGTCTTTTTACAGAAGTCAAGCAATTCTGCTTCTGAAGATCCTTTCGCTACATTCGCTGCTGCTCACGCAGAGCATCTCTTGGATTTACCTAAGGAGTATTTGGAAGGAAAACCACCACTCCTGAAGGAGAAATCAGCAGAAAAACTTAATGCTAGGCAGCGGAAGGCAAAGGTAAAGAAGGCTCCACCTCCACCTCCCCCTCCACCTAGAAGAAGAAGGTAGACAATTTTATAGTTTTCTTATGTTATATATGTAATACTTAGATCCTATCAGTTTCTTCCTTGAAACTGAGAACATCGTCAAATCTTAAGCCATTAATCTCAGTCCTGCTGTAGATATCCAATTCCTTCGACAAGAAATCAGAACTGCTATCTGGGTCCATAATGTCATTTGATGCGACCAAGACCAAGCCCTGGATCTGATTAATGGAATAAGCTTAGGTACAAGGTCAAGTAAGTGGATGGAAGTGATGACACCGATGAGGTTATTGTCTATGGTAAAGTTAACGGCGTCTTTGATTGATCTCACGGTAAGCTCTTGATCGTTAGCCGTGAGCTGTCTTTCAGGCGTTGTTGTTTTTGCGTTATGGTTCAGGCCATTGAAGCCATGCTGATCGTCTTTGTCGACTTGTGGTCCGTCAATTGGTAGACCATTTGCAGAATGTGCCTCAAAAACGCCAGCAGAATTGTTGTAGACGATTCCGTTCATGATCAAGAAAACAGGGAAGTTTGGTTGCTTCCAATTCAAGATCTTGCAAACGATCGAATTAGACGAAAGGAATATTAAAGAGCGACTAGCCCCATTTCTAGAATTCACCTTCACTGCTCTTATGTGATTAAATACACTGTTCAATGTGAGGTCAATGAAAGTATTGAGGTTCAGTTGAATGTTGCCAGCAAATGGGATGCGGTCCAATTCGTAAAGTGAAGGGAAAACAAGCTCGATGCTGCATCTGATATCGGTACTAAGAACGTTCAAAAATGTATCAAGAGGGAGGTAGATAATCCTCAAAAGCTTCTTTATAAGACCGATATCCTTAACCGTCATCTTTGAAAGATCATTGATGATCTTTTCGTAATCGAATAGACTTGACGATATCGTCGTCAACTGTTCAAAAGTCAAGTTGGGTAAAAGAAGCTCGACATTATCAGCGACAGCAATTGACCAGTGAGGACATACAAATGGTGAGCCATCGTTAAGAAGACAAACTTTGATCCGCAAGTAATCACCAGAAAGAGAGGTGGCAGTAACAAACGAAGAATTAGATTTGGCGCCAGGGGCAGTAGCCAGGGTGACCTGGTTTCCAACAGCCCCATTGCTTCCTTTTCCATCTGTCTGAGCATTGTTGATGTTAGAAGGAGACAAGAAGTTGTTAGGCGACAAACCCTGTCCATTGAGCTTGTTGGTGGGCTTATTTTTGACGAAACTGGTAGACGACTTCCAGTAGGTGTCATATTTCGTTGTCTCAAGCAAAGTGCCTGAAAATGGGAAAATAAGCTGGTAGTTGAACTTAAGTTCACCAATGTTCCTCAAACGCAAGTCAAAAAGCGGAAGAACAGTCGAATTGAATTCGAGGGACGACGTATCAATCTGTTTCAAATTCAAGGCGGTAGTTTTGGCAATAAGACGGGTACCGAACTTGGGGAAAATCTCAAAGTCAATTCTGAATTCGTTCAACGAATCCACTTCAGTCTGGAAAATGCAGCTCGTTGTTTCTTTATCTCCGCCGTTTGTAGGAAGTAAAATGTTTCTAGGGACAATGTCTGAGATATTGGATGTGATGGTTATTCTACCGGGTTGGAGGCCCGTGGCAGAGTTGAACAAATTGATAGATCCCTTCTCGTTGGAGAAAATAAGTTCAATTAAAACTTTTTGCTCCAAGAAATTGTGTCCGTATCTTCTAAGAGGAAGAATTGGAGGAGGCAACTCCAAGTGAGGGATCAGGTCGACATTCTTTTCAATGTCACCGCTATCTTCAGAATCCTCCTCTTCATCAAGGATGGTCACCGAACCATCTTGGAAAGGTTTGTGCCTAGGAAGCGAGCTTTCAGGAATAGAGTCCATAGTGATGTCTGCTCCAGCCCTCTTTTCCTCCTTCGCTATGTCCTTTCTGTAAGACAAAATATGGTTAAGTACACCAATGTGACCTTCAATAACGCAGTAGTACAATACATTGTAACCATCTTCATCCACAATATCAAGCTTAGCGCCAAATTTAATTAACTCTTCTGTAGTCTTGACATGGCCTTCAGATGCTGCGTAGAAAAGCGGAGGCCACTTGTTTAAGCCATCTAGCTGATTCACAGCAGCTCCAAATTCAGATAGAAGTTTGATCAAGGCATAGTTTCCTGAACGGGCAATTACGTGTAATGGGAAAAGGCCCTCCACATCTTGTTGATTGATCATTTCTGGACTAGTATCGTCGCAACGTAATAAATATTCCACCGTCTGATAGTCACCGAACTTACAAGCGTAGTTCACAGGAAGATACTGTAACTTCGACTCATTGGTAACAGGATACCTGTTGCTGCCATGCTGGACCAAACTTTTGATAATATCGAAATTGTTGTGTTTGATGGCAAGAAGCAATGCTGACATCGATTCGTTGTCAAGGTCGTCAAGGTGACTTTTTGGGAAGTGAGGTAGAAGGAGGGTCAAAAGCTCAATGCAGCTATTTTGGGAAGCATAATGAAGACAAGTTCTACCATTCATATCCTTGCGGATCAAAAGCCTGCCCAAGGCTTCTGGAGAAAGGTTCTGTATGATGTACTCGATAATAAAAACTCTGGAATGGTCGACGTTATCCACAGAAGTGACAACTTTCACACCGTTGTTAATACTAACATGTTGATGCTCCTCAGAGGCAGATACTGGCTGGATAGAAACACATTCATGGACAAGGGACTTGTTGTTATTAAAATCCTCGGAGCTTAACTCAAAGTCAATATCGTAGTTGATAAGGTCAAGGAACGTTTTAAGGAAAGTGTCACAGATTTTGAGGTTGCTAATAGCGAGTAGGAAGATCTTGGAAAACTTGTACTTGGAAGCAGCTTCGCCATGAGGACCCTTAGAGGAGGATCTCACTTTCTCGATCCATCTGTTCAAGACCGACACATCAGTATCTTTAAGCGTGGCAACGTTCACAAAACTTGAATAGAGTTCATCAATCTCAGACGTATGGAAACCAGTAAATGAGTTGTGACGAGAATTGGGGAACGTAGGACTGAAGGAAGCCTTATCCAGACTGATGTCCTGTTGGTCAATTCCAGATATCGAGCTGTGTCTGGCAATGACCTCCGAGTAATTGGATGGAGCCAGGACCAGCCTTCTACCCCTGTAGTTCTCCAACACTGAATAGTCGCCGTCCATGATAGACTCCAAGTCGAAAAGCGACTGAATCACCAAGTCAGAGAGCTCGTTGATCTCATTCTTATGGAACACAGGCTGCACGCTAACGGCAGTTTGCAAGAAAAGCTCCTTCGTATGAGACTTGGACCGTTTATCCCATTTCTTCACCACCTTCAGAAACCCCTGCTCGTTCAACTCAATGAACTGCTGCAAACGAAGCAAGTCCTGGTGGATCTTCTTAAAGTTCTGGTACAAATTAAGAAACAAGATGGAGTTCTTGAAATTGAGCGCCGAAGAGCTCACCGACGGGTCCAGAGCCATTTCTGAAGACTTGGTAAGAAGCTCCTCCTTCTTCATAATCAAAAGGTCCAAGTTGATCGCCATATTGGCCTGCTTCTCCAAGTAAAACAGATTCACCTTATCCAATTCACGCTCCACCCTAAAAAAGAAACTCGCCTTGTTATCCTTGAGCTTCTGCTGGATCTGGAACTGGCTGGTGGGCTCCGTGTTGGCCAAGTCGATGCCTCCACCCAACTGCTTGATGAGCTTCTTCAACGCCTTGTAGTCGATGAAATGGCCCGAGTACTCGGGGAGCTCAAGCTGGCGAGAGGCCAAGTACTTTCCAAACTTCATGTTTTAGGAAAAGAGCTTTAAAGCGGAAAACTTCGGCTGGCAGGCGATAATTTATCGATAAGTAGTCTTCCAAAACCACGTGGACCGGGAGGCTGCGAAACGGTTTTAGTGTATTGTGGAGAGAAAATCACCGGTACCGCGAATGGGTGCAAATGGTGGGTACTGGGCTGGCTGGGGGATGTTTGGAGGGTTTCGGAGGTTTTTATATAAGGATTTGGATTTTTGGTGATGACTTTGGTCAAATGGGGAGATAGTGTTGGGCTTTGGATTTTTTTCGAATAGGTGGTTTTTACCTGGTTTGCCTGGTTTTTGTCTACTTCTGACACTACCTTGCAAAAGCCTCACTCATGTCATTATCATGGGTAAACTACAAAGACCGTTACTACAGACCTTTACTGCTTAATTTTTGTTGATTTGCTAATTAGCTTCTTCCTTTGGCGTGAATTCTATACATTTTTGCTTTTTCCATTCACCTTCCCTACTTAGCCTCTTCCTTGGCCTTGTCGAAATGCTCCTTGAACTTGTCTGCGTTCTCCTTGTTGCCGAATCTGATGGCCAAGGTCTGAGCCTCTGGCTCTCCCTCAGAAACGTCGGCAGCGACAGTGTACACCCACGATCTGTCAGAACCAATGTTGGCCTTCAATTCGTAGTCTGGCTGGATCAAGTGGTTGGCACAGATCTTCAATGTCTTGTCTCTTCTCATGACGACTCTGGTCTTGCCGCTGGTCTTATGCTTCAAGAACTTGACATCTCCTGTACCTCTCTCTTTCCATTCCTTGGTGTCACCGTGGAATCTGAATAACTTAGCACGCACCTTGAATACGACATCCTCGTCCTCCTCGTTGGTCTTCACATCAACCTTTTCCAAGTGGACCAATGGCTCAAAGTGGACGTCGGCCTCCTCTTCATCGGCGGCATCATCGTCGTCCTTCTTTTCCTTCTTTTCTTCCTTCTTGTCTTCCTCCTTCAGCTCCTCCTTGTCATCTTCCTTCTTCTCCTTCTTGGCTCCGAACATGGAGAACACATTCGATGTAGGAACGCCAGATGGAGCAGAGGACTCCTCAGCCTTTGGTTTGGTATCTTCGGCAGACATTATATATCTTTGTTTGAAGAGGTTGTGATTGTGGATGTCTTCTATGGAAACTTTTTCCTTCACCTTCCATGTCGCGCGCACGACATACTACATCGACTACTGTCTAGGTGCTTTTCTGATAATTCCTTATATATGTAAAAATTCAGCTCATGTTTTTGCTCAATTGTATGTTTGGCAACGCCTATAGTAATTTTTTTTTTGTAATAGGTTTTTCTTTAGTTGACTTAGTCGTCCATTTCGGATGGCTTGATCAATCCGGCAACCTTGAGATCCTTCTCTCTCTTGATTCTGTTCTGTTCCTGCTTCTCGAGCTCCTTGTCTTCAGCGTAAAGGTAGTCTGTGGCGTCTCCACCGAATTCCTTGATCTGAACAAGGAAATCTCTTAACGTACCCTTGAACTTGTCTAGGTCTTTGTATACGCCAGTCAACACATTCAAGAAGTTCACGAGCTGATCTCTTTGCAAGTTTTCGAATGCAGATGATAACGAGTTACCCAAGTATTCCTTGAGGTACTGAGAGTTGGTAGTTCCCTCAGCGGCTTGTCCTGGTGGATACAAGGGTTCCTTGATAACACCATCTTCAACGAGGTGAAGTAGTTGTGCGAGGAGTTGTGCCTGGTAGTTGAAACCAGATTTGTGGTCTGGTTGCGTCAACACGTAGAAGGTGTCTGAAAGAATTTGGAAGTAAAAGTTCTCGTAGAAAACCTTGGTGAAAGGAGTACTTCCAAGTTTCTCAACGTTCTCAATCAACTCAATGGTCAACGACAAACCGTTCTCTTCGACCTCCCTGTTGTTGTGTCTTAAAGCCCAGAGAGAGGCATTGATCAACAACTGGAAAGCCTCACCTGAAAGTTGCAACAAAGCTTCAAAACATTTAGAATTGATCTCCTTCAACAACTTGTAGTACTCAACTCTATGCTCAGGATATTCGACAAAATCATTCTTGATCATGTCAAGGGTGCATTCAAAGACATTTTGAAGTATGAGAAAGACACCGGATGGAATCATGTGGCCAACCTTAGAGACCAATGCAGTCATACAGTTCAACACTTCAGCATCACGAGCATCTGGAACGTTAGATTTGTAGTCTCCCAAAACAGCAGAGAACAAAGGTTGCGAGAGATCACGGACAATCTCATCCAAGTTGTCCGCCTGGTTGATGTACGTTTCAATCATCTTCAAAATCTCCTTTTTGATGGTTCTCAAACCTCTAACCTTAGGAGTCTTTGTAGCAATGACACCTTCAGATGCAACCAAGTTGGAGATCATTTCACTGACAGCCTTGTACAATGACAACATATCAACATACATCAAACCAAGTTGAGAATAGAATCCTGGACCCATAGCCTTACATACAGCCACATTAGTCTTGATGATATTGGCGATGATCTTGACATTCTCACTGTCCACCAACAAAGTGGAGTCTTGGGCAGCTCTTTCGACAATAGCCTTCCATGCAACGTTTGGCAAGGACATTAAGTCTCCTAAAAGCTTGTCACGAGCGTCCTTTTGGGTCTGTGCGCTGACAATGATACCGCAGGCTTCGTAGAAAGTATGCACCTGCTGGGGCAGCAAATCTTCGGTGATGGATTGAATGTTGCGGATAATCTCAACAATAAATGGCTCCGACTCAGCCGGTTGGGTAACGACGAAATGTCTCTTACATTTAGTTGTAATCTTGATGAAGGTATCACACGCCATATCTTGGACACCCTCGTGAGACTCGTGCATAAACTCAAACAACTTGTTGACAACGGTCTTCAAGAACTTCCAATGAGCCTTCAAGAACCTGGGGTATTGGCCAACAATGTACATGATATTAGATGCGACGACGGCCTTGTTGTCCTTGCCTCTCTTTAAATCAGTCAAAGACAACAAATCCTTGATGACGCCAACAAGGAAACGCTTTTCCATGTCCTCGTTCATCGTACCAGAAATAGAACCAATGGCCCAACATAAGGTATTGATGTTTTGCCACGACCACTCACTCTCGTCGATCTGTCTTGCGAGCTTCTCTTCCATGATGTTCTGTGTGTCAACGACATCTGAATGCGTCAAGTACACAAGAACTTCTCTCATAGACTTGTACAATTGAATAGTATCACTCTCTTTGACGAATTCTCTAACAATTTCGCCCTCATCGTTTTCAACAATCAAGACTTCCTCTGGTCTGACCATGTTCTCAATAATGACTAACCTCAATTTCGAGAGGATGCTTGCATATTTGTGCTGTCTCAATGGGAACTTGGCCAAGACTGCTGGGTCTGGAGCACCGTTGGAAGAAGGACGCAAAGAAGAGCCATATGAAAGTTGCATCAATGGACTCAACTCATTAGCAGGCAAGTTTTGGATTTCTTCGAACAAACCTTGGACGAAGCCAGTCCAGAAATCCAAACACGTCTTGAACAACTCACGCTCTTCGATTCTGGAAAGTTCAATTAAGTACTCCAAGGAGATGAGAAGTAGCTCCTTCAAGCCATCGGCCAGTTCTAGAGCCAGAAGGTGGTTATGCAAAAACGTGCATAAGAACATAGCCAAATCTTGCAAGAAAGACTGGTCGTCAGAGTTAGCAACCAGGTAAGACTTCTTGAGACTCGTACCAGTGTTTAAAGGAACAATGGTGACAATCTTCTCCATAGAAGCCTGGAAGAAAGATACAAACTTCTCCTCGTTAGCAGGAGAAACTAAACTGGACACTTCGGTCAAACACTTGAGGGTGATGGCTCTTGTATCGGCTGGAGCCAAGAATTTGTTGGTCAACAAGTGTAAAAGGTCAGTTTCAAAGATGTAGTTTAAAGGAATCCAGTGGATGTACCTTAAAAGGGCATTAAGGGTAGCAACGATCAAGGAGACCTTGTTAGTCTTGTCTAAAATTTCGTAACACAACTTGAAGATCTGCTCGAACTCGGCCTTCAAGCTCAATTTTAAGTTGTTGGCTTTAGCCTGGGTCATGGACTCCTGAGAGAAGTCGAACACCTCCTCACTCATCAACTTCAAGATGATCATGTTGTTCTCACAAACATTAAATGAGGATCTAGAGCTCATGACAATCTCAGGAATAAACTGTGGCCAGTTGTGAGGCCATTCTTGCTTCAACACAGACACCAAGGTCAAATCGATCTTGTTGATAAGTGCTCTCTCACTCTTGAAAATCTGTTCATCATCACACAAGGCAATGATCATATCCACAATAAAGTTTCTGATACCCACTCTCTCAGTCTCAGGAATCGTCTTCCATCTGTACTGAATCAACTTGTTCAAGCATGACAATGCAATGTACTTGGACTGGGCATTCTTCGACAGAGAAAGAATAGCATCAGCACGCTTCCACGAGTCAGGGTTCTCCTGGAACTGGTTGAGCACAAGCTGTGCTTGTCGTTGATCAGGGCCACTCTTGTAAAAAGTTTCTACGACTTTATCGAACAAGTCGAGATCGAGATCTTTGGAGAAGTCGAGAATCCCCTCCATAGTACTGAACTTTTTCTGTATAGTTGAGGAAGTTCGGTGGTTTGCCACAAGCTGGATGGTTAGTAATCTACACAAAAGTGATGATTTCTGGTAAATCTGGGCATATTTAATAATCAACAAAAAGATCCTCCAAGGGAATAAAAATAACATAAAACAATCGAAGATCTTCAAATGATAACATGACGACCGAGACCCTCGGACACGAACGCCGAGGTGATATATCGGTGAAAATGGAACAAGCTCAGATTTAGCAGGAATATAAGAAATGACATACTTCGTATTACGCAATGGGTGCTGCGTGTTGGAAGGGATTGGGGTGAATTAGCTCGAAGAGGGTGGATTGGTTATATAGAAACAAGATAGAAAACGAATTGAGAAGTCGTGCGCGGCACAAAAACCACGAAGGGGACATACATTTAGATAGCCCGCAGCGGCTAGGGTACCCGAAGTGTGGGTATGCAGGTGATAGACATCAACACAGAGCATTCTCTACGATTATGGCAGTAGTTAGTATATGTGAAAATGTATTGTTTATTTTAAAGGGAGGGGCACACGCTTATTTAGTGGCAAAGGCAACACCCTTCTCAATGTTCTTGGACAATTGGTCAATGGCAACTTCCAACAACTTCTTCTCGTCGTCGCTGGCCTTCTCCAAGACATCGTACTCAACAGAGGCAATACCGCTCTTACTCAACTTAACTGGAAGAGAGAAGAAGTCCAAGTTGTTGACCAACTTCTTGGCCTCGGAAGCACCCTTGATGGAAGAGTCCAAGTAGAGGAAAGTACACTCGGTAACGTCCTCACCGGCAGCAGCCTTCAAGAGAGATTCGGCCAAACGGTAACCAGCGAAAGCCATGGACAAGGTGGCGGAGCCTGCACCATCCTTGGCCTTGACAACCTCGTCACCACCAAACTGGACACGGTTGATCAATTCCTTCTTCTGCTCAGCAGACAACTTGTCGTAGTGGGACTTGGCGCCCAACGAGTACAATGGCACAATGGTCTCGCCAGAGTGGCCACCAACGACTCTGATTTCAAAGTCAGTTGGCTTGGTCTCAGATGGGTAGAGCTGAGAAATGAAGGTGTTGGCACGGACAATGTCCAAGGTGGTGACACCGAACAAACGAGCAGGGTCAAACACGCCCTTGGCCTTCAAGGTCTCGGCGACAATTGGAACGGTGGAGTTGACAGGGTTGGAGATGATCAACACAAAGGCCTTTGGAGCGTTCTCGGCAATGCCCTCAGCCAAACCCTTGACAATGGAAGCATTGATGTTGAACAAGTCGTCTCTGGTCATACCAGGCTTTCTTGGGACACCAGCTGGGATGATAACAAGGTCGGAGCCCTTGAGTGACTCAGCAAGAGCAGTCTTGTCCTCCTTGGAAGAAGGCAAGAAAGACTTGGTGGTGGCGTCAGTGTTAATGTGAGACAAGTCAGCACCAACACCAGGCACGTTAACAACGTCAAAGAGAGACAATTCAGTGACCTGAGGATTGAGCTTCAAAAGGAGCGACAATGGCTGACCGATACCACCGGCAGCACCACAAACAGTAACCTTAACCATGATTATTCAGAAAAAAATATGTATATAACTCGAGAGTTGGGGCGAAAAAAGTGGATCCGGGGTGCCTTATATAGGGAAGGGGCCCCCAGAAACTGGGGAACCCGCGCCAGGTGCACATGGGGCAAACAGAAAGCTCCGGGCGCCCGGGCCCGAGGAAACGCTGGGAGGATCCGGTTCTGGCCGGGCGGTTAAAGACGTTTTGGTTAGAGAAGGAAGGAGAAATGTTCGGATAAACTGGGCTGGTTTTGACAGGTGTGGCAGGGACAATTGAAAAAGCAGCTTTTGATTGGTTGAGGGAGTTCAGAGGCAGAGAGGCAGACAGGCATAGAGCAATCTAGGCAATGCCCACTACTTTTCACCCTTCAAGTAAAAGGCCACGTCTTTTTGTGGGTGATGGTCTGGCGGGAGCTGGGTCCAGTCTGTGAAGGCACGTTAAGTATGGGCCAGTTTTGGTTGCTGGAAGGTAGAAGCATTCTGCCGGTCTGCGTCAGAGGTGGCTGCGAAAAAACCCCAAAGGCCCAAAACTCTAACACCGGGCGGTATGGCGTTAAGGAAAGAGCGTTGGAGGGAGTGAATTGGGGGAAGTGGTGGGGGAGTTAGGGAAGTGGAGTTGAGAGAATGGCGTTAAGTTATGGTGGTAGTGTTTGGTGGTGGATTGGGGGAGGGGAGGTGCTCTGGTAGTGTGAGTATGGGGTTGGGTGTGGTACTGGTTATGGGGTGGGAGGTTCGCTGGAAGAAGAAGGGTAGGAAGTGTAGTGGAGGTGGAGGTAAAATTTCTGGTGGAACTAAGACTATGGGTGGAGTTGTAGAAGAAGACTGGTGGTCTATGGGTTCACCGTTGGGGTCTTACCGGGTCTAGTTGGTGGGCTGGTAATGGTCTTACGAGCATATAGGTAGGATACCACAAATGCTTTAGTTACGGAAATTTGGGCCTGAAGTTAGAGTGGTACCCGATTTATCTACTCTGAGGTATAAGAGGTAGATTCCAATATTAGTACCATCTTGTCAAGTACTTATGGGGTAACTAGTACCCTCTGTCAACCGCAGTTACTAACGACTGGTAGAACGACTGTAACTAACCATTCTAACCAGCCATTCAACGGGAACAAGGACCCTAGAAGAGATACGTTGTTCGCTGTTTGCTGTTCTCTTACTGTGGATGCTAATTTTCCAAACGACCTTGGTAAGGATTCCAGCTATCTTCACGAGTCCAGCATTGGTTGTCACAGTTATGATAAATTAGATGACAAACGAAGCACCAGGACCATTTTTCTACAATTTACTGTACTTCTACCTTCTGCTGAACACCAGTATGATAGCGGAAGTTCAGAGGCGGAGAGATGTCTGGCAGCCCAAGTAAAAGTACTTCAAATGTAGCACCACATATCTTTAGAGAAAGTTCAATAATCACAGTTCAGATGTCCAGAAGACAACACTAGACGGCAGAAGCCGTCTTGCAACGTCTGGACCTCTACCTAGGACGTGTCAGTTAGGAGAAAACTAACCACACTCAGAACCGTCCATGAAGTCACCTCCAAGAGACACTTAACCCCACCAACTATCTTCGTGTAACCAGCATCACCTTATTGAAAACGTCAACAACTTCTTACTCAATAGACCTTCAAAATCACATTGTTCCCGGCGTCAAAACGTATAAATCAAGCCACATCTTGACTGTTCTGCTGCACGAAGTGCTAACCAAGCGAGACTCCACAAACGTGAAAAGTGGACCAAGCGAGGCTCCACAAACAAGAAAAAGTGGTCCTCGTCTTTTCCTTATAAAAGCAAAGAAACCTCCAACCATCTCCCCCTTCCAGTATGTCATGATCGCCCAAAATAGACAGCTAACAGTCCAGAGCTTATAGTAAAAAGCTTAAAACCAAAGTGTTACCGTATCAGCCCCGGCAGCCCCGCCACTCCAATCGACCAATCCACCAAAACAAGAAAACACAATGCCCTTAATTTAGACCCTTCTTGGTCCTTTCTGGTCCCTCTCGGAGTGCAGCCGTTCAAAGGAACCGGACCGGAACCGGAAAAACCGTGCATGGACTTTCCAATTTAGCCAAGTCAAACCGAAATCGAAACCGAAATCGAAACCGAAACGGATGCCTTTCTTTTTCCTTTCCGGAATGTCCATTATACTATCCACCCTAGGGAACCTTGTTGGCACTGGTGCCGTGTCCACGTAGCATTCCCTTACTACAAAGAACCAAACAAGGTACAGAAAAGAGACTTAGACAAAACACAGACAAAACACAGTCAAAAACACAGCATTGTCATAGCCCTCAACAAAGCATGCCCAAGGAAAAATCTCCCCAACCAGACCCTCTGCTGGCTCTTTTGCACCATTGTTCCGTGAGCCTCGCTTAACCATGAACCTCCTCCACCTACTAAGAACGAAAAGGCCAAAACCAAAAAATAAATGAAATCTCCACACCCAGCCCCACGGGAAAACGCCTCCCCCAGCGTCGCCTCACACGCCATTCCCAGAATTTTCGAATTTCACTGGCTCTTTCGCCCATGGCGTTTCTTCGTACTTCCTCGCCAAGCCAGTCTTTGAGACATTGCGAGCGCCGCAACCAAGTACGAGTGATGAGCGGTCGTCAGATGGCACGGGAGAGGGAGATGAAAGCAAAAAAACGAAGACAAAAAGAATAAGCAAAAAAACAAAAGGCAAAAAACAAGGGAAATCGTCTCCTTTTATACCTCTCAGGGAACACCTCCTTCCAATACATCCCTTCAAAACATCCCTTCCATCTACCTGCCATGGGAATGCCCCTCCGGTGTCCTGGCTGCCCCACCTAAAATAAGTGCGAATTCTTCTTGTTCAATGTGTGTGTGTTTTCTTTTGCCTGCGTGCGTGCCCTATCCAGGTCACTACTGTCCCGTTTCCCCAGTATATATAATCTTTACGAGATTCGGTTGGGCATCTTTTTTTGCCATAGTCTTCTTTTTTGTCATTTGGATATGAACAACCCTTTCAGAAGATTGTCGCTGTCTAGTGACGACGACCCGTTTGATGTGCCTGAAAACTACTACGGTGCAAGCACTAACCCTGCTCAGGCGCCTAAGGACTCCCGGTTTGGTAGGGTCAGGACGTTTTCTGTGTTTGAGGCGAAAACAAACCGCTTGAACAGTTTGCGGTCGCCTACCATGTCGACTTCGTCTACTGATGACGCTTTTGATGACCGCCTGTCGCTGGCAACGTCTCCTACGCCAGAGGCTACCGCTGCGGCTCAACCACCGGCTGTGGAGAACCTCAGAAGAGGCCTGATTGTGCCCATGTACCATGATACTACCAGTACGGACTCTTTGGGAGGCCCTGCTAAGCCTGTGGAGATTGAAAAACCTATTACCAAGAGAAGAGCTTCTTTGGACCTGTCGATCTTGTCCCCTAAGAAGTTCTACATTAACGATATTGATATGACGCTTAAGGAGCTTTTGCAGAACGAGGACACTGACCATAATTTCCAGATCACGATTGAGGATCTGGGCCCTAAGGTCTTGAATTTGGGAACGGCTAACTCTAACGGTTATAACCAGTTTGCCGTGAGAGGTACTTACCAGCTTTCCAACCTTCTTCAGGAACTTACCATTGCTAAACGTTTTGGCAGAAACCAAATGATCTTGGATGAACAGCGGCTCTGTGAGAACCCTGTCAGAAGAATGAAACGTCTTATTCTGACCCAGTTCTGGAGGGCTCTCACCAGAAAGCTCACTAAGGATAACATTGTTGAAATGGCCCGTGACACCAAGATCGTTGAGGAGTACGTAAACGAGGAGGGCGTGCTCATCAGAAACGCTGAGTCCGTCCGCTTGTATGTGCCTCATAATAGAGAAGATCAGTTCAAATACTTTAGCACTATCAAGGAGGAGAACCCAGATATCACCTTGGATGTCCAGTACCTTCCAGAAAAGATCGACGCCAACTTCATCAAATCCATCAATAAGAAGCCTGGTCTTTTGGCTTTAGAAGGTAAGCCAAATCCTAATGAAAAAGGCGATCTTCTAAACGAGCCATATGTTGTTCCTGGTGGCAGATTCAACGAACTCTACGGTTGGGACTCATACATGATTGTCCTTGGTCTTCTTCTAGATGCTACTGCCGAGGACCAGAGAAACTTGGAGTTGTCCCGTGGTATGACCGAAAACTTCATCTATGAGATCAACTACTACAATAAAATCTTGAATGCCAACCGTTCATACTTTTTGGGCCGCTCCCAGCCCCCATTCTTGACTGACATGGCTCTTCGTGTCTATGAGAGAACTATCGAACTCAACCCTAGGGGCGTTGAGGATGCTCTTGATTTCTTGAAGAGAGCCACCGTTGCTGCTATCAAAGAGTATGACACTGTTTGGTGCTGCAAGCCACGTCTTGACGAACGCACTGGCCTTTCTTGCTACCATCCAGAAGGTGAAGGTGTTCCTCCTGAGACGGAGGCATCGCACTTCAATGCTATCCTTGCACCTTACGTGAAGAAGCACGGAGTTACCCAACTTGAGTTCATTGATATGTACAACAACAAGGAAGTGCATGAGCCTGTTTTGGATGAGTACTTCTTGCACGACAGAGCCGTGAGAGAATCAGGTCATGACACGTCCTACAGATTGGAAGGTAAAGCAGCTTACTTGGCCACTGTTGATTTGAACTCGTTGCTCTACAAGTACGAAGCTGATATTGCAAAGATTATAGAGGAACACTTCGGTGGAGAATTGCTTGATCCTCGTACAGACATTGTCCACACCCCAGCACAGTGGCGCGAGAGAGCTGAACTTCGACAGAAGAGAATGGATGAGTACTTGTGGGATGAAGAAGACTCGATGTACTATGATTACCACATCAAAGAGCATAAGAAGAACAAGTATGAGTCTGCTACGTGCTTCTGGCCATTGTACTCGGGCGCTGCAAGCGAGCATCAAGCCGATAAGCTTGTTCGTAACTCACTTCAGAAGTTTGAAGAGGATGGAGGACTTGTGTCAGGAACAGAGAGTTCTCGTGGAGAGGTGAGCATCAACAGACCTTCGCGTCAATGGGACTACCCATTCGGCTGGGCCCCACAACAAATGTTGGCATGGATCGGCTTGAACAACTACAACTATAACGGAGCAGCCAGACGCCTTGCTTATAGATGGCTTTACATGATGACTAGAGCCTTCGTGGACTACAACGGTGTTGTCGTGGAAAAATACAATGTGCTTGAGGGAGCCGTTCCTCACCGTGTGACAGCAGAATACGGCAACCAAGGTGCCGACTTCAAGGGTGTGGCTACGGAAGGTTTCGGATGGGTCAATGCCAGTTACCTTTTCGGGCTCACCTTCTTGAACTTGCAAGCACAAAGAAGTCTTGGTGCCTTGATCCCACCAGATGTGTTCTTGAAGAACTTAAACGAATCTCAGAAAGAGCTCTACACATAGACAGATTACTACATACCCTGTTCTGTCAGTTTATCCGCGGATGCTCAGTGTCGATGCGGCACTGCCAGACGCACTATGAGCTAGCTTCTATGTTTCGGAAGATGACGTATAAACCTTTTTTTTTTTTTTTTCTGTCCGATGCTGTAGGTTTGTTTGTCTCATTACATCATCGCGGTGTTACAAACCCTCATATATCCGTAAGCCTAACACACTCTATGGTACTGAAGCGAGAGTGTCCAGACCCGTACACCAGCAATGTTGGACATTGTGCTTTCAGCCCATGATATTTTGCAACGTCAATACAAACTAATTGCACCAAACCCAGGCTTGTCCGATAGATTCCGCTCTTTTACCGTCAACACGTGTCCAATAGTCTTCTTATGACCAGTTTACTAAAAAGCCTGTTTCTCAGAAACAGCACCAGGGTTCACTGCCAGCTGCTCCATCTTACATTATCGGCGAAAAGAACAAAGTCTCTGTCGAACAACACGTTCGATACGGCCGTGGAAGCCGCTGAAAAACTCGTCCAGCCGAGTAAAGAAAAGTCGTTCGACGATCCTTTTTCCATAGTCAGCCATGAAATGTCCTCGTTGGCCAAGCTGATAGCGAGCTTGATCGGCTCTGGCCATACCACATTGAACAGAGTTTCTAGTTATTACTTCGAGGCCGAGGGAAAGAATGTCAGGCCGCTTGTGGTGCTTTTACTTTCAAAGGCATTGCTGAAAATTCCGGTGGAGGACAGAAACAGAATAAGAATCGATAACCAGGATGTCACTGACCAACCAGTGTACCCAGGAACACCACAGGGTACGGTTGTGGCTGGCAACTCGGTGAACAAGTCTATTTCGCCATTGGCTGTTTTGCATGGCATCAATCCGAAGGTTATTTTGGACCCATTGTCGAAACCTATGGATAGACTTCCGCAGATGGATGCTGCCAACGGTATCTTGCCTAAGCAGAGGAGATTGGCTGAAATCGTGGAGATGATTCACACTGCATCTTTGCTTCACGATGATGTGATTGACCTTTCAGATGCCCGCAGAGGCCGCCCAAGTGGGAACATTGCTTTCACTAATAAGATGGCTGTCTTGGCTGGAGACTTCCTTTTGGGCAGAGCTTCGGTGGCCATTGCCCGTTTACGTAATCCTGAAGTCATTGAGTTGTTGTCTACGACGATTGCTAACTTGGTGGAAGGTGAATTCATGCAATTGAAGAATACTGTTATCAGCAGCGATGACTCTACGGTTAATAATGATGGTGATGTGAAGAACATCCCTAAACCTACAGGCAAGGTTCCTGTGGAGCAACACAACTACCGCGTTGACAAGCCAAAGGAGGTTGACCATAAGGTTAACGTGGATGCTGCTTTTGAATACTACTTGCACAAGACTTACCTTAAGACGGCTTCTTTAATGTCCAAGCTGTCTAGAGCTGCCGCTGTGTTAAGTGGTGCCCAGGATAACATCATCGAGAACTGCTACGAATACGGCCGTAATTTGGGCTTGTGTTTCCAGGTAGTTGACGACATGTTGGACTACACTTCCAGTAACGCTGCCTTTGGTAAGCCCAGTCAGGCTGACTTGAAGCTCGGCTTGGCCACCGCCCCAATCTTGTTTGCATGGAGAGAGGAACCAAAGCTCGGTGAGCTCATTGGCAGAAAATTCAGCGAAACTGGTGACGTTGAAATCGCTCGTAGAGCTGTGGAAAAGTACGACGGTTTAGAGAAGACTCGTGCCATGGCCCAGGACTACTGCACGCGGGCCCTTGAAAACCTTAGACAATTGCCAGAGTCGGACGCAAGAAGCGCTTTAGAATTCTTGACCAACTCTGTTTTGACCAGAACAAAATAATCATAAGTACATAGCATATAGAACGGCACAGATACTGAAACCCGGGAAAAATGGCTGCAAAAGTAAAGGCGTTTAAGCGAGCAAATCGCTATTCAGTGCACGTGACACAACTTGCACCAAAGGGTTACCCGCCCTCCAAGCTCCATCCTATATAAGCGAGGCAACCGCACCTCCATCGGAAAAAGGCTGTCGCCAGAAGATCAATTTCGAAATCGTACATGGTTCTTGCCTTTTACCAGAACCATCCGGGAATTGTCTTTGTTAATGGTGTACTGTTTATTTTTTGGAACCTCCCTTCTCAAAACCAACTCAAGTTTTGATTGGTTTATCTTTCTGGTGTGGTCTCTGAGGCCAGAGATCCCATTAGAAAGATGCAGAGAATCTGATTTTGGTATCAATGAGAAGAGACGATGTACATCTATGCTCTTTAGATGCATTTCGTTTCTCCCCTACTCGTCCTTCCGAACTATTTTCTTATTGACCTATGCTATTTACAATGTTCTATGACTTACTCGCTCTCCTTCTGTCTCAAACGAATCAACGACTGACCGTACAACTTCTTGGAATCGGCTATTTTCACGTAGGAGCCGTTACCGCCGGGCACTTGTCCCTTGACGACCAAGACACCGTTGTCGCCGTCAGCATGCAAAACTTCGAGGTTCATGGAAACACAGCTCTTTCCACCCATACGACCTGCCATCTTCTTGCCTGGCAAGATACGGCCGGGATCTTGAGTAGGACCCATGGAACCAGCAGATCTATGCGCCAAAGACACACCGTGAGTAGCTGAAAGACCCTTGAATCCGTGTCTCTTCATCACACCAGCAAAACCTTTACCCTTTGTGGTCGACTTGACGTCCACAAGCTGGCCCACAGCGAAATAGTCAGCTGTGAGCTCCACGCCTGGCTCGATGAGGCACTCATCGTTTCTTACTCTGAACTCACCATAGTTGGCCTTGGTGGTGACACCAGCTTCGTTACAGATCTTGACCTCGTGGTTGGTGACGTTCTTGGTCTTATCCTTTTGGCCTAGAAGCACAGATGAGTAGCCGTCTTTGCTGTGAGTCTTATTGGAAATCACCTCGCACGAGTCGACTTCAAGCACGGTAGCAGCATATTGCATACCAGTTTTCGTGAACCAGGAAATCATACCTCTTTTTATACCTAGAACACCGGGTCTGGCCAAAAGGACTTTTCTTTCGTTGGCTGATTCCAAACAGTGGTTGATTTTTGGAGAAGCGGTTCTCACATGAGGAACAGAATGGATGGATGGGATTTGAGCGGCGTTTCTGGTGGCAATAAGCGACCTTATACTACCAGGAGCCTGCTTAGTCGCAAGGTTCCAAAGAAAACCGGCCATTTTTGGGTGTTTTATATGTGGCCTTCTGAGGATGTCTGAAGTAGTAGGTTAAAGTCTCACCAAATTTTTCAGCATATTTCAGGTTTGCGCACGACCATACTAAAGACTGCCAAAGGAAGCTAATCAGGCAAAAGTCTACAAAACAAAGTGTCTTTGAATGCTATTGTATTTACATGGGTTAGAAAATCGACTATTTGATCTTCTTTTGCTTAAGTCTAATCGTCTCGTCGTCAACATAGAGACCCTTACCCTTATATGGCTCAGGCTTCTTGAACTCTCTGATTCTGGCTGCAAACAACTTCACCTGCTGCTTGTCGATACCTTCAATTAAAAGACGTGCTGGGGACGGTAAGGATGCTTTCAAGGCACTAGGCACTTTGTACTTGGGCGTGTATGGGTATCCGACCTTCAATCCGACAATCTGTGTTCCATTCTCCTCCTCCAAAAGGGCTCTGTAACCGACACCGACGAACTTGACAATGGCCAAGTGTCCCTCGGAAGTACCAATGACGTTGTTGTGAATAATTGCTCTGGATGTGCCCCACATGGATCTCTGGACCTTGTCGGTTGGATCATCAACCAGGACTGTGATCAAGTCTTCATTTTGCTCGACCTTGACAAAACTAGGTACAAGAGTTTTCAACTGACCCTTTGGTCCCTTGACGACGATATTCTGATCTAGCATGAATCTCTGTTTGCCCTTAACGAACGATTTGCAGAACTCTGGAGGAATCTGTTCTGTGCTGACCTGAACGCCCTCTACCAAACGGACAGGGGAAACGCCAACAAAGGAAAATTGTGGCCTGCTGCTGGAAAACAGCCTTATGCTTCTGGCCAAGATGTTCCACCTGTTCATCATATTGACTGGACTTTGGTGGACTTTGATGGATTCGAGACTGTGAGTGTCTGAAAATTTTGTTGGTATGGCTAGGACACCTGTACACCAGAACCTACCGTAGCCATACTCCACCACCCCCATTCCAAAAGAAAAGCCTATGGTTTGTTGGAAATACCGTTGATTTGGTTAATAGCAGGGGTTTGGACTTCTGGCTATATTACGTTGTCCGTGGTGTTGGTGTTGGTATGTGTAATGGCTGCGAAATGGCTATGTATGGGTTCCCTTAGCCTTACACGTCCTAGGCAAGACAGAATAAGACCAAGAGGCAATGAATAGACCTCGAAATATTATTGAGCTTTCGAAAAGAGCTTTTAATTTCTGGAGATTATCCATTTTTATGAAGAATGGTATTTTAAGGACTTGAATACCCTTCAGCAAGACAAGATGCACTAAAGGTATCGATTTTCTCCAATATAGGACTACCTCCAATCAATTCAAATCTCCAGGATTAACTTGTCCCATTTTTACCCCATTCCTTCTTTATACTGACTGGTATTGGCCATGGTTTTACTGTTTGCAGCCAGTGTTTCCTGCATCTTGGTGCAACATCAAACGCACACTACTACTTGAAAATTCCAATGCTCATCGGATACTTCTTATCGGTACAACTCCATTATGGTCAGAAAACTCAAGCATCATGAGCAGAAGTTGCTCAAAAAGGTCGATTTCCTCAACTGGAAACTGGACCAAGGCCACAGAGACACCACAGTCATGGCCACCTACGGCATCACCAACAGAGAAGACTACCACAAATATAATAAGATCTGTGGTGACATCAGAAAAGTAGCACATAAGCTTTCTTTGCTACAACCGAACGATCCTTATAGAATCAAGCATGAACAGCTTTTGCTCGAGAAGTTGTATAATATGGGCATTTTGACTACCAAGTCGAAGATTTCAGACCTAGAAAACAAGATCACTGTGAGTGCTTTTTGCAGAAGACGTATTGGTGTTGTCATGTGTCGTCTTCGAATGGCACAGAATATGAAGGACGCTAACCTTTTTGTTGAACAGGGACACGTCAGAGTGGGTCCTAATGTTATTACAGATCCAGCTTACCTTGTTACCAGAAACTTGGAGGACTACCTTACCTGGGTCGACAGCTCCAAGATCAAGAAGAACTTGCTCAAGTACAAGAACAAGATTGATGACTACGATTTGGCCTAAGCTTTTGCTCGTTTATTTCGTTGCGATGACTATCCAATAGTTCATCTATGTATATTAGCTAATCAATGCATTTTTTAGGTTAGAAGTTGGTATTCATCATTCTTCTCACGGCACTCTTTCTGTTTCCAGGAATCAAGTCGTCATTAGACTGTGATCCATTGTCATTCAAGTAGGCCGGCTGAGATGGTTGTTTAGGCAAAGAGCCTGCGGGCTTGAACTTTCTTTGGGACTTAAACTCATCGACTGGGTTCAACATCACCACAGAAGTTCTTGATAATTGGTGAGGAGATGGCGTGCTTCCATTTTCTTCACGAATAGATGGAGGCATCTCAGAGGTTGGTGATCTTAACGTGGTAAAAGATCCACTCTGAGATAAGTAAGGAGAAGAACCGGCGCTGGTCTCACCGTTGTGATGTGCTCTGCCCTTGCCTCTAGGCTGATAATCTGTGAATGTCTCAATCGTTGAGCGACGGATTTCCGATGCACTAGGCAAGGACTTCAATGGGGGTAGCTCCTCTGGAGGTGGTGGAGGAGCCATGTATTGTTGAGCTGGAAGCTGGGCGTATGGATGCTGCAGGTATTGCTGATGAGGCATGTTGTATTGCTGGTAGATTTGAGTTCCGTCTTCAGCAAAAATTGGAGCTTCATCGTAGATAGAAGATGTGGTGGTCTTACGCTTGTCGTATTGCGTGTCACCCTTCAACTGATCGTTGATTTGCAAATGGTCAATGTCAATCTTTGGCAATGGCTGACTGGAGTCAGCCTGGAAAGAGCCGTCTTCGCCAACAGTAGCATTAGTTTTCGTTGAGTTCGAACGGTCAAAGTAGACTTTATAAACAGACTTCATTCTTGCCAATTCCTCAGCTTGTTCCGGGTCCAACTCCTCACGTTCTTGGATATCACCTTCACCTTCGTCGTCACTGACGTTCTTCATGAGGTCGAATGCAGATAATCTAGGAGACCTGGTCATTTGAGTTTTGGGATCCATTGATGTGTTTGGGGTAGGTGTGAGCGAACGATGGTCGGTAGTATCCTCGTTAGACGCGTCATATGTGGTATCAATATCTCTGGATGGCTCATTAGCAAAGGATTCACTTTGCTCCTCGAAGGGGGACTTAACAAAGATAGCTGGAGCAACTTGACGAGCAACATCTTCTTCTTCTTCTTCCTCGTCGTCGTGGTCAGACTCTTCTTCAAATGCCTCCTTTGATTTTCTAGGCTCCTCAAAATCTTCCTGGTCATTCTCTATGATATTGTTTGTCTCAACAGGCTCTTCATGGTGATCTTTCTCGAGAAAAGGTCCACGAGAGTCGCTGGCATCGGCGAAATCGTCAGAATCAGTTGTTTCGTTTACAACCTCGCGTTTTCTTGGAGATGTGTTGGCAGACAACAGTTGATTAATAGGCAAAGTGTCTTCATTTTCATACTCCACAGTGAAATCGTTCGTGCTCAGCTTGGAAGTATCATTGGTATCGTCACTGACTTCCTCCTTGGTGTTGAAGTACTCCTCGGCATTAAGGGAAGCAACGGAATGGTTGGGAAGCGTGCGGTAGTCTTCTTTAGTAAGTTTACCCACTGGCGTCTCCTTTTCAGCCAAATCGCCATGTTCAAATCTCAAGTGTGACTTCTGAGGAGAAGTGTTGGTACTGTCACCAGGCGTGACAGAGTTATAACGCAAATGAGAGCCTCTTCTGACCGACAAGCGGTTATCAACCAGGTGTCTTGCAAACTCCTCCAAAGAGGCCTTAGAGCTTGTTTGGTGGTGGTAAGGCAAAACAAAGCCATCCACGGTATTTTCATCACCTCCATTACGCGTGGAAATGGAGCCAATCTCGGCATTGGACTTTTGCTGGGACGCAACGTCCATGTGTCTGGAATGAGGACGGACCGAGAAACGGTTATCGAATGGATCGTCCTTGGCGTAAGCAGGGAAATCAGGAAGGGCCGTAGCATCGCCATTCTCATCAAAGTCTGGGTCATGCTCCAAGGACTCCTTCTTGTTTTTCCTATACCTCCACCATAAAAGGAACCCCAACGCAGCAAACACCACGGCGACCGGGATACCAATTCCCAAGCCGATTTCAAGCCCAGTAGTGGAAACAGGTTTCTCGCAGGCGCTGCTTTTGCTATTCTTGCAAGGGTCGGCCAGGGAGCTCAGCGAGGACAGGGAGGTGGCTCTTCTGGCAAGATCAACGTCAAAGTCCGTATCAATGGTAGTCGGGCTGGGAGGCATGATTGGATGATTGGATTAAGCGAATGGAACGCCGCTAGCGGCTAGTAACGAATGAATAAAAAAAAAAGGTAAAAAAGAAGGAAACGGAAGGTAAAAGCAAAGTATAAGCGAATGTCAAAGGGCAGCCAAGCAGGGCGAAACGGACCACAACAACAAAAAATCAAGCACCCAAATTCAAATCACCTCTTTTCAAGAGCAACAAGTTAAAAAGAGAGAGTAGCTTGTTTGGAATCACTCGAGATCAGTGGTTAATGCTTTATTTTTTTTTTTTTTTTTTTTTTGCTCTACTTTTTGATCTGATTCACCGTGTCGCGCCACGGCTACCGGTGCACGGATGGTAACGAAATATTCCCTTTCCTATTCTTCTCTTTTTTTGTTTTTTCGTTCCCTCCCGCCCAGTAAAAAGCGCCTTACTTTGGGGACTCTGCGGCTGCCTCACAAAATAGTACAGAGAACAACACTGGAAAAGGGTCGGTGTATTTCCACACAGAGCTTAAATTTACCCTCCATATCAAAAACTACCGCCGAAAGTGGCCTCTCTATTTCCAAATTACACGTTTTTTCCTACCCCTTACTATTCCGTTCCTGGAATGAATGGGGGTTATTTCTGTCCCTCTGAGCCTCCTCGACACGCGCTGGTGGGTGCGGGTTGGGCCAGGCGCCGACCGACCGTCGCTGCATCCTGTCTTTTTTAATTCTACCTGTTTTCTGTGCACTTTGTTTATTGACGTGGGCGCGAATGGTCTAAGCCTACTGTTACCTATCTCGCTAAGTAGGGAAAGAACACTTAGGCTCTGCTGCCTAGAACTCGTCTTACATCTCGCCTAGCTTACTTGGCTTGTGTGGGGGGGCCTGTCACGCCGCTTGTGGCATCGTTTGTTGTGGCTTTCTGGGCGCTTTCACTTACCATGTCTGCATCTGATCGTAGAAATCAACCCTTTTACCTTCTGGAAGGTTACCAGCAATCACTTTTCTCAGGTAATCTACCAACGATCCGTGGCCGCAGGCCACAAAAGCCACAGCGCCGTGGGCTTCGGAAATGTCGTCCTTGATGAGGCTCTCCATGTCTGGACGTCCTTCTCTGAACTCAACAAACGGGAACTTGCTGCGTAACGCTTCTGCAATGTCAACATCCTCTTGCTCTGACTTCTTTTCGTCGCTGGACACGCCGTCATCGAACGATTGAACAAAGCTGGAGCTTAATCTTTCTTGTGGACGCGTCACGTAAACAATGGCTTGCACCGTAGTGCCCTCTAGTCTCTGCAACTCCTCGTAAAACCACTCAATCAGGTTCCAGTGACGAATCATCCAGTACAACTTGATTCTCTGGTTACCTTGTCTCTTGGTGAGATCCCAGGCGCCAGAGTAGAGTCCAGGAATACCTCTACCTCCTGCAATGAAAACGACATCGTTGTAGTGCTGCAATGGAGCTTTGTGGCCATATGGACCTTCCACAGAACACTTGATCTTGGCCTTGCGTTCTGGTTGCTGGCTCAAGTACTGACACAAGCTGCTGGACATGCCGCCCTTGACCTTGATGTAGAAAGTAATCACCTTGTCTTCCACAACAGAGTCAAGAACGGTGAATGGGTGCGATTGCCAGAAACAGTTGGGTCTGAAGAAGTAGATGAAACAGTGTGCCATAGGGAATGGCTTCCAGAAACGGTTTCTAGGAATCTTCACCTTCAAGTTCTCATCGTCAAACAATTGAACCTCGGCGGTCTTGATACCAAACCAGGCGAGTCTGCAAAATCTGGCAAACTTGTCAAAAGCCCAAACGGCTGTAGCAGCGTACATGTATGGTTGGAAAGCATGGTCAGCGATATGAACCCAGGCACCAGCAATGAACAAAATGGCCAAAATGTTGTGACTGAGAACAAAGAATTCGTAGTTCTTTTGACGGATAAATGTAAGCGAATGGCCCATCATGATAGCAGCTGCAATGGTTGCAACATATCCCAACTTCATATACAATTCACCATTACGTTTCTCGTACTTGCCAACACCTTTACCATTGAGTGTCATACCGGCACCGTGAGCGATAATCAACATGAAAAGAATTCTAGCGTACCACTGGTGAATGATATTGAATCTTGAGTACGACCAACCAGAGATGTATTCCATAAAGTTGTTTCTTCCTGCGAACAAGACAAGCTGTGGAATCAAGTAGATAGCAATAACACCAGTACGGTCTGCTACCTTTCTGCCCATTTCGGTATCCTTCATAGGCCAGACGACGTTAGGGGTATCATGCTGGTAGTTAGCAACGTTGAAGGCCAAGCACAAGATGAACCAGATGAAAATGAGAATGGTCTCCAATCTCGTTGGAATGACATATTGAATGGCCTTGAAGATCATGCCATGTTCACTAACTTTTCCATTAAACAAGCCTGGCAACGTAATGTACTTTCTGTAAGTATTCGAAACCTTACCGTTCAAAGAGTGAACAAAGTTAGGGAAAGCAAACTTGGCAAGTCTACAAAGACCAGCAATAAGCACCACAACTCCCCAGTAGGCAAGAAGAACCCAACTGTAGTAGTGAGCATAGTTGTAGTTGTAGTATCTGTGCAACACCGAATTGTAAGCACCATCGATCTTCTTCTGAGAGATCTTCACAGGCAAACTAAACAACTTGGTCTTATTAAAGCCTGGAACGGCGGAAGTGTTGGTGACCAAGTAGTCTGTGGCGTTCTTGTAAGCGTCCCAGAACTGAGTCTCAGTCAAATTATACTCAGAACATCCATCAATGAACACACCAACCGCCTTAGGGTTGGGCATTTGCTTCAAACACTGAGCCATGGAGCCCAAGGCAGGCTGGTTCTTGACATTGCAAAAAGCAGCTTCATCTTTTTTTCCAAAGAGGGTAGCAGTCTTCTCAATAATAGATTCACAAGCATCCACAGTTAATTGGTTCTTATGATAGATCATAAACCCATCTGAAGATGCAAGCACTGGAGATGCTAAGCATACAGCGGCTAAGAGGTTGACCAAGGATACCATTTTTTTCTCTATAAAAGACCAAGCCAGCCAATCAGCAGATGATTAGATCAAATTTTCAATTAGCGAAAAGCGGGCTTTGGCCCACCTTAATATATGATGGCGGCCGGAATTGATGCCTGGCAGGATGATGCAAAGTTAGGTGGCTTTGCCTTCGGTCGAACCTGGCCCCAACCGAATCCAGTTTTGCAACTTGCAACTTGCAATTCGCCAGCTAAAAATACAGGACCACATGCATTATCCGAATGCATGGTTAGTGTCCATGGGGAGGTACCTCAAGCTGTACGAAGCTTTAGTGCAGTCCCAGACCTGTCACTTAACGATGACAGCTGGTGCCAAGAAAAGTCAATTTATTTCAATAGCTGTCAGCTATCCTGTCAAATTTTTCCCCCGTGTCCTTATCTTTGTCAAGTTATTTTGTATCCGATAGGCCAATTGCGATTTAGATGAGCTCGCACACGAGGAGGGTAGGCTTTGGTCTCCCCCAAATTCGTTGACATAGAAAATTTTTCCTTCCTTATGCCGAACCACGGCGTCCAGATTCATCAGATAATCGCTGGTAGATGGGCGCCGCATGAATTGCGAAGATGCATTTGACATTTGAAGAAATGGAAAAGAAGGTGGCATTAATAGCCCGTTAACCTGTCAAATAAACTTTTCAATTTCTTGGCGTGGCACACTTTGGCATCGGCTTTATGAAAAAGGTACCTTGTTTCAAACCATGCTGACGACAGTGGGGGATCCAGGATTTGTGTCATCGCCAGGTCAGGATGGTGCGTATAGGGAGCTGCAGCATAGACGTAGGCTTGTCCTAAGCATTCCTGAAACCAGGCACTTCCAACCGGGAGCCTCCCATTGGATAAATTTCACAGCGGGGCCTGAAAAGATCTTCTTTCAAAGATGAACCGATAAAAAGAGCGTTGCGGGATTTCTCGAAGGGTTTGGGCCATGCAAACGTCATTTTCCGTCAATATCGACTATTAGTTCCGACATCTTAGCCGTGGATTAGCCCCTCGTATCGCAATTTTTCCAATCACACAGAGAAGCTGCAGATCCCAGTAGTGTCCTTGATGGTATAGATATTATGCCTGGAAAATGTCACAATCCCAAACGAGCCTCCTCTGCGCTGTACCTAAGACGCTTCTTACCGCCACAATGTACTTCGAGGCTTATGTTATTGCATTCTCTCGTAATTCAGCCATTGCGATAGGCTCCAGCACACTTAGGAATGCAGGTCTTGAAGGGCTGTTTCTGTCATATTAGCCGATCCCGCAGCCAACAGAGACGCCCAAACCCACCTACGGCACTCCCTAGCTTCGCTCATATCACTATTGTCCTGTCGATCGAGGGTCGGCTTGTCCGGCTTAACGCCCTCTGTTCTCCGTTTCGGAGGGTTATGGTTCCGGCTGTCATTACACGGCAAAGAGTAAGCAAACCATCGAACAATAGCATCTGCTTATAAAGAAGTACCCTAGACCCTTGTGTTATATTTCAGAGGCACCCCTACCACCGAAACGGTACGGCAAATGGGTTTGCCAATGCATCCCTGGCAATTCACCATTTTAGGTAATGTTCATGGCTTTAAGCTGTGCTTCGAGCTCAAGGTCAGCTTCAGTCAAGAAATCTTCTAGTTCCTCCTCATAATTGAGTTCCTGGTTATCGTTTCCCTTTGGCGTTTCTTCTAGACGCTGTTGTTCCTCTTCTTCAGCCACTAGGACATCGATATCTGCCTGGTACGCCGCCGCTTGCTCATCAAGGCGTCTCCTACGCTCCTCGTCACTTTCCCGGCTGTGTATCTTCTCACGCTCAAGTCGAAGCTTCTCCTGACGCTTGTTATCTCTGACTTGTTGTTGCTGCTCTGCTTTCTTGGTCTTCAGTAGAGGTGAGGACATGGGATGGTAGAACGCGTTTCCACTCTCCTTTCGGCTCTGTGCCATTTCCTCCGCCGCCGGGCTAGCTCGTATAGGCAGAGAGTTCCATGTAGCCATAGCAATAGACATAGATTGGATGGATGTTTCTTGTTTGAAGTGTAACTTCGATGACCGCACGTGATGAAAGTGTCTGTTTCTTATATGTGGTTTATTATGAGAACTGAGGCGCGTTTACCGAGCAGAGCATCAACCAAGTACAGACAAGTACTACCAGCAACCTAACAGTTCAGCAAAATATAAAGTGAAAATTTACGTTTCACCTTTTCTTGGTCTTTAAATTTCAACCCTTACTTTACACATTTACATTTCCTTTCTACAGTCTTCCGTTTAGTGTACCACCTCTTTCTTCCCTGGTCGGCTGCAAACTTACCGCGAATGTCCCACATCGTGAAATACTACCTCTTCTCTTCATGTCAGAATTCGATGAAGATGACCCCGAAACCATGATTCCCTTGGTTGGGCTCATGGCTGAGTTCTCCAAAGACATTTTCCCAGAACTGCTTGATGTCAATGGTAAAACAATCCATAGACACTTGGCATTTGGCAGAGGACCTCATATTGAAGAGACAGTACGGTTGGTGGATCAATGCATGGGCCCGCTTTATGTTTCTCATAAGGGCAAGAACTGGAAGAACCATAAGGCTGACGAGTTGAAGGAGATTGGGCTTCTTTTTATATGGTATTCAGTTGAAGGGCTGTCTGAAATGTCTGCGTTGGTGGTGTGCAAGTTGGTCAGCGAACAGACGCTTTACCTTTACGAAATCCAGGTTCACCCTGATGTTCAGAATAACCACTTGGGTTCTAAGCTTATGGATGGATTTCATAAGTTGGCGAAGAAGCTTGATGAGACTTCGTTAAACGATAATACAGAGTTGGATGAAACGCTTCGCTGGAACTGCACCACGGAATATACTGGCTTGACGGTGTTCCCAGATAATGAAAAGGCCCTTCGATGGTATAAGAGGTTGGGCTACGACCATTCTCCAGGATCTCCTATAGATAGAAAAACCCGCCTACGAGTCATAAAGCCGGACTACTACGAGCTCGAGAGAGAGGTGAACTAATGAAACATAAATCGTCTTGTATTAAACTTACTTAGCAATATTACAGCATTAGGCCAGCGCCTTTTCCACGCCCAATCCCTTGGGCTCCTCCTTTACCTTTGGTTCTTCCTTAACGGCAGCATCCACGGCTTTGGGCTCTTCTTTCTTCGACGCCACTTTTTCTGGGGAGTTTTCCTTTTTAGGCCCGTCCTTTTTTTCCTCTTTCACCTTGGGAGCGTCAGCCTGGCTCTTGATTCTAGTATACATGGCAGTGATCTTCAGACTTGGTACCTTGGCAGGCCAGTAGAAACTAGCGTACGACCATAAGTGCTTGCTGAGCTTGTCATCAGTCTTTTCTTGGCAAGTGACATCGATGAATTCTCCGATGGTGACCAATTCTTTTCTGAGCAACATGGCCCACTCGTGCTTGCCTAATCCCTGGTTGCCCTTGTGTAACTTCATGAGCGACTTGGCGACAGGCTTCAAGGTAGCCTTGCATAGTCTTTCGTCCATGCTATCGTACTCCAAGTAGTCATCGTTTTCTTCACCGTTGTCTTCATCATTCTTGATCTTCATTGTTGAATGGTTATCGAGCTTAGGAGAGTTGACATTCGATCCTGAGCCAGTCTTCTTAGCCTTTGGCTTCTTGACCTTAACATCTGGAGATTGGGACTTCGAAGTCTTCTTGGGTCTAGCAGCACCTTCAGCCTTTGGCTTCTTGGCAGTCTTCTTTTTCGTAGTACCATTCGTGGCAGCTGGTGCGCTATCCTCTTCACCTCTCAAAAGGTAGAACAAGTAGTCGACTCTTCTACCAATATGAACAGCACCAGGAACCTTCTTGTTCGAGCCCTTAGCCTCTTTCTCGGATGGCTTTTCAGTCGCCTTGCTTGTACCTTCAAGGAAAAGCTTATTTTGCAAGCCGAGAAGAGGATCATCTCTGATCTGCGTCCATGCACCATAGCCAAACTTGTTGACACCAACGAGAAGCATTGCGTCATCCTTTGCCGACCATTGACAATTCCAGTTCAGAACCAGCTTAGGAGGGCGGGGAAGCTCAAAGGAAAGCGGGTTCTCCTTTGGTACCATTGACTCAAGAAGCTTCATGTCAGGAGGACGAGACAACACCAATTCGGCATTGATATTCTTGACACCCTGGTATGTGAACAAAACAGCCTTCTTCTCCTTCTTTTTAGCAATCCACAATGCCATAGGATTCTCGCCATCTGTTTGCACAGTGGATGACTTGGATTCCTTGGCCTTTCTTTCTAATTCAGCGAGTGCTTCCGTCCTTCTGGCCTCCTCTTCCTTCACCAACTTCTTGGAGATACTGAGAATCTCATTGTATGCGTGCTTGATAAGAACAGGGTTCTTGTTCGAAATACTACCCTCTTCCACAAGCTGACTCCACTTGCCAGACAAGTCACCAATCCTAAGGATAGATCTGTAGATACCACGAATCTCCTTCTCTGACAACTCGTGATTCTCCTCGGCCTTCTTCCTGGCAGCACGTCTACCGCCACCTTCTTCTTCGTCCTCTCCGTCGTCGTCGACTCCACTGGTGTCTGGAGTACCGCCTTGCAATGTCTTGACAGCGGCTCTTCTGCGGGAGTACATGGCGATCTGCTCGTTAAGGTAGTCTTCTTCAGCCTTCTTCTTCTCTTCTTCCTTGAGTTTGGCCAATTCATCCTGAGGAATGATATCGTCCCATTCAACGTCTGCCTTATAGTCTGTGACTTCGAACTGCTTCAAGAATTCTTCAGAACCAAGGTTGGACTCACCAATCTCGGGAGTAGTGACATGGTCTTCAGCTCTGTTCAAGACATCATCCAAGTTCAATTCCTCAAGCTTCTTTTGGTTATCAGAGGCAGCGAACATATTAGCAGCACCAAACTTCAAGATTTGTGCAAGCTCACTCGAGTTGGGCTCGTTTTTGTTCTTCTTACCCGAACCAGGATCATTCATACCCAAAGAAATAATGGCATATTCAAGAATCATCTTCTTTCTAGCTCTCTCGAGAATCTCTTCTTCGACGGTATCCTTACTCACAAATCTGTAGACAGAAACGTGTTTCTTTTGACCGATTCTGTGAGCACGAGCCATGGCTTGCAAATCGGCTTGAGGATTCCAATCCGAGTCAAAGATGATAACAGTGTCTGCTGTCATCAAGTTGATACCCAAACCACCTGCTCTGGTGGACAACAAGAAAGCAAAGTCTCTGGAATCAGGAGCATTGAAATGATCGATGGATATCTTTCTCTGGGCAGATGGGATACCACCATCTAATCTCTGGAACTGGTAACCCTTAATGGACATGTAATCACCCAAGATGTCAAGGATTCTCACCATCTGCGAGAAGATCAACACTCTGTGGCCCTCCTTCTTCAATCTGGTTAAAAGCTGTTCTAGAAGAACCATCTTACCCGAGTTCATGATCATACCCTTCAAGATATTATCTCTGGATGCACCGCCGGCCTTAGCCAAAAACTTCTCTTCGGCGCCGTCAAATAAATAGGGATGGTTGGAAGCCTTCTTCAATTCACTCATAACGTTCAACAAAGAAATCTGAGAGCCCTTGACACCGGCATTCAATGCAGCGTAATTTCTTGTGATGATATTTCTGTAGTATTCGGTCTGGACATCGGACAACTCGACTCTAAGAATACGTTCCGACTTTGAAGGAAGAGACTTCTCGACATCCTTCTTAAGTCTTCTCAAAATGAAAGGCTTGATACTCAGTTGCAAGTATTTGATGTACTCCTCTTGTTCGGCATCTTGAGCTTCGAAGTCAATCTCTTGGTCGATGTTGAACTTACCAGGCATCAAGAAATTACACAAGGCAGCAAGCTCCTTGATGTTATTCTGCAAAGGCGTACCTGTGATCAACAATCTGTTGGCAACCTTGAACAGCTTCAAAGACTCATACAAGGAAGATTCAGCATTCTTCAATCTGTGAGCCTCATCAACGGCGAGGAACTGCCATTTGAAAGCACCAAGCTCATTTCTGTCCTTCAAGATATACTCGTATGTCGTCAACAAGATATTGAACTTTGGCTTGTTGTTAGAGCCGTAGAACTCGTAGTCTCTGATGTTTCTTCTGGCCTCGGTGTTACCCAAGTAGTAAATGCAATTAACATCAGGGGACCACTTCTCAAAGGTTTCCTGCCATGCTGGGATAGTACTGAGAGGAACAACAACCAAGTGTGGACCGTTTTGTCTGCGGGCATAGATCAACCACGATAAGAAAGCCACCGTTTGGACTGTCTTTCCAAGACCCATCTCATCGGCTAAGATACCATTTTCGTTTCTCGACCAAAGGAAAGCCATCCAGTTTAAACCTGTTAACTGGAAATCTCTCAACTCTCCATTCTTAATAAATAATGGCTGCTTGTTCAACTTTTCGAAACGAGGTCTTTGGTTTTGTGGATAGTTGGCTGAAAGATTAGGAAGGATCTTGGACAGGAGACGCTGCTGGTACTTGCTAACCTGGTCAGGAGCCATTTCAGCGATGGTTTCGGCGTTCTCCCAGGAACATTCGTCGTAGTAAAGTCTTCTCCACTTGACAAAGTATTGTAGCTGGGATGTGCCATCTTCGAGCTCAACTCTATCGCTATCGACGATACGCTCGACGTGGGTGTATTCATCCTGTTCATCTCTCTTACGCTCACGTTCGATATCCATAGCCTCGATATCTTCTTTCGTAGTGTATGGATCATCACGGATTTCCTGGTCCAAGATGATAAACTGCTTGATGTAGTTCTCCACTCTTCTGCTACCCTTGTATTCCTTGAGATCCTGCCACGTATGCCATGTGTTATGTAAGTGAGAGGCATCTGACCATTTGATTTTGAATAGGTAATCGAGCTTGGCATCACCAGTCTTCTCTGCGTTCTCTGGGTTAAGCTTGTGATCCAACACAGCGTCAATGGAGCGAGCTGACTCTTCGGCCATCGCCTGCTCGTAGTAGTAGTAATCTCCAGCACCCTCTGCTTCGCTTTCTATGAGATCTTCGTCATCTTCATAGTCGACCGCGTAGTTGACTTGACTGTTGTTGTTTCTAGTGGAGAACCTCACCTCGGCAGGAGGAGTAGGGGTGACATGCGCCGAGGCAGTTTTGCTTCTGCCGTTACGTCTGCCGTTCTTTTGCTTGGCTGTGCTATGGGCACGATTCAGACTGACCTTTCTCTTCTTACTTACGCCAAAGTCTTCGTCTTCTGAGTCTTCCAGCTCCTCGGGGCTGTTATCACTACCATCCTCGTAGTCTTCATAGCTGATCTTTTGCTGTCTTCTCTTGACAACTGGCTCGTCTTCGTCGCTCTCCTCAGCCAATGATGCTACTCTTCTGTCTCTTCCTGAACGTCTGAGGCCATAGAGCTCAGGGTTCTGCTCAATCTCGTCTGGGAGCTTCACCATGTTTGGGAGATTGTTGAGTTGTAAATAAATGGAATACTTTTTATAAAATGAATCGTTCTTTCACTTGTTTATGCTTCTTCAAGTGAGTGACTTGGTATCCTGGGGAAATTGCCTAAGTGAAACGGCAAGGTCTGTTAAGGAGGGATAATAACCTTATGCTTGAAATTAAGACAATAACTTGCTTTTAGAGTTCACAAGATTGTTATAAATAGTGTATTTACCCCTGGTTTGTCAGATGGGTTGTGTTTTGAAGCTCTTGGGGTGGAAGAAAGAGTTAGTGATTGGAAAAAAAAATTGGGCAATTTTAATGCGACGACGACAACTCCCCAATTCGGGATTTCTTAGAGGATCGTGTAGGGCAAGCTTAAGGACTTATTACGGGTTTTACGGAAGTAGAATTGGGCGAATATGTTCGAAATTGACTATATAACGATTTCTGAAATTTCAGTACCACCACCATGGACTACCATGGTTGGCTAGACGTGGTATTAATAGCCTGCTAGGCATGTGCGACAGAGCCGAGAGACCGCGATAGCTCTTGATAACAGCAAGACGATATTCAGACTTGTAGACCTTCGTCGTGGGTACTGTGGTAAGCGGTTCCAGACGCGTATGAAGCTCTGAGGTACCTTGGGAAGCTTTGGGAGCATATGTCAGAGCTACTTCGTGGCTACTAAAGGAGCAAACCACGCGGTCGGAGTGCTCTTTAGATGCCAATTCCTTTCGAAGCATTCGAAACCGACCATGCGTCAGTCTGAAACATGCATGGTCCAGGCTATACAAGCCATAGTGAAGCATTGAGTTTTAGGACTCTTCAGGGCCATACCAGCCTTGCCCTCTGTTCTGATAGCCTAGATTGGAGAAACTGGTCTTATCTGAGGCCAGTATCACTTATCTTCAACAGCTTCATATACTGTGCATCTCCAGAGCAGTTCAAGCCTAGAAGCAGCTCCACTAGGCCAAGCCGAGTGTTCGGAGGGCTCAACGCAGAGCCAAATGCTGAATACTGTCACCCATATCAGTAAACAGAACCGATGCTGCAACACCGAAAGCATCAAGTATCACCATTCACCAACCACCACTACTAGAACAACCAGTAGTAAACAAGGGGCTAGTAAAACATCGAAACGACGCCAAGTGTACACGCTGAAAGCACACTAACTTTGTTAAGCGTATCTAAATCACCTCAAACACATATTTTAACGTATTCTGTAGGTTATTTGCCCTATGTGTGGAGAAGAGATAGGTAGGGGAAAAAGAGAAATAAGGGAGTAGTCGAGAAGGAGGGGGAAAAACGGGCCACGACTCTGTGTTGGGCAGCGCACGACCACACTGTTTAGAGCACAGGACACACAAAACGGAAAGCCAAGCGACGTGGTGTCCCAAGCCGGCATTTCCAGGAAGGTTAACCAAAACAAAAAGGAGTTAAAGAAGGTTTGACGTGGCCTAAAGAGGATGGATTTTGGGATGTAACGGTGTTTCCAAAAAGGAAAGTTTTTGGGAGGTCAGTAGTGGTAATTGGGGTTGCCTATTTTTTCGCAGCCATTACCAGGCTGTACTAAGGCCAGTAAAGTAAGCGGTAGTCAGTAGAACCAGCAATGCCGACCTATTTTATTAATAAGAGTAAAGTTTATGAATTTCTGGAGCTGCTGGATTTGGACTTTGGGATGTTTTTGCCGTGAGAATGGTTTTGGAGGCTTTGGTTGTGTGCCTCTAGTGGCTGGGTTTAGTAAAGATGGAGTCAGGTCTGGCTGGGAACAGTAACATTGCAAGTAGGCGTGGTGTGTCAAAGTTACTTTCCGTGCTATTACGAAGTAAGCCTGTGGAGTTTTCTTGTTCTTTTATGTTTTACTTTGTTGCTTTAATTGTTGCATCTTCATAGAATTAGGGTACTTACTCAGAATATGGACATATTACGAGAATTCAACCAGACATTGCAAAGTACAAGAAATGTTCAAACAAGTTTTAAAAATCGAAAAATCATCTATTTTTATTTCCAATGAATGGAATAGGTAAATAGAAGGCTTATATAATCCCATATTAGTTCTCTACTTGTTAGCTGTCGAGTGTGTGTTGCAACTATAGCATAACCCATACTGAGGCATGGTATGCAACCAGACGTACAAAAAAGGCCATTCAAATGGGAGAAACGTAATAAAGCTAGTTAACAAACTTTCCAGCGAACGAAGGAACAGAAGCCTAGTACAAACCTTCTGTAGTCCTGGAGATGCCCTACCCAGTCCCAAACCTAAATGTACTACAACCTGTCCAGTCTATCTCACCTAGTACTATGTCCACCTTGTAGTGTCAAATAGCCCTACACATTCTTTATTTGTTAAATTTAACAAAAAGCTCCTCCAATACTCTACCTACTGCTCTTCAAATAAAAATAAGATTCTCGGCCACCTTTCACCATCTTACCTTTTCATGGCCATACCATGACCAAGTGGACCCAATAGCTACAACTCATATACTGTCTACTGCGCTCCAGCGCTTCCACCAATAATCATAAATCACCTACCAAAGCACATTTTTTACTTCATAGAAGACATTCAAAGTACTACTAGACGTTCCCATAGACTCCCCTTATCATTCTCCACCTTCTTCAGTGCCTCTTGAAATTCCTATGGTGCCTCTGGAGGGTCTCTTTTCGCAGCCAATTGGTGGCCTCGATTTAGTAATGTGCTGCTTTTAACTGTGAGGTACCGCCGCGGCTCAGGTAAACTTGAGCACTAACAGTCGCGGTATTGTAATGAGAAGCAGCGTTTTAGAACGAGCGAGGTAGGCCTTTGTGCAGGCTCATCAAAGAGAGAAAAAAAAAAAAAAAAAGAAGAGAAGACAAAGTGAGAAAGAAAAATCAGCTAACGATACACCTACCTTGAAAGAAGCAAGAATGAGTGGAAAAGGTGCTAAAAAGAATGCCGTTTCTTCTAAAGGCCAGAGAATTGCCATCGTCAGTTCCGACAAGTGCAAGCCTAAAAAGTGCAGACAAGAGTGCCGCAAGTCTTGTCCTGTGGTGAAGACAGGTAAATTGTGTATTGAAGTCACTCCAGCGTCCAAGATTGCTTTCATTTCCGAGACCTTGTGTATTGGTTGTGGTATTTGTGTGAAGAAATGTCCATTTGATGCTATTACTATCATCAACTTGCCTACCAACTTGGAGGCTGAAACCACCCACAGATACTCTGCCAACTCTTTCAAGTTGCACAGATTGCCTACGCCAAAGCCTGGTGAGGTCTTGGGTTTGGTCGGTACCAACGGTATTGGTAAGTCCACTGCATTGAAGATCTTGGCTGGTAAGCAGAAGCCTAACTTGGGTAGATACGATGACCCTCCAGACTGGGAAGAGATCTTGAAACACTTCAGAGGTTCCGAGTTGCAGAACTTCTTCACCAAGGTTTTGGAAGACGACATCAAGGCCATCATTAAGCCTCAGTATGTTGATAACATTCCTAGAGCTCTTGCCAAGTCCCCTGTCAAGGACGTTGAAGGTATCTTGAAGGCCAAGTGTGCCAGAAAGGATCAGTGGGACTACATCACCAACCTTTTGGAGTTGACTCCTGTCATGAAGAGAGACGTCGCTCAGTTGTCTGGTGGTGAGTTGCAGAGATTTGCGCTTGGTATGACTTGTGTTCAAGATGCCAACGTTTACATGTTTGACGAGCCATCCTCTTATTTGGATGTCAAGCAGAGATTGAGAGCTGCTGAGTTGATTCGTTCCCTTTTGGACCCATCTACTTATGTCATTTGTGTGGAGCACGATTTGTCCGTCTTGGATTACTTGTCTGACTTTGTCTGTATCTTGTACGGTGCTCCTTCCGTCTATGGTGTGGTTACTTTCCCATCCTCTGTGAGAGAAGGTATCAATATTTTCTTGGACGGTTTCATCCCAACTGAGAACATGAGATTTAGAGAGGAGAGCTTGCAGTTTAAGTTGGCCGATGCCGCTGACGGCTTGGTTTTGGACCACTCTTCTGCTATGCAATACCCAACCTTGGAGAAGACCCAGGGTGATTTCCACTTGAAGGTCGAAGAGGGTGAGTTCACCAACTCCGAGATTTTGGTCATGTTCGGTGAAAACGGTACTGGTAAGACCACTTTCTGTAAGATGTTGGCTGGTGCTTTGGCTGCTGACAACGGTGTTGAGGTTCCAAAGTTGAACATTTCTATGAAGCCCCAGAAGATTGCACCAAAGTTCCCTGGTACCGTCAGACAATTGTTCTTTAAGAAGATCAAGGCTTCTTTCTTGAACCCACAGTTCCAGACCGATGTCGTGAAGCCTCTTAAGATCGACAACATCATCGACCAAGAGGTCCAGGTCTTGTCGGGTGGTGAATTGCAAAGAGTTGCTCTTGTGTTGGCTCTTGGTATTCCAGCCGACATCTACTTGATCGATGAGCCTTCTGCATACTTGGACTCTGAGCAGCGTATCGTCTGTTCCAAGGTTATCAGAAGATTCATTTTGCATGCTAAGAAGACTGCATTCATCGTTGAGCACGATTTCATGATGGCTACATACTTGGCCGACAGAGTCATTGTGTTCGAGGGTACGCCATCCAAGAATGCCGTTGCCAAGGCTCCTGAATCCTTGTTGACTGGTTGTAACAGATTCTTGAAGAACTTGAACGTTACTTTCAGAAGAGATCCAAACTCTTTCAGACCAAGAATTAACAAGAGAGACTCTCAGATGGACAAGGAGCAGAAGTCTGCTGGCAACTACTTTTTCTTGGACAACTCCGAGTTGTAATAGCATAAGGCATTTTCGTTGTTCTGGAGCCTCAACCCGATATATTAGGAGGCTCAAGAGGTACTTTAATTTGCATGTACACTACTTTGATAGCATTTTGGCTTGGTGATACATGGTTCAGCTACGACGTTCCATAACACCATTCAAACACATTAATATTATATTATCATCTATTTTATCATTTGTAACGATCTCTCTAGCACGAAGTCAGTTCAGAAGTCTTATGTAAGAGGGTAGTTCTGGGTAAACGGTGTACGGGTGCGAGAAATATATATTGGTGAGCGGCCGTTTTTCAAACATACACAATATCTTCTTCTACAATGAAGACTCCAACCATCCTCATACATCTCTTTGATGTATAAAAAGACCTGGTCAAAGTGCATAAAGACTCTCACTATAGAGTTAATGTCGAGGGACCATTGTAAGATCTCCTCAAGACTGCCCTAAGGGCCTCGGGCTGTAAACACCTTTTCAAGACCTATATATCCATTGAGGACCGAAAACGTCTGGAACGTTTCTTAAGACGTAAAGTGATCTGCCGCATTTCATGAGTTCACCAGTCTTTTGGTTTGGTCTTGGAGGTAATCGCTGTCAACGAGCCAGGCGTATCTGGAACGTTCGAACTCCGAAGCCCACAAATAGCAGCCCTTGAAACTGCAATTTCTAATTACTCATTGATAACGTGGACTTCCCTTCAATACAGAAAGAAGAGAATATTCTTCATCTTCTATAGTCAGTGTGCTGGAATGTGTTTGAGTGTTCCCAGTTCATCAAAGAAAGCTGAATAGCAGAATATTATACAAGGAATACTGAATGTGGTTTTGAACTTCCTAGTGAGTTTTTTAAGAGGATTTTGACTGTTTGAGTCTACCGTTTAGCTGGTTTTCCCCAGATCAACGGTTGGTTATCTGCAGTCTATCAACATACAACCAGGCCTCGCGGCTATCACAAATGCATCCAGTTTCTTCCTACTCCACTCAATTAGTATGTTTGAAATCCTTTGGGGTGATCCGCTGACTGTGAATAAAACACAGCAATACCAGGAGAAGAGCGATTGTAATAACTGCAGCTCTAGCGGCTATGGTCCGCTCAACACTTTAAGAAAGTGCTTGTCCTTCTTTTCGTTTTGGTCAAATGAGGATCCTGCTCGAGAGTCCAATGGATTAGAATTACATGTAACGACAAGTCTTGGCGTCGATGATAATGCTAAGGCCATCGCCATCGCCAATTCCATCGCCAATGCTACCGTCCATGGTAACGGCAATACATTCAGTAATGCAATTGGTAACGCAATTGGTGACGCTTTCGTTAGATCCTTCGGCAGTGATGGCCTCAGTAAGATAAAAATTTTTGGTGAAGGTTTTGCTAATGGTATTGCTGAAGCTTACGCCAGAGCAGACTCGACTGGTAATACATGGTGGAATTTCTTGCCCTCTCCCACGGTGTGTTATCTTTACCTCATGAACTATTTGCTACTTGTGACTTTCTTTGTGTGGATTATCATGACAGTTTGCACGCGCGGTCTTACTGAAGTAAACGCTACGATTAGCGTCGGATTGTTCGTTATTCACCTCGGTGTACTAATGTATCTTTTCGAACCCATTGAAATACTCGTCCGGCGGATTCAGGAAGAAAGCAACCCTGTCTTCGTATCAACGCTACTCGAAAGAGGCGTTTTGGGTTCGTTTATCATTGCAATGCTAGGACTAACGATTGCAGCGTTCTTCACTGTACCAGTGAACGTGGTTAATACCACTTTAATTCATTTACTGTTGGCTTCGATTATTTTCGGTTATGTCAGGCATTTACAGGGGTTCACGTTAGTGCAAAGCCTGATACTTCCTCGATGAAGTTTTAGATTTCTACGATTCGAAAAAAAAAAAAAAAAAAAAAAAAAAAGAAAAAAAGGAGGAAAGATCCCGACAGGCTGCAAGATACTACATACCTTCCTGACATCAACTCATGCAATTTTATCATCAAAATGGTTCAGGATATTTTAGAAACTAATCGCTACTTGCTTAGGTGAAAGCTGTAGAAAAACCATCGGCCTCCCGATTGCACAGGGTGCAATCGAATTTGGCAGAGACTGGTACTTACCAAGCCAATTCGATGCTATCGTCTTTCGACGTTGACCCGTTCAAGGAAGTGTAATATTGAAAAAAAGATAGAGTGATATGGCTAAAAGAAGCTACGCCCATGTCGAATAGTCCTAGAATTTTTGAGCTAACTCTGCTGGTTTTCATCGCGTGTACTCTGGTGGAGATGTAGTTGCGATAGATCCCGTGGATCTGGTAGCTATGTCAATTAGAATTTCACCGGTCAATGATCTCGACTCCTTCGTATCCACATGATACACTGATACAATAAATGAAAGACTGTATAATCTCAAAAACGTCCCAAAGCAAGTTGTAGGTGGAACTGTGGGAACTTTGAAATTAGGTAGGGATGTAAAAACGTTGTATGGTAAAACGCCACCGGATAGAGTCCGAAAATTCCCAACTTCCCGTGCACAGGGGAACTCAACAGTTTCTTCGAATACTATCTTTGAAGAGTTTTCCTTCGAAGGGTAAACGAAACAAACTTTCTCTTTAATTTTGACCTGGATGCGTTCAATAGAGACATCAGTCGGTACCTGCTCATCGCTATCTTTAATTGTGAGCTCGGCATTGGTAAAACTGGAAAATAACATACCGGGAAGAACAACACTCGCTCCATCAAGCAATTTGAATTGCTTGTGTGGCTTAAAGCACACATAGATTTCTTGGAGTACATCGCTTGTTGAGGCGATGTGATGGACGATTTCATGACGACCTCGTGTATAAATTAATGGATAATGGAATTTTTGGGATTTGAAGTGCCAAAACATGCCGCCATAAAGATATTGAGGGTCCAATGATCGATGTGTTTTGAACTCATTACTAAACATGACTTCACAGAGAATGACGAATCCCAGTGCACGAGCCGGACTCCTCGCAAATACAGAACTATTACCTTGTATCCTTTGAAGAAGTCCCCTTTTTATTTTATGCCGAGTTTTCTGAGAAAATCCCATAATGACTGAGAAATCAGCCAAAATAGAAGATCCTGTCGAACAAGCAGTCAAGCAATGTTCGTAGTGTAAATTATTCTTTGCCGAGCAGGAAGCCAATACCTTAGGGATTTCCAACAAGCCGCTAAAGTCAGTCAAAGAATGCTCTTCAGAGGCCGCGGCGTAATGTGAATTCTCTGGTGGTGACCATTCCACGATGTCGAAGAAATCTTCAGCTGCAACATTAATAATCTGGTGTACAATAACTCTGAATTTTTGCCCTTTACATCGAAGCATCACTTCAATCTCTAGAAAATAGTGTCGTATAAAGTTATTGGAGAACAGTGTGACCTCGATCGATGGGAAGCGGCAGTTATACATATGGGATGGGACATTAAACAGCCAGAAATCTTGCCAGCTGGAGCCATAATTCTGGGATGCCCCAAAGATGGGAGTACTGAGCCCAACATGTCTAACAATAGGCCTGCGACAGATGTTAGGAGTGCCAAACCTCATTGGGAACCCACTTTCATTCAGCAGAATAGCAGTCCTTTCAACTAATGTAATATGAAGCAGCTCCAAAAACAACTCCATTGTATCGCTGCTTCCGGTAGAGCCTGGACTAAGTGTTAAGCGTAGATTTAAAAAATCACCTAACAACATCCCAGGCAAGATAATATGACTCCCTGATGGCTGTGCAATTTTTTCTTCGCCAACAAATGTTGCCTCGAAATACACAATAGACTTATCATCAAGAATATGATGCCCGCTGCTCTCAAATCTTCTCAGATCAAAACGAATCATGCTCGGTCCAACATCTGTAACACTACAGATCATATTTTTGCCCCAAGTGAAGTAGCAATTGGCGTAAGTCTTTTTCAGGTCCTTGGGCAAGGTGGCCAAGTATCTTACTGTGCCTTTGTCGTCTTTATCAGGTATACTCGGTTCCTGGCAAATCTTTGGAACAAGATGATTGAGCAACGAACTATTAATGTCCCTCAGATGTTCGGCATCACCCTCCAACTTCTCTGTCCCATTTAACTTCCTGATACGAATCACGGAAACGTAGTAGCAAAGCCCATCACAACTGACAACTGTCGTAAAGTGTGATACGTAGTTCTTTGTGTGCGCTTTAATGCATTTGAAGACAGGCGAGGACGCATCTACTTCTTTATCGTAAACGTCATGTTTCTCCAACACAAAGAAAGAATCAATAATCTCTTCAGTCATGATGTAAACTTGAAATTGATCAATAGAAATGGCACACTTTATACCTTTGGTGCAATCCAAACCTTGGGCCTTCCTTTCCGAAAATTGCAAGCTATGATATGTTTACGACTTGCCATGGAAGTATAAGAGCGACACGCCCAGATAATTTGTCAGTTACGGGCCCCATTAATCCACGTCATTATCAATCCAACAGCCAGTCAGGAAAAGAAACCCGAGCCCACACTATTTAGTTTGAGTCAACTTATCATCCAAGCAAAAAAGCATATCCTTAGTCCCATCACCCAGATCATTATTTAGGTCGCTGAGAACGCAGCGCCCTCTCTCTTTTGTAAACTGTATTTCTCCAAGCAATCAGCAATAGCCTTTTAGCCGGTACTCTTTTTAAGAAAAGGCATTCGCATATCATTTAGTGGCATTCTGGTGGTACAGATTATCAATGTCTCACCTCGTCTCTACATAGCTGCCAGAGAAGGGTGATGGTTCTATCGGTGTTCAATGGATACTATATTATCACAAGGAGAACATTTTGGTAGCATGAGAAACAAACATTGGACCTTAGACCTTGCTGGTACTTTGTCACTCTGGGCTGAAACTAAGTAACCGCCTCAAACTAGTAGGTACAATACACCCGTACACCAGATATAAGTAAGTGACTTGCAAAGATTCAATTACCTACCAAATGTGAAGCATTACATCATAAACGACTTATATTTACCTTCGTAATATTTGTCAATACACTGATTAGTATCTTTGCCTCGGTATGTAATAAAGGTCTTTGGTTAACCTTATGTTGAGAACTAGACCTCTTACAGTACAGAGATCGCTGTAATTTAACGAAAAGAAACCTTCCAAGTTTCTATAGTAAAGATAAATACCAAAAATTTCAGAATACCTAGTCTAGTGTTCCCTGGGTAAGCCCAGAAGGACCAGACTGCAATTCGATGCACGGTCACATGATATGCACGTTACCAACACGTGATTTTCACACATTCGAAGTCGATTCACACTACTATAAACATCTTAGTCCCCGATTTCCAAGCTCCAAACCCCACAATAATATGGCATCTGAGCGCCTGAAGATCGAACAAACAAGGTCTCGAAAGCTCAGGGAGTTACTATACTTGTTTTCAAACCCCCTCCAGTCACTTGAAGCCTTCAAGGCAAGAAACACATCACAAGTAGCTCATGACTTCTACAATGCCAACGACATCTCAAAGAATGAACCCTTGCTGGTTAGTTCGCTTCCATACGTCACTGATACCGAAACTTTAAAGCATGAATTGGAGATAGCCTTGCAAAGTGAGCTCTTTCAGCCTGAACACTTGAAGAGACTGGCAGATTCTCCTGATTTGGAGAGGGCTGTGAAAAGCAGAAAGACAAGCCTTATGGATTACCCAAGTCGATTGATGCCAGCTGACAATAAGCTGAAGAAAGCGAAACTGGCTGTTACTTCCCTTAAAACGCCCATAGAAGCACTAGACGAACAGACAAATGATTTCTTGAACAAGAACATTCTGGATCTAGATGTTCTTCTGGTTCCTGAAAACTTTCCAACTGAGGTTCATGCGGTGTCTTCGCTTGCTGAACTCTACTATTTAACCCAGACTCTTCCGCTTATCAAGTTACTTCCTGGGTCCCACAAAACATTAATGACTGATAACTTCGAGCTGGCCCTTCTCGAAGGTAAGATAGGCGTTCTTTATGCACGTATAGAAGAACTCAAAAGGCAAAAGAAATGGTCTTTGAGGCAGCCGATCAGGTACTACGATCCATACGTTTATTCCAAGAAGAACAAGAAATCCAAGCCGCATTCATGGGATATTCTAATAGACGAAAGCAAATGGCTATCTGCTGACTTCAAAGAATCTTCGAAATTTAAGAAAGCCTGCTGCTTCACCATTGCCCAAGGTATTCAAGATTATTGGGCATACGGTAAAGTAATGTGCATTAAGCGTGCCCCAATTAAACATCTAGAAGAGGGTGCTCCACTTCCAGTCACAGATGGCACAAACGAAAAGACGGAAGTCGTTGATCAAATAATGGAAGAAGTGGAAACCTCGAAAACAGCCGATGAGAATGCTGATGAAGATGAGAAAGAGTCCGCCTCGGCGGAAAAGTTTGAAGGCATGAGAGAAGAAGATACCGAAGAAGCTGATTCGATCGATATAAGCGAGCTCCTCAAAAGACCTGATCCTTCGACCGAGATCCCCGTTCGGGAACTTCCTAATTTCTCCAAGGAGGAGCTTGAGGAAGCTGACATCTCGACCGTCGATAACGCTGCATTGAAGACACATGCTAATATTGGCGACCTTCGAAAGATCGATCAATCGATTGTTCGTAACTTGCCTAGATTCAGCGCTTTCGATGGCAGTGAAAACCCACAGAGTCCTAATAAACTGAACGAAAACTCCATCATGCCCGTTTCGAGAATGCTTTATCCGATGGATGAGGAAGACGGCTGGTTCAAAATTATTTTGAAGGATAGCAAAGGTTCTGAAATCGGGAGCTCGAAAGCCTCTGGTCCTCCTGAATACCAGAAGGGTCTCTTTGGCGTTCAACCACATCGTCGCTTCAATTATTTGCGTCCACCAAAGCCACCGCTTGTGAGAAACATCGAATACAGATCACCAACCATTTGGCTCCCTCAGGACGACATGTACCTTATCCACTATGTCGCTGAGTATTGTTTTAACTGGGATCTCATTGCTGCTAACCTCACATCGCATTCAGCAACGCTCAAGAGATACGAGTCCAACATAGAAAGAAGGACTCCTTGGCAGTGTTTTGAAAGATATATTCAACTTAACGAGAAGTTCCAATTCTCGGACATGAAAGGCATCAACGCCTACCCAGCGCAGCAGTGGCTTGAGCATGCCCACAAGGCCCAGCTGACTACAAAGAGAAGAATCTCTCCTTTGGGTGTGGGTAACGAATCTATTCAAAGGGGTCATCGCAAATTGAGATGGGCGTCCATGTTTGATGCCATGAGGAAGACCATGAGAAAGCGTGAGCTGGCGCTCGCTAAAATCAACCATAGAAGATCTGCCAATAGCTCTAGTGATTATGGTGTTCAAAATGCTGCAAATGGTGGCCGTGCCAATGATGATACCCTTTCTCCTGCAGAGCTTCTGGATCTTAAGTTTGATAGAGATAGAGCTAAGCAAGAGTCGCATAGAAACCAGGAAGCTACTCGTGCTAGAATGATAAATGCTGTGTCTCAGCTGCAAAAGGGCTCTCAAGGTTCTTCACCAGCTGTTCAGCAACAAGGTTTGCCTCAAAAGACAAGCCAACAACAGCGCGACCAAGCTCATAGCGCAGCGGTCGCAGCAGCAGCAGGTGTTCCTCAGAGGCGTATGTCTCAAGCTCCTTCTCAGTTACAAGGCATGCAACAAAGAGCTCAAGGCGGTACCATCTCTGGCAACCCTGCTACCTTGTCGAGACCTCAGACAGTCGGTCCCACTGGCAGTCTGCTGCAAATTCCGCAGCAGTCACTGGGTCAGCCAGCCTCTCTCATTGGTAACATGAAGAGACCCACAACACCGAACGGAACTCCATATACCAAGGAACAGATTCAACAGCTTGTCCAGCTTCAAAAGCAGAGGAGAATGATGCAACAGCAGAACCAGGCTGGAGGAGGTGTTGGCAACACTGGCAGCACCAATATGGCCAGCCTTCAAGGAACATCTGCGCAGGGAAGAAGGGTCCAAGGATATCCTTCGGGCCAACTGGCAGCCGGCCAGAACTATACTGCGGGACAGGGTAATGTTGGAACGGCTAGTGGAGCTGGTAGTCCTGCTTCCTCGCAAGCGGCTATGGCACAAGCAAAGAGGACCGGTACTGCTCCTAAGCGTATGCAATTTGCTCCAGCTCAAGTGTCTGCTATCATCAATTCCATTCAGCAGAAAAATCCTAATTTGACGAAGGAACAGGTTACTAAGCTTGCCGCTTCATACTTGGCTAATCTTCAGCAACAACAGCAGAACCGTTTACAGCAACTGCAACAACCGCTGCAGCCTCAACAACAGCAAGGCCAACAACAACAAGGCTCCTCGAGGTCACCCACAACCATGTCTTCATCAGTGCAGCAAAACTTGGGTCTGGCTAGACAAGCACATCTCCAGCGCCAGAGAATGGCCGAAAAGGAGATGGATGCACAAAAGTTGTCCAAACTCCAATACGAAGAACGCAAGAAGCTCATGATGCAAAACCAGCCATCTTCGTCGTATGTGCAAGGAATGAACAGCCCCGCTGTGGGAACTTCCCCAACTCCTACCACCACCAAGGGAAGACAAGCTGCTCAGCAAAAGAACTATGGTAAGTTATCAGGAACAGGAGGGCGCAGCAGCAGCAGCAAAAGCAACGGCAGCGAAGATCTGGCCCAATAAATCACGCAACCGATCCTGAAAGTGTCTAGGCAGTCAATAACGATTTACGACCAAGTAATATGTAACCTTCAAAGGTTATTGTAGTTTTTCGCAGCCAGGAAGGGATGCTGGTGCGCAGTAGTGCGACTCCATTATCAACATCACCAACTCTCACTTACTACATCACCATCCGAGCTTTCCCCTATTGCATATGAACCTCAAATGACCCTACGGTTCCGAAATCGCTCTCGCAGACCAGAGAGCATCTCAGAGAACCCGGAAACTCAAACGGTCTCTTCAGATCGGCCCAGGAGGTCTCGGTTTGTTAGGGAGCTGGGGTTCTCTGATGCTTCTAGACTACCGAAAAGGATACTTCGGTGGCTTTATTCCATTTCATTGATCATATTTATGATTCTTACTTTTGCATTTATCTTGGTCACGCCATTAGATATCATCGTTCAAACGTGGGGAGCTCCCTCGACATGGCTTAAGACGTTTATTGTCATCATGGCATGCGCTTTGTTTTTGTTCTTTTGCTTAATTATTTATTTCCTGAGACTTTACCAGACGAGAGTCAGTTTGAATCAAATTCCTTCGAAATCAGTCTACATTCCGCTAGAGAAGAACGATCTTCCATCAAGCGTTCGCCGATACATTGAGGGAACCCTTCGACGCTGCTTGGGAGACATCAAGATCAGGGCTGGACCCTTGTACAACAAGAATGAGATTATCAACTTCCCAGGAGCGTCCCCTCCCGAGTACATCCAGAAAAGAAACATCACCATGGGGTTCCCGAACGAAGGCACGCACTTACCGCCAGATTGCTCATACGAAGAGATCCTCGATACGCTTGGGATGCAAATCAAGTTCGATGGCATGGCCTTGACCAAGTTTGACATCCCTGAGTGCTATTCTTTCAGGGAGATCGCATTATCTATGGCAAAGATCTTAATAGAAAAGGGGGAGATCGATCGCTCGAGATTACCAGAAGTGAGGTTAATGATTAAACTATACGAGAAGCTTAAGTTCGGACCAGAATTGGTGAAAGAACTGGACTTGGTGCAGTTTCTTTCGCTTTTCGAGAAGCTTTCGCTTTCATTCCACTCCAACAGACTTCAAATCCAGGTAGACGAGCCTCAGAACAACACACCTTTGCAAGCGTACAAAAATAGCGTCAGCAGATCATCGTTTGGCACCGACACACTTCTCTCGCCGTATTATGGACATGGCAGGCATTATCTGCAAGGTGGTGGACGCAGCACACGATCTGGAACACGAAGCGAGCTCTTTGCCGACATAGAGCAAGACGACGAAGATACCGAGGAAGAAGAGATCGACGCCTACCAAAGGCTGAATACATCCATGAACGAGCTAAATGCACAGCGGATCTCGCGCAGCAGCACAGGCACGAGCGATACGGGCACTAGGTGGACCCGTAAAAGTGTGAGCTCTAATGCCTCAGTTATCAAAAGCAAGCTTGTGTTTCGCGGCAGAAAACGGGACAGAGGCGTTCATGGGGATGAGGATGATACTAGCACCGAGTCAGGAGACGCTGCATCGGTGAGGAGATTGAACGGATATGGCACCGATTCAGAAGAGGGAGGAGGCACCCCTAGCATCTAACGTCACAAAGGAAGTGACAATGTAATACTTAATAGACAGTGTGTGGTAGGGAGGTACCCACATCAACTTAAACAATCCGCTCTCCATTGAGCTCAGTTCTGTCTGGGCTTGACAATCCCATCGTGCACAAAGTAGAACACCACCGTCCCGTCGCCATTGACTAAAGCCAAAGTCACACGTGAGGGTCTGGCCTCCACCAGGGCGATATCCACAAACCATTGCTGGATTTGTTTGTTTGTCACCAGCAGGTCAGCCATCGAACGAGGAACCACCCATTCCTTCTTGGACGGTGGATCTCTTTCATCGAGTTTGTCTGGAGGAAACCCGCATAGTAGGATTGACTCTCCACACGCCACCTCTTCTACATCTGTCCATTGGTTATAATGGACCAAGTTGGTTTTCACCGTTTGGGGTAGGGACATTAAGGAAGCAGTAGTATGGAGAGGTAAAGGTAGTGCATGGAGGGATGAGCCGTTTTGGCACTTTTTTTTTTTCACTCTCGTCCAGGTTTCTTTTTCTCGCTACTGCCAGTAATTAAGCACTAATCAGGAAAAATGCCCTTCACCATCCGACAAGTCTGGAACAACCAAGCACCAATACGGAATATAAGCCAAAAAAGAAAGCAATTCGGTGAAACACCAGAAAAATAAAGTACCACATAAAACACATTTTCCTTAAACGAGGCACAGCGAATCTAGAACACCACTGGTATGTGTCTCCCTTTCACAGGCCCAGGCTTAGGCAGTCCTGGCTTGAAGAAAAAAGACATTCTACTACTATGAAGGTTCACCAAAGTAGGCCTCCATTGGCAAATAAAAAAACACAAAGTAGGTACCCCTAGAAGTCTAGAACAGCCATTCTGGAGCAAACTCCAGCAAAGTGGCCCACTGTCGATATATAGACGGTTTAAGGCGGGTGCGAATAGGAACCAACAATGCAGCAGCAGGCCACCTTAGTTGCCTGGGTGGACTTCGGTTTCGCAACACCGAGGATGCTGTATTGGCGCCAGGTACATACATGTCAAGAAGGTGGTCTAGACACCTGATGGGAGATGGAGGGTTTCAAGTGTGATTTATTATTTTGTCTAAGCCTGCAACGTCGCCTTTTAGGAAATAATCCGATCTGATTTGTTCCTGACCCTCGGCTTGGAGCGTTCGATGGGAAGAAGTGCAGGGACAGGCCGTTTTTTTTTTTTTTTTTTTTTTTGTTCAGGCAAGGCTGCCTACTTTCAATATGCAACAGCTAACCATGGGCATAGATGCAAAACACCTCCAGACCATCTAGTCTAGACCAAATCGGGAGTCTGGAATATGCTGAGCTGGTGTTCACTGGCCGTGCATTTACTAGCCACTGGGGCATCGCCATTACACTGCCTATTTTGGCTGCAAAATGTGTCAGATGGAAAAACTATAAAGCAGGACAACCTCCCACCACTTTCTCTTTCTTTTCTCCAACAAAGTCGTTCATTCCTTCGTCTCTCTCCACCTGGTTAACTTCCTTCTCTTACAGTTAACGGTCCTTCCTTCCTGCCAGCGGCAATATATTCCAATCCTTCCTTTCGATACCCATACATTCACTAACTTCGCAAAGATGCAATTTGCAACCATTCTTTTCGCTGCCCTCGTTGCCGCCGCTCCAACTAAGAGAGAGACTACATGCAAATTCCCAGATAACAAGGGCCTTGTGTCCGTTACTTCCAGCAAGAGCAATGCTGGTTGGGCCCTTTCGCCAGACCAGAAGTGCACGGCTGGTTCTTACTGTCCTTACGCTTGTCCTCCAGGCCAGTTGATGGCCCAGTGGGACAAATCTGCCAAGAGTTACACCACTGGTTCTTCTATGAACGGTGGTTACTTCTGTAACGACGATGGTGAACTTGAAAAACCATTTTCTGATAAAGACCTTTGTGTCAACGGTACTGGTACCGTGGAGGTGAACAACAAGGCCAACAAGAACGTTGCCTTCTGCCAAACTGTGTTGCCAGGTAACGAAGCCATGTTGATCCCCACCGACGTTGACGGAGGCAACACCCGTACGCTAGCTGTTCCTGATGAAGACTACTACGCATCCTCGGCTGCTCACTACTACATCAACCCATTGGGAGTTTCCACCGACGACGGATGTGTGTGGGGTACCAAGGACAAGGCCCAGGGTAACTGGGCTCCATACGTGGCTGGTGCCAACACGGACTCTTCGGGAAACACCTATGTCAAGATTGGCTGGAACCCTAAGTACATTGATGACTTTAAAGACAAGCCTCTGTTTGGCGTTCGTGTTACTTGTGCCGATGGTGAATGCAACGGCTTGGACTGCGAGATCGATCCTTCCAAGGATGGATACAATGGCATTAACGGTAAGGATACCGGCAAGTCGCTTGGCGCCTCGTACTGTGTTGTTACTGCCAAGAACAAGAACAAGGCCACTATTGAGGTTTTCTCTGTGTAAATATATATGAATGGTACGCTCGTTTTTCAGTGAACAAAGGGTAGAGTGGTCCCCACGCTGTATGGTTTAAATGGGTTGGGGTCCGAGCGGCGGTATTGTTGAAATCAGACCACTCGATCCAATTACGAAAATCGAGCGTAGAGTCTATTGGTATTCTGTAACTGGCAACCAACAACGAGATTGGAGGTTACATTGAGAGACGCCCTGGTGCGGTAGTGTTGCATTTGCCATGTAGTAGACCACTAGTGTCCATCTCCCTCTGCAAACTTCGTCTCGTGTGACGAAAACCGTATCTCACAACGCAGCAGCTCCAACTACACGAACAATCAAAAACCCACCCGAAATAAGGTTTTATTGGCCCTTGTTCCCATGACTCAAGTGTCTCTTTCAGGGTCCTATTTCGCAGCCGAGATGCAGAACACTGGTAGCGAAAAATATTCACCCACTGCTAGGCGAGACGGTGCGTTGCAGCCAAACGGCAAAAAAACCTTAAAACTACGAGAAAACGGTATTGGCAGAGGCAGTTGCAGAAAACATAAACAATAGCATGGTCTTACGGGACTGGCACTGCTGGCGCCAGCGCCAGCGCCAGCTTGGCGACGCTACGTTACTGTGCAGCAATAGGGGCGTTTCCGCGAGAAGTTCGTAAGTGGAGCCCCAAATGGATCCCGGCTGGGCGGTTGTTGTTTGTTGGATTTGTGATTTGGGTGGTTTGGGTGCTTTGAGTTAGAATGATCGGTGGAGATCGCTATGATTGAAGGGGTAAAGGGTGAAGGCTTAGGGATTACTTCGCCTGCCTGGTATATATATACCATGGAAGTGTCTTAAATCCCAGAAACACCTCACTATTTTTTTTCATCAAAACCTCGCAGCCATTAATTTTCACTTGTTCTACCTCTCTTCCTTTTTTTTCCTTTTCTCCATCGCACAACGTTACACTACAGAAAACAATGCACTTGTGTCAAACACGGCCCACTTTCCCGGAGTCCGCTGGCCTGTGCTTTTCTTTGTCTTATTTGGTCGTCGTCGTCTGGTTGGTGATAGCATGTGAATCGCCCAATCCGATTTGGCTGCAATGTGTGCCTTTAGCCACACGGCGAGATCGGAGAGGCTGGCCGCAGAGCAGAGGACGAGTTAAAAAGCCTAATGGGCGTGGAACAACCCTCGTTTGTTCTGCTTTCTTGTAGGCTTTTTTTTATGTTTATTATTCTTTGACCTTTTCTTCGTCTTTTTCTTTGTCTACAGTTCTTGTCCTTCTGGGCATTAAGGTCTAACTCCGTTATCAAGGCAGATCCCAGTACCAGATCTTTTGTTCGGTGCGTATACCCATCCAGCGGCTGCGTACACTACGGTGTGGGTAAAAAAAAAAAAAAAAAAAAAAAAAAAAAAAAGGCAAGGCCTTTTACTTGCCGCTTTCCACCGTGCTGTTTCCACTCCCACTTCCACCTCCATTCCTTGTTTCTCCTAGGTGGCCCTAAAGCTTGACTGCCCCTGTGCCCTGGCTCTCACCATGAGCGACAAACCGAAGCCACTCAAGGTGTTTGGACGCTCCCACTATGCTTGTACTCGCTGCAAGCTCTCCAAGATCAAGTGTCTGGGGGAGAAACCGGCCTGTGCCAACTGTAAGGCTGTCAACAAGGAAGCTCAGTGTGTGTACCCGTCGAGGGACCGCAAGATCGTCATTATGGAGTCGGATCTTAATAAACTACACGAGAAGGTGAAGATGCTCGAGGACTTGGCCAAGTACCAGGCGTCGTATTCTGATCAGCAGCATCTGCTGTTTCCAAGGCTTGATTCGCCCTTGGTTCAGCGAAGAACGTCTAGTGGCATGGCTGCTATGCCTGAGCTGTACTTGTTGCCCGATACTGAGAACGATCGGGTGCCATTGAAGCTCTTGTTACTTTGCAGACACCAGCTACCTGATCAGCAGTACACATGGCAGTTGCTTAACGCTGTGAGCCTGACCTACTCTCGTGAGTTCTATATTATTGATTTGGAGGCGCTACATCCCTTGGTGAACCGCATTTACCTGTTCTTCCTGGTCCCCAACTTGGAGTCCGTGCCTCTCCACGAACACATTCCTTCCTTATCGCTCAGCTACTTCTTTGGCCTTTTGGCTTTCGGAGAGCAAATGAAGAATATGACCTTGGAACTGCTACCTCCCTCGATCGCTGCCGCTACCGGAGAAGCTCACAAGTTCCCCGGAATCGAGTACTACTCCACGGCAGCAAAGCTATTCAGTTTGGCTCACGAGGATATATCCGTTCAATTTATCCAGAACGCTCTTGTCTTGGGTTTGTACGTTTGCAACTTGAATCGTTACAACACTGTCAACAACTACTTCGGCTTGGCGGTGCGCTCGGCTGTGGCTAACGGCTACCACAGGAAAATGTCGACTCCTCGTCAATTTACTGATGAACAAAGACGTGCTCATCATATCTTTGAAGAAAAGACAAAAAGACTTTGGTGGTCCATCTTTGTCATTGACGTTCTGTGGGCTGCCAAGATGAACATGCCTGCTTATATCGACTACACCGATACGGACGTTGCATTGCCAAATGAGAGTCCAATGTTGGACCTTAATGATAATTTCAACACAGAAATCCTCGAAGCCAATGTCCACCTTGCGAAGTTCATTGCCAAGTATAACCGTTTGATTTACGGTCCTAGCATCAGAACCTTTTCCATGAACTACATCAACACCGAACAATTCAACCAAAAGATCCTTATCAAGAACATCATAAACTCTCTTAATGACTTACAGAGTCTGTTTGAGATCCCCACGCTTTCAAGTTACAAGCATGTAAATATAATATCGCTGCCTGATAGAAATGTTGCCAACTTGTTTTTGAGATACAATCAAATGACAATCCTTATAGCGAAGCCGCTACTCTCCTTAATTCTCAACAAGGGAAACAGATCACTCATCGGTGAACCAGAAAAGGTTATGGATGCCATTGCAACAGTGGCTGCCTCTTCTGCGCGTTCGGTCGAGACGCTTCTCAAGCTTTATGAGTATAATAAGCTTTTTGTCTTGGGTTTTTGGGACGGTCAGCATTTATTGTCTGCTCTCCTTCTTCTTGTGATGGCTTCCGTTGCAGGTGTTTATTATGAGAATCTCAATAAGGCTACTGCTTTACTCAAGTATATGGCTGACAACCAAAATATCAATGCCATCAATGCTATGGAGAAGCTTGTCCAGATCAACAGCTTCTTGAGTCGGATTCCTGAAATGAATCTCAGATTGGATCTCGAGCTGGACATAACCAAGTATGTCATCAAGAAGTCACCTTCCCTCACTGAACAGGTCAATGGAGGAGATGCCAGCAATGTTCCATTCTTCAATCCATTCACAGACTTAGCATTGGATGCGACCTACTTGAGACACATCAGATCTCCAGAAATCCCCCTCTATGAACAATTTGGCTTCAACAAGATGAACCAGACATCCCAAGAAGCGCTATACGAGATGATTACAACTTTACAAAGCTGGGACAATTTCCGTGGTCTCCCAATACACGTGTACGGTACTGGAGTTACCAGTGAACTGGAGCCACAGCATCAGCAACAAACTCAGGCCGCCAGTAACTTTAAGATCGATAATATAATCCAGGGTGGTTGAGCCGAGGAAGTGACAGATTAAATGGCTGCGAAAAACCGTGAAAGTGATAAAGCCGAGATGCATATACTCACGTGCGCACAGCTAGGGCTCAACCCAAAATTTTGCACGCTTATATGCACGAATTTTTCATCGCTCGTCGCACTCGCACTGGGCGAAAAGATTTTGCAGAACCACCAAGTTCAATTTCTTCTTCATCTATTTGAGGACCATTAAAATTCCTATCGAATAAAAACATATAATCGAAATGGGTGGCACTCGTGACAAAAAGATTCAATACTTCGCTAAGTTGAAGGAGTTGTTGACTGAATACAAGTCTATCTTCATTGTTGGTGTCGACAATGTCTCCTCTCAGCAGATGCACGAGATCAGAAAGGCCTTGAGAGGTGAAGCTCAGGTTTTGATGGGTAAGAACACTATGGTCAGAAGAGCCATTAGAGGTTTCTTGTCTGAATTGCCAGAGTACGAGAAGTTGTTGCCTTTCGTCAAGGGTAACGTTGGTTTCATCTTCACCAACGGTGACTTGAAGACCATCAGAGAGACTGTTACCTCTAACGTCGTTGCCGCTCCAGCCAGAGCCGGTGCCATTGCTCCAAAGGACGTTTACGTTCCAGCCGGTAACACTGGTATGGAACCAGGTAAGACCTCTTTCTTCCAGGCCTTGGGTGTCCCAACCAAGATTGCCAGAGGTACCATTGAGATTGTCTCTGACGTCAAGGTCGTTGAGGCCAGCACCAGAGTTGGTCCTTCCGAAGCCGCTTTGTTGAACTTGTTGAACATCTCTCCATTCACCTACGGTATGACTGTCGTCCAGGTTTACGACAACGGTCAGGTGTTCCCAGCTACCATCTTGGACATCACTGACGATGAGTTGGTTGGCCACTTCGTGTCTGCCATCAACACCATCGCCTCTATCTCCTTGGCTGTTGGTTACCCAACCTTGCCATCTGTCGGTCACTCCGTCATCAACCACTACAAGAACGTTTTGGCTGTGTCGATTGCCACTGACTACACCTTCGAGGGCTCCGAGGCCATCAAGGACAGATTGGCTAACCCAGAGGCTTACGCCGCTGCTGCTCCAGCTGCCGGTGCCGCTTCCGAGTCTGCTGCTGCCGAGGAGGCTCCAGCTGAGGAGGAAGAGGAGTCTGACGACGACATGGGCATGGGTTTGTTCGATTAAGTGTAGATATAGTCTCTCTTTAATACAGAACAGTCTAGCGAAACACTAACTGAGTAGTGCCTGTAGTAAAGTACCTCCACAAATACCTGTCACTACTCTCGCACTAATTTGCAGCCATATACTCCTTCTCTCCTTTACAACCTTTCCCAGGTATACCCCTCTTGGTTCGTATTAACCCTCCATTTTCGTAGCAATTTTGTAATGTCTGACGACCTCTTTGGTCCCCCAGACCCTTACTTCAATCCTGTGGAGCCTACCTCCCTCTCTACCTTGGCCTCAGAAGGTGCTTCTCCACTTACCAATGGCAGACACTACCAGCGTACGTTTGGCGATACTCGATTGAGCAATTCGTTGGCTCTTATTGCCTACCTGGCGCAATGTGGGTTTTCAGATGTCGAGTCTATTCCAGCTGTTCTTACCAACCTTAAGAGTGCCATCTATGAGCTGCTTCTTCACTGTGTGAGCATTGACAGAACCACATATACCCATTATATCCAGCAGCTTCTGAGGAAATCGGAGATTTTGATCTCTAGACTTATTATTCCTGCTCTTAAGAAGATTCTGGAGAAGCCTGAGCTTGTGGTGAGCCAACATATCATTAAGGAGGTACATGAGTTGGTGCATCTCTTGTATGGGTTCACCAATCCGCTTAAGATCCCTGGTGTGCTTTCTGACGACCACAGTGTGGATGGTCCTCATGGGTTAAGGTTGTCTAGCTTCCATACCACTACTCTTCTCGCAGTAGCTAGGAAGTTGCAGACGGCGTTGAATGGTCAGATCAAGAATACTGGTCTTGACTTGGGTAAGGTCGTCGGTCCTAACAATACTCCTCTTAACATGTGGAACGAATGGATGTCCCAGTCTCTGCGGATGGTTACAAAGCTAATTGTCACTATTCTTAATAATACTGTGCCTACGGCGACGGTGTTCATCTACTTCAAGAGTCTTATGCGTTGCAAAGGGTTGGATATTCTCGACTTGGAGTACTTTGACGAGTTTCTTTGTCATTTCCAGAGAATCAATACTTTTGCAAAGACCCAGGCCAATTCTGCTCTTTTTGATGCTCAGCGTAATCTTATTCAAGAGCAGTACCTTTCTGTGATCCGCTCTTTTCCTTGTCATCCTCTAAGCTGGTGCACTGTCTCTCAGACAGTCAACTACTTGCAAGTTTACATCGATATCTATAATGATATCTATGACGATAAGCTTTTAATTGAGAAGCTTGCTGATAGACACGAAAGTACTGTTGTGAAAAGGGTGGTTGACTCGGATAACTTTCCAGAGGGCCATTATATCAACTTCATCAGCAGAGAAAGGCTCAGGTCGAAAGAAACGCCTGATTTCGTCAAGTACTTTGATGAGAGCCAGTCAAAATCGGAAGAGCAGAATGAAAAAGAGTACTTCATTCCCATCAGTCAGCCCAAGAACCCAGAATCGTTCCGTAAGGCGTCTCAGAAGAACATCAACTGTTATCTCGATAGAGACCCACTTCCAGGAAGCAAGAGCTCAGAACTCAGTCCTCGAACAGCACTTTTTGCTTCCAATAACGCTGGAAGAGACTTACCTGAAGACCCAGCCTACCTCAAAGTGTTCCGCTTGAATGAAGAAGTGGCTCACGAAGTAAGAGAGCTTCGAGCGATGGTCGAAGACCAGATATTGCGTCGAGGGCCGAAATCCAAACGATGCTGGAAGTGTCGAATATTCCCCTGGCATCGCCACAAGAGGCGTTAGGTTCTACAAATCACAGTCGGTCTCTCGTTCCATTAAGTATTTACAAGTGTCTGGGTAGACATGTTGAAAAGATGCATGAGCAAAGAAATCAATCTCTTTGTCTGAAAAGCAGCTTTGGCTCTTCTCTCTCGGTGTGAATGTCCTCGACAACTGGCTTTGGGATGTGCTGGCTGAGCTTGGCTGGCTTGGGCCAGTTCTCTGGAAGTAAACCAGCTCTCTTGAAAAGGAAGCTCACACGGTCTGTCACCTCAGCTCCCACACCCAACCAGTACTTCGATCTGTCAAAGTCCAACTCGATATGCTTATATGGCTTCACGCCCTTGGCCTGCTCTTCTGGCGTGAGTGGGATTGGCACTGGGTTGTATGTGCCGATGACTTCCATGGGTACAGAGTCTCTGGCGGTTCTGGCTTGGGCCACGACGATATTGTACAAAGGTTGGTGTCTTCTGCCGAATCTGGCTAGCCTGATTTTGAGTGGAGGCCTTGGCATTATGGTGGGTTTAGTTGTGGTTGTGTGTTGGTGATGGAAGAATGAGACTTGAGGTTCTAATTTTTTCACCACTGTATGCTCGCGCACTATCATCAGCACTACTACTCTGGAGGTGGATCTATCTAAAATGAAAATTATTCTAATGTACAATATTTTTTGCGGTTGCCAATTTCGTTCAAAGCTTCTTTCTGGCCTTGAACTTCTGCTTTGGCTTACCGATTCTGTTACCCTTACCCAAAGTCTTACCGGTCTTGGCAGGCTTTGGTTTGGCATCCTCTTCATCATCTGACCAGTCGTCCTCGTTCTTGTTCTTCTTGAACTTCAACTTGTTCTTCTGGCCTCTCACTGGAGCCTGTTTCACGGCATCCAAGTAAGCATCAATACCAGAACCTTCCTTGGCCAATGGGTCCTTCTCGTTGTCGTCCTTGAACACAACCTTACCGTTTCTCATCTCCACTTCATGCTTCTTCAAGTCCAGCTTGGTGAACTTCTTAGGCTTGGATGAGGAAATATGAGCCAAAGTTTGACGGTCCAACAAGTTCAATGGCTCTTCGCCATCTTCCAAAATGTACATATCACCGCCCTTATTTCTCTTACCTGGCTTAGCCTTTTTGTCATCCTCTTCTTCGTCTTCAGAGTCAGAATCGTGGATAGCCTCCTCGTAGGCAGACATAAATTTCTTGCCTTGCTTCTCTTCGCCATCTTCTTCGGCATCCTTCTGTCTCTTGGCTCTGTTTCTCGTCTTTCTGATGTTGGCAACAAGCTTTCTATCCTCTTCAGGCATGGCTTTCTCGATTTCTTCCACACCAAACTTTCTCACCAATCTCTCCACAATGTGCTTCACCTTCGATTTGAAATGATCCCTGTGTTCGTGAGACCATCTCATCAACTTGGTCAACAACTCAGACAAGTTGGAACGCACAAGGTCTTCAGGCAAAGAAAGAACCTCGACCTTGACGAAACCAATGGCAGACTTGGCAATCTCTCTCGAGTTATGCGTCAAGAACAACTCAACAGTAGAAGCCAATTCGATCAAAGTCTCCTGAGGCAAACTGTCCTTGAACTCGAACATCAAGCATGAGAGAGCTGTGATGGTGGCAGAGATCATATGTTGACTCTGGGAAGCCAAACCAGCACTGACCATGGTGAAGAATTCAGTCAAACTGGCCAGCGAATCTTCAGCATCAGCACCGAAATCAGGGACCATGCTGTTTCTGATAACACCACCTTCAGCCATCTTGCGACCCATCTGGATCAAAAGGTTGAAAGCAGCTTCACGGGACTTTTCGTTAACATCCTTGGTAGACATGATAACCTCTTGCAAGATAGCTGGGATGAAATGCAAGTCAGAGCCTGGAAGCAACTCCATGACAATTTGAAGAGCAGCCAATCTGCTAGTTCTCGAGGATGTATGCGTAGAGCTGATAGTCTCGATGAAAACGTTCTCAATGTCTGAAATGAACATCCTAATAGCGTTTTGACCAGACTCAGATTCATTAAGCTTAGAAATGATTCTGTAAGATCTCTTCTGGATGTTCACGTTGTTGTCTCTCTTGACGCCAAAGACGAACACATTGAAAAGACCGTTGTATGAAGCCTCTGGAGCATACTTAGACATGGCAACCACAAGATCCATCATCGATACACTTTGTGGTGGTGGCTGATCTTTCTTTTGGTTTTGCTGTGGTTCAGCCTCATCCATTTGGATGGCAGTGTGAAGACGGTCAAACACCTTGTCCAACAAGCTCTGCAACTCATCAGTTGGCATAATCTGCAAGTAGATATCAATAGTCTCCAAGATGAAACCTCTAGCTTCAGCAAGAGTGTTGACATAAACGTTGAAAAGAACCAGGATAAGGTTGTTAGCCTTGGTAGACAAGTACTTCAAGTTCTCCTGGGCTTCTTCAATGGCAAAGTTCTGAATCATCAATGGATCATCAGAGAGCGCTCCCTTACTGTAGACAAGGTTAGACTCGGCAAGAAGACGCAATGCATGACAAATGGTAGTTCTCAGGTCAACGTTAGAGTAAAGCAAGTCACTAAGGTTACCAGCAAACTCGTCGTCGAAGGATGTACGTAAGTCAGTTGGCAAGTCACAGAAGTGTGGAAGCAAGGACCAAATCTGGTCGATGATTGTCTGGAAAATCTTGATATGCATGGCTTCCTTGTTAGAAGCGGCAGAAACCTTCTCTTCGAAAATAGAAGCAAGAGGCAAGATGTTCTGCTTAAAGTTTTGCAAAGATGCAAAACGAACATTGTCTCTCAAGATAGGTAAGAGCCAAGCTCTACCTGGTTCACCGTTGTTAGAACCAGTAAGATTAAGCGGAAGTTCGCTCAAGACGGCCTCTGGGCCCATGCTAGAAATACATGCTGCGATAAAGTCCTCGGCTTCCTTGTTGTAAGGGAAGTTGGTGTCCTCATTAGATCTCCACTCACCTACAACTCTAAGAACTGAAAGGAAGTCAGGGTTAGCTCTTGTCCTAAGCTTGATCACAGCAGCCGTCAAGAACTCCAAGATCACTCTGGTAGCGTGCTGGTACTTTATGGAAAGAAGCTCCTTCTCGATGAACTCCACGACGGCGGTGATCATATCGTCCACCTCTTCGTAAAGCTCTGGAGTAATGTTAAACTCAGTGTTTGGCTGAAGCAAAAGAGAGTCTGGTAAACCTTCGCTGATGATAGCGATCATGCACTGAGAAGCAGATGTGTAAATGTCCTTGTTTTCAGAAGCGAGGAAGTCAGCAATTATAGGGAACTGCTTCTGGATCATCTTGACTGAAAGCTCAGGCAGAATCTTGGCGAAACATTCAGTACCCTTTGCAACAACTGCAAGCCATGAAGCAGCCAAGTGAGCATCGTCCACAGGAGGCTTCAAGTCAAAAATGATATCGAGCACACGAGTGAACTTCTCGGTATCGATTTCGTTTGTCATAGACACGAACAAGCCGTTGAAAGCAGCAAATGCAGAAGTGACCAAGTACTGGTCAGAGGTCTTGGAGACTTCAAGTAAAGCATCACAAAGAGCCTCAACGTGAGTAGCAGGCCAAGCGTTAGCAGATGTAATGGCAGTTATAAGCTGCAAGCAGTGAATAATCGTGGCATTCAGTTCCTTATTCTTTTCTGGTCTTTTGCTCTTTGGGGCCTCAGAGAGGAGACCAGATAATCTCTTCAAAGACAATTCACCACAAAGGCCTGCAGCGACATGTGTAGCGGAAGGAGATGCTGGAGGGTTAGCAAGAATCTTCTGAACAGCTTCCTGAGCTCTCTTTCTAACCTTAGGACGTGGATCAAATGCTAATTCTAGTAAACCCACAAGGGCTCTCTTTGGTGAAACATTTCCAGAAGACAGCCACAGGTGATGATCCTGGGCCAACAACAAGCCTTCCAAAGCACCCACAGCCGATCTGAGAAGTGGAGCACCGGCTTCTTCGTTTGTCAAAACTGGAGCCAACTTTCCAAGAATTGGGGCAAACTTCTGTTTCAAAAGAGCCTCTGGAGTAGCAGGAACCACAAGGTCCAAGAAGTAAGCAGCAGCAGTTGTAACATTGGCATCAGCAATTTGATCTTCAACAACAGACAGTTCAAGCAAAGAAAGGAACGAAACAAAGTATGCCACAGGCGATTTGTCGTTATTCTGCTCTGCGATGTTCTCTTCCACAGCAGATAAGATGAGGGCTAAGTTCTTCTGGTTTTCAAGTTTCGAATTGACCTGCGTTCTGATCTTGGCAAGTTTCTCCTCGAGGATATCTGCCTCGACAGACATGCCTCCATCAGGATTGTTTTCTGACATAGTTGGAGGTTCTGGGTGTATATCTGGAGTCGAAAAGAGTCCTATGTATGGGCCTCTGTGTGATGAGATGCGATGCGGTAGGGGAATTTTTTCGTAGTGGAGTCACGTGCGAAACTACGAATTTTGCAACCACCAAAAGACTTTAAAGGCAGGGTGGGTGGAGGAGATGAAAGAAGTTTGGCCCTTCCTTTGGAAAGCTAACGGTAAGTTTCTGGAAGAGTTAGAGCTTGGGCTCTTTGGAAAGTTGGTAGTGGAGTGTACCAGGTACTCTACGGTTGTACCACTTACTTCAAGTCAAGTTCCAACAAAAGTAAGTAAACTGTAAACATAAGATAAATACTGAGCTTCTTATCACAACTCAACCACCCTCGACTCCTTTGACTATGTTCTGCCTGGGTTCTTGGAGGTGGTTGCAAACTATCGACCTGGGTCACATGACCATTTCGCACGACTTTTTCCACCAGTCAAATCTGTCCCATTACATAGAGACCAAAACTCATATAGAGAACAGTACCACCAAATGTCCAAGATCGCTGTCTCTGCTGCCTTGAGAGAATTGAGATTCCACTTGTCCCAGACTGGTGAGGCATCCAAGCCTTTGAGAAACTTCTTGGTCAAGAACTACCCAACCCTCAAGACTTCCACAGAGCACAAGTTGCCCATTTTGATCAGAGAGGCTTTCGGTGTTCCTCCAAGCGTCACAGCTAGATTCGAAAAGGGCAGAGAAGTCAAGAACAACTTGGACGGCTTGAAGGAGTCCGAGATTGAGACTGCTATCAAGTCTTTGATCAAGTAAGCTTGAGAAGATTGAAGAAAGAAGCTACAGAGATTGAGGAATCTCACATCATGACGTACATTCATTCGTTCACTGGATTCCTTAGCTCGTAATTGGGTTATTTGTCATGGTCATATATTATAAATCTACAAAGATTAAAGAAAAAACAAAAGATATCTTTATACTCTATACAATGTATTTACACGGACTTTCCGAATTGGTAGATTCCCCATCCCAAACTGCCTTGCTCATCGTTGAAAAGCTCAATGATGGGTTCTTTGGGACTTTCACTGATGACACCGGAAGCAACAACAAGTGGGACAAAGTGCTCAAGCGTAGGGTGAGCCAGGTACAACAATTTCTCCTTCTCGCTCTTGATTTTGTTAAAGTTATCAAGGAGATCTGGTCCGTTCACCAAAGTCTCTCTGAGCAAGTCGTTGAATTGCTTGGTGTATGGGAGAGGCTTGCCTTGGTTGGCAAGGAAGTTCCTAATGTCCCTTAAGTTGTGAACCGACATACCTGAACAAACCACCAAGCCCTTTAAGTATCTCTCTTCCACAGGGTCCCAAATCAAATTACTTCTAAAGTGATTGAGGACCTGGCCTAGCTTAAAGTGGGTATCGAAATCCTTCTCGTAGCCAGTAAGCGATACCTGGATCAACCGAGAGTCAGGAAGATCAAGACCTGGGTCCACACCTTCAGGTGGAGGATTCAAAGTGTCATACTGGGAAAAGGCAACTTTGAAAGGAACCCAAACGCCGTGATCGATACCTCTTTCAGTCAAACTGGCATGGAAGTCGTTCTCCTGAAGCTTATGACGAATCTCCTCAGCGAGAAAAGCGGAATTCAACGACCTGAACCATTCCTGGTACATGTGCTTTGGAAAGTTGTAAAAGTCGTAAACAAGACTATTTTCATCCTTGTCCAGCTTAGGAGGTTTCGAAGGAACGGCGATCTCCACCGCCTTGGAACCACTCAGCTGCCAATGAGCTGATACCACCACAATGTAATCAGGCTTATACTTGTTTTTGATAGTATTGCCCAAGTTTCTCAAAGCCAGATACGCCTTCTTGTTGCCAAACTCAGCATCCTTATACATGAATGTAGGACCACCATGGGACACAAAGTAAGCAGGGAAGGGTTCCGGGTTAGGCTTATAAGGAAGCGGAGCGGAATTGGAGTTTTCAGTGTTAGTGACCATTTTCAAGTAGATTGCAATTGTTACTGTGATTAAAAGCGACACAAATATCATGAGTCTCAATGCACTGAGACCGAACTGGTTATATAGACATCGTCAGATAAGCGAGTAATAAGCTTTAGTCATGCTTACAAAACACTACTAAAGTGCGATCGCGAGTGGGTTTAGTATGGATTGGTCAGGGTGCCACAAAGCTGACATACTGCTTAGTATGAGGAAAGTAAGAGGATGAGAAGATTGCTCAGTCAAGCACGGTATCATATTTTTGGGAAAAATTTATCATCATTTGTAAGGTCGTAGAGGTGTTTGACTAGCCACACTGGAAGTGTCACAAACCACTGTGGCTGCGAAATTTGTAGTCCAGACATAAGACGAGAAGGCAAGGGAAGCACAAGGCAGGTTCTGTACTTGTTTGGACTAAAAGTTCAAACTTGAAGGTCTGATATTATAAGTGGAAAGAACCATCATCAATCTTTCTGTTTTGCTTTCAGTATAAGAGTAAGACGTACCCTCTGCCTGAGTAACCTTACACTAGACACTACAGGACCACTTCTACCCAGCACTCCCCAGCACTCCCAGTATATAAGACCACCCCAATCCACAACCAATACTCCCTCCCTTTAAACACCACCACCATCATACCAAAACCCCATCAAAACATCACCCATCTCATAAGCCCACCTGGGTCACCATATGCCCACCAAAAGTCAACGCAGCATGTGCTATCACTATTATCCCTACACACCACGAGTCATCCCAAGGCAATAAACCGCCCCGAAAAAAAACCGTCCCGATCCTCCAAACCCCTCCAAACCCCTCCAAAATATCCCATTTCCAGATTCCCCTGAGCGTGACAGCCTCACAATGGCCCTGATTGTTCTTTCCCTATTCCTTCCCTTTTGGCTGCGAAATCCTCAGATCCTACAATACCCAAACCCATAACCATAACCATATATCATCCACCACTCCATCGCACGGCAATCCCAAAAGGCTTTTCCCGCCGGCTAATGTACGGAATATCTACATAACCTGCCACGCTTCCACATCGCTTCTCTTTGTGGTCCTTGCTTCCTCGGTCTCGACGAGCCGCGTAGCAACCTCCAAAAGGACCGGGGCCTGAGCCTCCAGGCTGAGACACATTTGTGCCTGTGAATAACAGATCCATATTCAGGAAAAGCTCTAGGGACCTCTACCAAAACACATTCAATAAACTCTTGATAAATAAATAATATTAAATTTCCTTCTTTCCTTGCCGGTGCCAGTGTGACGGCAAAATACCACGACACACAGACCAACGAAGCCTTGCAAGTGCTGTCCAATGGATTGTAGCACAAAGCGAGCCAAACAGCAATTCAATGGCTGCGAAACCAGGCACCGAGCCAGGGCTGTGCAAAACAACAAACCAGATGGGTTTTTGGAGTGGAGGTTGGAGACGGTTTGATTTATATAGGTTTTCTGTTGAATTCGACTTTTTTTTCGGGCTCCACCTAGTCTGGGTCACCCCCTGGTTGACCCCTTGGTGATTCACCCTGGGGGGTGGGTTCCTTCATAGTATTTTCTTCCTTGCGCAATCGCACCTATTCTGCACTCCAACGGCTGTCCTTGACCAGTTAGGCCGTCATCAACACAAGCAATTCTTTACCTGCTTTTGCTTTTCTACTTATACCCGACCAAACGGCTTTTTGTCTGGGAAAGCCTCCTTTTTAATCTATTCACTGTTTTGTCACCATGCCAGGCCTTTTTTCAAGAAGAGTATGTATCCTTAGCTTGATGGCTGCTCCATCCCCCACCATGACCACTTACTAACTTTCAGAAACGTAATGACTACCATGGTTTCGCCAAGTACCTGGATATCCAGGGTTATAATCCCCCTCCAGTGCAACAACCTCGCTCCCAGAGTATGAACAACGCCTCCCAGGCCGCTTTGGCGGCTTTGTCTATCCATAATAAGAATGCCCAGGATAACCAACATCAACAACAATACAACCCTTCATTGCAGGCGTACCAGGCTAGTGGAAGAGCAAACTCCCTTGCAGGAGGTCATAGATCCAACTCTATGCGCTCGTACACTTACAACCCGAAACCTTCGTACCAGACTGGCCCTGCTAACACCAGAAGCTATTCATTGAGGTCCAATTCGCTCAGGGGTGCTCCTCCTGTCAGATCCAACTCGTTATCTCAAAGACCTACTCCCGCTGCTGGTAGACAGGCTCCTTCCCAGAGAGCAAACTCCTTGACCGCAAGGCAGCCGCCGGTCGCAAGATCTGGATCATTGACCCGTAGTCCTCTTAGTCAGAGAGCTGGCTCTCTCACCGGTTCCCATAGAGGACTCAATTCGATGCTGGGTTTTAATGAAGAGGAAGAGGAGTACAATGATGACGATGTGATTTCTTCTACGAAAACGACAAAGGTTGTTGATTCCATGGGTAGAACCTGTTCAATCACAACTGAAACCATCAGGACGTTGCCAGACGGCTCCAACGTTGTTGAAACAACCACCAAAAACCTTTCAAGATCAGGTTCTCGCTCGAATTCCATGCGTAATAACTCAATGAGCTTGGCCCACTCTAATGCTAACTATAATCTAAACAAGATCGAAGAGGATCTTCAGGATTTTGACTACAACTACTTGGACCAGCCTCCTTCTCAGCCACCTAAGCTCAATTTAGGTCACCATGAACCTCAGCAGCTGCCACAAAAACAGCCACAGTCTCTTGGTCCGGCCTTTGAGGGGTCCAGACGCTCTAGTGATTATGGTCAACACCCTCCTCCTCCCTCGCAACAACCATCCCAATACCCTCAACAACAAGCAGCTCAAGGTCCAAGAGGTCGTCATGAGGTATCTGGATCACCTTCGACGTCTACTTCCCCTCGCTTGAAGTCCATCTTGAAGCAAAGTCCACATGTGGCACATCTCAATCTGCCTCCCAACCCTGAAGCTGACCGTCTCAAGAACAGTCTTAGCCCTAATGAAGAAGATTTCAAAGATGCTAGTGAGAAATTGAATTATCACAAGAGCCCACCGTTAAAACCAACGGTGGCTTCCAACGCATCGGGTGGAAATTCTATCAAGTTCTTGGAGCAGGTTGAGACTATTCCATATGAGTCCAACAATCACAATTACGCTGAAGTACAGCGTGCTGAGGCCCTCAAGCAAGCTAAAGAAAAGCAAGAGGGTATTAACATGTACGAGCAGGCTATGAAGGTTGCCATGGCAAAGGTTTATGGATCCAACGACGGAGGTACTCTGGCTCTCACGCCGCCTCAGTCCCCACAAGTAAACCAGAATCAAGACAGCAATGGTCAATTTGATAAACTAGTGGACAACAAAATTAAGAAGGATCAAAAGAGAGAGAAGGATGACGGTGGTGTGAGAAGCAATTATATTTACGAGAACCACCACAAAGACTTTGCCATGCATTCTCTTCGTGGTGAGGATGAGCCAGGTCAAACCTCAAGGAAGGAAAGAGCGAAGGAAGAGAAGAAACAACAGAAGGATGAGGAGAAAAAGAGAAATGATCTTCTCAAACAAGCTCAAAAGGAAAAGAAGAATGTCGAGAAGGAGGAGGCAAAGAGACATAGAAAGACTTCAAAGAACCCTCTTTCCTTCCTTGGTATTAAAATGAGAAGAGGAAGCTCAGGTTCGATAGCCTCCTCGTCTGCTGGTGGAGTCCGTCAAGAAAAGGGACACGAGGAAGGTCTGCAGTTCTCGTCAGAATCTGGCAACAGATTGACTTCTCAGCCAGTTGGAGCAATTCAAGAAGGTCAATCTCCTACCCAAGGACCTAAGGATGATGATACTGCTGGACAAGCAAGACTGACGGGTGATGTTCCTGCTGCAGCTTATGACTTTCCTCCTAAGGAAACACAACGGTCTGTTGAGCCCCAGGCACAGTCTGTGAATTACACTGCTCCTAGCGGCCCACAGCAACAGCAGGAGCAGAGTTCTATCAACACACCCAAGACCCCTGTTGAACCCACGTTTGGTCAATCAATTAATCAAATTGCTGCTGATTCTCCTTCAGAAGACGTTTTTACTCAACCCGAGCGTCATGATATCTCCGTTCCTCCTAGATCTCCCTTGAGAGATGCACATGCTGTCGAAAGGGAGAAGCATTTGAGGTCGCTCTCTGAAGGTAGTAACATGACTGATTTCCTTAATTCTGGACCGGCTGTTCAGCCACCTGCCACATTAGGTGAGGCTGATGAGGCATTCCATGACTCTAGAGATGATTTCATTGATGTTCCAGAGGAGTACGGTGGTGAGGAGGCCTTGCAGGCGGATAATGGTGCACCTGATACTTTAAATGACGAGGAATCCTTTAAAGTGATACATGTTCCTGCTTCTTCACGGGAAGAGGATAACATTGTCGATGATGCATCTCCTTCTGCTGCAAAGGCCAATCCTACTGAGCCTGTGCCCTCTACTGCTGAAGTGCCTGAGCGTTCAACGTCCACTGAGCCCTCAGCTTCCACTGAGCCTTCTAGGGGGGCTATTTTTGGTAGTGTTTCCCGCAAGAAGGGAGAAGAGACCACACAGGGACAAGTTTCTCAACTGGACCTTCCAACAATTGTGTCAGGCGAGAAAGGACACCCAGTCGTTTTGGGAAGCAGTGCTCAAGAAGAGCCCACTACTACCTATAGCACTCTTGATCCTGGTTCTCCAACCTCAAATAGGAGACGTGTACCAACTGCCATAGATGATACCGCTACGATATCTTCAAGTGAATCGGCTGTCGATGTCCCTGTTCCAGAGAAGGATACAGTCGCCGAACGTGCCCAGGTGAACCCTCAGATCGCTACAACAAGCGCTGGCGCCTTGGAGCCAGATGCTGCGGCTGAGACCCGCTTTGATCCTAATCAAACATCTATTTCTGGAACCACCGAATCTCAACCTGCTGCTCATGAGAAGGAAACTACCGAGAAGGAAGCTACCGGATCATCTAATGTCAATAATGACCCATTAGCAGCAGGAGCCATTGCTATTGGAACCGCAGGCTTGGATAAGCAGCAACCTGTTCCAGACTCGCTTGGTGTTAGACATGCCACTGAAGAAGCTCAGAAAGAGCAGCCCTCTCATTCCTCTGGAGAGGCTACTGAAGTCTCTGTTCCTTCGCAACAAGAGAAGAACAAGAAGCCCAAGAAGCCAAAGGGCCGCAAGTTCAAGAAAATGATCGACAAGTACTTCATCAGCTCCTACAGTCGCTAATCTGTTTTTAGAATTCCCGCTTGTATTATTTTGAATTTAATGCTTTAATGTTCCTTATCTTTCTCACTACTTGTACGTGCCCACAGTTCGCATAGAAGGCGCACCTGAGTCGATAACAGTGGGGCCTCATCTACCACACTTATGTCATGCCTCTGGAGTCATTGGACATACCTACTGGGCTGGATCTACCCATGAACCACAGCAATGTCCCCCTGTCAGACGGCAGACACGCTGCCCTGCTGAATGTGAATCTTGAAAATGCATATAAAGAACTTCTATGGGCATGTAGAATCGGAGACACTGTCATGGCTGATTCGCTTACGCTCTTGCCAGAGCTTGATATCAATAAGGTGGACGAATGGGACTACCTGCCATTGATTCTTGCGTCTCTTTGTGGACGTTTAGAGATTGTCAAGATGCTTTTGGCCAGAGGAGCAGTATGTGAAAGAGACACTTTCCAAGGTGCCAGGTGCATCTATGGTGCTCTTACAGACGATATTAGAAACCTTCTTTTGAGTTATAATATCTCGAAGAAGACAGATGAGGACCAGCCGTTCCTGGCCCATCTTTCCAGCTTGCTATCGCCAGCATTGACAGTGTATGCCTGTAAGGACATTGCTTTCGTGTTTCCACATGAACATGATAGACTGCTTCAAGTATTCGTTGTTAACCGGTTCCTTCTATCTGCCAGAAGTTCGTACTTTCGGAAAAGATTCTCTCCTGAGGGGAAATGGTATAATGCGTCAACCCTTAAGATGTCTAAGGAGTTGGATGCGAGGGTCTTCAGATCTATCGTTGACTATATGTACCTTCGAACGGATCTGTTGCCTTTGGAAGATCCTCTGGTCCAATTGCTAGCCCTATGCGCTAAGTTTTCTCTTGATCTATTGAGAGAAACTCTTCTGGACGAAACTTCGAAGAAGCCCAAGGCGGTGAAGTCCCGCCAGGGAGCTGAACTCACGTTCGTAAAAGGTGCCAGGCAAGATATGGGAGACTTTTTTGAGGGCCATGTTCTTCCCAATGTTCTCGTGAAGTCTCTCGATGAAATCGATCTCAGCGATGTGAAATACGGTGGTAGCGACATTAAGAATGAGAAGGGGGAGAATGAAGTTGAATTTCAAGACCTTGATGTGTCACGGATTCTTTCATTTGAAGAGAAGGAAAGCCTTTTGAAATCAACTTCAATTCCTGACGCTATTCTATGTTCTCTCGATTTAGATTCGAGTACCATAGTGTTCTATCCTGTTCATCGTGCAATGCTTGTCCGAGCTAAATTCTACCAAACCATTTTCGATCCCTCTTGGTCGGCAGAGACTGCTAATCTTCCTTTGCTATCAGAGAGCAAGTACGGGACAGCTGGACAAACAATTATTGATAGGGCGTTACTAGTGCCACAAGACATCCCAGTCATTCATGCCTACATGGGCGCTACTAGAAGGGAAGTATCTGAAGCAATTCTCCGCTTCCTTTACTACAACGACTCAATTGTAATCGATCCTGAGATTGCCGTGGAGACTCTTCTTGCATCTGACGAACTCAATATTGATAGACTCAAGTCCATTAGTACGGTGAGTCTTACGAATTTTGTCGATGGCCTTAAGTTTGAAACTCTCAAGGCGTTGCCTTCGAAGGTCGGATACGATGTCTTTGAATTGATAGAATTAGCTTGGCGCCTCCAAACGGATAGGCTCGAGCAGCATATGACGAAACTCATTGCACACAACATCGAGGCTGTTTGTGAGGACAAAGAGCTTCGTGAAAAGTTACTAGATTTGATCAGAGCCAGTGCCCACAGGATTGAAGAGCGTCAAGCGACAGACACCATTGAAGTGGTCGATGATATGCGGTACTACTTGGCCAAGAAGTTTGCCGTCTACGACGAGTTCACCAATTTGGAAGGTATCGGTGCCAGTTTGAACCCTAACATGGCTGAACCAGAAGATAATAGGACATTCAAGGCGGCCTTGCTCGACTACGAACACGATGTGGCCATTGTTGATCAGCTTCTTGACGAGTTGGGCTTAGAAGCATAAAGTGCCTCATGCTAGATAAAATAGAAACGTATTTATTATGAACATCCCAAGTCCAAGCATGCGTCAAGACAACGGGTTATGTAGTTCACAACAAGCCCCTAGCAGGTACTTCCCTTGGCATTTTCCTCTTACGTAGCTTGGAGCCATTCGATACATTACTTTCTTTCAACTCGTTTGTTGGTTACGTTTCCCTTGATATGTCTTGGCTGTGTTGTGTGTAACCTTGGCTACTGGCCCAAGTAACTTCGCGTATATTCTAACGCTAAGTACTTAAAGGTGCGTAATGGCATTATCAATAACCTCACCCTCATTTTGCAACCATGCTGCTTCAAGACCTTATTGCTAAGTTCCAATACAAGCAGGTCCTCAAGTCAGATCCCCAAACCAAGTCACTCGTCCTTTTAGGTTCAATTGATAATGAAGACGCAATTGTGCAGTTTGAGAAGTCTGCCTTCAGCGTCGAATCTGATTCAGAAGTATCTGCTCAGAAGCTTATTGAACAGTTGAGGCTAATTCAAAATAATGATATATATTACTGGTCTCTGGCTACGTTGGCCCAGGATGTTGAGACTTTGCCAGCTGCCAAGGTGAACTTGATTTACCCTGCTACTGAGATTCATATCAAGAAGTACTCACAGCAACAGCTACATGTTGTGAGAGAAACGCCCGAAATATATCGTGAAGCAACAGCTCCCTTTATTGAAACTCAGAAAGGAGACAGAATCCAATGGGTGCATAATATTTTGTTTCACGGTAAAGAAGCAGACAGTGTCTTGTATCATGATAAGGATCCAGAGAGTGGGTTTGTTCTCCTCCCAGATATGAAATGGGACAGAATAAGCATGAACGCTTTATATTTGATGGCCATTGTCCAGAGGACTGATATTTCAAGTGTTCGTGATCTCAATTCCACTCACATACAATTCTTAGAGGACCTACAAGCTAAGGTGAAGAAAGTCGGTTCAGAGAAGTATGGTGTTCCTGAAGATGAATTCCGTGTTTTCATTCACTACCAACCATCATATTACCATTTCCACATACATGCTGTGAGAGTTACGCATCCTGGCTTGGGCGATGGTATCAATATTGGAAGAGCCATCTTGTTAGACGATGTGATCCAGAATCTCCAGCTTGTGCCTGACTACTACCAGAAATGTAGCCTCACATATGTTCTAGGAGAGAACCATAAGTTATGGGATGTTTTACTGAAATATTACCAATGAGAATAATGCCATGTCTATAAACTAATAATTGAATTCAGCAGTCTGTGCTTTCTCGGCCATCTTAGCCATCCTCAACATCTTCTTCCGAGGATCTTCCTTTTTCTTGGTAGACTCTCCGCCGAACGTACCACTGTTCTTACCAAGTTTTTTCGGCGTTTCTCTTAAGCCAAATGACTTTGCAAGGTGCCCAAGATGTAACAACTTAACATTAAAAAAGTTTCTTTCCGAGGACAAATGAGTAGCATAGGCTCTGATATGCGATGTAAATGCATGCAGCGCTCTCTCAAGAGCTTTTGAATCCTCCAAAAGCCATCTTTCAACCTCGAGATGCCATGTAGTGGCATGGATGTCCCACTTTCCTTCCTTCGCTTTGGGATCAACCTTCTTCCCTTTAGCGGGGGCACTTTCGGTATTCTTTTCACCGAAGCTGTCTTTGAGTAAAGCTTCGAAGTTGACAATTCGAAGACTTCCTTCCTTTGGGTGAACAACACGAAGCTTTCCGTCGACATAACCTTCCTCTTCTCCAGGAAGAAGGAAAAGGGTAGCCTCACCTTTATTACCAGCTCTGGCTGAACGTCCGATTCTATGCAAATGATCGTCAATTGAAAACGGTGGGTCATACTCCACCACGTTAGCGATGTTTGGCAAATCCAATCCTCTGGATGCAACGTCTGTACAGAAAAGAATAAGATGCTTGCCTTCGTTATTGCCAGAGTCGCTAACAAACTTTTGGAGTGTAGATGTACGCAACTGCTGCGATAAGGAGCCATGCAAGCGGAAGACGACAGTATTGTCATCTACCTGGGGAGCCGTCAGGTAGCATTGTTCAACCTGGGGTTCACCATCTTCATTTTCTGAGTTAGACTCTTTTTGGCCTGATCTACCACCCCGCGTGAACACCTCATAATGGAAGTTGACAGAATCAGAACAAGAGAAGAAAACCATAGATCTCGTCGTCTCGGTTCTGTAGTTTTTGCTTGCTCTCTTGAGCTTTGCTGCAAGGGTCACTAACCTTAACTTTGGTGGAACCACCATCACCTTTTGTATAAGCTGGTCCGGAGCAGTGGCATCTCCATGGAAAGTAGTATCATTCTTGTCAATAGAAATCCACTGAGGATCAGTCAAAACAGTACTACCCAATTTCTTCACATCCTCTGGCATAGTGGCAGAACAGAGAACATTGACTATGCGGTTTGGTAAGAGAGGCCATTGGCGAGCTGAGCTTGAAATCTTGGAATGACGTTCTAAGTGGTCAGTAATCTTGGTAATGGTCTCCTGGAAGCCTAGTTCAACAAGTCTATCACCTTCATCCAAGATGAGCCATCTATTCTGGGACACGTCGAGGGATTCAGTATTTTCCAAGTGATCAGCTAAACGGCCAGGAGTTGCAACAAGAATGTTCACACCCTTTCTGATTCTAGCTTTCTCGGACTTCTTCTTTTCACCACCCACAACAATTCCTGGAACAATGTGATGGTGACACCTAAGTACAGCCTCGAGAACAGAATAAATCTGCGAAGCCAATTCTCTCGTGGGAGTCAAAATGATACCAAAAAGGCCACTTTGTCTGTTTATCTGAGTCTCCTCCGACATCATACGATGCAACATCGGAAGCACAAATGCCAATGTCTTACCAGAACCTGTTTGTGCTTTGACAAAGAGATCATTATTAGCAGTAAGCATTTGAGGAGTGACAGCTCCCTGGACTTTGGTTGGCGAAACGAAGCGCATGGAGTTCTTAAGATGGCTGCTTAATTTCTCGTTTAATCCTAACCCACTGAATGTTGAAGCATCCCGCAATGGAGCGTTCGACGGGAGATGGGATGTCTCGTTCGACTCGCTTTCCTGAAGCGTCTCACTGTTCTTGTTGGAAGTAAATAACGAGGACACGTAGGAATTGTTCTTTCCACCGAACTCACCAGAGCTTTCATTGAACTTGATCCTCTTTGCCAGGCCTCCCAAAGGCTCTCCATTTTGTCTTTTTGGTTGGTCCTGGTCTTCTCTAGGCTTTCTGGGCTCTCTTCTCTTGACTTCATGTTTTGGCGTCAGCCTCAGCTCTTTACTCGTCTTTGTCTTTGGATTTTCATCCTCGTATTGCTTCTGTAGCTCGTTGAATTTGTTATCAGACACCTCGATACTGTTAACTCCAGAACCTCTTTTCCATTCACGTCCTTGCAGCTTGAGCTTAGCGTTTCGGCGTTCTCTCCAACGGCCACCCTTGAAATTAGCAGCCTGTTGTACGGGCTCTGCCTCGGTTGAATCTGGAACAGCGAAGTTGAGGATTAATTCATCGTCACTCATCGCTTTGGTTATCTCTTCTTTAGAAGTAGTATCTTCGAGATGAGGGACTGCAGGATCTGATATGATGAGGCCGATGAGCTCTGGCTGCTAAAATCGAAGTTGGCATCAGGACATAAAATTCTGATAAATTTGGGAGGGAAGCAATATAAGGGTAAATAAAGGCCATTGATAAATCCATTTCCTTGTTTTAATCTTAATTTTAGAGGGAACCTGATTTTTGAATGATTGTAATATTTCTACGAATAATAGCTTGGGTGCGAAAACTAGTGGAATAGTTACAAATTTAAGATTAGAATAGCACTTTTCTACAAATATAAAATTCATAAATAATGATCTTTTCTCTTTTATATTATTTGTGTAGCCTAATAGTCATACCTATCATTTGTTTACACCCCTAGCATTCTTAATGCCATATCTATTATACATTTATGCGAAATCAGAGTATGCTGTGACTGCCTCAGTAGGATCTTGAGATGGAGACTGAAGGCTTCCCAACATTTCTTGAGTGGATGGATCTGCTGTGGTTCTCCAGCTTAAAGTTGTCCATGGCTCCTCGTCAAACTTTTTAATATGCTTGAGACAAGAACCCAACCCTCCAAAGGTACCCTCAGACAGCAACTGGTTGCTGGCTTTGGCCGCAGTTTGCAACACATGAACAGCACTTTGCTTTGTAGGATCCAGTGTGCTCACTTCTTGCTTCGATTGAGTAGTGCGTGTCGTTTCTAGATCATCAATGTACTTGAACAGCGGTTTGAGCTGTGCTGTGCTATCAACTGGAAGAAGCACCATCTGAAGGTTACCATCTTTCTCGACGATTTGGCCAACATACAAACCACCATCAGTGCCTGTGAGAACGCCCTGTAAGTTTGATGTAGCAACTCGAGTACCTAATTCTTCAGCACGGCCCTCATCGTAGAACTTGCTTGTGTCCATTGGAACCTTCATTTCCAAAACCTTGCTGCCGACCTTGATAGATGATCTGAGACGCTCCTGGTCAAATGGGCGACTCTTTGGTCTGCTTGTGTACTGGAGCACATGGAGTGATTGAGATGATCTGTGTGGTAGTGATCCATGGACTATAGGCATGGTCAGGATCACCGGGTCATCGTCCTCTTCCTCCTCCATGACACCTTCGTTAGTGTCCTGGTACTCTTCTGGGGCAGGAGACTCCGAGATGTCTTCATCCTCAGCGACAAATAGATCTTTTTTGTCCATGGTTAAAGAAGCTGATAGATGGTAGTAGCTATTTCGCATCTCAAAAAGTGTACAGGCAGCGCAGAGTATGGAGAGATGGGGGAAGCTGATGTGGATATGATGCCAACGCTTTGGCAAAGAAAAGGAAGGAGAAGAGAAAAAAAAAAAAGAAAACGATTTAAAATAAACGGTTTTGGTTTTGTATGATTCAACATCAGAGATCTAATAGCGTGAGTGGGACGAAGAAGGTATTAATGTAAGGCTGGTTGAATGGCTGCGAAATTGTACTGTGATAGTGTAAAACAAACAATTTATTCAGGTAACAACAAAACTAACTTCTAGGAAGTGTAAGTCAATTCAATGGAATTGAAGATATAAAGGCGTAAAACGCTTAACCCTCAAGGTCAGCAGCAACCTCTCTCTTGACGAATGGCTCACCTGGCATGAATCTCAACCAGCCCCAGCCAGCCTCAGCATCAGCCTCAGCGTCTCTCTTAACAAATGGCTCACCTGGCATGAATCTCAACCAGCCCCAACCGGCTTCAGCGTCGGCATCTCTCTTGACAAATGGCTCACCTGGCATAAATCTCAACCAACCCCAACCGGCCTCGGCGTCGGCTTCGGCGTCTCTCTTCACGAAAGGTTCGCCAGGCATGAATCTCAACCAGCCCCAGCCGGCTTCAGCCTCAGCATCACGCTTGACGAATGGCTCGCCTGGCATAAATCTTAACCAGCCCCAGCCAGCTTCAGCGTCTCTCTTGGTCTTGTCGTCAGAGAGAGAAGCGTAGGCCTCCTCCATGATGGTGGAGTTGAGCAAGATGACGTAGCGACGGTCACCGTAAGTGGTAAGCAATGGGTACTCATCAGAGTCGAAGGAAAATTGACCGATGATGGCTTCAGTTGGAACACCGAAGGCGCTCTCGACAGCAGTTGGAACCTCAGTAGTGGTTGGAGCTGGAGCAGCAGCGACGATGGAAGCAGCAGCGGCAATGATGGCAGTAGCAGAGAACTTCATTTTTTCTTTTTTAGTGTTGAATGGATGATTTGCTTATGAGATTGAAGCTAGGAGTGTTGATGATAAAAAAAAAATAGACCAGAGGAGGTCCAATCCACCTCTACTTATAGTTTTCGAGTCCTTCTCAAATGTTTCACCAATGTCCATTGACATCCCAATCTTTTGGACAAGAAAAGTGGATTTGTAAAGTGAAAAATAATATATTCCATTTTAGGACCTCAATGGACACCTCAAAACTTGAGAGTTATAATATATGTATCTCAACGTCGCAGAGGGTCCATTGAAGACCTAAAACGGAAAACATATTGCGAGGGCGACGCCCAAGAGCCACTCTTTAAAAGCAATGGAAGGAAATCTTCCTGGATTATTTTGTAGATTCCAGGGGCGCCCTTTGATTAATGCTTTCCGATTCGTTAGCCAAGATTCTGCCAATGTTCAGAATCGGCTCCACCGAGAAGTATCACCCGAGAATCAACTCTTTTTCAGGACTGATTTGGAATGAAAGGAGGTAATTATTTGTGGGGAATAGGAGAATCCCGTAGTAGATGGTAAATCGGTGGTTTCACTTCTTCCATTAAAGAACCAAAGTGTCAAGAGAGTCTGGCTTCGACCAATCCTATAGCTGGAATCCAAAGTCTTAGTAGATCATGTTGAAGAAATTTCACCTATTTCACGGCCAAAGGGTGGAAATGAACTGTAAATCGGGCAGCTTTGACTGCTATCCATTTCAGATGGCGCCATCAGGTCGGTAACTCATGGATGATGGCCTCGGACAGATGGAAACTGAACTTCAGATCATAGAATATTTCGAAAGATCTAAGCATCAGCAGATCTCTTAGGTATTCTTGGTGGGCGCTTGATTTATCTCGAACTTTCAATGCTCCTCCATCCATCACTTTTATATCACCAAGAGTCGAATAAAGTTGGTAATAGTTTTTGGGCTCTGCAAGTCAATGATTTAATAATACACTTCTTTAAAAGAAAGGCTTAAAGCGTCCAAGATGGTTGATGTATCACGTATATCTGGATGATCTCAATGACAACAAGGAAAGAAACAGCCCGAAATATACAAGGTGTTCTATTTCATTTAAACTTAACTTTCCATTCAAAAACCTCAACATTAGAAGCCACCTTGGGTAAATATGGTGGAAGAAAGACGCAAACGAATACCAAAATGTCTTTTGCCTCTAGTTAGGAAAGCCTTCACCAGGTAAGAAATCCAACGAGCAACATGAACAACAACCATTGCAAACTAGGATCCAATGAGGTCAATTGAAGACATTGAGTATCATAAGAATAGAAATAATGGTGTTTCTTCAAAGATTCACCCTTTAATCGAGTTCATTGGCTGACATTGGTGTCACAACGAATAATCATCCAAAAAAGCAGTTCAGAGGCTTTAAATGGCCCTGATTTTCCAGCCACGTAAAGAAAACAACTCAATAAGTATATGGTAAAAATTTGAGTCAAAGATTTAAAGTTTGAAGCATGAATATTCCAATGGCAAGTATTTGAATATACGATTTATTTTGCCCGCACTGCAAATCTTTCATCTAATCCGATATAGTGTAACGGCTATCACGGTTCGCTTTCACCGAGCAGACCGGGGTTCGACTCCCCGTATCGGAGCTTTAACTTATATTTTTTTACCTTTTAACTACGACCATACCATCAAAAATTGCCGGGTTGCCCTTTTTGGCTTTTGGTAGCAAAACAAACTCTCTACACGTGCTTTGCTATAGCAAAACAAGCAACGTGCGTTCAGTGACACCACGAGGTCAGCCTAAGTCAAAGTCACATGTACTGCACATGGTTGCCGGATACCAGAAACGGTACAATCTGGGGTAATGACCGCAAAAGTAAGCGGATGGCAGGAAATGGGCCTCCAAAGGTGTAGAAACAAGATCCCAAGGCTAAACAGGCCGAGAAGGAGATTGGTAGATCGAGAGGAATGATACGGGCGATAACAATGGTGACGGAATTGAGACGGTTGTTATCAGCGTGTTTACAAGTGCGCGGTGCCTAGATAAGCACTGTACACGATAAGGGTAAGGGAATGGCATGTATTGGAAGCCAAAAAAAGGACACACAGTGTCGACGAAGTAAAGATCTAGCGACTGGTAATAAATAAAGCAACGCCGGCGCCTTTTATGTATTATTAGGAGGAAACAGAGATGCGCTCCAGGTTCAGCCAGACCTGTGGCTCTGGATCTTCTTCTGCTTGCTGCGTGCAGCCTTCAGCTTATCGGCTTCCTTAAATACCTTATTTTTGCTGAAGTAGTTATTAATTTTAAACTTCTCCGAGTATACGGACTCGGCCATATCGTCGTCGTCGTCAGACACCGATAAGACCGTGTATTGGTTGTGGCTCATGCGAGAGGAGGCCCGGCACCGAGGCACCTGGGAGGTCTGCTGCCTATGTCTGCCAATGGAGGCAACCTCGGCATAAGACAACTTGCGGTAGGCAATGTCGACAAAATCCTCGGCGTCGTCGTTCATCGACACGTGGTAAACCTGCGACGAGTCTCTGTCGGGCATGGTGAAGGAGGTGTTCACTTCACTTGACTTCAAAGGGCCTGACGAGGAGGAGGCCTTGGAGAACCAGCCAAGGGACAAGACAGACTTAAACATGAGGAAGGACGGGATGTTAAAGGTGTAAAAAAGAGTGGGATCCGCCAAGTAGGTGTGGAGGAACGGCTTGTACTAAAAAGGAGGAAAAGTACGAGGAGGTCAAAAAGCCTGGGGGCCACGGTTCCTTTATATATTGTAAACAGAAGGGTGCAAATGCGACTGTGCGTTAGGGTATCCTGAGGGGTGTGCCACATGCTGGCGCATACAAAGTGAGGGACAAAAAAAGAGTGAGAAAGGGAACCTCACACTGACTTGCCCATAGTTAACGCTGTGTGCATGGAGCTGTGACTAATAGCTGGGGAAGGTGAGCAAGAGACGGTGGCGAGGTGGCAAAGGGCGAGGATATTTAAGGTTTAAGGAAGGATGGATTTACGTTTATGAGTCATAGGATCGGGATTGAAGGGTTTTTCCGGATTCGGCATTCGGACCAATTGTGGAATGTCCTAGGGTTAATGGTGGTTATGCGCTGGGGGTCCCTTTTTTGTGGGACAGCCCAAGTCACGTGACAGCACACATCCCACATCATACCACTAGCAAGTACCAGCCAGGTTTTTCGGCTCGGCTTTTCAAAGTGGTTGGTAAAAAGTGGTAAATGCTTTTCTTTTGTGGTTTCTTTGTTCACTAGCACCCACTCTACGCTCTGTGGCCTGTGGTGCGAGCCACACACGACTCTCACCAAACCTCGCGTAACATCAACACTATCTACACGCACATAGGAACGAAACACAACTATGGACGGCTGGGCAGAGGTATGTACCATTTGATTGATGTTTAAGTTTTTGTTCTAACAACCAGGTTACCCGAGTGTCCGCCACCGCACGGCCCAACCACCGTGGCGATGTGCCCCAGATAACTTCGCTACTATTTGACCACACCTCCAACCTCATATGGTGCGCAGATTCGTCTGGGTATTCATGTTCATATACGCCATCTCAGCAGGATAACACTGGCTATGGCATGCAGAGCCCGCTTTCGCTTTATAGATATACGAAGTTTCGAGCGTCGCCACGTGGTGACCCGATTCTTCAGCAGCTCAACCATCAGAAGGGTATCTTTGCTCTTTCCAAGTCGTCAATTACCTTTAACACAAGAAGAGGCCTTAATAATGCATGCTTGACACAGCTGCTGTTTAGCAGCGGCTCAGATAAACAGAGCTTTGGCGATTTGACGTGTATGACACTGGCATATTCTACTTCTACTGATATCATTGCGGGAGGGAAACGCTCGTTGTTGAAAATTGACGTGAACAAGCCCTCAATTGTACAGCATTACGAACATGGAAAAGAGCTCCTGTTTGTAAATCACCTGTCGAAGATGCTTGCGCTTGGTAACACTTCCGGTTCGGTTGACCTTTTCGATCCAACATCTAACGAATTGATTAAAAGCTTGTCTGGCCACAGTGGCCTTCTTTCCGACCTTGATGTGAAGGGAAACTATATTGCAACTTGTGGGTACTCTGCTCGTCCAAAGCGGTACGGTACATCCTCCGCAAGCTATGTCGTTGACCCGTTGGTCAACATCTACGACTTGAGAATGATGCGTGCAGTTTCTCCAATTCCATTCCCAGCTGGAGCCAGCTTCGCCAAGTTCTACCCTAAATTGCCGAACATCGTCGTTATTGCATCTACATCAGGCCAGATCCAGTTTGTCGATATGTACGACCAGCTGCAAGTGCATTTATACCAGGCCGACTTGTCATCTCCTAACAATCCAAACAGTGTCGCTGCAGCGACCTCATCATACATGCTCAATTTAGACGTCAGTGATAATGGTGAATTCCTTGCCTTCAGTGATGGCCATAACACCATGAGTCTATGGGGTATCAACACTGGCAATTCTGGAAATTTCGTCAACTATCCTACCTCATTAGATCTTCCCGAAGTTGCATCCCAACCATCTGCTAATTCCGTCGGCATGGACGAGTCCTACCCACTCAATTCAGTGGGTTTGCCCTACTATAAGGAATACCTTGCATCTTACTTCCCATCGGAACGAATCTTTACGAAAGAGCTCCTGAAAACACCAGCAAAAATTGATCAAGAACTTCTAGATTTAAGTGAACGCAATCCGGGGAAAATCTTACCTTACGATACATCCAAATATGGTCCTCGTAATGTGATCAAGGACGATGAGGAAGACCACACGAAAGCTCCGGTGAAGGACAGAAACAATAATACCAAGCCAGCTCTTCTTCCAAAGTTTATCAGTGAAAGGAGTGCAACTGCTTCTCCTATTCCAAGAGAGGCCGAGAGCTCACCAAATGCTAGCAGTGTGACTTCCTTCTCTGAAGCTACTCCCTCTAATGACATCAACCAACAGCATTCTCAAGCAACGGCATTCGAAGATCAAAATGATCCAGAGACTATCTTTCAACATAAAGCTCCATACACCAACCAGGTTCCATCGTGTTACAGTCGACTTGAAATTCAATATTCTAAGTTTGGTGTCGATGACTTTGACTTTGAGTACTATAACCAGACAGGTGGACTCTTCTGTGGTCTTGAAAACCATCTTGATAACTCATACGCAAACTCATTGATTCAGATATACAGATTCCTGCCAATTTTTTACAGCGTTGTTACTGGAGGACTTCTAGAAGAATGGCTTCCTAACTCGTCTGAAGTTATCATTGATCAAGAGAATCCTCAGGGCTCATCGGTGTTGAACGAGCTTGGCTATTTGTTTGACATGATGCATAAAGCAGGGGGAAGGAACGTCAGCATCAACAACTTCTCGCTGATCCTCAGTGGAAGCCCGGTTGCAAAGGCTCATGGGCTCGTCGTTGAAGATGATGGTAAGTCTCTCAATGCTCGGGAGTTACAGATGTTGCTCGTTACATTCAACAAGTTTTTGGTAGAGTCAGTCATTAATGATTATGCTAAGCAGTTCGGGCTTTTCCTACAAGATATGACATCGATGCATTATGAGCTTAATATCTACACCAATACTGGTGAGCTTATAGAAAGACAGAAAGGAAGTCAGGCTACTTTAGATTTGATGACCCCTCCAGCTAACGCATTGAATAGATTGGGTGGTCATGGTGCAACTTACACTCCTCCGCAGGCGGCTCATTCAAAGAGGAATTACAGTTTGCTTACTTACCTTGAGTATTCCTTGAACCAAAGCAAAGTCTTGCCTCCTTCGAACCTGAACCCTTATCCTTTGGATGTCAAGCAGACACTCACGAAATTGGGTCCTATCCTTCTGATCAACATACCATTTACCGCACAGGAATACGAGCTTCTAAGGCATTACAAGAAATGGCTTGTACCAGAGTTTTACACCACTGTGGGCAATAACCAAAAAGTGAACTTCAAGCTGGTGGTTACACACTTGAATCAGCCTACAGACAAATACGAACTTCTCGGCTATTCTTGTCAGATTAACCACGATGCCAGTACGGCTCCCGGTAAGCATAATATGGTATCATACATCAAGATTAAGTCACCAGCATCAGGTAAAGATCAATGGTTCTTGTTCAACGATTTCTTGGTGATGACGGTGCCAGAGGAGGAAGTGTTCAACCTTTCATACAGTTGGAAGAAGCCGGTCGTCTTGGTATACCACAATGTTGAAAGTCCACACAATCAAAGCTTCTCTTACTACGAGATTGAATTTTTCCGTTCTATTCAGAGATTGGATGACTCTATCCTTTACAAGGATCATTTTGCATGCGGCATAAGAGAGGGATACAAGAGAGAATACGAGCTTCTTACGAAACAAGAGGCTCCTGAAGTTGGTATGCTTGTTGCGATAGATGCTGAATTTGTCTCGCTTAAGCCAGAGGTTGCCGAGATCAAATTAACTAGCAAGAAGAAGATTGTACGTCCAAAGATGCTTTCTTTGGCTAGAATATCTGCATTGAGAGGAGACGAAGGCGAGAAGAACGGCATTCCCTTTATTGACGATTACATCGTCCATACGAGACCGATTTTTGATAACCTTACTGAGTTTTCAGGTATCGAAGATGGTGACCTTGATCCTAAGAAGTCAACGAAGACCTTAGTTACTCTCCAAACAGCATACAGAAGGCTTTGGCTCTTGCTTAATTTGGGTTGTACATTTGTTGGTCACGGCCTCAAAAGTGATTTCAGATGTATTAACTTGCAAGTTCCAAAAACACAGATTCGTGACACTGCTGAGCTCTACTACTTGGCAGACTTCAAGAGAAAGTTGAGTCTTAAGTTTTTGGCTTACGCAGTGTTACAAGAGTCGGTGCAGACGAGTAACCACGACTCAATTGAAGATGCTAAGACGGCGCTTTTGTTGTACCAAAAATACTTGGATCTCAAGTCCAAGGACGCTTTTGACAGAACCTTGAGACATGTTTACAACAAGGGCTATAATCTTCGGTTCAAGGTGCCAGACCTGGAGTACTGAGTTTAGCGCTCCACCGGACAGAGAGTGAGGAGAGTCCGAGCCCAGAGGAGATACATCAGTGCACCATACAGTAACCAGCCTACCGCTCTACATAAAATAGTAACGAGCTTAATAACGGATGATACTCATTGTACGAAAGACATCTATAACCTAGTCCAAAAAGTTGCCGTGACATTAAGTTACGACTTATTCATAGATTAATCCAAAAAAGCAACCCTTCGCAGGGCACTAAGTACTTCCCAACACTTTCTTGCGGCTTCTGGAGCTGTCAAAGAAACTATGACACCAGGGGAGCTTCAAGATGATACATCCTCCAGAAACACGGATTCTACGTCACAGAGAAGTTCAGATAATTCAGAAAGTGGCTTCAATGAACCAAGTTCACAGCCTGGCCAGGACCAAATCAAGCCTCCTAGGCCCACATCACGAACGCCTACGCACGAGAAGAAACCACATTTACGAAGAACTCACATGAGGTCCCAGTCACATACGAAAATGCCCACTAGACTTAGCACATCTGGCCCTAAACCCAACTTGAACCGGTCCAAATCGTCAGATATCATCAGAACTCAGAGACAGCCAGGCATAAAGCGGAACAACAGGTCGTTTACCAAGGTCGCTGGGTTTCTCCCGTTGCATAAAACAGTGCTGAATAGCTCAGTGAAGGCACCTGGAACATTGAACAGATCAACACTGGCGAACTCACTTAAAGGCTTTGCTCCATTGCGTAAGACTACGCTGAATGGGTCAAGCAAGGATAAACAAGCATTGCATAAGACTTTCCTGAACAGCTCAATGAGGTCTAGTAAATCTCTGAATTCGCTTAAGGGATTGAACAATTCAGTTAATAATGGCTCAGGAATAGGCCTTCGGCTCAGTTCTAAACGTGGAAGAGCTATAGTGAAGCTTAACGAAGATGCTGAAAGCAACGAGTATGAAGACTTGAGCGAAGATTCAGAGCTGGAAACTCATAGCAGACCTCAGGATCAATCTAATGAAAATATCTCACTGGACCAGCAAGACTGGAATGAGGAGAATAAGATCTCTGAGGTGCCAGAGCAGTCTGAAAGCTATTCTTCGAGTGAGTATAGGAAAGCGCCAGAATCAGACGAGCGCCAGCCCTCTCAGACATATGAGGCAGAGAAAGAGAACTCTCAAATTGCTAAAGAAAGAGAGCTGGCATTCAAGGAAAAGAAGGATCCTAAGAGCAGGCTTTCACAGGAACAGGACCAAGCAAAATGTACTTCGGAGCCCCCAGCGTACATGTCCACGAACAGCTCTACAGATGAACTCATGAACAATAATCTTTATGGAGGTTCCCTTCTTCTATCACAGTCTACTGGTCTTATGAGAAAGATTAACGAGCCCCTTGGGTACCATGCCTCAGGAGAAGCGTCAGACGATCGCCTTGATCAGACAACCCGTGACGAAAGTACTAGTGGTATATCGTTCAAAGCAAGGCCCTACAACGAATTGAGAAATAAGGAACCTGCCGAGCCAGTTCAGGCAACAACCACTGCAGCATCTGTCAGTTCGTACCAGCCTGACCAGAGCATTTTCAGCAATCTTCAAAGGAACAACTCCAAGTACCTTAACAATTCTAAACTGCAACGACCTACGAACCAAAGTCAAGGATCACAGTCCAACATCAGGACTGGCAAGGACTTCTCCAACTTCCTAAACAACAGTCATTCGTCCAACGGAGCTCCAGGCCATAACATAGAAACGAGGACTCAGCAACGTCTTTGGCTTCAGCGTGAAAACTCACTTATGGATGTTTCACTGAATATCGATGCTTCCAAGCTCCAGAACTTGTCCAACATGTCGCTCAATAAGTTAATGTTTGCACACAATTACAATAACAGTACCACCAACGTCAGGGAGCCAAGTCGAGCGGCCGGACAGCAGACCCCTGGAGTTCAAGGAGGAGGTCAGCTCGGTGAAGTCGAAGGTCAAGGTGCTGGTGATGCGTCAAACGTGACGAATCTCTTGTATCTCATACAAAGCGGTCACCAACAAGGTTCTGTGCGTTCAAGAACAGAATACGAGAGGCTCAATAGGGAGTATCTCAACGTAAGAAGGCATTTGAACCCAGTTGCGGAGTCATTGGATCGTTTGGAAAAGTATTATGGTGGCAAGAAGGGGTTGAATGTGCAGAAGAACTCTCAGGCTCCAAAAGGTGCTCTGTCGTCTGTTCATTCACAGATGATGACGGTCAACAAATTTGAAGAGTTTGCAGCTGACAAAGAGGAACGTGAGAACAAAGCAGCTTTGCTTGTGAACAGAGTATGGCAAGATGCATTGTTCCAGACCTCTTCCACGACCAGTCCTTCAGCCTCAAGACAAGGAGAGCCAAGCGACCAAGGAGGATCCCAATTCCATCACAATCCTCAGCAGATCCAGCAGCAGAAATCGCAGCCAATGAAGCCCAGTCGCAGCTCCAGTAGCATTCAACAAAGGTCTTCCTTAACACCAACTACACGTGCGGTAAAGCTTGCAACTCAAGCAAGCGGCGAAGGAAGTCTTCCACAAAGGTAATAATTCACGATAAAAATAACATGCATTTTAAACACTATCAGTTCTATGTACAATAAGGGTAAATGCTAGGGACATAGTGCACACCATGACAGGTCCGTCTCAAACTGGTACCACCACAACACCACCACAACTTCTCTCAAGGAAAGCAAAAGCTTTATCCTTGTCTCTGCTTATGCTTACCGTTGGACTTGCAGTAAACATACAATCTTCCCTTTCTTCTGACCATATAACAGTCTTTGCAAAATTTCTTCACCGAAGTCCTCGTTTTAAGCGTTCTCATGGCAGTGACAGCACCCGCAAGCAGGGACTGGGTAGCCATAAGATTAGGCACCACAAAAGCCCTAGCTGGTCTTACGGACGGAAGAGCACGCCTAAATATGGAGGTAAGACCCAACATGGTGAATAAAGGCTAGTAGGTAGAGATGAAATATATCGAGTGCGCGACCCCCCATCATGGGATTCACAGATAGTAACCACATTGGCCATATGGGGTGATGCAAAGAAAAGGCAAGGGAAAATCTGGCAATTTGGAGCTTACTAGGGTCTACATGTTCAAAGGTTATTCACTTATTAGCATTACAGTATGAAGTATGACGAGAAAGAGCTTAGTGTCTTCTGGACTCAGTGATGATCTGGTTCATCTCCTCGACCTTTCTGAGAGCTCTCTTGTGAGTACCCAATCTCTTCTTGGCCAACTTCTTGGCTCTCTTCTCACCAGCGTTTCTGATCAATTCGATCAATCTTCTCTCGTATGGAGCCAAGCCGGAAACCTCAGAGACGATGCTTCTGACGAACTTGGTTCTCTGGGAAAGAGCACCCTTTCTCTGGGAGATCTTTGGAGCAACCTCCTTAGCGTTGACCTTGTGGCCCTTGTTCAAACCGACAGCAATACCTGTTATGTTAGTAAAAGTGTTGGGGTGGTGGAAGCAGCCTATTCGGGGTTCTCTTCAAGATGAGCACTTCGTGGGAAGACAGGGGTATCATTGAAATTCTTTTCTTCATGGATGTTCATGTTTTTCATGTTCTTTGGATTTCGGACTCGATGGACTTTGTTTTTGAATATTTCGACATCGACTTGTGGATGATGGACTTGGAGTGAAAATTGGTTCTGGAGGGTCTGATGGACGGATAATTTGTCAAAGGGAAGAGCTTTGCTTCGAATAAAACCCAGAATTAGCTGCTGAATATCGTGGAAACATACCAGATCTAGCCATTTTTGTCTATTTAGTTACGAGAAGAAGGAGGAAACTTCAGTTGTAGGAGGAAAATTTTTCGTGAGGGTCTGAGGCCCACCTGCAGAGAGCTGAGGTGGGAGCCAATGTATGGGTGTACGGGTGCAGCGCAGCTTAAAGTGTGCAACTAGTGGAAGAGTGTAGGATGGGATGGATTCGCATTATATGAGGGTGGTGAATTAGTGTTAACTATGAGCCACGTGATGAACTGTGACTGCGAATAATGCCTTACTTCCACTGAGTTGGTATAGCTTTTCTATTGATGCAAAAATATGTACAAGTGATTCAGTAATTAAACTGTGATCTCAGAGAAGTCGTGGTTGTAAGATTCCAACTTCTGCACGAGTTCTTCGGTGCTCAACACAGTGTGGGCCTTGAGGAAGCGGTTCCATGGAGTAGGCGTGTAGTTGTCTCTGTACACGTATGGGTACAATGCTTCAAGGAGTTTCTTTCTACCAACGGTAATCTTCTTACCGGAATCCAGAACATGGTAGATAGTCTGGGACGAGCCCTGGGAGAGTTCTTCGATCTCCTTTTTCTTCAAAATGTCGTATCTCAATTTCCAACCCTTCAATCCCATGGTTTTGATTCTCAAAGGCGTTGATTTAAGCAAGTAGTTGTCCAAACCACCGTCCTTGTTGATGGTACGTAATGCTGTGGTGGTGGCCTTGGTGGCGATACGACGGTTCAATGTTTCAGACCATAGTTTGGTCTTCACCACGTTAGGAACCTGAGCAGTGAGATTCTTCACCTTACTCTCGGTTTCGTACCTGTGGGATCTCCTCTGTAGACCAGCAAAGAGGCCTCTATTCTGTCTTTTGAAGTACATTGTCTCGTAATCATATTCTGGGTAAAGCTTCTTGTAACGAGGGACCGTGAAGCCGGGACGTTTATCACCCTCCTTGTACACGGCATGGCTCTGTGGTTTGGCATACCTCGTGATCTTGAACATGGAGTCTCTGAGAGAAACCACCGAGGAGGAGAACTGTCTAGCAGCACCCGTGCATGAGCTAAATGGGTTCATGGTATGGCAGCTTAGAGGGTCTAGTTATGATGAATTTTTCTGTTGAGGTGGAAGCAAACCTCTGTACACCACCAGTATGGGTGGGTCTTGATTCACCCTACAAAAGTGGAAAAGAACGGGAATAGACTTTTAGATTGAGGGTAAAGGTTATTTTCTGAAGTTAAGTGGCAGTAACGAATGTTTAATGCTTGCTGGGTTCATTGCGCAGAATGTAAATCCATGGCAGTGTAGATGTCCCTCATACAGACTACAGTGAGGAAGTAGGAAGAGGCAGTAAGGCAGGCCACTAAGAGTGGCATACCCGAAGTGGGGAAACAGATTCCGAAAAACTTCCAGAGCCTAGTTTAGATTACCAAAATAATGATGCAATACCTGAATCGCTGTCCATGCGTCTGGACAACTTCTACGCTTTGTGGGACCAGCCATTGCATCAAACCATTAGAAACCCCGCCAAAACTCCCCAAAACTCCCCAAAACTCCCCCAAACGCACCATAATACACGGTCTAGAAAGCCCCGAAGCAAACGCATAACGAAAATCTGTACCCAAACGCCCTAGTCCATCACATTTATGTGGTGCAATGGGCTCCTCCATATTAAGCTCATGGCGTCAATGTCCATCGCCAAAACCCATGCCCGCCTCTTCCCTTGCCACAACGGTTTCCCATCAGCCACCCCAGCTAGACTTACAGAATCTAAGGCTGAAAACCTCAAATCTACAACGTCCATTCCTTCTACCTCCTAACCATATCCTCATTTGCAGCCACCATGTGCGGATTCGCAGCCATATCGAAGATCTGCGTAGCGCAGCAGCCGTTGCCTAGCCACTTCAGGCATTACTCAAAACACCACAAACGCAAACGTTAAGGGCAAGCGAAACTCAAAAAAAGAAAAAGCAAAAAACAAAAAATATCAAAACCCCTATCAGAAAAGCAAATGCCTCACCACATCGCCTCAGCCGCGTCAACGGCCCATTGTGAGAGCTTATACCTGTGACTTTTGCTACCCAATACCTTTGCCAGAGGAAAGTCGCACATGAATAGAACTTGTATTCCATTGTCAGTCCTGATTACAGAGACAGATAACCAGACGTGGAAGTGAAGAAATATAAAGAAAACGAAAAAGACATATATAAACTGAAAAAGAGTTTCCACTGAATGTAAAAATCTTTTACCTCCCCTTGGTGGCCTCCTTTCACTTCTTCTTCCACTGGTGTGCATTTGTGGACGCCGTTTGCACCCAGCGGGTTTCCTCGGAACCAGGCAGCTAAGCAGCTAGGCGCCCAGCATTGCCAGGCAACAGATGACGACGATTAGAGGAAAATACGAAGGAAGAAAAAAAACTGCCCACCAACAGACATTTCGTCTAGTAAACTTACGACTTTTCCCTTCCTTCTTTATTCTTTTTCGTCTATTTTTCTTCTGGGAATCGCCCCCTATTTATTCCTTTTTCCTCTGCTTTATCGCTCAACAATACAAACTCGGCGCCTCCTCGTGGTTGATTGACAGTGCGAGCCAGCCTCAGCGGCTCGGCTCGATTTCATGTTAGACAGAACGAGACGGTAATGACGTAGTGGTGAAGGGGAAGAAGAAGAAAATAAAAAACAAAAAAAGAGGAAACCAGGAAAACGTCTCCTTATATACTTTTCTATTTAATGTCTCTTTATAAAATAAACCTTCCTTCTTCTACCCTGCCTTCTTCCTCTTCTTTCCTCTCCTGTCTATCGCTGCGTTTTTTTCTGCTGCTCGCCCCGATATCTAATTTTCCTGTGTGCCTCCCAAACACCATCTCCGTACTTTCTTATTACTTACTCAACCAAACAATCAACAACCAGTCCATCCGCCAAAGGCCCCCATCGTCTTCTATATTTATTAGACTCCCTCATTTTCCCCTTGTACCATTAAACTTCCCATTCCCACACTCCAGCATTTCCTCTGCCCATGACAGACTTCGCCAAATCCATTCTTGGCTTGGGCTTCAAAAGAGACTCTTCTCCTGCTGACGATGTTTCCAGCAGAGGCTCTCCGTCGCCCGCCCCGCTGCATAATCTCGACAACCCGAAGAAGTTCTTGCCGAAGAACCTAGCTGCTCATCCTACAACGGCCGTGCTGAGCCAGTCCATGGCGTACGGCACCACTACTTCCTCTGAGAACCAACCACTGGCCCACCAGCGTGCCCAGGGCTCTTTTGCTGCCCAAGACTTGCATCCTTCTTTATCAAATCCATCGGACTCATCCACGGCTCATAAGTTGACTGCTTCTGCTGCCGTCAACTATGGTGTCAAGGACTCCGACCCTCATAGCCTGTCGAATTTGGCCGATACCGCCATGGAGTCTTCTCCTACTCCTCCTGACCTGTCTCAACCTGTCATCATCACTACAGACGAAAAGGGCCAACATTCCCAGGCAAAGACCTCTCTGCAGCCCAAGGGTAAGTTGAAGGTCACCATCATCGGCGCCAAAGACTTGATGATTTCAGAATACTCCCAGCCCTACGTTGTGCTGACTTACGAATGTTCCGAGTTTGTCAACAATTCCGCTCCTTCGAAACTGCCAATGCTCGCCACCCATCAGAACCAGCTGCGTTTGTCCCCTGGCATGCCTATGAAGCAACCTAGAGATAAGAGACCTGCTTTGTACCAGCGCCAGTCGTCTACTCAGCAGTTTCAGCTTTCCCAGGGCCAGACCCAGGTCTGGAACCATGAGGCTGTCTTTGATGTGGTGGGCTCAAACTCAGAGTTGGACATCTCTGTTTATGACGGTGCCAAAGATGACGCCTTTTTGGGCCAAGTCCGTATTGTGCCCAACACTGATACACCTAGTGCCAACAAGACTCAGGAAGCTAGATGGGAACCTTTGCGTGCTCGTGTGGTTGGTGAACGCGTCACTGGCATGTTACAAATTAAGTGGCAGTACACTCGCTTCGACTCCAAGAAGCTGTATGGCCCTGACGACTTCGAAGTTCTTAGGCTCTTAGGTAAGGGTACATTTGGTCAGGTTTACCAAGTGAAGAACAAGGACAATGGCAGAATCTATGCCATGAAGATCTTGTCGAAGAAGCTTATCGTCAAGAAGAAGGAGATCGCTCATACTATCGGCGAGAGAAACATCCTCGTCCGTACATCTGCTGCTGCATCACCATTTATTGTTGGACTCAAGTTCTCTTTCCAAACGCCAACAGACTTGTATCTCGTCACTGACTACATGTCTGGTGGTGAATTGTTTTGGCACCTCCAAAAAGAAGGCCGTTTCAACGAAGACAGAGCCAAGTTTTACATTGCTGAATTGGTGCTTGCATTGGAGCATTTGCATGATAACGACATTGTGTACCGTGATTTGAAGCCAGAGAACATCCTTTTAGATGCCAAGGGCCACATTGCTTTGTGTGACTTTGGATTATCTAAGGCTAACTTGAACAATGATGGTACTACGAACACGTTCTGCGGTACTACAGAATACTTAGCACCAGAAGTGCTTTTGGATGAAAGTGGATACACTAAGATGGTTGACTTTTGGTCTTTGGGTGTGCTTATCTTCGAGATGTGTTGCGGCTGGTCGCCATTTTACGCTGACAATACCCAGCAGATGTACAAGAACATTGCATTTGGCAAGGTTAGATTTCCCAAGGAGGTTTTGTCTCCAGAAGGAAGATCATTTGTCAAGGGTTTGTTGAACAGAAACCCACGTCATAGACTCGGTGCATTGAAGGATGCCAGAGAATTGAAAGAGCATCCATTTTTCCAGGACGTTGACTGGAACTTGTTGAAAGCCAAAGACATTCCTCCTCCATTCAAGCCACATCTTTCGTCAGAGACCGATACATCCAACTTTGACCCTGAGTTCACCAATGAATCCACTAGTGTGCTCAAAAAGCACATGGAAATGGCGTCCACGCCATTGTCACCTGGCATCCAAGCGAACTTCCAAGGCTTCACATACGTGGATGACTCAGCTATGGATGATCACTTCAGCAAATCGCATAGATACCAAGCATTTAAACATTCTGGGTCGTTTATTCCCGGAAACTCTAACCTTCCACCCGACGATGAGGTGATTGACGATCAGATTGATGAAGAAGACGAAATGGAGATTGATACCGACGCCAACATGGAAAGCGAAGAGTTCGTCCATGGTCGCTTCGACTTATAAGTCGAATAATAGAGAAGCGGGCCGCGAGAGCCGATTTCTACAAACATTACCAGCAACATTACTTATTACATTACTTTACACCTTTTAATACTTCTTTGCAAACGCCATCATCATGCCGCCATTTTCTGATGAGCTTTTTGTACATTATTGTTTTACTTTTATAGTGTCGTTATAGATGATCGCTTCGTGATAATGCTGGTTGTTTTTCGCACCCAGTAGTAACCACCAACTCAAGTGTGTGCACCACCCAGAACATTGCAACTATCAACATCCTACCATACAAAGAAAACCATCAGGTCCCAGCTAATTAGATCATGAGCAGCAGGACGAAAAGAGTAAGAGGACGTGTTCCTCCAGTGGACCATGGTCAGCCCCAACCAGCATCAGTGATGAAAAGCGATAATCTACAATTACACGACGAGGCTGACTTGATAAACTTCAGGGCAGATGCCTTCGCCAGATTCATAAGCAATCAAGACCTTCTAGAGACAGCGGCACTGAAGCCATTTCATACATCTAAGATTGATCCACCGGCACCTTTTCCCGTACATAAGAAGAAGTTGTACGAAGAGGATGCGACAGACGAACAGGTGAAAGAGGTTCTTCGAAATCTCGGCAAGGAAGACTTTATATTTGGTGACTTGAGGCTCATGAAGCTTAAGGAGCAAATACTTCAGGAAGAGGTTGAAAGTAACCGCAAAGAGTTGACAGAGTTGCAGGAGGACCCAAACAAGACGTTTGGTGAAGAGATGTTGTTCCAGAAGAAAGCCATGGCTCAACTAGCCAAGCTTCATAGTGAGTGCAGTGACGCTGAGTCACTTGAAAAGCTAGAAAAGGGCATGAATGATATTTTGAACGAGTATCAGGAGAAATACAACAAGAACTACAAACTAGAACAGCCGCCATACCAGCAACACTCGATTGCTATTAAAGAGTTGGCTCCAGAGGTCACCGTGGAGAAAGCACCAGAGAAATACAATCCTCGGCTGATCTCGTCGTTTTTGGACATGGAAGGTGAAAACAAAGCAGAACTGGACAAGCAGGAGAGTCTACATGACGGCCCACAAAGCTACCAAGATTCAATGTTTGGGGACGAAGACAAGATGGATAATAACGGGCAACTCTACATGCAAGGTAATGGCGATGAAGACTTTGCCATGGCCATGATGAATGAGCACGGGCACGAGGGCCACAATGAACAGAAGCAAGATATCCCCGAACACGAGCCACCACAACAACAGCAACAACCACCAGTCAAGAAGACTCCTTCGGACAGCAATAACGTCGCAGAGAACGACGTCAACATGGAGGATCTTAACCAGTTCCTTGCTGACCCTCAAGGGAACGATGATATGATGGGAGATGACATGGACGCGTTGATGAACTTTGGGCCCGACAATGAAGAAGGAGGCATAATGGACGACGACGCCTTCAACTCCGATTTCCTCAGCCAAATCGACCACACAATGGAATAAAACACCTTCCTTTCTTCCTTTTAACGCCGGTTTTTGCACGTGCTGGAGCCTGGTGCCCTCACGTGCGAGATAAGTGGGAAACGCGAGATATCGTGGAAAGTTAGTACGTAGGTGTCAAAAAAACGAGTAAAAAAAAAATACAGCATAACACTGATATCACAGATAACCGCTAATAAAGGGAATCCTGGGAACCCAAAAGAGCCAGATACGTACGAAGGGGGCTTCTTAATATACAACTATTGCTATTTTGCAGCTTTAAACAGCATACCAAAACACCCTTTATTTTATGGAACCGGCGCCCGGTCCGTATGTTGATACCCCAGGAATAGCTACTACTCGGTTTACACAAAGGATGCTGTTGAAACAGCAGCAACAGGCTCGCAGTCGGTTGCGTCAGCAGCGACTCAAGGTCAGCTTTTTCGGATATCTTGTCGTTTTGGTGTTTTTCGCCGTGCTCCAGTTCATTGGTATCTACTTCTTTGCCAAAGGTTTTCTCTTGTCCAGACAAGTTTTACCTAATGTGGCAGAGTGTGGTGACGATGGATGTCTTCCACCTCAATTTGAAAAGACAGTGATAGTGGTGATTGATGCCTTGAGGTTCGACTTTGCTATCCCTGTTGAGGAGAGCCAGGCTGACCCATACTACCATAACAATTTCCCCATCTTACATGATCTCATGCAGAAACAACCAGATAATGCTGTCCTTTTGAAATTCTTGGCAGACCCACCAACCACGACATTACAGCGTCTCAAGGGCCTCACTACGGGGTCTCTACCGACATTCATTGACGCTGGCTCGAATTTCGATGGTGACGCGATTGATGAGGACAACTGGCTTCTCCAATTACACAAAAGGAATAAGTCTATTGCATTTATGGGCGATGATACATGGAACGCCTTATTCAAGCATTACATCAACCCAGAACTCCATTTCCCTTACGATTCCTTGAATGTGTGGGACTTGCATACCGTAGACAACGGTGTTATAGAGCATATGGTTCCCTTGCTCGATCAGAAACGGGCAAAAGAGTGGGATCTCTTGGTCGGTCATTTCCTTGGAGTGGATCATGTGGGTCACAGATATGGCCCTCATCATCTTGCCATGAGGGACAAGTTGCATCAGATGAACACATTTATCGAAGACACTATCAACAAAATTGACGATAAAACGTTGTTGATTGTCATGGGAGACCACGGAATGGATCCTACTGGAAACCATGGTGGTGACAGTATTGAGGAATTGGAAAGCACGATCTTCTTTTATTCCAAGAACAGGAAATTTCACATCAACAAGCACGATGCTGCGGATTACGACACGTCTGATCTTGGTAAAAACTATAGATCTGTCAATCAAATTGACTTGGTTCCTACAATTTCTTTGCTTATGGGTATGCCAGTTCCACATAACAATCTTGGCTTCCCTATTGATGAAGTTTTTGGTAATAATAAGGACCTCAGTTCGGCCGCTCGTATCACTGTGGAGCAGATCAATAGATTTAGAGGTCTTTCTGCTGAGCTTCGACTGGATGAGAAACTCACGGAGAAGTTTGAGTTTATCTCCGACAACTTCACAAAGTATGGCAAGAACAAGAAGTACTATGCTGATTTAATTTCCGAATCTAAGGCATACCAAAGAGATTTCTTAGACCACTGCAAGGGTCTCTGGGCGCGTTTCGACTTAGTCCTCATTGGGCTTGGTGTGTCTGTGATGCTCTTGTCGCTATCTTTTGTTTTAACTTATTCTAGATCAATCCCGTCAGTGAGGGTTCTGACGATGTCGTTCGAATTTATCGGATCGATCATTGCAATGACCTTGTTGGGTCTTGTTTCCAGCATCTCAATATTTATTGTCTTGAGGCCATCGGGAGTGACGCTTCGCACTTGCTTATTATTAGGGTGTGCTATCGGTATCTCCATTGGTTTCTGGGCTCCGATCATGGATCGGTTCAGCCTTTTGTGGCTTTGGCAACAGGTCGAAGATTTTTTCCACTACAATGTCAATGGTTGGTCTACTATGGGATTATTGATGGTTCTTTTTCATAGCACAATTTTTGCATCGAACTCTTATGTGATTTGGGAGGATAAGCTTGTGAGCTTCTTTCTCACCACATTTGGTTTCTGCTGCTTCTTTGGATGTTTGAGAAGCTCAAAGCCATATGAGCAACGTATTTTGGGTGCGCTGCACGCAGCTACGTTTATCTTGTTAACAAGGTTGGTCTCAATGATTAACTTATGTCGTGAAGAGCAGCGCCCGCTCTGTACACCAACATTTAAGACTACTTGGTGGTCTGTGTTATTATTGCATATCTGTGCATATATTTTGCCAACTGTGATCAAGTCTTTTTACAAGTTCACGGCATCATACCATTCCGCTGGACCATTGTGGATTGGCACAGGCATGAAATTCCTCATGCTAATGAACGCATCTTACTGGACTATAGAGTATTTCGAGAACAACGACTACTTCCAGGAGAAAGCCAAAGCTTTCCTTGAAATTGGCTTAACAAAATCTTTAAAGTTGGGTATTGCCCGTATTGTGCTTTTCATTGCGCTTGTGCTTGCAAACTTCAGCTGGTCTCGTGGCCCACTATGTGTGAAGATTGAGTTATCCGACTCTCAAGAGAGCGACCATGTTGAGACATCATCAAGCTCTGATGACGAAGATGGTGAGACTATTTCTCCGAGACCCAGACAACCAAGGTCTCCGTCAGCTACTATATTGGGCTATGGTAATGTGTACGGTTCGTCATACTTCCTACTTGTTATTAACGTCGCTTGTGCAGTTCTTCTTGTCACTAAACCGTTAGGAGCAATCTCGATTTGCATGATGATAGTCCAGCTTTTATCACTTTTAGAGCTTTATGAAACTTTGGGTCTCCAAAGAAATTTGGTCGCAGTTGTTGTCTTTGGACTTTTGGGATACCAGCACTTTTTCAGCACAGGCCACCAAGCTACCATTCCTTCGATTCAATGGGATATCGGCTTCTTGACAACTCAGACAATTCTGTTCCCCTTCACCCATTTGAATATCCTACTCAACACATTCGGATCATTTTTCATCATATGCATTGCTGTTCCGCTAATTACACTCTGGAGAATACCACCATCCACCAAGCCAATCACACTACTTTCCCAAGTGGTAACTAATGTCACTACTTTGCTCACATACCAAACAATCATCAGCATTATGAGTTTCATCTTTGCTGCCCACTTTAGAAGACACTTGATGGTGTGGAAAATCTTTGCTCCAAGGTTCATGCTTAGCGCCCTTTTACTAATTGTTTTCAACGTTACACTTACGTTTGGAACCATGTGGTTCGCCACATCTAGGGTGTTGACACAAGTCAACAGGATATTTGGTAAGTGAGCCTGGTCATATACTATTTAGAATACTAATGCATATACATTTTTCGCAGCCAAAAACAGTGTTTGTGCACGTGATTTAACAACATATCAGGCAGCCTTCAGACTCACCAATTCATCACCAACCACCATGTGTCGATTCATGATATACAAAGGTAAGGAGCCTATGATGCTCTCAGACCTCCTTACCAAACCAGCTCATTCTATCATCAACCAGTCATTTGACTCAAGGCTTCGTATAGATATGAGAAACCCCATCAATGGAGATGGTTTTGGTGTGGGCTATTATAGGAAGCTAGACCAACCATGTATCTTCAAGGCCATTACCCCAGCGTGGAACAACGTGAATCTTAACTCATTATCAAACTGCACGGAATCACTGCTTGTGTTTGGCCACGTCAGGGCCTCCACTCAAGGTGTTCTTTCAGAGACTAACTGTCACCCATTTCTGTATGGAAGAATCATGTTTATGCACAATGGTGGTGTTTCATGCTTCGACAAGATCAAGAAGAAGCTTATTAATCATATTGATGATAAGTTTTTTACGTTTATCCAGGGGTCGACCGATAGTGAATGCTGTTGTGCGTTACTCCTAGATACACTATATAAAATGGGCTATGATGCTGAAGACCCCAAGACTGTTTATGGGCACAAAGTATTGAGACAAGCTATTCTCAGAACAATCGAGCTTATCAAGGATTGGCAGTGTGAAGTTACAGATGAGCCTTCGTTATTGAACTTTGCAGTTACCGATGGTGAATCTGTCGTCATTACGCGTTACATCACATCCAAAACTGATGAAGCTGCTTCATTACATTTCAGCACGGGACTGAGATTTCTTGAATATGACACTGGCTTATACAAGATGGAGAGACTCAATAGGTCCCAGGATGTTGTCTTTGTTGCAAGCGAGCCATTGACATTTGAACGTGGTGACTGGATCTGCGTTCCTACGAATACGACACTCACAATCACGAGTAACAACACCGTTCTTATGCATCCTATTGAAGACGAGTTTTGGAGCGATGGCCTCGCAGAGAGATCTTCCGGATTGGCTATGCGTAAGGGGCTTATGGGTGGTGTGCCAACAAAACCCAACACGGAACCAAGTGCTGAAGACGAAGTGGATAGCACAGTTGCTCACCTCCCGCCATTACAACGTGAAGGAAGAAGAGCGAGTGAAATTGCATCATAGAGAGTAGCTGGATCTACATCAATAAATTTCAAAATAGAAATCGTGTTTCATTAGCATCATTAGAGTTAAATGCATGCACAGCGTAGTCTATTGCGAGCACCTCGTTGCTTAAGCTGTCTCACGAATGCTGGTTATGATGGAGCAGCTGTGCTTAAATGGGACTTGTGTCGTCGGTTTTACCTAACCTTTACTTGCAACTCGCGTTAGCTTGTTACTCTTACCGTCTTTCGAGTCGGTCTCTAAAGCGAGATCCTCGTCGCTGTCCGAGCTGGACGTGGAGTCTTCACTCAGGTTGTTGGTGTCCCCAGGATACAGATGCATCTGGTCTCTCACAAGTAATCCTTGGTTATCGTAAAGGGGGTTCGCCTTCTTGTACGACATGCCATCGTCATTGGGGTCAATGTAATCGTCATCGTCATCTCCAGCGTCACCGGAGACATGAAGGAAATCATTGTATTTGTTTTCAGTATCTTCTTCATTCTTCAATTCCTTGGCCTTGCTATTAAGGGAGGATTGGAAAGCGTTAGAACCAGATATGGTTAGTTGCAGCGACATGTAATTGGCAAAGTGGTCATCGTCATCCTCGGACTCGGACTCGTCACTTGAGCTTAACTTGTTACCGTCTTTCTTCTCAGCGTCGCTCTCTTCGCGAGTGTCCACATCTTCGTGGAATTCCTCTTCCTTATCTTGGTTCTCGTAACTGCTGCCTATTAAGTCGCGATCATTGTCTATCGTATGCATTTCACGCAAGGCACTTTCGAACTCGCTCTCCTCGATGATCTCACCCGTACTTTCATCGAAAGTATTCGAGCCCTCGTCGTCATCCACATCGCTGCCGCCGAGGATAGCATTGTACTTCTTTCTTGTATCATACAAGACTTGGCTGACATAGTTCTCCCAAATCTCGTCTTCGATTCTTTCATCGATAAGCTCGCTGACAGTACCAACAGGGTATAATTGAATAAATTTGACCACTTCTTCTGCGATTAATGTCAAGTGGCCCATATATCCGAGTCTCATGCCGCTGTGCTCTTGTTCATAGTCCGAACAGAGACGCTGGCCCTCGGTGATCTTGTGCGTGATGTTACCAGAATGGAAGATGTCAATAGCGAGGAACTTGTTGAATCCAATATCCATGGAGCCATTCAAGACTTGTTGCACTATATCAAAAACGACGTTATGCAAAAAGTTGTTCCATGGAAACTTGAAAAACATCGACAAAATATTGGATACAATCTGAGAATCGTATAATGCGATCTTGAGGTAATCACCAACGACTGGGTCCGCTCTAAGTTCTTCTTCGGTGAGATTAGCATTGCTATGAGGTGGCTCTTCTTCGTCGCCACTATTCTGATTTCCATGATGGGCAACTGATGAATCTTGCATTTTAGAATTAAATGAATCAATGGTATCATTGAAATCGTTTTCGTCGTCAAATTCGTGCTTTGGCAAGTCTTTGTCAAACTTTTTGGTCAACTCTTTCTCAGCATCAAGACTTGGCTGCCAATCGTCGGCAGGAAGCTCGATCACTTCGTTGTATTTGAATGCAACAGGGTCAAACTCCCTCATTTTCTTTCTAAGTTGGTCTCTTATCTTCACGACATCAAATCCCTTGTTGTCATTGAGAAGCGCCATGTTGGAGCAGTGCAAAAGTTCAGCGATCAACTCGCAAATCTTAAACCTCTCAAATCCCAAAGGCTCGATTTTACCGAAAGTGGTGAGCAAGGACGAACCCTCATTCACATGAATCAATAGTTTATTGAACTCATCGATCTTGCTTCCGAAAACTTTCAACAAATGGCCCAAATATATGGGGTCTCTTCCTGTGGGAGGATGACTTTCCAAGGTGATGTAAAGGACTGGTAAAATGTCGTAATCCGAGTTATTCTTTCTGATAATCTCAATAATAATGCCAACACCATTGGCCAATGCATAGCCACCCTTCAACATAATATCACAAAGACGAGCCATAATGTCATAAGACACAAGCTCACGGGTAAGTTCGTTGGGTCCAATGGTGGAATTGTCAGTAGTAGAGTTAGCAGAAATGGTAATGAGCGCTTTTAGGAAGTCTGCAGCGGATGATTGTCTCACTAACAAGACATCAATGTCAGTATCCGTGTCGGAAGTATCAAGAGCATCAACAAGCTGAGGAACAAGCTCTTGATCCTGAAGGAAGTCTATTATGCCTGTGGAGTTATCCGGTTTATCAGTGGAAATGAGCTTGAGCAAGAAGTCCATGAGGGGTGGGTTGGCCAAGTGGTTCATGAACTTCTTGACCAACAACGGCTGGTTGTCAATCAAGTAAGTGATCATTTCCTCGCACTTCATGTCCAAAAGGTGTTCCATAATTTTCATAAAGTACGTAGCCAAGTTGATCGACAACGGTTGCTCTAGATCGAGAATCGACCATAACTTATTAAGATTCTGTGTGGACTCCATCACTGTGTCGGTAAGAGACCACACGTCAGCACTCAAGATCTCTGCTGACAAGGCAGCATAGCGAGAACGTCTTTCCTCAGAGGATTCAGGGGAAGCCTCCTCTTCTTTTTCACTCTCTTCTTCCTTCAGAGATTTAGGAGAAGACGTTTTCGAGTCGTTTTCATTGTCGTCGTCTTTGTTCTCCGACAGGGGCTTCTCTTCAGTCTCACCGTCGGAATCCTTACTTTGTTCAGAGTCAGAGCCCGACTCAACCTTCAAATCTGGAGAAAGATTGAGTCTCTTCAAGCTCATGGCAAGCTGTTCGCCCTGCAAGCTTTCCAGAATCAAAAGGTCCACAAGCATGCTGATGACGTTGTCATTACGCAAGAACTCAAGCAACATGGAGTTATTCGACATCAACTCCTGAAGCAAGTCATTCTCGTCCAAAAGCTTTAGGAGCACTGATATTGTCTGGGAGTCATCTTGGGCATTGTCGTTGATGGTATGGTTTTCTAGAATGGAGGTGACGTTGGATAGGGAAGTGAAACCATTACTTAGCTTCCAGAAAGAGCCCGACATTTTTCACGGAGGGGGAACGAGTCTGGGCCGGGAACCAAGCAGAAGGCTAAGGTTTTTTAAGGGGTATAAAAGGGGGTTTATGGGGGTAAACGATCACACGGGTAGGATCCGTGAAGGTTGGTTGGTGAGTCGGTTGAGGTTGTTGGATGCAGAGAAAGAAGAAAAAAAAAAAAAAAAAAAAAAAAAAAAAAAAAAAATAGCCAAAAATGAGCCAAAGGGAAAACAAAACTTGGAACAGCACGAAAAAAGAGGACTGGAAAAAAAAAAAAAAAGAACTGCAACGACCCACATAAGGTAAACCACCATCCACTTAAACCTTAAAAATAAGCACTCTCTAAATTTTAATGTAAATCTTCTCCTTCTCTCCAATTGAAAAGTTCTACGTTCTACCGTGGCATTCCCACTGGTCCGCCCTAAACCACCTCGGTGTTCTTGTATAGGCGGCTCGATTCAACTTGCTGTGTCTTATCCCGACTTAGGCGACCTGGCAGGTATCGTGAGCGCCTCCTCGACAGGGCTGAAGCAGGGGGTGGCAGATGGAGGGGAATAACGGTGGGAGAGGGAGTTTTCGATTTTTGGAGGGCGATTTTTGAAAAGTGGTTTTTAGAGTTTGGGTGGTTTGGGATTTTGTGGGGTTGGTGGTTGATACAGTCAATGGCTGCAAATGGGTGGGTTGAGGGAGGTTAGTGTGGAGACACGGAAAAGACGGTGAATTACAGGGGGAAGAATGCAATTTGGATTGCAATTGGGGTTTAAAATGCCATCATGGTCTTTTGAAGCTTTGTAAGTGTTCTGATTGTTCTATCTGGAGAACACCACTGGCTAGGGCCTGTTCCTGGATGACCTATGTCTGTACCAGCGAGGCTTATCCTACGAAGTAGTTGCTGGATTTTGGGTCTTTGGTAGTAGACGTTTTCAAAGTTATAAAAGTACCCAGAGTTCGGTTTTTGTTTGTCCTTTCATGGAATTGTACTTTGCTTGTGGTGCTCTTCCATCGCCTGTGGCCCTACTAATGCCACACATGGCAACCACTGCATAATAACACTTCTATTACCATTGAAGCTTCAAGAAACCGTTTTTCAGGTATAAAGTTAAAGTTTAGCTACAACTATCGTTAATTCACTGACTTTAGTTTCCCTGGGCTGTCCACATAGACTAACATCCACAGTTGACGCGGTGGAAAGCCGATACGGCTTTTGGTGTACTTGAAAAAAAGAAAGAGGAACTTTTTTTTACTCAGCCGGCAGTTTTGCACTCCAGCACAGCCATCCTATCGAGTTATCAACATTTCTTGTCAATTGGGCTATTCTTACTTTTTCTTAGTCCTTCCCATTGTCTTTTGGTATGGAACGAATATGGAACTTTTTTTCTTCCCTTTTCGCAGCCATTTCAGTTAGTGTAAGTGTTGAGGTAAGGACATCACCATTCCACTCAACGAAGTATGGAACTTTGGAGAGTTGGTGAATAAGTCAAGATTTGAAGAGTTTGGGATTCAGTTTAGTTTTCTACGTCTTCCTCGGCTTGTACTGTAATACAGCCCTCGATTACATCACGACACCCATCTTCCGTTTAACGAAAACTGATTTCGATAAAGCCACTGAAACCCTACTTGGTATTAATTTTCCAAAAGACAAGCAAAAAAAGTAAGAAATCCTGAGTTCTCCACTTAGTCCATCCTTCCTCGTCTTTATTTAGCATCCATCTTTCTTGTGGTCCATAATCCTCACTATCGCGGAGGTACGGATGTAGAAGGATTTTTTTCAATCTTACTTCTTCAGTATCAAATCTTCAGTCTTTCAATCCACCATGCTTCGGACTGCTTTTACCTCGTGCAGACTGCTTTCGCTGTCTGCTTTGCTTCGAAATGCTGCCCCTGCAGTGTCCACTGCTTCGAAAGGTCTTCCTGATTTGACCTACCTCAAATTCGACTCCAACGCCTCCAAAGACCTTTATGCCGTTTGCAAAATCCACAATATCCCATACATGGTTACCAAGGGCGACAAGTTGATCTTGCCATACAAGATAAGGAACCAGGAGGTTGGCGACGTCTTCAAGTTGGACAACGTCATCACTCTCGGTTCTAGAAACTTCACTTACAACGACAACGATGGTATTCCTCAAGAAGCATACGAGTTGACAGCTACGTTGGCTGAAATAACCAAGGAACCAAAATACCAAGTCGTCAGAAAGAAGCAGAGATGCAGAAGAAAGAAGACCACTGACGTTGAGCCTTTCCAGTCACATTTGATCATCAACGAATTGAAGTTGAAATGATCCATTGAGCATCTATCTGTACATACTTTACGCTCTACTTGTATAATAATATCGTCATCATAAGTCATTCAATCTCGTTAATCGTAGCTAGACTCGTCTGGTGTTGAACTTGATAGCTTCACGTAATTTGGTCTCGTTGAACCTGAAGTTAGGATCCCGCTTCATGAACGGATGCTCGAGAAGCTTTTCGGCTGTAGGTCTGATTTGAGAGTCCGTGGTGAAGCATTGCTTGAGGAAGTCTTTAGCTTCATCGCTGACATCTTCTGGAATTGGTGGTGCCAACTTCGTCTTACCGATCTTGTAAATAGCACTAATCACCGCCTCATTAGACCACGGCCTTTGACCGGCAAACATTTCGAGTACCACACATCCTAGCGACCAAATATCCACCTTGGCACTGTAACCTTGTTTTTTGTCTTCAACGATATTATGGATCACTTCAGGTGCCATCCAGAACACAGTTCCTTGCATAGACATCTCTGCATTATTGCTGTAAATGTCCTGCGATTTCTTAGATATACCAAAATCGGATATCTTACATGTACCATCCGTTTCAAGAAGCAAATTGTCCGCCTTCAAATCTCTGTGAAGGATACCATTCGAGTGTAGATACTTGAGACCTTCAAGTACCTGCTGTGTGATAAATTTGACAAGAGGTTCGTCGAATTTTCCAAAAGATTTAAGACACGATGAGATCGATCCACCGCCAACGTACTCGAGGAACAAACTATAGGTATTTTTCTTCTGTTCAAATCCCAAGTACTGAACGATGTTGAGATGGTCCAAATCTTTCATTGTCTCGACCTCCTTATGCAAAGCATCAAGGCCATCTGAAGTTTTGTTCCAACTGTCATTCACCACAACTTGTTTCACTGCAAGCATTTCACCAGTTGTCACATTAAGAGCCAAGTATACGGAACCGAAGGAACCTCGACCAATTAGTTCACCCTTAATCCAAGCGAATTCTTCAAACTTAGAACTGGTATTCGACCTGATGCGGCTCACGAAGCCCTTTTCGATTTCTGCTGAAGTGACTTCAATAACTTTTTGGCCCCATAGCTTCGTGTTCGTTCTGCGGAGCAGATTTCCACTCTTTTCGTCTGCTGCCTTTGCTGGAGGCTCTGGGAATTTTTTGTTAGCTCTTTGACTAGCTAAGCGCTTGTTACGAGCTTCGTTGGCAACCGTTCTGATCGTCTTCATTCTCTTGAAGAATTTTCCACTTCCTTCCAGCGGAATTATTCCATCTTCGTCTGTTGGAGGGTTCACAGGAGAATTATTAGCGTTTGAAAAAGTACGTGAGATAGATTCTTTCCTCTGGGTAGGGAAAGTTCGCTTTGGATTCACCACCTGAGCAACAGGAGACTCAGGAGAAGCATCAATGATTGGCTTATCAAGATTGGTATTGGGGAAATACTTCTCAAGATTGTTGTAAACTTCTTCCACAGGAGGTCTAACATTCATCTCTCTTAATTCAGCACTTTGGATATTCCGGGTAGGCTTCATAAAAAAGTCTTCCTCGCTGTCACTGTCGTTATTGGTTTCCCCCGAAGTATGCTCTTGTTTTTCTGCCATTGGCTTCACAAAGAAGTCGTCATTATCAGCATCTTCATCGGGTTGATCTTGTCTCTGTGAAGCTCGTGAAGGCGTTCTGGCGGTAAAGGATGGTGCGTCGTCGAAACTGAATTCGTTCTCCGTAAAAGCATTAGGATCCTCCTCTGATCTGCGGAGTGATGACAGTTTAGACGAAACCCTTCTTCCACTTCCATTCCTGGACAAGGCAGGCAGAATCGAGGCACCCAGCAAAGTCCTTCCCGATCTCACCGATCCAGTTGGAGGAGGTGGAGCTTTACGCTTGGCGACAAAATTACTAGACCTTTCATACTCCAGACCCAGTGATGAAGCTCGCGAAGCACCTTCTTTAAATATAGCCGAACGTATTGCTTTTGTAGACAATGAGTTCTTGTCGTCACTGGCTAGCCCGTCTTTAAAGCTAGACGAATTTGGAAGGTTTGGCAGTTTGTCGCTCTTCAGCTTCTTTGAAACCTCGGTCAAATCGGACTGGGCCAGCGGTGTGGTAGCCTGATGCGTGAATTCAACTTTGCGAGAGCCTTGCTGGGCAGCACCGTGATTAAGAGTTGGCTTCTTTGTTCCTCTTCTATTGGCAGGAATAGTAAGTTTCAAAGGATGTTGGAACAGTGCAGCAGGGCTCCTTGCATCCTTTGGATTCTTGATCTGAGAGAAGGCTTCGTGATCTTTGAAGTTTATGTAATCCACTCCCTTATCACGAGCGTCTTGCAAAAGATACTGAGGAGTAGCTGGATACATCCTTCCATTATTGTCCCCAGTGAGATCGAAGGAACGTGCATCAGACGATGTACTGGAAATTGTATTAGTTCCAGGAGAATTGACTATCTGCTGAACATGGATCTTAGAAAGCAGACTCTGACGCAAAGCTTGAACAATAACGTCGTCCGTCATAGGCTCTCCAGGAATGCAATCAAAATCGGTGAGATGAAACGTAATTACGCCGAAGTTGAGGAGATCCAATGACTTGAATATCTTCTTTCTCAACAGGTCCAAGTCATCCAAATCCTTCGAGTAAATTCGTAAGGGCTTAAAAGATACATTATCCTTGGAAAGAAGAATAAGTTTCGATTCATCTTCAAGTGTGCTTTTTGGTACAGGTAGATACCTAGCATCTAGCTGTTCTTTCTTTATCTCAGCACTTAACAGCCTATCACTCTCTGCTGAGGATTCGCCCACTTCAAACGGCGGATAACCTGTTGAATTTGTCGAAATTGGGGAAAGCGTGCTATCATCTTGGGAACGCTGCAAGCTTAATAAAGAATCTCTGTTCAAAAATGAATTGTTTCTGCCAGACAGTTCGGCCCTCCTGTGACTGGACGAACCATGGCTGGTCTTTTTATGTCCACTAGAATGTCTGCCGCCGGAGCTCCCCGAGCTGGGGTGAACCTGTTTGACTATACCAGCAGCTTTGTCGCCACTGTACTTCCAAATAGAGCTAAATATTCCACTCATTCTTTGGCCCGTCGAATTTCTTGGATCATCCGTGGCTGACCTATGACCAGGATTATACGACAGCAAGCTTGCAGTGCTAGCATTTGCTTTGGTAGACTCAGAAGAGAGAGTCCTGTGGTGAAGTCTGAAAAACTTATGAGAATGGGATTGGGACTGATCTCTCAAAGGGTTCGCCTTGGCACTGGATGGGTCAACGTAAGAATATGGACGGGGTTTAGTCGGAACAGATGACGATAGATGTGTCGTAAGGGTTGCGGAAGACTTCCTGTTCTCTGCTCTCTTTTGCACTTCAATCTCTGGTGGCACCAATGTAGCACTTGTGGCACTGGATGGATAATCAAGCTGGTATAGTTCTGACCTTAGAAGATGAATGAAACGGTCAACAATAGATTTATCGTCTCCTACGCCGAGACTTCGGCTAAACTGCTTCCATATCATTGAAGTAGAATCATAGTTCCCCAACTCCAAGAATCTATTTCCGGAAATTTCGTTTCTCTTGAAAGTCTCCTTCCATGAGCTGCTGAAACCATTGTAATCAAGCCAAGCTATGACGTTATCCATCAGCCATCGAGTTGTTGGGTTCAAGGCTGGCTGAGATGAATGAGCACCCATAGCGTACCTGAGAAATCTTTGCTGATTATTGTTCTTCGTTAGCGTAGAAGACGTAGATGTTGTAGATATCGTGGACGATGCAGAGTTGTTTCGAAGGTGTTCCTTTCGTTTGCTATTAGCCAGCTCTTGCAGGCTGCGGTTGTCTTGGGTATCAGTCTTAACGGGTTCTTTCAAGGTTCTTTCGTCCGTCGCTATTTCAGGTAAGTGTAGATTAGGACGCGAGCCATTGGAGTATGCGGAGCTGGGGGTCAAGGAGGCGGCAGTGCCTCTCGAATCGGTATTAGGGTTCAAAGCCAATGCACTGGCGCTGTAATCATATTTGCCTATTATCAGGCCCACCATGTTGGAGTTTCCAGACATCAAGGATTTAGGCGGCAGCGACGACTGAATAGTATTGAGTTCATCTTCGGATTGACTCATAGGCAGCGTCTTTATGCTAACAAAATCTGCATTTTCAAGGCCATCGCCGAACTCAGACTTCGAGGGCGAGTAGTGAAACTCTCTGGTCGACTCGTCAGCCTCACTAAAGCTGAACAGGTTCACATTTGACAGGCTTGTTGATGGGTTCATGCGTGGCTGGGTTTCAGGTTGCACAGGCTTCTGGTCCTCCTCATTTACACCAACCCTACGAGAGCTGGTGCTGCTGGTTCTCGAGAAGGTTTCCATGAACTTAGACTGCCCGTCGGCCATCGGCTTCTCGAAGTCTGGCTCGTATACTGTGTTGACTGGATAACTACCCACACTTTGACGTTGGGAATCACTCCCGTGTGAAAGGAAACTGTCGCCGAAACTTGTAATTGACGAAGGGGAAGGCTGGCCTCTGTTACGTATCATGACGTCGTCTGAGACTATTCTCTGGGGAGCCTCTATATCATGGTAAGCCAGAGGAGGCCTCGCCCTCAGGATATCGTAGCTGGCTGATCTTTTGTTGGGATCATTATCCAACGGTAACCAGGACATTCGTAGATAAAATCAATATGGTATTGGAGGCGTTGTAAAGAGGGTCCGATGTCCCTTGAATAGACAGTAGTATTTATGTGGACTCTGCACAGGACTGGCCAAATATAGAAGCTGCTTGATGATAAGGAAAAACACGCTTTGACAGCCTCACACAAATATAGCTCAAGGTCAATATATAGATTTTGAATAACGGAACGACATAAACGGCGTGTCTTGAATTGCCTAGTCCAAGAAAGGTCACACTGCTTAAACTCAGCCTTGTGACGCACTCGCACGTATTCTCGTATTTTGCACCCATTGGGTCTGAGAGCATCGGACCAATTATCGGGGTTGACAAAAAAATGACTTTGTAAGGTCAAATTTTGATTTTGAAGAGATGTGGATTTTGAAAGGAAAGTCTATTTTTGTTCTCTTGGAAGTATGTGTTGTAGAGGATGTAGGTTCATCAATACCAGTTCTACTACATCAAGTCTACCGCGAATAACCATCACTACATTACTGTCTGAACCATATACACCATAACATGCCATGGCTAGCTTCGACCAGCAAATACGCCAGCTTGTCAAAGACCTACATCTGCTTAATGAATTGGGGAGAGCAGAAAGTAGGCGTTTCGACGCTGTTTTCCGGAAAGTCGTTGATGATGTCCTCGCTCTAGTGAGCTTTAAAGATAAACATAAGATCAGGATTTCGATTTCGACGTCACAGTTTCCTCCACTTGTGATAAATTGCTACTGCAAGCATCCTAAGAAAGACTTTGTTGTTGATCAGCCAAGCATACACCAATTGGCACAGTCTGATCCTCATATTCAGCATACATCCCGCTTTCACCAGCTACTACGAGCACTTTCCAATACCACTGCCGAAGGTGGCCGACCCCGGCGCGTCAAACAAGAATATAAGGACGTTGTTGATCATTTGTCTCGTTACCTCGAGCAATTACTGGCCCTATATGATTCTTCACAGTCTCAACTAGCAGACTTTCTTTCCCGCTGCTTGACCCATGAGTACGCTTTAGCATATAATCTTAATAGGAAGGTGGAAGAGACCACTGACGAAACAGAGCAGCTCATATCCGCTTTAGATGGTTTGGTCACCAGAACCCAAGCGATGGAAGATAACGACTCCATTTTTGACTACAAGCCGTCTTCTCATTCCAATGAATCGAGTGAGCTACTAAACTTTACGAGCAGCGACGAAACCCTTAATCAGACGTATGAGGCTATTTTGCATCTAGCACTTCTAAAGCCAGCTTCGCTGTTCTACGGTAGTGTATCTTCCTTAGCGAGAGTCATTTTACAGATTCTCGAGAAGTACCACGGAGTCGAGCTTATGGAGATTGAAGAATACCAGGACAGGGAGGGCATACGTCAACTAATGTATGAGTTCCTTCTTGGATCTGAAGATTATGCTGGCATAGTTCCCCACTACTTTCTTGCAAGAGCGGAGTCTATTCTTGATTCTAACGCTGTTAGCGATGAAAGCTTCGGAGCGGAGCCTACCAATGCAAAGGAAGACTTTGATGAAGCTCCAACTTCCTTTATGGAGACGCTGATAGCTGAAAGCTATCTGAGAGAAGAGCTTATCGAACTCTTGGCCAACTTGAATACGGTCGTTGCTCTACTAAATGAGTATGATCTACAGTTTCATCCACAGTTCCCGAAGATCTTTAGGGCATTTCTCAATCTTGTTTATGATGACCTTAATGATCTAGCGTCTGCGAAAGACTATGAGTATGTTGAAACTATAAGCGACCTTGTTAGACAAATCAGTGATTACGAAGTCAATGTGGATGGCTTAGATGGTGATATCATAAGAGGTATAATCGATCATCTTCACTTCATGCAAGGCTTTTTAACTTCTGGCTATGATGATTCAACGCTTTTGATGCGCCTGGCGACACGAGTGTTCTTTTCGGAGTTCGAAATTACGAAACGCGTTTTCAGAGATTGGAATCTTAAGACCGTATCTGTTGTTCATCTCGAAACGATCCTAAATCAAAATTCACCAAGTAAGAATGGGGTTACCACTCGGGATGTTTTCTCGACATGGTATGACAAGTATATGAAACTCCTGCAATTATCTTCCCAAGCCGACAGATATTCTGCTAAGAAACTCATTGCAAGAATTCTTAAAGATCTTTGGATTCCAAAGTTGATTCATTTCGGTGACCTTGAATATCAGTCTCAAAAATTTGTTCTCGACAGGAGGTTCAGGTCATGGAATTCGAAGTCGGCTAAGTGGAAACGAGCACAAAGCTCTCTGGAGGCATTTTATACTCGGAACCTCTTAAGTGCTACTCTCAATCAAATGAAGCAGAGAATAAGCAAGCTTCGTCTTGATAACAAGAATGCAGCTACAATCCATGATAAGGTCCGTAAAAAGACAGATGGCATCATTGCGAGAAATACGATTCATCAGTGGCAGACAATGTTGAACAAGAAATTTTCGGCAACAGATGAAAAGCGTTCTAGCTCCAAAGACTGGTCTCTCAGCGAGAAGCTAGCGGCCCTAGGGAAAATTGAAAGTCGATATTCCTTAGGGAAACATTTCAAGAATTGGCAAAAGCAGATGACTTTGCGACTGAGACTTGAACAAAGTGCCCAGTTAAGTTCTAAGTTAAGGCGTCGCTTTTTCCTTGGTGTTTGGAGGAGAGCATTTGCAATGAATAAACTCTTGGAGAAATGGCAGATAAAACAAGATGATAACGTCACCAAGGCCATATTTAAACACTGGAAGGATAGCTGGGTTCAGAACGAGAAAGCTTCCGAATACCAAAGGAAAGCTTGCCTTTCCGCGGCTCTCAAAAAATGGAATCTAGAGCATAAACGGAAGAGTGCTTGTTTGGATTCACTGTTGAAGCTCTCAACGATTAAAAATTGGAAGCTCAAGGCTTTGTCTGGTGAGTTCAGGAATAAATTAAAAAGGCGACACTTACGCACATACTTTAATGTCTGGAGAACTAAGCGGAATAACATGTCCGAAAATGAGGCTGTTAGTACTTCATTCGGAAATGATAAGTTGAGGAGTGCCATGTTTGCTTTATGGAAATCAAGAATTATGCTCCACAGAGAGCTAAATGTTGTTGCCAAACTCAATTCCGGAAGAAGCCATTTTCATCATTGGAGGAATAAGTATTTGACCCATCTTGCAGTACAGGAGAGAGCTATAGCTTTTAAGAAGGAAGGAAGATCGCTCAACGAAAAGGCTTTGTTGCAGTTCTTTATTAAGCATTGGAAGGAAAAGGTTGTTTCACGTTTTGAAGACTATTCAAATGGTGTGATATTCTCGTTCAATCAGTCTGTCAGAAGAAAAGGTACTTTGAAAGTCTTTTTAAAGTCTTGGAAGAGGAAGTATGCGGAAACGAACTCGAAACAAAAAAGATTAGAATTTTTGTCAAACCAATACAACAGGGCTAACCCTGCTCTCGCGACAATAGTTCGGCATTGGAAGGAAAAGACTTACAGACTTTTTGAGTACGAACAAGCGGGTCTTGATTTTTACCGTGCAATGCTTCATAAAAAGTTCATGGTTGTTTGGTACGAAAAACTTATTGTTAAGGTGAACTACCTAGATGAGTTAGTTGAAGAAGTTTTGAGTCAAAAGAGCTATGCTACTACACTTGAGTATCTTCAAAAATGGAACCTCAAGTATGTGAAGACTTACAAGAGAAACTTACAAACTTGCGAGATGTTCCAAGACAAGTGGAATACAGCGAAGGCAAGGTCGCTTTTCCAAGTTTGGCGACATAAGGCTTTCCACAAAGATACTTCCCAACAGGAAGAGGAAGCTGAGGACTTCGCCGAAGCTAATACAAGCATGTTCTATAGCAGCTTGTCTCCTCTTGCAAAGAAGCGGGGCAGTTTCTTTGAGGGCCATAGTTACCTTCACACGCCAGTGAAGAAGCATGTTGCCAATGCGCCTTTCACTCCATCCTCAAGGATTCGCAGGACGAGTCCAACCAGATTACAAGATACTAATCAGAAGATGACGTTGGATAAGATAGATGCATTAATTAATCACTATAGAAAAGTGAAGGAGCCAACAAATAGGAAGACTACCCGAGTGCAATCAAATATTTTGAGATTACAGGATATCTCGACTGTGAGACTCTCTCCTCCGCGCCAGAATGCCCGTTATTCAAGTCTTCCTTCCAAACCACCAGCTCCAAAATTCGAGAGAGTCTTAGACACATCGCCAAAAGCTACTTCTTCTCCATTTGAGCCTAACGGTTACCAAAAGCTTCCTTCACCATTACCACTGGCAGATATTGACGCATCAGTGCTAAGCACAGCCAAGAAGCTCAAAAGATTCAAGCCTTTGGTTATTCCCAACAACGAAAAGCACGATGATCCAACAGGATCACCGGCAGTGCTGCTAAAGGAACGTCTTGAAAACGCCTCAAGATCCTTTCATTCTCAAAACACCACGCGAGAAACCCGTAATTAGGAGGTTTCCTGAGCATCTTCGAAGCTATCAATTTCTTCGTTGATAGCCTCCTTCACGGCGTCCTTATCGACTGGGGCTGGCTGGTCAATTGGAGTTTCAACCAGTCTGTCGTCATGCTTCTCTTCAGCTTCCAAATCAATATACACTGGAATGGCATCCTGCTCGATTCTCTCGTAAACATACAAGTAGCTGTGTGTCTCGATGGTAGTTCTAAGGAACTTCTGTAACTTAGTCTTGTAGTCCCATGGATCGGCAGTTCCTGAAGGAGAAAGCTCTGCTGGAAGAGCCTGGTAACGTTGTACGTGTTGGATCGTGTACATGAATGGGAAGAAGTTAATTCTGGAGAATGCATGGACAGTCTTCAACTTCTTCCAATGCTTGGGCTCATAGGTAATAAGAGATGCCTTCCTGTTTGGCTTGTCCATATCAACCTCAGTGATGAGATGGGTAAAGTTGTTCCACAAGCGGGACACGTCTTCAATCTTCTCAGTCTTGTCAAATACAACATATGGAGAATGTAATTGAGTGAATCTGGTCACACCACTCATACAAGTTGCGACATCCATGTGAACCACTAGCGATTGATTTGCTTTTGACTCAGTGATGTAATTGTTCAAGAACGAGATCGCCTCACCTCCTGGGTAATTGTAACTGGAGGCATAACTCATCATACCAGTGTAAACGACTGAAACACCGACACTAGCAAGCATGATGAATAATAACAATTTATGAGCAAACAGGTTCGACCATTTTCTCGCAACATTGGCAAGGCCATTAGCTGCTTGCAAAGTAAAGACTGGTACGATATAAACAATGAATCTCCATTCCTTGTGTGGTTGCTTCGACATAAAGGCAATGTAAAGGATGGAAGAAATTGTCAAAATCCTGAGAGAGTTGCGGGCTGGATGAGTGACAACCAACTTGTTGTCCTCGGTGACCTGAGTTGGTGTTCCGTCGTTTGCTGGGTCAATTAAAAGACCCAACAATGTCAAGAGAATGACATGAGGTGGACGGAAGAAATTCAACAAATACTTACCGAAGTATGCCCCATATGGTTCCACGCCCCACTGCTCGGCGTTACCATTGATGATGTTAAATCTAAAGCTCTCAAGCTCTGGCCACACCCATTCACCCCAGAAGTAAGAGTCAACAAGCACAGTAACAAAAACACCGACCACAGTTCCTGCAATAAGGAAATACAGATTAATCTGGAGGTCAGACTGACCAAATCCAAGGGACGAGACAAAGGATATGGTAGTAGCAAAGACGCCAATCTCCACGCGGAAGATAACAGCAGTGAACGATAACCAAGTCAATCCAGACATATCGCCCTTCACCAACTTACTGAAAGCATAGGTGACTATAGGCAAGGCAATAAAGTTGGGCAAGGTTCTGGTACTGTAGAATGGAACATGGAACTGGACGATCAAGAAAAGGGTATAAAAGACGCCAATTGCTCCTTTAATCTTCGAGCCCTTCTCAACAAAAGAAACCTTGCTAAGAGCGTTTCTAAGACTGATGAAACCTAGGATATTCGCCAAGCCAAGCACTCCACGAGCCACAACCTGGACTATGAGCTGGCTATCACCATCCTTCACCACCAACGGAGTACCCTTGATAAGAGTATGACCGTAGTCAATGGCTTTTATAATACCACCAATCACCAAAGCTCCAACAAAAGTTCTCGGAACAACGCCAGGGAACTCCTTATGGTCGTAGTTGCCAAGTTGATCAGGATGAACGCCATAGTTCACCACATCATGGATAGCTTGGATATTAAACAGCTCCTCAACTTTTGTGTATGGGGCAGCCCATAAGTGGTAGAATACTGCCGCTACCAACAACAAATCCAAGAAATATACAAACTTCATTCTTAGGAAGTGGTTGTAGTGGGAAAGTAGCGTTGACCAAATTGTGCAGTAAAGTGCCGCTCGGTTAACTGGGTTAGTGCGGTTAAATGTGCGTCTTAGCAATTACGATTATGGTAAGCGACGACTGATGGCGGGAGATAAAGTATAAGGATTTGTTTGGTTTTTACTAAGGAGAATCAGTTTCTCCAGAGTCTGTTTTTTCGTATCAAGCCAGTGAAATAGCCCAGGAGGACCACAGATACAGCTTTCGCAGCCATTGCTGTTACCTGGTAACTGATACCTGATACTATCAGGTTTATTATAGCGGCAACAACACAGGTATTACTTTATAGAAGGAGTGCTTTCACAGCACTATCTCGATATTTAAACTCAAAAAGTCAGAATTTATTGCTTCACATACTTTGCTTCCTGGACCTGCCAGCCTCCTACCGATTGGCCTACGGTTTTTCAGTGCGCGATGGACATCTATCTATTCCCCACAGTTAAACACCATGGACGACGATATCCCAGAGCTTGTCACCGAGCTTACTGAAGACTTTGCTACGAAGCCTGAGTATCTAGCGACAATCCAAGATACCAAGGAATATGAACAGAAACCGCCCAAGGTCACGTCCAAGATCCCCATCACTATCGTGACAGGCTACTTGGGCTCTGGAAAGTCCACTCTTTTGGAGATGATAGGCCGTAAGTCGAAGAAGAGGTTGGCTATTATTCTCAATGAGTTTGGTGATTCGACTGCTATAGAGAAATCCGTTACCATCAAGGATTCTGATAAGAATGAAAGTGTCCAGGAATGGCTAGATCTTGGAAATGGCTGTCTCTGTTGTTCAGTTAAAGATAACGGTGTGCTTGCCATAGAGAACTTGATAGAGAATTCTGGTGACAAGATAGACTACATTCTTTTGGAGACCACGGGGATTGCCGACCCAGCGCCAATCGCTGAGATGTTCTGGCTAGACGATGCACTTGCAGCAAGCGTCTACATTGATGGTGTTGTGACTGTCATAGATGCTGCCAATATCATTCAATGTCTTAATGACGTTGGTGGTCACTGGCACAGAGCAAACAAGCATGTCTTGGAAGAGAACGATGAAGAAGTGACTCCAGAAAAGAAAGAACAGGAAAGGAAAATGCTAGAAGAGGGCATCAGCACAGCTCATCTTCAGTTGGCCCTCGCCGATGCTGTCTTGGTCAACAAGATTGACACAATTGAAGGGGATGACGCAAAGCTAGAAGATATTTGCGGAAGAGTTCGTCAGATCAATTCATCGTCCCCCATTCACACTACTTCTTATGGGGATATCGATTTAGACAAAATCTTGGACCTACATGCCTTCGAAGCCTCCAGTGATAAGCTTGCTAACCTGATCAGTTTTGCCACTAGCTCATCGTACCATGACGACAGAATTAAGACCTTGACACTTGACTTTCCTTTCTTTGACGACCAATCTGGGTTCAGCAAGGTAGAGAAGTTTCTCCAGCATGTACTTTGGGAAAATGATGCTAACGGTACAAATGTGGAAATCCACAGAACAAAGGGTGTTTTGGTTCACGATGATGATGTTAGAATTTTGCAGGGTGTCAGAGATACTTACGAAGTGATAGAGGGAGGAAGCTTGCACGAAAGCATAAAAAACAATAAGATTGTTTTGATCGGAAAGGGACTTGATCACGATGTATTGATGCTGGAGTTGGAAAAGTACATTCCACTTAAATAGGTAAACAAGCTACTAGATCTGAAAGTGTTCATGAATTTTGCAACCATTACGCGAATTGCGACCAAACCTCAGAATCAGAAACCTAAGATACGAGAATAAAAATCCAAAAACGTTGCCGTAAAAGCAAAACTCCTAGAAACCTTCTATAACTACAAAATGATGAATTTGGGAAAAACACAATTTCGTAACACTTATTCTGGGGAAGTATGGGGTCCATCTTCTCCATGTTGATTCACTGGTGCTCACACGCCCGAAAATATTTCTAGCGCATACATTCAGCATTTGACATTACTCCAGAACATGTCAGAAGGACCCGAAAAACCGGATCAGCTGACAAAGCCTAAAGCTGAAGCTTCTGGCAAACCAGCCACACCTCCTAAGAAAGGATGGTCGAACCCAGCCTTGAGGGCAATGGGCATCCCCAGGATCTCGCTTCCATCTAGAAACTGGATGATCTTCTGGACTGCTTTGGCCGGTATAACCGGTGGAATCGCCTATGATAAGTACCAGCAGAAGCAGATCCGTAAGAAGTACATGCAACAAGTCGAGCAGATGAGTCAAGAGATCTATACCGCAGACAGGGTTCCTAGAAGGCTTACTGTCTTCATCGCTCCTCCACCTAACGATTTCCTTCAAGAATCGTTGAAACATTTCAGGAGATACGTCAAGCCAGTGTTGAATGCTGCTGCTATTGACTTTACCGTGTTTACTGAAGAGAGACAAGGTGATATCCGTACTGAGGTTGCAGGAAAGATCAGACAGTTGAGAAAAGAAAGACTTGAAGCAAAGAGAATAGAAGAAGAGAGACTCAAGCAAGAAGCTTATGATAAGTCATGGAAGAAGTTTTTTACTGAAAGCGTTCCAAAGACTGTTAAAGGTTTGGTCAGCAAAGAAGAAGAACCTGAGGTTTTCGTTAGCCGTCAGGACTTATACTCCTCCACAGATCTTTTAGGTCTATATAAGGTGATCGAACCTATAAAGTGTGAGAGAGACGATTCCAAGGATGTCGTTTTGGCTGGTGGTGTTCTTTGTATCGGAAGAGGTACCTACAAGGAGTACTTGACGGGTGTACATGAAGGTCTTCTTGGACCTTTGGATGCACCACCTCCACCTCCACCAGAGCCTAAGCAACTCGATGAAGTTCTTGGGGAGAATAAGGAAAAGAGTGAATCAGAGACACCTTTGGCTGTGCCAGCTGCTGACAGTCCTGCTGTGGAAAAGCCTGAGGGTGCATCTGTACCAACCTTGGACTCAGTAACATCGCCAGAGGGAGATGCTACGAAGACGGACAAACCAGAAGAAAAACTGGAAGCAGATGACATTGACGACTTTGGCCTGAACATAGAGAAGTCGAAGCTTCCACCTGTGCCAAAGCCTTACATTCTGCCATCTGAATACGCCCAGGCTTCATTGGCTCCAGAATTGAACATGGACGAGATTGTGCGTAATGACAAGAACGTACCAGTGTTGTTTGAGCAGCCTATTGGTGTTTTCACCGTGCCCAAGCTCTCAGGTGTGCTCAACATACCGACAAAGATTTATAGATACTACACCAAGAGATATCTTGCAGAGGATGTCGCACAGCAGACGTTGGAAGCTGTTTACGGCCACAGTCGACCATACGACAAGATGGATAGGTTCTTGGCTGCCGAAGAGGAGTTGGACTGGCCCAAGAAATGGATCGAGAGAGGCAAGAAGAAAAACAGTGAATGGGTGCAAGAGCTTGAGGTTGACCCAAGAGTGATCCAGAGAATGAGAGTTTTCAGCAAGAGCGAAAAGAACGAGGGTGGTGAGCAGCTGGATGCACCAAACAAGCAGTAACCATGTAAATAGAAAGAAGACACCTCGAAAGCAAATTTTTCACCAACCATACATAACCAAAATAAGCATACCGATAAAGCACAACCTAAACACAAACAATGGCATCGGCGGCGATTACAAAAAACAAATCGCCTTTCCTATATCCTAGGCGACCCGAACCATAGCACCCGGTTTTTCCCACATATTCTTGACTTCACGTAAAAATAAAAAACAACCATTGTTAAAATTGCCAAGTTGGAATATGCTTGTGCGGTTGCAAAAAAAAGTGCTATGACGTTAAGACGGCGAAAAACGAAAAAAAAAGAGCACAGCACAGCTGAAAGTCTTCTCAGATAAAGTAACACAAAAAGCGAGCAATGAATGAGCGAGTAGAACTCACACGGCCCCCAGCCACGCCGAAAAACCTTCAATCGCCGAAACCAATCTGCATCAGCGCTACTAACGGAAGATGTTTTTGGTCGACGTGACAATAAGCCATGTTTCCCAATCCAGCGGGAAATAGTATAATGCTACGGTTTAAAAGTGTCTTGTCTCGGTTAAACCTGGCCCGGCCATTTGCAGCCACCAAAGGAAGAGGAAGAAGAAGAGGAAGAAGAGGAAGTAGAAAGAAGAGGACATGACGACGTAGCAACATGACCATACCGCTATAAAATGTAAAACTATAAGACACCAAAAGTGCAAAAGAAACTGGGACCTGGTCAGACCTCCTGGTCCTTATAGCAGCCTCCAGCTGACTAGCCTCATGCTTCCTACTCTGCCTGCTCTGCCTAGAGGTTTAGTGTAACGATCAAAAAGCATGCCCTACTTGCCTATTGCCATCTTTGTACCCTTTTCCCCACGAGCCACCCATATCTCGCCCACCCATATCTCGCCTATTTTTCTTATCTTCACCCTCTCGCCTCCCGCCGATATATGTCTTTGTGCTGGAGGCCCCACGGCATGCTCTGTCTTCTGCTTTGTAGCCGCCTCGGTCGCACATAACCATGTGACAGGCCGAGAGCTACCATTACTTGAGATCTGGCACTGGCTTGGTACTGACCTTCTTAACGGCATGCCTGGCGGCTTGCCTGATGGCTGACGGCACTCCACCAACCCCGGAATAATATAGTCAGATCATTTAACTGGATATTCACGGCCGGCCGGTCAGTAAGTGGGTGGGTGCAAAAAAAAAAAAGAAAATCGGGTGGAATCGTATTTCCCGTTCTGGCTCTACACTTTCGCGAACCACGGCAGACCGGTGGCCGGAATTACTCGGGACACTCACAGAGCAGTCAAGGCAGGGAAGAGAAGGGAAGGGAGGAAGGGAGGAAGAGGGAGGAAGTGGAAGGGAGAAGAGAGAAAGAAGGGAAGGGAAGACTAGGTAGAGAAACATGGTAGTAGTGTAGTGGAAGGTAGAGATGATGTAGAAGTATGGGAGTATGGGGGTAGCGTGGTTCACCAGTAGTGGCTGGCGCCCCTACTGGCTCACTGGTGTTCTGGTGACGTCGCAGCAGAGTCAAACGTCAAACCCACCTCCATGCCACCTGCCCAGGCTAGATCTCACTTAAACAGTGTGCCTGAGTCTCAGTCCGAGTCGGCTTATTCTACCGCCTTCGAGGTTTGTGGTGTTTGTGGGGCAGGGGCAGTACGGGGCCACCGATTACGCTTATGACGTTGGCCAGGGCAGGCCTCGTTGGACGATAAGAAATGGAGGGTGCGGGTCCGGTAGCGGGCCATGCGAAGAAGAAACGGTGCACCCGGGGCTCATTGGTGGTTTGATTTGTCACTGATAGCGCGCGGTCAAGGCAAAAGGAAGAGGGCCCAGTGCGGCGGTGGCAGGTGCACGTGACCTGCTACCTTTGTGATTGGCCAGAGATCTGGTAACGTGCGTGGACTGCTTGTCTTGTGTGCATGCAGTTGACTCAAGTGAGAGATGATGGAAGCTCCCGGTGGGAAGACGTGCAGGAGGTAAGATGGCTAGCTAGGTTGGCAGCCATGGGTGCCCTGGGCATATAAAGGGCCCCATCTCCCCACGGTTTAACCTTTTTTTTTCTTTCTATCTTTATTACACATTCATATTTACCATGGTCCTCCCACACGAACCCGAATTCCAGCAAGCCTACAACGAGTTGTTGTCTGCCCTCGAGGACTCTACTCTCTTCACTGAGAAGCCAGAATACAAGAAGGTCATCCCAGTTGTTTCTGTGCCAGAGAGAATCATCCAGTTTAGAGTCGCCTGGGAAAACGACAAGGGCGAGATCGAGGTCAACAACGGTTACAGAGTCCAGTTCAGCTCTGCCTTGGGCCCTTACAAAGGTGGTCTCAGATTCCACCCAACCGTGAACTTGTCTATCCTCAAGTTCTTGGGTTACGAACAGATTTTCAAGAACGCCTTGACCGGCCTTTCTATGGGTGGTGGTAAAGGTGGTTCCGATTTCAACCCTAAAAACAGAACCGACTCCGAAATTAGAAGATTCTGTGTTGCCTTCATGAGACAGTTGGCTAGATACATTGGTGCTGACACTGATGTCCCAGCTGGTGACATTGGTGTTGGTGGCCGTGAAGTCGGTTTCCTCTTTGGTGCTTACAAGTCCATGCAAAACAACTTTACTGGTGTTTTGACCGGTAAGGGTTTGACTTGGGGTGGTTCTTTGATCCGTCCTGAGGCTACCGGTTACGGTACCGTCTACTATGTCGAGAAGATGATTGAGAAGGCTTCTAACGGTAAGGAGTCTTTCAAGGGTAAGAGAGTTGCCATCTCTGGTTCCGGTAACGTTGCCCAGTACGCTGCATTGAAGGTTATTGAGTTGGGCGGTATTGTCGTTTCTCTCTCTGACTCCAAGGGTTCTATCATCTCCCAGGACGGTATTACCCCAGAGCAGGTTGAGGCTATTGCCGCTGCCAAGGTCAAGTTCAGAACCTTGGAGCAGATTGTTGGCGAGAGTGCTTCTACTTTCTCCGGTAAGAACAAGGTTGAATACATCTCTGGTGCTCGTCCATGGACCCACGTTGGCCAGGTCGACGTTGCATTGCCATCTGCCACCCAGAACGAGGTTTCTGGTGAGGAGGCCAAGGCCTTGGTTGAGGCTGGCTGCGCTTTCATCGCTGAGGGCTCTAACATGGGTTCCACCAAGGAGGCCATCGACGTGTTCGAGGCTAACAGATCTAAGGGTGTTTGGTACGCCCCAGGTAAGGCTGCCAACTGTGGTGGTGTTGCCGTGTCTGGTTTGGAGATGGCCCAGAACTCCCAGAGAGTCACCTGGACTGAAGAAGAAGTTGATGCCAAATTGAAGGACATCATGTACACATGTTTCGACAACTGTTACGAGACTGCTGTTCAATACTCTGTTGACAAGGATGCTTCTGGTTTGCCTTCCTTGTTGAAGGGTGCCAACATCGCCGGTTTCATCAAGGTTGCCGACGCTATGTTCGCTCAGGGTGATGTTTTCTAATGGTGTAACGATATAGACTTTTCACTTCTCATTTATATTAGACAGGAATTTTACGGATACCAAAAATAAAAATTACGTGTAGTTGTTTAGTTGATTCTCGGAGGTTTCCGTTTACTGTGAGGTTTAGGAAGGTGCCAACCAGTTGATGACGCCCATCCACCTAACGAATCTTATCGAACTAAAGACAGAAATAATAACACACAGTATTTCTAATAAAGTAAGAGAAATTATATCTCTCTAGCTACCTGTAACTCGCGTCTGCTTCAGTAGCCACTTCTACTATGTGGGTCCTAGTACATAGATCAAGCGCGCCTTGGGTATTTACATTTCCATACATCTATCTTCATCATCATGGGATCCACAGAAACGTCAGCCAAGCTACCTGACTTCAACAGCTTCCCAGACTATATCCCTGTTCACCCTAGCGTGAAGGTGAACACTGAATTTGGCAGTTTACTTCTTCTACGAGAGATAGAAGAGCAGTTACTGAGCATTCAAAGCAGCGCAGAGTCGTTTATAGAATATGCCAGTTCCAGTCCCCAGCTAGCCCAGAACGAGGGGTTTAAGGTTTATTCCGAACAAATGATCAAGTCTTATGAGAAGTTTTACCTTGCTAAGGTGAAACTCCAAGCTCTACAGCTGGCACTCAAGAACGCACACAGAGAGCTTGTTGACCATAGAAGAACCACATTGGAGTTAACTCTTTCAAATTATGACGAGTGCAAAGAGCTTATAAGGAAAAACTTTGCTGACGGGTTCAGCGATGACTTGGATGAACTAATTAGAGAGAAACTGGGAGCACGGTTTGAAGAGCTTCTACATCGAGACCCATCCTTCACCTTCATAAGGAATGCATTCTTCGTGCTTCAGTTCCCAGAAGATCCTCTTCAGGATGAACAAGTCGATGAAGAGTTGGCCGTGGAGGGAGGTAAGATCTCGTTGAAGGATCCGCTTTCGATGAACTATTTTTCAGACCCGGTGGTATCCAAGAGGTGCTTCCATGTTTTTGAAAGGGCACATATAGTTCGTCAGATGAGAGTTGCAAGAGATGAGTACGCCTGTCCTGTTACTGGTTGCGACCAGTATCTTTCAGAAAGCGATTTGTCTCCCGATAAGCTTATGAAGCTTCGAGTGAAGGTGTACATGGGCATGACAAAGAAGAGAGACCACGAGTCTGTGGTGAGAATCTAAGACAAAGAGACATGTCCACCTTCATCACAGTATATAAATAGAGCCCCAAAGCATCAAATTTAATTTATCATAGTTTGCATGGTATGTACCAAGGCATCAGCCGTCTAAGGTGTTCATAACTTGTATGCGCGAAGTTATCTACGTCCCTAGATACTACTTATCTCTCTCAAAGCAATGCCAGTGGAACACGGCAAACCACATGCAGCAGATATACCTGTACGGGATTTGGACGATCCCGAGGACGACTTGTTCGATGAGGATAGAAATGACTCCCAGTTTCTCGATCCGCTAGACTATGAGAACAGTGATCAAGGTCTTCGCAGCCAACCACCTACAAGGTTCTGGGGCAAGATCCAGGAGTACTTCAATGGTCCCAACTCTTGGAAGCCAGGCTCTTATGAGATGGTGGATACTAGTGGAACAAGTCCGGACTCGTTTGAGATTAGCGATGGTGATGGGGATAGTAATGACACTCTTAGTGATGAGGATGCTATGAACCAGAAGTTGAGGGAGATAAAGATTGCCAGACTTAGGAAAATGGTCAACTGGGGAGTGTTGGCGTTTTCTTTTCTACTATTTTTTATGTGGCTTACCTATGCATTCTTTAGGCTGGGCGGTAAGAAGTCTGACGAAGAGCCAAGCACGTTTGATAACAAGAATAAACGTGTGCTTTCGAATTCGACACATGACTTTTACCCAACGACCATTCTTGTGTCTCTTGATGGGTTCCATCCTCACTATATTTCCCCTCAAAGGACTCCAGCGCTTCACAATATGATGGTAAATGACTATGGTGCTCCATATATGACACCGGCGTTCCCATCCTCCACGTTCCCTAACCACTGGACTCTTATAACTGGTCTTTATCCATCTGAACACGGAATTGTTGGTAATACGTTCTATGATCCAAAGTTGAAGAAACAGTTCGTCAATACTGATCCAGTTAAGGGTCTCGATGCTGATTTCTGGAAGGGCGGTGAGGCTATTTGGACTACCACGTTCAAGCAGGGTGTCAAATCGGCAGTTCATATGTGGCCTGGCAGTGAGGTCCCAGGTATCGGAGAAAACGGGCCCATGGAAGTGGACAAGTTTAATGGAACAGAGTTGTTGACGTCAAAGATTGATAGAGTTATGGGCTGGATTGACCGTGAGGATATTCATAAACGTCCCGAGTTGTTGTTGACATACGTTCCAACTATTGACCAGTATGGCCACAAGTTTGGCATTAGTGGGCCGGAACTTACCGATGCTTTGAAGTACGTTGATGACTTCATTACTCTCATGATCCAGGAAATAAAGCTGCGTAATTTGGAAGATATCGTTAACCTAGTGGTTGTGAGTGACCATGGCATGGCTCCAACATCAAACGATAGACTCTTGTTCCTCGATGATGTTGTCGACCTTTCAAAGCTCGCACATATTGACGGATGGCCACTCTTTGGCTTGAGGCCAACTGAAGAGTTCACAGTTGACCAGATCTATGACGAAATCAAGGAGAAGTTCGAAAAGCTTGACGAAAAAACCAAGAAAGGATTCAATTATTACAAGGTCGAAGATTTACCCAAAGAATGGAACTTTGGCGGCAATGACAAGGACCACGCTTTCAATTACAGATTAGCACCAATCTGGATTGTACCTAATGTTGGATATGGTATAACCACAAGGCAAAAGTTCAAGGAGAAAGGCGAGAATTATACTCCAAAGGGAGTCCATGGCTACAACAACACTGAACTCTTGATGAGGGCTATCTTTTTAGGAAGAGGTCCTTACTTCAAGAAGCAATTGGCCGACAATAAAAAAGTTCTTCCATTTGACAACACTAATGTTTACAATATTATTTGCGAGTCCCTTGACGTGAAGCCATCTCCCAATAACGGTACTCTGGCGGATTCGTTTGTCATTTCCCAGAACAAGCTTCTTCCTCCTGACTGGAACGACAATTTGATCTACCCAGACTTGCCATACGAAGTCGACCACCTCGTCAAAGATGCAACATATGATTTGCTCTGGCGCAAACCAAGTGGACGTACCAAAGTCACCACGATTTCCTTGAGTACCAACAAAGACCCACAACTGAGTCTATCGTCCGAGGATTCTATGCTCAAAGATTTTTCCACGGAGACGCTACCCAGGCCTAGTGATTTCGAGCATCTGACCACAGATACAGATAGCGAGTCCGAGGAAACGTCTGAAACAGAGCACTCTGATGACGACAGCGATTCGAGCGACTCAGATAAGGAGTCTTCTGGAAAAGGAGATGATGACCAAAGCGCACTCGATGGTTTTATCGATGACGTTTCTGATCTAGTCGATGACGTTGTTGGAACCATTGGCAATGGTGTCGATTCGGTGCTCAATTACTTCGGTGGGGGTTGAGCCTACTATTTGTATAAAAGGGTAATAAGATAGAGTTTGTGTTACTTGCCTATATGATCTCTACCATACTTCATAAGGATCCTTGTCCTCTGCGCTAATTTCCACCTCGGCTTCAGGAAGTTCCTGTTGCAATTGCTCTTTCAAAACCTTCAAGAAGGCCCTCTCGGTGTTGGAATGGTTACATGCAATGAGAGAGGAGCCCTTTTCAGTGAAAAACAACGCCTCATGATGAGACAACTCACCAGTATAGTACAAATCAGCTTCAACTCCTCTGAATACGGACCCACCCGAGCCAGCACAAATGGCAATGGTTTTAACAGAATGGTCCTTCTTCAAGTTTCTGCCCACGCCAACCTGGACATGTCTCAAAGACTGGGAGTCTTTCACGTTTTCCACAAGACTTGTAAGTGGTGCTGGTTCTTCAAGCTCAATGAAACGACCCATGCCACAACCTTCTTCATCTGGGTTAGGTTGGATAACCAGGCGAGACTTCACTTTCAAGTTTTGAGCAATTCCGTCAGCCAAGAAGTCATTCACACCACCCTTTGCACTATCCACAGCAGTATGAGGACTGTAGACGCTGATATTGTTCTGTATTAATCTGATGAGTGATCTCTGCTGTGGATCATCGGAAGTGATGGACTTGAGACCTCTGAAGATGAATGGATGGTATGCCACAATCATGTTTGATTTCTTTTCGATTGCCTCGTTGGCAACATTCTGTGTCAAGTCAATTGTCAATAAGATCTTACAGGAGTCAGATTCGGTGAAGTCTGAAGAAGAATCCACGAGTAAACCAGTGTTATCCCAGGACTTGTCTGCTAGCCTTATTGGATAGAGCTTTTGGACTGAAATGTTAGAAGGAGATTGGTAAAAGTTAAGATATTCACATACTTGCGTTGGTGGCTGCTAAAACAGCACGTTTTGATGTTGGACTGGGCATTGCTGAAGAAGGTAGAAGATGAAAGATGGAAAACTGAGAATCTGGGGTACGAGATAGAGTTCAAAAAAAAAGAGTGCGCAAGCCCGGAATCGAACCGGGGGCCCAACGATGGCAACGTTGGATTTTACCACTAAACCACTTGCGCTGGAAAACTTTGTGACTTTTGCCCCCTGCCAGAATTGAACTAGCGACCTTTGCATTACAAGTGCAACGCTCTACCACTAAGCTAAGGAGGCAACTTGTAGAATTTCCAGTATAGGTAAATATAGATCAAATCAAAGAATAGGCTAAAAATGGCCCAAAATTGACAGAAATTAATCCATATTAAACCTTGCATTTTAAAAGTTAGGTTCATGTGTTTATTTAAGCTCAAAATCAGGCAAAATTGCGAAAAATGCAAACCAAAACCCAGCTGGGACGAATCTGACTTGGTGTTTGGCAAGGTCTAATATTTCTAGCACAGATTGAGGTCCGAAAGGAAATTTAGGGTATTAGTTATGTAATGAATTGATTGAATGCTTCGTTCATTGAAGGAATTTGATTTGACGGTGTCTTCAGATTTGGCTTCAATTAGGATTTCAAGCCCCAAGCAAAGGACACCAAGAGCAACTACCATGTCAACTTCTTCTAGTATGGATTATTCGAAAGACAGAAAAAAAAAAAAAAGGTCCCACAGAGACCACTTGAACGCTCCTTCTCCAATTGAAGGAAGAACCCATCATGTTTTGATCAATGTGGTAAGGCTTTACCGCAGAATCTTCCATAAAGCAAGTAACAATGAACTCCATAAGAGTTTTTGTTCACCAAAAGAATCAAATAAAAATAATCTAAGCCCTCTAGATCATTGGTATTTTCAGTAATGACCTACTACGGTCCTCATTCATATCCATAAAGAACTCCACCACCTTACAACCAAACGGCGAAAAAACCTTCGTAAAAACCGTTGGCCCACCATCTATCTACCCCATCTACCCCATATTTCCTACCACAAACCCTCCCCACCGCTCTTCACCGCTCTGTCAAAGCCTACTGTTCCCTCGGAATGTTTTACAGTACTCCGCGAGAAAGGCTTCACAGAAGAACCTTAAAAAGGCCCCCATCTTTCTAGAAACCAGCACTAAATTCCACAAAAAAAAAAGCCCCATTCGTCTTCTTCCAAGCCACCATCACCCATAAAACACCTTTAACTACCGTTTTCTTCCATCCTTCATGCTGACAAATGGTAAGGCTGACACTTACACTGGTAGCGCCCCATGGCACCTCGGGTCGCAAAGTCTCAAAGTCTCGCTCAATTGCTGCAAATCTCCAGCCGTCCAGTGGGGGCACCCCAGTTTCAGTACACCACTTATAAAGTAAGAAAATTGCAAAAATAGAAAACCAATCATACGACGCTCCCGCCTTGATCTTTACATACAAATTTCACCCTTTTCATATGGGGGTTCCCCTTGGAGGGGTGTGGTGGCTCTGGTTCAATGGGCGGGACCCTTCGCACTATGGATTGTGAGGGAGTGAGGCACTGATGGAATAGAGCCATGAAAAATGGGTTAAATTAACCGCAGAGCCTAATCTTTCTTTCTTTCTTTTTTTTTTTTATAAAAGAACTACGTCCTTCTTATTCATGTCTTCCATCCCACTCGAGGATCTCAACGAACCTTTCTTGGAACCAGGGCCCGAGGGCTCTACTGGCGATGGGCATGGGCCTGATTTCAAGTACTTGGCAACGCTTCCACCTAACCAGAAGTATGTGACCCAGTTCAATGGACAGCAGGTCTATATCGACTCTGTGGATTGGCGTGATAGCAAATTGATGAAGTTTCAAGTGGTGGTGGCGCTTCTGACGTTTATCTTGTTCGGTCTTGGTGACCAGACCATCGGTACGATTATCCCGAAACTCCAGGAACAGTACCATATCGGTGATTTGCAAACATCTTTTATATTTTTGTCTTCGACAGCTGGGTACTTTATCCTGGCGCTTACTTGTGAGTTCTTCCAGAGAAGCTTTGGCGTTAGAGGCGTGGGTATCATTGGTACCGGCTGCTTGGCTTTGGCTTTCTTCATCATCAGCACTCATCCGCCATTCTGGCTTTTCATTGTGTGCTATATGATTAACGGTATTGGTCTTGGAAGTTTGGATGCTAGTGTCAACGGCTGGGTCGGTGGTATCGCTGACTCAAACCAGATTCTTGGAATTGTCCATGGCTGCTACGGCTTGGGATGCATGATATCTCCCCCATTGATCACAAAACTTATGGAAAGAAAGCATAACCCATGGAACTGGAACCATTACTATGTCGTGCTTAGCATTTACGGTGTTATCAATTTGGTCTGCTTTACTTTCTCCTTCCGCCATGAAACCGCTGCAAAGCACAAGTTCAATGTCATTCTCAAGGAGCAGAAAAGAAGTCTTGCTGATAAAGATCCAGAGTTTGAGATCGGTTCGGGTGACGAATCTGTCGAGGACACCGTTAACGAAGGAACTGATGTCTCGTTCACCGATGCTCTCAAATCTAAGCTTGTCTGGGTGTTTGCCATCTGCTTGTTCATCTACGTCGGTGGTGAAGTGGCATTTGGTGCTTGGTTGATGACCTTCTTGATCAGAATCAAGAAACTCAGCTACAATTATTCCTCTTGGATGGCCACCACTTTCTGGTTGGGTCTTACGGTGGGCAGAATAGCGCTTGGGTTCGTTACCGCTCACGTATTCAACACGGAACTCATGGCAAATCTTGCGTATATTGTGGCTTCTCTGGCAGGCTACTTGATCTTCTGTCTTTTTGCATTTTCAAAAGCCAACTGGATCTTATTTCCAATCGTTTTCATCACAGGCCTCTTTGTGGGTCCTATTTTCCCCACTACCATCGTTGCCTCTATTGAGATCTTGCCCACAAGGTACCATGCAACCAGTGTGGGCTTCATTTGTGCCTTTGGTGGAGGTGGAGCTGCCGCTCTTCCTTTCCTCGTGGGCTTTGTCGCTGATCACAGCAAGCTAGGAATGAAAGCACACCCTTTCATCGTGTTTGCATTATACCTTATCTTATTGGTGTTGTGGGCTGGAATTTGTAAGCGTTATGCTGGTCATAAGCGGAGGGGTGTACTTTAAGATTATAGAATTCCTCCCTGGGCCTTCCACTCATCTGGAGTAAATCCCTTTTGAGTGAATGCATGGATGGCAGCGATTTCTTCTTTCAAAGCTCCATTCACCAAACGGTGCCTCATTAGTTTGTTCTTTCCTTTGAAAGCCTCAGACACAATGATGACAGCAAATGCCTGTCCACAACCGCCTGACATGTCTTCAACCTGGACAAGATTGGCCTGGAGCCTTTCCTGAATGATTTCCTTGAGGGAATCTGCTGTCAAGGTCATACTGATGCAAAAGATAAGAAGGAATCGTCGGCGGTTTTTCTCACTGGAAATCTCGAACTCGTATTGGCACACTGTGCAGAACACACACAGTTTTAACATTATTCTACAACTAGTTCATAGATATTATTACTTGAAATTTATTATAGGCAACTTTTATTATTATGTCATAACCTCATCATTATTTTGCTGTCGATATAGAATCCACTTTCATTTGGCCTCGTTTGATAGTGTTCTGTTGACTTGGTTTGGTGGATGCCTCAAGCTTGAGGAACCTTTTGAAAAGCTCGGGGTCTTCTTTGGAATGCTTCTGTACTTTGCTGAATATATCCTTTGAGCTGAGTGTATCCAACTTTGGAGTGTTGGTGAATTGGCATCTTTCGAATAATTCCCAGAGATCGGGTGGGATAACTGCTAACTCTTCGTGCATCTCAATCATTTGATTGACAACTTCAATGGCCAAAAAGTAAGACTCTCCGGATTGCACTGGCGGACCTTCGGCAGATTGGCTCTTGGAAATAAGAATGTTAGGCGCAAGCACCGTAGCTAAATTGTGGGTATCCATCTTGGACCCTGAATCATCGTCGGTAGATGCGAAGGAGGCGACCCATCTGAAGAAATGGAGGAGCACTTCGAGAAGGTTTCTGTGACTCCTAGGAAGCATACAGTATGTGAGTTGCAAAATTCTCTTGCACAAGATACTGTCATTGGTCTTTCTGGAGGAAATCCACAATTCAAAAAGGTTGAAAGTGAGCAAAGGATTTGGTAACTCTCTGAGCCATTTCTTCAAAAGTGCAGCCAACTGGACAGCCGAGTAATTGTGGAAATCTGGAGACTTGAGAGGGTTTTTATTAATCTGTTCTGTCAATTCTCTCAAGTTCTTGATGTTACCGTTCAAACGGAAAATACCTTCAACCGACATATCCTTCTTCCTCAATGAGTTGACCACATCGTCAACCACAATGGGAATACGAAGTTGAGCAGGGCCAACTCCCAAGTCAGAATCAACACCATAGCGCTTCGTCAATTCTTGGAGATCAGTACCGAATACATTCATAGCCTTACTCTTTTCGCCTCCACCGAACTTGAATTTGTCCCAGAAGGTTGGCAGTTTTCTTGTCTGGATCAACGAGACAAGATCTTCTCTTGAATGGTCATCTCTAATGGCAAGGAAGGCTTCCACGGCAATGTGACGCAAAATGAAGTGCTCAGATTTCGATAATTCGGAGTAGTATTTGATCTTAACCGGCACTGGAAGCTTCTTTACGACATTCACATCTTGCAGACCCTTAAACTGGTGAATACTTCCGCCAGCGGACGATTGGAGAGGCTGAGCCTTCTCATACAATGAGTTGTGATGCTTGAACGCGTTTGGACGTTGATCTCTTGCCTGTTCAGCAGCAACGATTCTTGGAATGTCGTCCAATGTTAACGACTTTTCGTTCTTCAATAAGTCAGAAGTACGGCCCAAGCTACCGGTTGCAACCGCAATAGGTGGTTCATCCCTAATCTTGAGCGACTTATTGTGCGCCAGGAAATTAGCCTGATCTCCATCGCCTTGATGCATGACAAAGGATAACGACGAAGCAGAACTTGGCTTTCTTGTCTGTCCCTGTATTTCACGATCAGCATTATCTTCCCTAGCAGAGTCCGCTTCTGGAGCTTCAAGGATGACGGACTTTCTGGCACTCTTCTTCACAGAATTAGACAACTTTTGACTCTCCCTCTTAGTTCTTAAAGACGTAACATCTTGAAGGGTCTTCGAGAAAACTGTTTCCGTGTCACTGACTTGAGAGCCTTCCTCGGCAATATTGGACATCTGTGGACGCATGCCACCTTGTTCAACCTTCTTCAGTGGGTCGTCATCCTTTCTTATCGCAGCCTTAGTACGGAACATGGCGATCTTTAAAAGATAGATCAATTGTGATAAATCAGACACCGACGTGAAACCGAATTGGTAACCCATACCAGCCTTTGCGTTCAGTTTGGAACACTCGACACAAAGCAAAGAATCATCTGCTCCACAGAGGAAGTTCTCCACTTTAAAGTCCAGCGAAGGCTTCCTTTTACAGGAAGAACACTCAAAGCATTTTCTGTGCCACCTAATGTTCTTGAATCTGTAACACGACTTCTCAATACTCTTTTTGCATGCCCGGCACGCGTCGGTAGCGTTTTGAGGAACAGCCAATCTGGATTCAAGAGAAGGTAATCCGGAAGCAGGATTCTTTAAGCCTTCCTCGACTTCTTCGTAACGCTTTGCTGATTTGAGAAATCCATCTAAAGCTCTAGTATCACCTCTCAACTTATTGAGTTTGAGGGCGTTATTAAGACCAGTTCTGAAAAGAAGCTTAAGATAATGAGCACAGCCTGTTATGACAGATAAAAGCTCAGCAGAAAGGCTTCCCGAGTTGGCGATTTGAGTAGATTTCCTGAGAATGGCCAAATAGCTCATAAGCTTTCCAGAAATATTTCTGGGCTCTTTTCGAAGAGGTTGGAAGTTGTCAAACGCATCAACAGAATAAATCTCTTCACCAGAAGCGTTTCTCTTTTCCTGACTCTTAGATGGATCCGAGTTACACTCAATGCACATGTTCTGGACAAAGTCAAGAGCAGAAAACAAGATCTCGACGTACACTATCAATTTGCTGGTAGCTTGAATGCCATTTGCCCTGTTACCTGTACAGGCCGAAAGAAGCATTGCAGAGATACAAGATGCCAAGGTTTCTTCAAATCCAGATAGAACTAACCAACACCTCATAACTATACTTTCGATCTGCTGCTCGATCGCAAGAAGCTTCTCGGGATCTATGTCGCTCTCTAGGAAAGTAGAAGCAATCTGTTTTTCAAGCTCAAATTTGCTTTGAAGACCAACTGAATCAGGTGTAATGAAAACGTTCCAGAATTTGTACACCATATAACATTCCGGATGCCATTGTTGATTTTTACCACCTTTAAACAACTCAACAAATTGTTTAACGATAGAAGACTGACAACCTTCACATTTGGTAGCAAAAAGCTTCGAGTAATGGTAGTGGCAGTAAATGTTACTTTCATGCTCGTAGTAACTTTCTTCAGAATCAAACACCTTGCCACATTCCGAACATTTGAAATGCTCGACATGGTATTTGTTGCCCAAAGCAGTAATATATGGACCTCTCAAAGCACAATTGCAATTGTGGCAAATTAAATCTAGTTTCTTGAAGTAGTCATATTCGCATAGTGGAACCTGGCTGACACTTCCATCCGGTAGCGTGATGTCTTGTGGGAAGAATTTCGAAGAGCATTGGTGGCCACATTCGTGACAAGTGAAACATTCAACATGATAAGCACTACCAAGAGCTCTAACAAACTGACCAGCTATTGGTTGGTCACAGACCTTGCAGATTTTTCTCTTTCTTGGAGCACTCAGCCGCGTTTCATGAGGAGTTTGCTGTAATTGCAGCTGCAGCAGCTGTTTCCTACTTAGTGACAATGATCCAACATCAGGAGCAAGGGCTGGGTTTTGTGTAGGAGACGAACTCAGATGTAGACTGTTCGGCGTTAGTTGACGACGTGGGGCCAGAGGCGTAATAGGTGGTTGAAAGGAAGGTGGTTTGCTCTGGGCATGCAGCACTCCATTCAGAGATTTCTGAAGGTCTTGTTGTTGAATCTGTCGAGGCATTGGAGTAGAATTATTTGGATGACCGTTGGAAAAGGTTTCTGGAAGCGATTGTTGTGGAGGAGGGGTGTGGTGTGGGGTGAAGTCGAACTCTTCAGACATCGGCCTCTGTTTACTTTTATTGAAGAAAGGCAGCAGATGGCCGTATTGTCTCGGCTTTTGCATCTGCGGATGGGTCTGTGGATGTCTAATAGTACGGTTAACGACGGGGGATGGTTCATGATCTTGCAAAGGAGGAAGCAGGGATGAAAAGGGATGAGTTGGGGTCGTTTGGGTGGGCAATTCCTGCCTGGGATCTACCCTTGGCTCGTTGTTCATATCTGAATTTCGTTTTAGCTTTGACTCTGGTTTGTCATGTTTTCTGAAAGGATTACGGTTCTCTTTTACCAGCCCCAGGGAACTCGTTCTTGAATTTGGCGCAGGCATCTTGGGAAAGTCGAAATCACGTTCAGCTTCGGGATTAGGCAGTGGTTGGAGCATATCTGGGAGATTCTTGGATGAAATTGGCGATATGGCGATGGAGTGCCGCTGGGGAGGAACAGCCAATTCTTGCAGGGCAAAGGAATCAGAGCTATTATTTCTAGACGTGGCCGGGAGCGGAGGGATCAAGTTCGTCCATTCAGAGGACGTCTGGACGTTTTTCGACTGGAAGGCCTCGTGGCTGAGCGACCTGGCGTGGGAGGAAGGGTATCTGCTGCCATTGGAGCCGAGTTGACTGGGTGATTTCAGGTGTTGGCGAAGCGGCAGGGACGCTAGGCCCTTTAGGAACCGTTTAGGGCTATGTGGATAATCAGACTGCCTGTTTTCACTATGGCGCATGTTTTATTTTAGGATAAAAGAGTGACTGGGGTTGGAAACGGGTAATAGGAACAAGGAATCTGGGGAGTCGAAACGAAACGAAACGTAAAAAAAAAAAAAGGACGGTCGACTATTAATGGGAATTATCAATGGAGTTAAACAAGTGGACACATTCGACACAAAACAACGAAGAAGCACCAATGAAGGTCTATATATGGATTCTTTTTTTTTTTTTTTTTTAATGAATGGATGTAGTTGACTATTTTTTCTGAATCTGTGCGTGTCAGAGGGAGAAAAAGCAGATTCAGAATCGCAGTGTTTTGGTCCGCGAAAGCACATAAAAAAAAAAAAAAAAAAACTTGTCCTGTGCGGAATGAGACAAACTCCCCCCCAGCATGTTGCAAAACCGACAATAGGCCAAACACGGGTAGAAGAGAACAGAGAAGAAGACAATATGGGCCATTAAAAAGTTAAATTACCAGGGGCTTTGAGGGGGTAGAAGGAAATATGTATAAAGAAGAGAAATCGCTTACTTTTCTGGGTTTGGCAACCAGGGAGATCTGATGCTGGTGGTGTTTCCACTTCCCTTTTTTTGCACTTTTTTACCTTTTTTTTTCAATGCAACAGTCCACTCCCAAGGCTTGTTTACCCCCAGTCGACCCATTGTGCCCTGTTTGGGAGACTCGTTCTCGCGCGCATCTACAGCGAAAGGTTGGGATAACCGGAGGGGAGAGCAGCTATGGAGCTGAAATTTGGACACGTAATAGACCTGGGCGTGGCGAATTTAGTGGTGTAATTTTCATCAAATTTGACCAACTAGTTACCCCAATATATCGACCCTCCCCCATTTGCAACCGCTGCCGCAGTGCGCTGGCCGGCACAAAGTGGCAGCAGAATAGCCTTGTAGGGAAATTACCATAGAGGACTAATTGGAGGTGGAGGCATTGACCACGACGCGTAGACCGAGGCAAAAAAAAGAGAAATAAAGAGGCTTTGGGGGTTGGTCAGGGGAAAGTGGGTTTTAGAGGACAGTGAATTTAAAGAGGTTGGACCAATGTTTGGTCGGGTTTCCACCTCCCTTGGGGTTCCCCTTTTCGGTCTGTCCTGTGCTCTTCTGCGTTAGTGTGCGTTAGATTTCGCTCGCTAGAGGCTCGCGGCGCATTCCATATGAAAAATACTCCCGGTCTTTTTGTCCAACCTTTTTGTGCGTGTTTGGCGTGGGGGGTTACCTGCTTAGGCAAAATACTGTGTCAGGGAAGTGTGTTCGTTTGGACGGCGCGTCCAGGGTTCAAGGGGTTTCTTTGTTGGATATGGTGAGTGTTGGTAGGGACTTACTGGGGGTAGATCAGTGGGGAGGGACGTTTTCTGGGGCACTGCCGCGCTGCCTTATACTATTGGCTTTCGTTTACCTGGGGAAAGCTAATGGTGGGTGGAATTTGGGTTTTGTGAGTTTGGGAGGTGTAGTGAAGGGGAAGAAGGTTGATGGGTCAATTGGGGTTTTGGTGGTTTAAATGGGGCCTTGGGAGTTCTTTGTGCTTCGGAATCAGTTGGAAATGGCTGCAAAGACACAAAAACGACGAATGGGGCAAATACCGAGGTTCAAGTGGCTTGGTGGTGGTTTGGACGTGTTATGGTAAGCTAGAGATAGACTGGTTGTTTGTATGAATTGGTGGTTGTAGAATTGTGTGGGTGTGGGTATTTTGGGTAAAACGGCAGTGGAAACGCTTATGTCAACCCGGGTTAGGAGAAAGTATAACGGCTTAATTTGCCGAGATGACACTGTGCGGTTATAGTTCCTTTTGTTGGGATTAATCATTGTTTTTCTGTGGTTCACGGAAAGCCAAAATTAGCATGCAACTGTACGTTAAAAGATTCGAAGCAATAGCAACCAATGTATCGAATCAGCGTATTGGAAATTGCTTTTAGACGTGTTTCTACTTGGATTGGCTGTTGGCGGTCCTTTCAGCACACGATGGTTGACCTAGGTTTGTGCAACCGAGTAGAATTTAAATGGCCACTAATGGAGAAGTGGTTTTGAGTCCCAGCATTCAAGCTTAACGAAGAATTGAAGTGATACAAAGCCGTTAATTGCAGATCATAACTCTCTTTGTGCTGGTAGATACTTCAATTCAAGGCTCTAACTTATGGCACTTAGCCTACCAATTTTCAGTACCTCTTTACTAAAAACCACCCCTAGTTCAATTAATAATTGCTGGATATCACCGTCTACGGATATGTTTCTTGCATCTATGAGCAACCACGCTTAGCCTTTAATCGTGCAATGCCACACGCCTTGTAAACCAAGCCCATCATTATCTGACACCACCAATTGCAACCATCATTCACGTACCATCACCAACTCCCAAACACACAATCATCAATGACTCGTGGGCCAAAATAATCCTCATTTAGCCCGTGCCAAGGTCATAATATCCACCGTTACATCCCCAACTGCAAATCTTCCCACGAGGCCCAGCCATGAGCCACCACATACGGACCCGCCTTCAAGTAACCTCACATATTTTTAATTTCTTTGCCTCGACCAAGGTTACAATCTTATCAGTCACCAGGCACCAATAAGCAACGGTTGCGAGAGCTTCCGCAGAATGGCGCCACGGCAGTTTACCTCCGGCAGTGTGGGCTCACCTCAGGAAGTGGTATTCGCTTAAACGACAAGAACGAAAAGTACACCAAATTGAAGAGAAAGGGTGAAAGAAGCGGTGATGTGTCTTTTTGGATCACAGGGCATTTTTCTAAATCTTCCTGTTTTAAATTATCACTTCTCCTTGTGCTTTTATGTCTGGGTGTGGCTTACCGTTTGCAGCCATTAGCGAACATCACCAGACGGAACATCTCACGATAGGCTCAAAGTTTCTTTTCTATGCCTGCGGTGTTATGACTCTCGAAGTCAACGCCTCCTTCTGTGCATCTTCGGAAAAACTCGGCCTGACTCGTCTAGGCTGTTTTGTGGAAGTATATAAGGAGGGCCTTGCTGGGGGTTGTTTGGTTCTTCATTCACTTACACTATTATACAATGTTCGCTTTCGCTCTCAGATCTGCTATTGCCCCAATCGCTCCCATGTCTTTCTTGACGCCTCACACTTCCAAGTTAATTGTCAGTGGAGTGTTATCGCTTGCTGCTAGCGTGCTGATGGCTTCCTGGGCTGAAAAGAGGAACCATGGCAGCTTCGTTAGACTGCTCGGTCGTTACTAGAGCGGTCACCTACCATCTAATTATATGTTTATTGCATTTTGGGTTTTGCTTTCGCATGTGTGTTGTCATGCTGAATCAAGGTTTTTATAGATTAATACAATGTTAAGTTATCATCATCGTCGTCGTCATACTATCACACTCTAGGATTTCTCTAGAAACACCCACCTTTGGTTGTAATTGTTTGTTGGATCAGTTCTTTTCAGAGGTCTGCGTGTACCGTTTTGTGGTACCGTAGAGCATCTCTCTGCTCTGGCGGCAGACATCCACAAGGATGGACTTGCGTGGTAGGAAGTTTGGGAAAACAACCTTGATACCATTCTCTTCGGCTCCGCTCTTGTGCTTAGGCAGCGTCAAAACGCACATGTAAAAGATCACTTGTCCGAAACCATAGAATCCTTCATGGATGACAATATCGATGGTATCAGACAATGGTATGAACTCTTGTTCGGTGAAGCCCCACCTGTCACGGCTGCTGAGTTGAATGCCCATATCCTTGATTATCATCATACTGTCTTGGGGCTCCTGTAGCGATATAAGCGCCAACACGATGAGCGAAAGAGCCACAATGGTCCCAGTTAGGCATAGCTTCCGAAGAGCGGCCGACGTAAGCGATTGAAGAACAGGAACGTCTCTGGCCCAACCTTCAGCATTGGCAAGAAATATTTCCGCCAGCGGGATATATATGTCAAGAGCTTCAAAGACGTAGCCGGCCTCTTCAGCGAGCCGTAGCACAAACAGTACCAATATGCCACATAATACGGCCACGAGGGGTACTTTCCAATATGTTAGGAAACGGGAAGGTTTGTTCAGCACTGTATAAGTGGCCAAGTTCTTGCTGTCAACCAGCGTGATATTCAAGACGAAATCTTTTCTGGAAGACATGCTGCTGGTGGCCAGGAATTTTTCAGCACTGATGAGCCATCAAGTGGTGGGAAACCGAATCGGAGACGATAGCGATGCCGCACTCTGCTTACGTATGTATGTCCTGTGTGCACACCGCGGGTTCGAATACGGGGCCCACACTTTGGGGTTGCAAAAAAATTCATGGCTCAAGTTTCACCTTTCAAAGGCTGGGCAGGTTTTCTAGAGTCTTCAACTGTACCAACAACAACCTCGTTCTTTCTCAATTCTCTTTCTCTTTCAGCTCTGGTCATAATTCTAGAACCGGTTCTGATCTCCATCTCTCTCTTTCTGCTGGCCTCCAAGTCTTCCTTGATAGCCTTCTCACGCTCGGTTTGAATTTCACTGATATGCTTCTCGTGCTCCAGTCTAAGCTCCTTGATTTCTTCGTTGAACTGTTCCAAAGTCTTGAAGTTCTTGCCGTCTGCGGCAGCAGCACAATAGGCATCGAGGTCTGGGGGAAGCTTTCTTCTCAATGCTAATTCCACGAGCTCCGGACGCTTCTTCTCTTCCAAAGTGAACTTTCTTTTCACTTGGCGTCTGGTTCTGTAAGGAAAGAGCTGGGCGATGAAAGTGAAATCAGTACCCCATGTACTCAAGGCATTGTAGAGTTGTTTCAACTCGTCAGTCGTCCATGCATCCGTGTAAGTCAGTTTAGTGTAGGAGTTAGAAGTAATGGGGTTGACATATGCATTATCCATTTCAGCAGCACCGCCAGCCCTATCTGGACGCTCATGTTGGGCCCTGATGATAGAATCAGTATCGACTTGGATTTTATCGCCAACAGTAACCAACGCAATATTAGACTTGGCCGCTTCATCCTTCGCTGCGCCGTCCTTTGCTTCATCACCATTCTCTCCTGCTTCTCTAGCTCTTTTAGCTCTCGCTTTTCCCTCGGCGACTGCTATTCTTTTAGCTTGAAGCTGTTCGAATGCTGTCTCATAACTGACACGATTCTCTCTCGCATAATCACGGGCCTGCCGACGGTACTTCCTTGCCTTGTCCAATGCTATCTTGGCGTTTTCAGCATCATTAAAGTTGGTGCTCGTTGCACCGACTTGTATCAAGGGTTTACAAAGCTCTGCCAAAGTCATATCGTCGGCCAGCACCTTGAGCTGGGCATATAACGCTTCATCTTGTGGTTTAATCTTTCTAGGAAGTTGACTGATATCCGTGATAGTAGTGATAAGATTATCTGGAGCCACAGGCATGTTCTTAGGTCCTTTGACATCTTTATGAGCACGGTACTTGACGAACTTGTTAGTGCTTGGGTCCACTCCAATAACATACTTTGGTCCTTTGTCTTCTTCATTCTCCTCTTCAGTACCTTCTTTAGTGGTTTCTTTCGCAGCAGCAGTAGTGCTACTACCCTCGTCCTCTTCAACCAAAGTTTGCGTTGGAGGCACAACCGTAGAAGACCGGCTTTGTCTCTTGGCGGATCTAGATATCGACAGTCTACTTCTCTTAGTTGGCTTTGCAGTTGGAATGCCAATCTTCACCGGAGCAGCAGTAACTTCTTCTCCATCTGGGCCAACAGAGCCAGGGGTAGAAACCGATCCTGATCTATTGAAGATACCAGATAAACGTCTGGAGGCAACAGAAGACCTTCTTCTTTGCGATCTCTGCAATTCCTGGTTTTCTGCCAAGGTCTTCTTGAAAATATCGTTATCGCCATACTCGTGGCCATCGCTATCTTCGTCTTGTATAGCCTCTTCATCTGCAGCCTTTGAAGTATCTTTAGGGTCCACGATTTCGGCTTCATCCTCCTGTGACTTACCAACACTTGGACTTGGAGCACTTCCAATATTGTACTTGGACAAATCTGTACGGTCATTTGTCACCTGTGTTGCTGGAGGTGTTGAGATGGGAGCCTCATCTGGCTGGGTTATCTGAGTTGGATCAGGGGAAGTATGAGACTCCTGGGTTGTTGGGGGTGTTAGCTGAGCAGCCTTGGTGTTTCTGGTGACCCTCTTTTTCACCTTGGGGGCGAAGTGGGAGGACTTTTTCACAATACTACTCATATTGGTGGAGTGTGATAAGTATGGCTTGTGACAAACGAAGAAGTTATGAGGGTAAACATCGAGCTTGATATGAGGCTATGCAGGACAGGCACCACGAGGCAGCCAACACAAGGCTACGATAGTTGGTCAGGGAGGGTTAAATAGGGATAAGTGGGGGTTTTATAAGGGTACTATGGGGATCTTGATTTAGTGGAGAGACTTTGGAGGTATTTTGGATGGTTTTGAACTGGAATATTGGACCCTTTGTGCTGTACTATATACTAAGGTGAACAGTAGTACTACTATCAAAAGATGATGATTTCTGAAAAAATAAAGTAGTTTAACGACATGTCTTTTTAATCAAGATCTTCTCTTGGCTCCATTTACTCTTTCTTTCAGCAAATGGCTCAAACTACTAAATAACTGTAATCCATGTCCTTTTCGCAGCCATTTAGCACACAGCAACCAGACAACCCAACCATCTGATGGACCTTCCTACCATACTTCCTATTTCCTACTGCCAGTTACTTCAAATCATCATGCCTTAATTGGAATACTCACTGAACAGCTTTCGTAAATGTACCCTTTCCTCCACACTCTACCAACCCACCACATTCCAATACCTTAGTGTATAGTGCGCGAAGACCATCGCTCTACTCAAAACAGCCTCATCAACCACCACTTCTCCATACCATGGACGCTAAAGAAATCTTTGCATGGCGTGCTCATGACGATACTTGGATTTTACAGCTCTTACACTTTCCCCAGGTTTCGGGCGGCTCGTTCGTTGCGTCCACCAGTTCTGGAGGGTTGGTTCTCTTCTCCACCGGCCAGTTCAGCCAGGCTCCTATCTACTCCAACGAGAAGGCCCACGAGTCGAGTATAAATAGCATTGCTAAGGTCAACGATACGGTTTTTGTTTCTGCATCTACAGATGGACTTAAGGTGTGGGATTTGGAGAAAGGACTCGGCAAACCAGTGGCTGCGTTTACCAACCTGAAAAACTCCAACTTCTTATCGGTTGCTAGTTCTCCAGATGGGAAGCTTGTGGCTGGCGGAACTGAGCTTGCTGGTGTGGACGCAGAATTGCATATTTGGGATTGGAAGAGCCAGGAGTTGGTCAGATCGCTCGTGGACTCTCACCATGACGATATCACAGATATCAAGTTCCATCCGACAATGACACAGTACTTGATGTCTGGATCCACGGACGGGTACGTGAACATTTACGATTTACGTGAAGAGGACGAAGACGAAGCATTGCACCAGGTTATCAACTACAATTCTGTTCATACATGCAACTTCATCAGAGAAAAGCGTATACTGGTTCTTTCACACATGGAAACGCTTCTTTTCAGTGAACTCAACAACGTGGACTACGAGAACCCAGAGGAGCCTCAACCCAGTGATATTGGCGACCTACGCGTGTGGCCCCATTGTGAATACGTCATAGAAGTCAGTCCATTGGGCTACGCAGCCTTTGGCGCTAACCTGGAGCTGCTGCTACTGGTGATGCCGTTTGACTGTGAAAGCGAAAACTTTGACAAATCAAGTATTGTCAGTTTCCCAGGTGCCCATGGCGAAGAAGTGGTTAGAGACGTTTTGCTCGTTCCCCAGAGCAAGTTGGTGATTACCTGTGGAGAAGATGGAGGCATCAAGGCATGGGAGCTTCCAATCGAGCTCCAAGGAACCCAAGCCGCCAAACCCGCTAAGACCGAAATCAAGAAGGACAAGAAAGACAAGAAAGATAAAAAGAAGAAAGACAAGGACAGTAAGAAGAAGAAGAGTAAGAAGGACAAGAAAGACAAGCGTGGGAAAGACGCGCGGTTCAAGCCCTACTAAAAGTTGCAGGGCCAGTAACTGATATAACGAAATCAAGGTACAAAAAAAAAAGCAGAGAAACGGGCAACTCCTTACGACTATAAAAGGAGAGCCAAATCCACCTTCCAAAAGTCTCTCCCCTTTTTTTTTCTTCAATTGCCCCCACACGGAACGCTGAGATCTCGCAACCCTTCTTTTTCTTCTCCCACACCCAACTACTACTTTGCTGCAGAGCATGCGCATGGCCGTGCAGACGACCATTTTCGCTTCCATAGTCCACTGCTTCTTTGGGCCAGGGCTGCATTTCTAGGGGGCCTCCTGGACGCTGAAGGGACACTGAAAACGGCATGATCTCCTTCTTATACTAATATAGTAGAAGCTTAATTATTTTTTTTCTACTTAACCTTTTCTTTTGCTTTTGTACTCGCCCCGCCTCAACCTTACTCGGCGAACGGCTTTTTCCCTCTCGTCGTTGGAATGCGTCCCGTACTGCACACACTGCCGATACCCAGACACTCTTGACATCTACTGCAACATCTGCAAAAACTAGTGCTTGTTTTCCACCATCAAGGTGTCTCTTCTTGCTTATTACGTTTGAGTGAACACGTGCTTTATATAAATCATGGACGCAGAAGAGTCTAGAAAAAGGCCTCTTGACCTGCTTGACCAGAATGACGGTCTGTCGCCTTTACCCACTTTAGAGACCGCACCCTCTCCAGTGGGCCCAGACACGAAACCACCACAGGAGCCTGAGGACCAGGATATGGATGGCGAGGTGGCGCCAAAGGAGCCTGAGGTCAAGGCTGAAGAGGAGGTGAAAACTGAGGATAACGGAGCGGTGGCGATGGATACGGTCAAGAGTGAAGAAACTACTGCACCTGCTGCTACACAACCCGACACAGCAGCAGTGGGCGACTCCAACGGAACGGAGGCTGTTGCGGCGACAGAAAACGGCACAAAGAGGTTTAAGCTGGATACGCTTGTGGTGGTTCCTCATAAGACACCACAGCTTTTCTACACGTTGCTTAAGACGGGTCTTGTCTATGATGTGCGGATGAGGTACCATGCCAAGATCTTCACGTCCTACTTTGAGTATATCGACCCACATCCGGAGGATCCACGCCGTATCTACCGTATTTATAAGAAACTTGCCGAGGCGGGGCTTATTCAGGATACGTCGCTTTCGGGCTCTGAGGATATCGGTCCTCTCATGGTGAAAATTCCTATCCGTGAAGCCAGGGCTGAAGAAATCTTGGAAGTGCATTCTGCTGAGCATCTCAAGTACATTTCGCTGACGGAGCAGATGACTCGTGACCAGCTTCTTGAAGAAACAGAAAAGGGTGACTCCATCTACGTGAATAACGACTCCTACCTCCTGGCTAAGCTTTCGTGTGGTGGTTCTATTGAGGCATGCAAGGCCGTCGTGGAAGGTAAAGTTAAGAACTCCATGGCCATTGTGCGTCCTCCTGGCCATCACGCTGAACCCGATACTCCTGGTGGGTTCTGTCTTTTCAGTAACGTGGCGGTGGCTGCCAAAAACATCCTTAAGTCTTACCCAGAGTCGGTTCGCCGTATCGTCATTCTTGATTGGGATATCCACCACGGTAACGGTACCCAAAGAGCTTTCTATAACGACCCTCGTGTCCTCTACATTTCCCTCCATCGTTACGAGAACGGTAAGTTTTACCCAGGTACGAAATATGGAGGCCACGATAAAGTGGGTGAAGGTGAAGGTGAAGGTTACTCTGTGAACGTTCCTTGGAGTGCTCCTGGTGTGGGCGACGCTGACTATGTCTACGCTTTCCGTAGAGTAGTGATGCCAATTATCAGTGAATTTGACCCTGACCTTATTATCGTCAGTGCTGGTTTCGATGCTGCAGACGGTGACTTGATTGGTCAATGTCACGTCAGTCCGGCTGGATACGGCCATATGACCCACATGTTGAAGGCTATAGCTAAAGGCAAGCTCGCTGTCATTTTAGAAGGTGGATACAGTTTAGACTCCATCAGTGAGAGTGCCTTAGGCGTTGCTAAGGTGCTTATAGGTGAGCCTCCTGAAGCAACTATCAGCTCTCAACCACGTTTAGAGACCCTCGAGGTTGTCAACGAGGTGATCAGAATGCAAAGCAAATACTGGAAGTGCATGAAGCCTGGCAACTCGGCCCATGTATTCGAAGATGTCTACGACTTGTCCACGGACAACCTCCTTTCGTTCGCTGAACCAATCCGTGCATACCAGGCACAACAGCTTTTCACCAACCACTCATTCATCAGCCTCCCCATCATTGATCACCCAGAATACAAGCTTTCTACGTTCAGTACAGATCTTCCTGCTCACATGGAAGACATTGTGTTGGCCAGTCCTCTGGTGCTGACGAATTCCACCATTGTTGTTTCCATTCACGACCCTCCTGAAGTCTGGGCCAACATCAATCCTATTAACGGAAACATTGAGAGCAGCACTTCTGTCGTGCTTGAACATCCATTGACGCGTGTCATGAAAAAGGTTCGTTCAGAGCTTTCAGTGGATGGTGGCTCGGCGGACGATGTTGGATATATCGACATTAATATCCCCTCCTATACGGAAGCTGTTGCATCGGCTCAGACAAGCTCAAAGAACAACTCAAACGAAAAGACTACTTCACCGGTGAAGAGTTCAAACTACAACCCTACCATATTTGCCCAGGAACTTCTTCTCTGGGTGTGGGACAACTACTTGACATACTTTCCAGAACTCAAAAAGGTTGTGTTTGTCGGGTTTGGGGACTCATATCAGTCTATTGTCCATCTTTATGCTAAGCGTCCATCGCAGGAGATCAAGGACGTTGTCAAGGGTACAGTTGGATTTGTCAGCCGATCTAATCTTAAGGCCCTAGTGCCAGTAATGGATGAATCAATGGTAGACTGGTACTACCAAAGTTCAGTCCTTTTTACAAGTTACAAAAATACCTGTTGGGTTAGCACCTCTGCTAATGCTAAAAATGGAGATTCCGATGATGTCGGAAAGCGCCCTAGGAAAAAGTACGGTCGTGTGTTGAAGGCATCTGTTGATGGTTTATGGGATGTCATTCATGAGAGATTCGACGAAGGTGTGGACTTCATTCTTGATTCCATTGAAGACTTCTCCGAATCTGAATCTAATTAGGATCAGTGTAATATCTATGTATTATGGGCCAACGTATTGGCCATGACTCAAAAGCATACTAATACATGACGTTTTTTAGACGTAACTTGGGAATCTCTTGGCAAACAGCTTTTCGAGGTCTTCAACATCAGGCATAGAAGTGTCGCTTGAATTGCTAAGCCGCCTGGAATGGTCAGGCAATGTCAAATGCTTTGGTTTGGATGGCTTTGGTGGTGGTTTTTTGAGCGGCTTCTTGGGGCTCACCTTTTCCTTAACAGGTTCTGGCTTTTTAACTGGTTCTGACTTTTTGACTGCCTCTGCCTTCATAACTGGCTCTAACTTCTTGACAAGTTCTGGTTTGTTGACAGGTTCTAGCTTCTTAGCAAGTTCCGGCTTCTTGGTAGCCGCTTGACTCCGAGGGGGCACAGCCTTCTCAGGAGTAGCCAGCTTCCTCGTTGGAGACAGCTGCCTCTTTGGTATTGAGAGTTGCGATGTAGATTTACTCAAGCCAGGAGGAACAGGTGGTGGAGAGCTGTACTTCCTTGGTGATTTTGACTTCAGACGCTTCTCAGACGCGTTAGTAGATAGCGAAGGTCTAGATGGAACGGACTTCACCTTATGAACTTCTTCAGCAGAGCTGGATTCACTTTGAGTGAGTGATTCAGTGCTCGCAGATGCAGAAAGATCCGTATAGTTGATCGCTGTGATATCATCCTGGTCGGTGTATTTACCGTAGCCACTGGCAGTCTTAGGTGCTTTCTGATCAGAATTACTAAGTAGAAGCGACATTCTTTTCTGGATCGAGGAGACCTTCTTTTCTTGGGATGGTACACGTAAATGCTTGACATCCTCCGTAGAATCGTTCTTCTCTTTCGAGCCGGTGAATAGCTTTCTGATGGTCGTTGAACTGGAACGTCTCTTGTATTCAGACGATCCACTCTTCTGGGAAGAAACTGATCCACCTGTACTGATTCTTCTCAATCCCTTTTTGAATGATGCCTTGATAGAGCCACCTGTGCTCTGGCGAGAACTGACCCCTTCTTCCTCTCTAGACTTCAAGAAATTGAGGGTACCACGGTCGGAATCCTCCGAGTTTCTATAATTGTGGAGTTCAGTGGAGCTATCATCCACCTGCTTCCTGATAAGGTCGTGCAAGGTGGCAGATGAATTGCTCGATCTCCCGAGCGGTCTGCTAGGCAAGTCGGGTTTCTTTTGGTTTGAAGACCCCATTGAAAGTATCTTTGATTTGTCAATTGAAGCAAACACGTCCAGGGAACTGCTGGGTTTGGAGGAAGTCTTCAGAGGACCCGTGGCCTTCAAGACCTGGGTCTGTGTAGTAGAATCGTTATTGACACTTGTAACGTCATAGCTGACAGGAACAGTCTTGGTGATGCGGACAGAATATGGAACAGTTTCAGGAAGTTTCTTGACACCCTGCATCAGGCATACCTCTTGAAGGAGTTGAAGTGCACTTGGTCTTCTTCTAGGATCGGCTCTTAAGCAGCATTTAATAACATTTTGAAGGCGTTGTGAGTATTGTGGAGAGCCTGGAAAGCGAAGGTTGATGTTGCAATTGAGGATCAGCTGCTCCAAGTCAGCCAAGGAAGTCTGATGTGGCAGTTCGAAAGGAGTGGTGTAATAACAAAGCTTGTATAAAAAGATACCCAAGGCCCAGATATCCAGCTTGTCGTCTATGGGGAAACCATGCGTGAGATCAATCATCTCCGGTGCTCGGTACTGTGGTGTAGTGTGGTGCATTATATCATCATGCAAAGCATTGAGTTCCTGGGCGTTCTGAGGAACAGGGGCGTAGGCCACGGCCGAACCAAAGTCACAGAGTTTATAGGTGCCCTTTTCGTCGATCAAGACGTTTTCAATCTTGATATCTCTATGTATCAAAGGAGGATTCAAGTGATGGCACATGGCTACCCCGGTAGTGATCTGGGTCATTATGCTGATCACCTCGGGCTCCGTGAGACGATGCGTCAATCTAGTATTCATGAAGTCTATCAACCCATTTTTAGAGCAGTATTCCATGAGAAGCAAAACCTCGTACTGCTGCGTATCGGTGGCTTTAGCCATGGGAAGCCTCGAAGCGTGAGAGTCAATGTACGAGACAATGTGTTTGTTTCCACGCAAGCGCTTCATGGCATCAACTTCTTGCCTAAGTAAGCTAAGCTGGAGCTTATTGGGCACCACCACACGCTTCAAACAGGCGACCTTGTTGCCATGGAACGGTGGATCAATTGTGCACGTGTACACATGAGCAAAACCACCCGAAGATAGGTATTTGAGGATGGATATTTTGTGAGAACCCACCTGAAGCTGTTTGCCTCTTTGGAAGGCGTCGGGTGGGGCGGCAGTCATTGGGGTAACTGACGTGGTCTAAAAATGAAAGAAGCGTAATGTACAGATGGAGATTCCAGTATGTTTCCCAAGCGAGTTGCGATAAATCGCACCAGTGCCTCACACTGAGCAGCAGGAGCACCAGTTACTTAGCTCTTCTTGGCACAAGACCATTAGTAGTTTCTTGGGCTAAAAATTAATAAGCGAAAAAAAGGTCAGGGGAAAGAGTGCCGAGATAACCGAGCCAAGTATGTGACCGGTAGCGAAGAATCTGCAAGGGAGGGAAATGAGTGTATCTGATTCTGAGGCTCAGCAGGCCTTTATGGAAGGGCCAGGGGAAGGGAAGGGGGCAATGCGATGAAACAAGAAAAGTGGAGATTTGGGGTCCTTTGGGGTACTACTTCACTAAGTTTTTGTTAGCTAGGGTTCTTATGAGTGGGAATGGTGGCTTGGTTGGGGTGTTAACTGTGGTTGCGAAAGACGAGTACTGGTATTTTGCAACCATTCTGAGGGTTCACTGAATGAGCGGGTTCCAGAAGAAAGAAGGTGTTTTTGAAGAATTTGGGGTAGTAGCAAAAGCCAAGTAGCCTATTCTTCGAGAGGAGTTGCTTTGGTAGATAACCAATTACTTACACTATATGAACCATACACTGTGTAAGTCATCTACTAGACCCATCCATTCCAGCTACTCTTTCTTCCTTTACATCAAATCTTTCCCAAACACCCAAAAGACAGCTCTTATACCTCTAATATTCGACTCCACTCTCTATGACCTACAGTTGAAGCACCTTCCACTCCTTCCATAGGTTGTCTACCTGGATGCCTCAGTTGCTTCACTTTTCACGTTTTTCCACCAAATCTCTAAAACAAGCCCCCACTTTTCCCTTTTGCACCATTTCTGGAGTCACACATTTCGGTACGGTTTTTTCTGGTCCCGGGCCTTGTTTTTGGAATCTCTGCATCCTTGCTTATGCCTACCTCTCTCGCTACATACCAAGTCTCCTGCACTATCTTGGCGATGAGCATCTACCATAGATGAAGCTTTACTTTGAGGCTGAAAAGTTCGTCAATAACGATAAGGGCAGCTTGAAGAATCGGATCTTCAACGCTAAGCTTTCCAATTCTCCAAAGCATGTTTACGCTCTTGTGATTTCCACGCTCAAGTATAAGGAACATATTGATGTTATCATACGCAAGTCTCGTCTTAAAGACGTGCCCCAATTGAAGAAGTTGAAGGTTTCCGATGCTCTACTATCGCTTCTTGTTCAGGATTTCCTCTTCTCTGCGAAGGGAAGAATCCAGCTGGGTAAGCATCCAATCAAGGAAGCGTTTTTGCTTAACAAGACCAGGATGCAAGCAGAGTTCACAAAGCTTAAGCTCAAACATAAGGTCAAGTCTGTGACTGAGCTTCCTTTGAAGGAAGGCTTCGATGACGATGAAACACCTGTCCGCTGGATCCGTGTAAATACCTTGAAAACTTCGCCAGAGGCTCTTTTCAAGACTCCATTCTTTTCGAGGTTGACTGAGGTTTCATCTCTTGATGAACTTACTGAGCCAGGACAGGTCTATAAGGACGAGTATATTACAAATCTCTATGGGTTGCATCCTAGGGAGAAGATCACCAACACCCAGGCTTATTCCCATGGCGAGGTTATCATTCAAGACCGTGCGTCGTGTTTCCCTGCTGAAATACTTAATAACGATCCGAATGATATCCATACCTGTGTTATAGATGCTACTGCTGCTCCAGGCAACAAAACTACACATGCTGCCTCTTTTGTTGCTAAACATGACGGTGTTGTCTTTGCGTTTGAGAGAGACAACCATAGAGTAAAGACACTCAAGATGATGTGTGAAAAGGCCACAGGCAAGGCACGTAAAAACCTTATACACCCCACCCATGCTGATTTTACCACTGTCAAGCCAGAGGATTTTGAAAATGTCACAGGCCTCATTGTCGATCCATCTTGCAGTGGCTCTGGTATCTTTGGTAGAGCTATCGAGGACGCTAGCGCTAGAGAACAAGAGAATGAAGAGACTGACGAGACTAGACTTAACAAACTTGCAGGTTTTCAGTTCAAGATCATGAAGCACGCCCTTTCTTTTCCTAAGGCCCATAAGGTAGTCTATTCCACATGTTCGATCCACCCACATGAAAACGAAAGAGTTGTGGTAGACTTGCTCAATGATCCAGAAATTAAAAACGCAGGCTGGAAGCTTGCATCAAGGGACGTTGTTATCTCGTCGTGGCCTAGAAGAGGTTGGGAGCAAGAGTTCACTTCCGTAAGTGATGGAGACGAAGCAAAGGGACAACAGCTTGCAGGGGGTTGTGTAAGGGCAGTTCCCAAAGAAGATGGTGGAATTGGGTTCTTTGCAGCCTGTTTTGTTCGTGAAAAGCAGTAGAATTACCCTGTTCATAGAAAGAAAATGTAACATTTAACCATGATTTATTTTTCATCTATCTAGATATTTCAATTTTTTTTCCAGGTCACCTAAGTATCCTGTGTTCTATTAAAAACGTCCAACAATGTCGTCAATGACCTGCTGGGTGGTGGAGTTACCGCCCAAGTCTGGGGTCTTGACCTTGTCCTCCACCAAGTTAGCGTCGACAGCCTCGTAGATCTTGGCAGCAGCCTCCTGGTAGCCCATGAACTCCAACATCAAAGCGGTAGATCTGATGGTAGCAATTGGGTTGGAGATACCCTTACCCTCGATATCTGGGGCAGAACCGTGGCATGGCTCACCGATAGCAAAGTCAGCACCAACATTAGCAGAAGGAACAACACCCAAAGAACCGACAAGGGCAGCAGCACCGTCACTCAAAATGTCACCGTACAAGTTTGGAGCAACCACAACATCAAAAATCTCAGGTTCTCTGAACATACGGTAAACCATAGAGTCAACGATCTGTTCCTTGTACTCAACAGAACCGTACTTGTCCTTGTTGGACTCCCAAACGTTCTTACAAACCTCACGGAACAAACCGTCAGAAGCTGACAAGACATTAGACTTGTGGGTAACGGTAACGGAAGGCTTGGAGTGGAGACTGCTAAGGTTAGAAGTCTCTCTGATCTTCTGTCTCAGCAAAGCAATGTCGTAAGCCATAGCAGCAATTCTGGAGGTAGCGTTTTCAGAGATTCTCTTGATGGCTTCGGCCACTCTAGAGCCGTCCTCGGCGTTGTAGGTCTTCTCTTCCTTGACATACAAGTCCTCGGTGTTCTCACGAACAATAACCATATCAACCGGCTTGTCAGCACCGTCCACAGACTTGACAGGTCTGACATTGGCGTACAAGCCCATCTTCTTTCTCAATGCCACAATTGGAGAAGAGTAGCCGGCCACCTTGACACTAGGAGACGAAACAGCACCGAAAAGAGCACCGTCACACTCGTTCTTCAACACCTCCACGGTCTTATCAGGCAAAGCCGTGCCAGTCTTTTGGAACAACTCGTAGCCAGCGTCCAAAGTGACAAAATCAAACTGCAAGTCGTACTTCTGAGGCAACTTCTCCAACACCGCCTGGCCAGCAGGAATCACTTCACGTCCAATACCATCACCAGGAATAAGGCCAATCTTCAATTTCTTCAAAGAGGCACTCGAGGTGGAAAACGTACGCATCGATCTGGGAAACATGTTGGCTGTAGAATGTAGTATGGATTAACTATGAGTAGTGAAAAACGTGAAAATTCTCAACCCTACCAAACGTCCTTGTGGCCGGTCCCGGGCCCTCCATTCATGCACATAAAATCAGTTATCGGTACTTTTTTTCTTCAATTCTGGGGAAAGCCGCGTCGAATGAGTCACCTTGGAAGAGGCCCTGGGAAGGCTGTTGGCTGGGTATAAAAGATAGGGAAAGTGGAGGTAACTGAAAGTGAAAAATTTCGATTCTAGGTCAATTTCTTCCTCTTTTTTATGATTTTTTTGGCTTTGTGACGTTTTGTATGGGCATGGAGAGGACAGTTTTTTTGTGGGATCGCATGCGACTCAGATGCCTTATCGCCCTGCTTGATAGAAGGGTTTGACAGGTGCTAGGTATTGGAAGAAATGTTTTCAGGGGAAGTTCTGGGAAGGACCTGGTAGTGAAGTTGTAGGATTGGTTTTGCTAGTGGCCTGAAAATTATATAGTTAGGGCGGCTTGGGTACATCTGGTTCTGGTTTAAGCAAAGGTGAAGTTTTCCTTTGGGGCTGGCTTGGGCGCTTCTGTACTGGCATATCGACCCAAAATGCTAATTGGTAACTGAAAAACCGTTACCGTTCATCCAAGCGGCCCAGTGCCATTCAACGCATTCCACTAAGCTTTTGTATGTCTCAGGCGTTGCTTCTTGGTGGAGGCCTATTCTCGTGGCTTTGTGTACCACGAATGGGATATTTGCAACCATTCTAGTACCCATTCACAACTCCTTCATCCCACACAATTTGACCATATCCCGAAAATGATGTCTTTCTTTCCAAAGGCAAGCCTATTATATTCCCAAACTATTTGAATTATAAGTATACCAAGCTGACGGACGATTACGAGGACCTCAGTGGCAGTAGAAGGACACCGACTACGAAGCCACAACTGTCCTTCAAAATGTACCAAGACAAGAATGGCCATGTTTATGCGGTGGCAATAAAAGACGCCAATCCCAAAGAATTGTATGACCTCGGCAAAGGTTTCGAGTACACCACTAATTTCCTTCCAGTTCTGTTCAGCGACGAGTTATTGCTGTACGGCCCTGGAGAGAAGATTCGCAAGATTAACCGAATGAAATCCTTATGGAAGGTGAAGGCATTAATAAACGATATTGAAAAATTCTGTCAAATGCTTCCTCATACGAATAGCCAAGCGAAGGACGAGTTGATGAATATCCAGAAGGAAGCTCGTCAACTCGTTCAGGAACTCAAGGGGACTGGAAGTGAATGGAAAAGGCGTGACATAATCATGTGTGGTGTTGGATCTGTCGGCTTTTTTTTGTCATTTGGGCTCTTCTGTCACAATGACCGGGACTTTTATCCTCTTGTTGGATGTATAATTGGGGTCGAGAGTGTAAAAGGCTTATGCCAATTTGCCTCGTATGCTTTGGAATGAAGGTATGTATTTTTTTGAGGGATACAACAAACCACTCTTTATTGTATAGTTGAAGATGCCCTGGGATAAAGCTGCATTTGTAATATTGAAACAACAGTAAATTCATAGGAATCTAATCTTGGACTCTCGCCTACTGTTTTCCTGGTAGGTATAGTATTATTTGACAGGATGATCCCCATTGTGACGTTTTGGTAACTCTGGTACTTGAAAAGTGAATTATCAAGTTTGTTAAGTGACCTAGAAGTGGCGGAACGAGCTATGCCAACTTATGGCATAAAAGTGCACCTTTCTGGATGTCCCTTCCCGCTACCTCTTGAAGGATTCAGGTAAATATGGAAAAACATCTTATCCTAATAGTCACTAGTGAAATCAGTTTAAGTGAATCTCGAACACTAGCTGCTGGAAACAATCCTTGAGAGTCGATACCTGTACAGTTGGCTAAAGACCCACAAAAGAGTGGCGTGGCTTTGTCCTTATATAGGTTACGGTTTTATAGGTAATTTCAAGTGAAACGTTGATGTAGTTGCCAGTGTGTTTCACGTTGTTGATCTCGCACACCTCAAGTTTCAGACTGTGTGATGGACGTAAGTCTTTGGCCCTGAAGCGACTCTCCTGAACGCCTGCAGTGAGTTATTGTGCCCTGGACTTCCTTCCACACTCAATAACTATAAATGCCTAATCACCCAGTTTAACTCCAAAGTCATGTTGATGCCTGTATGTTCAGGATCCTCGGTGGATTTGGTTTAGGGCCTTATTGAAGACGTAAGGCACAACGAAGCTGAGCAGAGTATATCTAAGTCGAAGATCTCACTTTGTAAAATAGTAAATCTTGAACAGCTTCTTTCCCTAGTTTCTGTCATGGCTCATATCAACAACGAGCCTTGTGCTGCAGGCTACCCAGATTCTCAAGCCTACTACTGTGAAGAAGCATGGTATTATGCATAACGCGTAATCTACCAGTATGCACCTTCGCTCGTTAGATCTTGCTCATTGAAGACGACTACTTCCCTGGAACAGATAAATATAGAGTCTGAGCATAGAAAGTCCTCATTCTCTATTTTCTCTAGGTTTGATGTTTGAATTGGTTGGCACGAGGAAGGTTGTTGGTGTCTCCCCTCCTCTCTTTTTCGGTTCTTTTCTAAGCCTTCGGTTATCTCTATAATAAGGTACAAATATAAAGCCTTACTTATAGATTTCAAGGGAGTCTTCACATCCCTAACCTATAATATAAAACGATGTTTCTAGTTAAATGTGGTTTCCTCGGTGATCGGTCAATCATTGCCCTGAAACAAGCCTCTTACATTCACAGACAAACGTGACATTGAGTATAAGATCAGACATGATTCTGCTCACACAGATTCGGTTATGAAGCAGTCCAGACGCATTTGAACCCCCGATTTCTAGCAGAATATAAAAACCCCTGCGAATCCCCCGCTTATACAACACCAGTCTTTTTTTTTGTTATTAACCCTTTTTTTATCAGAAACTCAGTATGGCCCAAGAGATCAACAATGCCATGAGGCCCTCTTTAGAGGAAATCGAACAAATGAAAAACATATTGTTAATTGAGGAATTTGAACCGAATGGCGAGCAACACGGTCTTTTAAGAATAAGGCAACGCGTTGGGCAGGGTTATGAAGAGAGAAAAGTGATCGTGCCTCATGGTGCACCGTCAGCCTTAGCTCCTCTTGTTGATCAGCGAATTGAAGTCGCTGACGAAGTTGATGCTGAGAATGATGGTAACCAAGTCGCTGGTGCTGATGCTGGTGCTGATGCTGGTGCTGATGCTGCAGGCGACCCACACTTGGAAGCACCAGAGGCTCGTTTAGGACGGCAAGTTGTCCAGTTATTGAAGAAAGTCAATGGCCATATTCGAGTTCACGATGCAGAGAGGATTCAAACATATAAGATCAGAACTCAAAGGTTAGCGGATGAAGTGAGGTACGCCAAGCAAACGAGAAATGGTTTCAGGAACAAATTGAGAATAGGTTTGCCATATTTGTTCCTCTTCTTCATTGCATTAATTGCCGTTTTGTATTTAGTAACCCCCCGCTACTAAGAGGAAAAGGTATAAATGGCCAAAGAAACACCTAGTCAACTAGTACGTGGAATAGCATGAAACAAAAATGTGACTAAATGGTTGCATCCAATCTGGAGCATCAATGTTATCTCTAGAAACCAGTGGAGCCGGTGGAAGAAGTCGCTATTGCTGGAGGCAGTGTTAGAAGAGTCCCGCAAGAACGAACACGATTTGGCTGATCGTTTGGATAACAAATGCGCAAACTCGTGTGTTAGTCTTGGTCTCGTGGGCGTAGGGGCAATTCCCAGGTCCTTCTTTTTCTGGAATGCCTGTGGGTCTCGGAGAGGGTTTGTCGATGGGCAGTAATGTCTCCATAAAAAACAACAAGTATGGGTTTTTGCGTTCTTCCCATCCATCTTTCTTGGTTTTAAATTTTCTTTCTTTGGATCTTCTCTTCTATTTTTCGGTCAACATATTTAAATCCTTTTCACATTTTTCTCACCTTGGTAGTGTCATCCTCTCATCGTTTCATAGGAAATTATCATGAATGTCACTCCATCTAATAGGAAAACTCGTCACATATACACCGCTGGGCACAATACCCCAGCTGGCGGGTTAGGAATTGGTTATTTCTAGTAGCTCTACATGAAGGTCCCTAACATCACCACTCAAAGCCTTCCGCATTCTTCCTAGCGAGCGAAAAAAAGCCAACCTCAATTTACCTTAAACTGATCTTTCTTTGCCTTCTCGCATAGCTCCTAGACTACCACCACAGCTCCTCGAACCATCCAAAAACTCCTTTGACCAACCGAGACTACAAAACCAGCCGCTCTTCACACAAAAGCCCCAGTCAGGCAAAACCTTGCGTACCCTCCCCTTTCAGGTTTCTCTTTTTTTTGGCGCGAGACCAACCTTGCATCGAGGAAGCTTAGTCGTATGCAAGGTACCACCAATCTTGTTCGCTGATCTAAGACTATGGAGAATGCTTCGTAGAGAAAAGGCTTCAGGAACAGTCAAATAAAACGTTCCTATTTGGGGCCAAATAGAACACTCCCTGGTCAATTCGGTTGCCATTGTCTCATTATTGTATTTCCCAGTAAGCTTTTCTTCCATTGTCAAAGCTCTTGACAGCTTGAGCCGCGTAAGTGTCTCAGCCGCGATCCAAATGTGCAGCGCCTAATCATAAACTCAACTCCAAGAGGAAGAACATCTCACAACGTGGATAGTAATCAAAAAGATCTAGCTGCTTCAAAATAGGAGCTGAAAGCCGTATGATAAGCCGGCTATATTGGTCTTTTGAACCCCCACTTTGAAAATATGGAGCTCAATTTGATCCTCCTTTTTTCATTAAGGACTGGAACATCAAAGCTTTTGTTCAAACAGTTGTTAGTATCGGTGGCAATGTCTATTCCAATTGTTACTTCCATGGAAGTAACTGAATTGTAATGCCTGACCTTTAGGATTGCACGAATTTCGTAACCGCGGAATATATTACCGGAGAGGAAAGTGGGTCCGACTTCAGGTATCTGAAAGTTCTGTAACACAGGGAACTTGGTGTATATGTTCTGAGTTACCCAGTTGCCTACCGGGCGCCATCCACGAACCAGAAGAGGAATCTCGTGTGATCGGTAACGGAAAGACCCGGCATTATTTTCCAACACTGTTTCGATTAAATCTATTTTGAGCTCGTCGACATACATCAATGCGTTTATTCTGTAAGTGTACCTGAATGGTACCAAGTTCCCAGGAAGCAACATGAAGCTTAGATTAAGGAAATTACTAAGCTTCATTCCAGGGGTAACCACGATTCTGTTTCCTAGGTGTCTAAAATGGTTATGCGGCTTGATTGTTGCCCTTAAAGTAAGGTCACCGCTCATATAGTATTTTTCGTCCATTTCAAACATGGACAGTTCGTGGCAATAGGTTGGATCAACGTGTGGCATGAAAGTATGAAGGGGGTCTGACAATGGCAAGTCGTAGTGAAAGCTATGACCGCCCATTTTCAAGAACAGGCCTCCGTATAGCTTACCAGGAATCACTTCGGTGTCGGCTGAGAAGTATGGTGCCATCAAGACCTGACACAAAATTGTATTCACCTCTGGTATGGGCCAATATGTTAAACTGTCTGCAATTAGTTTCTTTTCAAGCGGCAACATGAGCTCCTTTCTCTCTACGACTTTTGGTTTAAAAACGTCTACCTTGCTCACAATAAAAGTTCCTTCCGATGTCGAGAAGAACTGCGATTGGTGCCCTCGATAGAGCCTTTCATTCCAGCCAGAAACTTTCTTTAATTCTTCAGGTAGCTTACTGCATGCCCCCACACCCGAAATGTTTTCAAACAATAGAGCACTGCTAGCATGGTACGATCCACACCAAACGTCGGGTCTATACTTGACGCTATGTTTCCTGAACTCCAAATATGACTCTTTCGCAACGCAAATTTCTATATGAGATTTTAATTCATATAATTGCTCCCCAGTTCTCAAAAACTGTACACCTAGGCTAACGCTTAAGACATATCTCCTGGTTATACCATTGGAACAGAATGTTGGACCGAGTTTAGGTAACGCACAATTAAAATTGACTCTAGGTATATTGAGCCCATGAGAATCGATCATAACTTTGTAATCAACTCTCTTCAGAAGCGCTTTATCAAGAATTGTGGTACTCTTTACGTCTTTAGTTGAATCTGCGAACGAGACTTCCCCTTCTTTGCATGACATGCATTCAGTAACTTGTAATAATTCTATGGTCAAGCTCCTGATGAAAAGGGTTAAACTGTATTTTCTCAAGTCTTTTGGGGGTTTTTTTAACATGCACAAGCCTCTAGGTGGGCAAGGACTGTCAGTGAATTCATCAGCTTCCCTCAACTGTATCTGAATGTCAAGGAAGTCTGTTACATTCATTTGAGATCTCACTATGCAACCTGACGTTTCTTGTTGAAACATATTGGGCTTCTTAAACTTGAGGAAAAGGGTTGGTAACCGACTCTTAGTCTCTTTAATTCTGTCCGTTTTAAAAACAAAACCATTCACATCACTTATTGTGGCTGCCAAAGGAGATGCCTTCTCCTCGTATTTGAGCTTCTTGTCGCCCAAGGTCAACAAAAACTCTCCTTTTAGCCTGTGATTTCTACCAACACCTTGTTGATCCCGAAGGTATAGCTGTGAAGGGTGAATGATATGATACATAGCTTTGCAAGAATCTGAAAGCGGTCCGGTTCCCAAACTTGAAACACCTTCTGAGAGCATAGCAAGTAGCGAGTGATTTCTAGTCTCTCGGGCTGTGTCTTGTAAGGCTCGTCCAGTGACAGCCGCATTGCTCTTAGATTTATACTTCTTTTCGCTTTCGAAGATGGCATGGGTTATTGCAAAGACATTGTTGTCCAAATTGTACGCCCAAGTTGAATGAGACTTGTGACGGGAAGCGTGCCTTTTGATCTCCTCGTTGATAATTGGAGAACACTGCGACACTAGCCCTCTATCGTTTCGTTTTTCAATGATTAGAAAATGTTCCATAGCCGGATTTGAAGTGATACTCTAGTCTTCTTACTGTTCTTAAGCGAAGGTGGTGCTGAATTGTATATAAGGAAAGTCTTAAAACTTCCTAATCAAATCTTTTACATTGGCTTCGGGTCACTACAACTAAACAAAAATAAATGCCACATGAGCAATGACGAAAGGCTTAGTTTACCTTCAAGGAGGAAAGTGGAGTTGTCTGGCCTGCCTCGTAACCGCCTATCAGAGAACCACGTCTTAGCTTAAGCTAGTATTCCTTACTTATTGTTCACTTATGACTTCTTTATCTATATGCTAAACAATCATCTTTCCAATTGTTTCACCTTTTCTTGTGCCCTCATGCACGAAGTCAATTATGCAAGACCAAGATGCTCCAAAGTCTAAGCAATGCCATAATTCGCTTAGCCATGGTTCACAGTTTGTAAGACCATTCTAGCCTGTATTGCATGTAATACTAATCATGGGAATTGGGGATGGGAGTCATGCTGTTAGTTCAAAGAAACCTATCCAAATATTTGTCTTCTTCAAAACTTTCGGTGATAATGGTGTGGGCTCGTAACAACCATCGGTCGCCAGCAGTAACTTAATCGGACACATAATGCCTTGTTTCACAACCTTAACTCATCCTATAACACTGTGTATACATTTAACTGTGATATACTCCAGGCATTTATGAAATAGCGAAAAGAATACATTGATAATAAAAATGCAATGCAAGAGTTTGAAGATGGGATTTACCAATGATGCAAAGCTCATCAACATATTTCATCGCTTGCAAAACCGAGGTAGTGCCCATTGGTAGTCATACCTTATTGATTATTCTTTGCTTAGCCACATGTATTCAATAAAGAAAGATGATCGCCACGAAATAAGGCCCCAATTATGTTTTTAAGGCAGTTTCCTGATAAGCTTGTGCTCTGGCTTTTTATGATACTGAGGGGGTGAATTACTCGAACTTAAGCAGTTATGCTTGTCTGCTGCCACCTCGATTGCCTCGCAAACGTACAACGTTTTCCACCACGTTGCTTCTGGAACATGGATCACACAACCAATACGGACTTCGTAGCTTCTATACAAATCCCTAGAGTAGAAGGTGGGCCCTAAATTCGGCACAGCCACATCAAAGAACTCTTTTGGTAAAGTCACAAAGGCGTGAGATTCATCAGTGATGCATTTCTCAAAGCTTGACCATGGAAAGTTGGCTTCGCAACGTTTATTAAGCATTCTGTAGGATCTGGTCCAATAGTCTGAGTGTTCGAAACTGTTACTTGACACTGTTGCCAGAATGTCGACATGTATCGTTTGTACGATAAACAGTAAATCTGTTGGAGGAATTAGACAAAGTTTAGAGGCGTCCCCATAAGTATGAGGGAGATGGATCTGGAGCTCAAATAGTTCTGAAAGCAACATACCAGGCACGACAGTTTTTGAGTTATTCTGTGTAACGAAACGATCATGTCTCTTGAAACGTGAACTTAACGTGAGTTCCTGAGGCATGCCATGGGGCAAACGATGCTCGTGAGTAAATGTTGTTCTGCAGTTACTTGGATCATTATTTGGTGTAAATTGATAAAGTGGATGTAGCATGGGAAAGCTATACATGATCCTCACATCTTCTTTTTTCAAGAAAGTGCCACCAAATAGCTGACCACTTTGCAAATAAGTCTCGCCCTCAAACTCGGAAGGTTTCAATACCTCACATACGATCACACTCCTCTTTCCCACAACGGGCCCATTGGTGAAATTACTAGCGACACCGTCCCTTTTGAGAGCGGTTTCAAACCTATTCTTGTCATATTTGCGCCGTGACACAATATCTAGCGTGGTTACAGAGTATATCTTGCCCAACACAGAGAAAAGTTGTGATTGGTGGCTCTTGTATTTTATGGGCAAATTGACAGAGACGCTTTCAAGGGAGTTGATGAGCAGGTTTGAATCTCTGAGTTGGCGAGCAGAGACCTCTTTGGGTTGATAAGAGTCCCTCTCAAATTCTTCAAGGATGACAAGTGTTTCTACCCCCCACAGGAACAGCATTGAGTCTGGGCCAAAAGCCTTGTATGCTTTCGAGGAGTTATAAATCTCTTTTGCTATGCATATTTCCGTAAATGACTTGAGAGACACAGATTCTTCACTTGAGACTGTAGCAATTTCAACTGTCACTTCAACGCCATAGCTTCTCCTAAAGCTCCCAGAGCAAAAAGTAGGTCCGAGATGTGGAAGTTTGCAATCGTATGTATTGATTGGTACCAGGCATCTCTGACTCCACAGAAGCTTATCTGACGGCTTTAACCAAATAAGTCTTTCCAGGCAATCCAAGTTCAGGATTTCCTTACTTCTTAGACGTTTGATTGTGTCCGTAAAACAGATTCCTTTCTCTGTAGCTACACAACTTATTAGTTCAAGTAATGTTACTTTAACGTTTCGAAGTTGTAGCTGTGGCAGTTCAAGTTTCTCGAAGACTTCTAACTTTTCAGAATTGCAAGCATTATCTAGAACTATCAGTAGCCCAAGAAAGTCAGGAACTTTCGATTCGGAGGGAACAACACGGCCATGGTCGTCCTGTTGAAACCAGCCTGGTTGTTTGAACTTAGCTTTCAAAGATAAATGGCCAACACCCTCAGTGGCACGAGTGACTAAATTGCTATCCACGTTATACAAAGCACGGGTCATGGGTAAAGGCATGTCCTTGTATATGTACCTCATTCCTTTCAAAATCAACAAGGACCCACCTCGAAGGGTTCCATCGGCCCTTCGCTGCTCATAGGCAGAGAGTTGGATTGGATCAAAAATGACGTACTCAGCTCTAGGGTGATCGGACCGAGGTCCTGATCCCAAACTTGCGATTCATTCCCGCTCTTGTGCCTGGAGCAATCTTCTTGGCAAGACATCTGCTAATTCAGTCGAGTTGACCTCCTCAATACTCTCAAACAGAACCTCTGTTATCGCGTACATTGTGGGTTTGAAACAATATCCCCACATCGACTGTGAGATGAACCGCAGAATATTACGTCTAATTTCCTCAGAGGTAGCTTTGGAACACGTAAATGGTCCATCAGATTCATTTTGCTCCTCTACAAGAAAAAAGGTCTCTTGACCTTTCCGACACATTTTTTATGGTACTTGATTGTCCTTTGGGAAAGACGAATCATGTTATAGAAGGTCAATAGATGCTCTAGGAAACTCCAACAAGATCACGAGAGCAATGACAGCCACACACTTGAAATTTCCTCACTATGCCACCAAAAGAAGCAACTTGAGCTTTCAATTGCCTCGGGATGTCTTTGTTTGATTTCTCATTTTTCAACTGGAACGAAACTGAAGTGAAGGAACTTTTCCATTTATTTCTTTGAGCCAGTTAATCTTAGGCGAGATAGATATCGTAATAATGGAACAAAGGTCCCGATATGGTCGATGACACTATTTTAATCGTCCTTCCATGATACCCTTTAGTCATACTATCAATACATGCATTAACTCGTAAAAACGTAAATCTCTAGCGCTTGTTCCAGCTTAATGCATTTCTCAGCAATTACTAGAATCAAAGCCTTTTTTTTTATAAATCATATTGAAAGACAATCACGCCTTATCAAGTAACTCTTTTTTAACTTCTCCTCCCAGTACCCCTGTAGCAAACGAGGAGAAGGTCTCATCAATACCTTGCACAACGTGACCTTGCAACTCCTCTTCGAAGTTCTCAACGTCCTGGAATTCTTCGAACCACGCCTTCTCGAAAGGCCTAACATCGGCAGCACCTTCAACTGGCCAAAAGTAACATAAAACTGCATAAACAATCGCAGCAGAAAAGAATCCTGTGAAGAAGTTAAGTCTGTAGACGTAGATGGCCCCAATTGGAACAGCATTCTCACCCTTGACTTGTCCAACAAAGCCCACAATATTAGGCAAAATTCCACAAATGTATGCAACCAAAGCCCTTGGGTTAGAACCAATCTTATTGTACTTGTAGCAAGAAGGTCTGGTATTGTCTTCAGGGGCAAACAAGGAGTACAAATGTGTCAACTTCAAATATCCTCTTCTCACATAGTAGTAGTCGCAACAAATGACACCAACGATGGATGAAAGGAACACAGAGTAAGCCGACAAGTATGTTGTGAAGCTGGAAGAGCTTGAAGTTAAGTTCCATGGCTGCACAATTAAGGCCAAGATAGCACAAAGGTAAGACCCTCTCCTGATTGTTAAGTATTTTGGTAGAAGCGATGTTACATCCGTACCAAATGAAAGGGAGTTGGCAGAAATGTTTGTACCTAGCTGAGCAATAGCAAAACAGAAGCCAAGTAAAAATACACCAGCTCTATTTCCGGCCGTATAGTTGTCCAAGAAATGACTCAAGACATCCAAAGGGTTCCAAGTTGGTTCACCGTATAACACCTCAGACGCCGAACTCACAAGAATGCCGATCAAGGAAGTGATGGAAAAACACAAGGGAATTGACACAGTTTGGACAACATATTTCATGGAGAAAGAGGGCTTGTCAGCAAAACGGGAAAAGTCAGGGGCGTTAGTGATTAAGGTCGCAAAGTTTGCCAATGCATTCATAGTAGATTCAACAAAAGCCCAAGCTAAGTCATGGCTACCAAGTTTGGAAGACTTATGTATGACGGGACCAGCCCCATGTGCCTTAACCAATGTCCAGACCAAAAAAGTTATGCCAGCAACTGGAACAACGTAGGCCTTGAAGGTGAACAAGTGTCTTATCTTATGGGGAGGGAACCATAAAAAAGGTAGTTGGAATAGCCAGAACAAAAAGAAAGATAAAAACTTGAATGTGGTCAAGTTTGGGTTGTCAATGCCATTGGGCATAGTTTCGTCAAGATTTTGGCCAAAGATAGATCTCAACATCAAACCCATACATGGAGCAGCCACCATGCTCTGAACTGAGTACCAGACACAAGACATGACGACACGGTTAATAACTGGCCATGCGGCAAAGAAAATGCCAAAAGAGGCTCTCACGCCAATGGGGAAGGAAATATGGTTGACCACACCTATTCTTGCCGAGATGGAAACGAACACACCACACAAAAAGTAGCCCACCCAGACAGAAAGCCACGTCTGCCACCAAGTCATACCTTGCTGCACACCAGTGGAAGCAATCATCCATGTGTTAATGTTGAAGGAGTCTGCTATCCAGAAAAATATATAGTTATACCAAGACCACTGCCTTCTGGCAGCCTCGACAGGACGTAAGTCATGGTTAAACAAAAACCGTTGCATATTGGTTAGGTCACCGGGGTTATCGACCTCGATGAAGTCTGAAAACCGCTTATACCACGGTTTCTTCTCATGGTGTTCAACCTCAATGGTGCTGGTGTTGTCCACAGCCTCCACGAGGGCAGTCTGGGAACTCTTTGACATTTTTGGATAAGCAAAAGTCGAGGAGCCGAACAGAGCCTATTTATAAGAATTTCCAACCGTCAAAGCATCGTTTTTTTAGTCATGCTGCAGAGATACACCGTACGCCTGGTCTGGTTGCAAAATGCTACGGGCGGACAGCGTTGGCCACGGAAGATGTGCAGGAGGAGGCACTTGCTATCAGTGCAGATAAGCTATCGAGGAGGTATGTCGCCTAAAGGAAGCGCTCAAGAAAAAAATGCCTTACAAGTGATAAGAACATACCCAGACGGAAAAAAAAAAAAAAAATCATCAACCCTCGACAAACCTCACCCTTTCCAGTACACCATCTCTGATCTTCCTTCTCTTGCAGAGATTGCTATACCGTAGTTGCGGTGGGGAGACATTGCTTGCGAGTATCACCACCCAGCGACTACTCGAACGGATCTCCATTGTGGGGATCCGGATCGTTCAGACACACAATCGAGCAAGCACATTGACACAGCGGGCGACCACAGGATAAGCCACGGGACCCAGAGGGGTCGGCGCGTGTTGGACAATTACGGTTTGGAAAGAAACAAATAAAAAAAAAAAAAAAGTGGTGACGATGGCTGTGGTTGGTACCCTGGCGTGGAGGTGATGGCATGGAATCGTAACTTCCTTTTTCGTCGCTGCCGAAGTGTTTGACAGGTGCGGCTGTCTGGCATATTTTGCGGCATGGGAAAATGAGAGATAAGGCCCTGGCGCGGCGAACACATTTTTTGTATCTAGCGGGCCGAAGATGCAAAGCGTCTAAGGAGATTAGAGGAATTGTTTAAGCGAGAATAACGTAACGATCTTGGCGGGAACGATGACGGTTATGTTTTTTTCTTTTTGGTTTGGTTTGGTTAGTTTTAAGGTTTGTATTTCTTTTGGGGTTTTTGCCCCTGGAATGCTTGTTCTGTACGGAAGTTGCAAAAAAGGTGCTGATGATTTTCAGCTTTTCATTGCACATTGAGAACTCACGGAAACGCACTGGCAGAGATCCAGGTCACCAAAAATCACAAACTAGGGGTATATCGATGGTTTTGCCTGAAATAGACGTAAACACGCCCTGCGCAAGTGGTATTCGAATTTCACCTTTCAAAAACAGATATACCCCATCTCGGAAGTACATTTGCGTTTGGAGTGCTAGTAAACAACATAGGGTCATGGCAAAAGGTGCAAATGACCGAATTGTGGGGATTCTCTGACTTGGAGATATTTTTTGACTATACATCGGCAACTATACCCTTTTTGTTATCCTTCACGGGGTGTTTCAGACCTGGTCCAATGGCCTTGATACTCTGGATACTCCGCTTCGCGGAATCCACATTTTGCAACCATTTCTTCCCCATCATCAACTAGACACAACAACCCATCGAAAAGGACAATTTCACGCCCGAAACAGAAAATTGGGCCCTTCGAACGGAATACGGTTTCCTCTAATGCCATTTTGTTTGCCACACGACTTTGCCATAGCTGGAACGGCTCCAGGTTCTATTAAACAAGACGAGACAGGCGAAACCGACTAAAATTCCTACTCAACCACCATATCCTTCCATCTATGTCCTTCCTACATCTTTTTCAAAAACATCTTGTCTTGCCACCAGCCAGATTTTTTGGTCTGACAGTCACACTTCTTGGTCGGGCCCTGTACACAACCGAAAACTCCATTGAAAATTTCTCGGAGTCACCTTAGCACCAAGCTCAAGTGTAGCACTACCTAACACAACAAATAACGTAAAATGCAAAGAGCTCTCCTTAATGCCGTGACGAGATCTGCCGCCAGGCCAGCTCTTAGAATGGTCAGACCAGCCATGGCTGCTCCATTCGCCACTCCAAGATACAACATGGCCAGCTTGAGATTCAACAGCACCAAGGCCGAAGGTGAAGATGCCAAAGAAGCTAAAGAAGCTGCCCAGGAGAATGCCGAAACCGCCAAGGAGGAAGCTTCTCAGGAAGACCCAGTCGTCGCCGACTTGAAACTGAAGTTGGAGAAGAAAGACAAGGATTTGGCTGACATGAAGAACCACTACGCTAGAGCCGTCGCCGACTTCCGCAACTTGCAAGAGACCACAAAGAAAGAGATGCAGAAGAGTAAAGACTTTGCCTTGCAAAAGTTCGCCAAGGACTTGTTGGAGTCCCTCGACAACTTCGAATTGGCTTTGAACTCTGTCAAGGAGGAGACTTTGACGGCCAGCTCCGAAGTCAAGAACTTGTACGAGGGTGTTTCTATGACCAGAAACGTTTTCGAAAAGACTTTACAGAAGCACGGTATCGAGAAGATGGACCCAATGGGCGAGGCCTTTGACCCTAACCACCACGAGGCCACCTTCGAGATCCCTCAGCCAGACAAGGAGCCAGGCACCATTTTCCACGTCCAGCAGCCAGGCTACACCTTGAACAGCAGAGTGTTGAGACCAGCCAAGGTTGGTTTGGTCAAGGGTGACGACAACTAAGTGTAGAGCAACCTACAGTGGGAGAAGGGAGTGAGGAACTAAATGTACATAGCTAACGACATATCGGGCATACCGGGCCAGTCATGAACCCCTTAGGGTCTGGTGCCCATCCTCTTGAAGTTCTTTTTGTGTAATTCAGAAAAAAAAATCATGCTATGCATTTCCCCAGGAAAGCTTCCCTCGCTTGCGCTTGTAGACCGAGAAGCCGCGGTCCATCTACTACTTTTCAACGGTGCAAGTGATGATTGCAATCCGCCTTGGTATACGCCAGCGACATCTTGGACGCTTCCATGTTCGGAATTTCCAACTTCCAGCTAACTACAAACCCAACGGGAGGTTTGTGAATAAATTGCCCTTTGGGAAACTTCTCAATATATGGTGGAAATCTCTTCGCCCTGGCCGCCTCGAAGAGCTTCAACAGGCATTGCTTGAGCACCATTTTCCACTTGATAAGGCTGAGAATAAGGGGATCAAAAGAGAAGCAAAGAAAGTGCCTATCGATGAGGATGGCAACTTTATCAACGAAGTCGCCTTCGAAGTGGTGAACAATGAGAGCTACCAGACTAAGCATATAGTGTTTATCCACGGTTACGGTGCTTCGCTTGGATGTTTTGCCAGAAACTTCCATGTAATCAACAAGCTTAGGGACCTCAAGTACAACTACAAAGTTCATTTTCTCGACAACATTACGTTTGCGTTGAGTTCTAATCCGCCTGTGAAGAGTATAGACTATAGTGCGCCTATACCCCAAGTGAACCACATCAAGATGACTGATACGAAAACCACCGTGCCACAGGAGCTTTATAAGAAGTATTATAAGCTTATTGAAAGCTACAAGTTTGATGCCGAAGAATTTAAAAAGTCGAGGGATGAGATGGTGCCGGTTCTCAAGGACATGGAAGACTACTATACGTCAGCTTTAGACGGCTGGAGAAAGAGTTCCAATATTGAAAAGATTGACTTTCTTGTTGGCCACTCCTTTGGTGGTTACTGGTCTGGTTCGTACGCTGTCAAGAACCCCGAGAAGGTCAATGAATTGGTGCTCTTGTCGCCTGTGGGTGTGGAAAGAACCGCTTACGCTGTTACAGCGCCTATCCCTGAGCAGGAAGAGAACCTTCCATCCTTGGATCCAACTTCGTACAACTTCTTGAGCAGATTTCCTATTCTTCTGCAAGATACAGTGTACAAATGGTACCATGTCCAGCCTAAGTTGCCTAGATTGTTGAAGTACATGGGTCCATGGGGCGTTGCCAAGTACTACGATATGTGGTATAGCAAGCTTTTCGCCATCAACAAGGTGATCAAGAAACTTGGCGGCTCAAATGTCTTTCAAAGTGACAATGAGCTCGTATACGGCTCGAACACTGAATGCCGCCTTCTTATCGAGTATCTATACAATTCGATAACCACCGGCACCAAATCAGATATCCATGTCAAGTACCTCTTGACACCTGCTACTACCAGCAGATGGCCACTCTACGACAAGTTCATGGACTCCAACAAAGAGGCGCTTTCCAAGTTCAAGCTACACATTGTTTACGGCCAATACGACTTTATGAACTCGGAAGCTGGCGAGAAGCTAGTCAAGGAGCTCCAAAAAACATTTGACTTGGATACAGCCCAATACCATACGGTGCCTGAAGGCGGACACAACTTGTACATCCAGAACCCATTTGGCACCAACGAGCTTTTGGAAAAGATCGTCAAGGACGCCGAGGCACCGTAATTATTTATTAGAGATAGACCTAGATAGACCAATAGAAATATTTATTAGCCCCCAGGCACCTCTTGTGAAATGGCTGCAAACGCCCAGACCGTGCATCCATGAAGGAACACACCTGATCTGAAACACCTTCAGCCACCACCTACGCCATGACGTCAACCTTAGCCTTGAAGGTACATACCACTTGGATATTCCATTCTACTTTTTACTTTACCTTTATTTTTTTCTATTTTTATTTAGCAACTCATTGATTCGTTGTAACCTTCAGTGGGGACAGTCCCCTCCAGACCACGAAGAACAGTACAGGAAACTGTCAAGGCACGGTTCAAGAATAGAATAAAGGAAAACTACCACCTTGGGTAGAGGACAGAAAAAAAAAAAATTATCCAACAAAAAAAATAGCCCGAATGCATAAAGGGGAGCGCATTTCCAGACCCTTTTCAAAACCAGGAATTTCCCCAGAATCGCACACCCCCCAAACCGGCTCTTAATACCTACTTCCACTAGTCGTTATGCCTTCTCCAGCCGAGTCTGCCAGGCTTTTGGGCACCCCTCCACCTTCGCTGGGACCAGTACCCACACCCACCAACCCTCCTCGTCGTGCAAGACCACCATTGCTTTCGGTGCCTAGTTCACAGTCGGTCAGATCGGCCCGGTCTGTTCGAAGCATGGAGCCGGTGATTGCTAATTACCGGCTGTGTGATGTTGATCTGATCAATTTGGAGTCGATAAGTGACTCGCATAAGAATTTCAGTCGGTGGGCATACATAAGCTACTATCTACCGATTCTACGGTGGCTTCCACAGTATAATGCTAAGGAAAGCTTGTTGGGGGACGTTTTGGCTGGGGCCACTATGGCTAGTTTCCAGATGCCCTTGGTGATGTCTTTGGCTACATCTTTGGCGAAGTTGCCGCCTTTGGTGGGTCTTTACTCGGTGGTGGGTGCCGCCACAGCTTATGCTATCTTTGGAGGAGTTCCTGTGCTTGTGGTGGGCCCGCTGCCGGGGACTGCTGTTTTGTATGGCCAGGTGATCGAGGATATCGTGCATTCGTCGAAGGAGATGAAGTTGACCAACTTGGAGGTGAGTGCTACCATTTCAGTGGGCATGTCTGCGATCTTATTGGCGTGTGGCTTGCTTAAATGGGGGTTTCTCGATAATATCTTCTCCAGGGCGTTACTTAAAGGTTTCATTGGCGCCATGGGTGTGGTGATGATCATCAACCAGTTTGTCATCCAGCTCGGACTCCAGGACTTGGCTGCGAAAGAGCCTCACCATTCGATAATAGATAAGGTGGTGTTTGCCGTGACCAACGCTCACCAGGCCCACCGCCTCACCGTTTGCGTGACGGTTTTCACTTTACTCATTGTGCTTATCGTGAGAAAGTTCAAGAACACTTTGGTCAATAGATATGGCATCAAACTGGCCGTTTACATCCCCGAACTTCTCGGAATGGTGGTTGTGGCTACAATCTTGTCGTATAGTTTCGACTGGGAGAGCAAGGGAGTTGAGATTGTGGGCGATTTGACCAAGACAAAGAAGACAAAAGCCGCTGTGGTTGCCGCTGAATCGATCATCATAAACCCTTTTAAGTTATCTCGCTTCCCGTTGTTCAAGAAGGTTTTCCAGACTTCGTTTCTTTGCTCCATTCTCGGGTTCTTCGACTCTACTACTGCAACCAAAGCTCTTGGGGCTCGCTACAACTATAATGTTTCTTCAAACCGTGAGCTCGTGGCGCTTGGAATGTGCAACTTTGCCATCACCATGTTTGGTGGCTTACCTTCGTTTGGTGCTTTGGGTAGATCCAAAGTGAACATTCTTGCCGGTGCACTGACGCCAATGGCTACCCTGATCATGGCGGCTATCGTTGTCATTGCTATTCGGTACTTACTTCCGCTTCTTTACTATTTGCCCGAATGTGTCCTTGCCTTGAGTACAACGATCATTGGTTTGACAGTCCTTGAAGAAGTGCCTCACGACATTGCATTCTTCTGGGAGATCGATGGCTACGACGAGATCATTTCTTTGTTGGTAGTCTTTGCAACCACGATTCTCTGGAGTGTCGAATCAGGCGTTATCTTGGCCATTGTCATTGCAGTTGTTAGAATCATAAAAGCGGGCACCCAATCACGCATTCATATCTTGGGAAGAGTTCCCAACACTTCGGTTTTTAGAAACGCTGATGAGCTCATAGAGGAGAGCTTCTCCACATACACTGAGGCAGAACACCAGGCCAACTCTGAATCTACGTCTACAGACAACTTGGCCGAGTTGGTTGCAGAAATCCAACAAATAGAGGGCGTTCTAATTATAAAGATACCCGAGCCCTTGAACTTTGCGAACCTGGGTGCATTACGAGGCCGTCTTAGCCGTATTGAGAAATTTGGAACACTACTGGTCCACCCTTCTCAGCCGTCAAACCGAGGCTTTGAAGACGGAGCCATCAAGTTCGTCATCTTCGACTGCAAAGGCATGACGAGCATAGACGCCCTGGCCACACAGACACTATGTGAAATCGTCAGACGATACAGCGAGGTCAACAATATCTGTGTGTCGTTTGCGCGAGTACCCACCAACTCTCAGGTCAGGAACAGGTTTAGGTCACTGGGAATTGCTGGCATTGTCAACTCCAACTACAAGCGTTATGTGAAAGGCAGGTCCTCACAAATGCTCAGTGGAGGCGGCAGCTCTACTTCATTACGTACGTACACTGTAGCCACCAGGCTTGGGGACGGTTTTTTCCTTAGCATTGATGAGGCCCTTAAGGCTTTTGACATTGAAAGTGTTTAAGCCGTGTTTTAGATTTCCATGGCTGCAAAAGCAAAAGCAAAAGCAAAAAAACAGAAAAAATGGGGAACCGGTATAAGACAGTCATGCTGTGCGCCTGGCCAATGTGCGCATTTGTAATGGGGCATAATTTCTTATGGCCATTCTCTGTACAGACTCCACACAGTAAAAAGGGCCTGCCCAGAGAACCTTTGCTCATACTTAAGAGATGTTTTGCGCATTAAGTGAGCTTCACTCACTACCAACCTTGTGTTCTTAGCAGACATTCACATTCTTTTCCCCCCAAACATTGCAATATTGAATACATGGCAATGATTAGGACAAGCTATAGACATTTCTCGACATCGCTAGCGCGGACGTCGAAGAATAAATTCGCCTTTTACGATTTGGTGCTCAGGACGCCAACCCATCCAAGGCAGCCCATTGAGGCCCTGTTGATGAAACCCAGGGAGTTAGAGGAACTTAGAGGAAAGACAAAGACAACGTTTGAGGGAAACTATACGCTTGAGGATCTTTCGCCTGAGGAGAGAATCCGTAAAGTGTTTGGCGGTCGTATCAAGGGTGAAGAGAGACAGAGTTCCAGTCGTATGAATGTTGGTCAACCCAGGATCATCGCTGGCGTTACTGTTCCTGATAAGCCCAAAGAACCCGATAACTGCTGTATGAGTGGCTGTATCAACTGTGTTTGGGAATTATACAACGATGACGTCAAGGATTGGAATGACAGAAGAAAGTTGGCTGCCGACAAGCTCAAGGAACAAGGCGGCTTATGGCCAGCTGATTTCTATCCACCAGTGAAGCTCTTGAATAAGGAGAACATTCCTGAAGAGTTGGCCAGGGATCCTAACGCAGAGAAGAAGAGCGAAGTCGATGAAAGTTGGGGTGACGTTCCTGTTGCCATTAGAGTGTTTGCTCAAACCGAGAAGCGCTTGAAGGCAAAGAAGAGACGTATCCAGAAGCCAGAGGCTTCGTAGTTTCATGAACCGGACTTGCTTCGACCCGGCAGTAGTTTTCGGTCACCCTCCTCATATTATTTGCATCTAGAAAGAGTGGAACGTTGATGGCAGAGCACCACATTTGTCTCTTCCCCGATACACCACTACATCTACAATCATGTCTAGCATTGTGTACGATTATAACTTATTATTGGCATTCATCATTAATCTATTCATCCAAGTCAAGACCCTTCTGCTTGTAAAAGGTCTTTGCCTCATCAATCTGCTGTAACAACTCCTTGTAGCTCTCCTCCTTGTCCTTGAAGGTAAGAACACCCCAGCCTAGCGTGGACAAGGCGTAACTGCCAAAGGTGACCAAGGCCCACCATGGCAAATATGGCAAGATCTCGTTTTGGACCAACTCGCTAGATGGAATGGTGCCGGTGACCAAGGCGAAGTAGATAGCACCAACGGCAAAGAAGGCAAGTGCTGTTTCTGTGGCTTTTGTCATTGCTGTGGATAAAGTCTGGTGTTAGATTTGTCGCTCTATACGTGTTTGTTTGATCGAGAGCGACTTTTTGAATGTACTGCACACACGGTGGCGCCTACCCTGTCCTGATTTGCAGCCATTCCCCAGAAAAGAAGTAGATATATATTAGTTATTATCATTATTTTGTCATACTTTTATCCTTAGTTTTCTTTCTGTACCGCTTCTTGTTTGATGAACCCGCTAAGTGATTTAAGTTTCTCACAGGCTCTTCCATCTGCCTGCTTGATTCTATTAAGAACTGCTTCTTCAGTAACAGAAGCGGGATCAATGATATCTTCGTCCATGTCATCGTCCTCTTCGCCGTCCTTGCCTTGAGCATTATCACCTTCTCCCTCATCGCCAATATCATCATCATTTTCTTCATCCTCGATATCCTCGTCATTATCTTCACCATCAACATCCTTTTCCGTGTAATCAGCCTCGATTATGTCGTGGATTTTCCCTCTTTCTATGGGCTCCTCCTTGTACAAACGACGCAATTTGTATCTGACAATTCGGCGAATTGTTTCAAACGTTTGCTTCTTTATCCATCCCTCTTGGGAGTCCAAAGTATCTCTTAATAATTCACCCTGTTGTTCTGCTCTCTTGATCACCGCGACTATATCGTCATCCGTGATGTCGCCAATTTGGTAGTTGATGGCTCGGGGTAGCTTAGTACCGGTGAATAATAAACTTTCAGAAACAGTCACCTCAGAATTAGGATGATGGATCTTGACGGTATTAGGCACGACTCGTGTGGTATCCTCGGTCTGATGAACTTTGGCACGAAGACCCTGAAGTCTAAAGTATCCACTCTGGTACATCCAATGGGATTTATCATCCTTGGGGTTTACTCCTAGCCTCACATTACAAAACCTCCAAGGTCCGTTTTTATAACAGTAAGAAACGTAAGGAAGAGCTTCTTTTACTGCTGCCTTCAAAGGATCAGGCGTGACATCAACAAGCAGCTTTCTAAGCCAAATGGGCTTAAGCTCAAAAAGTCTTCGAAGATGGTGTACACAATCTAGAAGTTTCCTCTCTGCATATTCTTGAGACAAGTCTGATGTCACTAACCACTCATACTTTTTGATGATCTCAGGAAGTGGCTCTTGTGGAACTGAGTCACTATAGAAGTCAACCGTATTTGTGAACAATTTCTTTGAATCTAGCTTCATCACAACCTTTTTGTTTCCCTGCTCGTCCTCAAGAGTCACCGTGTACGGACTCTTCTGGTAACGGAAATCAAATGGAAACCTTATACCACTAAAGTGAGGTGGAGGTATAAGTTGATGGTCTTTGTTTTCAAAAATCTCTGGATCTTTGTATTCCTCTGTTTTAGTGAGCCTCTGGTCATGAAATCTCTTATAATCGTCAAACTGGTTCAGTTTCAACACGCTTTTATTAAAGTCCTGGGCCATCTTATTATTCTTAGTTGACATCTGAAAATCAGCCATTGCCCTAAAGCTATAGTTTTTATTGATGATAGCAACTGGCTCCACTTTTGGCGGTTCATCTGTTTCCTTCAAGAGGTCTCTAACTGAGTATTTCTGTGGAGCATCGTGGTAGTCTTTTGGTAGACTCGTCTTGGGGATCGAAACCTTAAGTAGCACTTTCTCTCTTCTGTTCACGGAGGCTTGTACTGGATGGTGGAAAGGGTCATTTCGAAGCCTTAATTCCAAGTTTTTGTCGTCAACAGCATGGCTGCTCGGCTGAATGGCTGTAGGTCTATATTGTGAATTGATAGCCTTTTGGATCCTAGTTCTACCCCAAGCATGTCAACAGCCTTTGATGTGTTTTTGACGTTGAAAGGCAATTCCACGGAAGTCACATGGGGAATATCCATGGGATACTTTTTGGCATGTTCTCTATGGGCCATGTTGTGGATTGGTATATTAAGGTTGATGTTCTGCTCAGTTTGACAAAAACAAAGAGCGATATGTTAGCGCGATAGAGTAAAAAAAATAATGCCTTCAGCCAGATTCGAACTGACGATCTCCTCATTACTAGTGAGGTGCCTTACCAACTTGGCCATAAAGGCTTAATTTATCTTGTAAACCCGTAGACATTTTTAGTTCAATTACCTCAAATCAGGGGTAAAATGTCAAGAAAATGAAAAAAATAAAGTGACAGTATTATTCTTCATAGCCTATTAAACCTAACCTGGGGTTTTGGAGCCGGGAGGCTCAAAACTGGGTATTTTAGGGGCATTTGAAGTTGAAGTGCTTAATCTATGGGAATACCAAACTTGGGCGAATGCAATACCATGCATTTGAAGTTGAAGTGCTCAACATCTACTTTTTTTTTTTTTGTTAACTGTGTATTAAGAGGACGCCTTACGGCACGAAAACTATATCACTATAGAAAACACAACCCCTTAATCATCGGGTTTACAAGGACTTCCTCATTGCCGTCCGGCTCGAAACACCCCCGTCTGAACTTCAGCTTGAGTGTCTCTATAACTCTGTCCTTGCGTTGTAGCCTGCTCGTATGGTATTATATTCCCATCGGCAGAACCTTCTGCATCGCTGATTTCATAGCTCTAACCAGCAAAGGTGGGTTTATAATTCCATCCTTAGCTGCTCTCCGTCGTCGCGAGAAATTTAACCGGACGACTTTAACGAACCAATTCAATCGTCTTAGGTTCCCAAAAGTCACATCCTCAGGAGCTAACATCTCCCGAAGATTCATGGGGCGTGGGAATCCCATTCGTCCCCACCAGAATTTTGAGACATGGCATTCATTGTAAATGTGACGGAGCATATTGTCCTGTCTGTGCTGTTGTTGGCATAAATGGCATAGCGTCATGCCATGAGCAGGTTTGTCATGGATAGGAACATAAGATCCAAAGTTGAAATGATGAAAGGCCCCAAACTCGTTTCTCTTGAGCCATTCCTCGCGGTGTAAACTTTTCCAGAATTTGTCCCATCTCTTGATAGGTCGGGCCTCTGGGCAAATTTCTCTGAATCTTCCTGGCATAATTGGTGGTTTCTCTTCTTGTTTCTTTCGGCTTCTGGAGGTGAATATCCCAGTATTGAGCTGCTGAGATTCATGTGGTCTTGGGTGGCCCGGAATCCCCAAGATCAGCTCCACATCCTCCACTCGAACCCTCGAGGCTATTGTGGCCGGGTGAGTGGTTCGAGTTCCTTTAACTAATTTTTTCCAAGCTTCGATATACTGAATTTCGTTCTCAGTAAATGTCCACTCCAAGTTCTCGAAATAACGTCCATTGGCTTCAAAGAGAAATTCTTCCCAATAAAGCCCATGGCTTTGTCTTATTTTGGCACGTCGGTTGTTATGGAAAATCTTCACAACGTGGTGAAGCATCTTCGCCCTCAAGTATTTGATGAACCACAGCTGATCGTCACCAAGTGTTCTAGCTAACACCTTGGCACGATGTCCTTGTAACTGTGAACTCAATTCAATGAGGCCATAACCGCCTTTCTTTGGTCTAGCATATAATTTTGGTGCCAGGACCCCTTTAAACATTCTTTGAATAGCATCGTCAATATTTCGAAGTTCCTTCTCTGTCATACACTGGACCAAGTCCTTGTATATGGTCTTGGAACTCACGAACATGTTGGTCCCGATAGTCTTACTGATGATATCCAATCCTCTGTATCCTTGCTTGTAGGTCATAAATGGAAGGTAGTAGATGAAATGCCGCCAGTTCACCCCTTTCATGCTAATCCCCAAATATTTTAGCTCTTCCCGCTTGATATAACTCTGTGGGTAGGGCAAAATATCTTGTTCTTGCTCGGGATAGTCACGCCTAAATCCTATGAGTTTGGATTTCGATGCACTAACCTTACTATTACTGGCTCTTTCAAAACGTTTAATGCACTTGGCGGCATGTGCATAGTCTCTCAAGTTGGCTAAGTAGATGTTGACGTCATCTGCAAATGCATGGTATTGCATTCGCCCAAGTTTGATATCACCATAGCTTAGCTCAATTCCTTCTAGTAGCTTTAAATGCAACAATAACGGCTCCAACGCGATGTTGAAGAGTAAGGGAGAGAGTGGATTCCCTTGCCTCGTTCCACAATCAAGTGGGAAATGAGGCCCTCCGCAATTGTTCATTCTAATCTGAGCAAACTGGCCCTTAAGCAACAGCATAAGTAATCGGCACATTTTGGTCCCAATGTGCATTTTTTCAAGAACGGCTTGGATATACTGATGAGAGATGCGGTCAAACGCTTTAGTAAAATCAGCCATCAAAATAGCCTGATAATACGAAGCTTTGGTCTTCTCTCTATTGTCCTGGATAAGCTGGACCATGGTGAAGAACTCCATGGTATTATGGTTGATATGGCGACCTTTAATGAAACCTCTTTGGTAAGGACCTATCAATTTGTCAAGCACTTTCTGTAGCCTATTGCAGGCTGCACTCGACACCACCTTAAGCGTCGTATTGGTGAGTGAGATAGGTCTAAGGTTTGCAATTTCCGTAGACTGATTTTGATCACGTTTAGGAATGAGCGTAATCAAAACCTTCTTAAAACTCTGTGGTAACTTTCCTGTCCTCATCATGTTATTAGCCTCGCGTGTGAGAATGGGGCCGACATCCTCCCAGAAGTGTTCTAACACTGAGTTCTGGATACCATCGGGTCCTGGTGCTGAAGACTTCTCCATTTTCCGAAGGGCTTGGAGAAGTTCATCCTGAGTAAATCGTCTGTTAAGGGCGGCCCTTTGTGAGTCTGAGAGATTGTCTCCCACTGGACTCAAAAACCTTTGCATTTGTTCTGGTTCCACTGTTGGGGGTGATTGATAAAGTTCCCTGTAATAGTCGGTCGCTATAAGAATCATCCCTAACGTATCTTCTGCTTCTCTCTGTTTCTCCGAATTCGAAAGTTTTTGAATAACAATTGGATCTGTGCGCTTGTGCTGGAAGAAGAGCTTTGTAGATTGATCAATATGACCGGCCTTCAGCATGTGAACGCCCTCTTTGATCAATTGATTTGCCACTTCTGGCTGCCTTCTCCGCACTAAGCTCATAAACTTTAGGTGGTCCATAGCTTCGCTTTTAATCTGAAATATAGCCTCATCAATCGTTTTGTCATGTGGTATTCTCCGAACCTCTTTATCAGAGAACGGAGGAAGGAGCCGTCCAAGTGGAAAGACAAATCGTGGCTTCCCAATGTGGAGGTCCTTCTGAGGGTGGAGGTGAAAACGTACCGATATAACGACGTGAGTGGAAGTGATTACAGGATGCTTGGCGGTCAGATACCGTCTTGCTCTGAGGCGCCAGCTCCTTGGAAAGTAAAAACGATCAATCCTCCGATTGGATAGATAGGATGTGTTAGTTGGAACATCCGCAATACGCCTGTCCCAAACTGCTAAATCTTCTGTGTTGCAGGTGTTGTCCAAATCTTTGATAGCCAACCTAGCGCGTACCTCCGCTGGCGTTGAGTCTTCCACCGAATGGTTTAGATCACCACCATAAATTAACTGTAAAGTTGGGTATGCCTCCCTGAGGCGGATAAACCCAATCGTCGTATCATCAATAATATCTGCTTGCTTGTTCTTGTCTTGAGTCGGAAGATAGAAATTCTGGAGTAATATCTGTTCCCCCATTGACGTTTCAATCCGTATGTCGGTAGATCTGTGATGAAACACAGAGTTACTGCCGAGTTCATACTCCCCTAAGACTTGGAAGTGTCTTTGCTTGACAAAAATCCCAGTGGTATTGAATCGTTGGGCCCTTGCGGGTGTGGAAAAGAAGTCTAAGCCCCTAGCCCTTGCGTAATCTTTCATGGCTGCCACGTTGCTGTCGGTAGCCTTGAACTCTTGAATGAATAGAATGTCAAAATCTGCGGCTAGATGTGCCACTGTAACTAAATTATTTGTTTTCTGGATATTGAAAGAGCCAAACTTGAAATTGGTGGTGGAAACACCCTCTCGTCTTCGAATTGACGGGTGTTTAAATTGAATGATACGCTCCTCTATCATCAATATTTCCTTGCACGCTGCTTCTCTGCTGCGTGCTCCGTGGTTAACTCGTCAATAAGATCGGTGATCCTCACGGCATCCAGCACTTCGGTTGGATCCCTAGCAATTGAGGGGCGAGCTTGGCGAGTTGGGGATGGCGACCTAGATCTCGTCCGGGAAGCGATGGTCCCCCTCTCTGGCGAGAGAGCCACATCGTCCCTCAAGGGGCCGAGTTTAGGTGCCGGTTTGCGCCGAGAAGGAGTAGCTTGTTTTCTTGTAGAGCTTCTCCTAGTTGATGTTCTTGTAGACCTCGACGCGTTGGGGGTCGGTGTCGCAGGGATAGAGACAGCCTCTTCTCCCTGTTCATCCACGTCCGTATCCATGTCTTGGTCAAGAACTTCTGGGGCAGCCACGTCCTCGTTTTCTTGTGAGGTTGGCTGAGGGTTGGTTTCCGAAGCAAATGGGTCTTCCTCTTCGGATACAATGGGGACCACTTCGGCTTTCTCTTTAGCCAATGTGGTGTTGGGGTGGGTTGGGAAGGTCAACCCGGACAAGGAACCCCTTGTAGACATGGAGTCTTGAGATGACTCCGAAATTGGAGCAGCGGCTCCGAGAATGCCCAGGAGTCCTGGCATAGTGGACATAGTGTCCTGAGTGGTCTGGGTGGCATCAGGGACTGTAGCGACGGTGCTTTCCCTTTCGGCGACAGATGGCAAGGTGGAAGGAGTTGGTTCTGGCAAGGTAGGAGAAGGTGGAGCACTTGGCGAGGAGTCCAGGACCATTTCCACCGATTGGTCCATGGCGTCATCCCCATCTTCATCTTCTGAGTGAGCCTCATAAGATGGGGTGGGTTCGACCGTAGTTGGAGGGTCGTCCTTTCTGGTACCAGTCGAAACTGGTGGATCAGGACGATGGACTGATTCCAACGATTCCTCACCAAGAATACTAATAGGGTTCCTGTGAACCGGCTGAGCAGGTTTTGGCTTGACCACGGTGACGGTGGTTTGCTTAGGTTTTGGCTTAGAAGCCTTGGGTTTCATAAAACCGTCAGCATCCACCTCATACTTGTCACTCTTTTGCTTCTTCTGTGGCGACTTGGCTGGATTAGCATTCTGTTTGGAGGGGCAATTACCTCTAAGGTGATGAACAGAGAGGTCACAGTCACACTTGCTTGGACAGGCTTCAATCAGGTGAGAAGAATGCTTGCACAAATAGCATTTCTTCTTAGTGCACTGGCCAATGGTGTGTTCCTTGGTACGACAAACTGGGCAGTGAGCCTCAGAGAACTCAATGTACACCTCCATGGTACATTCAGTAGGAAAACTCTGTTGTTTGGCGTTTTCAGGAATCAGTTTAATCTTCAGTGTATATCTGCCCTTTTCCTTTTCGTGCATCTTAATCAAGTTAGCAATCACTGGGTCGTCATTAGCGTTACCATTGGCCCGAACTCGGGCTTCGGTATACTTCATGGTGCCAGTTCTAAGGTTTTGGCCTAAGTTGTCTTGGTATGCATTGAAGGTAGCTCTCTTTGTTGGCAATTTGTCCAGACCAAGATCAACGATGGCCGTGGCGAACTTGTAAGCGTCCTCTGCTGACTTGTGCTCCTCCCAGTGCCTAATCCTGTCACACTGCAACAAAAAGTGCGACCGGAAATACTCCTTAGCGAAGAGCATGTTGTGGTAAACCACCTTGAGCTGAGCATACGAACCGTGAGAGTCCAAGGCTTGCTCCAACGAGAAGACCGCACCAGTGTCCTGAACACGAAACTGTGCATCGGCCACAATTTCGTGTAACTTCCTGATGATAGCAGGAATCGTGGTGTTGGCCATCAACCTTCCGAAAATTGGCGAGTTACAGTAAAACTCCTCAAACCAGATAGGACTATTGACACCAGGGAAGTGTGCAACATTCCCAATCACTCTCACCTTACTCAAGGCGAGATAAGCAACCGATTTGACAAAGTCTTCCCTAGCGGCTTCCCAGATTGGAACCAAGTCTTCACACTGATCCTCCTCCGTTCCAACCAAATTGTTGTCAGCAAGATAGGCCATCTGGATCATGATTTCAGCACATCTTGCCGCCTTTGGCTCAAGCTCCTCGACAGTTTCAGTCCTTGCCTTGGTAGCTTCAGCCCTCATGATCTGTTCCATGGTTGTCTCAGGAACAAGAAACTCATTGACCAAGTACATCTTGTGCGAGAATTCACTGGATGGAAGATTATTCAAACTGTTCCAAAAAATCTTCTCATCAGAAGAGTTTTTGTACATGTTCTGAATCTTCTTCTTCCTTTCAAAAGCTTCCTTGCTGCTAAACTGGCCATCCGTGATTTCATTAAGAAGAAAATCACGGTTGCTTAGCTCTCTGGCCTTCAATTCCTCCTCAGTAGGCTCCTCTCCCTCAGGATAAGGGGATGGCATGGCCATCCGATAGCCTCCAGAAGAGGTGACAAAATCAAGCTTGGTTTTGTTCTGCAAATTTTTTGGAATAATACGGTGAATTGGCAAATAATTTTTTTTGGATTTTTTTTCTGCAGTAACATCAACATTAGCTCTAACAACTGAACCATCCCAAGACGCGTGTCCAGGGGTGGTGACTGTGCCTGAATCGGCAGGTTCGGCTGCTGAATGCGCGGCATTCTCAACGGGGGGTGGTGCGGCCGTGGCCACCTCACCCTGCGCATTCTTCTCAGAGGCCTGACTACCACCTCCAGGTCTTCCTGATAACTGACGCGTGCCTTGTTCAGGGGCACCAACGACAGAATCAGAAACACCTTTAGTGGCATTTAACACGTTTGGATTAGTCTCAGGGGGTCGGGAATCTTTTCCCCCGTCACCGGGGGGTCGATTGCCGCCCTCAAATCGATGTTGAACGTTATTATCCAACATTTTCAAAACTACTTAGCCAATTTGTGAGAGTAGGTACATGCCATCAAGTGCATCAAACGTTTTGAAGAAGCTAATAGTGGTGAAGTTATTTTAGCGAACTCCAAACTCATAGGATTCAAGCGTGACTATCCCACCAAGAACAAGATATTTTGCCCTACCCACAGAGTTACGGATTCAGATGATTGGACATCATTAGGAATAATTTCGGACCAACATGTTCGTGAAATCCCAAACCGTCTATGAGGACTTGGTCTACACCAGAATAAAGGCCATGCTATCCAAAGGATATTCAAAGCGGTCCTGGCTCCCAGAATTGAAATAGAAAAGGAAAGAGAGGTAGCTCTTTTCTCATGAAGACCTATTTTGACACGGCTGCCTTGGCCAGTTTTGGTTTATGCTCCACATTAGCGCTTGTCATATGCTAGCAACCACAGAGCCATTCGCAGGTGTCCAGCCCCAATTGAGCCGTAGTATCTTGTTGAAGTAGAGAAGAAGGAGCTTACGTGCTGCAAGACATATCAGGCTGGAGAGCTACTCACTATGGCAGAGATTGACACACTACGTAGTCCTACTGTGCTACAAAGAACCTTCAAGGGCTTTACCTACCACCTTCAAAAGAGACTACCAAAAAGATCTGCCAAATCCCCAAACAGAGCAAACCCAAACCCATTCCGTCCTTCTCTATGCCACCTTCAACCTGCCATACCAGCCCTACCTGGCTAGCCCTAGGGCTTGAACAGGCCATATTTGCACCCAATACCAAACCACCTTCCCCTCCAACAATTCTCATCAAAAAACCACCAACATACCCATAATCCCGCCAATTACCCAACCCGAATCATCCCCAAGCCATATCCATTGTCCACCCCATTCCACCCACATGCGTGCCAAATCAACCCCAGATTCTGGGGACTGCGAAATCCCATTCGCTGCTAGCCACACTATGGACCAGTACATCACCAGAATGACCCATCTGGCCAAATAGGAAAAGCAAAGGAAAGTCCAATTACCTTCTACCAACCCATACTCACCCATTTCACCGTCCAATTCCCACCAGCATGGTTGGATTCCCATGATCGGACTGTTTCGGAGCGCCATATGGGCCCTGGGAATCGCTCGCGCTGATTGGCCCGTACAGTGGTGCACAAGCGGTTTTCACACTATCCCGTGCCAGTCGGCCACGACTATATAAAAGCGAGCATTTTTCACCGGGCCGAATCCTGTTTCTCTCTTTCCCCAGACTTTTACCCTACTGATTTCGTAATGTTCAAGGTTTCTGCTAGATCTTTCTCCTCCTCCGCTTCCCAGGCCTACAAGGTCGCCGTTCTCGGTGCTGGTGGTGGTATTGGCCAGCCATTGTCCCTTTTGTTGAAGTTGAACCACAAGGTTACCGACTTGGCCCTTTACGACTTGAAGGGTGCTCCAGGTGTTGCCGCTGATGTTTCCCACGTTCCAACCAACTCCACTGTCAAGGGTTACAACCCAGACTCTTTGGAGCAGGCTTTGTCTGGCTCTGACGTTATTGTCATCCCAGCTGGTGTCCCAAGAAAGCCAGGTATGACCAGAGACGACTTGTTCAACACCAATGCCTCTATTGTTAGAGACTTGGCCAAGGCTGCTGCTGACTACGCTCCAAACGCCTCTCTCTGTGTTATTTCCAACCCAGTTAACTCCACTGTCCCAATTGTCGCTGAGGTGCTCAAGTCCAAGGGTGTTTACAACCCAAAGAAGTTGTTCGGTGTCACCACCTTGGATGTCTTGAGAGCTTCCAGATTTGCTTCTGAGGTTGCTGGTACTAACCCAGTCCACGAGAAGATCCCCGTTGTCGGTGGTCACTCTGGTGTCACCATTGTCCCATTGTTGTCCCAGAGCAACCACAAGGACTTGGCTGGTGAGACCAGAGACGCTTTGGTCCACAGAATCCAGTTCGGTGGTGACGAGGTTGTCCAGGCCAAGGACGGTGCTGGTTCCGCTACCTTGTCCATGGCCCAGGCTGGTGCCAGATTCGCCGGCTCTGTCTTGGACGGTTTGGCTGGTGAGACCGACGTTGTCGAGCCATCTTTCGTCGACTCCCCATTGTTCAAGGACGAGGGTGTTGACTTCTTCTCCTCTAAGGTCACTTTGGGCCCAGACGGTGCTGAGAAGATCCACAACTTGGGTGAGTTGTCCGACTACGAGGAGGGCTTGGTCAAGAAGGCCAAGGAGACCTTGATTGGCAACATCAAGAAGGGTGTTGACTTTGTCAAGCAGAACCCATAAGCGATCCACGACTTTTGAATAAAATGACTGTTAGATGAAGATGTAGTACGTAGTAGAAGAAACCAAGAAGCAACTAGAGCATCCACCTCGGCAAACGGCCCTATCTCCTCCGACAAAACACCAATGGAAACGGCGCCAGATCGGCAGAGAATTTTCCATTGCTCATTCTCTTCGTCATTGACGGATTGCCCTGATTGACCGTCTAACCTAAGCCACCGAAAACGCCTTATGACCACAAAACGGCAACCTGAATCGGAAATAACCTCCAGAACAGCACACTTCCTTTGAAATTAAACTTCCAGGGTCAAATCAGATCTGCCTATACATGTTAGAGTGCGCTATTGCGTTTTGCAGCCATCTCCAGTGCCGTATACTGTTCATTGTATGGGTTAGTTGCACTTGACGGACGGGTTTTTCCGCTCATCAAGCGCCGCAGGCCACAATGAGTAATTCCGAGACCCAAGAAACCGTGGAATCCCAACCTGCCTTAGCCGAAGGACCCCTATTCCTTGCACCAGTACTTGGCCTTGGAGACTGAGCCCTGGCTCATGTGGGTATCTGGTAAGCGAGCGTGAGTGCATAGTTCTATGCATGGATGGCCAGTGAGGTTGTATGGTGCACGGGTGCAACTCTAATAGTTCCCACTTCCACGAACGCTGCTTGGCAAAAGCCAATTATAACCTAATACAGAGAAACCCTAAGTACTGAAGAAAACTCAGCAACGCCATTTTAGCGTGGCAACATGAAAAAAAGATAAAAATAGCAACAAACGTCTAAACCCCACTGGCACTGGCTGTGTATGGTCTACCGCGGCAGGCCAATCGCGAAGGCGGAGTGAGGTGCCAAAAGGTTAATTTGGCGCGATTTGGGACTGCTTCCATAGTCAAGGTTTCTATACGTAACTTGATTGTTATCGCGACGCGGTGACAGGCATCCTGCGAGGCAGCACTATATGCAGTCCGCGACGCGTCTCTTGAGGCGCGCCAGCAGTCTATCAGTTGAACCCTGGCAGTGAAGAACCTTTGGTGTATTAGCTCCCCTGGAGCCAAATTAGCCTGTTTTTGATTTCCTTTCTGGTTCCTTCCACCACCAGTTCCTCGTCCCCCGTGTATAGTGCGGCTGCGGCCGCGCCGCACCGCAAGGCCAGCCCCCCAGCCCTTTTTTTCACAATATTCGATTGGGCGCACCCAGCGAGGCGAGGCGACGCACCACCGGCGTCCAGTGCCAAAAATGTCCACTTGCTCATTCACCTCTGATCCAGAATTTCGCAGCCACCGTCCGAGACAAAGAACCTCCCATGGCCTTTCCCAGCCTCCCCAGCGCCCGCCTCACCACCTGCTTCACCTACCAATCACCCAATTCATGCAAATGCAATGACCTCGTCCTCGTCCTCTCTCTTTTCGTCTGGATCTATTTTTCACTTGGCTTACGCAATCGCCTGTTTCGTAGTCGAATGCTCAAACGCTCGACTGCTCCCCAAATGTCTCAATCTTGCCATTGCCAGGCCATTGCCAGCCCATGGGGGGTTTTTCGCAATTGCGCCTGCTTTTGCTTTTGCTTGTGCTATCTTTACCCATTTTCCATTCCATTGGCTACCTGTTTTTTCATTGGCATTCGTCTTTTTTTGTGCGCTTGTCTCAGCTTTCGTTTGCCTTTTTTTTTTTTTCTCTTCTTCTCTGTTCCAAATTTACCCTTTTCCGTTTTTTTCCAAGTCTTTCCCTAAAGCCTTTCTATTTTGTGCGTTTTTCTTGGTCCCGACTCTGTAACCTTTTCCCTCGTTTCCCTCGCTGCCGACGCCCCCTCCAAAAATCATCCACTTCAGTATCTAAAAAAAAAAAAAAAAAAAAAAAAAAAAGAACCACGTCTTGTGATCCCACCCCCTCAAGCACCTTTTTTTCTTCCCAAACACCACCAACCAACCACCCAAATACCTCCTTGGTTCTTGCATTTCCTTGTTTTTTTTGCTTTTCCCTTTCATTCATCCTCCCGCCTTTTCCCACCTTAAGGGCTTTCCTCCAACCCGCCTATCTGGCTCCCTCTCGCTTTCTCCCAAAAGCCCTCTGTCAATGGGCACGCCATGGAAAAGTTTCTCATGAGCTCTCCCTCCCAGCATCCGCATCAGCATCCTCCTTACTATTCGTCGGACACGCTAGCGGCGCTTCTGAATCTTGAAAACGACTTGCAGAATGCAGAGCTGCTGGCGGTCCCAGCCTCCAGGGACTACTCGGGCCTGCCCAACGTCTACGACGACTTGGACTTCTCCAACGACCTCCCGCCCGACTTTGTCTATGATCTGACCTTAGACTTTGACTTGGACGAAAAGGCTGAAGAATCGACCCACCAGCGCCATTTTTCGCTGGATCGCCCGCTTCTGACGCCCTTCTTCCTTCTGCAAAATGCTCGCATGGACTTCAATCACTCAAGGAACATATCCTTGGACGATTCAGCCTATAAGCGTTCCCACCAGCACCTGTCGTCCATAGTATCGAACCTGGCTGACCCGCCGTCGGGGACGTTTGCCCATTCATACTCCTCCACAACCCTACAGCTGCTGTCGGATCTGGTCCCTCAACTACTGCTGCTGGTGTCGAACCCACTGTTGCTAGACTCGCCCCACTCCACGTTACAGACCGCTACCCCTGGACGTCGTCACAAATCAACCTCTGTCTCGTCTCATACAAACTTATACACCACCCCGTTGCGTGGAGGCTCTCATGTATCTCCGTTGACCCATTCCAAGATTGGCAAGACTCCTCACCTGGCATTGGGCAAGTCCCATCGCAGAAATAGACTGAAGGCCAGTTTGGAACCTTCTTCTGCCCATCTTTTGGCTACGGTTGCTAACATGAAGGGTAATAACGGCGCAGGCTATGTCTCGCAAACCCCATCAGGCAACTTATCTACCTCGCATTATAACATCAGCTTGAACGAAGAGAACCCTTTCCATAATGAATTCGTGTCTCCTCGTTTTGGTGGAAACGTCAGTGACCATGACGCTACGCCTTTGACCACGCCAGCTGGAAAGACTGGTAACCACATGTCTTCTCAGTATTTCACGCCTATCTCGCATAACCAAAGCTTTGGTGGTTCTTTGCTTGAAAATCTGAGCCTGGCTATGGGCCTGGCCCTGATGATTCCTTCCAATTTGAGTCTGAACGACTTGAGCATGACATCCAGCCTGAACCTGGCCCATCCGGGTATGGCCACCCTCCGTCGTAACGATACTCTCGATTCGATCAAAATAGAAGACCAGGAAGACGATGCTTGCAAGCAGTTGAGAAAGGCTAAATCATTTACTTCTTTTGGCGACCAGAACTCAAGGATGACTCGCATTGTCAATTCCAGATCGGGTAGATCGTCCAACGACTTGAGCAACGTGTTTGCAGACTCTACGCCCGACCTTTCTGCTGATGGTTCGCCGCCTAAATATACTAGAGACCAGCATCCTCGTGATGCTTTCAAAAAATCTGCATCGATCGACTTATTGCTGCCTGAGCTTGTTGCCACAGACCGCATGGGCGATAAAAACTTGAAGTCATATCCAGCATCTATAGACCTCGCGTCTATAACACAATCTAGTGGTACGAGCCACGCGTCGCCTCTGCCTCCTGTGAGCACGGGTCGCTTGATGCCACCCATAGGCAATCAGCCTTCCCTGGCGAACATGCCTACAGCATCACGGAGCAACAGTTACGTGGGCAATCCTCGACAGAACTTGTTGAACGCTGCGGCAAAGAAATTGTCGAAAGTTCCAACCGGATACCCAACGGCCTCGCAGATCCAGAAGACATCTACTACTGAAGATATTGCCAAGTTCGCTGAAAGCATTCTTCAGTCGGATACGAAGCGTCCAATTTACGTTCAGCTGGAACAAAAGGATGTTTACGATCCTAAGAAAAAGCATAAATGTCCCCTCTGTCTCGCTCGCTTCCAGCGCCCGGAACACGTTAAACGTCATTTAAAGAGCCATTCCACTGACAAGCCGTTCCAGTGTGATGAGCCAGATTGTGGTCGCCGGTTCAATCGTAAAGATAACCTCAAGGCCCATCTCAAGAAAATACACGGGAAAGTTGTATGATCTTCATTAAGCATTGAATACGCTGTTCTTTTTTTATTGTCACATAAAGTAGTGTCATCAATACTATGCATTCTATTAGATATATACGTAAACGCCAGTATTACTTTTCAGCAGGATATTGTCTAATGACAGTGTCCACAGCCTTGCAGAAGTCATCCAAGTTCGACTGGTTAAGACCTGCAATATTGATTCTACCGTTGGCGGTAAGGTAAATGGAGTGTTCCAGGATCAACTTCTGCACTTGCAATGGGCTCAACCCAGTGAAACAGAACAAACCCTTCTGTGTGATAACATGGTCCCAGTTTCCAGGAGTCTTCAATTCGTTAAGTTTATCGTAGATGTGTTGTCTGACGCTCTTGATTCTGTTGTAGACATCAGCGACGTCAATCTTCCATTGCTTCTGCAATTCCTCGTCAGTTTGAACGAGAGTTGCAACTCTAGCACCAAAAGCAGGAGCGAAGGAGATTTCGTGTCTGGCGAGAGAGGTCAATTGTGAAGTGACATTCTCGACGTTACGCTTGTCATTGAGAACAACATGGAGACAGCCAGCTCTCTCGGAGTACAAGGCCAAGTTCTTGGAGAAACTCTGGCAGACCATGAACTCAACGCCGGTCTTGTAGGCTTCTCTGATGACCCAGGCATCCTCATCGACACTTCCACTGGCGAAACCCTGGTAAGCAATATCGAACACAGGGAAAATATCTCTCTGCTGAATCAAAGCAAGAATTTGCAGCCACTGCTCTCTGGTGTAGTCGCAACCGGTTGGGTTGTGGCACACTGCCTGGAGAACAAACACAGAGTTAGCAGGAGCAGACTTCAAAGCCTCCAAAGTAGCATTGAAGTCCAAAGAGCGGCTTTCGTTATCGTAGTACTTGTAGTTGTGAACATTACCTCCAATGTGCTCGATCATCCCCGTGTAGTTTCCCCAAGCAGGCACACCCACATAGTAGTCCTTGAGACCAACGTACTTGGTAAGGAAAGCAAAAGCGAAATGCAAGGAACCAGAACCCGAGATGGCCTGGAGGGAAATAATGTTATCGTGGTTTTCACCGAAAATAGTACGCTGGGCCAGTTCACGGAAAGCTGGAATACCAGTCATGTTAGTGTAACAATGTCCTGGGTCTTTCGCAGCCAATTTTTCCTTAGCTTGTCTCACGCATGGAAAAACATAGTTTGGGTCGCCCTCTTCAGACTTATAGACCCCGATGGAAACGTCAATTTTGTTTGGGTTGGGATCCTTAGCCGAAAGCTCCATAAGCTGGGCAATTGGATCTGGAGGAGAGTCCTCGATCAGCGAAAAATAAGATGTGACAGTCATTTAATGGTGGTTATGAAATCTGGCGGGAAGCTTTTTCATCTTATAAGCACTCCGAGTAGCGCCGCATGAGGCAAGATGAGAGAAAAAAAAAAAAGGTCGCTTTTTGCCGCGAATACCCTTCCGGTACCGGTTATCACATCCGCTTATCTTAAGCAGAGTTGATAGTTCTGACGAAATCCTGGCTTATCGCAACGGCCTCTTGAGAGCTTTCAAAGTATTTGGCTCCACTGGCAGCGACGAATTTGGCGTTGTTGGCCACGACGTTCCAGCCAGGACCATCTTTGTGGTCCAGCAGTGCTGCACTGAGGGAAGTGAAAAATTCTGTGTATGATTCCGTTAACGCGCTGGAAAACTGCTCAGGTGCCGTGCCATGTAAGAACACCGCTTGAGCCCGAAGCTGGTCTAAAAGCACCATAACGTCGACTTGTTGTGGGACACGAAAGAGGGCTTTGAGAAAAGCAGGCTGGAGGATTTCATCGTCGACCAAAGAAAGCGCTTTTTCGTTCTGGAGAAGGGAAAGTAGCACTTCCTCGGCAGCGCCTTCCGCAAAGAGCCGCCAAAGCTCTTTATGCTCAGGACCTGTCTCCACACTTTTGGCGAGTTTCTTGGAGAATTTGGACATGAGTGCAGCGATTTCAGGGTAGAACTGGGCATTGTCGAGCACCGCCTTGACCATGCGACCGAGATGATGCCAGTTTTGTAGGATGAGAGCTGCCGTGTGTGGCTGCAAAATGTTGGTAAAACAATGGATACACTGGTACTGGACAACGTCACTGAAGGGACGTCCAAGAAGGGCCGTGATGAAGGTTTGTAGGCCCACTTTTTCGTCAATGAGGGCAATTAAACGGTTTTGGTCGTTTTCGCTCTTGACACAGTTACCAATGTCTATGGCTACTGCTGAGGCAGCATAGGGGTCAGCTTCACCAACACTAAAATCAATACTCTTTTCAACATTGGCCCAGTTATCATATGAAGGCTGGGAGAAGATGTTGCCGTGGCCTGCAAAGAGGTACCGTTTGATACGTGAAGTATCGTCTCCTTGAGCTACCTTATCAAATAAGCCAAGCGTAGCATGTGGATCAAACTGAAGGGTATCGCTTTTCGTGAGTTTAAAGAAAAGCAACGAAAAGTAGAGCTGTAGCTCCTCATCAAACTCTTCAAACTCGTCTTTCATTTGGTTTACCAACTGTGTAGCCTCTTCCTGGGAAGTTTCCCACAAAACCTTCTCTGAAAGCTCTGACAAGATCTCCACTGCTTGTTCCGAAACCTCCTGGCCAACCAATTCAACCAAACTTTCCCTAAAGTCTCCCAACAACGCCGTAAACGCAGGTGCATCTGCCTCGTTCACGTTATGGATAAACTGAGTCATAAGAATAAGCGTTCTTTCGGAAACCGAACCTGGTTTCTCCAAAGCTCCAGCTACCCAGTCCCAGAACCCTTCCTCTCCAGCCAATATCCTCCTATTTTCATCGTTATCAGCAGTGAAATTCACGAGTACTCGAAGCACCTCCAAGTCGATGATCTCGTCAGTACCCAAAAGACCCAATGCCTCAGTAATCAACGGTTTGACCTCATCGTTGTTTCTCCAACTTTCTTCACGTAACAAGGAACCCAATGAATTGAGCGCCTCGGCCGCGTTGCCTTTTTGGGCTAGGCTTTGCTGGATTTCCTGGAGCTCCATGGTGATGATATATATGAGTTGGTTCGCGCTGACTAGGCTGAAGCACCAGTGTAGCCAAGACACTAACCTGGGGAGTAAAATTGGCTTAGAAGGTTATTTTTGCCATGTTGCGAGTGGAATGTATTCGTTGGCTTGGTTTATTTTGGGAATTTGTGGCGGGTGTATTTATTACAATGTAAGTATGTTTACGATTTTGTTACTGCTTGAGGAATTCACGTAAATACTGAGAACTCGTAGACAGTTACCTAAAGGAGTATATGATATGATAACATAAAATAAAATACCAGAATGTTCAATTAGCTCATGCTTTGGTAAGAATGCCAATTGGACTAGAAGGGTATTGGATAAGAATAAAATTCGATATTTGAAAGATAGAGTCAAAGTTTGTGGCCCTACAGACACTGTACTGTTCATGAATCATTAGCTATATCATAAACTCTCAAAGAGTTTTTCTCCGCTCCGCATCCCCAAAATAAACCTTACGTCTATGCAATTGCTCAAACTGTAAAGCATGGGTAAGAGATTTATCAAGTCCCTGTCGCTCTGGTCATTGATCCAGCCCTCGATCATCACAGCATTGTGCTCGTGCAAAGCATAGCTGATGGGTGAGTTATCCAAAATGATGACATTCTTGAGATCATCGTCTTTAGGGAAAAACTTTGACAAATCCTTGATGTACCCCACACCTTGTCTGTATGTGCAATCGTTACGGTAGTACCGTTTCGTAAAGACTTTGTTTGGAGCATCACGCTGAGCGCCTTGGACTTTCTTGTAATCAATCAAATCCATTTCTAACCAGTCAATGATTGGATCAGCGTACTCTTGCACACTGGCGGTGAAGATTTGAAGTTCAAACCATTTGCTCAATTCCTTAAGGAAGAAATCACAGAATGGTCTTTTATAAACATAGTATAATGTAGAGACATTATTGACTTTCAACTCTATCATGTGGCACTGACCTCCAGAGCCGCCCAACGATCTGGGGGCCCCTCGAGAAAGCGAGTGGATGAGCGTTTCATCTAAATCTAAGATAAGCACCTTCTTCTTTTTTCTTTTATCTGGGTTTCTGGAAAGCGGGAAGAGCCTGGGAGGCGGTGGAATGAAGTATTTCGACAGCGAAGAAGGAGACTTGATGTGGTTGGCCATGATGCGCTCCTGTTTAAGCAACTCAATCTTCTCCCGCTGTTCTTCTTGAGAAGCAGCAGAGTTGTTGCCAAGGATCTGGGGGTACTCTTGTTCGAAAAAGTACGTAAAAGGGAAGGTTATTAGAAGCCACAAGAGCATGAGTGGCCGTATGAGCAAGTTCTGGGGGAGGAACAAAAGGAGTGACCACACATGTCGAAGAAACGATGTAGACTCTAAAGGATTTGTCGAGGGGTTCGGCTGGCCATGTTCAGCGGACTCTGTGGATTCGACGGTTTCAGGGTCGGATTCTTCCTTGAAGGTCTTTTCGTCACGGGAAGGGTTCTTGCCAGCTGACTCTAGCGGAGGCAGGTAGAACGGTTCAAAAGATGCAACTAGCTTTTTGATGGAGTTCATATTTGAGTCATGGCTTTGGGCAGGGCAAAAAATGGAAGAAAAAAAAAGGGGGTTTGGTAACTTTCTGGCGGAAGAGCAGTGTATCGAATTGAGTTTCAACACGAGAGGTCCAGAACGGAAGTAGCGATTTCGCAGTGTATATAAAGGTGTCACAGCTCTGAGAGGGCCACCGAATGAGGGAGGGGCACAGCAAGCGAAGACGTTTGAGTAAAGAACCAAAGAAAAAAAAAAAAAAAGTAGAAAGTGGAGTAAGTAAAGACAGAAAAAATTTGGAACCTCAACTTTAGTAAGTTGACTTGCACCGCCCTGTAATTTGCTAGACTGTTGGGGAGGGTATATTTCGTTTATATTGGGTAGGCCAGGTGGGACTCGCTTGCAGGCACACAAGGTCGTACTAAACGACTAGCGCCTTAGGCAAAGCTCTGTGCGCCCATGCTCATGCTCCATGCCCCCATGCGGTGGACTCACGTGCTGTCCTCATATAGAAGCCAGAAGGGGGAAAGGAGGCAGGTTTAGCAAGTTGCTTGACCTCGTGGCGAAGGGTTTGTGCTTTGTGTCATGAGAAGGTGGAATTTGGAAGGGAAGGCGATGGGAAACGACCCAAACTGCTGGACATGCAATTTTTCGGTTTTTTGAGTATATCATGCAGCCCGTTGAGTTTTTTTTTTCCCCAGATTTTGGAGCCCAACAACAGGTAACGGTTGGGAACTGGCCTCATACAGGCCATTTGGGGCTGCTTCCGTGACACTTTTTGCAGCAATTAGTGACGAGAGATGGGTTGGGGAATGGAAACATCCCAAAACAGCCTAAAACCCGCCAAGTATATCTGGATCAGATTGGTCTTCTTCGTTATCGGAAGCCACCTCTGCGATTGTGTGATTAATAAAGTTTTGGAACACTGCAGTGATGGAGGTTCGGTCCACATCTCTTTTCCCTAGTAGTGATTTCGTAAGTCTGCGGAAGTTCACTATACTTCCGGTGTTCCCGCCTTCTTGGTCATCCAGCCCCTCTCCTTCACCTTCACTGTTGTAGTCGGCGTCATACTCTGTGTTGTTGTCTGTTGTCTGTTCGTCAATGATAAAGTTACTGCTGAGGTTCGTTTGCATGAGCCGCATTGAAGCTATCCGATCATTGTCTCCATCCAGTTCTTCTTCCGCTGAATTGTTGGCGCTTTCCTCTTCTGGCTTGATGAGCTTGAGTTGGTTCGTGTTGTAGCTCTGGCAATATTTACATTTAAGCCCAAGCACATGGTACTGACAACTGCTTTTGCCTTTGCAGTCGTTGCAGCTGATGATACAACGCCACATGTTGTAGGGATGGGGTAGCGGCAGCTGGCGGATTTCTTGATCGAGAATACGGAATTGTGTTTCCACATTCACAACGGTCTTTTTGCAAACGGGACACTTGTAGGAATGCTTGACCATTTCATCGTAGCATGATTCGTGAATCAGATGCCCACATTTCATGAACACCACTTTGCTGACACTCGTGAAAAGGTACTCGTTGCAAATTGGACAGTTGCAATGCGTGGTATTGGTAACACACTTGTGATGTTCTTTCAAGTCGATACTCAAACAAATATTGCACTCGTCACAATGGAAATAGTCCTTGCCAATACCAAGACCTAAACGACAAATTCCACATTTGTCACAATGGTAGATATCCTTGTTTGGATCGTTATCATACAAAACGCACTTGCTGCAAAAGTAGTTCGCTAATTCTTCATCACAATTGACACAATAAGCCGTGTCAGGGACCTGGGGTGCGTTACACTTCATGCAAAGAATGTGTTTCACGGCGTTACGCTGAAGTTTATGGTCGGTTACTTCCTGATCGTGGCAGAACCGGCAAGGGTACCACTTGAGACATGTGGGGCACTCGAGCTTGCAGTTTCTCTGATAGTGGCTGCAACCCAAAACCCCCTTCTCTTCGTCAAAGTATGATGGAAGCGTATCTTCTCTAGTAAGTACAACTTCGTCATCGTCAACTTCCTCCATCTCTTCATCGCATGATTCATCGTCAGTCGTTAGTGGAGCAGGTTGCTCCTCCATTAGTTCCTGCTTGGCTTCTTTATCCTCAGGTAAATGAAGACCCGCTTGGTTTCGTAAGGAAAAGCCCTTCTTCTCTGCAAGCTTTTCGTTTATGTATTTGTAGTAGTTTCCCATCATGAGTCGAGTCACCAACTTATTCTTTGACAGTTGACTAAGGTCAGCCAAGTTTTGGATTTTCTGGATCTTGCTTCGAAGAAGATCCTCTTTATAAAAGTCATCTATCGAATCCAAATGAGTAAGTGCTTTGGCTTCCTCAGGGGTAAGTTCATCCATGTAATCAAGATCACTTCCTGTCTGAGTACCATCATCAGAGAGTACAGCACTTCCAGCACGTTTGAATAGCCTATTGGCTCTATGTCTATGCCTGTCACGTCTGGACCTGTGCGTTGGGTCAAGAAGACCATCGATTTCCTCTCCGTCTGGTGAAACAAGTTGGGTTAAGAGTGGCTGTTCACGGTTAACAATCTCACCCACACCTTCAGGTTCAAATGCCGTTTCGGGTTCCTTTTCCATTTCCTCGTCTCCATCCACAGGAAGTGTAATGACTTCATGAATAAGATCACTGAGTGGCTGCAATCTATCTATAGCAGCTTGAAGCGAACGACCATTTCGCAAATCCTGAAGGAAACTATTCATTTGGATCTTTGTAGCCACGGCCGTTTTAACCGAATTAAGAATCTTAGGATCCTCTTCATCTTCACCTCCCCCAGTCCTATTCCTCAAAGCGTTCATATACTGTGAAACAGATTTAGACACTTCCGAAAGGTCAAATGAAGGGAGATCAAACGATGGAAGCTGCGGTAGGTTACCCAAAGACGGGAAACCGGAAAAGTTCGGAAACCCATCCTTAAGTGAGGGCCATGAGGGAATGCTTAGACGACCAATCTGGTCCAAATCCCCAGTTAGCCCATCCATGTCTGAGGAGCTGGATGACTCGTACCCAGATTTCACTTTTGTGGAAGTCTGCGAGGCTCGCCTTTCTGAAGTGGATTTCACTGCATCACCACTACTCGGGGCGTGTGCACCAGCATCCAACCTATCATGTAGATGTATCATTTGGTTCCAGGTGGTTCCTAGTGGAGACCTTTTCGTGGAGATGTGCTTCTGAGGCTAAGCTACTAGGAGCATCACGTGAAGATATGCCTAGATGTTGATGCGGATAGTTTGTTCCAGACCGGGACCGAAGAAGCCGAAGGGGGAAACAGGAGGAAAAAGAATGGAGAATGAAGGGGAAAGCGTTCGGAATGTGATATTTAGCAAAAAAATGGAGAGATGGGAAGAGAATTTAAAAAAATATTGACACCCACGAGGTTCGAACTCGTGCCTCCGAAGAGACCAGGAATGTATGGTAAGGTGACCTTACCCTGGCGCCTTAGACCACTCGGCCAGAGTGCCAATTGATGCAAGGTGATGGGATATCTGGGGATGGAACAGGTGGTTTAGTGGGATGGTAAAAAAGTGTATTTTTGACTTTTGGAATGTGTGGCTTTGGATTTGGCAAAGTTGCTGTAGAAATTTCAAATGCCTAGGTGCCCGGAATCGTGAGATAAATGATTTCTCGTTCCACATCAATTTTTTGAACAAAAAGACAGCATAACCAAAAACTACGCATAAAAATGAACATCCTAAACCTTTCTTGTATCCCTATTGAGCTTGTGTAGGCCGACTTACACCTCTCTCTATTCCATTTGCAACCATCACCAAAACACATCCTATACATAATGCGACATCAAGATAGCTCATCTACCTACCACTCCATACTAAACATGTCCATTCCACCCGTCCAGCTTCGAGATACTATAGAAAAAACTGCACGTTATGTGCTTAAGAACGGTGCTGGCTTTGAAGAAAGACTATTGAAGAACGATACCGACGATAAGTTCTCTTTCCTCAAGCCTGACAATCAGTACCATGAATACTATAAGGCTCTGCTTACCAAGCCTAAAACACCAGAAACTGAAGAGAAAACAGAGAAGGTCGAAACGAAACCTCTAGAAAAACCCGATGAACTACGTTTTCTTGCTGACCTACCGCCTATCCTGTCGTTTGACCTTGAGGTTGTGAAGCTTACTGCACTCTATGTGGCTTGCAATTCAAACAGACATATCGATGCACTTTACAAGTATATGGAACAACGTGGGAATAGAAGCCAATTTGCATTTTTGAAACGTTCACACCTGGTTCATGCGTTGTTTATGAAATTGGTGAAACAGTACCAGACAGTGATTAACTTGGTGGAAGATCCAGAGAAAGACCACCAGTCAAAAAAGATTCTTGAAAGCATATCACAGGAGAAACCTGACTTGTTTCAGAAAGCATATAACCGGGCTGTCTATGAACAGAAGCATAAGATCGAGAAAAAGACCGAAGAAACAGAAAGAAAGAATAAACAACTACATTATGCTTCTATCGACTGGCAGAACTTTACACTAGTGGCAAAGGTCAATTTTGATGCTGTTGACGAAGTTTCTGAGCTTGCTGTGCCGTTATCAAGAGATGATATCATGTATAGATCCTTGCAAGCTCGTTCAAAGGAGATCGAAGTTCCAACGGCAGCACCAAAGAAAGAACCATCAGTTGAAGTTCCAGAGCAAAATGAGGATAAGGAGCAAGAGAAAGAAAAGCAGCCAGAGGAAGCAAAACCACAGCCAAAGGTACCAAAGGGCATGAAGATTAAAGCTGCAGGTGAATCAAGGCTCAAACGTAAGAATAAAGAGTCTACACCAGGTGCACAGAGAACGATCAAGTGTCCTATTACAGGAAAGCAAATACCCGAGCAAGAGTTTGACACTCATTTACGAGTGCTTCTTCGGGACCCACGGTACCAGGAACAGAAGAGCAATTTCATGAAGAAGAACTTCACGTATGAGTCGAACCTCACCACTGATCAGGTTTACGAGAATATCAAGCGGCTTGTGAAGAAGCGTGATTTATCTGAGGAGGAAGAGGAGCAGCAAAAACGTAAGAAGATTGACGTGAAATGAATAAGATAATGCATAATACACATTTGCCAAATGCGTAGGTTATTCTACATCGTTTTCGAACAAGGTGATATTTATAGATACCAATTATAGTACGGTGATGGGGGTGAACGAAGCCTGAGAATTATTAAAACCAAGAACAAGCTCCACTTAAGCCTTCAAAGAGGAAGCTCTTCTCTTCTTGATTTCGGCTCTCTCAGCCTTACGCTCGTGCAAACGCTGAGCCAACAACTGAGCGTACTCAGCGGCAGCGTCTCTCTGCTGTCTAGCATTGTTGATCTTCTTGGCCTTCAAAGCTCTCTTTCTCTGCAAGGTCTGAGGAGTGATCAATCTCTGGATCTTTGGAGCCTTGGTGAAGGTCTTACCGTTCTTCTCGACGGTTCTTCTGACAACGTAGTCTCTGACGTCGTCCTCCTTAGTCAAACCAAAGAACTTTCTGATGTGGTTGGCTCTCTTTGGACCCAATCTCTTTGGGGTGGTGGTGTCGGTCAAACCCTCAATGTCCTGGTCACCCTGCTTGACAACAGCAAGAGCAATGACAGACAAGTCCTGGTTGACGATACAGCCTCTAACGGACTTTCTCTTTCTCTCACCAGATCTTCTTGGTCTGTAACAAGAGTGGCCCTCAGACAACAACAATCTGACTCTGGTTGGGTGCAAGACACCCTGCTTCATTGGGAAACCCTGCTTGTCGTTACCACCAGTGATCTTGAAGATGTAACCCTTGAACTCATCGCTCACAAGGTCACCCTCGACTTCCTGACCCATACGCTTCTCGTAGAAAGCACGCAACTTGTGCTCGTCATCAATGTCGATACTCTTCTGGGTACCGTTGGCTGGGTAAGAGATGTTTAACTATTCTGTTAGTACGGTGTTGGCTTTTGAACGAGGGACTTTGTCATTGGATATTTGTTTCTTGTTTCTTGAATCTTCAATTGTTTGTGCCTCTGGAATGGCGGATGGGGGAATTTGACATGGACGGGCGGCGGGATCACATTGACTGCTTCGTCTCCTCGTTGGTATTGATGGATTTCTGGCGTTGGGACATACCTTCATGTTGAACTTGTTAGCCTAGATGGAGATGAAAAGAAAAATTTTTAAGCGGGCCTGGTGAAAATTGAATTTTTTTTTTCTCCCCCAGCTTCGCAGTAGTGTGGGTTGGCGCTCGCAGGGAAACCAAGGGCTCTGTGTGCAGGCCCCTAGTTATACTGGTTGAATATAGTGCGAAAAAGTGATCACGTGGAGCTAGACATTGGTAGGGCTCGAGCCCGCATCACCCATCCACCCCAGTGAAGGATAGTAGTAAGTTTGGACATGGCAGGTATTTTTAAAAAAAAGCGATGTACGTTAGTTTTCGTAGGGGTGAGGTAATGGAAATGAGTTGTTCTGAGGGTGCTATGGAGGTTGGTCGGGGAATTGAATTGAGTGGTTACTCCAAAGTGTATGCTCAGTGCTCAATGTACTGAAGAAGCTATGCTGTTTATTAGTGTAGCATTATCACGGTAGAAAGGCTGCTTTGGCTAGGTAGCTGATTTCAATGTTAATTGACAGAATGGAGTTCTTATGTGTTGAGTGCTTTAGGGTAGAGTTGACGGTGACCATTACCCTACTGGGCATTAGTAATGGCTGCAAATGAGGCTTATGGTGAGAGTAGATGGGCCTAAGGAGTGAGTGTTTTCATTTAAAATCCTTATAATTCCTTATATTCTGTTTCTATTCTGCTCTAGACTTATTCATCGAGTAAAAGAAGTTATTGTTCAGACTTGTAATCAGGAGATATCATTCTAGTGTTTAGCAGCTGGAAGTCTCCCCTATCAATAGTCACAGATAAGTACACCATTAACCAGTTCTTCAACACTTTTTCCATGTCCTTTAAATCAATTTTCGTTCTTCATTGCTCCTCTTCTTCCATGTCGCTATGAAGTAATACCTGGCGTACCTAAGCAATACCCTATCTACAGCTTCATTATCTACACCTTCATTAAAAATCATATCATTAAATCTCTCAAATACATGCTTATTCGTTTCATAATATACACTTCTTATACATCGTCGTGAGGTCCACTGCATAGCAAAGTCCGGTAGGGCCGTCCATCCATCTGGCTGGCCCCTCTATAATCCCATGATGCTACTTCTTGTAGTTAAATTGCCCACCAATATACATATCCAGACTTTGTGGCAGTGTGTTGGATGTACTCTGTTGGGCAGGTTGTGGTTGTGACAGGTTGTTTTGTGAAGCCAGCTGCTCCTCGTTCTGCCCTCCGGGCGGGAACGTTCGTTGTCCTCCAGCAGAAGGATTATTTCCTCCTCCAACTGCCAGCAGAAGTGACCCTCGTGCATTCATAAACATTGGGTTCCCCGTCATCGGTGTAGTACCACTACCCGAAGGAACCATCCCCACGAAATAATGGGGCATATTCGGCGGGAAAGATGTCATACCCAGAGGCCAGTCTTGCAGAGGGTACAAATTAGACGGTGAAGGAAATATATCGTTAACGTACCGCGACGGAAGAGCCGACATGGGTGTTTGTTCTGGGTTAGCAAACTGGGGCGGGAAAGTAGGTTTATATTTCTGCGGGTCATCGTTTTCGTTATTATTGTTAGCACCTTCTTCGTTTGTAGTGTTCTCTCCATGGGCTGTAGCACTCACCTGGCCCATATACTGCTGATTAAACACTTGGTTTAGTACTGGTGTAGGCAATATGGCAGGCTGATACAGGCCAGGAGAGGCCTGAGGTATGGAAGAAAAGAACGGGATACCAGAATTTCTCGGAAGTTGTGGAGCCATGGCAGATGAAGGGCTCAGGGTTTGGGATTTGCTTATTGCAGGCACCGGAAGCTGAGGAGTGGTTTTCAGCTGAGCAGCCTTTGATTTAGAAAATGCCTCGAAACGTCCCGCTTGCAGACCATTATTCTCCTCCTTGATGTGTGGCTTCTTCTCACTAGTATCCAAAGCGGTGATTGTCTTTGCCGAGTCGTTGCTGCTCGAGTTCTTAGCGTCCGAAGGGATCTGAACCCTCAAAACCGGTCTTTGCAGAGGTTTATCCTTTGGAGCATCGGCAAACTGAGACATTCGTGAGCCCACCAGTTGTTTAGACGAGTACATGGACGAAGGAGTCGACTGGCGGGACGGTTTCAGCGGTTTATGGCGTTTAGGCTCAGGAGACTCGGAATCGTAATCTGAATCAGCATCATCCACAGGCACATCGGGGAGCTCCTGTTTAGGCAGAAGCGGAGGCCTGGAGTCTCTATGGCTCCGGTCCCTTAAGTGAACATGGGACTTCTTCTTGTAATTGCCATAGTTTTCAGGCAGTTTCTGTTCGTGGATATCGCAATGGCCATAGCTCTTGATGAGCTCAGGCGTATCCACCGACGAAAACTCATAAATCTTATTGTTATTCCCCACGATGATCACAGCAAGGTCGACCTGACAAAGCACAGCCAATTCGTGAGCTTTCTTAAAGAGGCCAGCCTTTCTCTTGACAAACGTGACAGTTCTGTTGCGGTCGTCAGTCAAGGGCTCAATGGCAATCTTTCTTCTGCCCATAGTCAAGTGACAAAAAAAATATAAAGGAGTCAGTTATTAAGGTAGAACGGCTGCGTCGAATGGAGTGCCGGGAACGGTTTTGTGTTGACAGATAAAGCGCCGTTGGGAGAGATCTAACAGCGGTACTTATAAATAGAAGCGAACAGGCGATGGAAGCTTGTATGAATTGGCATCCGCACAGAACAAACAGGAAAAAAAAAGGACAAGGTAAAAAAAAAAAAGAGGCCTAAAAAAAGAGAGACTCGCGAAGGCCTCCCACTCTTAAGTATTCAGACAATTAAGGCTACAATGGTTAAAAAAAACTAGAAAACGTCGAGATCCACAGCCAGGCTGAGTTGCAACAGTACATGAAAATTTAACGTGTTTCTGCTGGCTGGACGGGGTTTTGGTGGTACCGTACGTGAAATGACAAGAAGGCTCAGGCTCGGTAGAAATGTGGCTGAGGCAGCCAGAGACAGGCAGAAGAGGCAGGATGAGGTGGATGGACTGAGAAACACCTGATGGAGGGTTTGGGGTTTATGGGTTTTGGGAAGTTTTGGAGGAAGGGAATTGATTTAGGTGGATTTACGTGGATTAAGTAGCAGGTTTAACTGAACTGTAAATTGAAATAAGTGTGTTTGGGTGGAACAGCTGGGCCTGTTGGGGTCTGGAACAGTGTATGCGGCGGTTGGATGCAAAAAAAATTAGGCTGCAAACTGCAACACGCATGGTGGGAAAGTAGCCAGACGTAGCTGGACATAGTAAGATGGGACCTGCTGCTGCTGCTGCTGCGCCAGAAAAGAAAGAGCCTCACGATGGGTCCAGGGCTTTGCTGGTTGTTCTGGGGGTGGCTGTTTCTCTCTCTTTTTTCTTGGTGGTGATGGACCGCTAGTTCCGAAAAGTATGGTTTCGGGGTTGGCGTCCCGACGTTGATGCACAGCTTAACGTATGATCTGGCGGTGAAAGTGGCTAGATGGTGATTCTGGGGACAATGCGTTTACGTTCAGTAGGCTGAGTCGTGGTGGTGATGAATTGAGATAGGATCTAGGGTTGACAAGGACCATTGGTTGAGTGAGTGAGGGTGAGTGGGTGGAGGGAGTTGCTTCAAGGACATTCAATCGTAGCTCAATTCAAAGAATTGGTTGCCAATTGACCAAGGTCAATTGTCAATTGTCAATTGTCTACTGGGGTCTGGCTGCAAAATATGCGGGCCCTCTGGACATAAGGCACCTGGGGACTGACGTAGGTCTTAGCGGAGCCGTATTTGATGCAAAGTTCCCCTTTTTGGATAGACGTGTTCGGTCTGGACGCTTTCGTCTCGTCTTGGCCAAAGCTGAAAATTGACAGGTCCATGCACCTGGAGAATCTATATTTGGAAAGGAAGCCGTTCGTAGTAGTTAGAGAAGGTTTTTCAAGGGCTGTGTGGATGGAGTTAAGACCGGAAAGTAAGTTGGTGATGTCAAGAAAACGGGGTTGGGGGCCCTAAAGGCTTTGCTGTTCCTTGAAGTACCCCTTACCGCTAAGAAGAAGAATTTTGGAGATCGAAGCATGGCTAATTTTAAATCTATTGTTCGGTAAAGTAATGGAAAATTGGATCAACGGACAATCTTGTTAGAAAGGGCTGTGGTACCTGAAAGGTGCCTAGGAGAAGGTCCAGAATGGAAATAGATGGATGAATCCGGAAGTTATGGACCCGGGATGGCTGTTCTATGGATCGGGTTAATGAATTGTGTTTGTGGGGCATATGGGGTTATGTTAGCTGATTAAAAGAAGCAATTCCGGTGAAGATGTTTAAAAGAATATTACGTTCTTGTTAATGAATTAGAGCAAACCTTTATTCGTTTTCTATTCAAGAGGTGAACTTAAATGTGTAGGTAGAAGAACCTTTCCTACAACTTATGGATTTCCTCTCGTTTGAACTATCTCTATCTATATCCCTTTCTAAGGCACAAATGACGTCAAAAATAGTTCCTATTATTACCTATAGTATCCCCACAATTATATATGTCTAAGCTCCTAGTAATTATCCTAAGTTAGTCCTCTTTCCTTCTCAGTGTACCCATATATCTATAAGGTCTACCCATGAACCAAACATATCAAACCAAGAAAAGAAAGCCACACGAAAATGTCCAATAAAAGATCCCATAACCAAATGCCCCTCCCTCTAACCCCATATCTTCTGGTTCCCTTGTACTGTGGACACTGGCTCAGTAATGGCTGCGAAAAACCACCATCTCCAATCATCACCAAACCAGCACACACAAAAGTCATCAGACACAGTTACAATTACTCCTTTTCATTGCTCAACCAGAAACATCACCAAAACCACTATTTTTTTAATTTTCCAGTGGATCACCAATTTTTCATCTGGAGCCTCGTGGTTTCACCATGGACGTCCAACAGCCTTCCCACCAAACATCCCTTCCCACCCAGCACTTCCAAATAAACCACAGTCCCCTTCAAACTCCTCTAATCAACCACATTAAAACCCACCAGCTGCCAAATTTTTCCATTTGTTGGCCGGTTCGGTCAAATAGTCTGTTCTATCCAACTAAACGTCCTGCACACACGCGCCAGTCGTTGGCACTGTCAAATAACACGCTTCAAGCTCCACTACATACAACAAACAAGGCTACTCAAGCACCAACCAATACTAGTCTCTGGACAACGTGAAGGGCGAGTTTCCATTCCTTTCTCGTCATGAGTTCCAGAAGAAGAAAAGCGGCCGGCCGGCCGAATCACCATAGAGTTGACTTGACTGCTTTAGCCAGCGACGTTATACCTTCAGGACCAACACCTTCGTCTTCAACCAATGAGGCGCTGGATGAGCCTGCTCCGGGTCCTCCTCCAAGAAGGGCTAAACCTCCTCAAAGCTCGCTGAGTTTGGAGAACTCCAAGTCTGACGAAAGTGCATCTTCTGGCGCTCCTCCACCTCGCCGTGCTGCTGTCAGACCGCCTACGAATGTAATTGACCACCCACAGCCGGTTTTGGACGATAAGAAGGATGAAGAGGAACAACAGGAAAGTCAAAAACTGCAGGATTTGCCATGGCCAGGTCAAGAGAGTCAGAATTGGCAGGAGAACCAAGATCTGTCTGATCTACAACAAAGCGAGCCATGGGACGACCAAAAGCAAACTGAAACTTCGAATCAGGAAAGTCAGCCATGGGACAATGCAGCTACTACGTCTCTACCTTGGGAAGAGAACCAGCCTACAGCGACTGAACAACAGCATCAACAACAGCATGAACTTGACCAGTACCAGCACGACCAAGAGCTTTACGATCACCAGAATCTCGAACAGTCTGCTCAATCGGACCAGTCGTCCCTTCCATGGAGCCAACCTCCATTTGAAGTGCCTTGGGAAGGTAACCAAAACAACCAGCCAAGAGCACACCAGGAAAACTTCAGCACTCAAGGATCCTTGCCTTTGCCATGGGATGAAGAGAATCAAGATGAAGATGCTTCGGGCTGGGATGCTTACACCAACATAGAGCTTGAAGAGAGCCAGCAGCTCAACCAGGCAGCCCATGAGCCTCAACAACAAACGCATGAACAACAGGATACCCAAACGCATGAAGAGGCTTATGGACATGATGCTGACCAGGATGCTCAAGATGATGCTCAGAAATGGCACCAAGATAATCAGTATTTCCAAAACCCTGTGGAGGATCGAGCTGAAAGCCACTACTGGGATCAACAAGCTGCTCAACAACATCACAACACCGATGGATCTTTTCCACATTCAGGTGAGCCTGGTATAGAACATGAGAAGGATCCATGGGACCACGACGATGATGAACTTGATGATGATCCGTGGGATCAAGATGTTGATGTCAATTTGGAAGAGGTTCAAAACACAGCATCAGGTCAAGACGCCAAAATAGAGGAGTCATCCCATGCAGCTCCATGGGACCAAGAAGAAGCTGCTGACAATTTCCAGGGAGATGATGCTTGGAACCCTGCGAACGAGCAGACTGAAGAGGGCTATGGTGAAGAGCAATTCTTGCAAGATCCATCTCAGCAACATGACATTCTGGAAAGCCATGTTGAGGAAAACGACTTCCAAGAGCATAATGCCCACGAAAATACGGCTCCAGAGCATGTCACTCACGAGCAAGAATTTTTACAGGATGAGGAGGTTCCGCAAGACTTCCCAGAGCATGAAACTCAAGATCAGGCTCAAGATCAGGTTCAAGATCAGGTTCAAGAGCAACAGGACGAGGTTCAGGAATACCAACAGCATGAGCTAGAGGAGCATCAAGGATATGAAGAAAATGACCAAGGTCACCTTTACGAGAACGATCATCACCAACAGACGTCTTTGCCTTGGGAGGAGAATGACAATGCTACTGCTGCTCATGATGAGTTCCCAGGTCAACAGGAACAATACCCAGAGGGCGAGTCACAGTTCTTTGATCAAATTGCTAACCAAGAAGATCCTGAACAAGAACAAGGCCACAACGAACACGAACCTACACAGCATGAAGACCATCTTGATTTGAATGATGATGGCCTAGATAGCATCTTGGATGATGACGGTTTCCTTGCCGAAAGTGAATCTCCTCCTCCCGTGTTGCCTCAGGACGAGGGACAGAAACATGAGCAGGAGAATTATGACACTGTCATTCACCATCGTGCCAATGACACGCAGGATGCCGATGAAAGCTTGAACAATAAGCTGAGAGCTCTAGAAATGCTTGATTTGGACGAGGACTTGCTCTTGGATGAGGAATTCCTTGAGGACGAGGCACCAACCGAGCCGCCTGCTCAACCGGTGGCTCAGCCATCTTATCCCCCGGTTCCACAAGGTCAACCACAACAAGCTCCTCAACCGCATACCCATAAAGCTCCTGAAGTTTCGTCAGCTAAGTCAAAATACGCTCCTTCGCTGAAATATGCTCCCGTTGCTCCTGCTGCTCCTTCTGCACCAGGAGGAAACCCTTATGCTCCTCAAGCAGCGGAACCAACAAAGGCTGGCCTTGTAACGGCAGTTAAACCAAGGGGCCCTAACATCGAGTCCAAACTGACAGCTGTCACAACTGAATTCCACCCTCTGCGTTTGGCCCAGAATACTCAAAGAGATGAAGTGAAGGAACAGCTTAATGCTGCTAAAAAGAAGAATGATGCATACGACTTCCCTATGGGTCTAGTGAAGCCACCTACGAGAGCTCCAAGGGTTGCGTCGAAGCATAGCCCTAACGCTTTGACTTCTCCTCCTGTCAGGCAGCCTAACATGGCTAATGCTCCAGCAGGCAATGAAAACATCTCATCAATTGCATCACCTCCCTCTGCGTCAGCAGCAATGGGTCCGTCCGCACCTCCTGCTGCCCAAAAGAGCTTCTTCGAAGAGTATCCTGCTAGTGCAGTGAAGCCAGCCTCGAGACCTGGAAGAGCTGCTGCCGCTTCACACGACCGCAACCGTAGCGTTGAGAAGCCGAACGTTCTCAGCCCAGCCAGTGCACATAGCTCCTTGCCAGCTAAGTCGCCGAAGAATCCTTACGCTGCATTGCAACCTAAGAACCCAGCACATGCTAGTCCTCAGGTTCCTCAACCAGCACTTGGAACTGTCCAGCCCCCTCAGAACCGGTATCAACCCATTCCTTCTGCTCCTCAGGGAATGCCTCCTCAGCCATCACACACCGCTGGTATGCCTGGACCTCCTCCTCAGGCAGTTGGCTTTGTGCCACCACCAGGCCAACAAGCTGCAATGGGTCCTCCACAAAATACAAGACCTGGATTCTCTCCTCATGCGCCAATGGCTCAGCCAGTGGTTCCTTCGCAAAACCAGGGTGCCCAGCCATTCCCTAATATGGGTGGAAGACCTCAAGATCCGCATAAGTCTCCAAGAATGAGTATCAATACTTCGATCCAAGGAAGACCAAATGATAAGGGTGCTTCAACCAGCCCTTACGTTCCAGCTTCTGGTCCTTACGCCCCTAGCGCAAGAGGACATTCTAGAACGAGTTCCATCATTGGCGGAAAGGCGAAGGAAGGCAATCCGTATGCTCCAGTTCAAGGTGCGCCCCCACCTACCCAGCAACATGCTAAAGGTGCTGTGCCCCCTCCAGGGTTCCATACTGCTGGTCCTAGGGCAAGAGGCACTTCTTTGAACAGACCAGGTAAATCCCATTCTGTTTCGAAGGTCAACCCTGCAGCGTTATTAGAAAGGCAGTTCCCTATCTTTCATTGGGGTAACTCTCAAAATGCTGCCTACTTACTTCCATATGAACCTTATAGTTCATTTGATCCAGTGATCAGGACGATTCACGTGGATAAAGTGGCAGATGTTGCAAAGAATCACAAGCTTTACAGTGATTTCCCTGGACCATTGGTGAAGGGCAAGGTCAAGAAAAAGGACATGGAGGCATGGTTGCATAAAGTAATTGTTGCATTGGAAGCTGAGAATCCTTCGTCCGACGAGCTTATGTTAGCAAAGATTCTCAATCTTCTTGTTAAGTTTGACGGTAACTTCAAGAGCGATGAACTCTTACTCGAAATTGCTAAGGTCCTCACGCCTAATGTGGATTATTCTCAAGAAACTTCAGGTGTGAATATGGCGGTTGGAGGCCATGGCATCTCGGCCAATGCATACAAACTCGACAACCAGGGTATCAACACTGTTTGGAACTTGATTCAAACAGGAAAGACCGAAGAAGCATTGTCTATCGCAATGTCTAAAGGTGACTGGGCTCTTTCTTTCATCATTGCTTCCTCGATTGGCCACGAAAGGTTCGCCAAGGTCGCTTCGGACTATGCCAGAATCTCGTTCCCATTCCAGAAGGGCCAGATTGCAAAGGTGCAGCATTTGATGCCTATCCTTATGAAGATATTTGTTGGAAATTCTGCTGGTGTTATCAGCGATTTTGAGAATGTTACTACAGAAGGTGAATTCGCCAGAATGCACTACAAGGAAATCATCGCCGCTGCAATCGTTAATAACTGCAACACTGACTTCTTAGTGGACTTTGGCAAGTTTTTGTTAAGCTCGAACATGAATACTGCCAGTGAGCTTTGCTTCATTATTGGAGGTATAGTCATGACTCCTACCCCTCTCACAAATGGTGCATCTTTCGAGGCAGTTGGTGTTTTTACTCTGACTTCAGTTTATTCAGAGATCTACGAGTACGTCTTGCTGGTATCGCCTGTCACTAATAACATGGTACCCCCTACAGGGTTGCCCCATTTGCTTCTGTACAAGTTAAGACGTGCTCAAGCTCTTGCTGACTTTGGCTGCTACAATGAGGCAAGAAAATATTGTGACTCAATCGGAAGCGTTATCAGGACACTTGGTAGGTCACCATATGTGAAAGCTCCTATGACTAGAGAATTCCAGGATTTGCTTATCAGGTTATCTAACTCTGGAGCAACAGATTCTGGTTGGCTTGGTGCTAAGATCAGTAAGGTCAACTTGGACAAGATGTGGGGACATTTGGATAAGTTCATTGGCGGTGAAGATTCAACGCCTAAACCTCAGGACACTGGTATTTTCAGTAAGTTCAGTCCCTCAGTCTCCCGTAATGCATCGGCTTTGGATGTTACCCAGATCCCAAATGGATCTCAATATCGTCCTGACTTAAACAGGACGCCTTCACTTGCGTCTGCACCTGCTGGCCATGGTGACTTCAGCCCGATGCAACAACAAGGTCGCTCTAACCCGCTGAGATATGCCCCAGGAGGACCAGGAAGCTTGAAGAAGGGCCCTCCTTCTATACTGGGCCCATCAAGCTTCCATCAGCCAGCCCCACCAAGCATTCAACTGCAGCCTTCGTTCCACAAGAATCATGTCAGTAATGGATCACTGTCGAGCGTGAATGCTCTTGACCCTAGCCCGGTCAATGAAGAACAGAAGCCTCCACTCAAACAGGCTTCTTCGTTTGCTCCAAGACAGCCACAACCTCCTCGCAATCCGATGTACAGCAATCGCTCAGGACAGGTATCGGCTCTGTCAATTGTGTCGCACATGAGTCCTCAGCAGCATAACGTTCATCGTGATCATGATCATCATGGTAGATTTGAGTTGCCTGATCTTGATGACACAAATGAACATCCAATCATGGAACGTTCGCCTAGAGGTCTTGAAAGAGGCCATTTCCGCACATCCCTGTTGCAAAGTGAGGTACAAGATGGCATTGATGTGAACGAGGAGAACCATGTACCATCCACGATTGAAGAGAAGTCAGAGGAATCTTCGAGCCATCGCCCATCGCAAGGCAACGTGGCGCCACCGCATGAGAAGGAGAAGGAGGAGCCTAAACTTGCTGAACCAGAGGTAGAAGAAGAGAAAGAAGAAGAGGAAGCCAAGAAGCCATCTGAAGAATCCATTGCACCACCACCTATTTCAACGAGAAAGGCTCTTCCACCAAGGTCTAATCCTTACGCACCTGGTGGATCTAGAGGACAGGCTCGTGGAACGAGTTCTAACAGGTATGGACCAGGCAAGACGGCCAATAAGTACGCTTCTCCTCACCCTTCGCAACACAAGGACTTTTTAGAGAGATCGACCCCCAACGTTTCCATGCATGAAGGCCCTAACCCAGAAGAGCTGAATGGCGATGTTCCAAAGACTGAAGAGCCTAAGAAACCTGAGGTTCCAGAGGCTCCTAAGGAGGAGGAGGAGAAGGAGAAAGAGAAAGAAGCTGAACAGCCTTCCGAGCCTCCAGCACAAGAGAAGCCTCCTGTTAATGCACCTCCTGCTAGAGGACCACCAAGAGCAAACGGTCCACCTGGTAGAAGAAAGAATCCTTACGCTCCACAAGCCAGAAATCCATATGCTCCGAAGGGCCCCGAAGAACACAAGGAACCAGAGGAGCCAAAGGAAGAGCAGGCAAGTAAGCCTCCTGTCAATGCTAATGTCGATGTCAGTGTGGATTACGGTGTTGAAGAGAGCATGGAAGCATCTGATGAGCCTAAGCCACCAATGCCAGGAAGAGTTGTTTCTCCAACTGCCAGGGCTCCATATGCGAACCCATTCCAACACGAGAAAGCCGGCGTGGAAGGTGGACTCGAGGATTTCTCGATTCCAGGCTCTCCAGAGTATACTACTAGAGCCAACTCAGTGATTGGCCACAATGGCTTGTTCTCGAGTAAGTTATCTCAGTCACAGCAGTCGGTGATGTACCAGCAGTACGAGGTGAAGGATGATACCGTTCATGATTACATTCCTGTTCCAGAGGATGAAGAAGATGAGGAAGATAAAAAGGCCAAGAAGAGAAAGGAGGAGAAGAAAGCGCAAGGCTCACAAACTCCAGAAAGCGAAAGTTGGCTCAGTAAGTTGAGAGGTAAGAAGGCTACTGACGATAAGCCTAAGCCCATCAAGGCCAAGCTCGGAACCAAGAACACCTTCTACTTCAGCGAGGAACACAACAGGTGGATTGACGGAAGCAGACCAATAGATGAACAAATCAAGGAAGTGGCGCCTCCACCACCTCCTATGAAGAAGAAGGTTGCACCTAAAGCACCTGAGCCAAAATCTGATGCTCCATCGCCTGCTGGACCATCTGAAGGACCATCTGAATCATCCTCAGCACCTTCGGGACCTTCGGCACCTTCAGGACCCAAAGCTCCAGCTTCTGGTCCAGGCGGACCATCTAGAGCAGGTGCAAGGGCCAAGCCTAGAGGAAACTTAGCCAATGCCAACTTGGATGATCTTTTATCGTTAAGCAGTGGTGCTCCATCTGGAGGCCGCAAGCCAAAGAGAAGATACGTGAATGTGTTAGAAAAGAAGTAACCAGGATCAGCAGCGCTAGCCCTGGAAATACATAGAAATAAAGAAATGATGCCGAAGGTCGTCCGACCAGGAAGAATGTAAGACATTTATCCAGCAAGTCGCTTAAGTATGCCTCTTAAGTATGGGGCCTCTTAAGCACCGGTGGCTGCGAAAAGTAAGCCTACCAGTTACCAATATACCCTCAGCTATTCCCCAACTTTCCAGCCTAGAACACGAAACTAAAACAGAAACCAATACTCCCACTCCCCCAGCTTCTCCTCAACCAATTTCTTTTTCATTCTTTGGTTTCTTATACTTGCCTTTGTTGGAATCAATGGTCGTGCGGGACTCATATCTTCCAGGACGCCACTCCGGGTAATTAAGTAACGGCGAAGAACAACAGAAAAAAGTGAAGGTATAAAAACCGAGTTCGTGACCTGCACACAAGCCAGTTCTCAGACGAAGAGCCATCAACGATGATTTTTTTTTCTTTCTTGAAAGGTTTTCCCTTTTCTCAGAGAAATCTCCAGCTTCTGCCTCCCACCGTTACGGATTTTTAACTTGAATAATCGCCAGAGCCCAGCCTCGCCGTTGTTCATTAAAACGTTCGTACCTATTTTCTAAAAAAAAAGAAAAAAATCAGAAAAACCGTTTAAAAAAATAAAAAAAAATATAAAATCAACCATGTCTGCCTCCGACGCAACCCAAATCACTGAGTCCATGGACAACTTGAACATCGACTCTACCGCTCCTTCCACCCAGCCAGAGAACACCGCTTCTGAAGGTGCTGCTCAGGGTGAGGGCGATTCTGTGGCCGACACTTCTGCTTCCTTGTATGTGGGAGAGTTGAACCCTAGCGTGTCTGAGGCTGCTTTGTTCGAACTTTTCTCTCCATTGGGACAGGTTTCTTCGATCAGAGTTTGCCGTGACGCCGTGACCAAGAAGTCCTTGGGTTACGCTTACGTCAACTACCACAAGCACGAGGATGGTGAGACTGCTTTGGAGGAGTTGAACTACTCTCCTATTGAGGGTAGACCATGCCGTATCATGTGGTCTCAGAGAGACCCATCTTTGAGAAGAAACGGTGATGGTAACATCTACATTAAGAACTTGCACCCTGACATTGACAACAAGGCCTTGCACGACACTTTCTCTGCTTTCGGCCACGTCTTGTCCTGTAAGGTTGCTACTGACGAGGCTGGCAACTCCAAGGGTTTTGGTTTTGTCCACTACGAGACCGCCGAGTCTGCCGAGTCTGCTATTGACAGCGTCAACGGTATGTCTTTGAACGACCGTGAGGTGTACGTCGGTAAGCACGTTTCCAAGAAGGACCGTGAGTCCAAGTTCGAGGAGTTGAAGGCTAACTTCACCAACGTGTTCGTCAAGAACTTTGGCCCAGAGTACTCTGAGGACGAGTTGACCAAGTTGTTCTCTCCTTACGGTCAAATCACTTCTCTCCACTTTGAGAAGGACCACGAGGGTAAGTCTAAGGGCTTTGGTTTCGTCAACTTTGAGTCTCACGAGTCTGCTGTTAAGGCCGTCGATGAGTTGAACGACCAGGAGATCAACGGCCAGAAGATCTACGTCGGCAGAGCTCAGAAGAAGAGAGAGAGAATCGAGGAGTTGAAGAAGCAGTACGAGTCCACCAGATTGGAGAAGTTGTCCAAGTACCAGGGCGTTAACTTGTTCGTCAAGAACTTGGACGACACCGTCACCTCCGAGCAGTTGGAGGAGGAGTTCAAGCCTTTCGGTACCATCACCTCTGCCAAGGTTATGGTTGACGAGACTGGCAAGTCTAAGGGCTTCGGTTTCGTTTGCTTCTCCACCCCAGAGGAGGCCACCAAGGCTATCACCGAGATGAACCAGCGTATGGTTGTCGGTAAGCCATTGTACGTCGCTCTTGCCCAGCGTAAGGAGGTCAGACGTTCTCAGTTGGAGCAGCAGATTCACGCTCGTAACCAGATGAGAATGCAGAATGCTGCTGCCGGCGGTATGCCAGGCCAGTTCATGCCACCAATGTTCTACGGTCAACAGCCAGGTTTCTTCCCAGGTAACGGTAGAGGCGGCAACGGTCCATTCCCACCAAACCCTCAGATGATGATGCCAAGAGGCCAGATGCCTCCACCACAGGGTCAGTGGCCAAGAGCTGGTCCAAACGGCCAGCCAGTCCCAATGTACGGCATGCCACCAATGTACGGTGGTGAGTTCCAGGGTCCTAACGGTCGCCAACAGAGAGGTGGTTTCCCACCACACCGTGGCCAGAAGGGTGGCCCAACCAAGGCCAGAGACTTGGCTGCCATCATTGCCAACGCTCCTGCTGAGCAGCAGAAGAGAATCTTGGGTGAGGAATTGTACCCTAAGATTGTTTCTACTGGTAAGGCTGACGAGCCAGAGGCTGCTGGTAAGATTACCGGTATGATGTTGGATTTGGAGAACCAGGAGATCTTGGCTTTGTTGGAGGACGACGAGTTGTTCGGCACCCACTTTGAGGATGCCTTGACTGCCTACGAGGACTACAAGAAGTCTTCTGAGGAGGCCACCACCGAGGCTTAAATCTGCCACATTCTGCCAGTGACGACAGAGAATAGTTAATTTCTAGTTCTGAATGTTTGCTTACTAGTTTTTATTTTTGGATGGGTAATTGGATGAGATATATATACCATGAAAAAAAGAAAAAACATGAGAATTCCTTGTAGCGACGTAGCAGAGACGTGATGGAGACAGGAAAGAGACGATAAGTCTCTTTCGATTGAATGGGATGAAGAAATTTATAAAAAATGAAATTTTTCAATTTTTAGCATAAGTAGCAGAAAACCATGATATTCATGAACTCTCGTAAATACTACAAACGTAGACACCATTCCCTACTTCCACAAACAGCCACCAAATGAAAAACAAAAAAAAAAAAAAAAAGAAAGACATAAACTGAAACCATTAAACTGCCAAGCCTTGACTCCTCCTCCCCTACCCCTTCTTCCAAATAAACTACCAATCCAAGGCTTAAGCTTTCTGAGACATACTAGTAAACCTCCTACCTCTAACCCTCCACCAACTCCCATACCAACCCCCTAAAATTCCAAATCCCAAAAAGCCTTCTTTCCATTCATCTTCCAGAATACTACCTTCCCCCTGCCACGTATCAATATCCTCCCATATTTGCCCATCACGGAACTTCCTCTTTCTCTACCTTAATGGCTGCAAAAGGCAGGTCCACCTAAGTGCACCTGAGACATACCCCATAGTAAACACACCAGCGGCGCTAAAAAACGCCCAAAAAGTGATCACCAAATTCAACTATAAATACCCCCAAGTTCCCCCAGACCTTCCTTTTTTTACCTACTACTTTCCCAACCACCCTTCTTCCTCCCTCTTCCCATAGCAACCTGGCGCTCCTAGACGCATAGATCTTCCGGGCTACCTGCCGTCCTCCTATCGTGACACCACCTTCTTCACGTTTCTACACCACCTTCTTTTTCCCATATAATTAGCCAACCATTACATTACTGCTTTCTGCAATGCCTTCTGTGTATGACCAATTGAAGGCTTACCCTTCAGATACCCCTACGGTGTCGCCCAAGGCGTACGCCAACAACGAGAAACTCAGCTTATCTGGACGGGTGCTCAGTGTAGTACTGTCGTTGCCTACTCAGATCAGTAAGGTGAACAGTGCTCTGGGGCAAACTACTTGGTCGGTGGACCCAATTCGGGGCCAGCTGGCGTTGTACCTGTCGGTGCTTTTCCTTCAGCACGAGACAGACTGGGAGAGTCACCTTATCGGTTGGACTGGAGAGTTGGTGAACAAGAGCAGTAAGCTTAGCAATTTGCATCTGGACAATATCAAGGAGGATCCTTTGTATTTGGACGATGAGGATAAACTGGACCTTGAGAAGAAGATGAGACTGACGTTGAACTCGGATAACGTGCATCCGGTTTGGTTGTTGAGAAAAGACCAGGATAGATGGAGAAGGTATGCTGAAAAAGTGATCTGGCCGGTGTTTCACTACATCCAGGGCCAGCCGATCGATGGGGCCCAGGAGGGCCAGGAATGGTACGACTATGTTCGCTTCAACGAGGCATACTTTCAGAAAATCAAGGCCATCTATAAACCTGGCGATATCATCTGGATCCATGACTACTACCTAATGTTGTTGCCTCAATTGTTGAGGATGGAGTTCCCAAACGCCTTTATTGGCTTCTACATGCATGCTCCGTTCCCTTCTTCGGAGTACTACCGTTGTCTTGCTAAACGGACCCAGTTGCTTGACGGCCTTTTGGGCGCTGATAGAATATCTTTCCAGAGCGAGTCTTTCCAGCGACACTTTTTGAGCTGCTGTGCTCGTGTTTTAGGCTATGACGTGACTAAGCGCAGTGTAAATGCATACGGCTCGTCGATATCGACAGAGACGTTACCTATTGGCATTGATACTAAGCGTGTGGAGCATGACGCTTTCCAGGATACTACCATAGACGAAAAGGTGAAAGCGTTGCGGGAGATTTACGCCGATAAGAAGATTATCGTGGGCAGGGACAGATTGGATTCTGTTCGTGGCGTTCAACAGAAACTCCAGGCGTTTGAAATGTTCTTGCAAATGTATCCTGAATGGAGGGACAAGGTCGTTCTCATTCAAATCTCTTCACCTGGATACTCCCACGACACGCGAGTTGAGAAGAAGGTATCTGATTTGGTTACACTGATCAACTCTCGTTTTGGAAACCTCAATCATACCCCTGTTCTTCACTACCAGATTCGCATCAGTAAGGATGAGTACTTGGCACTCTTGAGAGTGGCAGACTTGTGTCTTATTACATCTGTTCGTGACGGCATGAACACTACATCCTTGGAGTTTGTCATTTGCCAGAAGGAGAACCACTCGCCATTGATCCTTTCGGAGTTTACCGGTACCGCATCAGTATTGAACGATGCTATATTGGTCAACCCATGGGACTCTGTCAGTATAGCAAAGACAATGAATAAGTGTCTAAGAATGGATCCAGAGGATAAGTCACATCTTGAAGCAAGACTTTATGATCGTGTCACATCCAACACTATCCAGGTGTGGACGTCCACATTCTTGGAGAACCTTCTTAGCCATGTGGAAAAGACTCACCAAACCCATCACACGCCTACTTTGAACAGACCCTTGTTGTTGAACAACTACAAAAACCTGGAAAGGCGGTTATTCTTGTTTGACTACGATGGAACATTAACGCCGATTGTGCAAGATCCAGCAGCTGCTATTCCTTCTTCACGGTTGCACCTGATTGTGGACAAGTTGGCAGCAGACCCAAAGAACCAAATTTGGATTATCTCTGGTAGAGATCAAGCATTTTTAGATAAGTGGTGGGGCTCTAAGAATGTTGGTTTGTCGGCTGAGCATGGATGCTTCATGAAAGATGTGGGAAGCTGCGAATGGTACAATTTAGCCGAAGCGTTTGACATGTCTTGGCAAATTAAGGTGGCGGAGGTATTTAAAAAGTATACCGATGTGACGCCAGGGTCGAATATTGAAAAGAAGAAAGTGGCCTTGACATGGCACTACCGAAGGTCCGACCCAGAGTTGGGCAAGTACCAGGCTGACTTGTGCTGGAAAGAACTACAAGACGGTATTGTGAAAGAATTCGATGTTGAGGTGATGGAAGGTAAAGCCAACATTGAGGTGCGTCCTCGGTTCTTGAATAAAGGTGAAATTGTGAAGCGTCTAGTGTTGAACGGGCATGCCAAAAAGCAAAACCCGCATCTGATTCAATTGGATGCTAACGATATCTCACCCAATGAACTTCCCGACTTCATGTTGTGTCTAGGTGACGATAAGACCGACGAGGATATGTTCAGGTCCTTGAAAGATATCGAAGCTACATGGCATTTGAACGAGTTACCGAAGAACGAGTGGGGGTCCTACGGCGTCTTCCCTGTTCTCGTTGGACCTGCGGCAAAAGAAACGCTTGCTACATCCCATTTGAACGATCCTTCACAGGTGATAGATACGTTGGGATTGCTTTCTGGAGACGTGAGTTTATTTGAAAGTGCTGGTTCGGTTGCGTTAGACGATAGAGGACATGTCGCTAACAGTCAATCGAGCGAGAGATCAAAGGTGGCTATTCGTGCTGCCACGATGAAAAAGGACGAAGCTTCACGAAACCTGGTAAACCATTAGGTTTCCAAGACTTATTTTTTTTTTCCCTACGATACTTGACAAGAAATATAATGCATACGACAACCATCATTTTCCGTTTTTCCCAACATTTTGAGCCCCAGCCTCGGATAAATCACAGTGGCTGCGAAAAAAAAGCGAAAAAACGTTAGGACCAAAACACCCGTACACCGCGCCATTTACTAACGGTCCCCTCGGCATAAGTAGCTCCCGGTTCATCCCAAAATATCTCTATTGCTGGTTAATGGGAATTTTAAACTGGGGATTTCGTGCTAACCTTCAGCTTCACACGGTGAAGCCCGAGGAATCGGTCAAGATCTCTTCGTCTAAAACGCTCTATGACTTTGTCCACAATGACCTTCCTCTTATCGATACTTCCAAAAAGCTCTGGTTGAACCCACTTCTTTTCAATGGTACGCTTCAGACCTTGTACTATGCCATGCACAAGAGTGAAGACAGGTTTAAGGTGTACTATGGCCGTGAATTGTTCAAGTACAAGGATGGTGGTCAGGCATCGTTAGACTGGGTGGTTCCTGAGCCAGAGTCTAAAGAGCAATTCAAGAAGCTCTACGAAGAGACTATTCCTGAGGACCTGCCTAAGCTTCATCCTCGTACGAGATTTTTCACCAAGGAGGAGCTCGAAGAGAAGCAGCATCCAAAAGATAGTGAGTCCACAGAACCGCTTTGTGTCGTTCTTCACGGTTTGGCAGGTGGTTCTCACGAACCGCTTATCAGAAACTTGGGTGAATACTTGGGCAACCACACTTCGTACAAATGGGACGTGGTGGTGATTAACTCTCGTGGATGCTGCAGAACGAAGATCACCACCGATAAGCTTTTCAGTGCTTTTTCCACTGACGATGTGAAGGACGTTCTTATTGAATTGAGAAAGAGGTACCCACACAGACCTATCTACGGCATTGGGTTCTCGTTTGGTGCTTGTATTTTGGGTAACCTTTTGGGAAGTGAAGATCCAGAAGTCCAGGAACTTATTAAAGCTGCTGTGTTCATTGGCTGTCCTTGGGATTTGTCTGATAGTGCTTACCATGTGGACAGTTCGTTGACGGGTCGTAGAGTGCTTAACCCGGGCTTGACGTCTTTCCTCAATAAGCTTATCAAATCGAACAAGCAAGAGCTCCAGAACTTCAACCCTGATTTCTTCACCGATGAAAGAATTGAGGAGGCCAAGAGATCGCTCAAAACCTACGAATGGGATAACTGCTTGACATGCAAGAGCGTCGGGTTCAACAACGCTTTCGAGTATTATAGAGAAGGCTCGCCCTTGCGCCGCATCCACAAGATCAAGACTCCCGTGCTTGCGATCAACTCTACTGACGACCCGGCTGTTTCTGTGCGTTTACCGATCCACGATGTTCAGAGCAACCCATACTTGGCATTGGTGGAGTCCGACTTGGGTGGCCATTTAGGATTTGTCAAGTCGTCTGGAGAGTTCTGGTGTGTTGAAGCCGCTGACGAGTTTATTAACAAGTTCGAGGAGGCCACCAGGGCCCAGAATTAGAGAAAGACCACCAGGGCCCCAATCAGGGCCCCAATCAGGACCCAAAATTAGAGAAGACGTTCCACACCGCCTCAGGCCTGGCGGCAAGTTTGGAGCAGCGACCGAGCTTAATTTGCAGCAAGAAAGCCAATAAAAAAGAATTGGTCGCACGGGACAAGAGATTAATTTTGCCAATTAAATTACCCGTCCCTTCCAAAAATACAATTACATACTTAAGGACTATGCCTTTCCACCATTTGTTGCTCAAAACGACCTTTCGCCTCCATTACTTGCTCCTTCTACTTGCTTTTGCTGTTCATCTCTACCTCTTCTTGGCCTTGCTCTGCGAAAAAAATTGACACCAAAAAGTCTCCAATAGTGCTAGCGCACCTCTGGGCCTGTGGCGCGCCTTTCGAGGCCTGGTCTGTTTGCTTTGACAGAATTACACAGCCGATGCGCCAGACACTGGGAATGATTTGGAAAAAGGGATGGTTTTTTATGGGAATGAAGGGTTTCCTGCAGACAAGACAACCCAACCACCCCATTTTTCACTTTTTCACTTTTTCTTTACCTTTTCTTTGTCCTTTTTAGCTTCCTCTCTTCTTCCTCGGAGGGCAGAGCCCTGAGGGTTTTGTGGTTTTGTGGCATCACTTTTTCTATCGCGGCGCGCGAACTGGGCCGAACGAGGTTGGCTTAACGGGTCGGCAGCAAGCTGCGAAAAACAGAAAAGGCCCAGTTAAAATGGCCAGTTTTCATGGAAATTGGATAATAATAAGATATTCATAATCAGCGGGCGAAAATGACCCGATTCCGACTTTTCAAATCCAAAAAATACCCAAAACTCGCCATTTGGCGGTGTCCCTTTTTTGGCCATTTACCGCTTCGCTTTGGTTCGCTTCCTGAGCCTTACACACTACTTACTGCGTAGTGCAGCCGCATCGAACTAGCCCTAGATAAGACGCAAAAATTCAGCCCATCTGACGGTTCGCCTTCTGATTTCTTGATCTACACTTTACTGACCACTTGTTGTTTTGGTGGGTTTCCATATATATACTTTTGGAGGGTTTGCTTAGTTTTGACCCTCGGCATTTGCAATGTTCAAGTCTACCAACCATAAGGACTTGTCATATTTTGACATCAGGCTCAAGCTGGGCCATAAGAACACCATCTTGGTGAAGGGCAATGAGTTTGAAGTGGACTCGGTTCCGGTCTCGGGAAGCGTCAAGATCCTGACAAAAGAGGATTTACACGTGAAGAAGGTCAAATTGCAGCTTATTGGCGAGTACCAGGCTGAATACTATGAGAGAATGTCTAACGGGTACGTCGCTGGCCAGGTTTCCGAGAGAAACTGCGTGCTTAAGGTGCTTTGGCCCAATTTGCTTACGTCTAGTGAGGGCGAGTTGCAGTACGGTGATTATGGCGATAATATGGTGAAGATGCATAAGTTGGATGCTCACTTGAAGAAGTCGTCTAGAGAGAACTCCGTGACGAGTTTATCTCAGCTCGACAAGAAGTCTTCCGACACGTCTTTGGCTGAATCGCCTGCGAAAAAGAGACCTTCGTATTCGAGGACAAAGTCTCTGAATATGTTGCATTCTGTCAAGCCCACGTTGTTCACTATCCCTCGATCTGGTATCGATGGAACCCCGTATCCGCTGAAGGTGAAGGGCAGGTCTGAAGCTCACTCTTTCTTGCTCCCACAGGGCAATTATAGTATGCCTTTTAGCTTCCATCTTCCTGCTAACGTTTCAGAGTCAGTTGACTGCTTGCCTATTGCAAAGCTTAGATATAAGCTTGTTTGTACGATCGAACGTGGCCGTCTCGAGAAGGACTTTACCATTGGTAAACACGTCAGAATCGTTCGTACGTTGCACCCACAAAGCGTGAACTTGGTTGATCTGATCGAGTTTGGCAACACCTGGCCTGGGAAGCTTGAGTTCAACGTGTCTCTGGCCAGGAAGGCTCTCGCGTTAGGCACCAAAATGCCCATTAAATTGGTAATTGTTCCTCTTATTAAAGGCCTTTCGTTTAAATCCATGTACGCCGAGATTGTGCAACACAATGGCACAAAAGGCTTAACTGGTGAATCTCCCCAGTTTGAAGCCATCATTAACAGACAAAAACTCGACAACGAGCACACTCACTTTGACGAAGACCACTGGGTCGTTAAGTCTCACTATAGACTTCCTAATTCGCTTAAAGATATCACGCAAACTTGCACTTTAAAAAACGACATCATTAGCGTCAAACACAGAGTTAGAGTTCTGATCCACATTCGCAACGCTGATGGCCACGTCTCTGAGCTCAGAGCTAACCTTCCAGTGCATGTATTCATGAGCCCTAAACACGGGACAATCACTACTCGTCACTACGAAATCGATAACCATCACGGTCTCTTTTCCACGGCACCTGATCCCGAGCGTGAAGACGTTGTCTTCCCAAGAAAGGAAGCCGAGCAGCCTTCCGATGAAGACCTGTCGAGCGAAGATTCGTATGCTGCTGACAGAGAAGAAGATAACGCGCCTCCCGTGTACCAACAACACGTTTTTGATATGATTTATGACCAACTGAGCCCTAGATCTCCTTTAGAACAACTCAGAATCAACGGAGTCAAGTCAGCCCTCGAGGGATACTTTGACATTCCTCTTCTGTCGTCTGGAACGCTGTCGCCACCACTTGATGTTAACGTCTTGCTGAAAGTGCCTAGCTACGAAAAGGCTCTAGACGACGACTCAGAAGGAGAAGAACCTGCACCAGGCTACGTTGGCGGCAGCGTCGACTCAGAAGAAGACTTGCTGAGGTCCTTTGGATCTCTCAACGCCACACTCCTGGAACGCAGTGTCAGTATGTCAGATATCCAGCTCAACTTGCCTCGCAAGATGAAGGCTGCCTTGAATACTCCACCACCTAGAAGCCCCATGGCGGGGTCGCCTAATGGCAAACACCAACTTCGCTTGCGCTTTTCACACAAACCCAAGCCTTCACGCTAACCGTAAATAGACTAATACTTAATGAATAATTGCTTCTTTTCACATTCTCCAGTGGAGTAGGTTGCCACGCCATGCCATGTTTGCAGCCAGTAAACCCGTGCACCACGCTCGAGACACATCAATCTCAAAATCTGACATGGACGAAATCAACTTATCACACGAACCACTAATTAGATGTCTGTCCCCACTGTTGCTAACGCCTCTGGAGCAGGTGTGAGTCCAGGAATGGGCGAAGGTACTGCCGTCCAAACGACAGACCAAGTTTCGCCTTATGTGGTCAATGTGGCCAAGTTCTTGAGAGACAACAAGCAGCTAAAACGCAGAACAGGTTTGTTGAACAACAAGGACGACATTGAGTTCTTCAGATACAAGAGATTGGTTCGTACGTTGTTGAGTGACGAGTACAAGAAGAAACAGGCCAATCCAAAGAACGAGTTGCTTCCTATTGAGACCGCGGAAGATGCTGGAAGAATGTTTATCCAAATGATGCTGGGTCGTCTTCTTCTACCAGTGGAGAAATTACATTACAAGGATGTTAAGGCAGTCAAGGGATGGAAGCCAAATAAGCAGAAGCCTACATTGAAGCCTACGCAAAAGGCAGTGATGGACCCAGACGCCTACTATGCCTGGATCTACCAGAAGCCAAACCCATACATGTTCTTGTACGGATTGCTTACGCTTGCTGCTGTGTTCACTATTATTTTATTCCCCTTGTGGCCTGCGTTCATGAGACGTGGTGTATGGTACTTGTCTATGGGAGTGTTGGGTCTATTAGGATTGTTGTTTGCCACTGCCATTGTGCGTTTGATTATTTTCGTCATCACATATTTGGTCTTGCCTCAAGCCTTCTGGCTTTTCCCTAACTTATTCGAGGATTGCGGATTCTTTGAGAGTTTCCAGCCTGCTTACGGTTGGGCCGAGCCTGCTGACGCTAAAAAGAAGAAGAAGAAGGGTAAGAAGGCCAACAAGTTCGGTGACCTCGGATCGAAGCTTGAGGCTGCCATTGATGCTCACACTGCTGGTGAAAAAGAAGCTGGCGCAGACGAAGCTACTGGCGCTTCCACAGGTGCCGAAGCCTCTTCCACGCAACCCAAGAAAAGAGCCGTCACTTTGGAGGAAGTGGAAGACAATTAGAGAATGACGGGAGACAAAAGAAAACAAAAACCGCAAATTGGAAGTACAGATCGTCATAGTTTTTTAATGGAAGGGTTTAGGTTGAGTTTCCATGGAGGTAATCCAGGCACTGCCCTCTATACCGTACCCCTTCCCCAGACTATGAGGACCGAGATATCACGTAACTTATCAACTACATAGCACCCACAATCACATATACACATCCAACCGCCATGGCCATCAACGACTTGGCCTTCAACCAGGACTACACGTGTCTTCTGATGTCCACGCTGGAGTGCCACAAGATCTTTAATTGTGACCCCTTTGGCGAGTTCTATAACCTGCCTTCTGATAAGAATCCTTCCCCTACAGCCTTCTTAAGGATGCTCTTCTCAACGTCCCTTACAATCATTGTGCCCGAGTCAAACCTGAATTTGGGAAACAGAGTCTTGCAAGTGTACAACTTGAAGCAGAACTTGAAGATATGTGAGCTCACGTTCCCTTCAAACATTGTGGACCTTATGCTTAACAGGAAACGGTTGGTGGTGTTTCTTGAAGTCGGGCAGATTTACATCTACGATTTGAGCAGTGTACGGCTTATGAAAGTTTTGGAGATAAACTCGTACTCGCTGAAGAAACACGAGGAAAACGATAAAGTGGTGGCGGCATTGAGTGCTGATGACCGGCTGTACCTTGCATTACCACTTCTGGTGGTGAATGACCAAACCGACTTGTTCAATGCTGAAAGTTCGAGTCAGCCTAGTACACCAGTGCTTCGGCCGAGCGACTCAGCGGCGGTGGTGCTGTTGGATTCGCTTGTGGAGCTTACGCATAAGAATGAACACTCGCTGCTAGCGAAGAAAGAGGCAATTACGTTGGAAGATCTACAGAAGGATTCGAACGGATGGATGGTTATTTACGATACGATCAATTTGAAGCCTAGGCTTTTGTATAAGGCGCATGACTCTGGCATTGCTAAAATAGCTCTTTCTAGGGATAGCCATGCAGTTGCCACGGCCTCTACCAAGGGCACGATTATCCGTGTTTGCCATTTGAACTTTGACCTTCTTGATGACCTTAACAAGCTTACCATCACGCATATTACCAATCTTCGGCGTGGGCATAACTTGACTCGCATCACCAACCTCACCTTCAGTCTTGACTCCACTGTTTTGGGCTGCGGGTCTGAAAGCAACACTATTCATTTCTTCAAGACCGGTGGACCTACGGGAACACCAGCGGGACCTCCAGGTGATTACGAGCTGAGCGATGAAGATGCCAGAAGTGGTCGTTCTTCACTGGAAGACCTCAATGAGAACTTGGCCAATCTACTCATTCTGAAACAACCAGAACAGGAACAAGAGGAAGAAGAACCACAGCTGTACTTCTCCCTAGGCCTCAAAAAATCCAGCAAGTTCCTTAAAAACCAGTACACGAAGCTGCTCATCAAAAAGCTTCCCTACAGAGACTACTTTGACAACTTGATCTGGGAACCACCCAGAAGACTGTTTGCATACGTGAAGCTTGCCGAAAGCTCACCTCCTGACCCACGCCATAAAAACGTTGAAATCGGTTTTGGGTCTCTGGGACTCTTAATGTTGGCATCCTACCATACTGGCACCTTCTACCAGTATAAGCTCCCGCGGCCGCACGACGAGGACAGAGAAGAATGTATGCTTCTTTCTTCTCACAAGTTGGGCTAGAAACGCAAAAAAAATGGGCAAAACAATAGCCACGCTGGTCTGGGTCAGAGTCAATCGGCGATAGCGTCTTTGTGGGGGGTGGAAAGCAACACAACCCCAGATCCTACACAATCGTTTCCTCGGATACTCGCGAAGAGAGAGACAAGGAGTATAGGGGCCATAAGGTAGTAAGTGAAGAAAGACAAGAAAAAAAGAAACCAAAAGGAGCCGAAAACCAGAAAAAAGGCCGTACATGGCAAACCTGAAACTGTTGATACCCCTTTTGGACCCACCGTGAGGTCACCCAATTACATGGTAACACTTAATTGTGGGGTACTTTCCTCCCCCCTGAAAGGGTTCGCAGGCAAGAAATTGACCCTAGCGCAGTGCGAAAATTTTCACAGTCTGTCGGGTATTTGGGCACCCCTCCGCTTTATAACTATCCGGTTTCCCACAATCCTGCCCAATGTTTTCTTGTAAACGGGTTTCCTCCTTTCGTTTATTAAATCAAATAAGAATGTCCTCCACCGGGTACGCTGCTGACGATGTCTTGTTCCACAATGAGAACTTGGCTCGCGTGATTTCCTTAAACAGATTGAAGAAATTGAATTCCCTCGATACGTCTATGGTCACAAAGATTGGTCCTCGCTTGTCTGAGTATGCCAAATCTGAAGCCGCCTCCATGGTCATTTTGACTTCCAAGTCTCCAAAGGCTTTGTGTGCTGGTGGTGACGTTGCCCTGTGTGCCTCTGAAATCTTGAAGGGCAACCCAGGCTATGCTTCCAACTTCTTCCAGGAGGAATACAATGTCAACTACCTCATTGCCACTTACTCCAAGCCATACATTTCATTGATGGACGGTATCACCATGGGTGGTGGTGTCGGTTTGTCCGTGCACGCTCCTTTCCGTATTGCTACTGAAAAGACCAAATTGGCCATGCCTGAGATGGACATTGGCTTCTTCCCTGATGTGGGTACCACTTTCTTTTTGCCTCGTTTGGACGACAAGCTCGGTTACTACTACGCCTTGACCGGTGAAGTGTTGAGCGGCTTGGACGCCTACCAGGCTGGTTTTGCAACCCATTTCGTTCCTTCCGAGAGAATCCCACAATTGGTTAACCGTTTGTCCAACTTGAAGCCTCCTGTGATTAACAACACTCCTACTGAAGGTACCCTCTTGAAGGGCCAAAAGGACTTCTTCATTCAGGTCAACATGGTCATTGAGGAGTTCACTGAAAACAAGTTGCCAGACAACTACAAGTTCCACTTGACTGAGGAGCAGATCACCTTGATCAACAAGGCTTTCTCCGAGCCAACCTTCGACGACGCCTTGCAGGTGTTCTTGTACTCCAACACTGAGTTTGGTAAGAAGACCTACGACCGTTTGTCTGCCAAGTCCCCAACCTCCACGCATATTGCCTTTGACTTGTTGAACAAGGGTGCTAAGAACACTATCCGTGGTCAGTTGGAGTTGGAGATGGTTTCTGCCACCAACATGGTCAACCACCCTATTGAGGAGAACGACTTTGTTAAGGGTGTCAAGCACAAGCTTATCGACAAGATCAAGGAGCCATTCTTCCCACAATGGTCCTCTTTCGACGCTCAGCGTGTTCAAAAATTCCAGGAGCCATCCTTGCACACTGCCAAGCTCGAAACCCCTCCCTTGAAGAAGTTCTTCGGTGTTGACTTCCACCAATACCCATTCCAGTTTGGTTTGCCAACTAACCAGGAGATTGAACTGTACATCACTGGCCAGGACGGCTCTAACAGAAAGTACTTGCCAACTCCAAAGGAGGTTGTTAGACACTTCAACACCACCACCAACAACAAGTTGGGTGTTGAGGAGAAGGTGCAGAGAGCCTTGGCTTTGCATGGAGAGGCATCGAAGTATGACAACAAGTATGTTTCTTGGAAGGAGTAGATCAACCAAAGAACTCGAATAAGGATACGAAGGAACGCATTTTTTAAATTATAATACAAGGTATACATATACATCTACTATTACTTGAACTTTTCAACAATCAAGTCCTCGCCGAGTTCTTCGTAGTCGGCTTTGGAGATAAACCAGTTATCCAAGGCAATGTTGGCACTGCCATTCTCGTCCTCCACAGCGTCATTAAGCATGTTAGCCAAGTTGGCTGCTCCCAACCACGAGCCAAACTTCTTATCGTAGAGGTCGTGGATGTCGCCCAGAGGATGGTTCCTCAATGGAGAAATGTAGATCTTGTATGATGAGGTGATCATGTAGTTTGGCATGACGCTTGGCGCCGTACGACTGATGTCACCACAGATTCTATCAGAAAAGCCAGGAAGCAAAGCGCAACCACCGGTAATCAAAGTGTTTGTGAAGAGTTGTCTTAAGACCTCGTTAAAACGGGCATTGCTGTTGGAGGATTGTGGGTCACCGCCAGAAGGTACCATGGTGGATTCCAAGTTCTTCAAGGCGAACAAGACCAAGTTGGAAATACCATGAGTGTTGGCCTTGTCGAAAGCTGGATCTGGAATAGGCACATCAGGTAATTTGTATACGTGTGGAACGAAAAGAGCCTCTAAGAGCGTCGAAGTTTCCCTGTCTGAATAGTTGATCTGTGTACGGTCAGGCAATTGGAAGAAGCTAGGCAGCTGGTGTTGCTGAGCGTAGTAAGCATTTGGAGGAGTGACGCCTGGAGGAGGTTCACTCACGGAAAGCATGGTTTCCTTGAAGTTCTGTAAAAGATTGTGGGTGGCATGGTACAGTCTGAAGGACTGGGACACGTTTTCCAGTCTGTACTTCGCAGGTAACAAGCGAGTGTAATCAAGCTGGTTAGGCTGGTAGCCCAACTTGGCTTCTATGCTACGCAAAGCGTGCAAGGATGCAAAGTCACCAGCGTATTTGGAATGGAAACACAGCTTTTGTTGAATCACACCGTCCAAGATAGGTGTTACACTAGCAACACCAGCACCCACGTCAATAACCAAACCACTAGAACGGCCAGTATGGTACAACTGAGCCAAGGGGTTCTTCAAAAGCGAGAAAAGCGGCACTTGCAAGCTTTCAAACGCGATCTGAGCAGCAGCAGCCTTATTCTTGGGCGTGTTCCACGTCTGTTCAGTCATCATCAATGGGTGGTCCTTGGCATCCACGCCATTACCACTGTCCAAGTTCTCGTAAGCATATTCCCAATTGCTAACAATATGGTCGTAGTTGTACACGATACCATTGTCAACAAGAGTCATCACCTCGAGGTCTGGTCTCGAGTTGATGTTGTCTCCAACAAGCACCTTGTTGTTTTTGTCGACCAGGTAGCCGGAATTGAAAACAAGCGAAGGCAAGTCTTCCAGGGCAAAACCAGCACGGGTAGAGCTTGTGCCGTTGTCAATGACGACCGCAGGAAGCAGGTTGACCATGGTTTTCAGTTGAAGTAGTGATGATAATAGGATTTGATGTTTTCTCAGTATTTGGTGAAGCGTGGTGCACGGGTGTGGGTACGGCCCAAACTGGTTGGAAGAGGTTCCACCAGAGAAACGTTTGGGAAGAAAAGTGGCTTTTTTGATATTTTGGGGTGTTGGTGGGTTTAATGGGGCGGTTTAGTTGACAAAAGCACCTATTTTTACTACTTTTTCTTCAATTGGCGTTGATAACTTATGGCTGTTATTGGTGGCTTTTCGCAGCCATTAGGACTGGCTGAGTATTACAAAGATACTGGGTATTTAATAAATTAGAAATTATTTGAAGTGACAAAGTTCTGGAAGTTGTTCTCGTTTGTTTACGGTCAATTTTCATATTTAGTTTAAAACTAGGCCTTTCAATTATACGAGTTTGGTACCTCACTACTACTACTATTGCTACTACTACTACTACTACTACTACTACTCCAACCTCTCTTCTATGCTCATGCTATTGTAATTCATAATTCATGCTAATTTTTGTCATCTTCACCACTGGTAGTTCATAGACCTGTGGTGGACACTGAATCCCAGACCAACCTTGATCTGGTTCATGCAACTATTTCTGATCTGCTCGTCCATGACGCCTGGTCCACAAGAATAAACGTACAAGTCTGATTTGGAGCTTGACCTGGCAGCTTCAGCTCGTTGAGCGACCCATTCACCAACGTCAGGTCTGCTGTCGATTAACTTAATAAACTGCATCTTCTCATCATCAAGCTTGTGCTCTTCTGTGTTTGCTTCACGAACGAAAACCTCCACTTCAGCTCCTCTCTCTCGAAGGTACCTTATATCCCTGCGCATCCAAGCAATCTCCCTCATTCCGTTGACAACCCATTGGAGTTTGGCTCCTTTTGGATCGTTGAATAAGAACGGAAGCACACTGCAAACACCAAGACCGCCAGCAATGAAAAGTCGATCATCATTCTCCTTATGCTTGATAGTCTTGCCGCCATAAGGACCATCTAAAAGACACCATAACCAGATTTTCCCCTTTTCGTCTGTAGGAAGACGAAGCAAGCTTTTGGTGGCTCCCTTTCTGACTCTGACATACATTTTCAAAACCTCTGGCGATGTAGTTGGCGAGGAAACAATAGAAAAGGGATGCGATTGCAAGCACTGGCTCCAGATCTTGGTATGGAAAAACGTCACGTAAACAGTACTTCCAGGTTTGTAGGCCATATCGTAAGCGAGTGGTTTGGGGAAAACAAGCTCTAGTGTCTTCTCATCAATAACGTTAATGCAAAGCTCCGTAAGGCCACGATTAAGGATGAACATCTTGCTCCATCTCATCACACGGTCATAGACAGTAAGCGCAATCATGGCATACACCCAGCCCATCCAGCCCAAGATGATACAGTGATACCACATGGAGACAATAAATAACCATGCAAAGACCTTGTGAATAACCAAAAAGGTCTCATACATGAAGTTTCTAACCGGCTGGAAACTCTGGCCTATCATGAGGAATATAAGTACCGTTCCAACGACTCCCCATCTCCAGTAGTCGTCCATGGCCCATGCCAGTAGGCCCGAATCGTTGATTGCAAAATCTGTCCAAACTGCGGAATGGATAAGGGCTTCAATTGACATAATGATGGCGACGTAGGTATGGTACTTAATGAACTCAGCCATGGGAAGACCCGTCATCCATGTAAATGGGTTATTTCTAAGACCAAACATGAATACCACCGGAAGCAACGAAAACGATATAATTGCCGAACGGTACCCAATCAAGTCTAGCGTCAAAAAGTACACATCGTTCATGTACACATTGGGCAACTGGACCGTATATGAAAGCGCCGTAGCCAATACAGTAAACACCAAAAAGAGACCCATGATAAGTATATCGCCAAAAGTGTAGCCCCATAAGCGTATTGGCGTAAGGTATTTCGTCAATACTTGAGAAACCGTTCTTGGACACAATTCCAAGCCGAGGTACGTTTTCAGAAGGTGAAACACCGAAAGCACTCCAATGACAAACACCCAGTACCATAAAAGGCCCCAGCCAAGCCATTGAGATTTAAACACATGATGGTTTATCTCATCAAAAGAACGCATATAAACCTGAAAATCCGTTTCGTTGATCGACAACGGATGGTACGTTCTTTCATCCTTATTCTTCTCGGTAGCAGGCTGGAGGTGCTCCGTAGCGTTCCTCTTCCATGCCTTCATTTCATCCACCGTATACCGAAAATGGCCCTTTTGCCAGCACCTCGTCACCATATGTTCCAAAGCATGGTCTATCTTTCCCTGGTCGTCTGTCTGACCATAAATGCAATTTGTGATAGACCCAAGCCAATCCACGTTCCCACACCGGCACATATAAGCCATATGGCCCTGGCCAGTAGAGTTGCAGCCCCAGTCAAACCCTTTCATATAGTACACACAAGCTGATGCAATTGAAGAATCCACCACCACCAATGCCAGAACATGGCCTAGCCATAGTAGAGGCCATAAACGAGTGAGAAGCATTTTGGGTGCAAAAAACAATATGCGGTGCTGATGGGCTTCTTTATATTGGCTGCGAAAAAAGTTGTTCGCTGGAGGCTAGAAAGGGTAATGAAAAGTACTCACACTAAGGGAGGTGGCCCTCAGGGAGGAATGAGGAATGCCATGCCAAGAAGATGAAATGTATGTGGATGTGAATTTAAGGTTTTTTCCGTTTTTCCCATTGGCTGGAGCGTGGGAAGCGTTCTGTGCCTGGACTGGTGTCATCGGAAGGCTTTCATTGTTTCCGAAGCAAAGTGCCCATTGTGAGGCGAGTGAAGACTTGTGAGGTGCGTTTTCATGGAATGGAGAGAACGTTAAGTGGCCATTTATGGATGGGAATATGAGCAAATTGAGCAAATATGAGAAAATATGAGGAATATTAGCGTAATGGGGGAGAGCGGGGGAAAGTGGGGGATTTTTGAATGGAAAATTGATGGTACTTTGGATTGTGTAAGCCAGATCTTTGACGGTTCGGTGCATACCGTAAGTGGTGCTCGTTTGGGATACATTGACAGCAACAAGCGAGACAATGGTACTAAAAGTGGGTTCAAGGGATTTTGGCTTGAACGTGGTGAAGTGGAAACGGCACTTTCCAAGGAATGCCGTGGTGTTTCAGTATCACTTTTGGCGGCTGGTGGTTGCGCTAAGTGAGAAGTTAAGCGTCCAGGAATGGCTGCAAAATAGCTCAGCAGTGAAGTTTAACGTTCTAGCGGCTGTTTATAACTTGCTCATGCCGGTGCCCAGAAAACGACTTCTCAGGCTTATCTGTAGCCAATGGTTGTCTCAAAAGATCTGGTGATGTTTGGCTGCCCAGTGGATGAGCCACTGCCAGACATGAACCAGTAGTTAACTGCCAAGAACGCTTCTCACGCTGACTGTGCTTTTGGCTGGTTATTCGAAATCTTCTTCAGAATGAGCTTCACCTGCTTTTCAAGGTAATTCACACAGTTCTTGATAGAGTTTCCCTCTCCCTCTTTTCCCTGACTCTTCTTGGCTTCCTCCATCAACCTTTCCTCTTCCAACTGCTTAAACAAGGCATCTAATTCCTCCTGGGTCAACCTAAAGTCTACTCCCATCTCAGCTAATGCTTCTGCAAACTCACACTGCTCCAGTGTATTCATTCCTTCGACTGTATCCAACTCCAGTACCTGCTCATCCAGGTATACCAGAGACTCGTCATCAGCAGGCTCTCCATCAGCTACCTGGACATCATCAATATCATCACCTCCAAATGACCCAGAAGACATCCGCAGACTGGTCTGAATAAGATCTTCTCCCTTTTCATCTTCATCCAAAGTAACCACTCGTCTCCTCAAGAGATATGGAATCTCACTAAACAACCTCTCAAGGCCATAAGTATCACCATCAAAAAGAACACTTTTCTTGCTCTTTTTCTGTTCAATATAGTCTTCACGCTCTTGCAACCAGTTCACATACCATTGGTTCCACCACCTCCAAGCACCCAAGTAGGGTTCTTCTTCTTCCAGGACCCAGCCTGAACCCCAAGAACTGGACCAGTCACTCCACAGATGCTCTACTGACAGAACCTCAATCGACAGAGTATCAACTAAGGAAGAATCTGTGGTGTACGTTTCTGAAGTATCCAGTAGATCCTCTTTGGGGGTTGGAATGGCGTACTTCAACCACCTTGAAGGATCTGGGTCTGGTTCAAATAGACACCCAAATACATCTTCAGACTCAGTATCTAGAAGACTTTCAACTCTTATACTTACCATTCCTTCCTTCAAGTCATGTTTCGTCAACCCAAACTGAGCTAGCTTCTTATCTCGTCTTTCTCTGGCCAAGTTCGTATCATCTTGCATTCGTTTAAAGAAGTGCTCTAGCCTTTGCATTGGAGTTCCTTTGACTTTATAGTTTCTACGTCCATGCCATAAACCTCTTTCCAACCGAGCGTACTCTTTACGAGGATCAATTTCTCTTGCTCGAGCCTGGTAGTACTCGAGACTCTTTACCTTCCTTTGGTATCCCAGAGGTGGTTGGTTGGGCTTGAGAGGTGGTAGAGATTCACGGTTTGGGGGAGTTTCACGTCGCTTTTTGGCATTCTGTACTAGCTGTTCAAGGTAGGTGTTTAGCTCCAATTCTTCTTTTAATTCGGCTTCAAGCCGTTGTATTTCTGGGTCTTCCATGTTTTTTGGTAGTAGGTAGGAGTAAGAAATGCTGCAAAAACGCATTGAGCATATACAACTAAAATCGAGGAAACAACATTTTATAAAATTAATAAACTTTTGTAGGGCACATTTATACGAGAACACCTAGGATCTTGTGCCCTTCTCCAACTCTTCTACGGTTTTCTTTAAAGATTCGTTCTCCTCTCTCAACATCTTCAACTCAACAAGAAGGCTCTGTTTGTTGCTGTAACTTACCATCCTCTGCAAGGTTTCGTTTTCGGCCAGTAAAACAGCCAATTTACTAGTAAGTCTGTGAGCCATTTCTTGCGCATCAAAGGTACCATTTTCTATGATATCGCTACCTTTATTCATCACCAACGCCACCATGATGGCTTCAAGCCTGGACTTGGTTTCCTCCAAGTCAGTGGTTCTCTCATTCAAGGTCTGTGTGAGGTCTCTGAAGAGCTGGTGATACTTCTGTGGCATCAGAACAGATGGACTATCTTTATAGTTAGCGCCCGATGTCTGTGCCTTGTTAAGCTTGAAGCTCTTGAGCTTCTCGGCAACAGACTTGTTCATCTCGGTCTGGTAAGCAAGCTCGGCTTCCAAGGCTTGCACTTTGTCTGACGATACAGACTTGACGGACTTAATGCTTTTACCGTCAATTGAACTATGTTTAGAGCTAATAGGTACGGATGTGGGAACGGTGGTAGGATCCTTCGTATCCTTGGGCTCAAATGAAGGAGTATAACTTTGAGTTCCAAAGCTCATGCGGGCGTCTCTCTTCTTCAAGAGTTCCAGGGTATTCTCGCCGGCCTTATAGCGAGCCTGGGGAGCAGCAACAAAAGAATCAGCTCTTGGTCTGTGAATGGAGTAGTTAGTATTGGCATCATACTGGTCCATTCCAAGCCCTGTGATAGACAACAGTCTTTGCATAGGGTACATGTTCTGAAACAGCGCTGAGGTAGAGAGTGAAGGGCTCACAAGAGACGACTGGTACCCGCCGCCCGGGACATAATTAGCCATCAGAATCTTCTGAGCTGTATCAAACTTATCTGAAACTGACTGAGGCGATGTCCAAGCTGGCAGCGCCTGGATCAGGGTTGCCGAGACAGTCGACGCGTTGATCAGCAGCTGGCGAGACTTACCAACAAGCGCCTGATCAGCAGTGGTAGGAAAATAATCTGGGTCTGTGTCCTCGGTTTGAGAGCCAGCGTAGCCACTAGAAGTAGCAAAGCTACCTGAACTAAGAGGGAAAAAGGAGGGACACTCGAGTGTCTAAAGAAGTGTTAGTAGAACGCCTTAGAGCGTAGGGGAGAAGGTCCCACTTACATTTGCCAGTGCTCGATCCATTGCGGCACGGTTAAACGTTAGAAAGGAGGTTTTTAGGGAATTGTTGGGTAAAGGGAAAAAAAATCAAAAAAGGATACAAAAACGGGGGAAATGCTCTTTATTTATAGTTCTTGGGTCCCTGGCCGTTTCATATTTGCAGCCATTTCGGCGCGGAAAGGGAAAGGGTCCACCCCACACGAGTCGAAACTGGATTGGCATAGAAAGGGGAGGTTCTCTATTTATTTAAAGCCGATTGGTTAGTTGTTTGGCAAGGAGAGTGAAATGTACTTTGAACAAGAATGGGAAGAGTTTGTAGTGAAATTGGTCCCACTTCATCATTCCAACTGTTCACCTCAACCTTCATTTTATGATCTCTGACAGGAAGCGATCACTCCCTGGTCTCTGACTGGAATTGCCATAGAGTATGTTTTCTTCTCTTGTATTATCAAGGCATTCATATTTGCCTTGACTGGTAATTATATGCTTCTAGTATAGTATGGAGCTCAATGGCTTCTATGGCCCATACCCAACCATGGATCCTTCAATTGGGTAATTCGACTGGGCATTCCAAACATCAAAAGCCAAACCCTTCAGCTCAGACCAATTTCTATACCTCCCCTTCCTTCAAAACCCAAAGTAGGCGTTTCCAGCGCCGCCTCCGGACCCACCATTCAACATCTGCCTCAACATAGGACCCATAGGCGAACTAAGAACCTCCTGGGGTAGTTTCAAGATTCTATCTTCCAAGTTCTTGCCCACCAAGAACTCCATCACCACATCAGTAAAGTGGTTGCAGTTGTTCTCAAAGAGATCATACGCCAGAGCGTGGTACTTCTGCTGGTCATGGTTTCTAAGGTCGTCTAGGAAATCAATAAGAATATCCTCGGTGATATACGTCTCGCCCACATCAAGCACCTCCTTTGGAATGCCATATTTCGTTCTGCCCACTTCGCTGGCCTTGATGCCTTGGTCAATGTAGTACTCTTTGCCAAACGCAACCACCAGTGTATGGTAAACAGCGTCTATGGACTTGCCGAGGAACTGGGGTGAGTACAATGCAGCTAGACCATGAGAGAGGTCGTAAACATGGACTTTAACCGGGAACGCTTCTTCTGCCATGTTGTAAGGAAGAAAGAAGGTTGGTGGATCAACACAGGCTGCTAATGGTGGCAAGGCCCTTATCGGCACGTGATGAAAGTGGGTCTTGGAAGGCAAATTGCCCCCCAGCAACGGCCACAGTGGCGTCGCTGGAATGGTGGCTGGAAGGAGGTGTTGGTAGGGAGAGAATGGTAGGGTGATGAATGAACTTGCTGGTGTTGATGGTACCTGGAAGTAGTGGAATGTGGTTATCAGAGTAGGGCACACTATGGGTGAAAAAATAAGAAAAGAAGAAAACAAAAAGGAAGAAGAAGTCGAATGATGAAAACTGATGTTAGTTTAAATGTTTTGGTAGTCCTCGAAGTCTCTGTGTGTGGCGAAGTGGTGATGTGGTTGGTGTAGTAGATCAGAAGGAATGGCTGCGAAATATACAGAGCAGTCCTCCCAGAGAGTCCTTATTAAGAAGGTACACGTTAAAGGCAATGTGTGTTGCATAGTGGCTCTTATTTGGATTTATTCAAATGGCTGTAGTTTAAGATTGCTAGAAGGGATCGATATAATCTTGGTATTTTATTGGTATGCACATGTTCATGAAGCGTTTGGGTACTCAACCATAAGGATTGTGGCATTATCAGATGATAGCCGTAGACTTATAAAAGAAGCCCTAGGCAAGTAACAAGAGCTCTAGGCAACCCAATGGGAGGATTGATAACTTTGGAGTTCAAAGTAGCAAGGTTATTGCAGTGGGACCTTCTACGTCTTACTTGGGTATTGCAATGAATACGTCAGTCACTATGAAGCCTGAAAACACTGCTTCTCTGGGCTCTTCTTGTTTCTTTCTTTATTATTTTAAACACCTTACAGGGAGTAAACACCTCGCTTCGTGTCGAATTTAATAGCTCAACCGTCCTGTTCAACAATACTTCAGTTCATGTCTTTATCTTTATACTCTGCTTGAGAGCCTCTACTCAAAACAAATTAGCTCTTGCTTCAAAATTCACCAAACTTCTTGTCCTTATACATCTGCAACAGTCCTATGGTTGTAGTAACGGTCATTAAAGCTATCATCAGGAGATGCACAGTAACCCCACCCACTGTTTTGGTTTCCTCAAGAAAACCAGCCCTTCTGTTTGGGTGGCAAACCGCTTCTATTACCAACGGAATCATCCAAAGAATGGCAAGAACACCAGACATAATCATGGATACGCCATGATTGACGAGCAGCAAGCCTAAAGCAGCTAAAATGAAAAACATTAGGTACACTGAAAAAAGTATTGGAGCAAAAAGGAAATTCGGGGATTCCCTCCCATAGTCCTCTATAATTTCCATTGCTGTGTTAGTTGTATTCACAGTGGTGAAGTTATGAAAAGTTGACGTCGAAAGGGAATTGAAAGCAAGTTGGTAAGCATCATCAAAGGCGTTTTTCCATGAAGTTGCAACGTGCTGCAGTTTAATGGTTCCGCCTACCAGGCTTTCAGCAAATACTAAGCCTATGTCTTGGATAATCTGGCTTCTTATAGCGCTGTTAGATGCGTGTCGACAGACGTCAGATTTGTTTTCCGTCTTTCTACAGAACCCAAACGAATGAACGTAGTATTCCGTCTTTCCAAGCGGCCATTTCTCTGGAATTATGTCTGCCAACCCTTTTGTCGAACCAGGAGCGGCATTTTCAAACAGCTCCAAATGTGATCTGGCATAGTCTGTCCAGTCGTAAGGCTCCTGAACAGTGTACTTGAGTTTGGCAGTCCGACTAGACGGGACGAAAAGCCAAATAGTGAGGCAAAAGCATGTTAAGACGGCTGTGAACTGTATCCCCCTGACAATATAACTACCATACTGGTTCCATTTCTGCAGAGTAAGCCTGGCAAATGTGTGTTCATTGCCTTTGTATGGTTCCTGGACGGGGTTTTCAATTCCTTCTTCAAGATGTTTAAGTTCTTTTTCGGTAGATGGAGACATGGTTGGTGTTTAAGAGAGAAAACAGCCTTCTATTTATGATACTTTCACGTTCTGAAAAGAACATGATGTCCTAAAGCTATACTTTCTCTCTTAAACATGCTGCGGTATACTTCCCAAATTTCTAATTACCGGTACCGTTAATAGAAAGTTTAGTACCGGTGATTTATGTTTGCCGTGCAATTTACCTCGTCAAGAACTATGGTAATAGTTTCCCAGTGCTGTCGAAAGCCATTAGCTCGTTTGCCTTTCTTGTCAATGCCTTTTCGCCAGAGCAGTTATTCGTGGACAATATATTGAAGAATGTTGAAACACGGTAAACGTGGTGCTATCGAACAGGAACTTGGAATTGAATTCAACAGCCTCAAGGGCTTTTTCTTTGACGCAGTGCATGGCTTCATAGTAGTCCCAATTCCACTAGACGCCTCTTGCTTTTGAAGCTTGATCTACAATAATCACCGATTACGAAATTACCTCTAAAGAAGCTCAAACTAAGACTGTGGTCCACAGAAGGGTACCCAATAAAATGCCTTTCCCATGCCTTCACCTTTTGACTGTGTCTCGCATTGGTTGCAAAATGCCATAATGACCCAGAGACACCATACAAAGCAGCAAAAAAAAGTACCAAACTCCACCATTCCAGTCATTCTCGAGTCCAAATTTTCACTAAACTAATTAAAATTCCTCTCAAGTGCCCCCACCCTTTCCACTTTCCCTTCCATCATACTCTGGCTCCTCTCATACTAAACACTCCCAGCACTCTCTAAACGCATACTATACCACAAACCCGCCCAACCCAGAAAATAAAAAACCACCCAAAGCAAACCCAAGCAATCCAAATTTCCCATTACCACCTCTTTCTCTCCCTCCACCTCCTTTCCTCCACTTCAACCTTCCCTCTCTGCCTCTTCCTTCTACTTCCTGTGCACAGAGCAGTACTTCCATGTTCGAGCATCGAAAAAGCCGACCATAATTTTTCTTCACCTTCATTCAGCTTCAACCAGCTACCGAATTCCCCAGGGGCCCATTACGGCATTTAGAATGATCATTGCGCCGAGTTTTCCATAATTATGCTCCCTCCTCCCGTCAGCGCAGACATAACCAAGTACAAGTCTAACCTTGACGATTTTCTCTCCAAAAAGTATGTGGATCAGTCCCTTCTCCTAGGCTTCACTGCTGTGGTGCAATCCAAGTTTTCCCAGTGGATCCAGGACGACGTGGCGGCTTACTATGAGTCCGTTCACGCTGCTGACGCTACGACTCCTCAGGCCCAGGAGCCTTCTGCCTTTGTGCTGATCCAGCTCTTGGAGCTGCTTTGGGGTAAGTTCTTACACCCCATTGTCAAGTTTTACCAGCGCCAGCATGCCGATTTGTATATTCAGTCGGTGGACTCGCTTAAGGATAAGAAGAAGGGCAACTTTAAGATTGTCGAGATGAGAAAGTTGAACGAGACCTTCTCCAAGTTTGTCAAGTCTTCTACTTCAGCATACAGAAGTATACTTGTGCACTTGATGGCTCAGTATGATAATCCTTTATTGCCGAAAAACTATCTTCTGGACGTGGATGTTGCTACTGGCGACCAGATGAAGAAATCCACAAACTCAGACTTCAACGCTAACCTCACGTTTGTCTTGTACCACTGTCTTTTAGGCTTGGGTAATCTCAACAGACACTCGGCCACTATTACAGTCACGTATGTGAGTCCTTGCAAGTCTGTTTCCAGCTACTATAAGCACTTGAAACAACAAGATAGAAACGTATCTTCTCTTAAGCACTACGAGCCTGCGTTGCAGTATTATCAAAAATGCATAGGTTTATTACCTGCTCTTAATGAACCTTATAATCATATTGGTGTTATTTACAATAGCGTCAATGCCAAGTTTGACGCGACCTTGTGGTTCTTGAGGTCTCAGTTTACTAGAATCCCCAACTACGTCGTGGGAAAAGTCAATTTGGCTACTATTTTCAAGAAACCATGGCTTGAAGGCGCCTTTGCATCTGTCAAACTGAAGCATCCACGTAAAATGTGTGAAGATGATGTCAACATTTGGCTCCTACGTATCGTGGCCCAGTTCTTCTTTTCCTCATTCTACAAGCGTTCATTTAATCTAGAAGTTGCCGAGAAGGAGTTGACTGGCGTTTTGTTTTCCAACCCTGAAACTACCAAGTTTGTTAAAAATCCCGAGCTCATTCAACAGCACTTGACTGTGTTGGTATGCTTCTTCTGCTGGGCTGATGCGGAGAACAACCAGACTGCCAGAAAGAGATTAGGTTTCTTCTTCATGTCTTACCTTAATGGGTACCTTAGAGATGTGGCCGAATTAAAGGGTGATAAAGATGCTCATCTCCCGAACTTGCGATTTATTTTGGCGTTCTTGAGAAAGCAAACTGCTCTTTTCAGCTTTGACCGTGGTGACATTAATCATTCCGTTGCCAAGGCCGTCAATGCCCTTATCCTTAATGAACACGAAAAGCAAGCACACAGATTGGCTATCCTTAATGACGCATTTGTTGCTCAAGATCTCCCGACTCGTACGCATTATTTTGCTGAAGATGTCGCTTTCAAAGATTTCGGTCCTATTGGCTACCAGTTTAAAGATTTCCAGGATAACAGGTTATTCACGAGTGATTACGTTGGGCCGCTTTTCGGTGGTGCTTACTTCAGCAAAGCTCAAGGTATTCCATTATTTTTGGACAACTATGCTGTTCAGCAGATTGATAAAGAGTATGAGCTCAATAGCGAAAAGCTTGATACTGAAGGTAAACGAAAACTCAAGGCTGATCTCATTTTCAACGCATCCGAAGCACTCGAGAATGATATGAGATTCTGTGCCATTGCCAAGCAAGTGAGTGATAACTTTGGTGATTTGACTCTTGACGATTACTCTCACTTACTCCAAGTTAAGGTGGAAGTGTCGGCCACTCCTAATGTCAAGAACTCGAACAAAAAGAAGGCGCCTAAGCAGAAGAACGAAAAGAAAGCTCCTGAGAAGCCAAAGAAGGATCTTGCTTCTATTATTAGAGAAGGCCCTTCGAAAAAGCAATTGTCAAAGGAGCTCCCTAAGAAGCCTGAGCAAAAAGAAACTCAGCCAGAAGAGAATGAAGTGCAAGTCGCCAATCTGTCTACTGACTATTCTACCAGTAATGTTGCACCTTCATCTATCGAGGAGATTGAGCTGATGATTGCCGGCCACGCTCAGTCTTTCAGACAACCTAATGGCTCGAGATCCATCGATACCGAAGCTGGTCTTTCTGATATGGTTAACTCTATCATTGACGACTCTTACCAGGATAAGTCAAACGATGTTGTTATCCCTGACTCCCAAGATAGTCTGGATATTCTTAGAAGCTCTACGCAAGTTCCACAAACTGCTTTGGATGGAACCCAGCATATCCAGGCTGCTTCCACTCAGCAAGATCGTTTCGCCCAGCCATTCGGACACGATAGTTCCCAAATGCCAGGCCACGACTTCCTGATGGTTCAGCCAATGATGGCTCCTCCAATGGGCCAGACTCCTCATATTGGTTATGGTTCCATGGCTCCTCACAGCCAGTTCCTTCAGGGCCCACCACAACCATTCGGATACCCACAAGGCTACGGTATGCCAATGTACCCAGGAATGGCGCCTCCACCTCCTCCCCAGCAATCAGGAATGCCTGGATCCACGCAAATGCCTGATTTCCAGCAGTACGCTGGTATCTACGGTCAACCACCAGGAGGATTTGGCATGTACGGTGCACCTCAAGGCCCATGGGCTCGTCCTGGCCAGGCTCCTTGGAACTACTATAATGGCAATTCACAAGGAAGCCAAAATTTCGGTTCGAGCCAATAAAATGAGTTCAGCTGCTTAGGGAAATGATAGTGGTCTGTCCATCGCCAATATAGTCGCTATGCATCGGCAAATCAGCGGACCTGAAAAGTGCGTTGACATGGTCCACCAGAATATACTGAATGAAGAATAATGAACGAAAAAAGGCTTCCAGAATGAAACCAAAAAGAAAGAGAACCTCATCTCTCTTCCATATCTCCCAAAACCTTATTTTTCTCGTGGGTCTACCGTCGTTTCGGTACTGGTCCGTCTAAACGGATCCTGCACACCAGACACCGCCTTTTCACCACGCCAAATCAGACCAGTTTTAACCTCTTCCTTCTTTTCCACATCTGTGCTTCTAATGGCCGATTCGATCACCCACCGTGTCTCCAAACAGAGCTACAAGGTCGAGGCGCCTCCTGCGGACGCTCCACTAGATGTTCTTAATGAGTACTACTGGACCAAAGACGCTGAACCACATGTGGCCAGAAGAAAGGCCATCATAGCCAAGTATCCAGAGGTTCGGAAACTCACGGGCCACGAACCAAAGCTGAAGTGGTACGTGATGGCGGTGGTTGCGTTACAAGTGGCTGTTGCTGTGTATTTGCGTGATACACATCCCATCTCGTGGAAATTTTTCACTTTGGCATATGTCATTGGAGCCACTTCCAACCAGGCGTTGTTCCTTGCCATTCATGAGTTATCGCATAACTTGATGTTCAAGAAGCCTATCCACAATAAGCTTTTTGCTATATTCAGTAACATTCCTATTGGTATCCCATACAGTGCTTCTTTCCAGCCTTATCACCAGTTACACCATAAGTTCATGGGCGATGAGTACTTGGACACGGACTTGCCTACACCTTTTGAGTCGGTGTTGTTGTCCAATGTGCTTGGAAAAGTCTTTTTTGCTACTTTCCAGATCCTTTTCTACGCGTTGAGACCAATGTTCATTACTCAAATCAACTTTACCTACATTCATTTGTTGAACATTATTTTCCAGGTCGTTGTTGACGTTGCCCTCGTCAAGCTTGCTGGTGTTAAAAGTTTGCTTTATTTCATCATGTCCTCCTTCTTGGCTGGTTCTTTACACCCTTGCGCTGGACACTTTATCGCTGAACACTATGTACTTAACGATAATAACGTTCCTCGCGCTGGGCACGAGAAGGAAGGTAATCTTACACCAGATCTTGTCCCTCCAGAGACGTATTCATACTACGGAACGTTAAACTTGGTGACTTGGAATGTCGGATACCACAACGAGCATCATGATTTCCCATACGTTGCATGGACAAAGCTTCCTGAGCTTCGCCGTATTGCAGCTGAATTTTACGAGCCTTTACCACAAATCAACTCATGGTGTGGTGTCTTGTGGAACTTCTGCTTCAACGACGTGAACACATTGTGGAACAGAGTAAAAAGAGTAGGCAAGGAACGCCTGGGCCGCAACGTTGGCGGATTGGATAGGAATCAAAATTAGGTTAGGTTAGGTTTAAAAGATACTGGTGTTCGTAATTGCCGTTAATTTTTTTTCTCTATTACTACATGTACATCTTGATCACAAGTTCTTGACCAAACGAGTCAAGAGGTCAGCATCACCACCGTTGTACGAAGACAACTTCTCCTTGACAATGCTGACAATGTCCTTAACATCAACAAGCTCACCTTCGTTACTGTCGTCACCCTGGCCCAAAGTCTTAACTCTCAACTTTCCGTCTGGGTACTCTTCCTTACCCAAAATGACAGCCAATTTAGCACCAGACTTCTGGGCAGCATCAAACTGCTTTCTAGGGTTGGCCTTGGCCTTGTAAACGTACTCACTGCTGATACCAGCCTCCCACAACTGCTTGGCAACGGCCATTCTTTGTGGCAAGAAACCAGTCCAGTCTGGACCACCACCGAAAGCCATGACGTAAACGTCAGTCTGAGAAGCAGAAAGAGATTCCCATTCCTTGGCAGCTCTAGCCTTGATGATAGAGAAAATTCTCTCAACACCGAAAGAAATACCCACACATGGGATAGACTTACCGTTGGAGAACATACCAACCAAGTTGTCGTAACGACCACCGGCAGCGATAGAACCAACACCAACGTACTCAGAAGCATCTTCAACCTCGGCAGTCTCCTGCTTCTTAGCCTTGGCCTTCAACTCTTCGGCGTTCTTTGGTGGAGCAGAAGCAGCAGTAACAGCCTCATAAATCAAGCCAGTGTAGTAGTCCAAACCTCTGGCAAGAGACAAGTCAAACGACAAGAAGTCAGCAATACCAAATGCCTCAGCGTAGTCAGCCAAAACAGCCATCTCCTCAATACCCTTCTGGGCGCTCTCGTTGGTCTTCAAGAGCTCAGAAGAAGACAAGAATTCCAAAGTCTCACGAATAGAACCGCTAACCTTGACGAACTCACCAATCTTATCGGCAACCTCCTCAGACTGACCCTTCTCCACGGTCATCTCCTTCTTGACAGCTTCCCATGGAGACTTATCCAATTTGTCAACAGCAGAAGAAATCTTTCTGACGTCCTCATCCTGAACACCACAGGCCTTGAAGATACCGTCCAAGATCTTTCTGTGGTTCAACTTCACCTTGAAATCGTTGATACCCAAAGAGGTCAAACCCTCACACAAGATAGCCAAAATTTCCGAGTCTGGCACCATCACATCGTAAGAACCAGCCATATCGAAATCACACTGGTAGAACTCTCTCATTCTACCCTTGGTCATAGCTGGCTGGTCTCTTCTGTACACTTTAGCAATGTGGTAACGCTTAATGGCGCTGATACTGTTGCAGGCGACAAATCTGGCAAATGGCACAGTCAAGTCGTATCTCAAGGAGGTCAATTCACCACCCTGGTCTTCCAAGTTGTAGATCAATTTGGAGTCCTCACCGTACTTACCGGTAAGAATCTCTCTGAGCTCAAACACTGGAGTGTCGATGGTGACACCACCGTGCTTCTTGAAAAGGTTGCCTAAAGTGCTGAAGATCACCTCTCTCAAAACCATATCCTTATCGGACCAATCCTTGGTACCCTTTGGGGTCTTCAAGAGGAACTGAGACTCTTGTTTCTTGGATTTCTTGCCCTGTTTAGCATTTTGGGCTGCAGCGGCGGCTGGAGCAGCTACTGGTTGGCTGGCTTCTGTGGACATGGCTCTGGCGAAGGATCTATAGTAAAATGGACTTCGTAGGAACCTATTGAACATTCACTGGAGGTGACTGCTGGGTTTTTTTTCAACTATCATAGAATGGTGTGGTGTACGGGTGTGACTACAAACTTCAGTAGGTAACCATCTTGGCTGCAAATGTTCAAGCCCGCTATAAGAAGTGCTTGATGCTGCCTTGTATATGTAAATCATAATTCTATATCGTGATTTTCTGTAGCCCATTTTGCTTCGGTTATTAATTATGATGGGTTTTCTGGAGTGACTTTTTCGCAGCCATGGCGTAATGCCAAGATCAATGTAGGAAGCCTCGATGAGGCCAGCTTCTTCCTTGAACAATACCATCTGAATGCAGCGGTAATTGAAAGCATTTTCTGATCTGTCGTTGTCAAGGGCAGCCGGCTGCTTCTTTGAGTGACAGCACTCAATGTATAGATTCTGTATCTATTCTAATCTTCGTTGATACCATTGGGCTTCGAGTATCCCAAACGCATCACACCATCACTGAGAAGACGCTTACCCCAACTGCCAGCGGCAGGGTCGCCAGTTTCATCTCTGCACTGCTTCAAGAATGGTAACAAGGAAGTGCCGCCTGTGCCCTTCTCTTCCACGCCAGCAGCCTTCTTCTTGGCCAAGCCTGAGCGAAGAGTGGACGAGGAGCCCATTTTTGGAGCCTTCTTGGCCTGAAGAACGACGTATCGCGTGACGATTTGAATATGTTTATCTCTGAACAGCTTAAGCATGGCCAAGCATGCGTCGTAGCTGAGTATGAGCTCTGGAGCGGTAGCCTTGTTCTCAAAGACAAACTCACGAATCAGGCACTCTTTGTCTACCATAGCCAAGAACTCTCTATGTTCCTTTGGCATGTACTTGCGCATTTCCACAAGGAAAGCGTTTTCAGCAGATCCCTTCTTGGCAGGTTCAGCCGGAGCCTTAGATCCAACTTCAGGCACTGGTCTTTCGCCAGTGGAATGGTGATGGACACTCAACAAGGAGTCCAAGAACTGAATAAGTGAAGATTGAGCGTTGGAGCCGCCAGCATATGATCTGTGTGCCTTTTCAGCACCGTAGATCACACCGTTAGGGTCAAGACCGACATCGGCCATATTCTTCCAGCCAGCCAAGTAAGGTCTGATTCTAAAGTAAAACACATGAGGGTCACACATTTCTTCCATACGCATAAGCACAGAGCCCAAGTGGTCAATAGCCTGTGCTAGTTCCTGAAGACTTCTGGTCAATTGCTCAACATTGCCTTGCTTAGCATGATCCATGGCTTGCATACCATAACGAACACACTGGCCACCGCTATATTCAAAGAAAACACTCACGAGGTAAAACCACGATTCGTCGATCGACCCTGTGAATGTGTTGATAGTAGTAAGGTTATCCCAGTTAAACTTGCCATGAGCATAGTCATCCGAGCCAGGCATGATTTCCCTAAAGTTCCAAAGGCACAACCCAGCATACGTAGCAAGCGGAGGAAGCCCTAGTCTCTCAGAGACATCTATCAAAGGCCTTGCTACCTGTTCTGGAATACGAGAAGACGGAGCACTGGCGCCCCACACGTAGCCATGAGCCAAAAAGCCGAGAACCAGGTACGCCCTTCTAAGCTCCGGAAGCAGATCCAACTGCTCTGTTTCTAGCAAAGGAAGTTTCTCGATAACATCCCTGATTCTTCTGCTAAGAAGAAGAGAAGGCAAGTTTTCCACAATATCCTCCCACGGCTGGTAGCACAGCTGCGGCAACTTGCGAAGCGGGAGCTCGGCAGGAAGGAACCCCGTGGTTGGAGACACCGAGAACGTCTGGAGATCCAAGACCATAACTTTAGAGGATAATAGTGAGTTTTCCAGGAAAAGGTGGTTCGGTTTGAGGTTGCGAAATAAGTCAGCTGAGAAACAGTGAGGAAAAAGTGAGTAGGCTGAATCACAGGCAGGACAAGGCACCAACAAAAAAAAAAGGTGAGGGAGTTCTAAGTCCGAATCTCGTACTTTGGAGAAAAAGTAAAAAAGACAGGTTCGTAAAAATACGCTTTTTTCCTGAGCAGACCGATCCAGGTGGAGCCAGAAATTGTGTAGAAGGAATGAAGAAAGTCGTCTAAGGAAGTATTTTTTAGGGATCAGCATTCGACGTTGATGCATGTCTCAGACAAGCTTTGATTTGCCATATGGTTAGCTTTTGGAGAGGCTTTTTCTTTTTCGCAGCCATTACTTGTCTGGACCATATTCATGGAGTTACTCTTCGGAAGTGGCGGAATGGCCGGGAGTGGGTTTTCTTGTAGCGTGATCGATTACTTTGCCAAAGGCTAGGCAGAATTGCTTGAAGAATGTGGCTTCGTCGCCTGCAAAGCTCTGGGCATAGAGGAACCCTTCCTCGCCAAAAGTATCCAAGAATGCTTTTTCGTTAGGGCTGAGTTTGGTGTAGCTGGGAATGGTATGGAGAAGCCCGTTGTGGGCTTGGACTGGGGGCTCGAGCTGGATGATGGAATAGGCTCGAAGACCGCCCCAGAGTGCTACTCGCTGGCTCATTTCGAGTTCTGCTCGAGTACACACTTCCCAGAAAGTTGCTTTGCGGTGGGTGGCTTCGAGTTCTGGTCTGCCGGGGTTCCAATCGATTTTGGGGCCACCGAGAGCTTCAAATGTGATGATTCCAGCGTACGTCCATAGATCAGCACGGGAAATGGTGAACTGCTTCTTCAATGGCTCCAAGGCGGTGATTGCTTCCTGGACGTCTGGGATGTCGGTTATTTCAAGTACCTCTTCGTCTTTGAGGAGCCTGGAGACGGACGTTTTATTGGGATCAACTGTAGTGCAGTAGAACCAGCAAAGGTTGAATACTTTGTAGGCAAGCATATCGTCGTTTGCTAAAATCTCTCCAATCCCAGCACCTAGCTTTTCCAACATGGCTTCGTTTAAATACACTTCTTTGGGTGCTCTCTTGAAGCTGACCTTGGAAAAGAGCCTGTCTCTCTTTCTGTATGGTTTCAGGGAATCTGAAATAGACACACTGGCTGTAGGAGACACAGGAACCCGTTTCTTTGACGACGAAGAAGCAATTGGCGTAACAGCATGAACCAACGGGTCTGACCACCAAGCCGGTTTCTTCATTTCGGGCGTACGTGGTTCTGCTGGTTTTTCATGGACCTTCTGGTGAATAACCGCTGCCTCTTGAAGACACACTTGCGCCAGCAATTCCACATCTGAAGGGTTCCTTAAAACAACATCACCTTCGTTTTCCTCGCCATCTGAACTATAAAACGACGAAGACGTCAATTCACCACCCTCCTGTTGCTTAGTTCGGTATTCACTAAACCCTTCAGTATCACCAAGCAGGACACCCTTATAGACGTACCCACCGTCCCCAGTAAACATCCACCGGTCAGCAACGTAAACAGCCTTTTCAAACACATCAGAGAATTCAAAGTACCCAACCTCCCTCATCCAAGATTCATAGAGTTCAGCAGGAGTTTTACGGTTTCTGTGTAATAACGCAAGTGGGTGCAAAAAACAGTACCAAACAGAAAGAGCAGCAAAAACAAAGGAAGACAATTTCAAGAGAAAAAATTGAAGAAATACCAACGGCACAAGCACCCCCGCCACAAAATACGTTTTTTTCGATATCTTTTCCATGCTTATAGTGGCTTTTTTTTAACCTTCTATGCGTAACAGAAACAGTCAATTTTGAGGCTCAGACGGGCGGCGGCGGCGTGGGAGAGTGACAGAAGCAAAAGACCCGTGCACCATCAACATCCAAGTGACTTTTTCCCCTTTCCTGAAAGGTAGCTACTGGCCACCACCAAAACCCATCCAGCAACCAGCTACCTACAACCCCACCACCAGGACCTCAATTAAGTAAAGCATGTCGTTTAAGGGCATTAAGAAGTCGGTGTTGCGTGCGCCGCAAAATTTCAGGCAAAAACTCAACATGGGTGAAATTACCCAAGATCCTGTTTATGCCGACGCCGAGAGAAGATTTAAGGAATTGGAGTTGGAAACCAAGAAGCTCAGTGAAGAGTCCAAGAGATACTTTGCCGCCGTCAATGGCATGTTGGACTACCAGATTGACTTCTCCAAGGCCATTGAGGAGATCTACAAGCCCATCAGTGGTAGATTATCGGATCCCAGCGCCACTGTGCCCGAAGACAACCCAGAGGGTATTGAAGCGTCTGAGTCGTACAGAGAAGTGGTGAAGGAGTTGAAGGATTCTTTACAGCCCGATCTTGAGCTTATTCAGAAGCGTGTTGTGGACCCAGCACAGGAGCTTTTGAAGGTTATCCAGCTGATCAGAAAGATGGCCACCAAGAGAGAACATAAACAGGTGGATTTGGACAGACACAAGAGAACGTACAAGAAGTACGAAGAAAAGAAGGAGCGTACCGCCAAGGACGAGGAGAAGATGTACAATGCTGAGGCTGAGGTTGCGGTTGCTCAGGAGGAGTTCGACTACTATAACAACATGTTGAAGGACGAATTGCCTACTTTGTTTACCATGCAGCTGGACTTTATCAAGCCGTTGTTTGTTTCTTTCTACTACATGCAACTAAACATCTTCTACACTTTGTACAGCCGTATGGAGGAGTTGAAGATCCCATACTTTGACTTGAACTCGGACATTATCGAGGCCTACACCGCCAAGAAGGGTGATATCGAAGAACAGACGGACAACATTGGTATTACACACTTTAAGGTTGGCCATGCAAAGAACAAGTTGGAGGCTACCAAGAGAAGACACCAGATGATGAGCGGGAACGTTACCGGCTCATCAGCCAGCACGGGAGCAGCTTCTACTGCTCCTTCTGCCGGTGCTGGTGCCGGAGAGGGTCTTCCACAGTACACGCCTGGCCAAACAGGCAACAACTACGGCTACGGCAACGAAAAAGCACAGTTCAATGCTCCTCCACAACAGTACGGACAACCAGCTGGCCAGCAACCACAATACGGACAGCCAACAGGTCAACAGCCACAGTACGCTGAGGCTCAAGCGACCGGTGGGCAAGCACCACCTCCATCATACGGAGCGCCAGCTCCAGCAGCTGGAGGAGCACCTACTTGCACTGCTTTGTATGACTACACTGCCCAAGCCCAAGGGGACTTGACTTTTACAGCCGGCGCCGTGATTGAGATTGTTGAGCAAGGCGACGCTAACGGTTGGTGGACCGGACGCTATAATGGGCAAACCGGAGCGTTCCCTGGTAACTATGTCCAGTTGAACTGATTAGTAGATTAGAATATAAGCATACGAAAGGAGCTGCTTAATGTAGGACGAGAAGTTAATTGGCAAGGTAAAAATAGGAAGAGGAGGAAGGTGATGTCAGTTAGAAACACCTTGTGGATCTGCAAAGAAGAGGTCAGCCACCGTAAAGGAACAAGGGGGAAGGGGCCACCTAAGCGAAATAGAGTTTAGCTGATATATTAGACCCTAAGCAAATTCCCAGACCATTTAACTTAGGCTTTATCAGGGTATGTACATGAAGATGAAGAAACAGCAGATGTTCGATTTGCAAAAGTGTATAATGTACGGTTCGCCAATCTCGCATGTCGTACAATTATAGAGGGAAGAAATAAAGGAGGACGAAAAAAAGGAAAAGAAAGAAAAAAAGGCATACCAAATAAAAAGGATGCAGCGAAGGAACTGAAACAGGCCCAAAACGGAGAGCCCAGGAGATCACGAAAGGGAGGACGATCTAAGGTGATCCGGCGATCGGACGAGGGAGAAGGAAAAGGAAGGAAAGGAAGACGACTTAACCAGAGATCTGGGAATGGGCCAAGACTAAGTGACAAAAAATACATAAATAATATGAAGATTAGAGTTGGAACAGGTTGGGCCAAGGTTTGCCAGGTGCCCAGGTTTGTTGATGGAATGGAGGATTTGTAGGGGTATGCAATGGTTAGTGTTGCAAAGTGAGAGCAGATCTGGGAATGAGGGAAACTGGAAAGGGACCAATGGCCACAAGGAGGGGCCAGTAGGAGGGCCAGTAGGAGGGACGAAATGGAACATGGGGGAAAACGTGGAAAAGATGTAAAAAGTTTTGGTCAAGAAAAAGCGTAGATAATAAAAGTGGGTGGAGCCGAGGAAGACTGGAGGAGGAGGAGGACAGTGCACAGTTTGCACCCACAGTGCATCGACATTACTTACATTGCAAATTGCTTATTTTCTGGCCCAAGCCAGCCCAAGCCCAAGCCAGCAGCCCTAGACCATTTGCACCTGCTACTAACTTTAACCTTGACTTCAGTTGCTTCCATGACTCGGCTGCTTCAGATTCTTCACCTGGATAAGCCACTGGCAGCGGCAGTATTCCTTTTTGATTGTCGGCACTTCAGCCCGGGACACCCCAAGGAGGCATACATTGTATGCTTTGTAACGTCATTGGGTACCTGGCTAAGACAGAAGCCCTAGGCAGTCGTAGTCTGTAGTCAAGTCTGTAGGTAGTCTGTAGGTAGTCAAGTCTTCATGTAGTCAAGTCTTCATGTAGTCAAGTCTTCATGTAGTCAATAGTCTTCAATCGTCAATCTTCAATGCCAGTCTGGGTGCCTCAGCTGCCTCAACGGCAGCCTCGGCACTTCGTATTTACCAGCCTGTGCATATTCAGAAGCAAAGCAGAAACAGAGGCAGAGGCAGAGACAGAAACAGACCCAAAGGCAGAACCAAAGGCAGGCAGTGGATGCCCAGCGGCTGGGGGCGGCCCGCACAATGGCGCCAGAAGGTGCGGCAGATCGGCAGCGAGGCGAGCGAGCGAGAAGATCGAGGCACCGAAGGTTGCAACAAGCGAGGCCACCAAACCCGAATCTCAGAAATGGCCTGGCATATATGGAGGTGTATTTACGGGAGGTTTTGGTTGGGGATTTTGATCTTTGGTTTTGGCTTTGGCTTTGGGTGTTTTTTTGTGTTGTCTATGGCGGTGCACTTTGTGCTGGCACTGGGGCGTCTGCTTACTGCGGCGAATGTTCAGAGGCAGCCACCCAGGCAGGCCAGGCAGGCCACAGCGGCCCGGACCCTGACAGTGGAAGGTGGACAGTGACAGTGGAGGGTGGAGGATGCCATGGAAGAGTCATGGAAGGGGGATGGAGAGGAGGTAAGACAAATGTAGGGCACTTAGTAAGCCGGTTAGGATAAGCTTTGGGATGGAATTTGGAGAAGGGTTGGGAGATCTGAAGGGATGGAGTGAGGGAAATATGCCCAGGCAGGGAAGCAGGCAGGTAGGCAGAAAGGCAGGCAGGCAGCAGTCCCTGGACAGGAATTTGAGGGATATACCTGGGGACGCTGGACGCTGAGGGCACTGACACTGGAGACCAGAGTAGCCATAAAACAAGATATATCAAACATAGAACAACTGCCTCTACATCATCAAGTGGGCTGAATGGCTTAGACGGACATTCTGTAGATTCCAGCGATCCAGAGTATAAATCTAAGACATTCAGTGTAGTTTATAGATGGTCTGGTTCGTGGCTAATCGGTCAGACTGAACAAAAGAAACCTGGTGGACACTTACTGGGGGGAAACCAAACCAAGTTAAAAAAAAAAAGCCATGTTTCTATTGGCTTGCGAGTGTTTTTGTTTGGGTTTGCTTTTGCTTTTTCAACCATTCTTTTTCTTTTTTACTTATTTCTTTCTTTTTTTTTTCTACTTAGCCTTAGCCTTTTTGTTCATGGAAACTTTAATTTGGGTTCCTGATTACGGTGGGTTCTTTTTGGTTTCTGGCCTGGGCCGGGCCGTTGGTGCCTCAGACGATTTCAATAAAGGTTTTTGTACGTTTTGGCCCACCGAATCTGTCGAATTAAACAGGCTGCGTATACTTGCCTGAGGGGTTCCTGAAGTGCCTTAATTAGCACCTTGTACATATACTGCGTTAATAACCAGGCACAGGCGATGGGCGAAAAAAAAATAAAAATAAAAAAAACTAACATAACACTGGGAAGTTTACTGGAAAGGACGGTGGCCCAAAGGGGCCGAGAGAAGCCGAAGTAGTACCGGCACCTGGCGATTGAGTATGGCGAGGTTTGCGGCATTTAGAGAATGGGTGAGGGAAGAAAGACGAATGGTTGTACACCGTAATAGGAGGACCTCTTCGGGCCTCTTGGGGGGAGAGGGCACTCCGCCTGGTTGTTTCATGACACATTCATGCTAAAAGAAATCTCTGTGCTTTTTTTTTCTTCGACTTTGTGTCTATTTGACATATGAACTAGTAGCGCTGAACCATGTGATACAGAAACAGAAAGTGCCCTTGCGGGTTAGGAGCGTGTGGATAGGGGCCTGCACATGGCCTGCCGCACGATCGTAAGTGCCCATTGGTGTGTTCCTATACACAGGAAGCGATCACAAAGGCCGCAGGAAAGAACACCTGCAATGTCAGATGCACCTCCCACACACACCACGCAGCACACACCATGCGATGCACAAGCACCCTCCCTCTCACAATAAACAGACCCACCCGAGCACCAAATCTGCACTCCATCAAAACCTTTCCATAACTAATATATAAACCTCCCTGAGCCCCCCTCAGAACCCTCATCACCTGAAAAATCCCTCCCAAACCTACCTTTTGCTTTACTTCCTTTAATCTTTTACATCCCTCATGAAGTTCACCAAGAAGGCCTTAGCATCTAAGGTCAACTCGGTGCGTCCTTATAAATCGCGCTCCAAGAGACCCTGCGACTTTTGCCGCCGCAGAAAAACTTGTTGTATCATTGAGAAGTCCATTCCCTGTTTAGCTTGTGTTCAGTTTAACAAGGGTAATTGCACTTTTGTCGCTGGGCCTTTGAAGAGAAGTCGTAAGTCGGACTCAAAGCGCATGTCTCTTGCTCACCAGCAGCAACAACAAGTTGAAGATGAGCACCAGCATCTGCAACAACAGCCACACTCCCATTCTCATTCTCAGCCTCAACAAAATACCCAGTCTATAGACGACACCCCTTTGCTCGCTGGGTACAGCCTTAATATGGACTATCAAATGAACCAGTCCTACGCCAGTGTCCACAGCATGCCAAAGGTGCCTGCTCACCCTGTTCAAGGGACGTTTCTTCACGACTCGTATCAGAGTCCTCACCTCATATCCAACAACACCAGCCTGCCCCAGCTGTCACCTCATACACCAGCATACAGTTTCCAGTCGAACTGGAGCTCTGGGGAGAGTGCCAGCGGCACGTCGGTGGTTGTTTCGAACGCTGTGATGCCGCCTGAGCTGCGGCAGCTGATGCTGAGCAACTCGAGCCTGTTGAGTAATATGAGCACTGTCAGTGCATTAAGCATGGGTGCTACGTATCCATACAGTGGTTACGATAACGTGGACCAGAGTGGAGGTTTTCACGGTTATAGTGGACTGGCGCTATGGACGGACGCCAGTGACTACGATCTGTTTGTGACGATGGAGCTGATGCCAGAAGAGCTCAAGAGAGACTACCTGTGCCTGCTCCAGGCACCTTCGAGCAATGCCAATACAGGTGGTACGTTGATGGCCCCAGTGCAGGCGCTTGGGTTTGATGGCCATAGCATGGAGAATGGAGAGTTTGGTTTTGGAGACGGACTAGTGGGGCCTGGCATGGAGTAGCTCAAGATTGGTTGATTGGCCAGTTAGACAAGATATGCCAGGGAAATCTATGCTCGATGCATCATGGCATATACGCATGGCAGTCAGGTGGCAGCCTCAGCGCACGGCCGGCACATGGCCCTCCATGGAGACGCACCCCCATGCGCAAAGGATGGACGCATGGCATTGTTTCCCAGGAGCAGGGATTTCTGCTACTATCAACAGCAGCACGCATGGCCCCATGTTAACAAGAGTCATCTGTCACCTTTCTTTCCCCCAAGTCATATACGCACTCCCACACATCCCCCCATTCGTCCGCGTACAGGCCATGCGCTTCCCAGCCCTGACCTTAACTTGACTTTTCTCGTACATGGGTTATACTGGGCACACACATAGTTGCCAGTGCCTGTGTCGATGTTACTTGAATAGCCCTGGCATCCTCGGCTATCCCATACTAGCTCCTAAATAATCTTTTCAACAAGGAAGGCTTCAGCCGTGCCAGCACCCCCAACCTTTGGGCTGCTGCGCCATTCATTATTACACTTACCCTTACCTTTTTTTCACTACTAATTCACACAGAGCTCTTTGTTTTACTCGTCTTTCTCCTCGTCTCTGGTCATGTCTGCTGTCGGTGGGGCTAAAATGGCTTCGACTCGCTCTAGACAGATACGACAAAGCTGCCACCTACCAGTTTCCCAGGATGCTCCCCTGACATGAACATCTGGACGCCACTTCTGGATCTGTCACGAAGAAACAAAAAAAAGAAGATAAGTTATCTGGCAGAAAAAAAACCCCAATCTGCCAGAATTACCACTTTTGTGGCTCTCCTGCGCTGTGTGGACGTGGATCTTCTAAAAAGAGACCTGCCTCTTCCCTCTCGACAAATCATATCTGGCAAGTGTCCCCAAGCCCTGCCAGCGTTCGCTGCCTGCTGAAGCCTCAAAGCCTCCCCAGCTGCTTCCAATTGTTGCTCTGACTCTTTTTGTGTCAGTACATCCCAACTGCACTTGGCTAATGTAATATGGGCTTCCAACCTCGCACTCCAAGGTGGCCTCCTATTGTTGCTGAGGCTTCGTTATCAGGCTTCAGGGGTTTGCGACGAGGTCAGAAGGATGGACAAACAATGCTTGAGGTGAGCCCCCGTCTTGGCGTATTGTTTGAGATGGTTGTTAAAGCTTTTGCTTGTACTGATTGTGTTTTGGTTGAGTGGTATCTTGGCCAATTTACAAATTACCTTTTACTAATCAAGCCTAGATTAGCCCTCGCTGGTGAGCTGCAGAGGATGCTATTGTGGAGGATTTACGCTGCGTCTGCTGCTGCAATTCAGATGCTGTCAGGACCCAGCCCTCCAGCGCCCTGTGTGCAGGACAAAAATGCACTGCCACCCTCGTAAATCTTCCACTGCTATTAGCGAACCACAGCTTCACAAAACAGACCTACAATACCGTATATTGGAGCGTTTTACAATAGCGGTTGTTTCAGAATGGCTTGCTTCTTGTGGCCTCTGGTTGTCTCGTATGCTGCTCCAAATGGGGGAGCCCGTGCCAAAAATAGCCTTCTCCAAGTGTTTGTTGGCTGCAAAATGGCAAAATGCAAAATTCCATTGACATGTTCCCACAGTCCTCCCGTCTTGGCTATTATTGGCCCAAAACTGAGCATTTCCCCTTGCGGTCGCTGGAATATGTGCCACAAAGCCGCCATGGCTTAGGTATCTAAGATACCATGAGGAAACTTCTCCCTGAGGCGGAAAGATAGGAAGGCATGGACTTCGCACGGAACGGAGTGGAAACGGGTGCTTAGCTTCCGTGGCGGTCTTTCTTAGAAGGTTAATACGAAACATAGCGGGTTTTTGGACGGTGCCTTGGGTTCAGGCACAGAATGGCCTGTTTCCTTTGTGTTTCCTTTGTGTTTGGCTTGGGTTCTTTGTCTTGCTTTGTTGATGTTTGACTTAGTTGCAAAAATAGAGAGAAGGAGAGAGCGAAGGGCCCAAGCGGCGAAAGCCTCGCTAGCTCCGTCAATAGAGTCTTGGAGTTACAATGATGTATTTTGGCTGGCATAATTATTTATTAGTTGGGTTTTGGTTGGTGGGTTGGCGGGTGGGTCAAGTACGAAGCGTCTGGCCATTGCAAACTTGCCTAAATGGCTAGCGATTTTCAACAAGATAAAGCCATGCGATTTAAGCTTTCAAGGTTATGTGGGTATCAGTTTTGGGCGTCCTAAGCCCCATGGCTCTGTCCTTATTTTTTGTTTCAATACACGGATTGTCCGTCTTTGCGTTTCATGAAACAAGAAAGTTTAAATTTTAACACATTCCAGAATCTCTAGCGGCTTGGAAGGGCTCCAGGGGCGGATCGTCAAGGTAAACACCAATTAAACCATTGTTCAGGAATCCTAAGCGTTCGAGACAGCCCCCAACTAGCCTTTGGTCCAAGTGACACTAGTTTGTCGAATTTGCTCTATCACCAGACGTGAGTCAAAATTTGACATTCCCAGCGGCATAGCCAGAATCGTCAGATTTTTCTCTATCAATTCACTCCAACTTAGTATCTCGGTGAGCCGTAATACGAGCTAGAGTGCCTGGCGTGGTTTCAAAGACCAATTTAGCGGCCATCGGCAACGTAACCAATTAAACTTTCCGTCTAATTCATGGATTATAACCACGATCAACCGATCGACATCATTGAAAAATAGTTGTTTTCAACACCATGCTACTTGTTTCGAATCCAGATCCCGCTAGAACTGAAATACGGACCCTTCCAGAACATTACTTTGTAGGAAGATCGACCAAAGCCCGTAACTCTAAAACGCCGTACAAGTCGTAATTGTTCACCTTGTTCACCTTGTTCTTTCCTGGTCTGGTGTCTTAATGGTACTTGTCGAACCAGTCACAGATAAGTTCAGCTACCTTTGTAGGATCCTCTCTGTGTAAGAAATGGCCGAGACCACTCAACAATTGAACCTTGACCTTTGGTTTGGACGCTAACAATTGGGCCTCCAACTCGTATAACTCGGAACCCTGGCATCCGTCTCTCTCACCACCCAAGATCAAAGTAGGAACCTTTTCAAAGTCCACAACCCACTGACGTTCTTTGATAACGCTAGGACGGAACAAGTTACGGTAGTAGGCTGTAGCGCCATCAAGAACACCAGGCTGGGAAAGCGTCTTTCTCACAGAAGCGATTTCCTGGCTAAAGTCCCACTTTGGCGACCAGCAGCTCCACAAATCATCCAAGTATCCTGGTTCAAGCAAATTGCCAAACTTCAGGCGGTACACAAACGCATATTGCATCGTCAAAAAGTACGACAGGCGGTACAATTGGCGTGGAGCGTACCAGAGGTAATGCCAGCCTCTGAGGTTGGCAAGGTATGGAATAGCCAACGTCACCGTCGATGTAAGAAGCTCAGGGTACAACGACGCCGTCTTGAACGTGACAATTGCACCCCAGTCGTGGCCCACAAGGTGCACAGGCACCTCCTTGTTAGGCACAATCAGCAAAATCCATGCCTTGACATCGCCAGCAATATCAGACATCTTATATTCTGTATCTGGGCCCTGGGACGATTCCTCGTACCCACGCAAAAGTGGAGCAATCAACAACACCTTCTTTTTGCCATAGTGCTCTGAAACCAAGGGCAACACCTTCTCGTAGGACTCGTTGTTGTCTGGAAAACCGTGAATAAAGAAGATAACCCTATCGAAGCTTCTTGGGTTGGTGATGGCAGACTGGGGATGGGAACTCCAAGCTGAAAAAGAGCGGGAGCCGTTTTGGAGGGTGATTTTAGCCATGTTGGTGGAAAAGTGTTTGGTTAACTGACAATGTGTGGATCGTGGAGGTTTAAGTACCAGAAGGTGTGTTTAAGGGCATGTGATAGTGCGGAGGGAGGAAGGGTGGAGTGAAAAATAATCCGGGGTGGATAAGGTGGGAGCAGGCGGATTTAAGAGTCCACAGAGATGGAGATAAACTGGGGAGGAACGAAACGGCTACGAGGATTTAGGAGATAACAAAAAGGCAATCAACGGTTTTTGGTGGGTTTGGCAACGGCCATGGGGAACTTGGGTGTGAAGAGTGCTCGTAGCTTCACGGTTAGGCCATCTCGCAGTGTGGATTTTGCAACCACTGGACTTAGTGTGATGACAAAGACGAAAAAACAGAAAAAACGGCCGATCGGGAAACGAGTACAATACATGCACCGAAGGAGGGTAAAGGGAAGCGAGGCGGTCAAAGAATGGCCTTGATGGTAGAGGTTGGTTAGCTGGCGTGGTGCTACTATGGTACTACTATGCTCCTACTATGGTGCTACTAAGTCTAATGCCTGTTGAGCTGCCTCGTACAAACACGTCTACTGAACATATCCAAAACGTCCATAATGGGCTAAAACAGGTATGGTGTCGCCAAAACCCATGTGAGTTTCAACCCAGGCGTCTGGGTCTATTGTGGTCTAGTTCTATGCACGGATGCTAAATGTGTCGAACCACTGTGACAGGTGAATGGGAGATAGGCCTGGCTGGAGTTTGACGAGAATTAGATCCGAACAAGGCTGAGCTGGGGCTTGGGCGGTGGACGTTGAAGGTGGGAGGTAGAGTTAGGTTGGCTGTGTGAAGTGGGAGGATGTCATGAAGAGGAAGTTGCGTGGGCTCGGGCTCGTATAGCAAGGGGGAGGGTGTGCTATTGGTGGTTTGCTGGTCGATGAGGAGGTAATTGGGCTGTGGTTGGAGATGGAAGAGGTAAGTGGTTGATGACTAGAGTGTAGGTGATAGTAAGAGGCGATTCAAGCTGGGTAGACAACGTAGCTTTATGGATTTGTTACTGGTGAAAGCAGTAATTAATTCGGTAAATTACAAGGAATGCTTTGCTACCCTGGGTACTTGGATAAATGATGTGATAGTGTGGACATATGGTAGTATAGCTACATGAGTACTAGAACTAACCATTAGTATTTGGACAAGCTACACGCCACTTTTGTCCTGTGACACAAACGAAAAGCCCGGTCGAAGCAAGGTTTCCTGATTTTTAGATTCCAATACTTTACAGTCTGTCCTAGCTTGGCTTCATTATGGTCCTCAGTGGACACCCACTGCTTCCTTCCAATCCAACCAACCAGGAAACAGAACCCCAAACTCCAAAACCTACCCCAATCCGGCCAGGTCTCCTGAAAATTGACAGGTTACCCGTCAGCCGCTTGTGTAACGCTTGAGTTTTCGGAAACCACGGATTTTTCACCTCGTCGGCTTTTTAAGAGCCGAGATCTGGAAATTCACATCCCAGCATATATCCGACCAGTAATCTACACTGCAAGCTGCCTGGATGTCTCGGTAAGGGCCGGCTATCTTCGGGACGAGGCGATAAGAGAGGAAAATCCAAACAAACGAATGGGAAGTTTACTGTTGTTCATGCAAGAGCACCTAACTGTCAAAAGTGTCAAACCATGGCACCCGGCTGAGCCGAAACAAAGGAAGGAAAGAGACAGGGAAAGTTGAAGGATTGAAGATCTGGATCTGGAAAAGAGAATTTGGAAAGCCTGGACTTTCCAGTTCCCATTTTCCAGTTCCATGTTTCCAGTAGTTGGAGTGAAAAATTATGAGCAAGCGAAGATCACCACCAAAAACAAGGAAAGAACAACCGACGAGATCAAATGCAAAAAAATAAGGAAAGATGAATGATTTTCCGGTCTTTCCTTTTCCTCTTCCATCTCTTCCACCTCTTCAGTGGTTCATATAGACCACCAAAATGCCTTCTTCGTTTATTCACAAAATGCCAATCGAACAGTGAGATGACGTCAAGGCCTCCAGTAGGAAAAAGCACCTTAAAACAACCAAAACACATCCAAACTGGCCATAAAAAACACCACCCAAACTGCAAAAGCCCACATATTTTAACTATAATCTTTCAAGTTCCTTCTCTTCCAGCCTCCTTTCTTATTGTATTTCCTGTCAAAACCGAAAATGGCCTTCACTTGTGGCCTTTTTCTTGGTTTCTCTCCTCAGCTTTCCTCCATTTTGCACCCACTGAAAAAGTGCCAAAAAGTGCCAAAAGTGCCTCACCTCAACGTTCCGATGCCGAACCTGCCGAGTCTGCGTCTGACCAGACAACCAGAAATGAAAAGTTAGGGAAGGAAAGTCTTAAAAAAAAGAAGAGACACTTACGAAAATACAAATGCTGCTCTCTGATTGGCCAGTTTCCATTTTCCTTTCTTTTTCTCTCTTCCTCTCTTTCCGTTCTCTTCTTGTTGCTGGTTATTTCTTAAAAAGCGTCCAGCGACAACCCCGGCCGGAAAAATCCGGCGTGCAGCCAGCCGTGGGGGAAGACAGATTGGAGAAACAGAGAGACAGAAAGCGACATGGAAAGACCCGCCAAGAATGACTGGGAAAGGGGACTTCTTATTATGAGGCCATATTTTACGACAAAATGCCAATACCTTTTTTACTGGGGGGTAAGGAAATGGCAAGAAAAAGGGCAAACGAAGTGTAATATTATGACTCCGATTGCCGTTAGGAAACCCGTACACCGGTGGAAAAGACCCGTACACCACGCTTATTGCCCCACCACCACACCCCCAAATTTCACCGCAACCAGTGGGGTCTAGCCAAATTAAAGTAGATTCCCAGGTTCCTGACGACTCCCACACCCAGAATATCCCCTTACTTTCTCTCCTACTTCCCTCCCTACACATCTTCTTCGAAGATGTCGAATTGTGGCTAGATGTGACCTGCATACACCCCACCGGTTCCAGTCCATGAGAGGCCGAAAATGAAGCTTGTATAAACAATCAGCGAAAAAAAAAAAAAAAAAAGTGAACGCTCGACCCCGAAAAAAAAAAAATAGCGCACTTTTATATATATCAAACCAGCCGGAGCCCCCACTGAGGAAATTTTTCTCTTCTTTTTTCTTCTTCTTCCTACCACCCTTTTTCCACCCAACAACAACTATCATAGAAAATGCTTCCAGCAGGTGTCATTCTTGTCTTCGTGTTGGTCGGTTTGGCCGCCATTGCCATTGTTGCCGTTGTCACCCAGAAGAAGCTCAAGGCTAGAAAGGCTAACCAGAGATTCTAAGCTGGCTGTCCAGAGGCCATTTGTGTTTTCTGGGCGGGCGAGTTTTCTGGAGAGTGTTTTTATGGAAGAGAGAGAGGAGAGAGCTGGTTTGCTGAAGTACTGATACCCAACCTCCCGCTGTGTTGTCCCACTTGGAATTTCGTGCTGCCTTGCTTAATACGCCCCTCTAGTGTGGGCATAATGATTAATACTGAAAAAGAACCACGAATTGAGTCTGTGGCGACGACGGGACGGTAAGCATGGGCCGTTTGGGCCCGTGTGGTACGATATCTGGCCTGCCTTTGTTCTTTGCTCTTCTTTTTTCCATGACGATGCCCTCCCGGAGGCTTGTTTGCCGGGACACTCCATCCTATAATACGATCACAGTTATCTATTACACCAAATTATTTTTTTATCCAAACCTTGTTTTTTTATATGTTTACTTATACGACGGGAATCTTTTTTTACTTTAATATATCGGGAATCACTCACAGTTATGGGTTTGTAGTAGTGTAGCCAAGAAACAGCAAGTCAAGGGATTGTGGGGAGCAGCCCCTACAGGTTCTGATTAAGGTTAAATGGGACCCAGTGGGTTCAGGCTCAAGTAGGCCCAAGTGGGCCCAAGTGGGCTCACTGGCAGCTAGACTGGCTTACCAGGCCAGTCTGATTGCCTAGTCTGCTGGTTGGACAACTACATTAGGTTACAGTTAGAAGCCACTGAAAGGCATGGTCATAGAGTAAAAAACGCTGTCTGTAATACTCCGATGGAATCCAAATCGTCTGGAAATCACAAAACGGGTGAAGTATAAATTACACTTTCTGTGGTCAGTTCGGTTGGTTTAGTGTAATTGGCTGCAAACGACAGATTCATACAAAAAGCACAGATAGTACCACATAAAAAAATCCAAAAAACAAGTTTAAAAACCAGCACTTTCCTGTCACCACAACCAAGCCATTCCCCAACCAGCCTCCTATTGGCCTCTGGCTTTTTTTGTCAGTTTCCAGAAGACCCCAACCATGTGTCATTACTCAGCCGTGGATATTGGTCCATATCGTAACCATCCACCGCCAACTCTTCAACCAGACATGCTAAACCAACAAAAAGCATACCACTAGAATCCTGACTTCCTCTTCTCTCTCTCTATATCCTTTCTTTTCAATTTTTCACTGCTTGGTCTATTTTTCACTCCGCCTCTACTGTCTTATCTTATCGCTCCTTCATACACCAATCCATATACTACACCCAGCTCATGGCTGTGAAGGGAATCCCTCGAAATAGAGCATCCAAGCAAGGCTGTCTCAGCTGTAAAAAGCTTAAAATCAAAGTACGTTCTTTACTATATTCCCATCTATCATCTCTAACCCCAGTGCAATGAAGAAAGACCAGTGTGTGAATACTGTCACCACAGAGGCAGACGGTGTGTGTACCCAGACGAGTTCCAGGTGGCTGTGAACGGGCCACTGCCGAAAGAGATAGTGGATGAATATCTACTGTCGTCGTCGCTGAGTTCGGAAGATTCGCCGTTTGACGAGAATGCGTTCTCTCTACGAAGAAGGTTTACCTTTGATATACTACTCACATCCACGGCCAATATCCTAGGCCTACTGCGGTTCGAGTTCCGTGTGCTACGGTTCTTTAACGACGTGTGTGTGCCGTTCATGACGTATAACGTGAATAGGCGTCATAGTGTTGTGTGGGAAGTGGTGGTGCCCCAGTACGTTACGAAATCGCCAGCGATCAGACTGGCTATTTTGGCTATGGGATGTCTCAACATCATGCCTGTTTTGGGCTTGGATAAGCTAATAGAGGATAATATGGACGAGAACGAGTTGGCCAGGAAATTGGAGGCGGGAAGCGATTCGATGGAGGTCCAGAAACTCTTTGCTGATGATTACCTTCTTGAAGAGGAGTCTGAGGTGAACTTGTTTCGCCACGCTTCTGAATTCTTCTCAGATGCTGTCCATGGGGTTCACAGAGCGGTGGCTCATCTTCTGGATCCGAATATTTCTTATTCAGATAGGATTCTCAGTCTTAGTGATGCTACAATCTCCAGTTACCTCATATACAGCTTTTTGGGCCTACATCCATGGAAGATGCTCCCCTTAGTTCATTTTCCAGAAGAAGGCGAAGAGCCAAGAGCAGATATGCTTAGTATCGCTGCTGGAATGAAGACGGTAATCATGGAAAACCGTGAGGAGCTTCGTTCTTCTGATATAGGCGAACTCTTCCATATGGATGAGCTCCAGTTCGTCTTTAGGCTGAAAGTGAAGCTAGTGGAGGAGCTCAAGTCCCAATTTAATGATTATTTGCACGGCATCAACTTCCTCGATATCAATCCCAAGATTAACGATATGATCCAAGATATACGGGAGTGCTTGGCGCTTCTAGACAAGGTGTGTTCTTTGTCGATCAAATTCAACTACCCAGTGCTTGTGTTCAAATGGCTACCGATGGTTGGGCCCGAACTCATTCCTCATATACGAGCCAAAGAGCCCTTTGCACTTCGTGTGTTGTTCGTTTACGCCTGTTTATGTGTATACTATCGGTTTTGGGCATTCGAGCACAACGTGTGGAAAGACTTCATTTTGTGGTACAGGGACCGTTATGGGCCTTTGTGTGACTTTGACGAAAGACTATACCATTACGTCATCGTAAAGAGAAAATATATTAACGCTGAAAATTATTATATCCTCAAGGACTTTGATGTGTGGTCTTCTGAGTTCGACTACGATTCGGCTATCCTGACGGTTGAACTGACACCTTTCTTCGTTTAGCATCAACGGTGTCAAACCTTAATAATAGGAGGTGGAACGTGGACCAATTAATGAGGTCGCTCAGCGTCGTTCATTTACACTACAGTGGTTATATCACGCCACGGGTGTGGATTGCAATATATGCTCTATAAGTCTAGGAGGAATGCTCGTAACTCTGTCATGTATTCATAAGTAATAATTAGCACGAGGCGGAAGGCACGCTCAGGGCCTTGCCAAGCCAAGGGGTGGAAACTTCAGTGACCACATTAATCTTGGAAATTAGCGATTTCAAATTCAACAAAGCGACGACTGCCATGTCAGATCGAGCCGGGGATGACTATAATCGTAGGCAGTGGCGGGGTCCAGGAATCAAGGGTCCGTAACGTCATAGAACCGCCCATCGCAAGCAAGAGATTATGCGCTATGGCGGAGCTGGTGACTCTAAACGAGCCATAGCCACTGTAGGCTGGCTGGGGCAGGTATTCGTGATTCAAGTCGTAGATCACCCGTACTGAAAAATTCACATAGCAAGCGTCACCAGCCAGGGCCTGGGCTGAACAGCTATGATGCCTCACCAGAAGCTGACCAACTGGCTACCTCATCACCAGAAGCTACCTCGCCTGACGGCTCGTTAGCATCTGGCGGCTCGTCAGCTTCTGGTTTACTTAGTATACCCCTTTGGAGGCTCCAGTGGAGGAGCATACTCTGGAGGAGCACCAGGAGCATCACTGCCACCAGCGCCCAGCGGCCCATAGTTCTGATTATAATCATTACTGAATCCCATATTGTTCAGATTGTAATCATTGCTAAATCCCATGTTGCCCTGGTCGCCACCGCCAGCTCCACCGCCGCCATATCCAGCCTGGTACCCTTGCTGGTACCCTCCACCATACCCACCACTAGGCTGTGGAGGAGGAGGAGGTGGAACACCACCGCCAGGGTACCCCTGCTGGTAATTGTTAGGAGCATAGTTCTCCTTATAGTAAGGCTGGTTGGACACGACATTGTTTCTTCTTCTTCTCCTAGCACAACAGAAAGCGAAAACCACTAGAATAAACACTGGAATGAGGATAAGCCAGAGAAGCCATCTCCATCTGTTCCAGCCGGTGTTATAACCGTAGCCGTAGTAACGTTTGGCCAATTCAAGATTCATGATTACTTGAAGATCAGGAGAAAGAAAGTAGTAGGTATATAAATTATAACTTTTGCCGAGACGAGGAAGCCTCTTGGCATGGGGGATAAGGTAGATAGTGGGTAGTGCATAGAAGCAAAGGGCTGTGGAGTGGAAAAGAAGCGTGAGCCGTTCAGGTGCAATAGAACGTGGCGTTGTATGCAGGACGCTGACATCACAGAATGGAGCCCTTCTCTGCGTAAGAGGCTGTTCTTGAAGTGACCCTGGCGACAGTTGCTGTTGGAAGGAAAGGTAGGGGGAGAGAATAGGGGAGGGTTGAAGGAATTGAAGAGAGATGGTGGTTTTGAGGGGGGGTGGGAAAGTTGGAAAATTGGATCGAATTTGGGTTATAATGTGTGTAGGTATGGAAGGTTTGTGTTTGCAGCCAAAGGGTAATGAAGGTGTGATGGCAAGTAATTTTTTTTTTTTTTTTTTTTGGGATTTACCCGCCAGGTTGATAATGATGATCTTGGGAAACGTGAAAACATGATTTTTTCACAGGAACTCAAAGAACAATACACTGGGAGGTGAAGGAACAAGTCATGGTTAGGCCAATATGGAAGGTATCACAAAGTGAAGAGTATTAGTAAGGCCAGGCCAATCCGTGTGAAAAAGTACCCACCGCTCAATCTCCATCCCCCTGATAATTAAAGCAACCGAAGCTTTTCGCCCTCGTGCCTTTCAGCCGTGCCGGATGCTTCGTAACTGGTTTGGTTGCGAAACTTCCACTGGCAATGCCCCTAATCGTGGTTTTGAGCCAATTGAAGTTGACTGGCTGGACCAGGGGCAGTTGTCGGTTAGACCAGCCTGGATTGACAGCCGGTGGAGGTGGCTTCCAATGGGGAATGTGTCAATAGCAACGCATATCAAGTAGCAACCTGGCTTCCAAGACTACGCCTTCATTGTAAGTACTTGTTGAAGTATTTACAGCTCGTCGTAATTGTAAGCTTCAGCAAAACAGCAGCACGGGATCTTGTGTCAGCCAGATAAATTGCACGGCTGGGCAGCGCCTCAATTGCTGTCAATTTTCTTGTGGCATCAAACTTCAATGGTTCCAGCGATGCGCTTATCATTATCGCTTTTGTGCCATCGTCACCGTTTGCTCAATAGCAAAGATCGACGAGATCAACCTTTCCCACGAGTATGTCGATCGTAGGCTGTGGGTTCCAGCAACGTGCTGCAGCCGAAACAACACAATAGACGGCTCCTCTATAAAAATGACAATTACACCTCCTCTTCTTGTTCTTGCAAGTCTTCGTCGTACTCGTCCAACTTGAAGGCCAAGACCAGGGTTAAAATGGCAATCACAGAAAGAATCAACCATGACATCTGTGCCACTCCTCTCTTATCAAAGAAGGACATCAAACCACCCCAAAGTAATGGAGCTACGCATCTGGCAAGTGCTGTAGCGCTCATGGACGTAGCATTGACAAAGGCACGATGTTTAGGCACAGTGGCACGATACACCAAGATCACCATCTGAGGGAACGACAAGGCAGCTGCAAACGTTTGCACGGAAGCACACGTATAAATACCAGCAGTAGAGAACCATGCTGGGAAACCTGGCTGGTATTCTGGCTTAGAGAACACCATGTAGGGTATGAAAAAGTAGGCAAAAGGAAAGAATAGAGAGGCTAGTCTCAAAACATCAATGTTTCTCATGTACCTATCCAAGAAAGGGAACACGACAATGATGATGAAACAGCCAGCGAAACCCGTTGTGGAAAGTAAAGTTCCGATATCGCTGGTTTCCCAAGATAAGCCTCCCTTGATGTGCCAAGGGAACTTGAGCAGCTCGAGCTGGAATCTGCCTGCAAGGAAAACAGGCAAGAACTCAGATTGCACAAGACAATGAAAAGCAAGACAAAAGTATGCGAGAATGGTACCACGAACCTTGTTGCTGAAGATGTTTTTGTTGCCGAATGCTTTGAAAATGTCCTTTGTCTCATCGAGTACAGACTGGTTTGTCGTTGTACGAGTGAGCGAAGCATTCGAGTAACGGCGGATAAAGGCTAAAGATGTTCTGCGGGTCAATGGCTGCTCGTATGAATTGATAGAGCGGTCGTCCTCGTCGTTTTCATCGAAAACATCGTTATCCACAGCAGAGTAAAGGTTGTCTGCGGTCAAAGGCGTGGTTTCAGAAGGTTCACGCTGCTGAGTAGAAGCCGTCTTGGAAGCCAAAGCTCTGGAGCGAGCCAGTGGAGTAAACCCAAGCGACCGCAAGATCCAATCACCTATAGCCAAACCGTAGTCGTGGTTCTTCTTTGCTCTAGGCTGAGTTTCCTCAAGGAAAAGGAACCCCACAATGAAACTGAACATCAAAAGACTTGCCACAACGATGTTAGACATGGCATACGGATGCTTAGATACAAACCGATCGTAAGCGCCAGCCACCTCTATATCTTCAGAAGGCATTTTAGGTCTCGTCAAGTACCGGGAACCGCCGATAGCAGGTCCTAACACACACCCCACGTTCCATAGAAGCGGGAGGCATGAAAATGCAATAGACTGGTGTCTTCTTTCAGACACAACTTCACCGACCATGGTCTGCAAAACAGGCACATTCCCGTTCAAAGCGCCCATAAGCGATCTGGCAGTAATGGCCATATAGAAATTAGTGGAAAAGCCAAATATTAGTAGCGACGTCATGGTGCCTAGAAGGCCTAGTAGAAGCACGGGCTTTCTGCCGATTCTATCCGAAAGACGGCCCCAGTGGATGCAACAAAGAAACTGGGCAAATGCAAAAGACGCTCCCATGTACCCCGTGTACTTGGAGATTTCCGTCGGGTCATCAACAATGTTGAAATCTCTTATCATGAAATAGACATAGGGGAATAGCGAGGTGAAGGCGATGGGTTCAGAAAACCGGATCAAGCAGATGATGGTCATCTGGCGAAACGGGAACCCTTTCATTTGATCTCTGAAGGAGCCCATGTGGAAATGAAATATGTGATTGAAAAGAAGAAGGTAGTTGGTATTTGAAAAAAAGAAAACCAAAAATCAATCGTGCGTATTATCGAGGTGCGTCAGTTTCTTCAGAACGGAATAACAGAACGGTGGATCCTTAAAGGCTTGGAAGTTTAAAGAAAAAAAAATGTCACCTCCTTCAAAATAAGGTTTGCACCGAACGGCACTTGACCTTCTTATACTCACAACTCGTCTGAGTACCTCCATATTAGTATGACTAACAGGGCCCACTTTTTAGAGAGGAAAAGGTATCGGACTGCATATAAGCACATGCTATCAACGTCTTTCCATCTATGACACAAAAAAGCGCACTAATTTTGCAACAATAGTTAATTAAATGGTTGCAAAATTCGCGCCACAGTGACTAAATCAGTCTTCGTAGTCACGCATTGTAAGCGACTGGAAAAGTCCAAAAAGCGCCAAAAGCGCCATGAGCCACCAGTTGAGCCATCCGATTTGCCAGTTATCACCTAAAGTCATGAGCCAGCCAAACACGATTGGTCCAATGCATCTGGCCAATGCTAACATACTCATAGTTAGTGAGTTCACGTAAGCACGGTGTTGCTTGGCGGCGGCTCTGTGGTTTAAAAGCATCACTTGGGGCATGCCGGTAGCTGAAGCTAGGGTTTTGAGGGATGTAAGGCCGTAGAGAATGATGGGGGTTAACCATTCAGGGAAGGCTGGGTTGTAGCTGTGCTGGGTGAATATGGCCATGGGAACGGCTGCGTAGACGATGGGGAAGAAAAGAAGGGAAAGGCGGAACCCTTCCATGGTGCCTAGCCGACGGTCGATCCAGGGGAAGATAATGAGGACAATGAGCATACCCATGATACCAGTGGATGAGAAAAGCGTACCGATGTAGCTGGAGTCGAGGCCAAAACCGCCTTCTATACGGAACGGAAACTGGAGTTTGTCTCTTTGGAAACGGCCAGCTAGGAAGACCGGAAGGAACTCGTTGTAGGCAATGCTATGCAAAGAAATGATGCAGTTTGAAAGAATAACCGTGATGACTTGTGGAGTAAGAGCTCGAGGTTCAGGTTTGGGAATATACTCCAGCGCCAGCGAGTAACGACGAATGACAGCATTAGACATGGACCGAGACGTTCTGCGGGAGATATAAGGCTCAATGGGTTCGCCTTCTTCGACGATTTCTTGCACTGCATTATCGATATCATCAGAAAGACTCGAATCGTCTTCGGATTGAAGCAACGGCGTGTTTTCAGATGGCTGGGCTGACGAAAATGGCAGCACCCCCAGATCTATCGAAGCTGTATCTGGCTGCACGCCTCTTTCACGCTGAATACCTTCTTCCTGGAGATTCTGAGGGGAGAAATGCTCAGAGCCGGTTTCTGGGTCCTCGTAGCCGCCGTGCCATGGCCTCACAGGTCTTTTACGGCCAAACAAGTAGTACAAGATCGAATCGCCAATCTCCAAGCCGATATCTCTCCTCTTAAACACATCCTCGTTAGTTTCTTCAAGAAACAAGAACCCCACAATCAAACTGAACCAAAGAAAGCCCGAAACAACAATATTAGCCAAAGCGTACGGATGTTTAGCACGGAACTTGGCGAACCCACTTTGCACAGTCAATTCACCCACACTCTTTTCATAAGGCGACCGTGGGCTAGGTCTTGTCAAGAGATACGAACCACCCACCAAAGGTCCAATTACCGATCCAAAGTTAAACAACAAAGGAAGCGTACTGAAGCCTATAGCCTGGTGCTTTCTTTCCACGCAAATCTCGCCTATCATCGTTCTCAACACGGCAATGTTACCGTTCAAGCACCCAGCCAAGCTTCGAGCCGCAAGCGCCATATAGTAGTTGGTACTAAACCCAAATAGTAATAACGACATGGATGTACCAAATAAGCCAAACAACAAAATAGGTTTCCTTCCCACCCTATTTGACATCTTCCCCCACTGCACGGCACAGAGAAACTGGCAGAATGCAAAACTCGACGCCAAGTAGCCCGAGTACTTGGAAATCTCCTTTTCGGTAGGAGCAATCTGGAAATCTCGAATCATAAAGTAGAGATAGGGGAATAAGGAAGTGAACGCCAAGGGCTCAGAAAATCGAATAAGCGACACCACAAGCATCTGGCGAACGGGGAACCCCGCTAGCTGTTCACGGAAGGTTAGGGCCATTGGAGGAAGAAAAGAGATGGGTTTTGGAGGAAGAAGTAGGAAAGTAGTATTTTCAGCCTTTCGGGCCGTTTGTTGATGGGTACTGCATACGCCGCAGGTACCGTTTATCACCGATTCCACCGAGGTACGCCAGGGCAGGACGGGTATTGGGGAATAGTGGATGGAAAGTGGTTGGCTTAAATGAAGGGGAATGGGAGACGGCTTGGTGAAAATTTGAAGGGGATGGGGGTTCGGGAAGTGGTAGTTTGGGGGAGGTCAATGACCTGCATATAAGACCCGTCAAGTCGAAAGGTCTAACCACTTCGTTCGGACCACCATCGGGAGACGTCGTAGGTATTAGTAGGTCATTCTAGGTGTTTAGAGGCTGGTAAGTATGGTGGGATTGCTGTGGAGTGGGTAGGTCGGCTGGTGCACGGGTTTCTGCCAAATGTGTCACTGGCCTACCACCTGAACCCAGCCATTTTGCAGCCACTTAAAAATACCCAGAAGTCGTAAATATTCTTTTAATAAGGGTCTTCGATGATAATTATCTGAAAAATCGGTGGGTGATGGCGGCTGGCGGGTATATTTCCCGATTAGGCGGATCTTCCGAAGTGAGGCTCAACCGAACCGAGATGGCTCGGGACATCGAGAAAGACTCCGAAATGGCACAAAAATGGACTTTGAAAATTTAGGATGGACTGGGAAGTGTAGTGATTGGTTGGTTATTGAGCCGAGCGGGAATCGCCTTTTCTGGAATGTAAGTGGTCTATGGCTGACTTCACTTACTTGACTTCAACCAGTCCATATAGATACTCACTGGTATAAAGTATATATGGGACAAACGGCACAGAAAAAGATCGTAAATGGGCGACTTAAAGGAAATGTGGTTGAGGTGGTCTTTAGCTTTCTGGTAAACGCTTTCTAGCCTACTGTCTATTGGTTACAGTTGGAGCCCTCTGTATGACCTACCAAACAGTACAGTGTCGTCAGGGCTTACCGTAGTCGTCATTCAAACCCCAAACACATTCCATGGTGGATCTTCAAATCTCTCCCTTTGCTGTTTAAGGTTGTTATCCTGATAATGCAAGATCGTCTACACTGATCTTCATGATAGAATGCTGCAGCCAACGCCTCTGCAGATCAAAGGACAGATCAGGAGAAGTTATGAGACATAAAACCTGACTTTGGAGGTTGTTTAAGACAAGCAAGATGTTAGCATTTCTAGTGCTCACAGTAAGTTGGGCAGTTACCTCAAGTACCAGACCATACTAGACATTGGTAGTACAATGTATGTACCAACGACTTTGTTGGCCAAAGTCATACTTTAACCTTCCCATTTTTTGCAAATCTAGGGAATGCCCTCATCCAAACCTTATCTGTCCCTCTGCCAGGCCCCCTCTGCCATACATTCCAGGGCTGGAGCTACGACAATGGCACACCTCACTGGACAATGTGAACAATCAATAGACTAGCCGTAAACCAGCGATGGCTCCCATTGAAACGTGGATTCCCGTCTAATTCACATTGTCAACCACGGCTTCTCCCAAAAATAGATACAAAAACAAAAACAAACATATCCAGAATGTCCTGACCGTTCGTGGCCATTAGTATCCAATACTCAATTTCCAGTCCTTCAACCTTTCTTCTTGGCATTGTCCCTGCCAACTCGTCCCTATTCCATCACCATCTTTGCATGGTCAGGGTCTCTTCTTTGTTTAATTGTACCAAGAGATTAACAATTAATTTGACAAGCAATTGACAACCAGTGTCTCTACACCACCGTACAACCGTCTCCAGTGGCCCTTACAAAGCAGTTTGAACTCTACCCAGCCAATGAACACCTGGCTGAAATCTTCAACCGTCAACGTTCCGATTTAGCCAGTCTAGACCAAGCTTTAAATATAAATAGTTGCAGATGGCGTTTCAAGAAAAAAAAAAAAAAAAAAAAAAAAAAAAAAAAGGCACCCAAATCACCAGTTTTTTTGATCTTCAAAACCAACAAACCACCAACTTCTTTAATCTCGACGTACCCCCGTATTTCCTCTTAATCCACGCTTTCATTACTTAAGCCTTGGGGGTTCGTGTCTGGTATTTTCCAGTTTAGACGGGCTTTTTACGTGATAGGCTCGCGCCGCAGCCAAAAATAGACTCTGACCGTTGAAACAGGGGAACGCCAACCCCCGTGTATTTGGGCTCCAGAAGTCGATTTTGATGGGAAAAAGATGTGGAGATGTAGAATTTGGTCTGCTTTACTGATAGAACCCACTACTTACCTTTTTCTGGCGAAAAAGGGCCCAAAATTGACGGGTTTTGGTTTGGATCACGTGACCAGTCCAACACATTTGCATCTGGTGCAGCGAGGCGAAGGGGAAAGAAAAAAAAACTTCCTTCAGATTCCTATAAACACTCAAAGAATCAGCCACTCTTTGGTGAAATCCAACACAAAACGCCTACTTCGCTTCTGAAAAGGCTTCCCTAATTCCACTCGTTAAAAGCTCGACTTTACCGTTTTCAGCCCTTCCTTTAACACAGAACATCAAATCCCTCCAAGATTCCCCAGAATCGTTCCTTGCATTCGCCATGATCCGTCCCTTGATCTTCTCGGTAGCGGTGGTTTTTGGCGTGTTTTTCGTCTTCTACGGCCAGGCGGTGGCTCAGGTTCGTGTGGTGGCTCTGTCGGTGCTTCCCAGGCTTGAACCTGCTGGTTTGGTGGAGAAGAGAGCTGATGGTGATGGTTCGGCTTCTGCCAGTGGTGGGTTTGGACAATCTACGAGCCTGAGTTCGCTGACACTGTCTGGGTTTCCAACAACAAGCAGTTCGTCTTCGCTGAGTTCGCTGAGTTCAAGCAGTTCGCTGACGAGTTCTACGTCTCTGACGACGTCTTCGCTGTCACTGAGTTCTTCTAGTACTCCTACTACGACTTCTTCTACGTCTTCTACGGAACAGCAGACTACTTCTGATACAACTCCTACGGATACTCTGCTGTCGGTGCCATGGTGGGAAACCACGTCCTCGACGTTCCCTGAGAGCACTACAGACAACGGCGGGGGCCAGAGCCTGGAGACCCCAGATACTACTTCTTCTTCGGTGGACCCAGGCACTACGGATGAACCTACGTCTTCGTCAAGAACCAATGGCAATGGCAATGACGACGACGACGATAATAATAGTAATGGTAACGGTAATAGTCCCAGCAGGAGCACCGACGGTGATGAGCTCAGCGACACCAACCAGCGCAGAACCAGGACTTTCGACTCGGTCCAGAACGGATCTACAGTCATTGTCACACAAACTTCCGTTTACACTTCCAACGGCAGCTCTTCTCCTACAGGAACCAACCGTGAGAGCGACAGTTCTGGCGGCGGCCTCAGTCAGACGAATAAAATCGTTGTTGGCGTGGTTGTCGGTGTAGGAGGAGCCATTCTCCTTGCAATTGCCGCATTGGTGTTCTTAATTAAGAGAAGAGGCAGCAGAGGCCGTGAGAGCGGATGGACTTTCTGGAGAAAGGGAGAGAAGGGCGACGGCGACGACTTCTTCGATGGAGAATTGGGCGTTCGCGACCGTAACATCAACCAAGGGCTGAACTTCTAGGCCCTTGGGTCTGAGCCCAAGCCCTAAGCCGAGGGCTCAAGACTCGACTTTACCTAACCGTTTAAAGTTGGTCTTGTTAAACTGGGCCCACTCCAATGCACCTACTCAAGACCATAGCAAGAGACCTCTTTCCAATAAGCTTTGAAGGCTACACATGGAAGAAGGCCCGGCCGGCAATTGAGCTGGACCCTGACGTTGCTGTGCCACATACCCCTTCTACCCAAACCCGTTTTTTCCGAATCGGTGGGTGGTTTTTATGTTGCGGTGCTTCCCGGTGAAAAAAATGTCGCTGTTGGAACCCTCCGCGGTAAAACGTACCTCCACCAAGTATTGGCGAGATTTGCGGCGTAGCAATAGCCCCAACCCTAATTTTTTTTTGTGGCTAGTTTCAGGGTTATTGGCAATGGTTAGGGCTACAATGGTTTGATTGAAAAAACAACCACATTGTTGTAATCGCAGATGGCAGGTTATGCTAGATCTCGCAAAATAATGCAAGATTCATCAGGATCTAAAATGAGGCTAGTGCGCTGCCAGGGCCCGCCCTTGAGGCTAAACAACCACATAATGCCGACACCAGCCTCCCCCAAAAAAACACAAACTCATACCCGTGCCGTCCCCCTTGGCGCAAACAACCGGTCTAGCCTGCTGTGGAGGTGAAGTCATAATATACAAGCGAGAAGCGTCCCAATGGCGAGTGCATAATCAACACACCACGAATAAGAGAAGATACCCCCATTCTAGAACAGAAGGTGCCGGACCCGTGGGCCGGATGCAGAAGAGTAAATAGTTACAAAACAAAACCGGAAAGGTACATGGATGGTCTTGTAGCAAGTAAAGTGTGGTCTTGAAACGAACCGGGACCGAACAAGGCAGGAGGGAAGCAAACAACAAAGAAGGTACAGGGCGGGACGAAAAATACAAAAAAAAAATAACCGGAAGGGGCTGGATGCAGAAAAAAAATGGTTTCGTGTAAGGTACTACTACAACGGATTGTTTTTGTTTGCGATGTGGCTAGTGCGATGCAAGAGAAGGTGAGGCGCTCGTTAGTAAGGGAGGGGCACAGCGAGGGACCAAGGTTGTGGCTAGTGCACTCCATGAGGCGCGAAGCGAGAAAATGGCAGGATCTTACAGGTGAGACATGCGAGAGGTTGTGGCTAGTGCGCGCAGGGAGATGTGGCTAGTGCAGATCGCAGACGGACCATACAGAGAGCTACAGAAGAAACAATAAAGGGACCAAAACCAGGTGGCATAGGCGAGTGGTTTGAATTGGTCTTTTTTGCAAGGCTCACTAGCCACAGCAACCATGGTTACGACGCCCCACCTGGGCCCCCAGCCAAACCCTAACCTCTCAAAAATTGCTGCAGGCCGGGTATGAGCAATTGCTTAGTGGCCAGTGAAAACTGGCGATAAGACAAATCCGGTATTCCCAAAGGGGCAAGTCGGTACAGGTGAGGCCGGTAGGCAAAAAAAAGGAAAAAACCCAAAAGTCACTCAAAACCTCTCAGTACGCCTCAAGTATCATCCAGGCTTTAAAATGTGGGAATGATCCTTCTCTTATATACTTCTTGGAGCGAGACCAAAAACTGGATTTGACAATGGAAGAATTATTCAACAATGGTGGGCATTGTAATGCTTAAAGAGAAAGCAGCAACCCAACGAAGAGGTGAGACATCGCGCCTGCATATACGCCCAGAAAAGCTCAATGACGAGGGTCTTGCGCATTAACTATGATGGCACTTCGCATAACAATGGCAAAAGAGAACATAACCGTTCCCACCAGCCACTTTTCCTTGGTCTAGCATACCAAAGAACCTGAAATTTGTCAACCTCCAAAAGTTCTTCTTCCCTTCGATTGATGCGCTGCCACAGATATACATTACGACGTGGTACGCATGCCAATGGGCGTTCCAGAACTACACCTATGCCGAGGGTACAAAAGTCCCCAAACCAGCAACAGTTACCAGGGCGGTATGGGCGTGGCGGTGTCTGCAGCACGGCAGTACGTTGACGCTTAAAAGTGCTGGCGCGACAATGGGCTGTAATTCGCCGAGTGTTTTGTGCTGAGTTCATGGGTGTGTTTTTTAGCATATGGAGCATGAAGAGAGCGGGCAGGGTTCAGGTTTCTGGAGGCACGGATTTCCGAACTTTTTAGGAATTCCGTGGGGTGGGACGGAAATCCGCTCAATTTCAAAAATGTGTAATAAAACAATTCATTTCAAAAAATACCTCATATCTAAATTACCTGGGGAGGTAGGGTAGGTTAATTTTTGGTAAGGTGGCCCCTGCATGGAAGCCCCCTCGCTTGCTAAAGTAGCCGGGAAAAAAAAAGTCGTCGTGCGGCTCATGCACCCAGACGACACTTGTTTCATACCGTATGCAGACCAAACGCCATGCATGTCTCAGAAAAAACCAAAACCTCCATACAACCCACACTTTCCTCACCCCCCACCAAAAAAAATTCGTACAGTAACTTTTCCCACACATAAAAAAACTGCCATGTCAAAACAACCGACCAACATATAAGCACCTTACCTTTTTTCTGGTCCACCCATATACATCAATAGGCTGCACATATTCTAGATTTTCTGCACCTTATGCACCTTCTGCACTTTCTGCTTTTTTTTTTTGTGGCGATCCCCCTTTGAGCGTTTCCCTTTAAATACCCTGTTATTGCTCCCTCCCCAGCAATCTCCCAACCACATTTCATATTCCAGAGGGTCAAATTTAAATATCCACCTTTCCAGTTGAATCTTTGCTACTTTTCCCAGAACCTGTTCTTCCTTAATCGAACCTGTTCTCCTCCCCCACCTCATAGTTAAGAAAAGATTCCCTTTACCTAACCTTAACCAGCCCATCTTACTCCAAATAACTTCCATCCCGGGGCTTCTCCATCCATCCACCTTCCCTTATCCAACCAACCAACTTTCTCGAAAGTTCCCCTGTTCTTCCTTTGAACTCTAAGACACCCTCACGCTCCTGTGATATCTGCGTGTCTCAAATTCCCAAAACCTCCAAGTTACAGATCCCACGAGCCCAAACTCTCAAGAACTGGCCTCAACTGACCTCAAACGACTCGGAACTCGCCTGATTTCAGCCTTGCACACCTATTTTGCCTGTCTGTCTTCTTTCTGCTTCTGCTTCTGTCTGTCTCAGTTACCCTTCTGTGTGTCTCAGTTTACGTTTCTGTAATTGTTCCCTGGACCAGCGCATGATCAATTCGCCCCTTCGAAAATGCTAGGTATCCTAGATCTTCTAAACTCTGAGGACGCTTCCGAGGCCACCATGAGTCAGCCTCCTCCTCCCTCAGAGTCTCACGAATCAAGCATGCCAGGACTGGAAGAGCTGAGCAAGTCCGGCTCCAAGTCGCCTTCCACGTCTGATTCCATCTCCACCAAGTCATTTAGGGTGTCCAAACTGCTACCTCGGTCCAAAGTTCACCCATCCCTCCTAAAGTCAAGAAAACTAGTAGACATTGCGCTAAGGCACAAGTCTGGCTCCAAGCGCCAAGCTGGCGGCAACTTTACGCCAGAACTGGGCTCTTCCAAGCTCCATTTGAAGCTGTTGGAGGCTGGCCTCCGTGTACGGCTCATCTTGTGCCCTGCCATCTACGAGTTGTTTAGGCAGCTTACTCCTCATACCGCTGGACGAAACACAATTGTCCACGTTGCATTCGATAATGAAAAGCAGCTTCTCGCTGGTAAAGATATATCGCCAGAGCTTAAAGAAGATAGGCTCGGCCGTGGCCGCAAACAGACGTCCAACGGCTCTCTGCATGGCTTCAGGGCTGCTCATGGCTTTGCCAGTGGTTACAACGGTCTGTACCAGAACGGTAGTAGCGACTGGGGTTCCGACCAGCGCTCTGACCTGATGTCTTCAAACGGTCTGGGTTTCTCCATGGCCGACCTTAACGGTAATGGTTCCGCCAGAAACGGCAATATCGATACCAGTGTACCGCCAGACGACTTGGACGGCAAGAATAGTGAGTCCAACGGTCTGGATGGCGGTGACAGTTCTAGTGATTCGTCCAGTAGCGGCTACGACGGCTACCACGACTATTCCAACCCCTCAGACTATTCTCATTTACTCGGAAAGCATCTGGTTGGCCCCAGAAAGGCCATCCTGAAGCGTGTACGTCTCATTGACAACAACTTGGTCAATTTGGCTGGTGTGTCTAGCAAAGTGCTTAAATCTTTCCAGGTCGACAAGGAACACAGAGCTCCTTCTGCTCCATTAAGCGACGGAGTCGAGAGCGACGACTCAAGACCTGGCATGGTTACCACGTTTAACTTGCTCGACACAGCTGTCATGTCACTCTTTGGCACTCGCACATACTCTCTTGTGAGAGTAACTCGTTCTTCTTCCAATACCAGTGACGGATCTGTCTTACTTAAGCTTGAGTGTGCCAAACCTGGCGACACAAGACTTGTGGACGACAGAGAGTTCATGGAAGACATGGTTGCTTCTCTTGGACGCGAGGGCCAGACGCCGAACAACCTTTTCATCAAGAAGGTGGTTGCTCGTCCTCGTTACAAGAGTGACATGAAGATTTACATTGTTCCCACGGACAAGAAGGTTCTGTTGTACGTTGATAGAAGGGTGTTTGAATGTGATCTCATCAACGGCGTTATAGAGATGGATTGCCCCACCGACAGGTATATCTACACCACATTCCCTGTCGACGACATCATTCTGGACGTACGCAACATGCTCAACCGAAGCAACGATCTCTCTGACCCAGAGAGCTCTGACCTGGTGCCTAACCACATGACAGACACGAGCTTGAGCACCAGCAACCTTCACAAGTGGAACATTCCAATGAACGATATGGAGCTGTCGGTGCTGTCACCAAGCTCTTCGTCACTTCCTTCGTTGATGTCCAACACTAACCTGTCAGGCTCCAGCGGCTCTGTTAGTCTGGGAAGTGACCCAAGCCTGGATTCCACGCCCAATGCATCCGATCGTGCCAAACTTACGTTGCTGAGCATCCCCAATGCCAAGATGGAGCTGATAGAAGAGCCGGTGGATCTCAAGTTTGACACGTCGTATGTTGCCTAAGCGGGCGGCTGTTTTCCAAAATTTAATGTGATGTTTGAATACTATTACTATTGTTTGCTTTCCTGGGTTTGATTTACTACTTGATACGGGGTTAGGCTTGTTTTTTATCATGATATATATACAATTTTTTTTAACGACAAAGCACAGAATACACATTATCTATCAACGTTTCGTATTTATTTTTAATTTTCAAAGTAATTTACACATTCAAAGAAACATTCTCGGTAGAGATCATGTTCTTGTAAGGCTCCAAGGCCTCAGCAACAGTCTTGTTAACAAACTTCTCGGTTTGCTGTGGAGCACGGCCAACAAAGGTAGATGGGTCCAACAAACTGTCCAAATCCTTCCAGATTGGCTCGAAGTACTTGGTGTTTCTGACTCTGTCGATCAAGTCGTTACGACCACCTTCCTGTTTAACCTGAGCAGAAGCCTCGTGGGACAAAACTCTGATTTCCTCGTGGCAGTCTTGTCTAGAAGCACCCTTCTCAACCATAGCCATGATGATGTTCTCGGTGGCCATGAATGGCAACTCCTCCAGGATTCTTCTCTCGATGACCTTAGGGTAGACAACAAGACCAGAGGTGATGTTGTTCAAGGTGGACAACAAAATGTCGGCAGTCAAGAAAGCAGAAGGAAGAGAGATTCTTCTGATGGCAGAGTCGTCCAAGGTTCTTTCAAACCACTGGACAGAGGCGGTCTGGATAGCATCGTTCAACAAACCACCCAAGTGTCTAGACAAAGAGCAAACTCTCTCACATCTCATTGGGTTTCTCTTATAAGCCATAGCAGAAGAACCGATCTGGGACTTCTCGAATGGCTCCTCGACCTCCTTCAAGTTAGCCAAGAGTCTGATGTCAGTAGCAAACTTGTGAGTAGTAGCACCCAAAGAAGCCAATGGGCTCAAGACATCGATATCGATCTTTCTGGAGTAAGTCTGGCCAGTAACTGGGTACACGTGCTCAAAGCCCAAAAGCTTGACCACCGTCTCGTCCAATTCCTCAACCTTATCGTGGTCACCGTGGAAAAGAGACAAGAAAGAAGCCTGAGTACCGGTAGTACCCTTGACACCTCTAAGACCCAAGTCGTTTCTGGCTCTCACCATGTTTCTCAAGTCCCACAACAACTCCTGGATCCACAAAGTGGCTCTCTTGCCCACAGTGGTAAGCTGGGCAGGCTGGAAGTGGGTCCATCCCAAAACTGGCAAGTCCTTGTACTCAAGAGCAAACTTGGACAATCTGTCGATGACATTGACCAACTTAGGAATCAAAACGTCGTACGCGTCTCTCAAGAAGATCAAGTCAGCATTGTCTGTAACAAAACAGGAAGTAGCACCCAAATGGATGATACCAGCAGCAGCAGGGCACGTTTCACCGAAAACGTGAACGTGGGCCATCACGTCGTGTCTGACCTTGGCCTCTTCCACAGAAGCAGCCTTGATCTCCTCGTCGGTGATGTCCAAGTTCTTCTTCATCTGTTCAATGGCCTCGTCGGTGATGACAGAAAGACCAACCTTCTGTTCAGCGATAGCCAAGTTCAACCAGAGCTTTCTCCAGGTGGAAAATCTGTTTCTCAAGGAGAAAATCTTGGACATTTCCTCAGAGGCGTATCTGGAGGACAAGGGGGTGGAGTATTTATCGTTGGCACTCATTTTGGGGGAGGTGATGTGGAGAATTGGGGAGGATCCTGGAGATTTGAAAAATCGGTAGCGAAGATGGGGTGATTATAAGGGTAATAAAGATGTCGCGCTTTATCAGAAATGTCGTGTGAAGGGTACCCTATGGGAGGGGGTGGTGCCAGGTAGATGGAAACTATTTGGGGGTTTTAGTGGAAAGGGGGATGGTTGGGGATGGTGTGGACGGGAATTGGGCCTCGTTGGAAGGGAATTGGTGGTTTTAGCGGTGGTTGGTGGAGTATGCGCTTAGATAACGAGGGACGGTAACAAACCAGGAGATAGTGACATAATGAGGTGGGTTTCAAGCACCAAGAAGCTTTCAGTGAAATCAATGCGCTTGTTTCATCTTGTTTCAGGTTTTTTGTTTCTGAAACACGCCGCCTTCCTCCCATTTCATCCACTGATGGAACTCACATCGTGCGACATTTTTGCAACTGATAATCAACCCCAATCAATAGCTGACTCGGAACCTGACTGCGCGCATCACCACCCAAAACCACCCTTTAATGAAGCTAACCAAGCAAGAAAGACCAGTAATGGATGTTTATTCGTTTTCTGAATGAATTAGATATTTTTTCTTTGATTGCTTTTTCACTGCTTTTTTTTTTTCTGTGGCCTGTTGGTCCGGACCAAGACGCTGGTCCAAGTCTCGTTAACAAACGCTCAGAACGCCAATGATCTGGTCTGGTCTGGTCCAGCAATTAAAGAAAAGAGGGACAGTTGGGGAGGTGTTGGATTTGGAGGATTTGGTGGGATTGGGTGGTTTGGTGGGGAAAAAGGTGGTAAAATACAGGTGGATGTTGGCTTTGGAGATTCTCGTTGACGGTGGTGGTGGTTCTCTTGGAAGGCTTTGTCTCCAGTTGGGTACGAAAGAGATGGAATTCCAATGGCCGTAGAATAAGTAGTTTATAGTGGGACAATTAGTGAGTCTAAGAATTGAGATGGAACAGGAATGAAGAACTGTCTCTCTGGAGTATTCACGGTGCAATTTGCAGCCATTCCATATGGTAGATACAATACCTAATACGTTCTCAGATACCAGGGAAAGGTAATTAAGCTATTGGAATAGACCTTTTCACTTTAAGGAAAAACTTCTGGTAATTAATACCATATTTGACTATTAGTCGTCGTTATTCCATTGCTTTATTGGCCATGTCCGCCAGCCAACAAAGAGGAGTACCAAAGTATTGAAGCACTGAAATGTTAAGGTAAATTAAATAGCGCAGCTCAGACTCCTTGCAAATTTGACTCCACTCATAACACTGTGGTGATGTTGAATTACAGCCACTTTCTTATCTCAGATTAATATAATACATATTCAGTACCCACTGTGATCAACACAGACATCCTGGTGAATTGACATATCTATGTCTTCATATAGGTGGTTGTTTCCAGCCCAAAGTAGTTCTCCAAGAGCTTTATATATCTAATAGACGGCATCCCGGCCAATTGCTTCTGATACCTTCTGGACGCCCGGTAAGCATTTCCAGCCGAATCTCGATCCTGGCGAACCAGCCAACGTTGAAAATCACCCAATGACCTTATTGGGGATGAAACATCCCTTGAAACAGCCACTTTCCGCTTGAAACACGCACTTCTCTTCAAACACGTCTCTTCCATTACGCCTCCTCTTCACTATGCAACTCTTCAGGCTTCTCTCTCTCCAACTCCTCCAATTCCTGATTACGCAACTGCATCAGGTACACTGCCGTCTTGAACAACGTATAAACAAGGCCTATTTTCCTTTCCAAGTTCCTCATGTTGCCTAGAAGGGCATCTGCTGGAACGGTGGCTCCAGAGTCCAGAGCGGGTTTCTGTTTGTTTAGACTGGCGATTTCATCGGAAAGTTTGTTTAGTTTGACCGCAAGCAGCTGGTACTGGCTAAGAAGCTCTTTTTCTAGCAGCAGGAGGTCTGTATAGGTGGAGTAATCTATGGCTAGGGAGTCTTTCATGGTTTGTTGTTTATGCGGCACGTGAGGGAGATCATGAGTTGAAGTAAACGGTGGGAGGTGGTTTAATAAAACCCGTGCACCACCAGAATATGGGCTGTTTCACGATGAATGATGGAGAGTTTCACAAATGGGATGGTTTCAGAAAAACACCCGTGCCTCCCTCGCACTTGGCGGTGTTCGCACTTGGCGCGGTGTTCGCATTTCGTGCGGACTTCCGGTATTTACGGGGTTCGGGGTGCACCGAAAACCCCATTCACACGGGGTTCCGAGGGCAACTGAAGACAAAATGTCGCGCTTCCCGCATCCACCCCGACGTATAGCCCCTCCTGCATCCCGCACAGGGGGCTATTTGACTAAATTGAATGACCCTCCCAAAACGCACTACACCAAAAAATAATGTGATTTTTTAACGTACAAACGGCAAGGGGGGGGCCGTCCCTGCAGAGCAAATGTGGCTGGGGCGAAGCAGGTGGCTGGGGCTGAGGAAAAATTTGTGTGAGAGGGCTGGGCCTCAATACTTGTGGCGCGGTAAATCTGAAACATGGCGTTAGACCCAAAACCCAGCCCATATGGCCTCTTGTGGCGGTGTATCTGAGACACTTTTCGAAAGGTAAAAGTGTGGGAAATTTTTAAATAGCCATAGTTAATGGGTACAGAAACCCGTGTTTTCTAGGGGTTCTGACGGTTTCACTGTCGCTACTGTTGGCGTTGGCGAGTGGCTGCAAATGGCTGCAAATGTGAGACATGCAGCGACACCAACATCAAGAAACGCCCAGGACAGGCAAAAAAAATAGAAGAAAAAGGTGCCCCATAATAATCTAAAGCTTAAGCAACTCAAAAAAGACTTTGGTCTTTTTTTCGTTAAGTACCCTTGCCTTGTGTCTCTTTAGCCTTCCTTGCCTGATGGCAATGGTCTGCGTTTTTTCGCCTTGGGGCCTCTTTTGGTCACCAACCATGGCAGAACCCGCAGGTTGCTGTTTCGGTTCGAAAAAACCTGTCAGGGTCGATGGAAATGTCGTGGGCAAACAAAGACCAGGTAATTTGGTCTCGCTTCATTGTCAATGTGTGGTCCACAGGGCGAAACCGTTCCAGCAAACGGTCCATTGTTGCTGGACCACAGAATGCATGGTCACCGAAGGTTTCAAAGTGAAGGAACTGTTGGTTTTGGGTGTGGTAGTAGAGGTGGAGTAGGACGTGGATGGTTGATGAAGGGAGGAGTGATTTGTAGGTCTGGGCTAGTATGGAGTGTCTCAGGTGGAAGTGGGTAGTTGGGTGGGAATAGAGGGACAGTTACATGGACTACTGGTATTTACAAGGGCTCTGGAGGGTGTGAAGGGGCTGTTTGCTTAGTGTGGGGCCGACTGTAGTTGGCTTGGGTGGCATTAGCAGGCTTTCCTCGTGGGATAAACTTTTGACTTCTCTACGCAATGGGTTGCCTTCGATGGAGTGTATTGATGTCTTGATGACGTTTCTAGGAAGCTAAATCGCTGTTAGTCCCTTTATAGCGATAGTGCTTCAATTGTAGATGCCCTTCTGGTTGGCCAGCTTGGTTGTGCTCTCTGACGGGTACAGGATGGTACTGCCATACACAAGGAGCACTAAGTAGAGACCACCAAGACCTGCGGTTCTCTCTCCGATTTCTCTAACTACTATAGTTAAAGCCTGCCTATATTAATGTCAACAGCATCCTTAGTAAGTACTCTGGCTGAGGTGTTGCTTAAGACTCTGTCTACAGAGGGTGCAAGTATAGTCTTCGTGGTATGTTTTGGAAGAACAATATCCATGACTTCGTTTTTTCCCTAGCCAGCAATTATACTACCTCTTTAATGAATCTCGTCCTCTACTTTGGCTTGTTTCTCCCCTGGTGAATTGCCTTGATGATCTACTTGGCTCCAATTTTAAACCTGCGCCAGTGAAAGGAGCCATCTGGTTGGACCTCTATGCAAAATGGTAGTTGTGGATCGTCTTTTAAGTTTCCAAAACTAGGTTTCGGCATCTTTATCACACGGAGGAGTTCGGTGCATAGAAATGTGCCAGACGTCGTCTTACAAGGTAAGAGTACCATACGTCAATTGACAGCGGCACATACGCAAATGGCTCCTCGAATCGGCAATCCCAGTGATACAAATTGCCCTTTTTATACTCCAGAGAGCATTAAAGAAGATTAAGCGACAGCCCGGTACCTGCTCCTGGCCACTGACTCTCCAAGCCACCAATCAGGAACCTACCAGACCCCATAATCCACCCCTTCTTCACCCAAACAAAACTAGCCATGTCCAATCGACAGTATCTACGTCCTTTTTGACACCTCCTCCTAATCAAATAAACCAAAACTTCTCCCTTCCATCCATCTTCCCAATCCTCCTTTCGTTCATGTGAAGGGAACAAAATTTGCACCCAACTCAGCCGAGCGTGAACATTCCCCAGTGCAATGCGCCGTTGGAACCACCCACTCAGCTCGAATAAACCACAAAACCCCCGTCGACCCAACCGTCTCCCCCTTCCCCACCACGAATCCACAAAAATTTATACAAAAAATTACCAGGGAAATCGGACCCTTTATATATTCGTCGGGTTCCCCCTGGTGAGGCAGTGACAGCATTCTGCAGGAGAGCGGCTTCTTCACTCACAGTAAATCCACATTCCATACAGCAACATCAACTCTTCTTCCTCCAGGAACCACCCACACCACCAATCAAATACTTGGAAGTTTACCAGAATGGCTGAACCAGATAAGTTGACCAATAGGATTGTGTCACGTGAAGACAGGAAAAGACGTCTTGTCAGGAGACTGGTTGGAACGTCCAAAACAAAGCTTTACGTTTGGTCGCTTGGCCATACATTATGTGTGATTTTTGGGTCGATTACTATGGTGTTCCAGGTCTTGTGGCTTCCTAACATCTTCTATATCAACTCGATCTGTTATAGATTGTGTCTTCTTGGCGCCACCACGGCCTACTTGGCTACTTTGTCACATAAGTTTGGTTTGCATCACTTGCCTCCATTCACGACGCTTTTGGCCCAACATAACTTCCAGTACTTGATCTTATCGGTCATTTGGTGCTTCACGTTCAAGTCGGTGTTTAAGATTGTGCCGCTTTACTTGATTTCCTTGTTGCAATTGGCTGACCATAAGAAAATTGCGTTTGTTCAAAAACATGGTGATGTTTTGGGCGCCATAATTGGCTTCACGGAAATCAGCTTCATTTTTTACCTCCTCATCCGTACGCTTACATTCAGATCGACTTCTGGCTACCAATTGGCCATTTTCTTGATTTTCATCTGGTTGAGAATCTTGTTTGACTCCCTGACAAGCCACATGTTTGCTTACGTTGTCGATAAGGCTGATGTACATGTTTCTAAGATCAAGCATGAGAAGGTCGCTAAGGTCTGGACCAAGGTCAAGAATTTCTTGGAGGACAAACAGTCTGCTGGTATTTAAGGTGCGGGATAGGTCCGTGCCGAGGCCGGTTTTTTTGTGAAGTTGAGCTAGACTTCGACTTCAGCATTGTTACATTACGTTTAATATACTATATGACAGATTGTCGTAGGTTTGGAGAGGTTGGAGGTATTTGAAGGGTTTGGGTAGTGTTGGTAAAGTCACGTGATGTTTTACAAAACCAGCCATTGCCCATTCCCCAGCTCTCCAAGGCCCCACATATTCACTCCTAGAACTCTCACACGTTACTACTTCAATCCTAGCAACTCTTCATCCAGTTTCTGGGTCCCCCTGGGAAGCCGTGATCGGATTGATATACCATGGTGTACGGGTCTTAAACAACACATCCAATCTCTCAAACCTCCAAATCTCCAATTCCCAACCACCATCCTAAACCACAGTAGAGAGAACCTCCTGTGAAACCATGCTGCAACCTATAGTATATCAATTGGGCCACGACCCCATCAAGGACCACTGCTTTGCTCCTGGATACGAGCTTTTGGCTGTCACCAAGGACAACACTGTTGAGTTGTACCAGGCCAAGCCAAACTCCCCCTCCAAGCCTTCCCTTGTCACCACTTTAAGAGGACACGACAAGACCGTCACTTCTGTGGACATTTCGCCAGACGGATCCAAGATTTTGACCTGTTCCCAGGACAGAAACGCTTTGGTGTGGGAATGGAACGACGAGTCCCATGACTTCAAGCCTACGTTGGTGCTTTTGAGAATCAACCGTGCTGCCACTGTTTGTAAGTGGTCGCCAAACGGTGACAAGTTTGCTGTGGGTTCTGCTGACAGAATTATTGCTGTTTGTTACTACGAGGCAGAGAACGACTGGTGGGTGTCGAAGCACTTGAAGAAACCTCTCAAGTCTACCATCACCAGTTTGTCGTGGCACCCAAACAACGTCTTGTTGGCTTCGGGTTCTACTGATGGCCATGTGAGGGTTTTCTCGGGTTACATCAAGGGCGTGGACGAGAAGCCAGAGGCTTCGGTTTGGGGCTCTAAGTTGCCTTTCCAGACTCTTGTGGGTGACTACTCTAATGATACTGGTGCTTGGGTTCATGATGTTACTTTTAACAAGGACGGCGAGGGTGAGTCTTTGGCTTACGTGACCCATGACGGTTCGATCCTGGTGGTTTACCCTGGCGGGGAGGGCCAGCCACCTGCTGCGTTCATTACGGTGAAGACCAATTACTTGCCATTCAAGTCGCTTCTTTACTCTGGCAACAGAATCATTGTCGGTGGCCACAACTGTAACTTGATTGTGTTTGAGGGTGACCAGAATGGCTGGCGTGAGGCTTTCCACGTTGAAAAGCAGAAGGACTTGATCCACGACGTTCCAGCCGTGGAAGAGGAGGCTGAGATCTCGAGTCACGACGCTCTCAACATGTTCAAGCAGTTGGATTTGAAGGGTAAAGCCAACCGTCCTAACCAGAAGGGTAGCGGCAAGGCATTGAGCACCATCAACCAGAACACCATTGCCAGTATCAAGTGGTACGAAGGCGGCAAGGTGTCTACATCTGGTCTCGACGGTAAGATTGTGATCTTCCAAGTGTAAGTAGAAAATATACTACTAATAGAGCTCCCCAGAAGGCATGATGTCAAGTCAGAAATTGAGCTTTGGTATATGGGTTATCTTCAGGAATTTTTGGTTCAGAAGCAGAACTGAAAATTAGGTTTTTCATCATATTGACACCATGCGATCTTGGGAAATGTAGGTTTCGCCTGAAACCGGCACCTTCCAATAATCAAAGAACACACTACTACTGATGGTTAGAACGTTTCCAACAAAAAAGACATAAAAGGTCAGCTGGTGATGCATGTTTTTCCAGGGCTCAGGAGTCGCCAGGAAGTATGTTTGTGTAAACAATCATCAGTATAAATAATGTCTGGAAAAAGACATACCTTCAAAAGTTAGCACTCATGGAAAACAGTAGATATACTGGCGGATCCCCGACAATCATAAACGAAGAATTCCTATTGATATTGTTTTGTCCTGCATGTACCCCTCAGTGTTGAAGTTACATCTTTGTTTTTAATCCTGTCGGTTTTCTTTTCAGAAGAAGAAGAAGACATACCGTTTGGTGATTGAGGTTTATAGATGGCTTGAAGAAAAAAAAAAAAGTTGTATTTTATGAGTGCGATAAATGCAGGCCGGGTAACCCCCAGGGAGAGTATAAAGAGGGTCCAAAAGGGAGAAGAAAAAAAGGAAGAAAATTTGAAAAGGGGGGATACTTTGGGTTTAGCTGGTTGGTTTGACGTTTTTTGGAGGTTGACTTGGACAAATTTTGCAGTTCTGGGGAAGTTTGGTGGGTGCTTTGGGATGCGAAGGTCAAGGCTCATAAAGAATGGCTGCGAAAAAGTGGAAAGTTCCAGTTAGGGCTGGAAAGGGGACAAAGGTTGGTGGAAAAGGAAGCTGATTTACAGGTTAAAAACGGCTCCAGCCTGTTTCTACTGTCTGAGTCGAGAGCGTGAAGTTAAGGGTATGAATTTATTGAATTAAGGGTATCTTTAGAGTATCAGTGCTGAACCTACTCCATCAATGTCCTTGGCAAGTGCCCTGGCAGGGGATCAAGTTAAAGTCTGGTGAGTTGGTTTGGGCGATGATGAAATTCTCTTACGGGACTTCAAAGGCGATAGTTAGTCTTTTTGGTCTTTTTTTTGGTCGTTTTGTGCCCAGTTTGGGTTATACAGTCAGTAGTAGGGCAATTGGACATTGGGCAGGTGATGGATGGTAAAAAGGAAGGTACTACTCGAAGGAGGAGTTTCAAATTTGCTTAAAGAGCTTTTTGGGAGGTGAGAAAGTGCTTCCATCAGCTTTCACGTTATTTTTGTGGGGGAATTGTTGAACACTATGAGTTAAACAGCTCTTATTGGACTCTTCTGAGGGCTAACGTCACACTAGGAATTGCCATATACAACTACCACTCCAAACACAATTCAGTCATTAAGCCAATTGGGACGTGATTTCCGTAGTACGAGTCAAACAGCCCCCAAATCATTTCCAGTACTTGTCTTCTACTGGCAGTATCCGTGGTTCTGGAAGAGTACTACTGTCGACTTTTCCAGATCCACTTTCTTGTTCGGGCTCTAAACCCATAAACACGAAATTCTCCCCATGCTAGGATCCCCTTGACGACTAACTAACGTAGGTCGGCTTAGCCAGAACTTACTTTACGAGCGTGCTTTTTAAAGAATGTATGGGAAGAGTATGAATGATCCAGAGACAAAGTACTCTTCACATTTAAGTACTACCAGTTCGTCTTACACTAGAATATGATCCACAGGCAATAGCATAAATCAAGAAAGACAATCTCTACCTCCAACATGCATGTACTAACCAAGTAACTCCATTCACTCCATCATCTAATATGACCATCTCATAGAGTTCCCACCAGATACTTCCAATCCTCCCAGATCCTCTCCTATTCCTCCATCGCTCCAAATACCCATCCTCATAACCATCAACCGCTTTGGTCTCCGTCCGTTCCGTCCATCCATTACAAGCCACAACCTTCCCTACCTTATCTTATCCATCTCCATCTTCAACTCCATATCCATATCCCCATCTATATCTCCAGAAACCACCTCCTTCACAACTCACCAATGTCTCGTCGCCTGTCATAAAACCGATACAGAAAAATGCACGGCTGCTTATTTCCATCTTCCTCCAGCCATGCCATCCCAAGTTACATTTTCCACTGCAAGCGGCTTTTCCGTTCGTATTTTTTTCCGAACACAATAGCCCTCCCATCTCCTTTCCCGTCTCTTCTCCGTGGAAAACCACAAAACGAAAAATAAATTTCACCTCCTCCAACTTTCCCAAGCAAACCACACTTTAACCTGCTCTACATTCTTAACCTGGGTGGTTGATCAAAGTGGACAATTGCGAAGCCTCACAAAACCCACAAAACCAGCAACAAGTCCAGAGCAGACGACAAAGCAATATCGAAGTGGCCTTTCAATTTCACCAATTTTCATTGGAATCCATAAACACCAAAAACACCTTCCCATCTCGTCTACTTCGTGTTTGCGGTTTTTCGCAGCCGCTCATCGTGCTACACATAAAACAAGAACTGGACCCTGGATTTCCAGAAACTCACATCCCACTCCCCCAATTCTTTTCCTCCATCCATGGGAATATCAAAACTGGACCTGTCCCCGGTTCTCAAACGACAAGCAGCTTCTGCGGGCAGAGACGTCAGCTCGGGCCAGGCCGAAACAGCACCGTTGCTTCATAGTCACTCTTATAATAGAGCACTGCCTGAGGCGTTTTATGGACCTCGTTCAGGAAGCAGAGAAAGACGGTTACATCATCAAAGGGCACTTACGGTGGAGTCTCCTTCGCTGAGAGAACGCAGAAGACTGGAGCTGCCGGTGCTTAATGGACGTAGACTGTCGGTGTCAGCGTTGGAGTTGCATAAGCATAATCCACGACACTCGAGTGTCCAGGGACCTACGATGCCTTTCTACCAACGGCTTCTTTCGTCTGGATTCACGGTTTCGAACCCTATGGGCTCGAGTCACGATTTGACTGCTGGGTTTGCGTTTTCTGATACGGGCTCGGTGAGGTCTGTTGATGTGGAGAATGACGATTACTTCGATAGACCGTTTAGGAGAATGAGCGTGCTTAACGAGTTGAGGCCAGAGAAGCTTATTGGTGATTGGTCGCCTGTGGCTGACTGGAAGGCTGGCTACGTGGACCCGAAACTGGTGAAATGGCTGTCTGGGCTCAGGAAGTTCTATACCGAGCAGAACGAGCTTATCGAACGGTTTTCCGAGATTGACAATTTTTTGGATTACGGAAAGATCCATTTGAACATGTTGAACACGTATACGGACCCTAAGAACCCTAAGAAACTCCTGTCGCTTGAAGAGGAGCCCGAACAGTCCCTGGAACCGATGGAACAGACTAATTCAAAGTCCAGACTCAACGCCGAGCCTGGCAATATCCGTGAAGGTGGACAATTCTTGGGCTACGATGAGGAACAGTCGTCACAGAGCGTTTTGGTGGCCATTTTGGTGAATTTTGCGGTGAACACGGTCTTGTTGATTGGAAAAATCGTCATTTCCCTCTTGACAAACTCTCTTTCCGTGATTGCTTCTTTGGTCGATTCCGTGCTTGACTTCTTGTCTACCTTTATCATTTACATTGCCAACAGACTCTCCAATAACAAGAATTGGCGTACACAGATCTTATATCCCATTGGCAGAACCAAACTTGAGCCATTGGGAATCCTCATCTTTTCGGTGATTATCATTATTTCTTTTTTCCAGGTCGGTCTTGAATCCTTCAAGAAGCTTTTCTTGAGCCGTCCAGAGGAACGTGTAATAGTTGAAATTGGCCTCGATGCCATCGCCATCATGTTAGCTACCATCCTTGCAAAGATCGTCTGCTGGGCCTGGTGCATCACTTCAAAGTCAAGTTCCGTGCAAGCCCTAGCACAGGACGCCATGACCGATGTTATTTTCAACACGGTTTCGTTGATCATGCCTACTATTGGCCATTACGCTGGTCTTTGGTGGGCTGATCCTCTTGGTGCTCTTGTTCTTTCAGTTTACATCATCATCAGCTGGGGCTATACAGCCTTTGAGCACATTGATAACTTGACTGGTGCCGTGGCCAGCGCTACAGATTATAAAGTCATTTTGTACTTGGCATACCGTTTTGCTGAGTGCATCAAGCTGATCACTGCTTTGAAGGTGTATCATGTTGGTGACCTTTTGAACGTTGAAATAGACGTTGTTTTCGATACTGAGAACTACAATTTGAGCTTTAAAGATGCTCACGATATTGCTGAGGCTTTACAGTATGCCATTGAAAGTTTGCCCATGGTTGAGCGTGCATTCGTTCATATAGACTATATGGAGGGTAACTTCAAAGGCCATCTTACGTGAGTCCAGTCGCTCCTTACTTCAATTCATTTGGGAAGTCCTGTTCCATCACGCCCACAAGGCTGTCCCTGTAGCTCGTGAGCAAGTCGTCTGTGTTGTCCTGGCATATTCTGGTCAACTTGTCGACGAGCTTGCGGGATTTTACCAACGCTTCCTTCCACGTTTGCTCGTTGAGCTCGTCCTGGTCATCCAAGTCGTTCAAATAATGGAGCTTATCGATTGACTTGAGATGGCTTAGCGCTTTAAGCAAAACCATACATCCAAAATAGAAGAAAAAGTGGATTTGGTCCGACAAATACGCATAGTATGAGTCGTTTTGTATCTTAATAGAAAAACTCACAAGATAATAAGCACTGCCGATGACCTGGCATATGGACGTTCTGTCACAGTCAGCAAGAGCCCCTAGTAACCTGTCTGGAACGTTAGGCTCTGATAGACTGTTTCTCTTGGACATGACACCAGCTTTTTCGTACGCATAACCCAAATGGACCAAAATACAACAGAAGGAGTGGGTTGATTCGACAAATGATATGGCCGGTTGTGAGAATAAGTATTCCCATTGTTCGTACCAGCTTTTTATCTCTTCTTGGACAATTTTAAACGACCCTTCCACCTGTTCAAGGTCATTTGCCGGAGCGCCATTGCTGCCAAGTTGGATGTAGTTGTATGCAATTAGAAGAATTCCGATTTCGCTTACCATTCTCCCGTCAAAGTTAGTGGCACTGGGAAGACTCAAAGCAAGATTGCAATGGCTAAGTCTTATCTGGTCGACAATGCACATGCGGCCACTAAAGATACAGCTTGCCAAATGGTTGAGGATAAGATGGTTGTAAATGCGGAACATCGTCAATGTTTGATACTCGGTTGAGTCAAACAGGTTAAAAAGGAATGTAAAATTTGGGGTTTCGTCTTCTGCTCTGTGTAGCAATGTCCCAAAGTTAGATTTAGAAATGAATGTTGTGAGCGCAGTTCCAGAAAGGCTCCAGGAGTCCATGTTAAGCTCTTTGATGCTTACCTCGTCGTCAAGAAGAGGATCTCCATCCACTGTACTGCAAGCAATGGAAGATAATGACATGGAGTATATAGACAAGATCACCATCGCTTGGAGATTTTCAATATCGCCCTTGGAGTCTCCACAGCCTTGGAAACAAGCTAGTTTAAGCAAGACTTTGTTGAGGTCCCTTAGTAAATGGCGAATAAGCAACTTATATGTGACCTTCTTTCTTCGGTGACTGTCGACATCACCAGGATTGGGTTTCCCATTGAGTGAATAACGCAACGACAAACAACAGCATGTTGTGATCAAGAGTGAAGATTTCTTTCTGACGCTATCCACTAACTCGGTAGTCGACATGTCGCTAGGAAACAGGACCCACCGGCCGTAGTTACTTCGAAAGTCATTCATGAGATCAATTACCTCCAAGTTGGTGAGAACGCCAGTTTCAATAATATCACCATCACTCAGTACAATGGCTGGCTGGCCTTGTGAGCCCTTTAGCTTTAGAAGGTTCTGTATGGGTCTCGAAACAGCATCCGTTTTGTCCCCTAGCATATGAAAAGGCGAAGTAGAAAACGACTTTGACGGACCAAGAATAACTTGAGGTGATTCTTCTTCAATAGGTGTTGTTTCGTGCGTTGCAAGAGCCTCGACTACTGTTGTAGGCAGCATCAGCGGTGGTACCTGAAAGTCACTTTGAGGTGTAGGATGGTCCTTCATTGTGGAAGCAGCATCTAAAAGCAACTTGACATCACTATTAAGAATTGACAGGCTTGGTGATTGAGCGGCTCCTTTCTGTGCTTGCAAGAGCTCCAAGATCCTCGTCACTGATCCACATATGAAGTCGAGTTTCTTCGCCGACCCATGGTCCACCGAGTCCACCCTAGTGTAGTTGTCGTTATTTCCCGGAATAACCTCGACTTTCTGGTCCCCATGTAAGTGTTCTGGAACACCGCCAATGATCTTGACCCCGGGATTTGCCGACTTATAGTCTGCCTCAAACGAACATTGAATGCCCACACTTAAACATCTCAAGCAGCAAACAGCAGCTGGAGAGCTCCTGAAGCACCTAGTTTTCTGTTTTCGACAGTAATCGCAAGCTCTATATGCTCTGGTCGGTTGGTTCGTTCTTCCATTCGATTTTTCATGTTCCGCGGAAGCTCCCGCGGAAGTGCCATTTGAGGAACCACCTAAAGAGCTTCTGGCCTTCTTCGTCCCGCCATTGGTCGGTAGAGGCGTACGACGCTTCATCAATAAGATATTTCAGGAAGACGAGTTGGACGGATTGTGGTTGCGGTGGGTGGGCGTTGACGGATTGTTCTTATCTTTGTCTTATCTCGGTAGGTACAGGAAAGTTGATCTGGGCCTCCAATGAGTCGTCGTAGAATGTCACAAACCACTGTTGATTTTTGGTTTTTCTTTTTATCTTTGGTTTTTAGATGATGCTGTAAAGTCTTGGTTTTTCGTTGGGACGGTTTCAGATAACGGTAGGGAGATGATCGAGGGTGGCTTTCTCGCTTTGCAAGGGTACCACTCGGCCAGCAGGACCAGATTGGACTGATTTGAGGAAGACGTTTGTAGGACGGTAATTAAATCACCAAATTCACTTCATATGTCTCTTCACAGACTCAATTGACCTGGTACCCTCAACTAAGCTCCTTCCTCTTCCTCCCATTCCTCACACAATCCTATAGGAAACCTCTTCGTCGCCTTCTTGAACACTCAAACCTATCAGTGTCAACCTGGCGCCCCTGTTAATGCCCATATGGTCAAAGTCAATCATACCACTGTACGTAACCCTGCCTGTCTTTGTCGTAGATGAATTACTCAAATGGAACAGTCCCAGAAACAAAACGTTATAGTCTTTATCAGTAGTGATCACCCGCTTAAGTTTGCTATCCTTAGACGAGTTCACCTCGTGAACACGCCCACTGGACTTTTCATGCGTCTTTATCATGGCATCAGAAGGATCCAACCGATCTAGCTTGAGTCCCAGCGCCGTAAGTGCCTTATCGATATCGCCCCACCACAGAAGTGGATGCACTGACCATCTCCACAGAAGACGAAGCTTCCCGTCCTCCTTGGTGATCAGAATCTTCGGTCCATGCACAGTAGGATGCTTACACTCGATCCAGCTATCAAACGTATCTGACTGTTCCGTTTTAAGCAAAAGCGGAATGCCAAACGTGTCCCTGACAAGCTTCAGCTTAAAAAGCTCATCCAACACCAGAAATTCCACGCTTTGCAGGTGTAAATCCTCTGCAAAGTTGGGTATACTTTCCACATACCCATGAAACTCTGGATCCAAGTATGCAAGGTACTTTGGAAACGAAAACCTGCGTTCCCAGGGCCAATCAAAGCTCAACCAGAGCGGTAGGAAAGCACTCCGTGGCCCCACGTTCTCCAGCTTATCCAGTGTCACCTTGTATATCTGAACCCCCAAGTATACAAGCATTGTGATGGAACTGGACGCTGCCACTAGCAACACAATTGTCCTGAACTTCATGCCCGGTTTCTCAACCGACCCGTTGCCATTGAGCAATCCTGGATTGTCCTGAAGTGCTTTCTTCACAAAGTTCTGTCTCATCATACGGTCATACTCAGACCTTCTGGGCCATTGGCCAGACAACTGTCTGCGCTTGACCAAGTACTGTGATTGGCCAGAATAGGTGTTTTTGAGTCCACGCCAGCATGCCGGTAGCTGTTTGGCTCTGTGTGTGGCGAACATGCTATGGTGGTTATGGAAGAGTCTTGGATCTATGAGGTGATGTCTGGAGAGATATGCGCACCCCACTGTATGGGTTATGGAGGTGGAGTGGAAGTGGTGAGAGTGGAGGGAAGAATAAAGGAGGGTTAGAGAGGTTGGTAGTAGAGGGACTTCTAGATGTCGTTTATTGTTCTTTGGGGGTTATGAGATGTGGGGAGTGGAAGTGGTGGTGGATGTGGTGGATGTGCTGTTGGGTGAGTGAGTGAGTGAGTGGATGGTGAGTGTGTCCAATGAATATGTGAACAGTTGACAGGAGGCAGTGGAGAAATGAAGGGTTTTAGTGTCTTTGGTGGACAATTTAATTGGAAAGTCTTCGGTTGATGGTTCTGGCTTGGGTGGTTTCCAGAGTTGGTGTTGGTCAATGGCTGCAAACGTCAATTGAAGCGAAGTTCAGGGCTCGAGATAGGTAGTGTCTTTGGCGCCAGAATGATCTAGGTATTATCGTTATCAAAACAGCCTAGTTCGGTTCCTGGCCCATATTATAGACATCGTGCTTGCAACACTCCAACTCCCACCTCCTCATGACGAAACCATCCATTGATCGTCCCTAATTAACATCAACCCCTGTAGAACATCCCTTCCCATAATCACACTGCCTGGGCCAGGAGCCTCCCCGAACCTTAATCATCGATATCGGCCCAGTTCGTGGACTTATCCTCCATCTGGTCAAACATGGCCTTGACCTCTTCCCTGATCTTTCTCTCCTTTTCGGCCTGTTCGCCCCGAAGCTTCTCTTGTTTCTGTTTCTCTAGCAATAGCTTCTTCTGCTTTGGTGTCATATACGTAGCCTTAGGCTCCTTGGACTCTTTGGGTTCCTTTGGCGCTTTTGGTTCTTTAGCACCTCGAGGCTCTTTCTGCTCCCTAGGCGCCTGGGCCTTCTTTGGAGCTTCTGGTTCATTTGTAGCAATGCCAATTCTCATAGAAACAGCCTTGGCCGCATCTGTCATAGGTCCCTTTTCATATAACTTATCTTCAAATAAATCCTCCTCTTCCTCATCTGAAACGTCTTCCCAGGCATTCGGGTCCTCCTTGTGTCCCTTCTGCTGTGGCTCAGCAGGCTTATTATGTGATTTTCGACGGTTCCTCCTTCCCTTACTATTCCCACTAGGCTGTTCTTCAGTATCCTTAGTACCTAATCTAGAGGCAAACGACTTGGCCAAGTCCAGCATATCCTCGTGTCCCTCTGAACTTTGAGGCGGCGTAAGTTCCTGAACCTTGCCTTTATAACTATCATCATGTGGTTTTTCAGCCTTTTGCTTTGGATGCTTTTCGTGGTTCTTCAGTTTAGGTTTCTTGGTCTTCTTGGGCTCAGTCTCTTCAGGCTCAGCAGTAGCCCATTTCGACTGGACTGTAGAAGGAGCTTTTGGTGCTGGCTTGGTAGAAACAGGAGCTTCCTTCTTTACAGGCTCTGGATCGGCCGTGGCCCACTTGGATTCTAGCCCTGGCATCGTGGTGGAAGATTATATAGTAGTATGTATGTTGATGAGAAAAAGCGCACATAGTTAGTAGTAGTAGGAAGAGACAAGAGGGTAAGTCCAGGGAAGAAGGTTCTAGGGGGAGAGATGTTCTTAGATGGTTTGGGAGTTTCGTTAGGAAGGTGATTTGGGAAGTGGTCTTTTTTTTTTGTTAGAGAAGGTGGTGCCGGTTGGCTTTTGATTTAAGTGGGTGGCTTTGGAGAGAGCCCACGTTGGGACCACTGTGGAGTCTGAAAAAAGGTAATAAGGTGAGTAGGAGGATTTTGGATTTAAGGAAAAGGGGTGAGCAGGAGGAAGGTAGATTTTTGGTGAAGTTAAGGAGGTTTGGCTGGTATTGGTGTTGGTTGAGATTGAGAGTGGAGGTGATGAGTTAAGGAAGTAGGAAAGGGCTCTATGATCTTGAGAAGTAAAACCAAAATACAGATGCTTCAGTTTGGACGTTATGATGGCTCTTCTCTTTTTCTGTGTATATTCTTTTCTTGGTTTTGATTGCATGGTTGTGGATTTTATGGTTGTAGAAGCTGATGGACTTCACTATAGAATGAAGAAGGACAGTTTTATCTATTTACTGAGAAGACGTTTCCATAGGATTTAGAGAATTACAATCATTTCAGCATGACATTTTCATGTTAATTAAAACGTATTCCTAGTATTGCTTTACGTTCAGTGTAGTGGTAGATATTTTGCAGCCATTCCTTGTAGAGCTGGAAAGATAGTATAGAGCTTACAACTTACTCGTTAAGTACTCAATGTCTCAATGATGGTTACCTGTGGTTACATATTGATTCTTGAAAAACCTGACTTAGAAGAACGCTTCACTGATTGTTCAGTTACCTTGGCCTTGTTAGCTTTCCACCTTGAGAAACCACAAGCCTACGAGAGTATCCCACTAACAGTGTGACTTTTCAGTCAATTGCAAAGCATCATTAATAACTTTAACGTCAGACAGAATAGCATAATCTGTCTTTCAGCCAAGAGACCTTCCATACTCTAGGTCTACCAGCCTTTACACATATATATAGTTCCCAGTTGCTTAGCTAAACCCTACTATACTACAACAACATATCACCAGAACAAACAACAAACCAATCCCTAGCATCTTCCCTGAGCTCCACCAGCCCAATCCACAAAATCAATTCCCCTTTTCACCTCATCTTCTCTTCCTTTCCACTTCTTACACAAATTTCAGCCGTACGATGCCACCAAACCACCCATAACTCCAAACCACCCCCACCAAAATCCCTCCCAACCTTCCAAAACTCTCCCAAACCACCAATACAACCACCCTGCCACCACCCAAACCCTAAAATCCATCCAGTCCACTATAAAACTGGCCCATGGTGGAACCAGCTCTAGGCTCCGTTTAAGCGCATATGCACTGTCAAATGCTGTGTAAGCATGCGCGAACGAGGCCTCCAGCAGCAACCAAACCGCCAGTTTAGTGTTACCAGGCAGATCCACAGTTTGCAGAGTAGTAGTGGTACTTAGGAGGTAGAGGGGGGTGAGGAGAGAATGAGGATGTACTTTTTTTTGTGATTTTTGGTGGTTACAGCGTTTTTTCATGTTCCTTGACTTTCTCACCCAATGGTTGCAAAATCACAGTATACCTTCAGTCAAAGTCCCCATAACCACCAAATCTAGCCCAACTCTATATAGTCATCAAATAGGCACTGGTGGTAGTAGCCATACCGGTTTTCCCGGCCCGATCTAGCATATTCCGTGCATACGACCACCTCACTGGCTGCAAATGACCAGAAGACCAGGTAGGCTACGCTTACTAAACCATGAAAGGTAGATAATTGGAAGAAGACTAGGAGGATAACGTAGAAGCAGAAACAGAAGAAATTACTAAGTAGCAAATCTCAACTAACCTTCCTCCTTCCCTCCTTGTCTCCCTCTTTCTCTCCCTCTACTGGTCCACCTTCCATAACCTGTATACCCAAAAACAGAGGTTACCCAACACCCAGTCAATTCCACAGCCAGAACAAAAAAACCATATATAACCAGCCATTTCCCTCCCTCTACTCACCCCCTTTTCTCTTCCCACGTCCACCCTTTCCCTCCCTCCCAAACTCGGCCCTGTAAGGCCCGAATACTGGACTTCTATCACCTGACACTACACACACCGGACCCACGGGATAGTATATAGAGAGGAAAAAATATCCAGACTTTCCAACTCCCCCTACCCACTTTTTTTTCCCGTACCCCACTCAATTGATGTCACAATTTTCCAATTTCAATCTCTCCTCTGACTTGCCTGCCTGGAAGAAGCTCGAGGCTGTTTACGAGCAGGTTGGCAAGACCATCAAGGTTAAGGATGAGTTTGCCCATGACCCTAAGCGTTTTGATAAGTTTTCTGAAACGTTCAAGAACTTTGACGAGCTGGAGATTTTGTTTGATTTCTCCAAGAACATTATCAACGATGAAGTGAAGAAGGAATTGCTCGAGTTGGCCAAGGAGGCTGGCGTTGAGCACCTTAGGGATGAAATGTTCAAGGGCTCCAAGATCAACGAGACAGAGGGCAGAGCCGTGTACCACGTGGCTTTAAGAAACAGACTGTTGAAGGAGATGAAGGTGGACGGTGAAAACACTGCTCCTGAGGTGGACCTGGTGCTCCAGCACATGAAGGAGTTCTCTGACGATATCAGATCTGGAAAATGGACCGGTTACACCGGTAAGGCCATCACCGATGTGGTTAACATTGGAATTGGTGGTTCTGACTTGGGTCCAGTTATGGTTACCGAGGCATTGAAGGCTTACTCCAAGCCTGGCCTTAATGTCCACTTTGTGTCTAACATTGATGGTACTCACTTGGCTGAGGCCTTGAAGGGCTTGAACCAGGAGACCACTTTGTTCTTGATTGCTTCTAAGACCTTCACTACTGCTGAAACCACCACCAACGCTAACTCTGCCAAGGCTTGGTTCTTGGAGAAGGCTAAGAAGGACGATATTGCTAAGCACTTCGCTGCTCTTTCCACCAACGCCGAGGAGGTTTCCAAATTCGGTATCGACACCAAGAACATGTTCGGTTTTGAGAGCTGGGTCGGTGGCCGTTACTCTGTTTGGTCTGCCATTGGCTTGTCTGTGGCCATCTACATTGGTTTCGATAACTTCAACGACTTCTTGAAGGGTGCTGAAGCCTTTGACCACCATTTCACCACCGCTCCTTTGGAGCACAACATCGCCGTTCTCGGTGGTATCTTGTCTGTGTGGTACAACAACTTCTTTGGCGCCCAGACCCACTTGGTCGCTCCTTTCGACCAGTACATGCACAGATTCCCAGCCTACCTCCAGCAATTGTCCATGGAGTCCAACGGTAAATCTGTCACTAGAGGCAACTCTTTCACCAACTACCAGACCGGTACCATCTTGTTCGGTGAGCCAGCCACCAACGCCCAGCACTCTTTCTTCCAGTTGGTCCACCAGGGTACCAAGTTGATCCCAGCCGACTTCATTCTTGCTGCTCAGTCTCACAACCCTATTGAGAACAACTTGCACCAGAGAATGTTGGCCTCCAACTTCTTTGCCCAGTCTGAGGCCTTGATGGTCGGTAAGGACGAGAACCAGGTCCAGCAGGAAGGTGCTACCGGTGGCTTGATCCCACACAAGGTCTTCTCTGGTAACAGACCTACTACTTCTATCTTGGCCCAAAAGATCACCCCAGCTACTTTGGGTGCTTTGATCGCCTACTACGAGCACGTTACCTTTGTTGAAGGTGCCATCTGGAACATCAACTCGTTCGACCAGTGGGGTGTTGAGTTGGGTAAGGTTTTGGCCAAGGCCATCGGCAAGGAGTTGGACAACTCCAGCGACGTGAGCGACCACGACCCATCCACCAACGGTTTGATCAACCAGTTCAAGAAGTGGAGCGCATGACTAGGAAAGCCTAGGTTGTAAGGACGATGGCAGCTGCGAAAATGGCCGCAAACAAAGCTGCCACGAGTGTTGGAAAGTAGAAATAAATGTTATGAATAAAGTAGAACGTTGTTTGGGTTTGCCTTTTGGTTCCAGTTCATCTCTTCCTTCATACTCATAGTGCCTGTTGATCCCTGCACAAGTTTATCACTTTTTCAACCCATCGATTAGATCTTTTCCCCAATGCCTCCAGAAGATATCCCCATTTCCCGTCCCAACGAAGAGGATGACGGCTTGGAGAACCCCATGAGAGCCATTGTCGTGGTCAACTCGCCAGACGTGCCAGAAGGCGAGATGGAAGAGAGAATGCTTGATTGCGTTCAGACCTTCGATGAGGTGGACCAGTTTTTCGATAAATTCGATGAAGACGTGGCCATGCCCAACGAGTCTCATATTAAGTATGAGGTGGGAAGTGACGGTCTTGTTGTTATTATTGTGGACTCGAAAGAGCTTAAACTGACGGTTTTGAAGTTCATCGATGACTTTGCAGCCAAGGTAGGTGATTCCGCTAAGGACGATGCTTCCAAGGACGGTGACGACGAAGAGGAGGCTCTGGCCAAGAGACAGAGGAAGTGATGGCTGGGATGCTTGTTAGACTGGAAGAGTTAGTTTGGCCAGGTAGGGCTGGCCTATGTATAGTAGAATGGAGTGTTTCGTGGGAAGTACGACTGTGCTGGTACATGGAATGTTCTAATGCATTAGAAATATAATTTGAAGTAATGGTTGGGATGTAGGGTGGAATGTAGGGATAGAAGGCTTAGTTGTGTTGGTCGTGGTGGTAGTGGAGTTGATACTGGTGTTGGTAAAGCTGGAGATGAGATAGGACAAGTAAGAGATATGGAGCTGAAGGGCAAAACTGTTATTGAAATAGGGAATTTATGGCTTACGCTGCCCTTTTTGGTTGGTATTCGATTGACCTTGGGTTAAATGGGCACTTGGTGCTTTGCTAGACTGGTCCTAGTAGGTGTTTTGCAGCCATTCCAAGTGGTATAAGTTTTGGCAAAGAATGGGTAGAAAAGGGCTGGTAAGCTTTCAGTTACAAACTTCAGACCTTCTATATCAACAGCAAGCAATATTTAGTCAGAGCTGGCAGCTTCCGTCCTTCTATGGTCGGATACTCCAGTGACATCAATGCCCAGTGAAAGACGTCTTTCACACCTCAGCTCAATTGGAGTACGAAGTGAAGAATTCAATTGCTTAGATATAAAGGTGTTATAAGGTGATATAAGGCAATATATTTTTCAGAAGTCGTTTAGTTCTTCTTCTGGGAATTCCACTACACATCTTACAGACTATACTGTACTAGCCATAGACATACCTCCACCAAAACAATATAAACTACAGGGTAACTTAAAACCACTATCAATCATCTCCCCTCAAATAAATAACCCCACCAATAATTCATCTTTATTTTACCATACCCATCAATAAACCACATTCACCTGCTCTCCCTTCCATGAGCCCTCAGTAACCTCTACTACATACCTCCCCAGCCAAACCTCCCTCTCTCCAATCCCCCTAACCAAAACCTCCAAATTCCTTTCTTCCAAAACACCTTCTCTAACGACAACCCTTCACCACCCTTGCCCAACTCTTTCTCCATCCTCCACCCACTACTTCCTTAACTATGGCGCCCTCGGCACTCGCAGCAGAAACCCCCAGCTATCCACTCACCCAACAAGCTCCAGCCTCCCAAAATCAGCCACCCCACTCATTCCATACCCATAAATTCCCCTACTCCCTCTAATCTCCCAACCCTTCTCTCCTTTATTGTTTTCACCACCACTTCCCTTGGGGCCGAAGCCGGTGTGGCCTGCATACACCCGTCCAACACCTATAGTTGATACCTCACTACTTACCAACTCTCCATAGAACAACCCCATACAGCTAAACTAAGAATGGAGGACTGGAGAAGAATCGATATCGACGCGCTCGAGCCAGAAAACCATCTTTCCAAAGAAGACTTGGTGCCTGACTTGCCTGCGGTGTCCTACGAAGAAGTGGCTGCTATCTCTAAACAGGTGAAGCTGTCGTTGTCTCTGGGCCAGTTCGTGCCGGCATTGCAATTGGCCTTGGATAACCCACCATACGTTGCAGACGAGGCCACGAAGAACTTGCACGCCGAGACGGTTTTCGAGGTGCTTGTTTCGATCAAGAATAACAAGCAGGTGAATGAGTTTAGTAACATTGTCAAGCAGTTGAACTCTGACCAGCAGGATAACTTGATCAAGTACTTGTATAAGAACATGAACACGAGCTACGGTGCCAAGCAGGGTGGTTTGTTGTTGAACTGGTTTGAAAAGACCGTTGATGTCACGGGCTTGGGCCCTGTGGTGCGTTTCTTCTGTGATAGAAGAACCGTCTAGTGCTGGGATGACGAAAAATGAAATAATATAGACCAAATGAACGAATTATTAGGTATTATTACGGTACTATGGGTATGGTATTTGCGTGGCTTCATGTCTGGACCTTGAGCGGTACGGTGAGGGAATGCCTCTTCTTGTGTTTCCGGTCAGAAACGTTTCTTTCCTTGAGTGGGCTGCTCTTGGGCTCTTGTTCCCGCTTCTTGTGCTTAAGGTACGTTTTAAATGTGGTATCTTCGTAGATATCAGACAGGAGAAGCGGCTTGGAGAAGGACAGTTCGTTCAAGAGCTTTCTGTACTTCTCCTTGTAGTCATTAAGCTCTTGTCTAAGCTTCAGCTCCTCGCTTTGGGACAGTGTTCTGAGATCCAGAAGGTTGCTGTCGAGGTACTCACACTTGGTCTTGTACTTTTGGAGCTCTTCCACTGTTTCTTCTAGTTCAGCGACCTTGGCTCTTTGCTTGTACTCTGACGCTTCGATGATATTGTTCTCTCTGGCCAAAACCTCGTTTCTCTTCTTCCACTCGATTCCTTTAGACTTGAACCTTGTGAGGTCTGTCAGGAGACGCTCGTTTTCTTCTGTCATGTTCTTGATCTTCTCCTGGAGGAAACTGTGTGTCTGTTTGCTCAATTCCTCTTGTTTCTTCAACTGCAGTTGGAGATTCAGGTACTTGGTTGCTTCAGTAGTCAATTGTGCTTCAAGAGCATCATTTTGGGCTTTCAGCAGTTGGTAATTGGAAGCTTCAAGTGACGCTTTTTCTGTCTGTTCCTTGACCTTCTGCTGCAACTTGGCGATCTCATCTTCTTTCTTCTTAAGCACAAGGCTGTTCTCCAGGCCAGCGTTCTTCACGTCCTTTTCGAGTTGTTTGATATCTCCACGAAGCAGACTAACAAGAGAGTCCAGCTCCTTGTTTTTTATCTCGTGTTGGTGACTTTGTTGTGTGAGTTCAGCCTTGACATGGTTTAACTCTTCTTCAAGTTTAGCGTACTCTGAGTTCTTGTTGGAGAACTTGCCGTTAGCTTCTTCTAGCTGCTTGGAAAGGGTATCATTAAGACTCTCTTTTTCTTCTAGCTGCTTGGTAAGAGACTCATTAAGACTGGCCTTCTCCTCGAGCTGTTTGCTCAAATCATCACCTTTTTGACTGAGAATGGTAAGTTGTTCCTGGATCTTTGCTTGGAGTTTTTCGTTTTCTTCGGTAGTAGCAGTAAACTCAGCTTTGGCTGTCTCCAGTTCACCTTTGAGCATATCAAACTTGGTTTCTGCCTCCTTTAAGGAATTCTTCAACTTTGAGATTTCTGTTTCCTTCTGTAATAGTTCATGCTCAACCTCTTCTTTCCTCGAATGGAGAGTCTTCATTTCGTTGTCTACGCCCTCAAAAGCTTCTTTAAAATAGCCAATCAGTTCCTTCAAAGGGACTGTAGCTAGCCTTGCTTTCTTCACTTCTCCTTGTAGTACCAAAATCTCATCCTTCAAAGTCTTCATCTCTTGCTCCCGTTTAAGCTTATCTGCTTCCTGTTGGGCGTGCTTCAACTTTTGCGTCAATCCAGTAGTACGAGAAGCTGTTTCAAATCTTGGAATTGGAGGTTTCGAAGGTGTAGAAAGAGAAAGCCTAGGCTGCTTGACTGGTTTATTAACCGCAGCAGCAGTCAATGGTCTCTTAATAGGCTTCTTCTTGGGACTCAACGAACAGGCTGTAGGACGAGCATACAGAGGAAGCTTGGTACCCTTCTTCTGACCAGGCTTGGTCTTATCAACCTCCAACTTGAAGCCCTTGACGACATCAGCGATATTATTAAACGAAGACTTAATAAGCGCCTTATCGCCATTCTGGTCCAAGTGCAAAACAAACCTAATCTCCAGAGTCAGTATAGAACCATTAAAGATCAAATTGGTGATAAGGTTGGACGACCTTTTGGTGCTGGTCCGGTTAAGCATGGCCAGAGTAATAGACGAAACGTTCAGATTGGCAAAAGCGTTAGAAGTGGTGCCGCCAGCTTCAAACCTCTCATTCCCCATCATATCAACTATATTGAGCTCCTTACCTTGACATGCAAGCTTTACAAGCATACACGAGCGGCTAGACATGGCATTGGCCTTAGTGGAAGCAGTCAACCGCAGACGAAACAACTTCTCGATAAGTTCATGGGTAAGCGGGCTCGACTGCAACTGTGTATCTATAGGAAGCGTGTTCAAGTACCGTTTCTGGGCCTTATTGTTGAGTAAGTCCAGAACAACGTTATTCCTACTCACTTCAAAAGCAGTAATGGACGGTTTGTCGTTCGAACAGAAATCCTCCAAGAGCAACCTAAGCGTGGTTGTTTTGCCGCTCCCCGTAGGCCCAATTAAAACCAAGGTGCCGTTCTTCTTCAATGGCTCGTGCCAGTCTTCACCAGCCTCATCGTAAATGGCTGCAAAAGAGTATGTTCTTTCACCAAAGACAACTTCAGTAGGTGATTTTTTCAGAAACGCCGGTTCCTTCAGCAGGTCCAGCGCCCATGTCCTCAAAACAATCGGAATCATATGTGGTTTGGCTAGTGTGGTGGTTTTCCAGTGGAACCGTTACCCTTTGTTGATAATGAGTGAGTAGTAGTAATAATGCAGTGTTTACTATATAGACGAATGTGGAAATACCTTGAAGTTGAGACACCAGGGGAGGGAATGAAGGGAAGGCGAAGTGGAATGGGAAGAGATACGGGAATGGAATTAGTGAGTTTATATTTTTTTGTATTTGGGGGGATCTGGTTTGGTAAAGGCAGCCCCACTACTTCTCTTCCAGCCGCAACGTGAGGCTGGACAGAGGTGGTGGGAGAAGTAGGGAGAGGAAGGGAAAGAAGGAAAAGAAGGAAAATAGACAAAAAGGTATGCTTTTTAGAAGTACTGGATTTGAATAAATTTCTTTGATTCTTTCCTTTCTTGTGTTTTCCTGAGTTTTGGTGGAATTGGTGGATGTGTGGAATGGTTGCAAAATGAGTAGTAGTGAGGCTGGTGGATCTACAAGAAGGCTCAGTAGGTTCACTATCTACGAGAACAGGCAGTTAAAGAATATACGGAGGGGAATACTTAGGCCCCTGGGAGACCTAGAAATGAGTTTTCAAGGCTTTAAGTGCTTTTTTGGAGAAAGTGACTGGATGTCTGACCGTAGCCATGGATCTCGAGGTGTAGAGCGTACTTCACCAGGAAACACCAGAAGGTGGTACCAATTCGTGTGTAAAGCAAGGGTGATAGGTTCAAGATAAAGAAAGTGGATGTTTTCTTATTCTGCTAATTCTGATTTGGTGGGAACTTCGGAAAAATTGACCGTGTTGGGAAGTACTTACCGTGATGTTTCTTAGATGTACAGCCTGCCGTCAACCATGGTCAAGGATGTTACCTAAAATGTCAAACAAAGACTGATTTATACTGGAACTCAATGGGGAGTCATTAGGCCTTCCTACTACTTACTTTTACCATTGAACTTCGTTCAATGACTGGTTAGTCTACTTCAGATGAGCCTTGGTGGAGTGAAAAATTACCCCAATGACGTAATTTTCAGTTGCACCCATTCCACCAAAAAGACTCCACACCCATTCCATCCCTTCTCTACCCAGTCATCCCAAGACCAGAACTCGCTTAACTACAACTCTATTTCACACAGTAAAACTTAGATTCACACAAACTTCACATTCTTCACTATTACTCTTCCTCCTACTAGCCTCTCCACATACTCACATATCCCAGTACATCCACCAACTGCCTTACCTCATCTTCCAAACCAACTACCCCACCTCGATCCAATCAAAACCCGTGAATCCTTCCATCTTCTTCTCTTTCTTCTCCTTTCCAGCTCTCTCCAATCATCGTCCTCTTACCTTCATTCGTGAGGCTGAAGATGTCCCCCACACTAGATCTCGGGAAAGTGTCGCACCGGCCCGTTGGCGACCGAAATGGGGGAATTCACGAGAATGCCGCTCGTAGAGACCTCCAACTGGTGCCTTTTGCCACCTAAGAATACCCTCTATGACATTTCCAAATCTTAATGCTTATTTATAGCGTTTAGGCTGTTCAGGGGTAAGTGATGCTTTTCGCAGCCATTACCTCCAATCCGTACTACCTTAGCAAAACAAGCTCAGCGAACAGCTCCCACAAAACTAACAATACCACTAAAATCTCCACCTCATTATATCTCTACTAACGGTCCATTGAGTTGTTTCGATTCGTCTGTGGCTTAGCGTACTCGAGGTGGTGCTCGGTGGTGCTCTATTGCAACTACTACTCTCTGGCTGCAAACCCAGTTACACAAAAGTGACATCCCAATCTTGACATTTTCTCCGGTTTTTACTATATATTGGATTTTGCTTAAACTTAACTAAAACTTCAAAAATCCCCAGAATCCATATTTATCTTCTCCAGGTGCTTTGTTCCCCCACACCCTGCGGGCTTCGCGGGGGTTCCTGGACAGTTGCCCCTCCTCGAAGTATAAAAGGAGCCCGATTTCCGGTCAATTGCCGCAAACCAAAAAAACCACTTACTATCAATCATGGCCACCATTACTCTTAACGACGGTAACAAAATGCCTCTGGTCGGTTTCGGCTGCTGGAAGGTCGACAAGGAGACCTGCGCTGACCAGATTTTCAACGCCATTGAGGTTGGCTACAGATTATTCGATAACGCTCAGGACTACGGTAACGAGAAGGAAGTTGGCCAGGGTATCAACAGAGCCTTGGAGCAGGGCATTGTTGCTCGTGACGAGTTGTTTATCGTTTCCAAGTTGTGGAACACTAACCATGCTCCGGAGCACGTGGAGGAAGCTGTTGACCAGGTTTTGGGTGACTTGAACCTCGAGTACTTGGACTTGTTCTTGATTCACTTCCCTGTGGCTCTCAAGTACGTTCCTCCATCCGAGAAGTACCCTGCTGGTCTTACGGGTCTCAAGGATGACAAGTTGCGTTACGAGGATGTTCCTATCTTGGACACCTGGAGAGCCATGGAGGCTCTTGTCAAGAGCGGCAAGGTCAAGTCTATTGGTATTTCCAACTTCACTGGTGCTTTGATTGAGGACTTGCTTAGAGGCGCCAAGATCCCACCTGCTGTGTTGCAGATTGAGCACCACCCATACTTGCAGCAGAAGAGATTGGTCGAATGGGTCCAGTCCAAGGGTATTGCCATCACTGCCTACTCTTCTTTCGGCCCACAGTCTTTCATTGAGTTGAAGCACGAGGGTGCTTTGAACATTCCAGGTTTGTTTGAGCACGAGGACATCAACACTATCGCTAAGAAGCACGAGAGAACCCCAGCTCAGGTCTTGTTGAGATGGGCCACCCAGAGAGGTATTGCTGTGATTCCAAAGTCCAACAAGACTGACCGTTTGGTGAAGAACTTGACTGTCAATGACTTCAGCCTCACTGAGGATGAACTCGCAACCATTGCCAAGTTGGACATTGGCTTGAGATTCAACGATCCATGGGACTGGGACAAGATTCCTCTCTTCGTTTAATCCTACGCAGATAACGACGCTTAATAGAACAATTTTTTTGTTTGCCTACATCCTACACCGTAAAATACCTCTCCCATAACCTTTTAAATTGAGTCCAACACCGCCTTACGACCCAAGTTCAACAACTTCAACCTCGACACAAAGTCGTCTCTGTTGATGTAAGCACCGCACAATCTCCTCTTACCTGTAAACTCAGTTCTCGAATGGAAACATCTCCAGTTATCGAAAATCAAGCACTGTCCGGGCTTCAATTGGTAGAACACCTCGTTCTCTGGAGAACTGATAATCCTGTACCACTGGCGAATGGCCTTATAGAACTTAGGCACATCCAGTGGGTTCTCCCAAGTGTCCATACACGAACGGTCACTCTGGTTCCAACGAACCTGAATAAGCTCGCCCTGATGGTCAAGCTTAAACACTGGCTGAGGAAGGTCTGGCTGGATACAAACCTTCTCTTCACCAGCAGAGTGTGCTGGAACAGGAATTCTTGTCAAAAGCTCGAAGCTCTCTGGATCTTCCTTTTTCAACTGTTCAGCACACTGGAAAGCGTCAACCAAAGAAGTGGTTCCACCTTCACCGTCATGGAACAAAAGATGGAACAACTGCAAGCCTGGAGTATCAGACCAGTAGGTTCCGTCAGTATGAGACAGAATATCGAAGTTGGTGTAAGCAGTATCCTTCTTGGTCAAATCCGAAGTAAAGTCCCAGAACCCACCGTAATGGGTAGGCCTGATGTACATAAGCTTCTCACACAACATCTCGGTATCCTCTGGAGTCACAGGTACATGGTCAATCAAGGTGAAGCCGTACTTCCAGATCTTGAGACACCAATCCTTAATGGCCTCTTCACCATCAGTAGCATCGTCAGAAGCCATAATAGCCCCATAATCAACGCTAGGCATATTTCCCTCGATATCCTTGGTCTTCCAGTACTGTCTCTTCAACACATCCTTCTCCCCCAGAAGCTTATCCTCCAAAGGCACAATCCTAGGGTTATAAGCATGAAGCTTCAACCAGTCCAACTCGTACTTTGACTTGTGCTGGTTCTGAGACCACACAATCTCGAACCCGTCCCCCACTGCCTTACACACTTCAGGACGGATATTTTCATCGATGGTCGCCGAGTTAAGCAACCTCTGCTTGGTGATATCGTAGAAACACTCGCTGCAATGGCAATTGTCTCTAAGCCACACGTAGTGGAAAGCGGTAGAAATGCCCTCGATCTCTACCGTGAGGGCATCGGAAGAAAGACTGAAATCCTGGTTGGTCATTGCTGGATCAAGAAGAAGAACCTAGTTCATATATATAGACTGGGTAGTATTCCGGAAAGGAATCTGGGGAAGCGCGGAATTGGTCCTAAGCGGCATCGGGAGGAGACTGGCCAATTGGAGGGGCGTTTAGGTTTTAGCTTTTTAGTGGTGGAGGCGTGGAGCCGTGAATGCCGTGGAAGAAGGGTGGAAGGTTAAAGCGAGGGGTGGATGAAGTATGGAGTTGGAGGTAAGTGGAGGTAATTGGGCCAGTTTGGTCCCCACATTCTACCTTCCATACATTGAATACATGTATCAGTTGGTCCAAATTAGCTCAAACTCAGCATCCACCTTACCCTGCCCATTTCCTATGTAAATGTCTTTTCTCTGTCTATTTGCAGCTATAGGCTGACGTAAGGGTCCATGCAAAGAGCTGCGGTGCGAGGCAAGAGGTGCTTATATTTTTTGCTTAGCGGCATAAGCGAGAAGGTAGAGAAGGTTCGTGGGAGGTGGAAACAATAAGAATTGTGGGTTGTAGATGCTTGGTTATTGAGATTTACCGTGGTTTAGATTTGCTGGTGCTTTTTTGGGTGGAAGTAGGTTCGGCACGGAATTGGGCTTATCGTGGGAGGTGGACCCTTGACGTAGACTAATGCAGGTGCTAAAAAGAAGGAAGGAAGAAGATGTCACAAAGTGGAGGGTGAGTGGAGGTCAAGCGGACGGTGAGATATTTGAAGATAAGGCGTTAGGCAGGTTGGGTAGTTTAGGGCATTGGAAGTGGCCGTTTGGAGATTGGTGGGTACTTGGTTGGAGGAATAGGGAGGTGATGGAAGGGAGAGATAAGAGAAGGGGGACATACAAAAATGAACTTGAATGATGGTTTCTGGTACCTTTTGGATTGTGGTAGTCATAAACGACTGAAGGATAAATTGAAAGAAATTCATGGACAGGCATCAAAGGAATAGGTGCTCTGGCTTATCTTGTCCATCTTTGTGAGTACTTGTAGGGCAGACGTCCTGTTTCCTACCATGTATCCAAAAACTTCGTACTTACTGATGGAAAAGGATTCGCCGAGTTTCTAGTTATGGGACATTTTTGGAGAATTGGGACGTTGTAATAAGAGTGTGGAATTGGTTGATCAGAACTGAATGGTTACAGATAATCATATGCCTACAAGAACTAACCATGCTCTACTGTCTCTGGTCAAACTTAAATTTAAAGATCATGCATTCAGGTGTTTTGCCTGAACTTTCATAAGTCATTTAGAAACCCTTCCAATATTTCATCAATTACCCTTTACCAATCTGTCTGATCAGATTGACTAGTAGAATGGAGACACCAGTAACAAGTACCTGCAAGTCCTAAGTGACCACTCTTTAATAAACCAACTTTACTGCCAAACCCTCCAATCTACAGAACCTAAGGACCAAAATCCTTCGAATTGCCCTACTCACTCCCTACCACTTCCTGTCCAACCTCTACCGCTCCCATTCAGATCCAACTCCACCAACCCCCACCGAACCTGAACCACAAACACCTCCCAAAACCTCCAAAACCTGCCATACTCTTTCTTCCATTTTTCATTCTTCCCGTCGATCCCCCGATGCCGTTCCATCTCCTCCACTGCCAAAGCCACCATATCTCACATGACGGTGTAACTCAACAACTGCCAGTGGTCACCAAAAAGACTTGAAACGTAAGAAAATGAAAAAATAAAAGAGAATCCCCCAAACTACCTAAATCCCTTATCATAAACAAAACTCCCTACACTCAACCAAAAATCCCCATTCACCCATCTCTTGCTTTCCCAACCTTGGGCTCTGGCGCATGAAATTTGCACCCAAAGCGAACACACACAATCCACAGTCTTTCGCCCACCACGACCCAAATCAAAACAGCCCAATACCAATCCCCATACTTACCGACCTCCTCAACACCCTCCAACCCTCCAAAACTCAAAAACTACCCGCCGTTCCCTCCTTTATTCCTCCCTCTTCTAGAGGCCTCTCCTGCAGCTAGCACCACCCAGGGTCAATAAACCGTCCCACCTTATCACACAGTTCCATCTTCACCACTTTCCCCCATTCACCACTTTCCCAACATGCTGGCGTCGTCTGACCCCCTTCTGTGTAAAGACTGGGTCGACTTTAAGCTGTGGGACCCGTCACTATATAAAGAGGAGTGTCCGCTCAGCCAGACTGCTAAGGACTTGAAAACCAAGGCTCTCGTGCTAGCATCAAAGTGTAGAGATCGGGATACATTGCAAGAACTTAGCAGGAGCCTGGAGGGTTTGTTGAATATTATGGTTCGTCATTTTGTGTGGACGTTCCTTTTGGATATCCCGTTGCCAATGCGTGATACGTTTCTTTATCAGCTTAACGTTAATGATTTACCGGAACATAGAGACGAGGACCAGGTTGTTTTGGATACCAGAAGACTGTTTACGGGCGGTGTCGAGCTGCAAAAATTCCCACTGGCTGGGTGCTCTTTTTCGTTTGTGTATTCTTTTGCTGATATCGAGGAGATGCGCCGGCGCCTCTTTAGTCTTATTGTTGGCGTGCTACGGAAGTACCCTGGTCTCCATTATTACCAGGGCTACCATGACATTGCTAGCATAATACTTATTTTGTCTCATACCAACCCGCCCGATAAGGATCTCGAGGTCTGGGCGCTGGAGTTCTTGGAATGGATTACGGTGTTTCACTTGAGAGACTTTATGCTTCCTAATATTGACCTTACGGTGAACCACTTGAAGATTATTGCGGCGCTTCTTGAGGAAACCGATCCGCTTTTGTTTCAATTGACCTCGGTATCGAGTCAGTCGTACCAGTGTACCAATGGCCAGTATTACGACTATAAGTTTATTGAGCCCCTCCTGCTGATTCTTACCTTGTTCAGCCATGATATTTCCAATTTAACCTATCTATACCAAATCTGGGACTTCATTTTTAGCTACAAATCCGTGTCTGCGAGCTTGTACATTTATACCGCAGCTTTGCACCATTTCAAGAAAGACATTATGACCAATTTGAGCCTTGAAGAAGGCGATTTGGATGCGATGTACAATATCGATCCCGCCGAGGCCCATAATGCCTTGAGTGCTTCAAACTTGTTCGCAAATCTTACTCAGAAAGACGTTCTGCAGATCTTGAGTAAGGCAAGGCTGTTGATTGAGCAGCATCCTTTGCTGGATCTTTCAAACAGAGAACGCACCTTTGATTTATGGTTTGGTCGCTTCAACAAGCATTCAGTCTTGATGACTTCCTCATCTTTAAATGATTCCAAACAGGCACCACAACTTTTAGAGCCGCCCGAATTCGATAAACTTCTCCAGCTTCAGCATCAAGAACAACAAGCTGAAACAGCGCATTCTTCCGAGCTACTTGTCCATCACATTGAGCAAAGTACAATGACGGACTCCTTCACATCGGCAGAAGATGAGGTGATTTCTTCCCAGACAAATCTGCTTTCATCGTCTTTGTCCAGTTTGAGTGCCGCCTCGAATTCCTTGAACAATACGTTAGTAAACAAGTCTTCGTTATTTTTCAAGAAGATATTCAGCCGCTCTGACGACAACGTTAGTGGTGACGATAGTACTGTTGCCAAGCGCAAGAAACAAAGAGGAATTCTTCGTCATAACATCTACAAGATCAGCGTAAGTGTTGGTTTCGTTGGATTTTTAGTACACTGTTTACTTCGCCATAGCGAGGTGAGCATCAGGAACTATCCATTAGGTCCATTGGGACTGCTTAATTCCATCGGCTCCTCTGTTGAGTCACTTATTCCCGAAACATTGTCCACAGTACGCCATGGCTTTCGAGAAGTTGCGGGCGGTATTACCTCGAAGTTCGGCGAAGCGCTCAACGCAGGCATTGACGTTACCCAACTCGGGATAGGCACCGTTCGTGATTCCATCTATGTATTGCGCAGATAAGAACCTTTGCATTTTTCTGTTTCATTACTTCCCCTCATAGTCAATCGAATATACAAGCACAGCATCAGCATAGGAAGCATGGCCCCATCCACGGTTGCCACTAGTGCTTAGCATGAATCTTCCTGTATCGTCCACGTACAAGTTACTCAACATGCCTCCGTGGTGACCTGGAATGACAAAGAAAGGCGTGGCTCTCTTCTTCAGTACGGATGTCTCTTGGGCAAACTCGTTATAAAGACCCAAGTTGTATAAACGAATGTTATCATTCGATCCACATAGAAGGAAGTTATCGTTAGGCATAACGGAAAGGGCAGAAACTGGGCCCGAGATTTTGGGGAATTGAAGGCATTTTGAAACATTTGGAATGGACGTAGAGCCACTGCCTCGTTTGTGAGGCATTCGTAAAGAAAGCTCTTCAACTGTACTGTTTCTTCTACCGACGTAGATTTTGTCACCATCATTAGACCATGCTGAAGACATGCACCAAGGAGGAACACCTTCGGGAACACCAATTCGAAGAGCAGCATTAGACGTAGAAACACGCGCATCCCAGATGTTCACGGTACCGTCGATATTAGAGCTCATGAAAATGGAGTCAGAAGTGGCGACCTTGTTCTTACCTTTAAGTTCTGGTTTGGATTTAGCCACAGCTGCCTCTTCGGTATCCTCTTTATCACCTTCTTCCTTTTCTTCGTCACTATCACCAAACAACGAATCAACGTCACTGTTTTCAGTTTTCTGTTCAGTGCCGTCAACCTCAAAAGTAATATCTGTAAGTCCCTGTGGCCTATACTGAATGTTCGATATCTGACCAGAACTGCCTTTGTATAAGTTGACAACCTTGCCTGTGTTCAAATCCCATTCCCTGATGGTTTTATCCCATGAGCCCGAGAGAAACCTGTTCTGCTCTGAGTTGAGTCTAAGTACGGAAATCGTATCCAGATGGCCGTTGCTGGTGGTGTGCTGAGCTTGTTTTTGACTGTTGTGTTCGAAGTAGTGGTGAATGGCGCCTTCGTTGTAGATCATGGTATATAGAGAAATACCTCCCGACAGCAATCCTGATAGACACCAGTAACCGTTACGTTCAACTGCAAGAGCGTAGACGGGGTTGACCTTGGGCTCGTAGGATATAGCGCCAGACGTAAAGTCAGAAGGCTTGATCTTTGGGTTACCGTCCATGATTTGTTGTTTCGTCTGGGGTTGTTCGTTTTCCCAGTATGACCCAATAACACCAGCTTTGGTGATACTGTCCATTAAATTGTGTTTTTGAGCGACTGTAAGAGGAGACTTACCTTCTATCGAGGCGGTGAAGTCGTATTTCCTGATAAAACCGTCCTCTCCACCTGTCAACAACCATTTAGGACCTTCAGAAACAGCGAAAGCATGACATTGGTTGGCATATGGACACGCCACCATAGGCGATATATCAAGATAAGTAGCCTTCTTCATACCATCAAGCGCACTCTGTCTTATACTCTGAGCATCAGTTTCCGTAGCTTCGCCATTAGTCTTCCCCTCCAGAGAGCCATTGCCTTCTTTAGAAGACCCATTATCCACATTTTCGTTCTTTTCGCCATCTTCCTCGTTGGCTTTAGCGTTTTCAGCGTCTCCGTTTCTGTTCAGCTCGGAACCCTGGCCCAGTTCTTCATCCTGGTCTTCTTTTCCTTCTTTCTCGGCATCTTCGTCTCCCTCTTCTCCCTCGTCGTCATCTTCTTCGCCTCCTTCGTCGTCTTCTTCGTTGTTTCCATCCTCGTTGTCGTTGTCGTTGTCGTCGTTTTCGTTATTTTCACCACCTTCATCCTCCTCTTCGTTCTGGTTATCTTCATCCACGTCCATGCCGAAACTGTCGTTTTCCTCCTCGGCATCTAGCATATCTTCGTCGTTTTCCCCGACATTGAAGAGATCCTCGTCCATGGACATTGGAGAAGTAGGTTGTAGGTAGTTGATGGTTTGGTGTGGGTGGTTGTGCAGGATGTTGATGTTGGAACTTGTCTTCCTCCGGACGAAACACACAAAATGGGTCTGTAGAGGTCTAGAAAGGGAGGTATAGGGTTTCTGTATGGAGGAGAGTAGATTGGTGCTGTTTGTTTGGAATTAGCTTTACGGAGGCTGGAGTGGGGGACGGTACTTCTTTCTCACTGTATATGCCCAGTGGTAGTCCCACAATTGGATGTACAATGCAAGATAAGGGGTATATAAAGGGGGAAGGTTTAGTGGCTGGTTTAAGTTTTACGGGGATTTGCAGGGAATGTGGTTTTGTTCTGGGTTTGGCTTATTGTGTTGGATATCTAATGGCTGCAAAATGGGGATATCCAAGGAGAGAGTATAAGGTTTGGGAGATAGCCAAGAAAAGACATACTAGGGGATACGGGGATACGGAGTAGGTCCCTAAGCCGTCATTGGGATGATTTACGGGAACCTAACGCCAGATCACGGTACGGGTACCTCATAGTGGCCAGATCAGCCAGGTTCTGGTGCCCACCAACGCCAGCTGGTACCCAACACATCCCTCAATTCCACTCTTCACCTCCCCTCCATCCTACACTCTTTCTAAAGCAAATGGCATGCGCCACCTGTATTGCTATGTACTCTACCAGCAAAAGACTTACTCGTAGATCCAAGAGAACAAAGCTGGCTTGTACTCAACCAACTCCTCCTTCTTGAACCACAAGCCAATCTCCTTCTGGGCAGACTCAACAGAGTCAGAACCGTGGCAAACGTTTCTACCCATGTCAATGGCGTAGTCACCTCTGATGGTACCTGGGAGGGACTCCAATGGGTTGGTAGCACCCAAGATGGCTCTACCCTGCTTGACAACGTCCTTACCTTCCCAGACCATGGCCACAACTGGACCAGACAACATGTAGGACAACAAAGATGGGAAGAAAGGCTTGGACTGCAAGTCGTCGTAGTGCTCTCTCAACAAGGACTCGGTTGGCTGGTACAACTTGATACCGACCAACTTGAAGCCTCTGTTCTCGAATCTACCGAGGATCTTGTTGATCAAGCCTCTCTGGACGCCGTCTGGCTTAATGGCAATAAAGGTTCTTTCGTCAGACATATTTGATGGTTAGTGGTGGTGGAAAAGGAAGGTTTTGGGGGAGGAGGAAGAAAAAAAAAATTTTCAGCGCCCTACCGGTTATTAAGTCACGTGATAAAGAACCGCCTCAACCAGCTATGGCCGAAGCCAAACGGTTCCATGGGTATGGGATGAATCTGGAAGTGTTCTAGTTGGATTATTTGGCTCCATTTTATGGTACCCTGTCGGATTCGTGGATTTTTTTGAAGGTTTGGTGGCCATTGGTGGAGGTATACTCACTGAGGGCATCCTGGGGTAGTGATTTGTAGCCAGTTGATGGAAAGCGTTGTAAATGGACAAGTAATGGTTCATTGGTGGTGAAACGTAAATCTGGGAGTTCAATTACCTGGGATATATCAATCCCTGTTTATTATTCATCTGTTTGTAGGGAATTGTTGGTGCTGGTGGTTGACCACGTTGGCTGCGAAAAGCCAGGCAAGCCACAGACTGTCCTCATTCACTGATTTGGTGCCAGGCAGATGATATTCTTTTAATCTTCATCTGAGTAGTGATTTGGGTTACCTAGGGTGATTTCAAGATCGAAATCTTCTTCAATTGAATACTGGTTGGTACCACTTCGTCATTTGTGTTCCTTAGGTAGGTAGCCATAGTTAAGCAGGGCCTCCAGAAACTCAAACAATTCGTGCATTTCGTGGATCCATAGCATTTCCAGTATTTTCCTTGACGCCCTCATTTTCATAAAAACAAAATATTTCATCATCCTTCTCCATTTTTCCTGCCTTTGTTTGACCATCAAGCTCATCACTGTACTGTCTTTCGCAGCCATTACTCAGTGCTGAACAAGTAACCACCAACTTCCACCAACATCCCAATAAACCATTATTTTCACATACTAACCAAACAAATCACCCCCTTCTTCTCCATTCATCAATTCAAATCCTCCTATTTTTCATTTTTTTTTTTTTCCAATTGGTCTTCCTTCCCTTCCTGCCCCACCTCTTGTTTACATCGCGAATCACCATACTAATCTCACAACATCAACATGTCTGTTTCTGCCTTCAGTTCGCCCACAGCCCAAAAGAGAGGCCCTTCGACACCGCTAGCGCCAGCTAAATCCCATAACAAAAGAAAGTTCACCCATAAGACTCCTCAAAAAGAGATCCTTTCCATCCACGCTACAGACTACCAGCGTGAGCTCTTGCAATGCAAATACAACCTCTGGCTTACCCAGCGTAAGCTAGAAAGGGAAGAGGAACTAAGAGAGTTTCTTGAATTGGAAAGGGAAATGCAGTAGCTGTGTGTTCTATAAACTGCCGGGCTTGCCTCTGGTGGCCTGGAAGTACTGGCTGATTTTCAGGTCTTTATCGAAGTAATGGCCATCTCTGGCATTGTCCCAGTCCAATTGTCTTTTGGCGATCCTGGCCTTTTCGTCTTCCCTGCTTCCACGCTCTTCAAGGTCGTCTCGAAGCCAATGCAACACTAATGGGTGTAAAGACTCGGCAAGAGCAACCTTGATACGGTCAATCACACCGCTGGACTTGTGTACTTCAACATCGTCTGTTTCGTCAGAAAAGTCGATCTTGTTGACATCCACGTCATCTGTCTTCTTTCCAGCATTAAGATGGATCACTCTGTCACACCAGTTTTTTCCAAGCCCATCAAAGATATGAGTAGCATAGATCACACAGCAATTGCGCTCCTTGCACTCTCTCTTGAGGAAGTTAAGCAAGTTCAGACGGACAATGACATCCAAATCCACAGTCACTTCATCCAACAAAAGCAACTTCCATGGCTTGAGAAGCCCCATCACCAATTGCACTCTCCTACGCTCTCCGTCACTGATAGCACACATAGACCAGTCTGGGTCCAAGTCCATGATGTCAATGAGCTCGTCGCGTCTTTCTCTGTACGCTTCGCCGCCAATTGAAGATATAAGAAGCTTCACTGGGATGTCTCTCCTGACGACTTCATTGTTGGCCCACTCGGTGCCCAAGTACGAGATATAGTTGTTGATGTCTGAATTGTGTTGCTCATGACGGGTAGCTGAAAATTCAAAAGGATCGAATCCTCCAAGTCTAAGCTTACCCTGTTTGACAAGTGTTTTGCCTGCCAAGATCTTCAAAAGCGTCGATTTACCTGCTCCATTGGGCCCCACAAGAAGGTTGGTCGTACCCCAAGGGATTTGCAAATTGATATCTTCCAACCCGCATTTTTTGTTATTGAAAACGTATGTAAGGTTCGTTGTCTCCACAGCGAACGTTGAAGTCATTAGGATCTATCTAAATGTTCTTTTTTCTGGTTGGTCTAGGGAGTTGAAGTTCACATCTCGCAAGTAACGCCATGTCAGATGCTTGAGCAACCTGTGCAGGCCTTGCACCCATTTTGCAACCTTTTTAATACTGTAATTCTTCAAGCCATTTGAAAACGTCATTCTTTGTAGGATCGTTCTTGATGTCACTGAATAAGTCTCTGGCATTCTCCAAGAATTCAGCGTGTTCGACGTTGAACTTTCTCAAGTACGTCTTGAGTAAGCCTCTGTACTCGTAGAAGAGCCATTGGAGGTCGATCTTGGTCATTAAAGCAGTATCTTCCTTCTGGTCCTCTTCAAAAGTCTTGGTGATTTCAATCTCATCGCTCTGTGGATTTTCAAGCTCGAGACTGTCAACAATACGGTTCAAGTTCTCCACAATTTGTCCAAACAAGGTGAGCATCACGTCCTTGAAACCGTCACCCTTAGCGCTTGTGCTCAAGACACGGTTGATGGATTCCATACAAGAGACGTTGCTGATGATGAGGTTGTGTTCGAAGTTCAAGGCTTTCTTCATAAGGAAAGAAGGATTAAGAATACCGAACTCGATAAGGTATTCCAAAATAAGGAAAGCAACCTGTGGCTGGTGGACCCAGATTCTTAAGATTGAGTCAACGATCCACTCTTGTCTTTGTTGGAACTCCTCTGGTGTCAATTCCAATTCTGGGAAGTTGAAGTCGGTTCCACTTGCCTTGTAGTCCTCTTCTGTCACCGTTTGGCCACTGATGAACTTCAACTTGGCAATGTCTCTGTTGATGATACTGACAACAGAATAGATCGATCTTGAACCAATGTAGGCGTAGGTTTGGAAAAGCAAGTTGATCAAGATACGTTCAGCGTCAACGTGCACCACAGACGACTTAATAGCCTCGATTGTTTCTTTGATCATGTCATGGAACTGTTCGTTAGATCTCCAGTTGGCAATAATAAAGTCATAGAGCTTGTTGGCAACCTCGTGAAGAGGAAGCTGGGGATTGGAGAATTCGTAGATGAGCTCCTCTTGAGGCGACAACATCAAGCGGTCGGCCGTAGCATCCTTACGTTGGTAAATTGCCTCAGTCACGATCTTCTTCAATTCCTCATTGTTTCCACCGTACAATTCATAATCATAGTTGATAACGAAGTCCAAAGCATTAGGATATAGGGAGATGTCGAGATACTTGTAGAATTCTTCAAGTGCCATGAGCTTGTTATCTCCATTTTCGTCCTGCTGCATGGTGACAAAACTATCCTTGATTCTGGCCTTGTTGGAAAGACGAATCTCTTTGGCAATCAAGTTCTTGATGAAGTTCTTCTTTGGGTGGTAGTAGAGCTTTGCGTAAAGCTGAGAGTCAGCGACCCACTCATCCCATTTCCAACTGAAATCGAAGTTAGATATCTGGGTTGTCATCCAATCCATGTATCTGATCTTCAATTCGTAGTCTAGCGTCTCTAAGTTCTTGTAGAAGAATCTGATGGCTCTGCCGAAGACAGGAGCGATTGACTCTGGACTCTCTTGACAACAAGAGATCAAGACAGTGTAGTAGTAGATCTCATAGTGGAGAGGCTTAGGAAGCTGGAAAATCATAGTAAGGATACTCTCCACGGCAACATCTTCCACCTTCCAGGTGGAAAGAGGTGGAACGTTCTCGCCAGCTTCGTTGTCTTTAGCAATCATAGCAAGCTGATCAACAGAAGAACCTGGAGGACTAAACAAGTCTCTGGAACAGAACAAGTCCAAGATAGACAACTGAATAGAGGCTTCTTTCTGGTTAAAAGACATGTTTGTCAAGATATCGAAGGCAAGATCCTTGAAGAACAAACCAAAGTAAGATTCAATGGAAGGTACAGTCTCGAAATCAGTGGTGGTGTTGTAGACCTGGAATAGAAGTCTTGGGTGCTGGAACCAAAGGTTGTCGATCAAACCGTCTGGCTTATAGGATCCGATCTCTTCAATAGAAGGAATGGACAACTGAGGCAAAGAGTGCTTGACGAGATCATGAGAAATCTCATTTGTTTCCAAGGCTTCTTTGATGATTGGCTCGAGCAAGTCGCTGTAGTCAAGGAAAAGAGCACCCTTGAAACCCTCCCAGTTCTTTTCAGATTTCTGCAAGGCCACAAGAGCGGGTAAAATCAAAGTGATAAGCTTCCTTGGCTTGTATGGCAACTCATCAATAAAGTTTTTGTGTTTTGGGTCGAAAGGTTCAAGCACCGTAACGGATCTTTCATCATCGCTTTCCACAATCTGGAAAGTAGCAGCCAATTCAAGAATCTCATTGGCAGCTTGAATAGTAGACTCGGAGAAGTCGTTGGCAAGAAGGTATGGAGTCGCAATCAAGACATTATAGAAGATCTCTTCAGCGATACCGTTTCTCTTCTCACCAGAGTTGGTCTGCAATTCAACCGCAGTCGTCAAGAGCTGTTTGAAAAGACTAGAAACAGCATTTTCACTGATAATTGGGTTTAATGCGCCCAAGAACTTAAACACAGACTTCAAGTCGTTGAACACACCAGCCTCCTCGGCTTGTTTCTCCTCCCTCGTCTCAACCTCCATCGACAGCTCCCTAAGTTTGTCTAGTAGGCCCTGAGCTTTAGCGTGGAAGTACTCGATAACGTACTTAGCCACCAAGAAGTTCTTAGCGTTGCAAATGAAAATAAGCACACTCAAAGCGGTGATCTTCTGCGGTTGTTCAATCACCACAGCATACAACGTAGACAAAATAGCCTCCCTCAACTTATCAATCTTCTCAAACTCAGCCACAATGGGGTTCGAAATGTACGAAATATCGTCCACCTGCGTAGCCAAGTTACTGTTCTCCCCAATACGTCTGATATCTTTGCAGATGTTGACAATCAACTCAGCCGTTGGATCAATGTGTTGTTTCTTCGAAGGGTCGTCGTAGTCGTCGTACCCAGGGCCCGCATGGGCATTAGGGCCCTCAAAGTCGTCTCTGGATCTCTTGTTCAGATTCTCCATTGGCTGGTGTAGTTGTTGAGGTGAAGAATGAAAAGGTATAAGGTGGAGATGTGTGCAGGCGACAGGGTAGGTGGAGATACCAGGAGGGTTTTAAATTGGACGAGAAGATTGTTATGGGAAGTTATGGTTGGTTAAGGAATAATTCGGTTTCTTGATCTTTGTTGTTTTTTTTTTTTTCTTTCTACTTAGTACACTTGGTGTTGATGGTTCTTGTAAACTGGTGTTTCCAATTGCTGCGAAAAGCTGCCAGTGCTTGACAGTATAGAGATTCAGATAGAGATCCACTAAAAATGTGAATGTTTAGGTTGAGTCTAATAAAACAAGGAAAGACGATGAAGACATGAGATTTGGAAGGTTGGTGTAATTTTTGGAGCTCGTGAGGTCCAGATGGCGTGGAAGTGGTGGACTCATCAGGGCTACTGTAAATGGCTGCAACACCAAGATGAGGCCAGCCAGTGGGGCACAAAGGGAGAGGAGGAGGGATTAAAAGGTGAAATTTTGGTTGCAGTGGATCGATGGTGGATGCTGGAGTGTTCTTTGATGAGATTAGGCGAAATAAGAGAGAATTTAGTAGATATGTGTGTGTTCTTTATGGCTACAACTGAGTGCTACTAATGCTGTAGCTACCAGGTGATCAAGGGCATCTAAGTAATCGTACACATCCATGAAAATTCAATAATTGTCGACTTAGGGCCCTCATAATGAAACTTGTAACCAGAAAACAGACGATATCTCGACTGCTGTTTAATTTTTCAGGAAACCTACTAAGTACCCTGAAGTAGCCTCAGTGGACTACAGGTACTACGGTAGGCCAACCAGGAACCACAACATTCCCCAAAAAACAAGTAAATTAAACAAATTGATAATTTTCCCTTACTTTACCATTTCTAGTAATATTTCAAAACCAGGATAACAATCTCTTTCGATAGCCCTCTATAACCTAGAGTACATGCTCATATAGACATTCTACCCCAGTCCAGTCCAGTCCAACCACCACCAGCCCAAACCCACCCAAACCACAATTCCAACGAATCTTCTATTTTCGCTAGCCACCAGCAAATCTCTCTACCAACCACTCCCCCAGGCCTTAACTCTTCTTCTTCGCCAAAAATAGCGCTTAAGCGCCAGCGTCGCCTGCTCATTTTTCGCAGCCATCTTATCATCCACAGTTGATAACGAACCTCCACCACCAACTTACACAGAATCAACTCCCTTTGTGCTCCACATGTCCATCAAGTCTGTTCTTGAAAACCGCAGACTCGTGCTAGACGGGGCGATGGGCACCCAGCTCGAGGAGATCATTCCTCCTTCGTCGCCAATGTACGTGAAGGGCTCTCCATTATGGTCGACTGAGGTGCTTCTTGGGGACCCACTGATTATAGAAAAGGTTCACCTGAGCTACCTTGAGAAAGGGGCTGATGTTATTATTACTTCCACGTACCAGGCGTCTCAAGCGACGCTTTTGAAACATAGAAACATGGGGTTGGAGGAAGCTAGGGAGGTGTGGAGGAGATCAGTTCAAACAGCAAAGGCTGCTATAGATAACTTTGGATCTACGAAAAAACTTTATGTTGCAGGCTCAGTGGGGCCTTATGGAGCTTACTTGGCTAATGGCGCCGAGTATAGTGGAGAGTATGGGGATTTTGGCGTGGAGGAGTTGGTGAAGTACCACCAGGAACAGGTTTCCTTCTTTTTGAACGATAAAGATACAGACTTGATAGCCTTCGAGACGATTCCCAACATTTCAGAGGTAAAGGCGATATTTGAGCTCGTCAAGGCCACTTACACTGAAAAGTCCAAGGACTTCTATGTCTGTTTCTCGTGCAAGGATAGTACCACTCTTGCTGACGGCACAGATTTAAAGGACGTGATAGCTTACGTCATTGACCAAAGAAGCAAGTTTCCAGCCATTGACGCGTCTCTCATTGGCGTCGGCTGCAATTGCGTGGACTTTGAGTTGGTTTCCGACTTTGCAGACTACGTAAACAAAGCATCCAACAACTCCTTGTTCTTGGCAGTTTACCCCAACCTCGGCTTCAGCAACGACATGTCTGATGTCAGCCAATACGGATTCAAATCAGATACAGAAAAGTGGAAACAGGCATTGGAGCAATGGTGTACTAACTCATCTATTCGACTTATTGGCAGCTGCTGTAGCACTGGTCCTAACGAGATCGGTGTAGCAAGAGCAGTGGTCGACGAGTCTACAGGTAAGTAATGATGATGAGCGGTTAAAGCATATGAACGAGGATTAGGAATTACCCGGGACAAGCCCGGAAGAATAAATAGCACATATTATGCAATCGAAAGGCAACAAAATAAATCAAACTTTTGCGTGCACCACGATGCAATGACCACACATTTATACAGAGGCCTTGTTAGACCGATTTCATAAATCATAAGCGGGGGATGTGGGTTTATGCAATAGAGGTGGTGAGCGAGTTCTTCTTTGCCTGGAGCCAGTCCTTGAAGGCGAAGACGGACATGATCCAAGCCATGAGGAGAGTGACAACACCGAGGGACACATTCAATGTGAACATAGCAGAGTAGCCGTAGTACTCAAAGGAGTAGACCACAGCTTCACACGACTCCATGAAGATCAAGCCGCCACACATTAAGGCGAAACTGACAACCAACTCCGTCATGGGGCTCAGAGGTCTGGTCAAAGACTTGCTGTTGATGGGAGTGACCATCTGAAGGACATACGTTAAAAGTCTGAACATGCATCCAACCACGAACAAGTTACCCCATTGAGTGTGGATAGCAGTGGACAATTGAGATGCCTGCTCGTGCTTAGACATGAGCACACCGGTCCAGTAGATGGTCAAGATGGGGAATGGGTTAGGGGAGAAGCCAGGCATGGCCTTAGCCACACGAGCGACATCCTTCGACTCAGCTACAAGCGCCATGTGCTCGATAGCTTTCTGATATCTGAAGTCATTCAACTTCTTCTCGACCAAAACACCACAAAGGCCACATCCAAGGAAAATGAAGGCAATCGAAACGTGCTGCAAATCCTTAGTGGTCCATTCGCCATCAGTACTAGCCAAGTGCTCCAAGAAGATGTTGGTGGAGCCATAGAAGAGGATCAACGAGGATTCGACGAATTCCATTGACCAAAGACCAGTAGGTTGCCATTTGAACCAACCTTGGTAAGCTTTCTTCGCAGAGATGAAGCAATGGTTCCAAGCCCAACCCTTTGCACGGAAGGCACCACAGTAACGGGCCAACGAGAGTACACCCAAACTGAAGAAGACTCCGCCCTTGATGAAATGAGCCAACAAGTTGAACATGGTTCTGTCAGCACCATAAACCGCGTAGGTAGCCACAGCAACACCCGAGTAGACAAAGAAGTAGAAGAACAGCATCCAATTGAGCACAGCAGTGAGGACCTGAGCAGTCTTACCGAAAGCGGAGACAACGCGTTCAAACAAAGGGAAGCGAAGCACGAAAGCGGTAATAAAGTTAGGCTTATTAATCATGGAGCCATTGGACGTGTTCAAGTGGCCATTGGAGAGGCCAGGACGCAAGTCATCGAGCTCAAAGGAGTCCAGCTGGGATTCTCTCAAGGTCAGAGTAGGCGAATTGAGCGAGGAAGTATCGTCGTCCTCGTCGTCCACGGCATAATACGCGTGTGACTCGATATCAAGCGACGAGTAAGCGGTAGCAACAAGCGCCACGGCCCAGTGCACTATGGACCCCACAAAAAGAATGGCCGTCATGGGATGGAATGCATTGCCTGGGTACAAGTCACGGATGGAGCCTGCAAACACCCAGTAGTTAATCACGGAAACCACAATGGCAGCGACGTGAACCGTCAAGGCAGGGAAGTATAGTCTTGACTTGGTATTCGAGAAAACAAGCACCAACGGGTACAAGAACAAGTAGGAGCTCACCCAGAGGGCAATATGCGTATAGAGGGCCGGTCTGTGATCAGAAGGCGTGTTGAAGTATGTTTCTGTGGAGTAGTTCTCCCAAAATAGACGTTCCTCTGGTAGAAGATCCATCTGAAGGATGGGCATGCCGTGGTGATGATGAGGCACATGAGCAATAGGCGAAGGCATAATCTCGGGGGATTCAGTTGAAGCTGGCGAACCCACCGTACTGGAAGTCTCGGCTGGGGTCAATTGACCCATATGGTGCCCTTCGTGGGCTGCCACCGCCAGAGCTATCGAGGCAAGGACAAGTAGGTGCATGGAGAAAGGTAAGAACAAAAGCAGCCAAAAAACCAAAAAATAGTAAAACTGAACCTAAGACAGATCGATAACGCCACCAAAGGACTTCAGGAATAATAAGCACTCCCCGGCAAGCGGATAACGGGCCGATTATAAATGGCGATGGGTAGCGCAAACCAGGAGTGTACAAGGCGCCAAAGCCAGAGGTTCCGGGCATCATACCGTCCAGGCACATTGCGATGCCGAGCACAATAAATGCATACTAGCTGTTTGGGGCAAGGCAAACAAAGCGTGAGACAGTGAAAAAGCAAGGACAAAAGGTAAAAACATGGAGGTAAAAAAAGAACAAACGGGTAAAAAAAGAACAAGCGGGTAAGAAAGAACAAGTTTGGTGGCAAGTGGCAAAAAACTGGCTGGCCAGTGGAGGCTGCATGTCTTCCTGGTTGGTTCCTCTGAATCTGTTTCACGGTAAATGCTTGTCATCAGCCGCGACCGGCTGTTTCGGAGCATGTAAGTTTCTGAATCTTGCTCACCGAGTTTATGTAAGTTTGTGGCACGATTTTTTGATGCTTTGCTCGTGGATGAATTGCCCCCGCTTTCAAAGACGCCGTCTTGAGCAGACACCCAAAAATTGCTTAAGCATTGCTCAAGCAAGCGAAGGTGTTTACTGGTGGACTTTGAGATTCTTTCTTCCTCGCATTTGCACCCACCCACACAGGAAGTTTAGTTGCGAATGACGTTTGGATTTTTTGGCATTTTTTTTTCCGGTTTTTTCTCCAGAGCGTCCTTGGCGTTCCAAGATACGTAGTAAATCAAGAAAATAACGCCATGACGGAAAAATCTCCAAATCTCCAACGGTTCGCTTCGGCTGCTTCTTCGGCTGCTTCTTCCTCCCGTGCCGATAAAACCCTCATCCCCCTCCTTCACTTACCAGCACTGACTGAGGCAGCGTGTGGCGAGTGAGGCATGAAGGTGCACTCCCAATTACCTTATTCATTCAATTGCGTGCATTATTTTGCTCACTCGCCTCATGGTTTTAGTCGTTTTTTGCTAAAACAAACAACACTGTGTGGGTGTCTCACTTTGTTACATTCATCCACAAAAAGAAGTATACCCGGATGTGTGACTGGCTCTTGTTTGTGGCAGGAATCTGGACCACAGGATTGATCGTGCCCCACTTTACCCATCAATGCACCTATTTTTAGTGGATGTGCTTTAACATCGGGGCTTGGGTTGGTTTGTCTCAGGGATAGATGGTCAGTGGTCTTCGGCGGTATAGCCTTGTCTGGTTTCTGATAAAAATACCTCTTCATTGTCTTGGCGTTTGAAACTTTATTCTGTATTCCCTTGCGTGGCCAGGGGGCACTAGATGCGTCCCTACCGTGTCTAATTTCGTATTTCTCTATCCTGCTCACAATGCATTCTTCCGTGTAAGGTAGTCGAACCTCGAGTATGTGTACCCGATGAACGGGAGGTCTTCCTTAATGTTCTTTCCGTCTCCTGCCTGCTGCTGCTGTTGTTGCTGCTGCTTATGGGCTCGGGTCATTGCAGGACTGTCAGGCACATTCTCCAACTCATCCGTGGGGAAGAATCGGGTATCCGTGATCGACTTGAGCTTAGGGATGAATGGTGCATCAACACGACGAATAGTTTCCCAGTCCACACCTCGGAAGAATGGATGTTGCTTGATCTCGTCGGCTCCGCCATGACGTCCCAAACGACGGTCACTCGATGTCAACAATCTACGGATCAAGTCTTCCGCTTCCGCCAGTAGATGGATATCTTCCGGAATCACCATCAGCTCTTGCCAGTTAATGATCTTACGGTATGTTTCGTGCGGAGTTTCGGAACAGAACGGCGGCCATCCGATAAGACACTCAAACATGATCGCTCCAAGCGACCACCAGTCACACTCCTGTCCGTAACCCTGATGGATGAAAATCTCGGGCGCAATGTAATCCGGCGTACCAACCGTGGAGTAGGCCATGAGTCTTCGTGATTTTCTCCACGTCTGCATCTGTTGCCTGTTGCTCATAGTCAAGTGGATCGCATCCACCATCATCAGGTTTCTCTGTGTCTGGGCTCGGCCAGGAACTTGCAACATCGTATTACCAGGCTTGGCCTCTTCCTTCTCTAAAAGCTTCTTGTAGTACTTGGAATCGTGCGTCTTGTGGAATCCAGTAGATAATCCAAAGTCCGAAAGCTTCACATGGCCCCGTTTATCAATCAAGATATTGTCAGGCTTGACATCACGATGAATGAAACCCAACTTGTGAATAGCCTCAATGGCCAAAACACACTCGGCCATGTAGAAACGGGTGATATCCTCGGTGAAGATTTGCCATCTGATCAACATTGTCATCAAATCACCTCCAGGAAGGAACTCCATAATCAAGTAAAGATTCACTTGATCCTGGAACGAGTAGTATAACGACACCACCCATGGTGAATCACTGCCTGCCAACACGTCTCTTTCGGCTTTGACATGCGCCAATTGATCTTTCTTGTACATCTCAGACTTCAAAAGCGTCTTCATAGCATAGATCTTACCGGTATCTTTCTTCTGGACCAATCTGACCTCACCGAAGGCACCCTTACCGATAACCTTGACTGTGATGAAATCATCCAAGGACAACTTAGTTCTTCTAAGACGCAAGAACTGGGACTCTTTCTTACCCAAGTTTTGCAATTGTCTATTCTTTCTTTCCTCACTCAGACCTGCTTCCTCGGCCATCAACTTATTTTCCAAATCCAATCTTCTTTGGTTTCTTTCAATCGCATGGCTCACAGACATCTGGTAGTAGTTTTCAAGCCTAAGTTTCATGGCTGCAGCCTTATCCTGAGTAACTTTACTCATCACATCTGGGTTTCTGTTAAAGTAAACATAATTTTTGTTCTTTTCACGAGGCTCAACCGCCTGAGGCAGCTGATGGGTCACCTGCGAGGGAGGCGTACGTGGAGAATCATTGTTTCTGTACTGAGCCTGTGGTTGTTGTAAACCAGCCTGTAACAGCGGCACTGGCGGCTGTTGCATATGAAGCTGGGCATGCTGTTGAATTGGAGAATGCTGTTTTGGTGGTGATGACGATGCCAAGTTCCCAACAGAGGCGTTGGCGTGGGTAAAGTTCAACGGATCATTGAGCGAGTTCGTCACCGAATTGGAGTTGCTAACCTCTGAAAGATTCGTGTTTGACGAGTTGTTCAATGCAGTAATGCCAGTAGGTGGACGGAAAACACCCAGCGAGCCTGAGTCAACCAGCTGAAGGTTTCTGTCCTGATGGTAGTTATCGAAATGGGCACCATTTGAAAACGTAGGCGATACCTGAACGGGCTGCTGGCCATACGCATTTTGTTGATACTGCTGTTGCTGTTGTTGCTGTTGATGTTGTGGAAGCACTGGCTGTTGGTAGAACTGCGTGTATCTGTTACTTCCAGTGTCTCTCTGGGCAACCGACTGGTCCACAAACGCCGAAGTGTCCTCGTCCATGAACGAATCGTCATTATACTCCTGATGCTGTTGGTTGCGGAACGCCAAATTGGGGATCTGCTGGTGATGTAGCTGCGATTGAGGTGGAGGTTGTTGTTGATAGCTAGGACCCTGGTTGATCTGGCCCTGCTGTCCACCGCTGGCGTGATCTGCACGAACCTGGCCCATGTAGTCGTAGTTGTAGTTCATATGGACGGTTTAGAATCGCTTCTAAGGACAAATTTCTAGTTCAAACACTGGAAGAGTCGTTGATCTTGATCTGAAAGAGAGACTCGTGAAAATCTGCTAAATGAAGGGAAATAGGGAAAGCAAAGGAATGCGTATACCGGGAAACAATAATTTGAGGTAGAATATCCAGGCTTTTTGTAAAACTTTGCTTTTTCCAGCGTTTGGAGTGGGTTCTATCAAATGTCTATGTTTGAAAACATTCTCATTCCTCGTCGTGGCTGATGGAGTGGGTTCCACACCCGTACACCACACCAAGAAGAATAGGGGAAAACCAACAAGGCGTCCAAATTTCACCGGAATTTTTGGTAAAGTGGGCAATTCAGGGGTGAAGGTTACGATTTTGGTGGTATTTTTATCGGCTTCTACAGTCTAATGTGGATCTAACTGGACCCTTGCTGTAACCGTGCCTGAACGCGGTTTCGAATATGGTGCACCACTGAAGAACGCAACAGTAGTGTTTAAGGATCAGACAAAGATCTAGAAGGAAAAGGTTCAGAGCCGTGTATCTTTGGAGACTTAAGAGGTAAAAAAAGTCAATTATAAGGAAGTCTTTCTGGGGAATGGGTGGCCTTTTATAGTGAAAAAGCGCTCGCAGCGCATAGTACGCTTGACAGATGGAAGGGTCCTGGCAAGGCCAATAAGCTTTCTTGTATTTGGCATGGATTGGAGTTGGGGATTTGGGGTTTAGGTAGTTTAAGGTTTGAAGAGGTTTAGAGTTGGTTTGGCGGTTAAGGTAGGGGAACTGATGGGCATTTGGGTGTATGGATGGGTTGTATGTCTCTAGTAGTTGGTCCAGGAGATAAAAGATGAAGCTGTTACTTATGGATGGTTAAAGAAAACAACATGTTTACTTTAGCGATGTTTTTCTCTCTTGAAGCTGTTAATTTTGTCTTTTGAAGAATACTACATGGCTGACAGTATACTCTTATACCTCTTCTTTCTCTAGCAGTAGGACACTAACCAATGTAAATCAGTGTAAATAGTCATACTTCGATTCATTGCCAAATGATGAACAAAGGATCACAATTTTATGAAGAACATAAAATGAAGGACTTGAATGGAAGAACCTGGATCTTTTGAATGGTACTTCAGTACTCCCTAAGCTCGACTTAGGCTGATTGGTATTGAAGCATTCACCAAACCAGAACCCAATTAATAAAGCCTTTACCTCGCCCTACAAACCCTTCTTTTTCTCTTCTTCTCCCTTGGAGCCTACAGATCGTTCAAGGATAACTATATTATGGAGTACATGTCGTAAAGTACAAAATGAACCGTGGCCGGCAGCTTAGAACTGCAAGGCCTGGCCCTTCTGCTTCTTGTCACCACCCAACTCGAAGTGCTTACATCTCTTCAAAGCCAACTGGGCCTTGGTCTTGCAAACAACACATTCCAATCTCAAGACGACCTTCTTGGTGGTCTTGGCCTTCTTGTGGAAAACGGGCTTGGTCTGACCACCGTAACCACTCTGCTTACGGTCGTATCTTCTCTTACCCTGGGCGAACAAGGAAGCCTTACCGGCCTTGTACTGGGTGACCTTGTGCTGGGTGTGCTTCTTGCAATCCTTACCCTTGCAGTAGGTTCTTCTGGTCTTTGGAACGTTAACTGATTGTTAGTACTAGCTGGGAAAATGGGGAACGTAGATCTTGTTGCTTTGACTTGAGCGGAATGTCTTTACTTGGAACTTTAATTTTCATCATAAATCATATCTTTCATGGGTCTTCAATTCATAGATTCTGCAAAAATGGACATTTTGAGCTGGGGAAAAAAGGACTGGGATGCTATGGACACGTAGATTGCAATGCTGGATCTCATCCTCCGTATTTGTGCGTTTTGAACATACCCATTGTGACTGAAGTTGTAGGTGATATGGAAGGTAGAAAAAATTTTCTAGTTTTTCCAGAGTGTAGTTACCGCGAGCAGTGGAGGTGTTGGAAAAAAAGCACTGTCTGCAGGATACACCTCTACTAAGAAGACCTACTGGGTAGTGCGCACCCGTTAGGGTTCGAGCCCTAAAGAGTCACCAGTTGAATAATGACCACTGGAGGGACACCCAAGGCAGGGAAGTACCTGGGAAGGAGGGAAGTAGATATAAAGAGGACGTTTGAAGGGTATTTAGAGGCAAAAAGGGATGTCTGTTGTTTTGGGGTTGGATTGAGTGGTGTATCTGGAGAGGACTGCTTATACTGAGCATTACCAGTAGTCTACCAGTGGGCCAGCAGGTGGTAAGTATTTGGTTAAAAAACGTTGAAATAAACGTGGAAGTGGTTTTTATAGTTACTTGAAATTATAAAATGAGTCCATGATGGTTCGTTGGTTTAGTGGTTGGTGGTTCACTGGCGTAGTACTAAGTACTGCTAATGGCTGCGAAAGTGCTATTACTACTCAACCAGCACTAGATGGACCATGACAAGATAGCTAAGTAGCGCTAGAAACATGAAAGAAAGACTTATTCTTGGTAATTTGGCACCATAGAATTGATTTAATCAAAAATCTAGTAATAAATGTTATCGTATGATTGAAATACGTGGACCTTATTAGACTCAATTACTTACTACTATACCACTGGCACCAGCCCTGGAAACCCACCACGTATTCCAATTTACATCCAAACAACTTCTCCCCAACATTCATCGTCTCCTTCTCTACATCATCTTATTCACTTTTCATAAATATACATTAAAAACAATAGGGTATAGAACTAGACAGTAATGGTGCTGGTAAGCGTGCTTGTGCTGGTGACAGTCTCGGTGGAAGTGGCATCGTAGTACTCGTAGTCCACGTAACACACGCCATCGTTGGTCGACGTCAGCACAGAGTCAAGCACAAAGCCTGGCTCCAGCGAAGAGTGCTCGTCACCAGCCACAGTCTCCACCAGCTCCTCTTCGTCAGTAGTAGAAGTACTAGTTGGAGCAGGAGAAGGAGCTGGGGATGGAGCTGGAGCAGTGGATGGTGGAGCAGTCAGAGTCTCTGCGGGCTTTTCCTGAGCCTGAGTTTCTTGTGGCTGAGTTTCCTGAGCCTGAGTCTCCTCTGGTTGTTGTTGAGTCTGCTGAGTGTCTTGAGGAGCCTCTTGGCCAGTTTCCTGAGGAGCAGCAGGCTGTTCAATCTCAGAGTTCACCACACTCACATAAGTGTGAGGCTGACCGAAAATGGTCGAGGTGTAAGTCGAAGTGTAACGAGTGGTGGTGGTTGTTCTGGTGTTGGTCAGCCAGTCAGTGAACGTCGAAACGGTTCCCTCGACAACGTTAGTGTTGGTGACAGTGTTGTCGACGGTTTTGGTCAATTTGATGACTCTAGCCGCCTGAGTGATTTGCGAAAGGGTAAGGAGTGACGCGAGTGAGTAGAGAACTGGGAATTGCATTTTTTTGGAATGAAGGACTGGGGTGAGTTGTGTTTAAAGAAGGACGAGGGTGGGAAGGTTTGTAGTTTGATTAGAAGGGAGTGTTCGCTTCGCTCAGGGGTTTCACTGTGCTGCCGTGGTAGTTATTCTTGGAGGTTAGAAATTAGTTGGATATTTTTTGACCACAGGGAGGGCGGATATCTTCTACTTATAAGGAAATGGCTGCTGGCCATAGTTAAGGAGATGGGAAAAGGTTGCAAAAAACACCATGCACCTAAAAGTTCGTGGACTGCAGGTAAGACCCCTCTTGCAGCACACAAACGCACTAGCGAAACCCAGAAGGCTGGCTGAATAGCCTTTAAGAATCGGGTCAGCCAGCAGAAAACCCGAAAACTGATACTTTATAGATTCCTTAGGAAACATCACACAATATGGACCCTGCGGCTCTGGCGCTTCTCCAAGAGAATGACTTAAGATGTATAGTGACATCTGCGTCTTGTGTGCAGTACCGCTGGCGTTTGCACCCAAAGTAGATAGCTTCAACAAGAAATAGGCAAGCGTCGAATCTCGAGAGTTACCTTATTCAGCGGGTGTTCCAGCATTTGTAGAATGCCTTGACTATACTTTTAGACGTGTAATGTCGCATTTGACAAAGAAGCAGTTGCTTCGTAACGTCACATTCCTTGGGTTGTAAGTACAGCCGCACGAGTAATACTACCCACCAAACGCCTTGGGCAAGGTTTTGCTAAGGAATGGGCGCTGGCAATTGCTGAATGGCTTTTTGTGGTGTGCCGAGGATAATTGGGTGAATGGTTTGGGGCAAGGGTTGTTTCTGCGGCTCACAGTGGTACCAGGCTGGACATTACTGGGGCTGGGAAGCAATGGAAGCTGCTGGATATGAGGCTAAAGAGAAGTGGCTGGTGAGGGTGGGTAGAGGGAATGGGCGTGGTTGGTGAGTAGAGGGAATAGAGGGAATTGAAATGGAGGTTTGTGTTTGGTTTGGAGGCGAAGCTGGTTCAATTGGGTAGTGTGAAAATGAGAGTTCTTCTGGTGACGAAAGAGTACGTCCAGAGGTTGTTGAGGAAGGGCTCAATTCGCTGGAAGGATTGTCATAAATGCATTGCAATTATAATTATTAATTTTTTCATCTTCTCTTAAAGCGTATACAATGTTCTTTAGCTACTTGGATATGGTAAACGACTATGGTACAACTTCTGTGCTTCCACTGATTATACTTCACAGCACCGACCATCAACATCCACCATTGCCTGTCCAAAAGTTCCAAAAAAAAAAAAAAAGACATTTCACCAATTCATAACCTTTTTGATCGTTTCTGTAATTTTCCATCTTCTATTCTCTTCTCAGCTTGCCATTGGTAGACCTGATTGAACTGCCCTGCCATATATCTTCCATAGTATAACCTCTTATGCCCCCTCCCATACTCTATTCCTTCATTCAAGAAACCTTCGCTTACCTCAATCCTTTCCAAACCCACACTCTAAAGCAAATCACATACACCTAGCCCCTTCCATAATCTAACACTACCTTTAGTCTAGACTACTCGCTAAAAGACTAACCTTGTTAGGCCAATGGCCGTCCACTCCCCGTCTTTTCCACTACACCACCACGAAAACCCACCCCCTCATTCCAATCAAATTTCCACTGCCTTCCCGAAACACCCTCTTCATTTTCCTTCAAAACCCACCACCTTTCCACTACCACCGGTTCTTACCACCCAGGGTCTTCTCGTTTTGCAGCCATTCCTCGGATAAGGCATACACTCGCAGTCCACCGACCATCCACCACCCCCAACTAAACCACACATAGCTCCTCCAAATACACTGAAAATTGGAAATTCCATACTCTCAGCCCTCCTGATTCCGAATATCTACTTAGATTTTCCCAATTGTTTCTCCCTCTGTTAATACACGGCACCCCCTTCGGGAGTACCGTTTTCTCACGTGACATCCGAGGTTCCGGCCTGCGCTTGCTCCTTCTCGGCCCCCCGTTTTCTCACCGTCCCTCTCACTTCCGGTCACTATCAACACACCTACCGGTCTCTTTGCCCCCGGTACTCATCTTACTACTATTTCCACCTAACAACACCTGCCAAACCCCCTATATCTCCCTACTATGAGCTACTACGGCACCTCCAACGCCCACTTGGCGTTCCCGTCGTACCCCAACAAGGCCTTCAGCGGAATATGAACGGATTGAACACGCTTTCGGGCTCAGTGCCTCAGCTCCATCAACAGTACAGAAACCACCTTCCACAGCAGCTTCAGCCTGGCCAGAACGCTTCAGGAGCTTCGGCTACGCCTGCGCCAAATGGACAGACGGCTAATCCAGAGAGTCTGCCGGCAGAAAGCCAGGACGGGGCGAAAGATGATAAAAACACGGATCCGGAACTTGACGATGATGATAAGTTATCCAAGAGAGAACGGAAGAACCGGCCTGGCCAGAAGTTTGGCGCTAAGAAGAAGCTGTGGGTCTGGACATGGTTTGTTCAGGACCTGCGGGATCCCAATGTTGCCGTGTGTGATTACTGTGGGAAGATCATCACTAGACAGCCATCTGATAAAGGGCTGCCTAAGAAGTTGAGTGAACACTTGAAAACACATAAGCTTTCAAGGGACCTGATCAACACGCTGCGGCCTGTTCCTGTTGATGGGAACGGTATCACGTATAGCCCGAACGGGCTTCAGATGCCAAATTATAAGAATTATAACCAGGGCCAGAACCAGGGCCAGAGTCTGAACCAGAGCCAAAGCAGCCTGTCGAACGGGCCTATGAGCAACCCACAGCTTAACAATATGCTTCAGCACTCGTTGCAGAACCAGAGTTTGAATCAGAACCATGGTGATTCCGATGATATCCCTCAGCCTAAGCCTACCAAGTACAGAAGAACAGGAAACATGGTTAATGGCGTTCAGGCTGGCGTTGGAAGTGTTCCTACTGCCAACAACAGTACAGGTTCGAGCCGTTTGAATTCGATCAGTGGGGTCAATGTTGATGAACGGTTGCAGATGCACCAAAACCATCAAACCCATCAGAACCACGCCAATCACCAGAATCACCAAAACCAGAATCAGAACCAGACCCAGATAGTTCGTCAATCTGCTTCGCTGGGAAGCCCCGTTCAGTATGGTCGTCGCTACATTCTGCCAAACTTCGATAATGCTCCTTATTCTGCTGGGAAGTTCCATAAGCACCTTCTCCATTTCCTCGCTGACAACAAATTGTCCATTCGTTTGCTCAAGCTGCATTCGTTCCAGCAGCTTATTTACGACTTGAGGCCAGATCTGATCACCGATCTTCTTGAACTTACAGGGTTATACACGTCGTTTATGGAAGTATCGAGAGTTGACACCGATCCAAATGCCGAGGAAGGCCATCAAACAACGCTAGCAGAGACAAACGTGGTGAATACGCTAGCTCAGAACTTGCCTCGAGGCGACTGAGGCGACTATCTTTTGTATCATAGCCCCATGAGGCCCATGGGTTTAATTATTCGTACATGTATTAATACCTCATATATACCCGGTTCTACTGGTTGCTCACCGAGCGCACCCAAAGCTCTCTTTCATCGTGCTCACGCCATAATCGGCTGAGAGTGATACCGAGACTGTACTTCTTTTTCTGGATTTCATCTTGCTTCATCTTCAACTTTTCAATGGCACGAGCGATCTTGTTTCGCGTGGCATAGTCGATTTCAACGTTATAAGGGGGAAGGAGGTTTGTCAAAAAGTCAATCTCCTTGTTAATTTTTTCTACACGAACAGCATACAGATCGTACTTGGACTGGCTGCGTTGAAGCTGTTCGTTCTTGGTCAATGGCTTACGCTCTTTAGGTTCCTGGTTCTGGGGCAAGTTTCCGTAAGAATACTGGCGTTGTCCGTTGGACGAGTTACCACTAGTGTTGATAGTGTCTCTAGAAACTTTTCTGACGGTAAACTTCACGGGCTTCTTGTCTTGTTTGGGTAATCTCTGTGTGGTTGGGAAAGTGTCCGAAAGAGGCGATTGCACAGCAGAAACGTCTGTAGCTGGAGTCGAAGCGCCCAGATCTATAGGCTGAACAGTCAACCCACTCGTCTGTGGAGCAGCTTCTTTATCATCCTCGGCCGGTAGCGCTCCACTGAGCCCTTGCATAGAAAGACTGTTAATCAACTTCTTAGTAGACTCAGACAGTTCCACCGAGGAAACCGAGCCCGTAGGCAGATGTGATTTTTCGCCAACGCCTTCCAAAGGTGGAGCCTCAGTGACGGGCGTAGATGGTGTTTCTTGGTCTTTCTTGTCAAACTTGGTTGTTTGAGGCATGTTTGGAGATGTTTCACCGTTTACGTCTGAGGAAATGACCTCAGCTGGAGACATAACAAGGATATGGATACAGTAGTTGAAGTGGAAGCTCTAAAGGGCGGGAAAGGTCCAAATGATAGGAATCGGAAAAAAAGTAACGTTGTTGTTGAAGATATGGGATAATTGGATTTCTTAGAGGAGTGATTAGGGCGCGGGTCGTGCGCGGCACGAGATCTCTGTTTGTTTATAATCTGTCAAAAACGACCAGACCGTTGGAATGAAGAAGACGTGGTGAAAAGAGGGAAGGAGAGATTCGGAAAATGATAAATACTACAACAGAAGTTTAATTATGGGATAGGTAATTTTTTATAGTGGGCCGGTTTAGACGGTATCGGGTAGCTTTCCGTTTTGGGACGATGCTTAAACGCGTCACCCGAGAGACTAAAATCGGATCTTTTGTCACGTGATGCGGGTCACGTGTTGTTTAAACGACCAACGACAACTCTTCCCCAAGCCCCCGCCCGGGATGAAGGGGTCATTAGGGGAAAAGGGGGTTGGCTTGGGATTCGAGTAATTATATGGTCTCATAGTATGGAGCGTGAGGGCCCTTGGTGACTCAATGCAATGGCTAAGCCATGGAACTCATACCCACGCCAAAGCTCCTCTTTTCAAATCTATACATTCCGTGGATTCTTGTTCCCTCTTTCCACCCTATTCAGCCATCTTCCTTATCACTTCCCCCTTTTCTTCATAATCTGACGTTGCATGGTTTAATGGCTGCAAATGACCTGCATGGACCACTCCATCCAGCTCCACAGAACCCCCGATCAATCCACCCCAAACCCTAGAAAAATAAAAATCTTAAATCCTAAAAGTGCTCATTTCATCGTTAAGTTATCGTAATCGAAATCCCCCAATCACTCCCTTTCCCTGGCTCCCCCTCTTCTCCCCCTCTCTCATACTAAACAGCCTCTACTTATCGCGAAATTTCAATACTCCAGGTTTCACCATCATGACGTCGTTGTTGCCTTTGGTAGAGGCAGTGGACTCGTTTCCGTACGTTCCAAACGACTACTACTTCACGTTTGTTGGTCATAATGGACAGCCTTTGGGTTATATGGTGCCAGAAGTGGCCACTGCATTCAAGACGTGTTCTGCACTGGACAAGTTTGTGGTGAATGATGGAGACAAGACAGTCACTATGGGAGGAGAGCTAGATACTTTCGAAAAGAGAAGTGCTGTGGTTGCTCAATTGGCTGAGGAGTGGCGTCAGAAGGACCCTGTGGTGGCTAAAGGTTGGAGAGATGAGCTTTACGTGGTGTTTTCTCCTAGGACAGTACCGTACTTTTCAGTGGAAAGGGCCTTTTCTGGTGTTTTGGGTGTGGTCACTTACGGCGTTCATATCAATGGAATAGTGCCTGCTAGCAAATCTAGCAACGGGAAAACAAAAATGTGGGTGCCTCGAAGATCAAAGACAAAGGCTACGTACCCTGGAAAACTCGATAACACTATAGCAGGAGGCGTGGCTTATCCTTTAGGGCTCTGGATAATGTTATTAAGGAGTGCTACGAGGAAGGTGGTTTGGATAAGGCGTTTGTGGAGCCTCGTATATCTTCTGCTGGTGTGATTCTGTACCTCTGCCAGCCTTATGGGCCTAAGGGACACGCCCAGCCTGAGGTGGAGTATATCTACGACTTGGTTTTTGACTCAGAAACGGAATATGAGCCTTCGCCAGTGGATGGCGAGGCGGAAGAGTTTAAGCTTATGGATTTGGATGAGGTGCTTCAGAGAATGAAGGATGGAGAATTCAAGCCTAACTGTACATTAGTGGTTATTGACTTTTTGATTCGCCATGGCCATATCACGCCAGAGAATGAGGAGAACTACTTGGAGATTACTTCGAGAATCCACAGAAGGTTTCCGTTCGCAACGAGGAATTAATGAACTTTAAGAGGTGAAGACTAGTGAGGTGCCTATTGCGAGACAAGCATTTCAGATTCGGATACTGTCAGGGACAGTTGCTTTGGCCTCTTCGGTTGTATTAAAGCACATTAAGTGGGTTCCTCATTGGCGGCGGATGTCCCAGCTATCTCACCTCACCTAAGATGGTTTACTCGGCGTCGTCTTTCTTCAAACAATACTCTTTAGAAGCTCCAGATCAGGAAAAGACATTTTTGGGGTTCTGTTAAGCACAATATCCAGAAAAGACAGCAACAATTCCGTACGAATATCATTAAATTATGTATTTACTTTTTATAGAACTCCTGGTATACAACCCATCAGACATGCTCTGGAGGCCTGACGTAAGAAGGCTTGTTGTTACCTCTCATCTTACGTACCTCCTGTTCCGTCAACACCAACATCACGGTGGTAAGAATTAAAGTGTCTCGGCTGACTTCTGAGTCTTCACCGTTGTTTGCTTCAAAAATACGAATTGCTCCATCCAACTTGACCCCATCCACCTTCTGCTTTCCGTGATCTAGGAAACTGGCAACAGGATAATTGACAAGCGGTTCTCCCAGCGCAAGTATTTGAGACACTTGGGTTTTACGCTGCTTGGTGACGGCATCGTAAAGCGGACTGTGCTCTGAAAACTTAATCTTAACATCCTTTATCGTTGCAGCAGAATCTGGAGGTATTAGGCCGTCAGCCAAAACAGGTGAGTTGTCAGAAAGGGCAAAAGCTTTAATGTGGCCATTTCCATACGTAGAAGCAGCGCCCGAGGCGCCAAAGATCCGCATTCTCGTACCCTTATAGATCATATCCAGAGAAGGCTTAATCGCATTATTAAAAAGGAAGAGCTTCTCGCCCTCGTCAAACATGAAAACGTAGCAGGTCAAGTTATTAGAAATAATCTTGAAATACACCTTGCAAAAATCAGACCCGTCCCGGCAAATCGTAAGTAGTGGAGCATTCCTAGCCAAAAAGTGAAACTTATTCGAGTGCACAGTAAGCAAAGGAGGCCCACCTTCCTTCACCACGCTCGTAGAAAGGTAACACGCAAGCTCCGATTTCAAAGTACCCGCCAAGATCGGAAGCTCGCGGATCCTCGTGTACGCCAGGATTCTCGTGCCAAATAGTGGAAGTGATCCAATGGAATATGTCTCTTCAGAAACAGCAGACCATATAGAACTGTCGTCGCCCGCGGCGCGTCCCGCATCCCGAGTGGCACTCAGCTGGGCCGCCGAGATGAGCGTCAGAAGACTCTCTTCGCTATTAGCTCGCCGGAGCATGTGCTAGGCGAAAGTATGGTGGAAAAGGAAGTGATCTGGGGATGGAAAATAGTCGGTGTGGGTATGTGTGCAGGTTGGCGATGGAGGTTCCATAAAGAGGGTCCAGCTTGGCAGGGAAAAACGGTCGATTGTGGGTTTTCAAGGGCCAAGACGTGGCCAGTAAGGGGTACCAGTCGAGGGCTTTAGCCACTTTCTCTGTTAATTGGTTGCGTGCCTAGATGTACCACTACTCTATCATGTCTTGTGAGGATATTCCATATAAATGGCTGCGAAATCAGATAGACCGTACCGAAGCGAACAGAGGTACATAAATGAAGCCACCCAGGGCAAAAAAATGACTAATCTTATGGTATCCAGTGGGGCGGGCCCTAGCGGCACCGGAAAAAGTACGCTTTTGCCGTTCCTAATCATGTCAAGCAACTTGACACTTATGCTTGGCATTTCACCTCGGAGTTCGATGGGATATAGGTGAAAGTAGGCTCCAGTCCAAATTTTGTGCTTCAAAAGACAAAAGACGCCCAACCCAAGCGTCAAAAGTTCTTCTGGGTGAATTTCCAGCACCCCAAACCAATTCCCCAGTTCCCAGACCAGGTTGCTTTTCGCCTTTTCCGTTTCTGCCCAAGGGCTATTTGCCATATATGGCTGCACAGTCTCCCAGACAGTCCAGGCCAGATAGTCCAAGGAAGGCTTCACTATATACCCAGGCAGGTAAAAATCCCAAAAGACAAATAAAAAAAAAAATCAGTAAAATTCATCCAGAAAACCTGGAATTGTGGAATCCAATCCCGTTCCTTCTTGGGCGTCGTAGAGAATAACCACAAACGCTTCCAAGACTCTTCGCGGCTTGATAGTTACACAATACTGAACAGCCAATACCACAAACCGACGAGGGCTAAGAAAACGGCGATTGACCTGGACCCACAAAGCAACGAAGGGGAAATAACAAAGCTGGGTATGGAGGTTAGCACGGCATTTTTCAGTGGCCTTTGTAGTGGTACAAATGTATCTTCTTCAGCCCTGCCTCGCTTATCAAGCCACAGGACAGCCGTACATAGAAGAGGTTTGGTGGACATTTTTCGCAGCCAGTAGTGTGGCGCTTTACCATAATGCCGCATGAACAGTAGAGATAAGATGAGGTGCTGATATGGGTGGGATGGTCGTATAAAAAGGAAGGGAATTTTTCGGAGCACCTTCGCTACAGCTGCTTTTTTTTTTTATTTTTGACTTACCATGGCTGAGGCTAATAAAGTGACGATTCTTGCTGACGAGAAGGACCTGGAGAGGGTGACTAGCGAGTTGGACTCGGTGCCTCCTTCTGAGGAGGGCGTGGAGCCTACGGAGGAGGAAATGAAAAACTTGAGGAGAGTGGCAAAGACCATTCCTCTTTCGTGTTGGCTTGTGGCGCTTGTGGAGTTGGCTGAACGGTTCTCCTACTATGGGTTATCTACACCTTTCCAGAATTACATGCAAAATACGCCAGACGACGACCCCCACGGTAAATTGGGTTTGGACCAGCACGGTGCCACTGCCTTGTCGTACTTTTGGCAGTTTTGGTGTTACGTGACGCCTATCTTTGGTGCTTGGGTCGCCGATACTTACTTTGGTAAGTTCAACACCATCTGTATTTTCAGTGTGGTTTATATTCTTGGTATTTTCGTCTTGTTCATCACGTCCATTCCTTCCATCGCTGATAGAGACGCTTCGCTCGCTGGTTTCATCATTGCAGTTATTGTTATTGGGCTTGGTACTGGTGGTGTCAAGGCCAATGTCTCGCCATTGATTGCTGACCAGGTTCCTAAGTTCAGACCATTCACTAAGGTTCTTAAGTCGGGTGAAAAGGTTATTGTGGATACCAACATCACAGTTCAGAATGTCTTTATGCTTTTCTACCTTATGGTTAATGTCGGTTCGCTTTCTATTATTGCTACTTCGGCTTTGGAGCAGGAAGTTGACTTCTGGGCTGCTTTCCTTTTGCCGCTTTGTTTCTTCTCCATTGTGCTTTTCCTGCTTGTCTTCGGTAAGAAGTTCTACGTGAAAGTCCCTGTTGGAGACAAGGTCATTGCTAGATCTTTCAAGGTTGGCTTTATTGCCTTGTCGAAGTTGAACTTTGACGCTGCTAGACCTTCTCTTCACCCAGAAAAGGAGTTCCCATGGGACGATTTGTTTGTGAGTGAAGTCCAGAGAGCTTTCTACGCCTGTAAGGTGTTTTTCTTCTACCCAATTTACTGGTTGACTTATGGTCAAATGGCCAACAACTTCGTGTCGATGGCTGGTGACATGGATACTCACGGATTGCCAAACGATGTGTTGCAGGCTATTAACCCACTTACAATCATCATCTTTATTCCAATCTGTGAAAGATTCGTCTATCCTTTCATCAGAAGATTCACCCCGCTTAGAGCCATCACCAAGATCTTTATTGGTTTTATGTTTGCAACCGCCTCTATGGTTTACGCTGCTGTGTTGCAACACTTCATTTATCAGGCTGGTCCTTGTTATGATGACCCTAAGGGATGTGCTCCGGAATTCGCCAAAGTGCCTAACGACGTTCACATTGCTCTTCAAACCCCAGCGTACTTTTTCATGGGTATGTCTGAGATCTTTGCTTCTATCACTGGTTTGGAGTATGCCTATACCAAGGCTCCAGTTTCGATGAAGTCGTTCATCATGTCTATTTTCCTTGTCCAGAACGCCTTTGGTTCTGCTCTTGGTATTGCTCTTTCTCCAGTATCCAGAAACCCTAAGATGGTTTGGAACTATACTGGTTTGGCGGTGTCTTGTTTCATTGCCGGCTGGATTTTCTGGTTCTTGTTCAAGCACTACAACTACAGAGAAGACGACTGGAACAACTTGGAGTATGAGCACGAGGAACAGGCCAAAGCCATTGAAGCTGCTAGAGACGAAGAGAAGGCAGTTGAGGCAGAGCCTCTTAACCCTGTGACCTCGCTTACTGTTTCCTATAGAGATTTGCGCTAAGCTAGTTTTTAATATCAGATTAATTAGAAATGACTGTAGAACAGGAGAGAATGGCGTCATGATGAACAGGTCATTTAAAAAGCACTAAAAGCAGTTGGATACTAAGAAAAAATAAAGTCACCGCTGAGGCATTCCTAGCGGCTTTGAAGTCATCGAACCTTCAACTTCCACACCCCAACCGTCTGTTTTGTGTCCAAAAAAAATCCCGCCAACAAATACCAAGAACCACCATCAGACCCATTCACGCCACAGCAGTGCCAACACTGACATCACCAGAGATACCTTTCCCTTCTTCGTTGGTCTCACTTTACCCCAGAAACCACCCAGCTTGCCTGGTAAGCCTAGTTTAAGGTTTACGAAGCGCTAAGATATCCCCCACCACTCCATCAGTGTTTATTTTTGTTTCCACTTCTCAGACCACTACAAAAAGTCATCCCCCACACTTTTCGTCGCCTACTGCCATATATGACAGCGGGTTTTCCACAATGCCTGTCACAGCGTGCGGCACCGATATAAACGGCATTTGGAAAGTTGAAAAAGCAGTCAACAAAAAATATCAAAGTAGACAAGTAGTGAAGTAGTTGAAGTGGCCAAACAGGAAGAGCAGTAAAAATAACACTAAACTGGCCTTAGTCCTAGGCCTGTCCCGCCTAGCCCAGCCAGGCCAGAATGTACCTAAAAATCCCAAGCCCATTCGTTTATGGTACGAACAGCAGCATCCCCTACTTCCTGGTCTTCCTTCCGTCCTGGATCTTCCTTCCTGGGTCATCCTAGGTCATCCTAGGTCGCCTTCGGCTCCCTAGGACTCCCTAGGATGGAGGGGCACCAGCCAGTGGTAGTGAGGGACTGCGAGGGGAGTCTAGCAGCCAGCGTGGGGAAGGCAAAGTCTCCTCTTATTTACGAGGTAGAGAAAATCCAACGCGGGCGAGCGGCTCAGCAGAAAAACAAATCAAAAAAAGTCAAAACAGATGTTTCTCTGTTTTTTGGATACTTTTGAACTTCAACTTTTCACCGTTTAGTACTACCATCCTAGTGCTTCAGAGCCTCATGGGTTGCGCTTTTGGCGCTGCTGTAGCGTGGGGGAGGCTCATGCAAAGGAACAGTGGGTCACATGCGGGATGGTGGGACAAAATGGGGCCCCGCATTACGGGGGGTAGGCTGAAAAGCGACGAGGTGACGAAAAAAAGTCTAAACAGAGGAGGAGCAGCCACCCGTGCACCTGTAACGGTCCGACGGATGCCCGGGGGTAAGTAGCAAACGAAACTTGACGTTTTAGGGAAAGAAGTATGTTTTGTGGTATGGGTTAGGGATGGGGAGGAGAAGAGGGTTGCGGTGGCACGAGTGTGAAAGTTGCAGAACAAAAGGATAAGAATTCGATTTTTGAGCCCTGGGTGAAGTGTTTGGGGTTATGGTGGGGCAAGTGAAAAATGGCTGCAAACCGTAGAAACAGGGTGGTTTTGTAAACTCGGAAGGGATGTTGGATTGGGAAGTGGATGCTTGGATAGAACGGTGAGGCTTTGGATGGCAGGTGGAAAGTAGGTTTTGGGGATGGTTTGGCGCCAGCTAGACGAGGGGCACGTTTGAGGTGCTCGATGGGCTAAATGGGATGCATCTCGATGAGCACATGAAGAGGAAGAAAGCAAGAGAAGGGCTGATTATGGTGGAACTGGAATGTCCTCCGTTTCATTTGTACTCCTAAACGGTGGTTGCTTCCACGGTTACACTTACTGCCACAAAGCCATCGTTCCGGGACCCTCACGCTGGCCAATCATATCCGTAGTAATTCCATACCCTCAGTATCCGGCTCCGAACGCAAGCCTTTATCGTTTCATGCAACGGTAACCGGTTATAGAATACCCACTATCTTCCCGAGAGCCGGGAGGGTCCAGAGTCCGAGCGTTTTCGGTAACTCGGCGGGCCAACCCGAAACAAAGGAGACAGAGGGAGAGGTAGTCAAGGTTAAGCAAGAGGTGAAAAGAAGAAGACTAACGAAAATGGAGGTACTTTATGTTGGATCGTCGTTGAATGGTTCGGGAAAAAAGCATTGGATCGTCGTTGAATGCTTCTAGTAACTTACGAGCCTCTCATCGCTTTCCATCTTGGCGATGGAAAGCTGTGGTGAAAGTGGAAACGGCCCCGTGGTAAACCCTAACTCCTAACTAAAACGAGCCTTTCCTCGAAAGGCTTCAAAAAATCGCCAGAGTCTCCAGAACCCGCAAATACGAGCTAAGGCGATTTGCGAGCAGCCCCACCAGAGTCAACCAGCTCGGACAAACGATTCCACTGGACCACCACAAAAGGAATAGGAGGCGAGAGGGTGAAGCAGAGGAATAGGAGAGGAAGGGAAGGAAAGAGGACGGGAGGATTGCTAAATAAGGAGTACCGCTTCGGACTTTTTGGTCCTTGTTTGTATGTGTTTCCACTGAGTTGCAGCCATTACCGCTTTTTTCACTACGGAACAGACACAAGCCAGTAACCTTCCGCCAACCCCAAATCGCCTCTAAACACCAGGAATTAATTAAGATATTCAGAAACCATAATCCAGGAGATTTACCTTCTGCCGATTTTTCTCTACATCATTCGATGCCCCAGTTCTCCATCACACTATGTCTACAGTCCATGTCTCCAGAGGATATCTCCAGAGTATGTCTCCAGTTAGCATAGTGCCAGTCCATGCCAGTCCATGCCAGTTCCGAAGGAACTGGCATGGCTGGCCTGGCCTGTCCTCTTTTCTTGGATACATTACGTTGCTTGCGCTGGCTTCCCATATTCCATCCCGCCAGTGGTCCTCATCGTACAAAAAATGCCCAGTCGCGGCCGCCAAGGCCTCGTAAACCACCACCAAGAAACCGCCAGGGCCTTGGGAAATCTTGTCCCGCGACGGTGTCGTCAGAGGTGGGGCGGAGGGGCGATTTTTCTGGGTTGTTTTCTGTTTTTCTGTTTTCTGCTTTCTGGTTTTTTGTGGATGAGTGAAGTCAAAAACTTCTTTCGCAGCCGATGGGCGCCCCGCCTTGGGCTGGCCCCGCTGGCAAGGTAATGCCCCCCCACATTCGCTTGTCAATGCACCCCAGAATCCATCTTGCATACGGACCAACGGAGTGTGGCCACCCACCCCGCGGCCAACCCAGGACCCCAAGAGACCCTTACTTGTCTTGTAACTCTTCCTATTGTCAATGCACCTTCGTCACCGTCACCGTTCTTTTTTGGCTTTTTTTTTTTCTTAGGGGTCATGTTTGTTGTGCCCCTCTTCACGTTTGGCACCCCACCGCCATGGAACTGTCCCGGAAGCACTACATACAACCCACCTGCACTGTCCTGCGCACCGTGCTCTCTCTGATCTCTTGTGACTGCAGAAAGGTGACGCGGGTCCGGCAGGCGGCCGCCTCTTGTCGTCGTAATTTGACATGCTCCAACTCCCATATAATTACCCTCTTTTCCCTTCCGCTATGAGATTTTGCACAGTTTATATGTTACCCAGGCCCGGTGCCTTTTATTGATTAGTGTATTTTTATTGGTTTTTATCAGTTAGCCACGTGAGTTCCGTGCCCCTCCATTTATCGGTTCCCCCACCTATTGCCCCGCAGATTCTTCATCCACCTCCATCAATTCATAGTCCAATGGCTGCTCAAAAAAATACGTCTGTGCTTTTTGTGCTAGGGCGTTTACTCGCTCAGAACATAAACAACGGCACGAACGGTCCCATACAAACGAAAAACCTTTCCACTGTCTCTACTGCACATCTGCTTTTGTCAGAAGAGACCTTCTCCAACGTCATTGCCGTACGGTCCATAATATCAAACTTGTATCAAGATCAAAACGTGACAAAAGAGCTCTTTCAGATGGCTCCATCAAATCAGAACAACAAGATCCCCCTCAACTACCGCCTGCTGGTCCTCCAAGCACTACTATGCCTCCAATCAATGGCGAACGAGTTTTTCATGCCCCTCCCTTGGCTCCTCCCTTGGCCCATGTTCCAGCTAATGCTGAGCCTATCTCGCCAAATTCAAGCAAATCGCCAAACGGCCCTATAGTAGGCGGCCAGACTCCAGTTATCAACCCTCATGGCCCAGGTATGCTTCTGCCAAACTCCACAGCTCCCCTTTCTTCCCTAAGGCTTCTGCATGCCCTGGTGGCTCAGGACCCACTCCATCTCCTTTCCATTTCCAAAAACTTGACCCATATTTATGACTCCAGCGATTTGCGCTACCCTGTTCACGATTTGTTTCTTGTGGGCCATTCTGTGCTTTCTTCTGAGCGTTATTCCGTGTTTCCAAATTCATTGGCGCTTTTGGTAGACCAGCTTCATTCCCATCTTTCTGGTTCTGCCTTATCTGAATTCCGCTTGGGTCAGGTCTATTCCATTCTCGCTGTAGGTGCCCTTTCCATGCCTCTGAAGGAATTTGACCCTGAAGAACTTGCTACCAGTTTTATCAACAAATCCTGGAATATCGTCGTTGATAAGCTTAACTCGGCCCACTCCCTGCTTTCAGTCCAATGTGACGTGCTTAAGAACTTGTTCTTGCTCACATATATTTATCTTCGTTTCTTCAATAATGACTTAATGGTATCATACCTTGAGGACTCGGCCCATATCATCTTGCAGAACCTTCTGGCTTCTCCAGCCGACTCAGAGTTGATTTCTTCCAACCTTGAGTTGTTCTGGTCTATTTATGTGTTGGTGCTGAAGTATAAAGCCAACGAGGCTCCACCTAAGCTTTACTCGTGGTTCTTGGCTTCGAAATTGCAAAAGGACTCTTCTATAACTTTGGCCCAGGCGGTCAAAACTTACGCCAAACAGTCCTTACCCCTCGAGGACCAGTTCTTGCTTGAGGTTGTCATTTGCACCCTTTCTAATGAGGTTAACAACCTTGTGTTCAACAAGACCTTGTGGCTTTTTGAATCTCTTGATTCCTTGCATAATGCCATTGTCTTGGCCAACAAGTCCATGGTTTTGTCGCTGGCATCTCCAAACGATGGCATGGATATATTTAACATTTTCAGGTCAAAGTTGATCTTGGGTGCATCTCCCACTTATGAGGAGCTCTTACAGGCTCATGTTTTCAAGATTAGTGCTCCACAGCACTGGAACATGCTTCTCTTGACTCTTAGAGAATTCAATGCTCCTTTCAGCTTTAATAACTTTATGCGGGAGAACTTGATGCTGTCATTCCAGAACTTTGGTAACAGCTTGCTTGGATTCTTCACGTTTGAGTCTCTGAACATGACCTCGCTGCATGGCCACAGCTCTTCACCTGAGGTACACAAGAACTTGGGCATAATCAGCTTCCCGTTGATTTTCCAATATAACTTCCTTCGCTTGAACAACGTGGAACCCCCATTTAAGCCCAAGGATCTCAGCATTGTGGACCTTGCAAACTTGAATAACTTGATTTTGGAATGGTACATCACCATCGTCAAGGTATTGGTCAACCTCATCACCAAGCGTTCGGCTGCTGAAGCAGAAGATATAGTCAGAAACAGCAATGTTCTTTCTTGTTTGTTCTACATGATCAACAGCAACTGCACTTCTACGCCAGCTTTTGCTTCCACGGAATTCTACTTGCAAGTGTTTGAAGAGCTTACCAAGATTTGTGACACTTGGTTTAACTTCATCAACCAAAGCACGAACTTGCGTAACTTGCGGATGAACTTGAACCGTTTCCTTAACGACTTGGTGGTGCTTGCGTTGAACAACGAGAACATCTCGCTTTCTGACTTGTACGTTGCCAACGAATCCATCCTCATCAGAAACCGCAGGTCCAAGTCCATTGGATCCATTGACATGAGCTCCACCTCTTCCAATCGTTCCTCGCTTTCTACAAGCTTCCCACCACAAGTGCCTCCTCAAAGAGGTGGCTCCACCAACTACGTCTTGATGAACAAGCCTGAGAACGAGGCTGGCTCTCCTCAACCCATGTATGCTTCACAGATGTCCCCCTCATCGCTGCTTGCACCGCTCCAAGGTGTAACCAAGCTTAAGTTTCTGTCTCCAGCAGGCCCTAGAGTACAGAAGCCGGCAACACAACCTATGAACTCGCCGCCGGTTCCGCCTTCAAGCACTTACGTTCTTCCTCCTATCTATGCTGCCGTGAAAGACCACGCCAAACCTGGGGAGGGAATGAAGTGAATGTCTTATACATAGTAATGAATTCATGGAACTGAAAAAACTGGATAAGTAGTCCAAAGGAGTATTTGAAGAGCCAATAAAAGATCCAGATAATAATTGGTATATTTAGTAGAAGGTAGTTATAGTATGGAAGGCCTCACTACAGGAAATGGGTGCAAAAAAGGCCAATAAGCATGCCACCATTCCTGAACCACGCATTCAAAAAGCCCTAATTAAAACCTTCCAATCACCAGACACTCATTTAACAAACCAACAGCCTCTTTTTCAAAAATACCCATTCCACTACCACCCTCTACCCTTACTACCCTCCAGTACTGACTGGCTGGCTGGGTGCGACCGAGGTCCAACCCGGCATACATACTAGCCGTTATCAGAAGACCATTCTCCACATTTCAAACCACCCAGTCTTTTCTTCCCAACCAGCAAAAAGGATGGCATGGCTTTACCTTCCTGTTTGCATTCGTTTGGTCTCCCAACGCTCAGATAAGCCATCCTTGAGTTACTCGGGAATATACCTTGTCAAGCGGGAGAGTGGCGTGTTTAAGCGACACTTTTGTGTACTGATATTCCATACGCCTGTTGAAGAGTTGGATAACTATAAGCTATATGTTTCTTGCAAACCGCTAATGAGGAATAGTGAAGTGCAGTGGTACCAGGGGATCAGGGGAACGACGGTACCGGTGCTTCTGGAGAATGACTCGTTGAGGGAGTACCTTGAGTATGCGATGAAAAATGGGTTCAACTTGATCCCTTTGGATACACATGTGGGGAACCTGCTTCTGTCTTTGAGCGTTGCGGTGGTCCATTGTCGAGCTATTCACGAGGAGATCTCAGAAGAGCATTTCCAGCCGTTTGAGGTTGACCAGGCCGCAGAGTTGACTAAGGTGACGGTCAGATCTTCGCCGTTCAACTTTACTGGTCCTTCGCTTTTTTCGGATTTTGTTTCTACGGGGCATATTAATGCTGTTATTCGGGATCCTGATAACGTTAGTCGAGGGTTTCTTAGTGATATGAAGTACTTGGAGAATATGTGTGGAGGAGTGGTGAACAAGAGCAGTGGAGGTGCCATAGGGCTTCTTTTGGGCAACCTACGGAAGCTCAATGGTGATGGTGACCTTATGGTAATTGCTCCTTGGGATCGTCTTCTTGAGAAGATTAACGTGGAAACAGATCTTGGTCCTTCTGACGTCAAAGCGGCTTCAAATACCCAAACCCATCCTGTGCTTCCACTTGTTATTTCTCAACATGGCCATTCATTCTCTTGGGGCTCGTGTGTGAAGCTAAAACGAGACGCTTTGGTGACCAATTACCATGTCATACGACCATATATTCGCCTGGATACGGTGGAATGTGGCATCACCTTGGGCAAAGATCATTCGCTTTTGCTAACAGATAAAGATCAAGTCATCGTACCATTCATAGATCTAGATCTTGCTTTCATTGTGCTATCAGAAGAAAATCAAGTTGCATTGAGTCATGTTAAAGCGGCTCCAGTGGGATTTGCCGGTCAACAGAAAATGGCCGACGAAGTGTTCACTGTTGGCCATGGACTCCTTCTTAACGACAGTTTCCTCGACCCCATTGTTTCCAAGGGGTACCTTTCTTCCATCATTAACCGAAACCCATATAAAACAGAATACCCAGAGATCCCGTGCATGCTTGTCGCTTCATCTCAGTGCTGGAACGGGTCTTCTGGAGGTGGCATATTTGATCTGAAAGGCAGACTTATCGGCATAGTGAGCAGCAATGCTCAGGTGTTTGTGCCATCAGTTTCTGGACTTCAGTATGAGGATATCAAATCTGAGAAAGTACCACTGTTCTGTCTTTGTATTCCTCTGGAGCTTGTCTTTGAGTGCTACAAAACGAGGGTGGATGAACTAAGAAAGGACGAATCCATAGTTCTCAGCGATGAAGTGGTGAGAACATGGAATCTCGAAAGCTCACACGTTAATGTCTTTGAAAGAGAGTTGAAGTTGTGAGTGCAGTTACTTCCAGACGCTTACATAAAAGTGGTGATTGTCGTTGGAGCTTAATCTGGATAGCAAATTGTAGCAGGCTAGAATATTTGGCTATTCGGTTAAACCACACAGATATACCCATTCATTAAACATTCATGATACCCAAACAAACCATTGTATTATCTGTAAACTATTAGCTTTGTAGCTGTTGCCATATTAATGATCTTTGAAAATATGTTTTGAGCGTTTATTAGAGTATAAACGAGTGAAATGTTCTTTCATTGGAAAAGACCATTTTCTTGAACTAGAGTACCTAAATTCGATATAAATCGGTCAAATCAAGCTCAAAACGCGCCAAAATGACAAATATTGCTTGAAACTTGCCAAAGTATCTCCAGATAAAATTTTACCTTAAAATTACGATTTTTGGCACTTTTCCATCAATTTAGGACTGCATAATATATCTCTGCAGAAACTCGGTTCACCACCAAAATCCTCTCGGTGGCCAAGCTGGCTAAGGCGCGAGACTGTAATGTGATTGTAATCTTGAGATCGGGTGTTCGACTCACCCCCGGGAGATTTTGTCTGCCTTTATGGCCAAGTTGGTAAGGCACCTCACTAGTAATGAGGAGATCGTCAGTTCGAATCTGGCTGAAGGCATCATTTTTTGCCATTTCCTACGTCCAACGTTACAAGCATTAAATTTTTGGTACCTAAAACAATATTAACCCGAAGTTGCAGCCTTCACAGCGAGCAACTCAACCTCCTCGCGCATAGTGAATCTCAAAAGTTCATCTCTAACCTCAGATTCCAAGTATTCGTGGGAGACAACGAAGACGTCGCCAGCCAATGCAGGGTCGTGCTTCACTTCGCCCGAGATATCAGAGAACTCTCTGAAGTGAGAAACACTGAGACTGACGTCAGGACCGCTAGACTTCACATATTCATCGAACTGCTCCTCCAAGTCCTTAGTACCAGTCATATTGGATCTGACGTAGATGTGTACATTACGGTGTACCTTGGCCAATTGAGCTACCAAGTACAAGCTGAGCAAGTCAGTAGAGCTCATGAAGTTGTCGTGCTCTAAGACCATTCTAACAGTCGACTCACGGTCGGTTCTAGTAGGCTCAGTGGTAAGTAAGATAGCCATATGGCACTCACAGTTTTCCAAGATGTAGCGGTAAGACATGTCGAAATCATTCTCTTCTTCGGTCAAGTCAAGGATACTCTTTACGGTGTAAGAAGTGAGTAACAAGTTTGCAGGCCCAGTAATGTGGTCGTTGATGGCCGTGGCGTAGTTTCTCTGGGAAGCCAAGATAGACTTTGACGAGAAGTGGACATCCAACATACTGCTGAAAGCTTTCACGATGGAAAGAATCGACTGCGAGTTGGTCAAATCCGTTGGAGAAGATTCAAATGTCTCTGGTGCAGCAGAAGAAGCCTCAAGCAAATGCGATGTTCTGGAAGAGAAGGCACGCAAGTGGATAGCTTTAACGTCATAGTCGAAATCATCATAAGTCAAGTCCTTCAAAAGGGCAAGAACGTGTGGCAAAGTGTCAATCTTTCTAAGCAAAAGAAGGATATCTGTGATCTTGAAACGGTATAAGTTCTTGATTGACAATTCAGATGGAGAGCCCAATAATTCGCCTTCAGTGTCAGTATCCTTCTTGATAGCACCTCTGTGACGGGCAACCAGCTCTCTGTAGCTCACTGGGTAAGACAACAAGGTCAATGGAGTGGTCAAGAACGTTGTCACCAAAGTCATGACGATGAACATGGAGTAGACTCTTCTAGAGATAATGTTGGCATTCAAACCAACATTCAACACGACAATCTCCACAATACCCTTACATGACATCAACACACCGACCGTAAGCGACTCTCTCCAGAAAAGACCATTCATCTTGGCGGCAATAAGACCTCCAGCGACTTTACCAATCATAGCCAAGGAGATGACACCAACAACATAGGCCCAGTCAATACCTCTATCCAAATCACCCAAGTTCACATTCAAACCAGCCAAGGCAAAATAAATAGGGATCATGACAATGTGCACCATATCCTCTAGTTTTTCAGTAATTTTAATCACATAACCGTTGTCTCGAGGCACTAAAACACCCACCATGAACGCACCGAAAATCGGATGAACACCAATTATATCAGTGTAGAAAGCAGAAATAAAAACCATTGCGATGATAATGACCATCAGCAACTGGGAAGGCTCGCCTGTAGCCAACTCGTTGGTGAATCTCTTCAAGTACCATCTAAGGGCTAAACGAACAGGGAAAGCCAAAAGAAGGAACCAAGCAAGGGTCAAAAGCAAAATATAAAGGGTATTGATTCCGTTATCGGCGTTACTCAAGGTGACCACCAACGCAAGCAAGATCCAGCCTGTCAAGTCGTTCATGATACCGGCAGCCAAGACAATCGTACCGACTCTATCGCCAATCAAGTTCAATTCAACAAGAATACGAGCCAACACGGGGAAAGCAGTGATACACAAGGCCACTGCCACGAAAACCATATATGTGGTAAACTCAATGGACTCCATTCCTGGGTCAGTTCTGTACTCGTTATACAAGCCAACCGAGATGGCACAGCCCAAGCCAAACGGAATGGCCATGTTGATTAAACCCACCGACACAGCAACCTTAAGGTTCTTCTTAATATAGTGGAGGTCAACTTCCAAGCCCACAATGAACAAGAACATGATAATACCAACATTGGCGATCAAAGTCATGCCTGGAATCAGCTCCTCTGGGAACACGGTTTCTGTGAAATTTGGAATCCGGCCCAACACCGTGGGCCCTAGCAAGATACCAGCCACAACCTCAGCAATAACCTTAGGTTGTTGTAGCTTCCTCAAAGGCCAATGGAGCACCTGGCATAGGAACAAGATGAACACTGCCTGGAACAAGAATAGCGTGTATGGAGACGAAGATACGTACTCCAAAGGATTACGGCCCGAAACGATACCGGCCACAGACGACGTAGAAACCATTTCAAACAAGCAGTAGCAGTAGTAATGGTTGTGAAAGGTGGAAGATGAGATGTAGAGGTATATTAAGCCTGTACTTGCCAAGCCGAGAATGCGGAGAGTCGATGACGTAGGACGGGAGCAGAAACGAGGAAAATAAACACGATCTGGAAGAAAGGGAAGAGGCTGACGTTTGGAGGGGAAGAATAGGTGAATTAAGGGTCGAAGGAAGGAAAGTCGAGGGGAAATGCCCGGGTATTTATAGTCAAGGGGAATGATGAAGAGTCTGTACTGGTGCGCAGTGAAAGAGCTCAAGATGTCCAAGACAACGTAGTACTAACCAGGCGTCACCAGGGGTTCCTGAAATTAAGCAGCTCCAACTGTCCAATATCAATTACTTAACCTTTCGCCCCCTCCTTGGCAAACACGGTTTGGCTGTGGCGCTGAACGGGAAGGGAGAGGCTGTATGGAGAGGGAATTTCGCAGCCATTTGGGGAAAAGTGTGTTCTTGGAAGGGCCCATTTTGTGGCATGAATTTTGACGATTTTTCTTTTCTTAGTAATTTGTGTGACGTGGAAACGATGGTGATTTGATGGTGCCGGTCACAAAAGCACAAAAAAGACAAAGGATCAAGAAGGGTAGCCAGGTAAGGGAGGTTGTGTCTCAAGGCTTCACATGGGATCAGCCAAAGCTTAAACTCACGGTGAAGCGGATGAAAGTTGGGTGGAAGCACGGTTTTACTTAGAAGCCAAACCCCCTTTGATGACATTTGATGACCATTCCTTCTTCTCTTCTTTTCTTCTTTTCTTCAATTCCTAGGCGTTTTCTGGCGCCTCTTGACATTTCTTGGTCTCTACTGTTGGACCAACCTCCAGGACTATGACTGGTTGGTCTGGACGACGAGGCTTGGCGATGTCTTGGATTGAAAGTTTATAAATGGACTGACCAGGGGTCGCCATTGATTGGCGATTTAATTTCTTTTACATTTTCTGCTTTTTCATTCCCTCTCTTACCTACCGTTATCTGTTATCTGTGGTTCCTGATAAATGGCTGCGAAAAACAATTGCCTTGTCGTAAAAGGTGCATCCCCTCTTAAATACGACCTCAAGCCACAGCCACACACCAGGCTTGGTAGAAAGGGGAGAAAGATGTTTATTGGACGGGTTGGTTTAGATAAAGATTCGTTGGGTTGGGTTTTTGAGTTCCAGGAAGTAGACGTACAACTGGCATGGCCCAGCGTTATCAGTAGATCTCACGTACTCACATACATAAGACTTGACACGAAGAGCCGCCAGTTTCCATCATCCTCCCTTTCTCAACAAAGTCACAAGTGGCCAAAGTAGCATTTTCATATTCCCTCTTTTTCCTTTTCTCTCTTTTTTGCCCCTTTTTTTCGCCTCTGGCTGACTAATTTGCCTTCGTCGCCACTCTTCCTTATTCCTCATCCATCACATATCTAAGCGAGGCGCGCTGCACCACCAACCCCAAAAACCACCCCTCGCTTATCAATTCCCATACTTTTGTACCTCCAAAATATTGCACCTTCCTTATCTGGTGACTACTTCGCCTGGGGACCTTCTAGTGGGTTCGAAAAGGTACGCTTTTCCTGATTGGGATGGGACCATCTGGGGTGGTGTTCCAGAAGATTCTGCAGGCGTCTGCGCCATTCTGCATGACTATATGCGTATCGAGAAGCTTCTACGCCAGAATGGCTGCAAATTTCCAGAAGCTTCTATAGTATAACCTTGGAACTATAAGACCATTCGATTTTCAACTTTTCTGATCATCATCCAAAAATTCAAAACCCTCAAATGTTCACAGTCACCAGATCCCCCTTGTACGATTTCAACACCTTGTTCCATACCTTGGACTCGGTGAACCAGTACCAGCAGGCGCAACAGCTCTTGCAACAACAGTACGAAGCATCAAGACCTAAGATCGTCAAGAAGGTTGAGACAGAGGATAAATACCAGATTCAGATTTTCAAGAAGCAGGGCAACTTCAACACTTATGAAGTGAAGGTCTTGCGTAACGCTGCTTATGGAGACAGTAACTTGATCAACTTGGTGATCGAGTCCAGACGCGATGACTTCCGTAAGGTGTTCCAGTTTAGCTTGAATGACATTGAGGTTGGCGACATTGACTGGGAGTACTTCGAGGCTGACAATGTTTTGGTCTTGAACGTTCCTAAGAAAGTGAAGTACTGCGCTGACGACTATGTCAACTCTTTGCTTGCCAGTATGCTTGGCTTGCCAGGCCACCAGGGCCCTCCATGTTCTCCATGTCACGGTGAACGTAAGGAGAGAAAGCACAAGCACAGAAGAGAGAGAAGACACAGAGACAAGGAAGCTAGACTTGAGGCTGCTAGAGCTGAGGCTGCTGAAGCTGAAGCTAAGGCTAAGGCTGCCAGAATCGAAGCCGCCAAGGCTGAAGCTGCTAGAGCAGAAGAAGCTGCTAGATTGGAAGCTGCCAGGCGTGAAGCTGCCAGACGTGAAGCTGAAAGACAGAGAGCTGCTGAGCAAAAGGCTAAGAGAGCTGCCGAGGAAAAGGCTAAGAAGGTCGCTGAGGAAAAGGCAAGAAGACTTGCAGCCGTGCGTGCTAAGAAGCAGGAAGAGTTGGCCAAGCAGAGAAGCGAAGAACAGGAAAGATTTAACGAACAGTTGCAGAAGCAGCAGGAGTTCATCTATTCGCTCTTTGGTGGAGCCTTGCCAGGATTCCAATTTGCCAGACCCCAAGCTCAGCCTGAAAAGGTTCCTGAGCCTAGAGAAGCTGCTCCACAGAAGCAAGAGTCCAAGAAGCAGGCAATTCCAGACCCAGTTGAAGACAGCGAACCACTCACTGGTAGCGATACCGATATTGAATCCGAAACGGAGTCTATCCATTCCGATATCTCCACTCCAGACTCGAGAAGCTCATTGAAGAGAAGCGGCGAGGATCTTTCTGGCAGTGCTGAGAAACTCCACAGGCATCCTTCTTTGGAAGAAGTCGAAGACGAGGAATTCGTCATGTTTAGGAAGAAGTTTGGCGACCAATAAGGGTCGTAAAGCACCAGGCAGTGCCTAGATGGTATCTGCACCTATTTGCATCTATTAGAGTTTAATGCATAATTAATAACGAAACGCAATGTAGTAGAATACAAAGAAGACCGTAAAATAATATAAAACAGAATATAATAAAGTTTACGGTGGTATCATTATGACTCCACATCTGTCTAACTCGTAAACCAGGTTATTTCTGCAGTACACTTCGTAAATTCCACTTTTCATTCCAACAATATCCACTTATGGAGAAGCTAACAGTGGAGGAGTCCACCAATGTCTCTCCACATACAAATGACTCTGGCGTTTCAGATCATCGTCGCTACGTCATTGTTGGGCTTCTCGTTTTCTGTATAGCCATACTTGAAGTAGGACTCATCCAGCCATTCTTATTCGAGTTTGAAAAGCCAAAAGAGCTCTCCCATAGTATGTCAATTTGTGCTTGGTTTGAATTCTACCATGTATGTGCTTGTCGTTTGGGTATCATATACGGATACGAAAGAATGACAAGCATAGGGCTACTTCTTACTGGAGTCTGGGCATTCTCAGTGACCTTCAGTGGCAAGTACCCCCTGGCAGCTAACCTATCGTACCTTATCGCAACAATTGGACCCTCATTGGCTCTTCCTAATGCCAAGTTCTCCATTGAACGGTACTTCCCCCAGTCAACAGGAATGGCACATGCTACTGTCGTATTTCTCACAGGTCTAGGGCTAGCCATTGGGCTTAACCACTTCAAGCACGTGCAATGGTTATGGCCGACTTACGGTGTTGTTTGCATTGTGGCTTGTTACTTGCTGGTTTTGATAGTGCCTAACAAAGCGAAGATGGAAGACCCACTGCACTGGCTTGTGAAAGCAGTAGGGGTTAGTTGCCTTGGGGGTATGCATGTATTCTGGAAGTATTTCACAATGTGTGGGTTTGGCTGGACTGTTTATTGGGGAGTGTTTGCTTTAGTGGGTGCTTGCAACTTTGGGTGTGTCTTTTTGATGTACCAGTAAGAATGGCTGCAAAATGGATGCACATCGGTAGAAGCAGTGGGATAGGTAGAAGGAGGGTCCACAGAGAGTGGATACTGACACATAGAATAAAACATTTGGATAATTTGAGTTATAACGTTTTTATACTTTTGGTTTAAAATTCAGTTCACTCGGTTTTCTTGTTTTTTTTTTTTTTTCATATATATAAATAATCCAGTTTCTTCATAAACCGGGTATGTTCCCTCACTTTATACATTTCTCACCAGATGTCACTACTCTCACAGAACTATAAACACCACCCAATAATCACAGATTGCCACCACTGCAACCAAACAAGAACATACTTTAAAGGAACCTTTGAAAACCATCAATAACCTATTATTTCAAATTTTTTGGCCCCCGGGACTCCGTTATAGCTTGCTTTCTAATGGCCACACGTGACCGCCATACTTACGACCCGCAAGATCTGGGCCGATTCATATTTCCAACTACCCACCATGTCTCGATCAATTGCTGTATTTGGAGGCAATGGCTTCTTAGGTAAAAAAATCTGTGAGGTTGGTGTTCGCTTGGGCTGGTCGGTCACGTCGCTTTCCAGATCAGGTACTCCTCCAACACCTGTTTCCCACTCAGACCATCTGTGGATCTCCAACGTGAACTGGGTGTCTGCTGACCTTTTCAATGCTGACTCTTACAAACAGCATGTTGCCAATAAGACTGCTGTGGTGCACTCTGTGGGCATGCTTTTCGAAAACCTGGACTATAAGAAGGCAATCAATTCGAACTTCAGCTTCTTGAATGACTTCCAGAGGCTTGCTAGCATGTTGAAGGGTCCTAACCCTTTGACGAAGAACCATAACCTGACATATGAAGCTGTCCAGAGAGACACGGCTGTGATGTTGGCAGACGCTTACCTTGAGGGCCTGAAGGACATTGAAAACCCATCATATGTATACATTTCGGCGGAAATGAAACCTCCGATCGTTCCCGAAGGGTACTTGACGACGAAGAGAGAAGCCGAATTCGAGCTTTCTTGCAAACCCAACCTCAGGTCTATCCTTTTACGCCCGGGCGTGATGTACGATGAAAGTGCTCCTCTCCAGGAGAAGAGGAAGCTCTTTGGCAAGTTCTTGGGCTTGGGCTACACGTTGAAAGAAGGCATTATCGGAGATAAGATTCCTATCTTCAACGAACTTATAAGGCCGCCAGTATCGACAGAAAAGGTGGCGCTCACGCTTTACAAGAAGCTCGAAGATCCCGAGGCTAGCGGTGTTGTTTCTCTTGACGAGATTGTCAATTTCTAATGACGAGAGAAATCTCTAGATAATATATAAGGAAGAAGTGTCTGAAAACTTCTATTTCTCACAGCGATCATTAGACTGCGTAAGTGTAGCCAGTGGCCATTTGGTTTCTTCTTCTCAACAAGTACTTTCTGATTTCATCACCAATAAAGACAGTGCTTGTGAGGAAGGCCAAATGGAATAAGTCTGTGAGGGATAACGCTTCTGTTTGGAAGATAGATTGGAAGAAAGGAATGTAAATGGCGCACATTTGGCCAAAGAGCGATCCAAGCACAGATAAGTTGAACATGTTGTTGGTGAAGCCAAGCTCGAAAACAGATCTAGTGTAGTGACGGCATGATAACGCGTTGAACATGTCATATAGCACGAAACAGGTGAAGGTCATGGTAGTGTCTCTAGCGGTGACTTGACCGTCTTGCATCTCCTTAATGAAGATGTACATAGTACCAATGATGATCATGGCGGCACTTTGCAACACTCTTTTTATGACCTGCTGAGTTAAGATGTTTTCGTTTCTCTTTCTTGGAGGCTTGTTCATGACTTCGTGATCAACTGGCTCAACACCCAAAGACTGAGCAGGAGGTCCGTCCATCAAAATGTTGATCCACAAAATCTGCATAGCATTCAAGGGGTTTGGCAAACCGAAGAAGGTTGCCAAAGCAATTAAAGTTAATGCTGCAATAGAAGTGGACAACTGAAAAGTGATAAAGTTTTGAATGTTGTAGAAAATACCTTTACCCTCTTCGATGGCGTTCAAGATAGTGGAGAAGTCATCATCGGTAAGAACCATATCAGCGGCTTCTTTGGCCACGTCAGTACCGTTTCTACCCATGGCAATACCAATGTCGGCAAGCTTCAAAGCAGGAGCATCGTTGACACCATCACCAGTCATGGCCACAACGTCACCTCTTCTTTGCAAAGCTTTAACAATGGTGACCTTGTGCTCAGGAGTGGTTCTGGCGAACACGGAAACATTATGGATAGCACTGCTTAAGCTCTCCTCGGACAATTCGTCCAATTGGTCGCCAGTCAAGACGGAGTCTCTACCAGAGATAGGAATACCGATCTGTTTGGCAATGTTTGTGGCAGTACTTGGAGAGTCACCGGTGATCATGATGACGTGGACACCACCCTTCATCAATTGGGAGATAGATTTGGCAACGTTTGGTCTAGGAGGATCCTTCATACCAACCAAACCACAGAAAGTCAAATCCTTTGAAACGGTATGTTCTTTATCAACGTTCAACCTCGAGCTGTTCTTGGCAAAAGCCAACACTCTAAGACCTTCAGATGACAAGGCAACGGCTCTATCGTGAATAGTTTCCTTCAAAGCATCAGTCAAGGGCTTGGCATTTCCATTCTCATCTAAGTATTTGTCCGAGTGTTTAAGAATAGCCTCATTAGCGCCCTTGACATATGTCTCGCACCTGTTGGTGTCACCGCTGTGGGCACACACAGCCATATACTTTCTATCAGAAGAGAAAGGAAGCTCACTGGCTCTTTCCTTTGTGCCACGGACGTCATCAAGACCAAAGTGTGGCAAAGCCTCTAGAAGGGCAATATCAGATGGGTTACCGACATACTTCTCGCTATCGTTAGAATAACGGGCATTGTTGCAAATGTTACCGATCTCAAGGACTTTTCTGATGTTGGAGGTCAACTTGTTGTGAAGAGTAGAGTCGTCCAACTTCTCCACGACCAAGAAAGGACTGTTGAAAGAGCCCTTGAAGTCGAAGGACCAGATCTTAGTAACGGTCATGTGGTTTTGAGTCAAGGTACCTGTTTTATCGGAACAAATCACGTTAACACTACCCAAAGTCTCGACACTAGGCAATCTACGGACGATAGCCTTTCTTTTTGCCATTCTCAACACTCCGAGAGCCAAGGTGACAGTAACAATGATAGGCAAACCTTCAGGAATGGCAGCAACAGCCAAAGACACGGAAATCTGGAACATGTCCAACCATTCACGGCCCTGAATAATACCAATCAAACAAATTGTACCAATGACACCAAAACTGAACACGGACAAATCCTTACCAAGTCTATCCATAGCTTGCTGCAAAGGTGTTTTTGGCTTTTCAATTTCCGACATCATCTCGAAGACAGTACCAAACTCAGTCTGGCTGCCAGTGGCCACAACGATACCCAGGCCATGGCCATCACGCACCAAAGTACCCATAAACGCGATGGAAGTACGTTCGGTGACAGGCAAGTCCTTGGACACGTCGCCAGTATGGTCGGACGGGTTATTAGTGTGGAGCTGTTTCTTGACGGGACTATTTTCACCCGTCAAGTTGGACTCGTCGATGGTCAAGTGGACAGCATCAGTCAAACGGACATCAGCAGGGATTCTGTCGCCCTGGGAGAAGTGAACCAAGTCACCAGGAACCAAGTGAGACGCCAAAACAGTGGATGTGTTGCCGTTTCTCGTCAACTTGGCCTCAGCAGGCACCAAACGGTTAAGCGCCTCAAGAGACTTTTCCGAACGGTACTCCTGGACAAAACCCACGGTGACGACAATTGTGATGGCCAAGGTAATAGATATAGCGTCGTCGACATTACCCATCCAGAAAGAAATGATGGCGGAGCCGATCAAAAGCAAAATCAACGGATCATTGAAGGCCTGTAAGAACTTATACAACAACAGGTCCTTCTCGTCCAGGTTAAGCTCGTTATCTCCATGGATCAGGCGTCTATTCAAGATATCCTGAGTGTTGGACAAACCCGATTTGGCGTCGGTGACAAATTCGGAAATGGTATCGGTGACAGAGGCCTGAGCCCAGCGGGCCGAGGGCGTGTTAGCCCTGGACGGGTGTTTTTCCGATATTAGCGAGCTCATCAGGGGCCGTCAGCCGGCAAAAAAACGTGTAGTTAGAGGGGAAAAGGGGGATGGGGGAGATGGGTGGGTGGAGGAGTCCAGAGAAGTAAGCTTGAGCAAAATGGAAAAGCCAGACAGTGAAGAACACACTGGCGGGTGCGAAACCAGTGCCGCGATCCAGGGAGATAACCAGGCAAGGGAACCCCAGTTATTTGGAGGCATAGGAAGAAGAAAGAAAAAAAATTTTAAAAACGTAAACGTTGCTACAAAATATAGGGGATTTTCAATTTTCACGTTTCCACGACTTCTCCTGGTGGTTTTACCTGGACACTTCCACTGAGGGTCCTCTGTCTTTCTACACTACTAGCACACTGAAAGCTACCTATGCCCTTGGAGCCACGCGATGCCCCCACCAAACACCAAACACCAAACGCCAAACGCCAAAGGGAAGCACCAAAAAGGCAAAGAACTACCATTTTCTCTTCATTTCATTTGTAAAACAGTGGGAGACCACTTTTTTCCACTTTCTACCACCCTGAATTTCATCACCTCTTCCCAAAGCTTCCCTGGCGTCGCTTTTTCTCTCCGTGGCTGCTCCTGCAACCACCTCCCATCGCCAGTGCCGCCTGGCACAAAGTGGCAGAAAGCGAGCCACAAGTGGACGAGCAGCGCGAAACCTGGAAAACGCCCACGCCATGCCCAAATTTTTCACTCCCCAAGTCTACATCTCTCCAGTGTTGCTGTCCATGTCATTTCCTTTTTTCACTATGTAAGTTGGTTATCGAAAAGAAGGCGCAGCAGAAGCTTTTACACGTCGTACAGTAGCCACGGCGTCACCATCAGCGGGTTCACCAGTCAATGTGCCAGTCCTTGGGTGCTCAGCGCACGGCGCCAGGGCTCGGTGCGGTGACAAAGCCGGCACCAACTGCATTTTGTAGTGATGGGTGGACGAAGTTGTAGAGAAGTGGCTTGGGAGATGGAGAGGATCGACTTCGCCGATAAAGTTTGAATTGGCGACGGGCATGACACAAAACTGGTTTTTCAGGGTGGTCGGTAACGGGTCCTTCTTGTTCATTCCGTTCCGTCTTGGCGCAACCTACAACTGGCCTTGGATTATCACCACTTCTTTCACAGGCTTCTGGAAGCCTTGCCGGATCAGGTTCCGAAACCATGCACCAAGGGTAACTCCGGTACTTTAAACGGCACTCCGAGCATACATAGTCAACATAACCGTTACGACATGACAAGGTTTATTGGCTGCGTTTGCTGTGTCACTGGGAGAGTTGGTGGTGCTGCCTATTCGGGGAATGTCTCCGAGTCACCGTAGCCGCATGTAATTGGACTGGGATGGACGTGGAGGAAGGGATGGGGAAAGGGAAGGTTTGGAAAGACCGATTCGGGAGTTGCCAGGGGATTAGGGATGTAGAAGGAACGGTGAGTTTGATTGGGTAGTGGACGGGTGGTTCGGAGTTTTCAACCGGAAGTGTAAATTATCTATTTGATCTTTTTCCATTGTTGGAGGTTTTACGGGTTTGGTGTGGCTACGGCTGCTTATCATTTAGATCAGCGTTTGCTGATGTGTATTGAACTTTCCGTTCGTATATAATGCATTTCTGGGTTAGTGGCTTGTCAGATCAGGGAAATTGTTCCCATACTTGTGAATCTGCCATTTTCTTGTGGGCTGGAATGCTCCGTACCTGAGATACCTCGGCAAGTCTTCAGAAACTCCGTCCTTTGCTCTTGCGTTCTTTCCGTTTATGTCACAAGACCAAATGTCTTCTGCGCTGGAGAGCCTCTGGTTTCCCTTAGCGAATCCTTCAGTAACCGCTAAAAACCCGCTTCTCCCCTTCTTCTTTACCTGACCACCTCAAAGGCAGCTTTCGAGAGTCTGTTCATCACGGCAAGGCCATCGCCAGTCTCTTCCACACCCTCGACCAAAATAAGCTCCACGTTCAACTCATCCACCTCACGTAGCATCTTAAACAAATTGTGTGCCATTTCAGTAGCACTGCTACCTAGGATCCTCTCATGAGCTCCTTCGAGGCCCAACTCAGCTGCAGATGCAAACTGGGCACCACGAAGAAGCGCCACTTTTCTAGGATCAAAATCAGCTTGTCTCTCAAGCCAACTTTTCACTGCCTTACTGCCGTCTTTGCAACCATCAAAGAGCACCACCTTGGCGCTAGGCAGGTAATGTCTATATTTCATGCCTGGCGTTCTAACCGCCTCAGTCTTTCCAGCAGTCTTCTTTGCCATAATGATATTCTCCCATGGTCCACCACCATACTTCCGTATATCTTCAGCAGAAACTCCTCCAGGCCGAAGTAACATGGGTGGATTCGTAAGACCATCCACCACAGTAGACTCCACGCCCACATCACAAGCACCTCCATCTAGGATATATGGAATGCGTCCGCTAAGATCATGATAAACGTGGCTTGCCATTGTAGGGCTTGGTCTAGTAGAAGCATTGGCAGAAGGAGCAGCCAAAGGTGTATCGCTTTGTGCAATAAGAGCTCTTGCAACTGGATGTGAAGGCATTCTCACTCCAACGGTATTCTGTCCAGCTGTAGTCAATTCCAGGACTGGCGAACCTTCCTCAACAGGCAAAAGAATCGTCAAAGGCCCAGGCCAGAACTTCTTGATCAACTGATCGTAAACAGCTGGAATCTTATGCAGCTTGGGAAGAAGTAGTCTTTCGATCTGTTCCTGGCTGGAAACATGCACGATAAGTGGATTATCAGCTGGTCTATTTTTTGCAGCATAAATAGCTCTTACACTGTCATCACATAGAGCTGATCCTCCAAGTCCATATACTGTTTCAGTAGGAAAAGCAACCACATGGCCAGGCTTTCGGACTTCTTCAGATGCAATATCGAGGTTGTGTTTTGTGGTAGAGTCGGAAACCTCGAGCTTTGTTCCGTTGAAAGAAATCAGCGAGACTTCAACCGGTAGTATTTTGGTGGTAAGGGTCATTTTGAAGAGCTTTAGGATGTTTCTTTGCATCCAACGGTGGGTTGGTCACAGCTTGGGTCTTTATCTGGAGACCAGGCATCGAGGGCATCTCGCCGTGTGCAGGTCACAGCCAATTTGTAAGAGTCACCCACCGACAGCAACAGGCCAGGAAGAGATGGCAAAGGGAATGAAATGGTAGATTCTGAGAGTTCATCTTGGAGGGTACGAGCAGGTTTATGGTTGTTCATTGGTCGTGGATGCTGACCGGTAGAGCAAAGTGGGTAGGGTAAAGCCACACTGAGAAAGTATTAGTGCATGGATATTCCGTATAAGCTTCGGAAAGGGCTAAAAACTCAAAATTGGTTTCAGATTAGCTGAAGATTCAAGTTAGGCTTCGGAATGGCCTTTGTAATTATTTGTGGCTGGACCGTGAAAGTGTCAATAGAGGACATTTTTGTCGATTCGCAGCCATTAGGTGCTGACTTATCAGCGACGTCTCGCCTGGGCCATTAGAACACAATGTTCTCCGTGAGAATCTTCTTCTCGTCATCGTCAAGTGCTTCGTAGTACTGCTGGAAGTTACCTAAGTTCTTTGAAACACATTCTTTGAAGAACTGAAGTAACATGTCCTTAACAGTTTGATCTCCCACAGGAGCCGCATCACCATCTTCCTCGCTATCAGAATCCACGTATGACTTCAATTTTTCATACGTAGGAACTCCAATATCGTCGAGATCCTCCCAGTCTCCACCGTCACCTTCTTCTTCATCTTCATCTTGCTTATCAAGATTGTAGTCGTCGGCATTTGGCTGCTGGCATTGGAAGCCTAGCTCATTTGCAAGTAATTTCAAGATCTTGACTGGAGCAGAGATTTGTGTGAACTTCTGAGGCATCGACTTAGCCTTCGATCTGGTGATGATGATATCACCTTCGTAGGGAATGATGTCTCCATCAACAATCATAGAAGAAACTCTGGAGTCATTGATAGAATAAAGCTTACCCAAGGCAAGAACATTCTGTTGAATCTTCTGATAGCCTCGCGTCACTTCAAAAGCATTAAACCAGATGGGCAAAACAGCCTCCAATCCATTGCGTTGTTGTTGGCTATCTGGCATGACAACCTCCACCGCAGTCAAAGCGTTAATTAAGTTTTCTGGGGAAGCATTGAGAACGAGCTTGCAGAACACCATGATAAGGTTCTCAATTGTGACAACAGCCTTTGCGATGACTAATCTTCTAACAGTGGCACTAAGTAACTGGTAGAAGAAGTCATTGTCAAGGTATGATTGGAAGTTCTCAAACAAAGATGCAACAATAAGGCCACAGTTCATGGCAGCGCTATCGGAAAGTTCAGGAGATAAGAACTTACCAGCAACAGCCACAATGATATTCATACCTGATTCGTTGGTTGAAGGGTCTGAATACTCAACAAAGTAGTTAGGAGCCTTCTGCAAAAGACTGTTGAAGACCTCAGCACCACTTTGAAGAATTTGATCGTCGCTCGCTCTGAGAATGAGTTGTCTTAACACAGGGAAAGCGAAGTCAAAGACCTCCTTAGGAAAGCTGTTAGTCTGAGCATCAGGCTCGGATGGAGCTGCCAGAAGAATGTTACCCAAAAGGTCAAGCGCCAAGTTGAGCTGTGGAGAGTACTCGACTGACTTAGATGAAGCTGCTTCAGCAACAATTTTGATGACGAAAGGAAGCAGTCTATCACATACCTGAAGGTACTCTTGCATGGAGACTGAATTCAATAAGGTTTCAAGACACTCAGCAGAATCAATAGAAAGTTGGATATTGGCTGGATCCTTGAAAGCAGATTTAATAATGATGTCGATAACAGAGTGATCTCCATCGATCATAAGATTGAATGCGTTGCGCTGATCAACATCAATAGCTACAGCGAGTGCTTCCATGATAACTGGAGGCGTATCCTCCTCGCTGTCTTCGAGCAAGCCGTATGAAACTTCCACAATTTGTCTCTGCAGATCAAGGCCCATAATGGTCAAGTCCAAACCTGGAACTTGTTTCCAGAAAGTGGCAGCAACAAGAGTACTGGCTTGAACGATCTTGAACAGATCGTCGTTTGAAGACGAGGCAAATGCATAAGTCTTCTTGAATTGGACCGAGCCAAAGTCGTTAACTGAGAGCTTGCTGGAGAACTTCTCTATGAACTTCGGAAGAAGAATGAAGATTCTCGAAAGCACCAATGGATGGGCGTTGGTATTAATGAGGCCGTCAATGGTTGACACATATTGTGATAATGGAAGATCAGCACCAAGCGAATCAGCTTGTTCGTTCAGGAAAAGTGATTCTGCAATAAGTAAGTACGCCTCGTGAACTCTCCATTCAAGAGACAGGTTAACTGCTTCGTTCTTGATTACTTCAAATAAGTGAGACGCATCCTTGTCGCCCAAATCCATAATGTAATCTCTAACAGCATCTCTTGCCGTGGTGATACCCGAAAGCCCGGTAATTTCTGTCACGTACTGGTTGAAGTCTGCCATGTAGTCTTCTGCAACATCAAGCGGCAAGACAGAACATTGAACAATGTTGCGAGTAAGTTCATCAAATACTTCGGCAGGGTAGTTCAGAATAAGAGGGATCGAGTCTTGTATAAGTGATAAAGTGGACAAAAGCTCTGCTATATTGTTGGTCAAAACACGAGCAGGATCATCCAAATCGTCAGACTTTCCAGTGACAGGACCATCTTCACCATCCACAGCAAAAACCTTAAAGGCGTTGGAAGAATAAGTAAGGTCCTGAAGAATAAGCAGGAGCACATCCTTGACCAAATCTTTACCAATGCGTTTTCTATAAGTGCTCAAAATATGGGCAATGACCTTGTAAAGGTTAGTTCTGAGGTAAATCTCAGAAAGGTCCACGGAATTAGCAGTGGCGGCATTCAGTTGCTGTAGTAGCTGGCCCAAAATCATGAACATTTGAGCAATGTGGTCAGTGACTGCAGCCTTTCTTTCAGGAGACTCCACAGCTTCAGCACTCAGCAATGTGTTATACACGGTAAGGTACAACTTAAGAGCACTAGTTTTAATGGTGGCTGGCAAAGATTCCTGGCTCAACAAGTTGGTAATGTACGAAAGAAGCTGGGCTCCAACGCCGCCCTCCCAGAACTGCTCCTCTGTAATAAGATCATCAAACAAGTCAGTCAACACAGACAAACTACCCACCACGGCAACGTGGTTATTCAAATCACGAGCCAAATCGTACAAACGTACAAGCAAATCTGGCCATTCGTCAGGGTAATCTGCCGCTGCAATTTGAACAATCACATAAGCAGCACCCGATCTGATCTTGGAGTTACTTTCACTAGACACCAAGTGGATCAACGAAGAACGAATATTCGTCTTGAGTTCCTGGTCAATTGGTGGACCCACAAACAGCTGAAACCCCAAAGACCAGAATTTCGGAACAAGACGTTTCAAATGCAAAAGACACGCTTGTCTGATGTCAATCCTCTGGTTTTCACCACACGCTCCCTGGATAAGCTCAAAAGCCACCTGGGTTGGGTTTTCGGCAGCAAGCTTATTGAATTGGAGCTCTGCGGCAGTACGTCTATTATTTTCAGGGCTATTTTGGTCAGAAACCAACTCCAATACAGCGTTGCTGGACATGGTCAATTGGATGGGATGGAGTGGTGGTTGTGGAAAACAGAGTAGTAGTGGTAGTAGACGCGTGATGGACCTCACGTGGACGTGTAGAGACAGACTAGTGGGATGGTCTATGGAGAGGTGAAGTGGGTGGGATGGAATGTAGATGTATGATGGATTTGGATGCTGGGAGTGGGTTTTTGGGGTCTTGGGTTGGTTGTGTGCTGGAGGTGTGGCTGGTTGGGTGGTGGTTGAGAGTGGCAGTTAGGAGAAGGTAAGAAGGTAAGGTGACGAGGACGTGGTATTATTTTCTTTTTTAATTGGTAAAAGATGTTAAGATGGTGATTCCGATGACTTGGGTCGGCTTTATATTGAAATTTTGAATTAGAAATGCTTTTTCATGGAGTGTTGGTGGATAGTGAAACACTTAAAGGCATATTTCGCAGCCATTAAAGAAGACGCCAATAGACAGCATCTACGGCCAAAGAAATGGGACCAACTGTAATAATATAAAGGGAAAACTGACCCAAGAAGATGTTATTACTTTTTTTAACATTTTAATTTACCAGAGTAATTTGTTCCTTTTGTGGTTATGATAATTCACGTAATTATAGCACAATGGTCCCTGGAAAGCCAAGAAGGTAAGCTTTCATATAACAAACAAAGCTGATACCATTTTTCTTAGGCTTCATGACATCTTTATTTGACATAAGCTCTTTCTCATAATCAAAAACACCCTTTATATCACCAGAGGTCAAGACTCACCACACTGAGCCACGCCAAACAACCACCACCAACACAAGCACACCAAACTTCAGCCAATCCCTTCTTTTCCTTCCTTTCTCCTCTTTTTCTTCCATCACCCTCCAGCTCATCCAACCTTCACCTTCCACGCCTTTTCTATATATAATCCACTCAGCCTCACCTGGCTCGCCTTATCTGTGCCTCGACGAGTCCACAGCCCATACTTTCACCACCAACACGTCCCAAAGAATACAGAAACATTCCCAGCCAATTCAAACCACCCTTTAAATCACACAGGTCCCTCCACCACCCCAATTTCACTCTCCTTGACGAAAACAATGCTGGTGGTGGACCTCTGGAGCCAGTGCGACCTGCATACGCCCCTCCTGGACCTGTCAATTCAAATCTCGTTATCCTCTCCACAACTATACCTTATTTTATTCCCTACCAATGGACGCAATCAGTGGACAAGATTTGAACGGCAGTTTCAAAGTGGCCAATTTGGCTGTGGCTGCACTCTCAGTACGTTTTAACACCTTGATGCCTCGATTTTTTCACCTCCATACTAACTTCCTCTCCAGGTTCTCTCGGGCGTTTCCCAGCTTTTCTCAGGCGTGTAAGTATACCAACGATGCTCCTGAAATTCCCCAGTACTAACTTCAGTCAATCGGTATGTTAATGCTTTTTGTTCATTTTCCGTTCCCACTAACATCAGTTCCTCATCGGCATCTATATCATTGGTTTCGGTGCCGTTCTAGGCCTTCTCGGTACGTATCTGCCCACCAGCTCATAAACCTTCCCGTCACGCTAACCTTATCAGAATTCCGTGTTCCAAGTGAAGCCTACACGTATGGCTCGTTCCTCTTCTCGTTCGTGGGAAGAGGTGTTTGTATGTATCTTTGATCCATTGGCTCCCCAAAACAAGTGTTCCTAACATCCAGTCTACACCTTCATTGGTGCCAGCATCAACGGAGCCTCGTGGTTCCGTTTGTTCGCTGGAATCTTGATCTTCGTCATTGGTTTGGTGTACATTGCCTTGGAGGCCGTACCCAGCATTTCTCCTCCCGAGAACATGAGCCCTGAGGGTATTTCCATCGGGGTCCAGGACGAAGATGTTGTTTGAAAATAGAAAGAAAATCCTCGTCTGCTATGCTTATCGTCCCCTTTGCTACCCTCTGTAGAACACGCCTTTCCTGATAATGAAGTGATGGTACCAGCGTTCCTCCTCCTCATGCAGTCCATACAGCTCGGCCCACTATCACCACTTCCTTGCTCTTCTTCCAAACAAGCTTTAGGAACCTGATTTCCGTATACTTTCCTAGAAATACGGGCTTGACTAGCCCGGGTAACCATATCGTCTTCGCATATTTGACACCTCCTTCCCGAGCATCATCCACACAATTATCAGCATCTCCTACATCCCAGCAACTAATAGAAAATGTCCCACGATGACTCCACAGAAGCCTCTACGAAGGTTTCCTTGACCACATTCACCATCCCTAAAGATTCATTCACTGCATTCCGTTTGCTGTATGCTCCAGCACACGAAGTTGGCGAGTTTGCCAAGGTTCTATATTTGGGCTCGATTCCTGCCGCTTGGTATGGAGGTAAACAGTATGGCCTTCTATCGGGGTCAGTCAAACGAGCCAAGAAGAAGATGAAACGGAAGTTGAAGTCGTCATATAAAGTTATTGACCAGTCTCTACGGCTGACTTCTGAGTACCCTGCCTGGAATAGTGACTATGAGGATGCAAAGTCTACAGACAGGGCATGGTCTGACGTTGATGAGATCTCTATTGATAACCAGAGACACGCGTCTGAAGCTATAATTAATGGTGGCCTTTTAGTGCCGCCTTCGTTTCGTTATGATAACGAGAGAGAGAATCCTCTGGATGAAGAGGACCACGGAGCTCTAAGGCGTGAAAGCAGTCATTACACAGAAGAACATGGTACAACGTTCAACTTTGACCAGCATAATGAAATCACGTTTAATCAAGCAATTCATGGGTTGGAAACTGACGAGGACCTGGTCATAACGGGTGATTCTGATAATCCACGCTTCTTTCGTCCTAACTCACCTTCTCCAGCTACAGAAGAGAGAGATGCAGAAAACGATGACCACCTTGAAGAAGCCACTATTCACACTTGCACCTCTGCAATTGACTCAAACGAAGAAGAGATGATGCTGCCAATATTGGCTCCTCAAGCTACGAATCTTCCAGAGAGTGAGCCCGAAGAACCGCTTCAAGTGACCTTTGACTCGACCGCTAAACCTTCCAAGGGCTCAAAAATGGCATTTGCATCCCCTACTCCAGAATGTGGCCAAGATCACCAGGAACTCGCCAACGAATACATCAAGGCTAAGAAAAACCATCTCAGGAAAATAAAAAAGCTCAAGAAGATTGGTGGTTTCGCTTCTAATACAGGAAGCAAAGCGAAGATGAAAGGTTCAAGGGTGAAGCTGAGGGTTGCACGCAGAATATTGAGCAAGTTCAAGCCAGGTGAAATAGTCAGGGTCGACAGAATGCTTGTACAGATCCTGAGATGTGATGAATATCTCCTGGGAAGTCACTTTAACGAGGAATCTATTGAAAAGTTAAAGATCACCGACAGATGGAAGGAGTATAACGTTGTGCTACGCAAATCAGACGAGATGCTGGCGCTTCTTGTTGTACAATTCTACGATCCTAAGAAGGGGTCCACATTTGATGAGAAGCCCGAATACAAGGTCAGATTAGGACCTGAAGTGAAAATCGGCTTTTACAGCAACATAGACAAGACCATCAGTATTTCGCTGGAGAAAGAATGGGGAACTCGCGTTGTCATCATGAACGCCAGATACGAAGGTGTCGCTCATAAGTGGCTTTTCCTTGTGAATGAAATACTTGAAGGCACTGAGGAATGCGTTTTCAATATCACACTCCCTGGATTAGGCCAAGGCATTGGAATACCATTCGACACTTCTATGATGAAACAGCTTAAACAGACGCTGAATGATCTAGAAATCTCTCGCATGGAGTATGGCTATCATGTCTCTCAATGCATCCTTCAGGCCTACTTGAGAGATAAAATCTACGCCAAGCTTAACCATGCTACTCGATTTAACGAAGAAGTGAAGAATTGGCTCGCGGAGAATCCCGATCCATGGTTTTGCTTCAAGTTTTACGACCGTGTCGAATGGATCCCTCAGAACAGCATGGTCTTTTATGTGATGCATAAGCTCATGCAGAAGGATTATGAGTTACAGTTAAGACAAATCAGCAGACCGCTGCTTTACATTGAAGATCGTGAAGGGAATCGCTGGACGAAACCTTACCCGGTAGAGGGCTTCCTTGGCAGGGCAACAAGTACTTCAGGCAAAGAAATCACAAAGTTAAGAGTCTTTTACAAGGTATCTTACTTTTTCACAGTTGAGAATATGCTTTTCTTTACCAAAATGTTTGAAGGCCGTCCTCCGTCGAGAACCAATACAACTCGTAAGTCTTGTGAGGATGAAGACGAAGAGGATTCCATGCCTCCTGAGCGTTTTATCAAAGATCCATTTGAAGTTGATAAACATGGTCATATTCCTTGGATTAACCTGCCTGACTTCGAAGAAAGAGATAAACATATTGTTGAAGAGCTAGAGCGCAGAATTGCGCAGATCATCAAAGCAGAAGGTATGGTAGATCTTATGCAAGTGAAATCTGTTGAACCATATCCACATAAGAAGTTATTTACGAAGCAGATCTACTTCCATTCCCTTTTTTGGCATGCCAATACGTCAATCAATACTGAGGAAGAGGTGTTAGATTGTGCATTACAGATTGAGCTTCACAATGGCACCAAACTTAGATTAATGGCCTCATCGCAGGCTATCAGAGATGAATGGATCCACAAGTTAAGGGATTTAGTTGCATATCATACAATGGCTGATAGAACTAGAGTCGTGAAGGCGACACAGACGAGAAAGGATAACATGGAGAAGCTTGGAATCAATGAGTATGTGGATTCCAACATTGTCAATGAGCATTATGGGTTCGAAACTCCATTCGCCAAACCTAATGAGCATATATTCGATATGAGCGGTTTGGCTATGCCGCTGTGCGTCTTGATGAGCGGATATCTATATCAGAAGCACAAGAAGCATGCCAACTTTGGGGCACTCTACGTGGTTCTATGTCCTGGCTATTTAATATTGTTCTCCTTAGCCAGGCGTTCCAAAACCACTGGTATGCTTAAAAGAAGGCCTTGTTACGAGCATTACTTCACAATCCCAGTGTCTGAGTGTTTCGTGTACCTGGGTAACCAAACGGTATTTGACTTGGTCGATTTTGATAATGGCAGTCAAGAAAGGGTCTCCGGCCGCAACCAGCTTCCAAGAATATATCCCGACGGATGGAAGCTGTGTGAAGAGGAGCTGCAGCTTTGCTTTACGCTTTGGTTCGGGCAGAAAAGAAAGCTCAGGCACCAGTTGGAAGTTGCATCCAATCCAAGCATGATTTCCATGGTCAGATTGCTAGGAATGACTGGAAGAAGTATGGTATTCATGGCCCGTTCCAGAGTCATGAGAGAGGCTTGGGTGACCAAACTTCTCCAAGAAATCAACCGTTTCTCAAGCCACTGATCAAAGGCCTACATTATTTATAAGAACCTATTGCATTATATTAGTTACATTGACTAGAATTAAAGAGATTTCATTACTCGGTCAATAAGCTCACAGTCCAGATCTTCATCTGAATCGTCGTCTGAATCTTCTTCCTGGACTAACTTGATATCGGCTGTTCCAGACAACTTCTCAATTGCAGTTTCAACAGGGTCGTCCACGAGCTCCTTGGTTATATCTGTCTGTGAACTGACCTTTGTTGATTCATCTGAAGAAGCCTTCAACTGCAACCGTAGTGGACTCGTTGGTCTGGAAATTGCTGGAGTTGTGGCATCATCTGAGTACACTTGAAGACCACCAAAATTGAGTATACCTCTTTCAGGGCTTCTTTCTGGAACTGTGGGAGCAAACTCAGACGAAGACTCCATGATTGGAGAAACCTTGGGTTTCTGCTTCTGGGGAGTAGTTATACCAGGAAACGAAGTACCAGCAACGATATCTGGAAGCCTTAATGTTGACGAGAAGATATTAGGTGGGAACGTCATCAGACTGTCAGAAATAGCAATGCCCCATTTTTCAATGATAGAGCCAGTTTCTGAATGGAGTCTGACATTGAATGAGTCTTGGCCACTGGAGCTAGAAAGCTGGAGGACAGAAGGAATAGGTGTATTGATACTGGTTGTCTCGTTCAAAGGAACCATCAAGAACTGGGGTGGGTGGTTGGCAGACCATATAACCAAGTAGTTCGTGAAGAGGTAGACGTTTGCCAGTTCAAAAGCTGAAGCTCTATCTGTACTGACAAAAAGCAGATCCACAAGACGCAATTTACCCAAAGACACAAGCATCGAAAGATCAAACCCAGGAGCATGGTTGATCATGTGTTGGATGAAGGCCAGCTTGAGTTCCTCTGGGGGTATCAGGTTGTGAATGGATACTCTGACAGAAGCAGTAGCGGTGGTGCCAATACTGATATTGGACGCAAGCGACGCTCTGTTGGTGTTGTATGTGCCGCTTTCCCTGTTGTAAGCGCTGCTTTCTCTGTTGTAAGCGTTGCTGGCGCCAGTATCGATTCTTAAAGGTACCCTAGGCACCTGTTTATTCTTCTCAGGGAAGAAGTCCATGGTATAGTTATCAGAGAAGATAGGAGACAGAACGGCGGTTCCATATTCTTCCTGAGCGGGATCAAGGGTTCTTGAAGCTTCAAAACGTGTAAGTTTCAACGAAAGCCTAAGGTCGTTATTCAAATCGTCCAAGAAGGCCGTATTCAGTGGAACCGCCAAAGGCCGTTCATCCTTGGTTCTGCAAATTGTTCCATGACAATTTGGAAACACAGCGTGCATTAATTCAGCCGTTGAACTTGCCCTAGAAATACGTCTATGGTGAAGCTTCTTCTCAAGTTCATGGTTCACCACTGTTCTCAAACACTCCTCGTGAACCCTATCTCCACACAGTAGAGGCACTAGCTTTTCAAGGTATAGAGTCGTTTCAAGCAGTTCATCGCATATAAAACAAATATCAACGTTCCCAGCAATATTTGGTCTTTTAGTAGTGGTTGCAAAATACGGTTTCACGCGAGGCCCAGGCGAGCTAGGTTTCCTCGAGTGCTCAAACAACGGCGACTCAGGCTCCAACACTCCCCATTTGTGTCTCTGAGGAGGCGGTGGAGGCGGCAACGTGAGTTCACCCAAAGTGATATCTTTCTGGTCAGTAAGCGGCGTAAAGTACTCATCTTGATACACATCGAGCGGCGTCAAAAAGTCACATTCTGGAGTAGACGGTGCGGTTTTCTCAGGCAGCGGCAGCGCCAGCAGCAGCATCAGCAGCAGCAGAGAAGACCTCAGTTTATATAGAGAGCGAAGCCTGAGCTTCCATTTTGGCGGCGTCGACACTTTGGTAGGTGTAGATACTCGAGACATATTAGCGTTTACAGAGCAAAGGCTGGACAAGAAAGCACATTTATACAGACAAGCCAGAGAGGGTCTATACGGGGAAGTTTGCAGCTACGGTTCCGGAAAAGTGTATCGAGAAGGCATGGGAGGTGCGTCAGAGAAGAATAATAATATGGTGAGGCTGGTAGAGAGAGGGTTTGCATTGTGGAAAGATGTTTCTGGGAGGTTTGGGAAGGTTTGGGATAATAAATGGCTGCAAAGATCTGCATGGCTGGATTGGTAGATTACTTGCAGAGAAAAAGACGAGTAAAAAGACGAAGTCTTTTTATGAGTCTTTTTCAAAATGAAGCAAAAAATAAAGTAAAACAAGAGTAACACCATTAATCGTAAGTTCCACCTTCCTTCCACTTCCTCTTCTTCTTTTCTATCAATATCTCCCTTCCTCTCCCTCCTCTGGCTCATCTGGGGCCGCATATTTTTCATGCACCAGGCTCAAATTTCACCTCCCACCGCCCCACGCAACTTCCCAAAATGCCTGTTCCTTGGCCCTGGAAATGTAACAGAAGTTGGACGTAAGTGCTCTCTGCGTCTTTTTTTGCGCCGTCCAGACCCTGGCAAGGGCATGTTGGTGGTTTGGAAGAAAGTAGTAAGTCTTCTGCTGGTGCGAGAAAGACAACTGCCTGAGATCTATTCGATCTACAGGGCTGCTTGGCGAGAAGAAGAAACGTGAAATACGAGAAGCCAAATTAGATGATGCTTTACCTTTTTTCTTTCTTTTACGTTTTGTTGCGAGCCCAGAAGTGCCTCGGCGGGATGAAGACGACGTAGATGTACCTCGGCATGGCTTCTCTTTTGGGTAATGTAATGCCCAGCGTAGGCAGACGCAGAGGCAGCAGTAGGTGCAGAAGACACACTGAGGGCCAGAGCACCTTGATGGATACCCTTAACCTGGAATAACCCTCTTTGCATGCTTTGCTCGTAAATGTGTGGTTTTCGATCTTTGGTGGTGTGTTGGATCGCCAGGGAGTCGCCCAGACCGTCGGGTTGGCCCCCTCTCCCCTCTTACTAGCCACAAATGGGTTGTTTCAGAAAACGCACTGCGATCTTCACTGGTGAAAAATTATGAAAAATTATGGATTATTATTTGGTGGATTGGGACGATTGAAGATGCATCTTTTGTACTTGCGAAACATCGTTGTTTGACTCGGCGGGTTTCCCCGCTAAGGGTTTACGATAAACGATAGAGTTGGCTGTCGAAAAGCTGCCCAAGAGATTAGAGTTTGTTCGCTCCAGCGAACAAACAAGTAGTCGAAAATCATCAAATTCAGCCCAAATGGACTTCTACCAAACCCACCCCAACTTGCCCCAACTCTTCACCTGGAGAACCCATTTTTCCGCCATTTTTACGCCACAAAGCCGTAAAATGACCTCTACTTGCCCGGTCTTGATGGTGTAGTTGATGGCAGTGTACTGCATATAAGACCCATTTTCTATCCCCATCTACCTATCCCTCTCTCCCCAAATACCCCTTGGAAATTCAATCTAAGGGTGTAGAACCGTCCTATAGATGCCTACTGTAAGACAGCTGCCTTTCCTCCCATGCCACCCCTTTGGGGCGTCGTGGGGTGGATAGGTCACTGGCATTCACACCCGTGCACCATAACCCCATATAAGGAGCACAACATCAACTTGCACCAACAACCACTACACTACACATACCCATCTATTCAACACACCCCAAAATGAGCAAAGATGACGACGTGATGGATTTTATAAATTCCCTTCCGGACCTGCACCTGGGCACCCCTGGCCCCAATGATTCAACAGCTGGCGGTGACGACTTCTTGGAGTTCCTTGACGAGTTGTCTGCCCATGAGAAATCTACGCCTCAAAAGGGTAAACTAGGCCCTAGAAAGGATAAGAAGATTGAGCCAGTCAAGAATAAGCCTGTTGAGAGTGCTCTGTCTTCTGTGACTGAAAAAGCTGCTGAGGTTGCTGACTACCTTCTGCCTCAGCTTCCAGCAGAGAAGAGTGCTTCAGTAGAGCTTCAGGAGAAGATTGAAGAGGCTTCTCAAATGAGTGACCCATTTGCGTCTTTATCGCTGTGGTGGTCGTCTGAGGGATCCAAGAAAGCTCTGTCTTTGTGGGGCTCCTTAACCTCGAATGCAACTCAGTTGGGAGAGCAAACATACCAATTGGCATCCAACACGTCCCAGCAGATAAGCCATTCTAGGCAGAAGCTTTTGAGCGAGAATCCTGCTTTGGATAACGACCAGGTTTCTCATATTACATCCAGACTTAACACGATTCTTAGCAGTGTCTCACAACAAATCAAAGATGGCCTTATGGACCGTGAAGACGAATTGTTGAACATTATGCTCGTGTATGACGTTTCAAATATGGACTATTTGGATAAGGTTTGTGCGTCAAAGTTTAACAAGGTTATGTCGCAGGTTGAAGGTGGTATCAGGGTAACGGTGAGCAACTTCAACCATCGCCATGAACTGCGTGAAGGAACAGGTCCTTATTTCGACTTGGATATTTTCTTTGGCAAGATTATTGATGGTGAAAAGTTGTGCTACGCCAACCTCGATTCATCTATTAAGGATTACCTCAAAATCACGGAATCTGAAGAAAAGGCTGAGGCCGCTGACAAAGAGAAGGAGTTGAAGGAGGCTGAGGAGAAGCTCATGGCCAGAGAAGGCGATTTGGATATCAACAGCAGCAATGTCTTCATTGCTATCCAGCCTATCAGTACCGGTAGCGCTGAAAAATCTAAAGAGCCAACTGAAAGAGAGACTTCAGCCACAGCTCCTGTTCTCATTGACTCTACAAATTCAGAGTCGTTTGCATTTGCCTTGATTTTAAAGGATATCACCAACAAAATTACCATTTCAACGAAATCCCAGCCGTTCCCATTGAAATGGGCCAGATGGGTTGCAGGTGATAGAACGGAAGTACAAGAATTCTTTGGAGGTGAAAGCACTGACGAAGCTGTTGATCCAAGTGAATGGGTCAAGGAATGGATCCAAGACGGTCTTTCGCTCAGTTTCGCCGTGTTGGCCCAGGAATACGTCACTAAAAGAATGGGTATCTAATAATGCATAACGATAAGATGATCCGATGTAGGAACTCCCAATTGGTAAAAGGGTATCTACAAATCAATTGCTGGGCAATTGTGAATTTCCTATCCATCCCATTTCTATAAATCTATAACGCCAAATCAAACGGGGGCTTCCGCCATTAAAAGAGATCAGCAAACTCGGCAATGTGTGGGTGAACAGCACAAGCCATAGCGGCCGCCAGGGCACGCGAGGTGAAGCTGTTTGGAGAAACACAAGTAGCCAATCCGTGGTGGATGTCGTTGTTAGGCTCAAAGTGGTCCTTGTCAAGAGCCGACACAGCGGCACCCTTGAGCTTCTCAGCGCCGTGAGGCACAATGTGAGTCAAGTTATAGTTGGCAAACACGCGGTTCAAGCTCTCGTCGTCCACGGCAATCAATTGGTTGACCCAGTCAACTGCAAATGGAGGCACGGTCTGGGCATCCAGGTGAGCCACCTTACCAAGGTACGTCTCCTCAGAAACAAGATCAATGTCAGGCACAAACTGCTTCGTCTTCATGTTCTTCCTCACCTCCATATCACAGAAGGTATGGTTGGAAGAGGCAAGCAACGCAGGGAAGATACGCTCGAACCCGCGAGCGTTCTGTGGATGCACATTGATACACTTTTCGTGAATAAAGTGGTATGTCAGGTACAGTGGCAATTGGTCTGTCCGAACATCCAAACGGTAGTTATGAGGAGGTCTATCAGACAATCTCTTCAACAAGTGGTGGGAGTGGGCCAGCTTTGTGTTGTGGAACAAGGTGATAGTTGGCTGCGAATTTGCAACCGAGCGGCTTGCAGAGCGGGCGAACCCAGTGAGACGGGCGAGGTTGGAGAAGTTAAACATCCTGGTCTGTTGAAGCCGATGATGGAAAAAAAGAAGAAGTTGAACAAGATGAGAAAAGCTGGTCTTCTTATATTCCTCTTTTTTTATACGATGGGTGGGAGGGGTAAACTTATTTTGATGGCATGGGGAGTGCATATAAAAGGGGGAGATAATCCGGTCTCGAGCAGAGAGTTGGGCAGTCAAAAAAAAATGCGGATTATACTAGTTAAACTGTCAAGGCCTGAGCTCAACATCGCACTTCTATGCAGGATTTGACTCTTTATACGACACGTCTTTTTCACTTCTCCAAAATTACCCCGCCCACTCTCCTCCTGGCTGTGTTGGCCCAGGCAACAATTAGGCGCAAAAGACAAAAAGACAAAAAAAGACAAAATCCAGCCAACGCCTCTAATTAAGCAATTGACGAAATTGCCCCTGAAATGGTGAAGAAAGAGCACTTAAATTTTAAAAAATCAGGGTTTTCTGGTTTTCTGGTTCTGACTTCTTACCGGCCTGCCGATCTGACAGGAAATTTTTCATTGTATTTCCATGCTTGGTACTTCTTCTTTTTTGCACCCAATGTGGCGATGTGTTCCGGATTTGCACTTCCCGCTAAGGGATGTAGTTGCTGGTGTACGGGTTTTCCTCGTGTTTCCCGTATCGCCTCAATGTAAATGCCCACCCTTTCTCCTCTTTTTTCTTTTTTTCTCCTTTTTGTTACCATAAATTGCCACTTCTACACTGCCCCAAAAGCTTCGGAGTTGCTTGGTGCGAAACCTCCTAATTTAACGTACTGCATATAAGCAACCGGCCCACCGTGGCTGCAAAATTCCAATCCCTGAGTCAGACGAAGTCAAAACATGAGGAGATCTTTACGATAAGAAGGAAATCTCAAAGGATCTTCATAATCGGACGCTCCGTTTCTTCGGCTGCCCGGTATGGAGTCCCTTCTCTTTTTGTCTCTTCTCCTTCTGCATGTGCTTATCTTATCGGGACGTCTGATAAACAGACGGCTGACTTCAGCGAGGGGAGGTATTGAGGAGAGTGGGAGTGGTTGGGAATTGGAGAAGGAGAGAAATTTAGTTGGTTTGAGGAAGGGGGGGTTAGAAAAATTAGGTGAATTTCAGGGAAGGGTGGGAAGCGTGGGAAGTGTGGGAAGTGTTGGTTGGGTGGAGACCAGAGCGGAATTGGTGAGCACAAGTGGAGTGATCCTTCTGGTCCACCTGGAACGGTCCACCTGGAACTGGATTTTATTTGGTCTCTCATTTTGGACATTTGGTCTTTCGGTCATTTGTAGTTTTGGCCATTTGGTTAATTGGGGTGATGGCTTGGGTTGGAGAATGGGGGGTTGAATGGCTGGCTGGCTGGGCCTGGGGATGACATTCTCTATGGCCAGGGGTAGATGTGAATAGGGTTTGGTTGTCTTTAGGCGACAATGAAGGACCAATGGAATGTCTTCAAAGGGTTAGGCTATTGATTTAAGGTTTACGAATCTACTGTGTGGTCTATCCTTGGTAGATGGGAGTGCCCGTCTCTTTGAGGTGTTCCATAGCGATCTGGCCCACCCAGGACATTCTTTTTTATGTCCTATGATACTGATTTATCTGGGAAAGTGCTTTTTCAAGAGCTGAGTGCTGACTCTAGACTATGATCATGCTGTACTTGGCCCACCATCCATCCCTTAGGCCTTATCTGCTGACCACGTTCCATACTTTAACTAAAATTGAGCTACCAATTACTCACCCTTTCAAGGGTCAAACTTACTGGCATCTGCCTTGTTCCATCCTTTATTCCCTGAAAAATGCCTATCCCAGCATGCTAGGACAAGCTGAAACACCATATGGAGTCTTCCTGCTACCTACTTCCCTCAACACCCATATCAGTTCTACCCACTTGATATAGCAGGTCGTACTGTCCATGGCTCTTGAAGCAATTTCAAGTGGAGTGGAGAGTTGTCCAATGATATCCAACTGTTTCAGGTTGTAGATCTCCTCGCGGCTCATGTTTCAGAGTATGTAGTAGACGCCCAACTTTGGCCAGAACGACCATATTCAACACAAAACCCAGTATAATATATAAAAAAGAGAGCAGCAAACAACAGGAACACCAATACATGAAACTTCCGTCACTCTTCTGGCCAAAGAGGCTAGGTAAGGTACTTCTTCTGCGCCCTTTGAAACGAGGCTAGCGCTTGGCTCCAACTACGAGTATGATATCATCTAGCTTCCCATGAAACTTTATTGCCCGTTTAAATAAATACAAATACTTCTACTTCTCTCCGTCTCCTTTGCTTTTCACTCAGAATGACCAGTCCTGATACTTCCTCTACTATAGCTGAGCCTCTCAGGCAACCTTCCAGTGATGAGTCTTGGTTTATACAGCTTATAATACTTCTTTTTTGCACTATTCTATGTATTGGTATTTCAATTGTTTTGTTTGCTTTTCAGATAAATGATGAAACATCTGTGGCTTTTCAGCTCATGAAACTCGGTCTTTATTGTGCTACTTGTGGTGCTTTTGGTGCCCTTCTCCCTTATTGGCGAGCAAAAAATCGCCCACATATCCTTGAGATGGCGTAGTAACAGTACATATATCAATAAATAGTTAGCTTATATGCATTTGGACTTGCTTGTATTCATTGTGACGTTTGGTTGTAGACTTTAGTATGAGGCTTTGAACCATCACAATGGCCTAGCGAGGCTTCGTCAATGTATGGAAGAAAGAGGCACACAAGCCTTGCTTAGTATTGAGCGAGCTTTAGGAAACCCTTCTCTGCACTAAGTCAGTTTTATTTAGTCCCTAACAGTGGTTTAGATATGGTATATGCTTTGAAGGGTCCGATTCCTGACTATGAGCCCTGGGGTTGGTAGCTGGGGAAGGTCTGAGAAATGAGATGAGTAAGTGGTTATTCTGGAGTGAAAGTTCGATTACATTAGGTTGTTTGGGGTCATTGTTGGATATTTTCCGTATATAAGTCTTCCTTAAAGAAGGTGATCATTAGCATAGAAGACCTCTATCACTTTAAAAAAGCTTCTTATCGGGACTAGGTTAAGTGGCTGGTGTGCAGGATAAATAGACAACGCGTCAACCTGGAGCTTACGAGACTACGGCTGATTTGGGGGTTTAAGGCACTTATAGTGGTCAATTCAAGGATTATCAGTTCAAGAGAGTTTTAGGATATTCCCCTTCTTTTTATCGCTTCCTAGAGGGACTTTTCGGTCCGCAACAGGTAAAAACCCATCTGAGGTTGCTGGTCTCGGGAGTGAACCTCATCGTTTCTTATGCAGTACGTGCAGATGATTACTTCAACAGTTCTATAAACACGTCAAGAACTCAATATCAAACATTCCTGGTGTCCAAAATTGCCACAAATATCTACTGTCTAGCTCCTTTTAATGTATCAAGCAAGTCGACAGTTGGCTGCCTGCCTCATCTGGTCCCCCTCGTAGATGTTAAATCTCAGCCGCACGAGCCGCATCAAACAGTATCCCATCAGGGCCCTTTGCATTTCCTTTTTACAGTCTTTCCAGGGCGAGCGATTAAAAATACCTCCAACTTCTTCCTCTTCTTCTTCTTACTCGACCAGTCTTCTTCAGTAATGAGAATCAAGTATTTTACCGTATTACCTTTACTTCTCCAGTTGTGCACTGATCAAGTGGCAGCTGGACCTTCTGACGAAAGGCGTGTTACAGGTTACAACCATGGCCCTTCTTACTTGTCTTCGTTTGTTTTCCATAACTTGGATCGTTGGACTAGGTGGTCACCCAATCAGCCAATTGAGGCTCCCGTTGACCTTGACATGGTGCCTACGAACGCCTCCAGACCGGCTTTGCATGAGGTTCACTCATTGGCTGCAAATCCAACTTCTACCACTGTTGACATGCCATTTGCCCTGACAGTCACCCCAGACCATCCTGATGGCTCTGACGGTTCTGGAGGTTCCGACCTGTCAAATGATCTTATCGATAGTTCGGATGAACCCGAAAGCGACGGGGGAGACAGAGATGGCAGAAATCCAGATAACATCTATCGAAGCCCAAGTGTGGAGCAGGCCTCAATAGGTCCTTCTCACAACACGAGTTCATCGTTTATTTTTGTTGCTAATCGGCAGCCTAATATAGTGAGTCCAGTTTTATCGATGGGGGTATCATATGGTTGCATGACTTGGGTGAATGCTGTTGATTTCAACGCAACAGCTATCAGGTATCTTCGTCAGTCTGAACTAAAGTGCACGGCATATGCTTTCCAGAATAGCGACTGTACGGGTAACAGACAAGAGATTGACTTGAGGCAACCAATTGGCGTTGTTTTGCTTCCTCAAGAATTCCGTTCTGTAGAAGTGTTTTGTTAATAATATACAACAGTCCGAATAGATTAATATAACTAACAGTGACACAAAAGATAATAGTGCTTCCAACAAATACACAAACTAAATATCTGCACATTCTGAATCCGACAATTCAAATTCGTTATATTCTTCACATCCATTGACGTGATTGTAAATCGTGAGCAGACACCGTTCAGCGAAGAAACTGGTCAGCACGCTTACTGCACCGATTTCTTCACTTCTCTTTTCGATATACTCCTCTAACTTCTTCGGATACTCTCCATGTGGGTAGATTATTTCTCTACCTTCCCAAAAGTAACTAAGATAGTTCTTCACGTACGCCAACCCTTTACGCTTAACAAGCCAGTCATATCGTCTCCTTTGGGACATGATTCTGTAGTCGCTATTCGTCTCGAGCCTTCCCTTGTATTTCTTTTCATATGACAAACAGTATCTTCTATGTCTCCTTTCGAAGTCCTTTGCCACCATTTCCAACTCTTCTGGACAAATACTCCTTTTTCTCAACCTTGCACGTACCACGGCACGCTTTTGTTGCACATCCAACTTCTTCATATCAATCTTCTTCTTCTGCTTCTTCTTCTGCTTCTTCTTCTGCTTCTTCTTCTGCTTCTTCTTCTGCTTCTTCTTCTCGTCTGTCTTCTCCTCAGTCTGGTGTTGATTGGGGTTTTGATGATTAGGCTCTTCGGTTTCCAGGCGGTTTGGGAACATTTTAATGAATTTTTGCTCTCCAGTAGAAGGATTATCCCGCTTTATATGTGAAACATTGTTGTAAAGAAAGAGGAGAAGGCACTTCTTTGGGGAAACTCCAACTTAGTGTCCCACAAGTAGAGGGACAGTATAGCAAAGTGGTGCACTTCTACCATCAGTAAAGCCATATGCAATGGGCTTTATAACAATGTAAAATGTTGAGTACTGGCGTGACTTGAACAGCAAGATGATGCACTCTCGTACAGACTCTCTGGGCGAGTCGCATCTATAAGTCACCGATAAAATGGATGGGTCTTTCATGGGTTGTGCTGCCTCAGTCAGCATGTGAATCGGAGATGAACTGGCGAGGAGCCTCCAAAAATGTTAAAGTAAGTGTTCCGTCCATTCCCTTCTGGCACAAACTTGAAAGCAGCGTTCATTTCATTGTGATTTCCTCTCTCTATACTTCATACCCAAAAATCTCGGGTCTTCTATGAGTGAACACAGGTAAGTCTGTCCTGATTTTTTCCACATAGTCCAAGTCAATCTCACCCACAATCAATTCACTATAGTCCTTGCTGTCTTTCCTTTCCAAGTATGTGTCACCCTTGGCAACAACCTCTCCCCAAGGACCAATAATCACCGATTGGCCATAACTGACTCTGACCTTCTTACCATCGCCATCCTCCTCTGTATCTGCGTAAACGTCATGTTCACCACATTGAGCGGCCATAACAACGTAGCACTGGGAATCTATAGCACGAGCTTTGCCTAGCTCAAGCCAGTGAGCCTCGCCCGTTCTCGTAGTAAACGCAGAGGGGAAAGTAATGATATTTGCACCCAACTTACGCAATCGAAGTGCTAATTCCCCAAACCTAATATCATAGCAAATGGCTAAACCAACTGAAAACTTGGAGAATTTTCCCTTATTCACACTAAACGGATCCAAGATCTCCTTTCCGGGCTCAACCGAGTTCAGTTCCTTCAATATAGGCCCATTGACGATGTTTATATCGAAAAGATGAAGTTTCTGGTACGTTTGAGCAATATCTCCACGATTGTCTATCCAAAGCTGGTTATTTTTCACCTTCTTCCCGTGGTTATCGCCTGAAGCCGGCTCGTGAACTCCCACGGCCACAAATATCCCCTTATCCTCGTCTTCTCCCGAGGACCTCTCGTGAATCTGGCGCACATGCTTCTGTAGAACGCTGATAAACTTCTCCTTACTCTCCTCAGCCAATTGAACCGAGTGTGAAGCGTCCCTGGATATATAATCAGCAGCCTCTGGAAGGAAAAGCACCTTGACGTTTTGGGCCACCGCCTGGTCAATTAGCCTCGTGGCTACACGAGCATTGCCAGCTAAATCAGACGATGAGCACATCTGCCCACATGCTATAGTTAGCTTTGAAGCAGTCATTCTGCGTGCAGATGTAGTGAGTAGTCGAAGAGCAGAAAGATACATAGTGGTTGTAGATAACGGTGGGGGGTGGAAACCCAGACACCCAGGGAAGAAGATGGCCCTGGAAGTGGGACGTAAGCAGGTGGAAAGAAGGTGTATTTTAGAAATAGTATATATTGATGTTATTGTCAATTGGATTTCATTTTTGAGTCTAATTTGGGAGCCAAGTGTGCTTTGATTGTGGTCTTTGAAGGTGAGTATCAGCTTAAGTATGGGCCTACTGTGGCGCTTATCTATATAAGTAAGGAAGTTTATAGTTTTGAAAAATAGCAGTTTTGGTATTTCTATTACATCTTCGTTGGTGATAACAATACGCTTTTTGACCAGATTACTAGTAGCTATCCCCAGTTTGTCTTTACGTGGGTATATGTGATTTCGCAGCCATTAAGGCCTTTGGCAGAGTTCAGAACAGCACCATCTACAACAACAGCTTGAGAGTTTTCCTACTCTGTTTGGAAGGGGCTATTACGTTCATTGTAAGAAACAAAAGTAGGAATTTACAGTAGTGGTTTGGGATAAGTCATCTGCTTACGTTGGCCAGAAGTTTCCATTTCTCCATCTTTACTAGAAGTGTCCATTTCACCACCTTTACTAGCCAACATACCATTCAGTGCTTCTTAAACTACAATGAACCGCTTGATGAGGTTGAAAAACCAGAATGTCAGCAAAAGTTTAAAACAGTATCAATAGAATGATGGTATATCCAATTGGCTGGATTAATCAAGCTCTACCAAATATTCTGATAAACCACCTTATCATTCGTGAAACCTGAAATTCAAAACAACCATATCCAACTCATAACTCATCTCCATCAAATAGCAAAGCTCGATTAGTTATCAATCCACTATCAGCTCCTCTAGCTCTTCTATCATCTCTCAAGAATAATCTACATTTTCGTATCTTTCACAATCATGCCATCAACTGTACTCTCTTCCTTTCAGTCCAGCAATCACTCCTTTTCTTTATCCTCAATGCCAATGCCCCCACGTTGTTCTTATCACCACATAGCCACTGGCTCTTCTAGCCCCTCTTCCTCACAGCCCCAGACATACCAGTAATCAATGTTAATCTCGTCAAAAGCCTGAAACTCACAGCCAACGACCCCTAAGTGAAAAGCAGAAAATTCTTCACCTCCCTTAGAGCTACACGCCGCCGCCTATCTCACATGCGAGGTTCTTATCTTCAGCTGTCATCGTATGCAACGGTTTCTAGAATGCGCAACCGTAAGTGCCCCCCACGAGGTTATGTTCCCTTAATTAATCCGATAGGCTAATCTCGTCTGGCACTATGTTCCGGGGAAATTCATTCATTCATTCGTAAACCCCTATTTTGGTGCCTTGGTAAAGGCTCCATAAGCGCAATTTCAGTGTTGCAAAGGGGAAAAGGAGGAAGAGCCAGTGTCTAATTGTTAACCGCTGCACAGTAGTCGAAGAAGAAGTTTTCCTCCTGGGGGTAAACTGCCGAAAGCAACCATTCCAGAGCCACAGTCATAATTCCAGGAAGCTCCAGCGGCGTGCTGAGTGATATCCCTGATAAGACAAGTAAGCAAGAGATAAGTAACCATGTGGCTGCGTGAAACAGGCCACAATAACAGCCCCAGAAGAGCAACCACTTTGAATTTCACATTCCTAATAACTACAAAGGTTGAAGAGTGTTGTAGCAAGTGCCATACTATGTGGTTCCTCGGCAAGTTTCAGTAAATGGCAGCAAAAGATGCCACAAGCCCGTGGAAAACACCTAGCAAGTATACCTCCACAGATGCACCAAATCCTTCCGTAGTTCCTGACCCCATACTTTACCCACATTGTTAAATACACAAAAAGGACTGATACGAGGGTTTCCAGCCATTCAGTGTTTGAGCTCGGTACATGTCATCCGAGCGAGCGCATCTGATAATCCGGTGCACATGCCAGTGTCAATTAACAGATGATCCGAAGGCAAGGGATAGTAGACAAGCGATAGACAAAATTTGGTTAGCCTAGGAAACCAAGCTGGAAGCTGGAATCAGCTTGAAATTTAGGAAGATAAAAAACTTTCTTTGGTGGTAGGGAGGGTCGCCGGGATGACATCCGGTCGTCCGAGCCGTTCATCCAGCTCGCAATCTCCAAATTTCACTCTCTACACTGGCCGCCGCCCCAGTTGCTTTCATCTATGGTATCGTAATTCATCCTATGTATATGCTATTTCAGTAGTTTCGTGTACTTCGTTCATTTATGCCTTGTTCACTGGACCAGCAGTGAAGACATCCTCAGAGGAAAACACAGTAGGCTCAAAGGGAGCCTCGTTCTGGTGCTTCACCTCCTCCGTAGCGAAAACATCGTCGTTAGCAATCAAGTTCACGCCATTGTCGTGTTCGTTCACGTTGTTAAAGTTGATACATCTCTGTCTGGAAGAGAAGAATCTCAGCATCGGCTGCTGGGTTTGCATTGGTGCTGGCACCCAACAGCGGGACACAGTTCTGAAGTTGGCAACTTTAAGAATTTGTCTGACCATTTTATTTTGCTTGTTGTGTTGTGTTTAGAAAATTTGATGAAGTGAAAACTGGGGGGCAGGGGGGATTTATATAATCGTACCCCAGATTCCGAGGAAGCGAACATCCGGAGGTGCAGCCGGACTTTCGGGAACGCCTGAGTCACAAGAACGTCGGCCTGCATGGGAACCTTAACCAGTAGAGCCAGTGGAGCCAGTGGAAGAAAGAATTTACGCACAATCTGTGATTCATGGCATCATCAGAGGGTCTGTGTGCAGTGCGCAAGCGAGTCACACTGCTCATGACAGCCGCTTATCCACATCCGTTTGACCGAGGAGAGCCTCAGTGGAACACACCAGCAAAAAAAAAGCCGTTCCCCCTATGCCCTCATGGAGCAACGGAGAAAAAAAAGCCACCCTTGTAGTGAAACAGAGCCAGACTCTTGCCGCCGCCCCCTGAGCGCAAAAAAAAAAAGGTTGCCCTTTGTCAATTACGATAAGGCACCCACGATGGGCATTTGAGTGAATTTTCCTTATCGCACTTTCCCCCCAGGCGGTGAACTAAGTCTACGATTTTCCCCCATTGTGGTCTCCTTTTCTCCCCTTCCTCCCCTTTCCATTCCATCCCTTGATCAATTGATCCCCTGATAGAAAGCTTTGTTTTTTGATTTGGGTGCTTTTTGTTTCCTCGTATGTTTTTCGTCTGATTTTTTTTTTTTTTTCGGCACTTTTCTACCGACTTATCTTGGCCAATAACAGTAAATAATCGTCTGGCTGTGGCAGGAAATGACCTGTTCCCTGCCCTCCATGGACCAATACCACCGACAATTGTCACAAAACAAGTAAAGAAACACATTCTTGACTCGGCACAAACCACTAAGAATTGTCATTTGACCGGTCTCGCCGGAACAAAGGTCGGTGGTGAATGTCCACTGGCTGGTGAATCACCGGAAATACAATTCAGACCACGTTGGCTTCCAGTGGCAGTGGGTGGCATTGGGTGGCAGTGGGTTGGCTTTTTCTTGTAGAGTCATGAATTGGCTGTGGTGGGTGGTTGGTGGTTGGTGGTTGGCTGTGTTTGGTGAACCGAGGCAGAGACAGTCATAGCCAGGAGAGATGTAGAGTAGGCAGCGTAGGAGACAGCATGGATTTACGGTAAATGTAGAAACTAAGCGAATAGGAGTTGTTTGTTGGGTAGAGGGGAAAAGGAAGTGGAATACGAATATTCTTGTCTTTTTGTATTTGTATGAGCATTTGGCCTCTGTCCTCTGTCCTTTGGTGGTTCTCTGTAGCTCTCACTGCCCAATACTACCTCCACCAGTTCCCACAAAACATGCCAAAAATTAAGAAAACAGAAGATAATCCTGCTAAACATGGCCTGACAATGCCTCCATCAATACCCAATTCTACTCCCTAACGACTGCTCTTTGGCGGGTACTGCCTAGCTGGGCTCTGCTGATCATACTACCACCTATACCCACAAGGAAACACCGGAAAAAGATGGAAAAAAATGGAAAAAAATGCCCATTCCCAAAACACTATCCCAGGCAGTCCAGACCAGCCCATTCCTGTCCTTCCCATGACTTCCCGTTCTCCGAACCACCAAATGGACCCTGGCTTCCTTCCAGGTTGCTCTCTCCCCTCCAGCCCACTACGAAACTCTAATTGTTTGCAGCCAAATGAACTGGGCTCAGTTTGCCTGGTGCCCTGCCACCTCCTTCCGTTCGTCCGAACAACCCTCAAATCGTTCCACAATCCTCTTCCCACCTGCCCTTACCTTTTCCCTTTAAACCTTCCCTTTGCTTCCGTTTGGCTGCAAAAGCCAGAAAAGTGCGATTCTCTGTCGAACTCTGGTTGTGTTTTTTCCACTGCACCTTCTTTTCGTTTCATTCCTTCACTCCGGAAACGCTCCGGGGTCGCGACTCGCCTGTGAAATTTATCTTGTTTTTGGTCACGGCTCCCACCAACCAGTGGCAGTTGCTCTATATGGAAAGACCGGGAAAACACAAAACAAGGGGGGCTTTAGAAAGTGAACGTACTTCCACCTGATTTCGGGCTTGGATTGGCGGGAAATCGGTGGGAAATGTGGTGTTTGGTGTATCACGTGACCCCGCTCACGTGCGTCCGCTCTCCCGGTTTTCTGGGGTACCTCCGCAAAATCACCTCCACCATCAACTCTTCCAATGGGCACAGGCTGGGAACTCACTCAGGCGCTCAGAGAGAAAATATATCTCTATGCCAGCTATCCGCAGACGTCAATCTCCATCCGGCAGATGGTCCAGTTTGGTCCTTCGCCCCTGCCAGGGTCCATCTTTCTCGCCTCCCAGTTCATCGTGGAAGAGCTCCCCATTCGTTTGGCGTTGAAGGTCAAAGACTTGGAAAATGCTCCCTTGGGTCTTTCGAAACAGCCTTCTACTATTAAGGTCAAGAATTGGTATGCACAGTCGTTTGAAGAACTTACACTGCTTCCAAAGCCTAAAGTCGACGACAAACTCAGAGAACTTCTACAGTCCAACAACGGGCACACCAGACTGGTCAGCTCTGTGGGCGACAAGGCTGAAGTGAATGAAACGCTGAACTTGGCACAGCAGCAGCTGAATGATGTGGCTGTGAATAACGTCTTTTCGGACGATGGCATTGTTGTTAGACACCATCCAAATACACTGCAAAGCGGTGCTAGGTCGACGAAACTGCGGCTGGAAGCTCCCACTTTTGGCAAAACGTATTTTACTCCGTGTCCTATGAACATTGTATGGCCTAAGGAAGTGTATGACTACAATAAGTTGGTGCACGATGCACTTAGCAAGATTAAAAAGAGGCACGACGCCACGGTGGCTACAATGGCCCAGGGTGTGCTGGAGTGGAAGACAGAACATAAAATCGTAAGCGTTAATTCGGCCATTCAGACCTTTTTGGACAGGTTCTACATGCTGAGGATCGGGATTCGAATGCTTATTGGACAACACATTGCTCTTAACATGCTGCAGCAGCTGCCGACCAAACAGCGTCTCAATACTTTCCTCAATGGAAGCAACGGTAACTCTGGAAATGCCAAAAACGGCAGAAACAACTATGTCGGTGTCATTTGCACTGACTGTAACGTGAAGGAGATTGCTGAAGATGCCGCAGAAACAGCCAAGTACATTTGTGAAGAGCACTACGGGCTCTTTGAGGCTCCAGAAGTCCAGTTGATTGTGCCCCAGGACTCGATCAGTTTCATGTATGTGCCAGGCCACTTGATTCATATTTTGTTTGAAGTGCTCAAGAACTCATTAAGAGCTACAATTGAATTCCATACGCCGAAATTGAAGGAGCAAATGTTAGCAGAAAATCCTACCATGAAAGAAAGCGATATTGATTTAAACGACTTGAAGTTCCCACCTACAAAGGTTATCATCAGTGAGGGCTTTGAGGATATTGCCATCAAGATCTCTGATGAAGGTGGTGGTATTGCACGTTCCGAGATTCCATTGATCTGGACGTACTTGTACACTACAGTTGACAAGACACCAGTTCTCGACTCTGACGGTAACAACCAGACCAGCTTCAGAGCACCAATGGCTGGATTTGGCTACGGTTTGCCAATCTCCAGATTGTATGCCCAGTACTTTGGCGGTGACTTGAAGTTGATCTCCATGGAAGGCTACGGCACGGATGTGTACATTCATTTGAACCGGTTGAGCAGCTCGCTGGAGCCTTTGCCTTGATCGGTTGGGCTAGGTAACCAATAAAAGATAAAGGCACACTACTGTAGGTTCCCAAGACGTCAAATCTATTGTAGTCTGAGCGAAACGTCACCTTGGCAAAGCGCTATCTTGGCCAGGCGAAACGTCATACTGATCTGGACCAAGCATACGTCATAGAAGCTTCTCTTCGCCCAACCCTAAATGCCAATACAAACTCCCCAACACATACCTATTTTCATCAGCACAGCCAAAGGGTCATCCAAACCACTCTGAGCCGCTCCTACTTTCCCCAACCACCCAAAACCCGCCCAGACGTGACGTTTCCATCGCCTTCTTCGCTTCATGCCAAGTTTTGCAGCCATTTAAGTGGGGCCTCGGTCCAATACCGAGGAAGGCGGCGCGCCGGTGCCGAGGCACTAACCAGCCACACAAACTGTGTTTTTTTAGATATACATGACCATTGTGTTTCTTTGGGGAAATACCCCAGGTTTGTGGCACCGATGGAAGTTTCGGATTTTTACGAACCCGTGCCGTTGGTGGGCCAAGGTTGGTCTGCCCATTTGGTTGAGGAAATGGGTACACGGTCACGTGTGGCTGCCATGACCATTTACAGCTCCAATGCATTTCAAGTAGTCAGAAGAGAACATATATATAAAAGATTCCTTTCCAAGGCCCCCCTAATTAGTACTTGGTGCCTGTCTGGCGATGGACATATTTCCAGGTAACTCCGTGGCCTTTGTCACGTGCGGCAACTTCCCCAGATCCACCTTCCCTACCACCACACCCAAACCAAAAAACCACAAAATGGCCACCAAGTTCAAAGTCCCTCTCTTTCTCTCTCCATTACCCCATAACTGCCTTCTTCCTTCCGTTGGGCATCGCCAGGGCTGGTGTCCTGGGGGATCCACGTGACTACCCCACTGCGAACATCAATGAAGCTCAGTCACAGGAAAAAAAATCAACATCTAATACACTCTTCCTCAATCTAATCCTTCCCACAAATGTCTGCTCCAAGAACAAAACCTTGGGAAGTGTCGCTGGGCACCTCGGCAGCTGCTGCCTCAGACCCTTCTGCCTCGGCCGGTTCCGTGGCAGCCACAGGTGCTGGGTCAGGGCTTACTGATCTCTCATCTGCTCAGGAGATCCCAGATAGACCTAGCTCCTTGACGAATCCAGGTACAGGGTATGATTCGATGGGTTCTTCTGGCTACGGTACTGGTGGTCTTGGAAATTCAAGATACGGATCTGGCCTTGGTTCTTCCATGTATGGATCTGGTTATGGTTCTTCCATGTATGGTGGAGGACTAGGCTCTGGCATGTACGGTGGAGGCCTAGGGTCCAGCATGTACGGTGGCTACGGTGGCTACGGATCTTCCATGTATGGTGGATATGGTGGCTACGGTAGTGGGTACGGTTCTGGTATGTACGGTGGTGGCTTCGGTAACGGTATGTACGGCCAGAACGGTATGAACGGGCCTGGCGCCATCGCTGAGGGTACACAGGCGACCTTCCAGCTCATAGAGTCGATTATCGGCGCCGTTGGTGGTTTTGCTCAAATGCTAGAGGCAACCTACATGGCTACACATTCATCTTTCTTCACCATGGTCTCCTTGGCTGAACAATTTGGCAATCTTAAGAACGCCTTGGGCTCCCTTTTGGGTATCTTTGCCCTCATCAAATTCGCCAAGAAGATCTTTTACAAAATCACTGGCCGTGTCTACGACCACGGCATCAGCGCCAAAGAATTTTCCAAGTTCGAGAACAAGCAAAAGAAGTTGGAAGAGAACTTCAGAAGATCCCAATCTGGCAACAAGTCTTCCAGAATCTCATTCAAGCCTTTGCTCTTGTTCTTGGCTGCTTCCATCGGTTTCCCATACTTGCTTAGTAAGGCCATCCAAAAACTCAACCAACAGAACCAGCAGGCCCAACAGCGGAGACTCCAGGAACAGCAAGGCATGGCTGCCGGCAATCGTCCCGCGCTTGATCCTGAGTCATTGGAATTTGCCAAAGCATTATATGAATTCAATCCAGAAAACCCTAACATTGAGATTGAATTGAAACCAAAGGAATTGGTCGCCATCTTGTCCAAATTGGACCCCTTGGGCAATGAAAGTAAATGGTGGAAGGTCAGATCACGGTCCGGCAAGGTCGGTTACGTGCCGCTGAACTACTTGAGCATTATTGAGAGAAGGGCGCCTCCCAAACGGGTAGAAGCAGCCCCATCCTCTCCACTCCCGCAGCAGATGCCGATGGAGGAGAAACCAGAGAAGCTCGTGGACGAGTTTCAGAAATTTCAAGCATAGTGAACGCGGAATAGTATAATATTATTTAAGAGGTTTTACAAATGGGTATGATTTTTCAATGCTGATTTATTGGATACTACTTTTTTTTTGCTTTTATTATGTGTTATCCTATTGTTTAGACAGCGTCATCAGGACGGTTCTGCTCGGTCTCAACCTTGGCGCCCTTGTCTTGGAGGTCCTGGTAACCCTTGGTGTTAGCCTCGACCTTGGCCTTAGCGTGGACCTCTTCCTTAACATTGGAAGCAGCATCCTTAGCCTGGTGAGCAGCACCCTCAGCCTTGTGGATACCCTCAGACAACTTCTCGCCAGTGGCCTTGTTCACCTTCTCGGCGGCGCCCTTGATGTCGACGTTAACGTCAGTGTTGTCAACCAGCTCCTTGACGTTGGAAGCAGCTTTCTCGGTCTTTTCGATACCGTCAGCCAAGACATCACCAGTCTTCTTGTTAACGGTCTCAGCAGCGTTCTTGATGTTCTCACCGGTAGGAGCAACCTTCTCGGTGGACTCAATGGTTCCAGCCAAAAACTCACCGGTCTTCTTGTTGGCCTTCTCCAAGACATCCTTAGCAGTGTCAACCACAGACTTTCTGGAGGCTAGGGACACAGTGAATGCACGGGAGGAGACGGTTGGGGCAATGTGTCTAGACACAGCCGCAGTACGTGAAAGAGAAGTCAATTGACGGAACATGGTATAGGTAATACAATTGGATAAGTAACAAAATCATTGCGAGATGTCTCGCTTATAAATGGACCCACTCAGGAGCAATATGCTTGCTTGAATAAGCACGCTTGCTCGAACAAACTGCATTGCTCGTCATCCCGCTTGCTATCCTTCATGCACACGCTCGGTCACTATGGCGCTCAGGCAAAGTCGCCAGAAGCTTTGTCCACCATAAAGGTACGTGCCTTAATAAGCCAGACGGCAAAACTTGGAATATGCCATCCGAAGAGACGCCCTTCTCCACCTTTTCTCGAGATGGGAACGATGATTGTACTGCGCACAGGCGAGTAGCTTATGGACTTGGTCTCTTGACCGAAAATGTCTGCTTTCGCAGTGGCTGCGAAAACTGGTAACTGGCCAAATTTAAGATCCACAATGGACTGAGCGGCTCCTGCCACAATATCACCCAAGGCGAAAACCTCAGGGAACCCTTTCACTACTAACCGGTCGTCGACATTGACAAAGCCCTTGTCGTTTTTAACTTCATCAGGAAGGAAGTCCAGGAACGGTACATAGAGCGTGGTATTCAATATGACATCAAAGGTGCGCTCCGAGCCATTGTCAAACACCACACGCGAAGCGCCAGAATCTTGTGGAATGATCTCTTTGTACCTGACGTTATTAATAACCTCAACTCCTAATTTTTCAAGCTTATCCTGGGTACCTTTACCCAACTTTGCCACACTCAATGGCTCTTTATCGCCAGTATAAACAGTCACCTTCTTCTTTAAATCATGGGCAATCTCTCCCGCAGACTCCACACCAGTAGGACCACCACCCAAAATACCAATTGTCTCAGCAGCCTTAATTTTCTTGCCCCAATCGAGAATTGCCTCGCTGGCCTCTTCATGGGACTGGTTCACCTTGAACCCCTTATCCAGACTCTTGGTGCCTGTAGCAATCACTAGGTAGTCATAAGTGATGGTCTTGTTGCCGTTAGTGGCATCGACTTCGATTTCCTTCTTTTCCAAATTAGCTTTGGTGGCTGTGCCTTGCACGAACCTTCCTCTGCCCTTGGAATGTTTCTGGACAAACGTATCAAGCGAAAACAAGGTCTTCTCCAAAGTCTCTGGCTCCACAAGAAGCCTTGGAGCCGCGCAGTTGAAGTAGGCATGGGAAGACAGCGAGATAAGGGTCAATTCGAGGTCTGGAGCGAGTGAATAAAGCGTTTTGACAGCATTGCAGCCGGCGAAAGAGCCACCTAATATAACCACGTGAGGCATGTTCTACAAATAGGGAATGTTTGGTGGTCTGGTGAAGGTGGATTTGGCGCTACTTATATAGCCCCATAAAGATCGCCAGCTTGTGCCCAGCTGCAGGAGATACGGACGGTTACAAAGCCAGGCGGTTGAATAAAAGAGGTTTTTGGGAAATGAAGAATTACCTAAGAACTCAATTGGCCTAAGTGGGGTCCAAAAATGTATATTTTCATAATTTTTCACTTTTTTAGGTTACACCGGTTTACACTTTTTCATAGATTTGGGTGCATCGTGACCCTCAGAAAACCCCAGTTCGGCCACAATGCAAATAGACAATGAACAGAAATGGCCCCCTAAATTCGGAAACCGTCGCTAAGCGGGTTTTATCACGGGGGAAGGTTTTCCTTCCGCTTGACGGTGTGGGAAACGGACATTCTGATTGGTCCAGGGCCGTTTGAAGGCCGTATGGCGTTGATTCAGGTACTACTCAGTTATCGCTGGACCAAGTGCGGCTGCAAACTGACTAAAGATACGGGCGTTTTTAGTCAAACGACGGAAGTTCGGGGTGGACTATTTCCGACGGTGGAATGTATTCTTCGGTTGATTAGAGTTCCGTGGTGAATGAATTTATTGGAGGAGGCGGATTTTTTGATGTGGTGGTATTTGTAGGTTACTGGTATTCGGTGGGTATACTCATAAGGGTATTTGTATTGAGCCAGGAAAGGGCTTTGGCTGTGTAGATACGGATTGAAAGACTGAAGAAGGCAGGAAATTCAGAGAAGGATTGTATTTGTAATAATATTTCATTGTGATGTGAGTTTACGGCTTGATTTGGCTGCAAATTAACACAATAACCATGCGTTCACATGGACTTATACAGCTATTCCTTGATAGATTGTAAGGCATTAAAAAGCACCTGAAAGCTCGTGCTTCCCTTGAAGAATGCTTTTGTTCTGTTCTTGGCGTTACATGGCTCTCAGGTTGAGCTTATCATTCTCTAGTAGTGTCTGATAGAGCCAGTTAGAGAAAGAGCTCGTCAGAACTCTTCAAGTGATTGAAATATATAGCTAGAAATCAAAAATAATCATTTAAACTCATCTTGATTCCTCCAGGTCCTTTGCCGTGTAGTTTCCCAGGTTCCATAATGTATCCGGGAAACCATCTGGACTTAAAGCCAATAATACAACACTAATAATCTTATGAATCTTATTTCAAATTCATATAGAACAATATTCTATTCGTTTTACACCTTTAACTGCCAATATAAACATCATTATGGGTCCTTTCGTAGCATTAAAATCTTTAAATGGTCATAACTCGCTCAAATTTCGTCCGATTTTGTTCAGATTTCTACAGCACATATATTAAACATCTATGCACCGTTTGACAACTTTTTATAGCCATTTTCTAACCCGTATCACAAGCTTGAACAACTTCACCCACAAAACCCTTTGTTCAAGAAAGGGTTTCGTGGTCTAGTTGGTTATGGCATCTGCTTAACACGCAGAACGTCCCCAGTTCGATCCTGGGCGAAATCATTTCTTTTTGCATTTTCACCCTTGCAAAACATTTTTTTTTTAAACTACTCTATATGCTATGCTATGGCGCCTTAGGAGCCTTTCTGACCAACCCAGTCAAGTTATTCACTGCCGGCCTCTTTCTTGCAGTTAAGGTATTCACCTGGGCGATCTTTTTCGCAGCCACTTCGCGCGGCGCCAGGGTCCCCCTAACCTTCAAAGGCTCATATTCCACTCCACACTGGCTAAACACTTCAGGAAGCCCCGACTCTGTCATCGCCTGAATGTCTGTTTTGGCATTGTAGTCTTCGCCTTTCACGAAATCCACGATTTTCTTATACTGTTTATGCGAAACCGGCGTGCCTGGTGGAGGCTTTGAACGGTCTACTGATACTGAATCTCCATTCTCGCAGCCAATGATCCCCACTACATTCCCTAGTCTGAACTCCTGGCGGTACCCCAATTCTTCCCAGAACTCTTTCACTGTCACCAGACGGTACCGCCCTTCCACCACCAAATGTTCAAGAAAACGGCCCTTGGGGTCATCTGGAAAAACAGGCACTTCCCGTACGGCCTGGGCATCTTCTTTAAATATATGGCCTCTGGTCCAACGCTGCGAGGGAAGATACCGGTTTACTGCCGCAGCCTCGGCGCCAGGAAGGTCTCCCATACACCGCCAGGGCCCGCGAAGAGTGTTCTCGAGAATTCGCACCCACCAGGAGAAAAGGGCATTTCCATCGGCTACGTGTTTTCCTGAATTGAGTTCCAGGTTGGGGAAAATGTATGCGTTGGCGGAACGTGTGAAAAGGGACACTTTGGTGGTTGCAGTGGCAGCAGGAGGTGCAGTGTCTGGTGCTGTTGTATGGTGGGCCTTGCCGTAGTAGGGTAGTTTTTCAAGCGCGGTAGGGTCTGCCTTGAGTTTGGCAGCGATGGTTTGTAAGATATTCACTGTAGGGTATGGCGAAGACGTTTGTGTTTTTTCCTTTTCTGTTTCGTCTTTTCTCCATGCCACTGGTTCCAGAAGGTACGAGCCAGGGTTGGTTTGTATGATTCGGTCAAGTAGGACTTGGACTACGGCTGCCACATTGATACGGCGGTCGCCTAGCCCAGAAGTGTCTGCTTTAGGCACGAAGATGTGTTGTTTGAGGCTGTCATTTTCAAAAGTCAAGTACACGTAGATTTCTAAGGCGAGAACGGGACACCGGGACGAGGACTCAACGAGAAGGAAGAAATGCTTTGCCTTGAGTGTTTTGGGGTGATGTGCTGACATTGCTAGTGGTTTCGTCTGGAACGCACGGCTTCGTACGTGGACGAGGGAGTACTCGCCCTGGGGGAGTATCTCAGCGATGGACATGGTGATGGAGGTGGACGGTAGGCAAGGGTGGTGTTGAATGGTCTTCAATCACGTCTTATCGAGGTGATTGTTATGGGAGGTCAATTAAGGACACTTGTGCACTGGGACGGTGATTGGTGCACCTATGATGTTTTCGGAGGCTGTAATACAACGTATATTACGTTTCTAGTGATGCTGGATGTTCAACAGGGTCTTTTTGGTAGACGTGGGTTTCTGGTAAGTTGTGAACTGGTTGCAAACTTAACGATACCAAGGTTGACGGAGCCATGTGCAGGTCACTTTGATCTGGAAAGGTTGTTAGTGGATATGGTGAAGATAGGCAGGTTTGAAAGGGGCGAAAGGTACAAGAAGGTTATCAGGTTCTAAAAGCGTCGATTTTAGGGACTAAAGGTATAGGGAGGGCTCTTGGGGTGACAAAGAGAAAGATGCAATTGTTGCATGTGATCCAGATCACATGATTTTTTCAAAAGGGCTATAATGGCACTTCAGACTAAACTAACCCTTCCGAAGTAACCATTCATGGTATCTTGTTTCCATTGTTGAAAAACAGATCTTATGGAGCCAACTTTGAATGACGTGCAGCAAGAATGACATATCTCAACACGACATCACACAAACTCGCCATACCCAAAAGACAAAGAATGTCCAATCTTTAGACTAAGGTGCTCTTTAGATGTCTTATTTCCAGAAGGGAATTCCTTCTGTATTTATATGAATCAGGGAAAATTCCGGGCCTTCTAAGTTTACTAAGTCTTCAGAGTTGGGAATACCCAACTTTAGGAGAAAGTTGGATCAAGATCTCGGGATTTATTCGGAGAAAAAGACGTTGTTGATAGGTTCGACATCACCAATGGCATTGGCTTTTCCCAGTTTTCTAAAGGTTGCATTGTCTTCATTATCAGAGGAGGACATGGCTGATATATAGTCTATGTGTTCTTTAGATGACTTATTTCAGATACTCAAGACAGAAGAGAATTCCTTCTGTATTTAAGTTAATCAGTGAAAAGTCCAGGTAAGCTTACTGAGTCTTCTATGGAATGCCCGAATTAGGCAATGTTGGGTATTTCCGTCGTCTAACGAAACATTCGGTCAAGGTCTCGTCAATTTAGACGAAAAGGAAGACACCGTACAACGGTGCATATAAATGCAACATAGTATAGCGCGGTATATAAATGTAACGAAGTAGTACAAAAAACTTTACCACCCTGTTACTTGCTAGGCTTTTGGAAAAACTCTTTTTTTCACCTTTAAAACAAGTCTACTCATTATGCTGGGGCCAATTGACTACAATGAGCAAAAAGACCCGTCCGAATGGATCTGGAAGACAGGTAGCTCTAAAACAGCACCGAAGCTGTTCGAGGAGGCGATGAGTTCACCAGAACGTGGCATTTGGAAGAACGCTTATCAAGACGAATACGATAGGCTCTTCAAACGTGAAACATTTGAAAGCAGTACATTGCCTTCCGGAAGAAAGGGGATCAAGAGTCGCATGGCCTTTTCATATGATGAAAATGGCAAGCCCAGGGCAAAGTTGGTTGCCATCGGATCCAGCCAAACTAGAGGTGTTGATTTCGAAGAGACTTCTGCTCCAACTCTTCCTTATGGAGCTTTAAGACTTTTTGTGGCAGTGGCTGCAAGCAAGAAAATGCCAATTCATCGGGTGGTCGTCGAAGATGCGTTCTTAGAAGGCAAGCTTGACAAAGAAATTTACATGGAACTCCCCGAAGGAGTTTTAACTTTTGGATTTGGTAGCGAGTGTTACAGGCTTAATAAGCCAATCTATGGTCTTAAGCAGGCTCCAAGGTTGTGGAACGAGGCAATTGATGGCTTCTTGCGCTCTATCGGTTTCACCCAGAGCCAACGAGAACCATGTTTCTATTTTATGAGGAAAAATGGGAAACTCACAATGCTTGTCATATATGTGGATGATATTTTGGTAGCTGGTGAAAACAAACAGACGATTGAGGAGGTGAAGACTGCTCTTAAGAGAAGATACACGGTCGATGACAAGGGCCTTGCGAAGAGATACCTCAATATCAACATAACTCAAAGACAAGGCAACATTACTCTTGATCAAGACGATTACCTCGTTCAGGTTGCTAAAGAGTTTGGTTTGACTGACCTACCTCCTTCCTCTAATCCCACGCCACGTCCTACCGCTCTAGAACCTCGTGACTACGATTCAGCCACTGACGCTAAAAGGTTCAGAAGTTTGCTTGGAAAGTTGGCCTATGTCGCAAAAACAACTCGATACGATCTAATCCATTGTACTTTTGCGCTTTCAAAATACAGCAGGGACCCCAAGAAGAGACATCTAGATGCGTTATACAATGCCTTTGCATTCGCCTTATATCATAATGATTTCAAGCTCATTTACGCTCCAACTAGAGAGAGACTTGAATTGGAATTATTCGTCAGCGTGGACTTCGGGAAACCCGGATTGAGGAAACGTGGTTACGGATATGTCTATGATTTGAATGGGTCAACGGTCTTGTGGAATAATGGGAACGAACAGTATGAAACCGATGATTTTGATATCGCAAACAAGATGGCAATGCTTATGGGTATGAAGGAAGGCGAGTGGACAGTGAAGGTCTTACGGGAGATGGGAGAGCATCCCCAGGCAGTCAAAGTGTACCAAGATGATGGAAGTGACTAATTAAATATATCACGGCTTTTCTCAGAGAGCGATTCAATAATATCACTTATAGATGATTAGATAATGAAGGCGTGGTGGAAGGTTTCATAAATAAATAGTTTCTTTCGATGGTATTTGAAAGAATAAAATATAGAGACATCCCAGTAAAACAAGATCATGTTTTAAGCAGCACCGTTGTGTTAATATCATGAGGAGCCATTCCAGCACATTTACGTCATGAGACCCAGCCGTCACCCACTGCTCCAGGGAAAACAATTCATCCTTTACATCATCTTTCGTCCTTCTACCATCCAAAACCCACTCAACCTCCCAGTCCCATGCCTTCATCACCACCGCTACCGGCGTACCGAAACACTACCAAACAACAACCTCCACCGATCATTCTGCCAACAAACACTAAAGTCTATCTCCCAAACCTCCTATAACGTCCATCCCTCGTCTTTGGCTGCCTCTATCACCACCACCAGTGGTACCTGAAATGGCTGCGAAAAGCCGTAGCTCACCAGACTCCGCTACAACCCCTCCACTTCCACCACCACCAACTGTTCCCCCTCCAGCACCACTCACACGCCTTATCTAACCGCCAAACACGTATTGACTTAAACCACAAACCCACCTTCAAACTCAAACCTTAACTAAACCCTAACTAAACTTCACCACCTTCACTTTCTCTCCACGTCCAAACTCTAACCCGCTTGGTTATCTATGCACAGATAAAGCGCGGAAGCCAGAAGAGGCAGGTCCATCTGAGACGATGCGCTTGGGCGAGGGCAGAGAAAAAAGAAGGCACTAGGCACTAAAAAAGGCACTAAAAACAAGACCCAACCAGGCAGCCCCGCACGGCCCATGGCACTTCCCCAGGCCTCAAAGAGGAGGAAGGAGAGGTAGAAACAACCAAAACATAAAGAGCAAAACCAAAGCAAAACCAAAGCAAAACCAGAATCAAAACCTCCACCTCCACCTCTATCAGCCTTTTGATCTAAAAGAAATGCCGAATCACAAGATGGATTCGTCTCGGCGGGTTAGCCGCCTGGCGCCGCGAGTCTGATAAGAACTTTTGGTTTTTGCACCCAAGTGAAGGGAAGAGACAGATGGAGATGAACACAAAGACCGCTACAAATACATATTCCCTCTTTCTCATTCCTTCTTCTCTTTCCTTCCTTTTGATCTTCTATCGGTTTGTCTTTGTCCTTCCTGTTTGGGGCCAACGCTTTGGTGCCTGGATTCCTTCTCTTCTTCATTCCAGCAAGTGCGCTAGCGGCCTGTGGCAGAATGCCGCACCAAGGTTCCTCATCGGGACGAGGCCCCACGAATCATCGCCAAAACCAGTTAAGCAACTGTGCAAGGTGCCCCAGATTGTGCAAAACGGCCTTTATCTCTGTCATGGTCCATATAACTGTCATTGTAGCCGCCTTTTGAAGTTTTTTTAATTTAACAAACTAATCATGTCTGATCCAGAGGTTCATCCTGTCACCTCTCAGATAAGAGTGGACGACTTGCGCATCCAGTCGGTTATCTCTAACCAGGATATCGTATTGAACATTGACCATGCCGTGGAAAGCGATGAAGCTATGATCCTCGCTTTGGGGTATAAACAGGAGTTCCAGCGTGAGTTCACTGGGCTTTCGGTTTTTGCTGTATCGTTTTCGGTCTTGGGACTTCTACCTTCGGTGGCTGCTACTTTTGAGTATCAACAGATGGTGGTGGGCTGCTCGCCAGTGCCGTGGATTTTGGCTATTATGGGCGTTACGGCGGTTGCTTATTCTATGGCCGAAGTGGCCTCTGCATTTCCTACTTCGGCAGGAACCCCTTATGCTGTTTCACAGCTTTCGCCTAAGAAATGGGCTCCGTTTTTGACTTGGATCACTTGTTTTTCAAATTGGATGTGTCAAATCACTGCTGCACCAAGTTGTAATTATTCTGGTGCTTCTATGATGCTTGCCTTGGCGTCTTATGGCTCGGAATATGTCCCTGAACGCTGGCACGTTTACCTTTTAACCACTGCCATTAACGTGGTTCACGCTTTCATGTCCAGTATGCCTACGAAATACTTGGCCTGGTTGAATAACATGAGTACATCTGTCAATATGCTTTTTTGGCCATTGTGTTTATTATTATCTTTGCTGCCAACGATAGACTTGGTATGTACGATGGAGAAGTCTCCAAATTCAACAGCAACTCTATGGCGTGGGGTTTTGATAACCAGACAGATTTTCCAACCGGTGTGGCTGTTCTTGTATCTTTTATGGGTGTCATTTGGGCCATGTCTGGTTACGACTCGCCTTTCCATTTGGCTGAAGAGTGTTCTAACGCTGCTGTGGCTGCCCCAAGAGCTATTTGCTTGACTTCTACTATTGGTGGTGCCATTGGTTTCCTTTTCATGTTGGCTATTGCTTACACTGTGGTTAGCGTTGATGAAATCTCAGCAGACCCAATGAGTCTAGGCCAGCCATTCGTTACTTACTTGACGCAGTTTCTATCAAGACCTTGCGTTGTGGCTTGCACAGCTTTGACCATCATTTCGTCATTTTTCATGGGCTGCTCGTGTATGTTGGCAGCCTCTCGTGTGACCTTCTCGTACTCAAGAGACGGTCTTTTCCCACTCTCCAGATACTGGAAGATTGTGCACCCAAAAACCCAGACTCCAATTAATGCTGTATGGATTAACATGTTTTTGGGCCAGCTCTTTTTGCTTCTTTTATTTGGAGGTGAGACTGCCATCGGTGCTATCTTTTCTGTGGGTGGTATTTCATCAATCATCTCGTTTATCATGCCTACAATCTTCAAGCTCACCTACTCCAGAAACACATTCCGTCCTGGTCCCTGGAACTTGGGCCGCATGTCGCTCCCTATTGGCTTGGTAGCCATTGCATTCGTGATTACTATGATTCCTTTCTTATGTTTCCCTACTTCGGCTGGCCTGAATCTCAACCCTGAGGACATGAACTGGACAGTTCTTGTGTTTTTCGGCCCCATGCTTGGTTTTATTATTTGGTTTGTTGTCGACGCCCACAAATGGTACATTGGCCCCAGACCCAACATCGACGAGTACATCAACCATTCAGATTCAGAGAATGTGGAGGTTTACAATGGTGTCAAGCGTCAGTCTTCTGGAAGCACTGAAGACAGAAAATCCTGAGCTGGTATCAGGAATGGATTATGATTATAGAATTACAGGCCCTTGGGTCAATACACATATATCGGTTTTGTTAAACTTCGGTTATCACCGGTTCTTTATCTCTACTATAAAGGGGTAAGACTTGGCTGGCGGGTGGTTGGTTGCAAAACATTTCTTAGCGCACGATTCAACTTGCCTGTTTCGTCATCTGAGATTAGCTTCTGATAAAGCCTGGGGTGGAGACGTTGACACAAGAAAAAGATCTGATATCTGAAACTCGAGGAAACTCTCTCGGCTATTTGATACTATTATGGATATTTAGATAAGTTGCTTTGGCGGCTTCTACTGAGGGGACGTAAGTAGGTATATTCGATAAGCTTCATAACAGTTTGCTGAAAGGAGAAGGAGGATTGGGCTCAAAGAAAGGGGAAGCAGGGATATCAGAAATTGGCTGTCTGGGTAGTTTAGATTTTCCTTCTAGCTTGGTTCTTCGTTCATTTTTTACTTGTCTTTTCTACTTGAACAGTCGAAGAGATGCCAATTTACATCTACCAGACTTCAATACTTACAGGAGCTTCTATTAAAAAGTAAGTTTCATTTGAATTGTGTTGGCTTGAATAATTAGAAGGGCTAATTAGAAAGGTCTACTTGTATGGTTCAGGATGTTCAAGTGGGAAAGAACCCAAGACCTATGGCAAGACTTCAACCCACAATAACTCCACCCAGGCCATAACACAGCAAAACATCTTCCACTTTGAAAACAGAAGGATTCATAAAAGACATGAAAATTTTCTTTTTTGTTCTAGATGCCAGAGTACACATACTTCTGGCCATTTGCCGAATCACTACAATATAATGCCACCTAAGCAACTAGCTGCAACTGTTCACCCTTCAATCTCATATTCAGTTTTCCACCTATTTTTGCCCCTATATTTACGCTTCACCACAAATACTTCAACAAAGAGTAAACCAAACCTTATCGTGTTGCTCGTCGGAGGTGTTTCCGAATCGGTAATCTTACCCCAGCCAACCCACAAGCCACGCTTACACAGAGTAACGGAGCCCAGGATTTGGAACGTCATACTACGTGCATTTAAAGACATAATTCATAATAACAAAACGAACTAAGCAGAGAGTACCCGGGAAGACGGAACCCCTGGAGAACAGAGTCAACTCACCATAGAAGGCCAGGGACAGCACCGTACCTCCATCCTTGGCAGCAAATCCAAGGCCAATAGTCTATTCACGGGTAATTTACCTTCTTTGAGCCAAATCAGGTACATTTTCTTGTTTACCTTCTACAGTGCTTACACTCTACTATAGACAACGTTCCCACCAAGCCAGTCTACTCAACCTACCCAGACAAACACCTCCAGTCCACACCTCCAGTCCAAAAACCACAAACAGCCTACCTACCTTCCTTCACTTGCCCTACTTTCACCCTCCACCCTCCAGCTTCCTTCCTTAACCATTGCTCTTCCTCTCCCTCCCTCTCCCTCTCACTCTCCTTCCTTCCCAGGTAAGCGCTTCGCAGCTGGGCTTACCCAACCACCTATCCCATACTTTCCACACATTCAACCCATAAAAAGCCCAAATAAACCATAAAACCCGTAGCCGCCCATTCTGCCCTCTAAACCTTCCCGGTCCTCGTATTTCCCACTCTCGTCCTGCCGTTTTCCAGCCCGGAAATTCACTACCGGAAAATATTGCTGCCATGTGGTCCAGTGCGCAATTAAACGTCTTCTGACCTCAAAGCCCATCCAGTGTCCAGTCTGATCCACTGCCGAGAAACCACTTTTACCTGGTATAGTACAAGAGACTGATTGTTTTGTGTTGGTTGTGTTTGACAGCTTGTGAGTTGCGTTTCCCTTTTTATTAATTTGTCGACCTATTCAGACGCTCCACGGCACCGTTCATTTTACCACCCACCTTTTTTTTTTTTTTTCTGCTTAGGTGCATCGGCTCCATCGACCACCGACGCTGAACCAAGAATAACCTTCAATCACCAGTTTTGAATCACTGAAAAATCCATAATTCCTTCCTCGGCAAGCCCCCTAAAAGCTAGACTTTATCCAATGATACACCAATACATGGCGCCGTGGGTGCCTACATTCACATCGGCGCTTGAGGCCGAAGCCGCCGCCAGAGACCATAAACCGCCATTCACAACGTTCCAGTTTGCTTCGGTCGATAAGGACGGGTTCCCAAAGAACAGAACTTTGGTCCATAGAGGCAGTCTATTCGATAACAGTGGGAATAATGTGATGCTTTTTTGCACAGACAAGCGGATGGATAAGTACGGCGAGCTTATGAACAACGACAAGTTTGAAGCGGTGTACTACTTTGAAAAAATCCGTAAACAGTTCAGGTTCCGTGGCAGAGCTCGTCTTCTCGACCAGGAACATCAACCAGTCATAGATGTGACAAGCATCCAACCTAGAAACATCATTCTGAGCAGCCTCAATACTCTGAGCGACGAAGGCTCCGAGGATGAAGAAGACGACGGAGAGGCCTTGGAATTGGCCGTGGGAAATAAGCAGCATGAAAAGCTTCATAGCAACGGCACGCTGCTGAACCCTCAACAACAGCCTATGAGCTACCCATTGGTGTCGCCAGTCATTTGTCTGAAGCTCGCCAACGAACAGCAGAACCTTGCTGTGTCATATCCAAACTTGCAAGATCTTTCTCATATTGAGTTTCTGCCGCCTACGAAAGAAGATTGGGATGCAGAGTTGCTCAGAGTGTGGAATGATCTTTCTAAAGGACTCAAACTGTCCTTCCGTCGTCCAGCACCAAAGCTGATGTTGGATGAGGAAAAGCAAAATTCTATTGATAAAATCAGCAGAGGCGTGGATGGTAAGGGCGAAGACAGTGGGCTTAAAAACTTTGCTGTGGTTGCAATGTTCATCGAAGCCGTGGACTACTACGAAATGGAAAAGGACAGACGGTACATTTACGAGAAGGACGACTCCCATTTGTGGAGTGAACAGGAGGTGTGTCCATGAGGCCCCGGGGTCCTTTTAATAGCTCGTGCTGGGATAGTCAAGCCGAGTATAGATTTGTAGATAGTAAGGACAGTGCTGATACTGTGTCGGGTAATTATCGAATATAAGGCAGCGGCCCACTGGCTGCTTATATGGAACACGGAAGGAAGTCTGGTTTGCAAGGCTTACTGGTCGCTGGTCTACGACTTATTCAATGAGCTGCAGTGGACAGCAGGTATTTGCTGACACCAATGTTTAAGGCGACCAAAGCAAACTCAAACGATTTATAAGAAGCAGGATGTTTTGTGACTTTATTATAATGGAGATTGCCTCGTTTGGAATTGATACTGGCGAAGAGTCTGTGGTATATGATGAATGTTAGTGTACCTCCATCAACAGGATAACCAGGTTCCAAGTTCTCCTCTGAACACACAAAAAAGAAGAAACTTTGCAGCAAATAGGTAATTCATCTTCGAAATGAACAGCCCATAAAAACCATAAAGACCAATCCATAGTCTGCCAACCCACGCTCTACCCATCCATCTAACTACATACCTACTACTCATCCCACACTCACTACTCCATACCTAAACAGCCTTCAAAACCACCACCCTAAACACTCCAACATACCTACCATATCCAACAGAACCCTTTTATATCCTCCTTCCTTTCCACTACACCTTTCCCACTACACCTTTCCCACTCCTAACATATATGCATCTTGGTATTCCACCAGCTGCAAGTGCGCCCCAACGTCTTTTGCAGCCATTTCTCACCAACAGCAAGCCCACCGTCCACCCCCATACCCATCCCGAACTCCAAACCCATTAAAAAACAAACATAAAAAAAACCACTTCCAAAACCCAACCCTTATTCCCCAAATCCACGATTTTTTTCCCGACCTGGAAACCGCCCATGGTTGCTGGCTCTTAACGTGTGACCATAACAATTGACCTCTGTTTTCTGCCCCACCACAGTCAGCCAGGCAGTTGGAAACACCCCAGTTATCTCCAAAACCAGCCATTTTTTGGCAAAAAAGAACAAATATCCAAAATATATCCACCCTCTTTATCCTAACTCACTTCCCCTGAGACCCCCAAAAAATCCCAAAACGCCAATTGTTCATGCCCTGCTCTCGCGGGTCCACTCGGCCAGTCGCGCTCGGGCTCGCTCTTTGTTGTGTTCTTCCTCTATATATCCCTGTCCCCAGAGGTTGTTGTTTTTGTTTTTCGTACCACCCAAACACTTCTTCTTTTTTTCAAAGTTTCCAATGGCCAAAACGAAGTCCCAGCCTGTTGCCTCTAAGGCAACTTATAAAGGTATGAAATAGAGATTTTTTTGTTTCAATTGTTTTGTTTTGCTAACTCCAGATATGATCGTCTCCGCAATCGCCTCCTTGAAGGAAAGAGCAGGCTCTTCGTATGTATTTTGAATTGCCAATGGGCAGTGTTTTTTTCGACTTTAACTAACTCCCAGCCGCCAGGCTATTAAGAAGTTTGTTCTTGATAACTTTGCTGTGAAGGCTCCTAACTTTGACTCCTTGTTTAATGCTACCTTGAGAAAGGGTGTGGAGAACGGTGACTTCTCCCAGCCAAAGGGCCCTTCGGGTCCTGTCAAGCTTGCCAAGAAGGAGTTGGCGCCAAAGACGTCTTCGTCCAAGGTTTCTAAACCAACCAAGACTAAGACGCCTACTAAGGCTGCTAAACCCGTGAAGGCCGAGCCAAAGAAGAAGACCACCAAGACTACCAAGGCTACCCCTGCTAAGAAGACTGCTTCCACAAAGAAAGCCACTTCCAAGGCTACCACCAAGGCCACCACCAAAACTTCCAAGTCCACTTCCAAGACCCCTAAGACTACCACCAAGGCTGCCACTACCAAGAAGGCTGCTAAGCCATCCGCCAAATCCACCACAGCAAAGTCTTCCAGTAAGGTGACCAAGCCTAAGACTAAGGCTGCTGCTAAACTTCCTACCAAGGCCGCTAAGGGCAAGACCACCAAGGCTGCTGCCAAACCAACTAAAACATCCACCAAAACATCCACCAAAACGTCTGCCAAGTCCGCTGCTAAGCCTGCCTCCAAGGCTAAGGCTGCTCCAAAGACCTCCAAGGCCGCCCCAAAGACTACCAAAGCTGCTTCCAGAGCTCCAAAACTGACGTCCAAGGCTCCTAGGTCCAGAGTGGTGGCTGCGGCTGCTTAAGCGCGTTCGTGTGTGTGTTTTGATAAGGATATGACAATGTTGTGAGTTTCGTTTCCGAGATTTTTTCCACCCAGCCCTTGGCTCTGTGCCTCGAGCGTCCTGAATTTTTGTATATTAGTTTTCCAGCTGCTTTTACGATGTATATTTAGTTAATTGTTGTGTTATAATGAACCTCGTACTATTGATAATCCTGCACTGTCGCGTATACCCACCAACCTCCATCACTACAAACCCAACTACACTTCTTCCCAGTGAACAATGTCTGCCCGTCCTAAAATCTCCCTAATTGTCGCTGCCCTTCAGCCTTCCATGGGCATTGGCGCCAAAGGCAAGCTACCCTGGCGTCTTAGACAGGAAATGAAGTACTTTAAGGATGTCACCACCAAGGCCAAGGAAGGTTACGTGAACGCGGTGATAATGGGCAGAAAAACGTGGGATCTGATTCCTCAGAAGTTCAGACCGCTTCCTGGAAGAGTCAATGTCATTTTATCTCGGTCTAACAAGAACGAGACCGATTCAGATGGTGTTCTTCACTATAACTCATTTGACAGTGTAATGCTGCAATTCGAGGCGGACGCTTACCGCGTCGGTGAGAAGCGTTTGGATAAGATATTTATCATTGGCGGATCCCAAGTATACAACTCGTTGGTGCTTGATCCAAGGGTGGACAATTTACTTGTGACGCATATAAACTATGTGGGAGAGGAGTCTGAGAAGCCTGAAATGGATACTTTCTTGGATTGGGACCTCTCGAAATGGAAGCAGGCGGAGCACAAATCCCTTGCGGAATTTGTCGACATTGAGGTACCACAGGTGCCCATTACAGAGGGATCCTACAGCTACAATTATACTATGTGGGAAAAACTTCATTAAATACATGGAAGAAATAGATATCCAGACCGGCTGGATTTGAAATTTTTTTATCGAACGTAGCTCTTGTTGAGCCGTGCAATTTGGTCGCAGACAACCCACCAGCAATGCTTTCTTCTGTACTCTTGGTTTCTTTGACGTTGTAACATCTCGTCAAACAAGAACAACTCGTAGAAGAGACGAAGATTAGGCTGGATCACCACATTAAACCTTCTCACACGGACGTAAAGGTAACTCTCCAAAACGTCCATATGAAAGTGTTTCATAATGGAGGCGATAGCCAATGATGCTGATCTCGACACACCCACACGGCAATGCACAAGAGTCCTGGACGACTTATCCTCTGGATCCACCAAGAGTTTGCGTTGTACATGATCAGGACATTCCAAGAGCAATGGCATCATGGAATCCTTACCGTCGTCACGAACGTTGTAGATGTATACAACCGAACGGACCTCGAACTTAAGCAACTTTCTGATTCTTTCTGGAACCTCCACTTCATACACCTTTGCTTTGTCATTGTTGAACAGGAAAATTGGTTTCACAACGTTATCCTTTTTAAATGGAGGCGCATCATGTTCAAAAACACATTCAAGAAGGTGGAACCAGACTGGAAGCTTATCTATGGAAATAAGGCGGTTGATACCCAAGGTTGCTAAGACTGTTATGGAGGAGCTGTGAGCTGCTGAACCAAGGAAAAGGGTATCATGAATATAGGCTGGGAAGTTCATGTCTCTACCATCTTCGAACCAATCAATTTGACCAGGAGACTTTCTTGGAAGTTGCAGAATCTCTCTGATCGGCAACAGAAGTTGCAAATGATAGTTTTTGTTGAGACTATTGTCCCGAAGCCAAAGGATGTATGGTTCGAATTGCTTGAGAAAGACAAAATCTTCTCTATAGAGGTATAACTTGAATGCTGGCTTGCGGAAGATGTTAAGTGCTGCTTCTTCCACAGTGTCTGAAGTCCAAAGCATTGATAAGCTTAGTGCCAAAAGGGAAAGACAGGTAAATCCATCGAAGGAATACAAGAACACTTTGGCCTTGTTCTTAAGCACAATGGTGTGGATTACCTTGAGAACATTAATATAACTCAACACTTCTTTTGGAGAAAGCTCATCTGTGTGTCTTGCAATGGAGTCAGGAAACTCTAGGAAGTACGTCTCATGAGCTGTTCCTCGATCCAAGGACTGGCTAATTTGACGTAATGCTTCTAAGGAAGGAAGTTTGGCATTTTCATGGCAATGGATATGCAACTTAAAGTTTTGCTGCTCTCCTCTGGAAGAAACCATTTGCTTAAAGTTGAAAGCATTGCCAATGTACAATCTAGGGAAAAGCTCTTTCAAGCCATTGAGCTGCCACATCAACTGCTGCTCCATAACCTGGAGTTTCTTCGTATATGGTTCTTGGTAGAACACCGAAGAGTGACCTCCAATGGAGTAGGTAACGTCCTTTTCCAAGTAAGGAGAACATTGGTCCCATTCTTCTGGCTTGAAGTCCACAACATAGATGTTTTGTTGTTCCAGCTTGACATTTGAAAGAACCGTGGCAGCGTTGGAGTTAGCTGAATTGTCCATGGCGTTATTATACACTAAAAAGTGGGACATGGGAGCCATGAGACGAGCTTGCATGTCGTAGTTTCTGTTAAGAAGCTCCTGGGTCTCGGAGAAAGGGTCTTCGAGTTTATAAATGTCACTTAACTTTTGGAGCAGGGAAATATCAAAATCAGTAACCTGAGCGTCAGGCTTTAATGTCAAGATATCTTCAAGGGAAATGGAGTTGATGAGGCGAGGCTTATCAGTATCAACGGAGCTGACAGTCATAAGGTTGAAAGGGATCAGTGGGAGCTCCACAGAAAGGTCATGGTTAAACAAGGAAGGGATATCCTCGGGAGCATAATTCAACAAGTTGATATCTGTACTTGGATCGAACTTCTCGTGGAAATAGACCCTCTGTTTGATCTGAGCCAAGCCATGCAAGTAAGGAAAGGTAGTTGTGGAAGGAGCCAAGGCATTGGAGCCGCCATAGAAGAAGTCAAGAAGCTGTTTAAGCTGGGATGGAGACTTTATAAGAAAGATATTATCCTGGGCTTTTTCAAGGGAAGCATGGAACGCGTCCAAGGGCGAAAGAGAGGGCACCTGGGTCTCTAGCGAGGATACCGAGGCCGGAGAAGGCGGGTCAAGCAAAGGCGTTTCTGAGATTTCCGTGGACAGAGGCAGGCCAGTCTTATCCAAGTCGTCGCCCATCAAAGTCGAATCTGAACCTTTCCTAAACGTGGTCAGTCCCACCGCTGTGAGTAGGTCTTCCTTATCACCAGCAGGTCGACAAGCAGTGGCAGCCACAGTATCCAAGTGCAAGGTTGTTTTTGCTTTCGTTTGAGCGTTAACAATACACTCTGGAGACATGATATATAAAAAAATCAAGACACTTTTGGACCTTTTTCCCGGGGACACCGACCGTTTATATGCTCCAGAGCAAGAGCAAAGTGGATGCGAAAAATAGTGCATTCTCCTGGTGCATGAGAGGAAGCAAGCGAAGTGCGGCGGCAGTGTCAGGCTGGGGCACAGAAAAGAAGCAAAGACACAGAGAACAAGGGGTACCATGAAATTACGTAAGACTGGGAGAGGGGCCACACGGTAAAGTTTACCCAGACAAAGAGGATGCAAAAAGAAAAAACGGACGTGTTGATATGACGAAACACAAGTGACGGTAGATGTGTTCGTCATGGATATGTCATTTCGTGGGGCCCACCGCAGCAAGTGAAAAGTGCGCTCCAAGGACAGGGTACTTTAGAGGTAGAAGTGGCAGTGGCAGTGAAGAAGTTGGAGAAAGAAGTTGACATTTTGAAATCGGGGCGACGGATCGACGGAAATTGCCCTGCTTTGGCTATCTGGCTTGCTTTGCTGTTTGTGGCGATGATGTGGGATTGCCATTATTTCTGGGGAACCGAGATGATTGTGTGAGGCCCCATTCTTTTTTTTATGCGGGAGCGTTTGGCTGCAAAACAATGGGGTGGTTATTTTAGCTCTGCGTAAGGCCAGCCAAAGCATTCCACGAAGAGGAAGAGGAGGGAGAGGGAAAGGATGTAAATGACCGAAGTTGATAAGTACCTTTAAACCGTGACTTATGGAATGAAATGGAAGGAATTGCCTGAGTGGTGGTGGAACTGCCTGGCGGAATGGCTGGTGCTATGGCCATTGAGGTATCTTCCTGCCTCTTCCTGCCTGTCTATCTTCCTGCCTCTTCCTGCCTCTTCTTACCTCCCTACGTCGTCGTCTACGGTCTGGGAGCGTGGGGAATTCCACCAATTGGTCGCTTTAGGCGTGGAATTGACATTCTGGGCTTTTGACTTTTCCCTGCAACCATCGAGGCGTTGCCTGCTTACCCTTCTTTTTGACTTTAGCCTATCGCTCGTTCTGGCCCTCTCCAGCGCGCTTAACCTTTAGGCTTCATTATCGCCCATACCCGTTTTGAGTTCTTTTAGCAACTCTTACTAAGTTTGTCTTAGGCTTGGTGTTAGGCTTTTCGGGTTCCCCAATTGTCCTTGCCGGGCTACTTCCCCAGCTGCTCCCCAGTCCAGAGCGCCTCGTTTGGGTCTAGTGGCTGGCTGCGAAAAGCCGGAATGTAGACGAATATGGACAGACCTAGTCCCTAGTCTGGTCCGGAACGGGCCAGGCTAGGGCAGGCCAGGGCCAGACTAGGGTCAGGATAGGGTCAGGATTGGCCAGGCTAGAGCCAGACTAGAGCCAGACTAGGACCATGCCCGGTCTGATCCCGGAAGTTAAGTGCCTTATGATTTACCTAACCCTAGTGGCCTCGTCTAATGCTCTTCCCAATACGGATGTCTTATGACTATGCATTGTGGTTTATCAGGGCACGTCAAGATACACGTCTCCGAAAAGAGTAGACGATAACGTGCTGTTCTGGTTGTGGAGGTATGAGTGCTCGATTGGGTAATATTACGTCTAATTCGAGCTCTATTCACGTCTGGCTGGGTAGGCTTAGAAGCACGTTTATCTACGCGGATAAGGAATACACCATTATCGAAATGGTTTTCGTGATATGGTGAATACGAGTGAAACGGGGTACGTTTCGTGGTCCGGGGCGTGGGTTTGCTGGCGATTGGCTGATTGTGGAAAGCGGCTGATCTGGATAAGGGAGGAAGCGTATAGATGCCGCTCTAGGGATAGAATTAAGGATTGGTTGCTCCACCAAGGGGTAATACGGGCCCCTTGATTGTTTTTTTATGGAAGGTAGGCGTAGCAGAGCATTCTTGGAATGGCGATAAACGTGGTTTGCTGGAGGAGTCAGCCAGAAGGGCCAGGAGGGCTGGAGGAGTCAAATGGACTGGGAACAATGAAGTTATGTGGATTTTTTGTTTGGATTTGGGTGTTTCAATTGAGTTTAGGGCGGGTCGAAAGTATCCTGATGCCCCTGGCTTTCCAATACAACCTTTAACCATCAGCTTTAGTCTATCCAAGAAGTATATCTAGGGCCCGTCTTCTCTACGTTTTCTCTGCTCTTTTCCATTTTTCTACCCAGGAGCCTCCAGTAATGCATTAGTACTTCAAGGATGATCTAAGGGTGCCTACCTGAAAGACCACCCTCTGTGGAACTCTTTCACTGACTAGTGCCTCTTGGTTCATCCATTTCGCAGCCATTAACCAGTGAACCTCTAGTCCACCAATCCCAGATAACCCCCATTAGTTCCAGAAATTAACTTTCCTTTATTTCAAACAATAACCACTATGACCTCCATATCTACTTTCCTTTCAATTTTCCCTTCCCTTCCTATTGCCCCACGGCTTGTTTGCCTGACTCCAGCTGACCCACCAACCACTACAACTTTTTCGCACCTGAGACATCAGTCTACTACAACTACCAACCACCACTAACCTCCACTCATTCCATGTTCCCATCGTTCAGAAGGCTCCAGGCCACTCCAGCATACAACCTGCTTCTTACGCTGATCAAGGGCGACTTGAAAAAGGCCATGCTTGCGAAGAACAACGTCGAAAAGAATACCATCAGACTGGTGCTTTCCACAGTGAAGAATAACGAAATCGATGGTGCTAAGCAAACAGAGTTTGAGTTGGCCAGATCGTTGAATAAGATGATCAAGCAGAGAATCGACTCGGCTCATGCGTTTAAGGATCAGGGCAGACAGGACTTGGCTCAGGCTGAGGAGCAGGAAGCTGATATCATTAGAAAGTACGTCATTGCATTGCCTGTGGCCAGTGAGGAGGACATTAAGCAGAAGTTGGCGCTTCTTCTTGAGGAGTTGAAGAATAAGGACTCTTCGACGAAGATCGGTAGTGTTTTCAAGGAAATCACCGATGAGGTCGCTACCAACTGGGGCAGTTCTCCAGCTGTGATCAAGGCCATGGTTCCGGGACTCTACAAGGAGGTTTTTGGTCAGAAGATGTAGGCGGTGGAGGTGACGAAGGCTCTGGTTTGATAGCTAAGGGCCCTGGCATCTGGTTAGGCTGGTTGGAGATATGGATCTTGAATCCTGGTCCTCAGCACAATCTGTAAATAACAATAGAGCATATGCTAGAGAAGGCGGGGAGAGTTAAAGGATGACTATGGTGAAGATTTAGCTGTTACGAGTAGAGTTTGTAGTCTCGTCTAGGGTCACTGGGCATTTGGTTGATTTACGTCCTTCTTAAGACATCACTTAACACCAGAATGGCCAACTTGACTTCGTACTCAACAGTACTCATCAAGCCAATAACAAACCCGTTTTCTTCTCTTCTAAAATCTACTTATTCTACTTTCCATCGTTTCCTGGGTCCTTCCCTCCAACTCCATCATCTACTGCTTCTCGCGAATGGGTGCAAAAAGCACTTACTACCACCATGAGGTTTCTTCGGCTTTTCCAGGCAACATATGCCCAGGTAGTGGTTGTCACCATGACAACTACGGTGTTTCAAACCGTTTATGGGGCGCCTTCTGTTGTGGTTGACCAAGAGCCAGCGTCTCTTCCAGCTGACTGGACTCTGGTGTTTCCAGATACCATGTTGAACAGTTCCACTACAAGAACAGGCGACAACATAACTTATTCATTTAGGAGTCCAAATTCAGTGACGAAGCCATTTCTCGGCGAAACTTCCAGAGCTTTTGATGTGGATCCAACTGTCACTTCGTCTTCTATCACTTCTTCTAGTGTCACTTCAGCTAGTGGTACTACCAGTACAAGTCCACCGCTCTTCTTTGGACCTACTCTGTTACTCACAGATAGGGAGCACGAGCGGTATGCTCCTCATGATAGAGGAGGAATGAAGCTGAGGGAAGAGGCTGAAACAGTGACGGTGGAGTATCCTACGTTTGGACACACTGTGAACCAGGGAATCACAGTTACTTCCATGTTCACCACTGAAGAGGCAACCAAAACGGCTGTACCTATAGTTGAGGCTCCAAAGGAGAAGGAAAAGGAGGAGGAAAAGGAAGAAGGAAGGTTTACGAAAGAGCGAAAGAAGATCCAGAAGGTTCTTGATGCGTTATTTGGAAGTGGAGATGAGGATGATACTGGAACAGGGAAGGAAGAAACCGAGAAGAAGTCGCTGGGATCTGGCACTGGAGAGACCAGGACGTCATCCCAGAGCTCTCTTGCCCACTACTCCACCACTTATCTCAATATACCTGGTGATGATTCGCAGCCATGGACCAAGGTCCCATATGGCACCGGGAAGATCTATGGGCCAGACGAGACGCCTACGGTGTATGTCACGTCGATTACCACGATATCGTTGCCACCCAAGACGTCAATTGACGAGGATATGGGAACGTCAGCCACAGCCACTGGTACCAAGGCACCACCAACAACGACCAGTACCACCAAGCCAGCCCATTCCAGCGACTTCAACGTCAAAAACGAGGTCAATGACGCTGTAAATGGGGAAGCCAAGCCTGAAGACTCAACCAGAGAACCAATTGCCTCTAGGGATGCCTCGCCAACAGCCTACATTCCCTCCCACGGCACCTTCACCGTCCATCCAACACCTTCCACTTCCTCCTCCATCTCCACTTCCACTTCGTCGACCTCTACACTAGGCGAATCCCAATTCCCTGGTCCACCACTCAACACATCCTCTACAGCCAACCACACCTTCAACCACCCTCCCTCCAACCACTCGTCAGGTGCCTCAGGTGCCTCGTCCCACCCTCTCCCGCCACGGAACCGCCCGCCCGTCCAGGCCCACCAAGGCTCCGTCTCGGGTTCGCCAGCACCCTCCCGCCAGCGACCCTGGCTCTTTTCTCTCTCCCACATGGTGGTGCTCGGGATTGTGCTCCCATGATGTGCACACCGTATATGGTTGAGAAAAACTTTCTGATTAACTGTGCGACCAGCCACTATCAACACCAGCAATGTCGGAGGTATGAATACACAAAACATATAGAAAACACCATGTATCAGGCGAAATACTAACCCGCAGACCAAGAGAACCATCCGCATCACCACGCATCAGAGCATCATGAAAGATGTGCCGCCGGTGGAAAACTATCCGATGAGAGAGTGGTCGATTGAGATCACCATGTTGAACGAGCAGGGCGAAGAAATGAAGGCCAATATACTAGATAAGGTTACTTACACGTTGCATCCGACGTTTGCCAACCCGATCAGGACTCTCAAGACGGCTCCGTTCCGTGTGGCTGAACAAGGTTGGGGTGAGTTTGATGTGCCTATTGCAGTGCACTTGGTGGGACTTCCTGGTAAACAGGGAGAAAGAAAGTTCAGCCATGATTTGAACTTTTGCAAGAAACGTACACGGTGGACCACCAGATATCCATTCCTTTAAAACTGGCTCAGTTGAACAAGCTTTTGGCTGAGCTGGGCCCGGTGCCTGCTGAGGACGCCAAGCGTAAGTACGAGAACGACTTGTCGTCGAAACTGAAGAAGTTAAAAGGTGCCAATGGCGCTCCTACCAAGGGCTCGGTGGACTTGGAGAAGCTCGCCAACGGTCTTGCTAAGTTGAGCGAGGACGACTTGATCGTGATAGTGCAGATGGTCACCGACAACAGAACCAACGAGATGCACATCAAAAACGACGTGGACAATGGCGAGTTCACCATGGATTTGTACACTTTGCCTGAGTCCTTGTTGAAGAGCTTGTGGGATTACGTGAAGAAGCATACGGGGGAAGCCTAAGCCTAAACCTGGGGAGAGCTCTTTTGCTTCTTTGCTTGTAATAAATTAAACATGGGGCTTACTGCTGTGTTTTGTATAGCCAACGGAAAGAAAATGCCTACGACCTGCCTGCTTTTTTATGTTTGTTTGTTCTTTTTGTCTTTATATTTCGTCTTTGGCTTCACGTAGACCATACTTTGATCATCGAGTCCCATGATGCCGTGGCCAATCCTTCTCCATCATTACTGACCGCCACCTGGGATATTCTCCCGCTGTGGCATCCGCTGCCAACTCCTATAGATTCTATGATTTCGTTCTTGAGCACGTCCCATGCAATACACCCGTAGTCTGCGTAGCAAGCATACAAGATCCGCTTTGATCTGCTCAAATCCAACGACACCACACCTGGCGTGTCAAAATGTGAATGCAAAGGTGTGGTTATCACGGTTGTATTCTTTGCTGGCGCAAACTGGGCCAGAAGCTCGTAGCTGGCAAGCTCACACTCTGAACGCAAGTCAAAGAGCTTGCATATTCCGTCATCGGCTCCGGCAATGAAAGAGTTACCATCCTGGAACTCGGCAATGTCGTTGACATCGGTTTTCAGTATATTACAAGACATCACCGGCCCTTTCTCTCTGAGGTCCCAGACCTTCACAAGACCATCTGCGCCTGATGATAAGAACGTATTTTGGGATGGTTTCGCCAGCATCAGCAACACGTCGCCTGTGTGTCCCAAGAATTCATATGACCTTATACCTCTCTGAGTATCCCAAAGAGCTATTGTCATATCTCCAGACGCCGTAAGGATCTTGTTCTCGGCGATAAACTCGCAAGCACTGACATAAGCAGCGTGTGAGCCAGGACCAGCTCTGTGAGGCTTTGAAAGCTCTGAAAGCTCAAAAGAACCAGGCTGTGACGTAATAGGGTCGCCTGGTTCTGGAATATTCACTTTATAGATCGAACACTTGTTGTCTAAACCTGCCAGAGCAACCAAACGACCACTGGGGGAGTATGCACAGCAAAGCACCCACGAATTCTCAAGCGGAATGGCCTGAAGCTTTAAACCTGTAATGGCGTCCCAAATGATCATGAAGCCATCCTGGCACGCCAGCACGATCCTCCGAGAACTGTGGTCCCATTTGACCTGGGCTATTTTGTCTCTGTGTCCCTTTAACGTATTATAAAGCTTGAGATAGCGTCTGGGTGGTATTGATGGAACTGGAGCCAGCACTTCAGAAAGCGAAGCATCTTGAAGCGCCATATACGCCTTTTGCAACTCTGAATATAGAATCTGTGCGTTCTGGCGAGCGACCGCAAGTTTACCTCCAATCACGTCGCTGGGAGTCGTCGCCATATTAGTTGTAACAAGGAAGAAACAAGGAAGGAAGCCTGTTGTTGACCTTGGTGATGGCAAAATAAAAAAAAAAAAAAAAAATCCAATCCAAAAATATAGGTCAGTTTTCGTCCCCAATTTCTGATACACAGCAGCCGCTCGCCATATGCATCATTAGACCCAAACAGGAAACCACCATCCAATGCAAGAAGCATCGTGAGCCATAGATATTTCGAGGCTTGGGCGTATTCGAAACATGGCCGTCTTATCGAAAATAGGCATGCAAAGATCCGGGGCCTTAATTATTTGCAAAATTTCATCTTTTGAGTGGTCTTTTACTCTGGAGCCTTGCAGCTTGCATGCGCACAGCGTTTAGTGCCGCAGGACGCACCATGCAAAGTGGCTCGAAAAAAGTGGTAAATTTCGGTTTCAGTTCCCAGTATCCAGCAGCTTCTCGACGGACGGCTCAATAAATAATACGAAAGCCCAACGCACCGTAAAGGGCTTGGCGTCTTCTTGGGCAGATCGGACTTTTGGGGAATGCAAAAAACCCTGTGTTCCCCTTTTTTTCTGGTCTGGGCGCTGACTGAAAAAAAAGACCATATCTCAAGGCCTCCTCGGCATCGTAGATCAAGAAGGCACCAAGATGGGTTCCTTTTTCCTTGCAGTAAATCGGTTAATCCCAAAGCTGGCTTTGTTAGCGTATTATTCTGCCAAGAGGCTATCTGGCCGTGGTTTGTGAAGATCGGGAATTTAGCCCTCGGCTCCGCCAGTCAAGAGGCTGGGTTTTGCCCATTTTATTTTTTCCTTCAATCACTGTCAGAGAGTCACTTCATGTAAGCCGCAAACCTGAAACAAATATTCTGCTTACTCTTTCCTCTGTTTCTTGGACTCTTTCTTGTCGCTGTCTTCGGTTGTTCCCGCTCGTTTGCCAACAGCCGGGACGGGTGCTGCCGCTGTTTTCTTCAGACGGGCATTTTTCGCCTTGAATTTGTCCTCTCTTTCTAGATCACCTGTAACCTTCTGCAAATACGATGGAACAGGAAGTCCTGACTTAAGGAAGAACATCTTCCAGTTTCTCGCCTTATCCTTGAGTTGCACCTGCGTTCTGTTCTTGAGTGCCTCGTTGATCCGACCTCCTTGGCCAAAGAGCTCAAGGATCGTAGACCACGATGGGCCCTTCAACTCCAAAGCATGACGAAGTGCCTTCTCTTCTTCACGTGTCCATGGTCTTCGGCTGGTGAGCTTGCCCGACAGACGGGGATTTATACGAAGATGTATCTGTTGTTCCAAGATCTCGCTAGGAAGAAGAGCTGAGGTGATTTCATTGATCTCTGGGTTGGACGAATGGGCTTCTGGTTGGCTGCCTGGAACGGCTGGTTCATCGTGGCTTCCTTCTCTGCCTTCATAAGCGTCATGCGTAGGCGAGCCGGCTTTGTCTTCGGCAGTACGGCTGGCTTCTTGTAATGTCTGGTTGCTATGGGGAGTAGCGTGGGGACGTTCTCTAGGTACAGATTTGCCCTTCTTACCCCATATTAGAAAGCCCATATTTTTAGAAGCGTAATCGAAGAGGTCTTTCAAGAACGTAAACCATTCGTATTCTTCACTGAGGTTGCTGTCAGCAGGGTAGCTCAAAAGTGACTCTTTTCTGGACTTGCATCTGTTGACGAAGTCGATTTCTGTCGGCGTTAGAGTCTTGGTGCCTCTCTTTTTGAGCAATAACTCTTCCATGTTGCTAGGCAAGATATCTTCCAAGATCTCCTCGCTGGATCTCTCGGCAGCCTCGATCGCAGAAATATACGCTTGCGTCTTCAAGTCGAGGTACAAGACGGCCTGAGGCTTAAGTAGCTTTCCCACTTTATCTCCTATCACCGTGTTCACTCCGCTTTGTAGGTTCATGTTGGAGGCTGTCATGTTAGACATGGAGTTGGCGGGCTCGAGGTTGTTTGCTGGACAGAACACATCCAAGAAGGATTCGTTAAGGAAGAAGAAACCAAGTTCGATGGTACCCAAAGAGGCCGCCAAGAAGGTAGCCAAGTTGACCTTTCGTAGTGTGGATTCGATACTCTGCTCTCTGTTTCTGAACATACTTGGAGTCGTGTCGCCTTCCTTCCACATACCCGGTGCCAAGTGTTCAACCGTGAGGAACGGATCCTCTTCTGAATAAAGTCTCTTGGTGAATTCGAAAAGCGAGGCCAAATCCCTAAAAGCAGCACCTTGTGGAGTTTCTGGACTCGAAGCCACTTCTATGATTTTCTGGTATGGACCTGCCACGAATACACGAAGAAGCTGGGTGGCCAAGTTATCAAGAACAGGTAAAGTGTTGACTAAAAGCTGGATTCTTGCAGGAAGGTAGTCTGGAGTCACTATAGGAAGCGGTAAGGCTGCAAGCTGTACGTTTGTTAGCGAAGCCACTGGAGGAACCTGGCTCGAAAGAGCATTATACGCAGCCAACGCTGTGTTTGTTGCTAAAAGCTCCGAGTTGGCTGGGATATGCGTAGGCTTATCTTGCTTATCGTCTGTAGTAGCCTTCTTAAGCTCATCAGCTATTAGTTCAAGGTGGTGTTTTTCACTTGACGCCGAGAAGACGTCTTCTTGTTGGTTGCTTTCGTTAGCAGGTTCATCGTTTTTAGCGTCTCCATTCAAGTTCTTCTCTGTGGGTTCCTCATTACCCTGAGTCTCCTCAGTACCAGCAATTGGGCCAGTCTGTTCTTCAGGCTGAGCAGCTTCAGCTGAATCCTCCGTATGTTGAGCTTCCTGGTGCTGGTTTTCATCAACATTCGTCTCGCCAGTTTCTCCCTGGTTCTCTCCCTCTGGGTTCTCCAGGTACTGCTGTCTCAGAAGCTCCATCTCATGTTCAGCGATGGCCCTCTGGATTTCCTGGTCAAAGCCGTCTTCGTGCAAATCATGTTTATGGTTGAGGTTCTGGTCCTCTTCAGATTCGACTTTCGGCTCAAGACTCATTTTTCTGGCGAAGGTGACGTCTGTAGTAGTGAAAGGCAGATGTTTGTTTTCAATTTGTATACACTTCGCGATGGTCTGCGATGGAGTAGCAGCCAGGGATAAGGGCAGACATCGAGGAACTAAAAAGAGGAGAAAAAGAGTGAAGTGGTGAAAAGTATGGAAATTAAGTAGATGAGATAAGAGGGTATGTTTTCTGCATTTTTCCCTTTTATGGCTTTTTTGGTTGGTTCACTGGAGGCTACAGTCAGAGCCTCAGTACTACCATAGTAGACTGAGAACAGCCTATGCGTATAGACAGCCAGCCAAGTTGGCCAGGAACAAGAAATGTGCTGTTTGGATTGATTGATAAGCTTTTACGGAGTCGTTTGAGTATCGAATACTTCTTGCTTTCTTTTTTGTTTCCGGTCTTTGGATGTTGGTGGGTTCAGTGTGCTACTATTAGTCTTCTTAGGGCATACTGTAGAACAGATGGTACCATCAAACATGAAGAACACCAAAAAAAAAAAAAAACCAGCAAGATCAGTCAAGAACTAGATTCTCATACTTTGACAATAAACACTTGTTTCTATCTTTTTTTCTCCCAGTCCCTTTCACTACTTCCACCTTCTCTCCCTCCACTACTACTCATACTAGTACCATCTAGCAACCACAAACGTCACACTACGCTTCCACCCAAATCAACCCAATCCATAACCTTAAATATCCTCCCCTTCTCCCCTTCCCCTTCCTCTCTTCACTTCTTCGGACATTCCGTTCCGCCCGTTATGCAACCAACCCACTGTGTCAACTGGACAATAGCGCTTTCCACTGATAAGGCATCAACCGTTTGCAGCCACCACCACCACCAACCACCACTCTCTAAAAGTTACCCTAAAAACAACACCCACTACACGCCCCACCATCCCCCACCTCCAGTAAACACATCCCGTTACGAAACCTAAAAACAACACCCACAAGTAACCTTATTCCCCTTTTTGTGTCACCCAGGCTTGTAACCGTTGGGGGACTCGAGAGTGCGCTAATGGTTGCAAAATGCGCCAGAGCCCCCCAGATGTCGCCCAAACGGTTCCGATTTTTCTTTGCAAACGAACGCCCATACATAAACACGCGCCTCACATTTTGCCCACCTTCGCTCGCCAAGTACCTCTTTCGTAAGGCGTTTTTCCATCGGTTTTCGATCGCCTTAACTAGCCTCATTGATAAGTCTCCACACTCCAGCGGCATCTCCCCTTCCAGCAAGATACCAGAACACACAACAACCAGATATTCAAGTAAATTAACACTACGTATTTTTTTCTTTTTATTTCAACGGCACTGTCATCTCTCGTCGTCCAATAAACCCTCGACTTGTCCCGCTTAGCTTCGGTTTTGTGTGGACTGGCGGTGTCGATGAGCCCGCTACCACTGTCCCAATCAGGTAACCCTCCATGGCGCACTTCCCCAGAGTGCCCACTGTCCCACCACACTCCAGCAACTATATAAAGCGAGGGGCCCCCACTGGGTTTTGGAAGGGCACCTTTTTTTGATATTTCGAACCATGTCTATCAGTTCTAAATACTTCCCAAACGAGCCTTCTGCTCCAGAGGTGAAAACCGCCTTCCCAGGCCCAAAGTCTCAGGAAGCCGTTAAGCTGCTTGACACGGTCTTCGACGCTAGACCTGTTTACTTCGTTGCCGACTATGAAAAGTCCAACGGTAACTACATTGTGGATGTTGACGGCAACACCTACTTGGACGTTTACGCCCAGATCGCCTCCATCCCATTGGGTTACAACAACCCAGCTTTGGCTGAGGTTGCCAAATCTGATAAGATGATTAGAGCCATTATTGATAGACCTGCCTTGGGTAACTTCCCAGGCAAGGACACCCAGGAGATCATCCAGAGCTTGTTGGATGTTGCTCCAAAGGGCCAGGACAAGGTCTGGTCTGGTCTTTCTGGTGCTGACGCCAACGAGTTGGCCTTCAAGGCTGCTTTCATGTGGTACCAGTCCAGAAAGAGAGGCTACAAGACTGACTTCACCACCGAGGAGTCCAAGACCGTCATGGAGAACCAGTCCCCAGGTTCCCCAGACTTGGCTGTCTTGTCCTTCGAGCGTGCTTTCCACGGTCGTTTGTTCGCTACCGCTTCTACTACCCGTTCCAAGCCAATCCACAAGTTGGATCTTCCATCCTTCAAGTGGCCAAAGGCTCAATTCCCATCCTACAAGTACCCATTGGAAGAACACTCCAAGGACAACGAGGAGGAGGACAAGAGATGTTTGGCTATCGTTGAGGACGCTTTCAAGAACGCTGCTGCTCCAATTGCTGCCGTCTTGATTGAGCCAATCCAGTCCGAGGGTGGTGACAACCACGCTTCCAAGGCTTTCTTGCAGGGCTTGAGAGACATCACCATCAACCACGGTGCTCTTTTGATCATGGACGAGGTTCAGACCGGTGTTGCCGCTACTGGTAAGTTCTGGGCTCACGAGCACTTCGACATCTCCCCAGCTCCAGACATGGTCACCTTCTCCAAGAAGTTCCAGTCTGCTGGTTACTACTTCCACGACCCAGAGATCATTCCAAACGTTGCCTACCGTCAATTCAACACCTGGTGCGGTGACCCAGCTAGAATGTTGTTGGCTGGTGCCATTGGTGCTGAGGTCAAGAAGAACGACTTGGGCGCTGCTGTTGCTAGAGTCGGTGACTACTTGTACAAGAAGCTTGACGCTTTGGCCAAGAAGTACCCAGACTTCATCAACAACCTTAGAGGTAAGGATAGAGGTACCTTCATTGCTTGGTCTTTCAAGGACGCTCCTTTGAGAAACCAGTTCTTGTCTGACATCAAGAAGGAGGGTATTAACATGGGCGGCTGTGCCGAGGACTCTGTTAGATTGAGACCAACCTTGGTGTTCGAGGAGAAGCACGCTGACATTCTTACCGCTGCCATTGAGAAGGTCTTGGCTACCTACTAAAGTCACAGCATGCATGTACGATAAGAAAGGAGACGGCCTTTAATCTGTAAAATAAACATAAAAAAGGACTAGTACGATGTAGATGATGTCATGGAGAGAGTAAGTCACAAAGATGGACACAATACTTCAACAAACACAAAAACACCAAACTGGCGCTTTTTTGTCTAACCTTAAAGGTTAATGAACCAGCATAAATAGAAAAGCTAGCATTAACCAGCTGCTCAGACCCATATTAGCATTCTCTCCATGGTTGACTCATTAGAAGAAATGGCTGCGAAAAACCAGCCACAAGCACGGCTACCCAGTGACAGGTCAAAACCTCCACCACCTAACCTGAAGAACCTTATTCTACTATTCATCAGTAACCTCCTTAGTGTTGCCTTATCGTATCTTCTCCATTTCCAGTGCCTCCTTCACTCTACCTGGTATTAGGTTGGGTATGGCTGGTGCCCCGGAGAAACCAGGACTCATTGGCTCCTCGGCAGGAAGGCTGTCTTAGCGCATAAATATTTTCACCCAAACAACAAACGTCCAAACCAACTTGCTGCTTTCAAACCATCACCAATATCCTGAGTCCTCTGAAAGACAGAAAATTCAAGATATCTCTAAATCTTCTTCATTCAAGTTTAATTACCAACTTCCTACGGAAGTTACGTTCCCCAGTCTGACTGCGACTCGGCGCGAATCGAATAAAATCACCGGCCGGGTTTCCATTCTTCACCACCAGCACTACACCTTTCCCTTACCACACAGACCAGCTTGATGTCGTCGGACGCGTACGAGCGTTTCAAGAGCATTGTGAAAATCGAGTCCAATGCGTCGCTTCTTGCGGGCGGCGTGGCGGGAGCCATTTCGAGAACCATAGTGTCTCCATTCGAAAGAGCCAAGATCCTACTACAACTCCAGGGCCCAGAGGCGCTGCACGCCTACAGAGGCATGTTTCCGACGATATGGAAAATGTATAAGGAAGAGGGCTGGCGGGGCTGGTTCCGTGGGAATACGCTTAACTGTATTCGTATCTTTCCATATAGCGCAGTGCAGTTTGCTGTGTTTGAAGAATGCAAACTTTTTCTTCTTCGGTATAAGCCGCCGGGAAAGCCTAAAACGTTGACTGAGCTCGATAGACTTATTGCTGGCTCGGCTGGCGGAATCGCTTCGGTCGCTGCTACGTACCCTCTAGACTTGGTGAGAGCCAGAATCACGATTCAAACAGCATCTTTGAAAAAGCTTAATAAGGGAAGACTCGTCAAGGCGCCAGGCGTCTGGGATACGTTAAAAGACGTTTACCGTAACGAAGGTGGCTTCTTAGCATTATACAAGGGTATTGTGCCTACGACGCTAGGCGTAGCGCCATATGTGGCCATCAACTTTGCGCTTTACGAGCATCTCAGAGACAAAATGGACGATTCAACGCGAGATTTCAGCAATCCATTTTGGAAGTTGGGCGCTGGAGCGTTCAGCAGTTTTGTTGGTGGTTTGCTCATTTATCCGCTTGATTTGCTCCGTAAACGGTACCAGGTGGCCAGTATGGCAGGCGGAGAACTTGGATTCCAGTACAAAAGCGTCACCCACGCTTTGGTGAGTATCTTCAAGGACGAAGGCTTCCTTGGCGCCTACAAGGGCCTCACAGCCAACTTGTATAAGATAGTACCTTCGATGGCCGTCAGCTGGCTCTGCTACGACACAATGAAGATGTACATTGCCAGATGGTAAGCCCAAAGTAACCCAATATCATCGGGTTGGCGGCCTGTTCCTCATAGTCTACTCCAACCAGACTGCTCCAGCCGTGCGACATGGCTGCAAACGAGCCATATGTGCCAGAGACATCCCTCCATGTCTACCTACACACTAGCCCTTACCAGTTTCCTGCAAGCAGACAATAAGCCATATCCAATCCAGGTCACGGCAATCCTAAACGCCACTAGGGGGCTCCAATGTCTGGTGGGGTGTCAGTGCACAGTACATTAGCACCGTGGGCATATTATGGGCTCATTCCAAGGCATATTCGCGCACCTAATCTGTGGGTCCCTCCACACAGAAAAAGACTTCCTTGAGGTCACAGTTTTAGAGATTTTAGAAAGCAATAGACACTGCCACGGCAAACTAGACATGTAGACATTGATGAAACACCACTGGACAAAGCCACAACGGTCACTGGAAGGCTGCTAGATCGGGATCACGTGCCGTCTTCCAGTGGGTGTCTCAACGCTTGGCCAACCAGCATCCAGGCTTTTCCTGTCTACACTCCCAAAAAGGCTGCGATTGAAAAGCTCAATCTCTTCCACCTCTCCAACATCGTCAATAACACCAAACTTGCACTAAAATGAGAGCTGCCCGTATCTTGATGAACCAAGCTAAGAAGAACTCCCGTCCCGTCGTGGCTGTTCCAGTGGAAATGTACCCATTGTTCGCTGCCATGGGTGTCGCTGTTGTCTCTTTGGGCTACTTCACCTACAGACATTTCGCTTACGACCAGCAATTAAGATTGTGGAAGAACGCTGACTTGTCTCGTGTTGACGACGTCTTGAACAAGGCCGCCGAGAAGGCTAAGAACGAGGAGTCTGAAGAGTAAACGACTCGATTCTTCATGGACTTTTGGTCCTCCTATTCGCATAATGAAAATATACACGAAAACCAGCAAATGCAGCAGCCAGCTTGATAGCTTGAGCTGCTAGGCTATGTAGGTTTGTAATTCTAATGTTTTTTTGCTATTTACAGTGGTGGCTGTGGTATGTTTAACCCTGGCGGATATTCATGTAGTAGTTGGTCACCTCGTTGATCTCGTCCAACTGGTCGACCATTTTGCCAAACGACTTTTCCACGCCTTCGGGAAAGTCAACCTGGTTGTCTTCTTCAGCATGGAAAATCGTCTTGGAGTCTCGAAGTTTGTAGCCTTTGCCTGCTAGACTGTTGGATACTTCGTTCAAGGCAGAAGGCTCAGTGAGGATTCTGAAGAGTTTGGCTCCTCCATATTCATCGTCGATGTCATTAAAGTTCTCCACATCATCAGCACCTATGTCAATGGCGACTTCAAGTACGTCATCAAGCTCTTCCTCTGGTTTAAGCGGCTCGAAGACGATCTCACCTTTCCTTTGGAACAAGTACTGACACGGACTCAAGTTGGCGTTGAATTTGGCCATGGCATGCTTCACAAGACCAATAGTCCTAGCTTTGTTGTCTGTCTGGGCTTCAACAATAAACGCAGTGCCCAGAGGGCCCATGAACTCGTAAGTGGTTGAGGCTGCAGTTGATGCCTCTCCACTAACTTCACCTGTACCTCTTTTGATGGCGTTTTCAATGATTTTCTTTGTGACGTTCATTTTCCTGGCCTTTTCCATTAATGTCTGAAGCTGGGCATTACCATCTGTACCTCCACTCTTCACAGAAGCCTCAATACGGTTAGCCAAGAAGGAAGCCTCTTTGGACTTTTTGGCATCGTTTTTTGCCTTATCGTGTCTGATATTCTGCCATTTGGAATGACCTGCTTGGAGCGATGCACTAATGTGGAAACCACGCTGGGGAACCGTCCTTACTAGACGTGCAAGAGACATGGGGAAGTGAAGGATGGTTGAAGAATGGGAGAAGTAGTTGATGTTGAGTCACGTGTAAGAATTTTCAGTAATTGAAAGCAACCCTTTTAAGCCACTAAAGAAAGCTTAAATGGAATTTTGGTGTAGAATTGGTTTTTATGAAAGTAGAAGTTTCTGCTGGTGGCCATGATTTTGTTTTGTTGTATGATTCTGGTTTTTCAGGGCAGTTTATATTTTGTCTGAATTACTCACTTTTCGCAGCCATTTTATAAAGCGTCAATTGTTCTCCATATTCGGCAGAAGTTACCATTCAATGAGAGAAACATTATAAAATTTCAAAATAAATCAAAATAAACCAAAAGAAAGAAGAGCTCTCATAGAGTATTGACTTAAAACGAAACCATCACTTTTAATCTCAGATTATTTCAATTGACATACCTACCCTGTTCTTCCTAACAATAAATGGGTGCAAAATGCGGTAAGGCTGGCAACCCACTAGACCACCAACCTAGACCACACAAATAGCAATAAAATCATCTTAAATAGAAAACTCCCCATTTTCCAATCCATCATCTTAATTCACATCTCCTTCCACCCATTTTCCTCCCCTGGTCAACCACCCTTGTAGCTTATCGGTGGCTCTGGGGCTCGCACGACCGGACATGTAACTTGTTCACTGTAGATACGCTTACCGAACATCAACTGCTACAGCTACAATGAGCGCCAACGAAGCAATGTCCAAGCGGTCGTTGCTAGCTGTGATTGCCGACGAGGACTCTGTGACAGGATTACTATTGGCTGGTGTGGGTCAGGTTTCCAACGAGCCAGGCAAGGAGTCTAACTTCCTTACGGTTGTTCCAGGTAAGACTTCCGTTGAGCAGGTGGAGGAGGCCTTTGACAGGTTCACATCTGAGAGAAACGACATTGCCATTCTTTTAATCAACCAGCACATTGCAGACTTGATAAGGTTCAAGGTGGACGGCTACACGAATGCATTCCCTGCTATTTTAGAGATTCCTTCCAAGGACCACCCATACGACCCAGAGAAAGATTCCATTTTGAAGAAGGTCAGACGTTTGTTTGGAGAGTAGCTACTGTGCTGTCTTTCTTTCTATCTTATAATATACATACATTGCTAGCTTGTGAATTTTGTACGCTATCTAATGGTTAAGGTGGGAGCTCGTTTTCTTATTTCTTATTCTTCTTCTTATTCTTCTTCTTTTTGGAAGAGCCACTTTTGTTTCCTTCGCCTGACTTGTCGGCTGTGTCGTCGGTCTTGTCGTCTTCATTGCCTTCGTCATCATCATTATCTTCATCGAGGTTTACTTCGGTGGTACCGTCAATGGCACTCTGAGCAGCCTCTTGCGACTCCTTAGCTTCTTCCTTCGCAAGGTCCTCAGCAAGGTTTGCATGTTCGGTGACACCAGACTTGGAATTGGACTCATTAAGGTCAACCTCAGACAAATCTCCGGAAACTTCCTTACTTTCGACAACTGGTTGCGACTCAGTCGTTATATTCGTATCAGCGGCAATATCTTCGGATTCTGGTTGCTTTGGGGTTTCTTCAATTTTGGGCTCTTCAGTAGGCTCTGAAGTAGCTTCTTCCTTGGGGCTTCCGTTGGTTCTTCCTTAGGCTCTTCCTTAGGTTCTTCCGTAGATTCAACCTTTGGCTCTTCCGTTGATTCCACCTTTGGCTCTTCCTTTGGCTCTTCCTTTAGCCCATCCTTTGGCTCCTCAACATCACCGTTCTCCTTAACTTCCTCCTTTGTATCTAGAGGGGCAGACTCTTCTTGTTTGGTCTCCTCTTCGGCAGCAGGCTCGTCAGCCTTGGTTGGTTCAGCTGCAGCCTCTGGTTCTTTCGATTCACTCTTTGGCTCCTCCTTGCTCTCTTCTGCGGCGTTCTCATCACGGCTTTGATCTGGAGAAGGCGAGGTCACTTGAACGACTGGAGTACTAGAGAGATTGGCGTTGTCGGTAGTAGGTGCCTTAGCGGCCTCCTTCAGACCACCCTTCTTCCAGTAGTCTCTTCCCAAGATATCTGGCAACAGACAGTCCTTAACGTAGAAGTCTCTGACACCCACAATTCTTCTCTCGCGCTCACAAGCCTTCAACCACTCAGGCCGTATGATAGGAATATTCATGTCGTTTGCCTTGACGAATTCTGGGTTCTGCTTGTTCTCTCTTGTAGTAATATAATGAGTAGTATCAACCTTGACGGTTTCTTGAGCAGGATGGTGGGCACCCATATTTTTCAAGGCAGCCTGGATGTCATCAACAGTAAACTGGTCGTTAGGCGTGATGTCACCCAAACAGACCGTAATACCAGACAAATCAGTCATTTTATGGGTCGTAACCTCCACTTCTTCAGACTTGTAAACACCTGCAGTGGTGTCCAAACGCAAGTGGAATTTGAAAGTTTTGTCAATAGGCAAACCAGACAATTTGGTTGTTTTGTTCGTAAGAGCCTGGGGGATAGCACCGAGTTTCTTGCCGTCTCTAAACAAGACCAAATTCTTCAAAGAGGCAGTGCCCAAGTCCAATTCGTCCCATTCCAAGACACATGAAGTCTGGGTGACGTTTTTAACTCTCAATTGAGGGGTCTTGGGCAAATTCTTGCCAAAAGTATCGATAATTTCATCCTGGATAGCCTGGAACTGCTTCTTTTCTTCCAATTCAGTCTCCAAGTCCCGATCAACCCGGATCTTCACTATAGAGCCTGCCTTGACTCCATTAGGGAGTAATATGGTGGGGAATTCGATGAGATGGTGATCTTTCGTTAAGAGCAACGCAAGGGAAGCGTCAAGCTTTCCTACTGTGAGTGACACTTCGACCATGTTGCAGTGACAGGGCGTGGATTATCTATGTATTCGTATTATGTGGGTTCAGATTGAACACATTGTAGGTTTCTCGGTAGCGATTGTGGGAGGCACGGGTGTACATGTTAACCATTAAGCCCTGGGCAGCAGGTGGGTGCAAAGAGCGAGCCTCGCATACTCAATCCTCAGTTTATGGGAATACCCATGGCACGCAAGTCTTCCTCGACTTCGTCATTAGTGGCTTTTCTAAGGATGAGTTCTTCCACTCCGATAGGCCCAGGCTCATCTTTATGGATCCGGCTGGAAACTCCACATGGGAACCCATGGAACTCTTTAAGCCCATTGAGAATGCCAAGCTCCTCATTTAGACTGTTGCGTTGTTGCACGAGCTCGTAAAGTATGTTCTGTTTCATGGCTTTTTTGCTCAAGCCTGGGTTTTCCATGTAATACTCCATGCTGGACCCGCCGGCAACAATTGGTCCACTGAAGCCGCGGGGCTCGTCGGAAGTCGGTATCGTGGGGATGGCTGCGAAATTGAAGTCTGGCACTAGCTGGTCCAAGCTGCTGCGCTCCTTGTTGACCTTGTACCACTGCAGCGTTGCCTCGGTGATCATATCGTTCTTCATGTCCATGGAATTCTTCATGAAGTCCTGGTGGATAGCTGTGCGAGAAGCAATGGTTTCGTTGTTGATGCATTTGAGACTGTAGTTGAGGGTGGCATTGGCGAGCCGTATGCTGTCTTGGTAAAACTCGTTCACCTTGAGGTAGATCTGTAGAAGCTCTGGATGCAGCCCGTCTAAACAGAGCTGAAGCTCGTGTTCTAGTAAACTGAGTTTGTCTTGGTAGAGCTTGTCTCGAAGGTGTGCAAAGTCGGTTTCGATCGATATGAGTTCGTCAACAGCCAACTTGCGATGTTCATCCATGTTAACATCATTCTCTTCAGCAATCTGTTGCTCTTTAGCACTAGCCTCATCGATCTTTTCAGCCTCGGCCTTCTCAGCAGCTTCAGCGGCCTGTTCTTCCTCCTCCTGCTTCTCAGTATCTTCAACATCAGCTTCGGCCTCTTCAGCGTCTTCGGCAGGCTCTTCAAGAGCGCCGTTTTCTTCCACTTTAGCATTGTCAAGCTCATCGTCTTCCTCCTCCTTCTTGGCTTCCGTCTCATCGACATCGCCATTCTCAGCATCCTCGTGGTCAGCCTCCTCGGCGTCCTCGTTATCACCTTCCTCAGCCAGCACATCTTCATTTTGATCTTCATCAACAGGCTCCTTCTTCACATCGGCAGCCTTTTCAGACGACTCGTGCCGTATAAGCTCCGATGTCTCTAACTCCACAGCTTCTGTGGCAGCCGTCGTGGGCGAGGCAGAAGCGGGACTGCGAGTACCAGACTCAGAGTCATCTTCCGAGGCGTCGTCATGATCTTTAGAGCCCAGTAGTCTGCGCTGCTTAGCGGGTCTTTCCAGTTCTTCATGGTCCCCATCGTGCTTCCCATTAAGCTGAAGGGCATCCTCGTGGCTGATGTCCTTGGGGAAGTTATCGTCCAGATCGTCAGAGTCGACGCCCTGAAGACGAGCCATCTCGGTGAGCTCAGAAAGAGCGTGTAAGTCAGAAACCTTATCCCTCAGAGACGAATTGTCGTCGTCCAAGAAATCCATCTTGTCAGTTTCAGCCTCACTGCCGTCGTCGCCCAAATCACTTAATTCGGAACTTTCGTAGGAGTCTCGTGAACCCTTATGCGTCAAAGAGTTGATCTCGAACGCTGGAGGTGAGGTGCCAATGTCAGTTAGTGGCAGGTCTTTCGTATGCTGGGGCAGTCTCTGGGGCAGCACTAGGTCGTGGTCCTGGGTGGAAAAGTCTGGCTTTTCGGAGTCTGCAAGACTGGAGTGGAGATCTGGGGTGTTGTTTTCGTGGAGAGGATGCTGGGGGGAACGGTTTCCAAAGGAATCCAACTCTGGCATTCTGGGGTGGGCTTTCGGGTTTGGAAAGCACAGAAACGGTTTGCTGGACGAGAAAGCTTCTGTGGGTTTTTGGGGTGGGTGGAGCAGAGCTTGGGATATGTAGGGGAAGCGGTGGTGTATGGATGTTTCTGATTAAACTTAAAGGGCTTTAGTTTCCGTGGTGGGAGCTTCGTGGGTGGATTTGGTGAAAAAGGTGATTTCTGGATGGGAACGTGAACAAACAGTGATTAGAACTCGAGAAGGCGTACTGCAGCTAGCCATGTCTGCCAGGCCCCAGCGGCTTCCGTTGCCGTGGTGCACGGGTGCAGAGATGCCCTAGCCAACCCCAGGCAAGACAAGGTAGAGCCAAATCAGGAAGGTGGTGATGGAGGCTGGTTGGGGAAGGGAAAGGAGTGTTTTTGTCAATTGAAGGCTCCTTTTAGATGTAATTTTGGTTTTTGGGCGGTTTGGGGGTGAAAGCCGATGTGGAGATGTGGAGTGGATTAGTAACTGAAAGGATGAGTATTTGTTGGGGAAGTGAAGGAGGATGGATGGGAAGTTGAAGGGTGGTTGTTGGATATGGGAGGGGATTGAGTTATAGTCTTTTTTTGAGTTTTGAGTTGGTGTTGATGTTGGAGTAGAGCGTTATCAATGGCTGCGAAATGGTGTAACAAGAAGCAAATGTGGAGTAAAGTTGGGACAAATTGGATGAAAAATGTTCTCGAAGCCAATTAAAGTAACGATTTGATGACCTCCTTGTTATCAATGGGCTGGACTGAGTCTCCGTTTGTTGGAAGCAGTGGTATAGTAGACATGCTCTGATGTGAATGTCTCAGATAAGTTATATCCAACAGCATTCTGGATCCAGATAGGTAAAAGGTCCATGTAGTAAAACGTAAAAAAGACTCAAACGTAGTGGAAACGTTGCCTCAATCTTCACCCTTTGTAATTACCAATTGGCACTCGTTGATGACTCCATGTCGAAACAGACATATGTAGCCTGACTATTCTCTTGGGCCAAGCAGTAGTTAATATCAGCCCAAGGGGGCTTTGAATTATTAATTTCCGGTTGAATTTGCCTTGTAATAAAATCCATTCCCCCCTATCGAGCCCCAATTTCCACCCATTTCACTCCCCAGATTCCGTTATTCTTCGTCCTCTCCATTTCCTCCATTTCCCTGTCTTTCCCCATCACCACCGAATTCCTTCTCTCCATTCCTCCCAGAAACAGCAAAATACAAGTACAAAAGCACATAAACAAGCACAACAATACCTGTTGCACTCCATGAGATAACATACGAATAATACACCATCTGCTTCACCACCAGGTAAGAAACCTCACTGGCATACCTCATGTGCAATAGATATATCCCTAACACTGAACAACCAATTAGGAATAACACTGCTACCGTGTTCTCCCTCAATCTAGTGTACCACTTCTTCGTCTCGCTTATCATTGATTAGTAAATAGAGTATTTAATTACTCGCATACAGCGGGGCTCCACTTACCCTGTACACGCCAATTCCGTATAAACCTGTTTTTCTTGACTTTCATGGAGTAGGTGGTTTAGGTATGATTTTTGAAAATATACAAGAGACTAAGAAGTGTTCTTTGCATGGTTTGGCCATTCAGTGTAAGTACATAGTAGTACTGGTTTGGCTGCGAAAAGTGTACTTCCAATGGTTCATCAATTCCAGCCGAAACCACTAAAAGAAAGAAATAAAGGGCACATTTCCCATAATATGAACCCAATAAACCCAAATATACCATTAAATTTCTTGAAAAACCAAAAAGTGCCCAAATTGGTGGAACCTTTTATGGAAGTATCTTCTGGGGACCAAGCTTGCACCCGTGCACCACGCAAAAATGCTACACTGGGAGATGAGATGCCCATCTTAGATCTTACTTCCATTGATTTAAGACAAAAAAACCCACCTTACTTTTGTCATGTCTTCGTTTTCGGCCCTTTTCTCGGGCGCTTCCAAGGACAAGACCGTCGAGCTGATGTTCGGTTCCTCGGCAGGTCCAGTGGACAGAAACGCTTTGAAGACCTCCAGAACAGTGATTGAGGTTCCAGAGGAGGAAGACGAGAAGGAGAAGATCAAGCCAGAGAAGAAGAAAAAGAAGGAGAGGAAGAGCAAGAAGAAGAACGACGAGGATGAGGATTTGGAGGCCAAGTACTACTCGAAGCTTCTTGCTGAAGAGGAGAAGCCTAAGGCTGAGAGTGCTGAAGATGAGGAGGAGAGTGATAAGGTTGAAGGTGAAGCCAAGGAAGCTAGTGAAGAGGCTGAAGGTGATGCTAAGGAGGACGACGATGATGATAGCAGTGAAGAGGAGGAGGAAGAAGACAAGAAAAGCAAGAAGGTGCTGGGTGCAAAAAGCGTTGATCTTAAGGAAGGTGAACTAGATAAAGCTGAAAGAACTGTTTTCGTGGGTAACGTTCCAGCTGCTGTCATTACATCCAAGAAGACATACAAAAACTTCAAGAAACAGTTCCAGCAGGTTGGAAGCGTCCAGGCTATACGATTTAGGTCTATTGCTTTCGACGAAGCGCTTCCAAGAAAGCTTGCATTTGCTAAGAAGGCCTTGCATAACCTCAGAGATACTGTCAATGCTTACGTTGTTTTCAAGGAGAAAGAGCCATCCCAGAAAGCTTGCAATAGACTCAATGCCACTTTGTTTGAGCACCACCATCTCAGAGTGGACCATGTTGCACATCCAGCACCAAAGGATAACAAGAGAACCATTTTTGTTGGTAACTTGGATTTCGAAGAGCAGGAAGAGAACTTGTGGAGATACTTTAACAAGCACACTGGCGACGATGTCGAGTCTGTGCGTGTGGTGAGAGATTCCAAGACCAACCTTGGTAAAGGTTTCGCTCTTGTTCAGTTCAAGGATACCCTTTCTGTGAATAAGGCCATTTTGCTTCATGATAAGCCTATGGATGGACCAGTTAAGGAAGTTGCCGAGGGTGAGAAAAAGAAGAAACAGAGAAAGCTCCGTATTCTGAGAGCCAAGGCCAACACCAAGCCTTCCACTCTTTCTCCAAACCATGTGGATAACGCCAGAAAACACAAGAAACCAAAGACTCAGCTTACAGATGACCAAAAGACCAAGTTGGGCCGTGCCAGAACGCTTTTGGGTAAGTCTGACCGTAACACTGCTGGTAAGATCGTCGCTGAAGGTGCTCGTGCCACCAAGGGCCTGAAGATTGCAGGTATCAAGGGTCTTAAGAGTGCTAAGGGCAGAGTCAAGAAGCCTAGAATCACCGACAGATCCACGAGGTTCAAGAAGGATAAGAATGCTATGAACACGCTTGGGAACAAGAAATAAAGGGAATAGAATACAAATTTGCATGACAGGGTCTACGAGGAGGTAAAGGAGAGGATAAATGCCCATTCAGGGAGAGTTAGGCGCCAATGCTTGAGGGCTAAACGAGCCATAAGAAGGAGATACCCAGGGACGTCTCCCGAGGAATGCTTTAGAAGAAACACAACCTGTCAACTAAGCAGGAGACAGGCCTACTATGAACATAAAAAAGTTAGGCAGTATCTGGTCTTGTGTTTCATTGCTGGTTACCATTTGTGTCTATTTCGCAGCCACTGGTCCAGACCAACCTCCAGTTCTCCACCAAACACGTCTAACCAATGTAATTTGAATGTGACTCTCCAAACCAAAAGACGCCATAAATCCATATAATATAGCTAGTCTCGTCAATTGACCACTTTTCCTTCTTTATCTACTCACCTCTGCTTCCTCCTAGGAGGTCTTTCGCAGCCAGCACCATACTTCAAACACCCATATAAACCCTAATAATATAAAAACCACATATTCGGAATTCCAAAAACCCACACTTCCCGAAAACCTACCTCTCCTTACATTTCTCCAACACCCACCCGTATTTTCCGAAAACCGTTATTTCACCTCCTCGCCCCCACTCCCTAATCCAACCTCACTGGTTATCAACCACAGTTATCTCTGCAGGGCGATAAGGGGCCGTGCACGGCACCCAAGTATAAATAGAGGCGAGTTTTCCCTCTAAAAAGTCAACAACTTATCTTTTTTTTGATATGGGCTCCTCCACTTCCAAGTACCCTAAAGACGACACTTCCTCTGTAGAAGTGTACAACGAGAAAGTTGGCTACGAGGCTCCTTCCAGTTCTGTCTCTGCAGACTCTGCTGCTGAGTATTTGCAAGGTTTGTCCTTGGACGTCTGCGACTACCTGAACGACATCAACGCTTCGACAATTAAGAAGTGGGATGCCGATTTGCAGGCTGACCCTAAGAACAGAGTTGTTCAGAACGCGTTTTCTCAACATACGCTTGCAGAAATCACCAAGAAGAGAAATGTGGACTTGACGTTGAACGACCGTTACCTTTTCAACGTGGAGGTGGACCCAATTGGCTCGCCTTCGTTCTTGGACAACCAGAAATCTTCTGGTAGATGCTGGATTTTCGCCACCAGTAACGTTATCCGTACCAATGTTATCCAGAGACATAACTTGGACCCATCTGAGTTCCAGGTGTCTCAGGCTTACCTTTACTTCTACGACAAGTTGGAGAAGGCCAACTACTTCCTTGAGAACATTATTGATACTGCCGATGAGCCACTTGACTCTCGTTTGATCCAATGGCTTTTCTCTGGTTCTGTCAACGATGGTGGCCAGTGGGATATGATTTCTAACATTATCGACAAGTACGGTATTGTTCCAAACGAGGTTTTCCCAGACAACGCCAACGCGCTGAGCTCCAGCAGCTTGAACGCCATTTTGACTGACAAGTTGAGAGAATACGCTTTGGTGTTGAGAAAGTTGAAGGCTAAGGGTACTCCAAAGAAGGCCATCTTGGCTGCCAAGAACGGCTTCAACAAGCAGATATACAACATTGTCGCTCTCTTCTTGGGCTCTCCAGTTGGTCCAAACGAGGAGTTCACCTGGGAGTATAAGGACAAGAACGGCAAGTTCCACAGCGTCAAGACCACTGCTGTTGAGTTCTACAAGAAGTACGCGTCTTACAACGTCACCCAGCGTTTCTCCTTGCTTAACGATCCTAGAAACGAGTACAACAAGTTGTACACCGTTGACCGTTTGAACAACGTCTACAACGGTAGACCAATTGAGTATGTCAATGTTGACTTGCCAGCCATGAAGAAGGCTGCCATCAACATGTTGAAGAACAACGAGCCTGTTTTCTTCGGCTGTGACGTTGGTAAGTTCTTCGATGGTGCTTCTGGTGTCATGGACACTAATTTGTTCGACTACGACTTGGTTCTTGGTGCTGCTCCTAAGCTTACCAAGGAGGAGAGATTGAGAACCGGTTCTTCCCAGATGACCCACGCCATGGTTATCGCTGGTGTTCACTTGGACACTGACGGTAAGCCAGTCAGATGGAAGGTGGAGAACTCCTGGGGTGACGCTGGCGGCAACAAAGGCTGGTACTTGATGTCGGACGACTGGTTCAACGAGTACGTTTTCCAGGTTGTCACCTCCAAGGCCTACGTCGAGAGATCCCACTACGAGCTCTGGAAGAGCAAGAAGTACGACGTCTTGCCATTCTACGATCCTATGGGAGCCTTGGCCTGATTTGCAGCCACGCGTTAGACCCACCACACAATACATACAGTGATTCCCACCATACAATATAAATTACAGATAAAAACCGTACTTTTATTACTTCGATATATATATATATATATATATCGATATCTTACCTCTAGTAGTTGTCCTCCGACTCGGTAGTAGCAGTAGTGGTCCTACTTAGTGCAGTATTATGAGCCTGATATATACTCACTTTTCAGATACATCCAACCCAGATCACCAGTACAGCGTCAACCACACCAAAATGGCCGAAAAGCCATCCACGAAAAACACAGCTGCGTCCATGTTCCTGGCGCTTCACCAAGAAAGCTTGGACGACCAGTACATCCAGCTTGAAGAAGCCTTTCAGAACGCTCTGTCCACTACAGCCTTACATGATTTGATCCGGCAAATCGACCTCCAAACAAACAACATCGACTCAGATTTACATAGACTTGTCACTGTGGGGTCCAAGAAACACACTGCTGAAATCTCGCTGTTGGAGCTTTCCAGAGCCAAATTGTCTGGAGCCATATCCAACTCCAATGACTTGACCAAGGTGTTCACATCTGCCAACGACTTGGGCCATTCGCTTACATCCAAGATCAAGGCGTTGGACCAGGAAATCAGTAATGTCGATTCGACGTTGCTGTTTGTGGCTGACGTGCAGCTGCTTAAGAATAACATCAACCAGACCCAGTATGCTATAGAGAAGGGTAACTGGGAATTGGCTGCCAATTGCATCCATGTGATCAACCATAAGCTTAGTCCGAATTTGGTGAACGGGAGGTTTGCGCTGGTGATGATTCCGTCGTCGGAAATTCCTGAACTACCTGCTCCTACGATTAAGAAATGGATTGAGCAGTTGACTGAGGAGTTCCAAACAAGGTTCAACGAGGCTGCTAAGGCTCGGTCTGTGCCTGAAATCACCAAATACTTTCAGCTTTTCCCGCTTATAGACCAGGAGGAGGTTGGTCTTCAGTGCTACTCGAAGTTTATCTGTTCTATCATTACTGATACTTCTCGTACATTGATCAATTCTGCCACACAGGGAGAAACCAGACTGGGCATCTACGCTACGGTCACGTCGAACCTCTTTGAAAGCATTCTGACGATGTTGTCTCAGCATACACCATTAATCAATAAATACTACGGCTCGTCGTATCCGGACGCTGTGGTGTTTGTGGTGACTAGAATACAGCGAGAGATCGACTCGCAAATCGGTCTTATTGCTGATACGTTCTACGATGTGAATCGTGTGGAAAAGACGCTTCTGGACATTAAGCTTCATAAGTTTACGGAGCTTACTCGTCGTTTCTCTGAACACTACCAGCAGAACGAAACAGAGGAGAATGAAGTTTTTGATCATGATATCGTGCCGCTTGTGGAGATTGGTGATTTGACTCACGAACTCTCCAGCATCTTACACCACTGGTCTTTGTACTGTAAGTTTGTGTCTGTCAAGTACTTCTTCAAGGGTCAATCACCAGAGGAGGATCTCAAACTTCCACAACTTCTCAGCACTTCCAACTTTAACAAAAAGATTCACAACAAGCTTCTACCTGCATTTGAAGGACTCTACACATATTATTTCCGCCGTTCGTTTGAAAAGGCTATCACGATTGAGGAGGTGCCTCTTTTGGATTCCTACTTGGTTACTACTGTGGAATCCAAATCTCCAGACCAGCCTGTCGTTTCATCAGTGGTTGAAGATCTCAGTTTAATTTTTAATAATTCATTGAGAAACGTTTTGGACTCGACGCAGCCAACTACCGTCAAACACTTCATTAATGAATGTTTCAAGGTGCTACAGAGTGATTTCTTGGGAGGCTTCATTCGTAAAGCTCTCCACGAGAACCTGCCAAGATACAACAAGACATTATCACTCACAACTGCGCATAATGGATCTGTTCTAAGCGGAACGGCTAGCCCATCTGCTTCCAGAGCTGGTACACCAGCACCAGAATCTGTTAGTGGCTACTTGAAGGGCGCTTCGTCGGCCTTTGGCAATATTGTTGGCACAGGTACTTCCATGGTGGGAGCTGGAACAGTTGCAGCAGGCTCTAACGAGCCAAAACTCACAAACTACGTCATTTATCTTAATACTGTTGCTACAGCACAGGAATTCTTCCGCCAGATCATCGAGAACATCACTGTTCGTGACAAGCATTACATCAAGAACAACTTTCCGTTCGCTATTGACGAAGAAAAGATAAAGAATATCATACGAGCCGAGTTGTTGGACCCACTCGTGTCCACCACAAACAATGTTATCAGACATTCTTTGCTCAACTTCTACAACCAGTCTATGAAGAATAGGGTTGCAGGCATTGTTCACGAAACATTCCCTGAAGCTAACGATACTCACTACATGGCATACTCTTCATCGATTCTTAATGACCCATCCAGCATGATCAAGTTCAAGCAATCTTGGGACGCCATGATAAGGCCATACAAACAAACTATGCATAAAACCTTGGTGTTCAACAAGCTCCTTCGACTTCTTGTTGTTAACCTTGCCAGTATGATTGAAAAGAAGTTGATGCTGGCGCTCAAGAAGTTCAAGATCAATGAGTTAGGTGCATTGAAGCTCGATAAAGATGTTTCGTTTATCATCAACGAAGTCTGTGAGGATGACTATGAGCTTCGTGAGAAGTTCGTCCGTCTTACACAGTTGGTTCTTCTTGTTGGAATGGACGAAGAAGAGTACCAACTCAACTCGTTCTCCAACTCCAACGAAGACGCCGAGGACGAAGACGAAGATGTGGGCATCAACTGGGTATTGACCCCACTAGAAAGGAAACAGATCCGTCGTTTCCGCTGCTAATCAAGAAAATCTACATTCGTTCATTGAAAAGTTCATTAGACATTACTATACACAGCGGGATGCTGAAATCTATACATGTGGCTAGCTCGCCAGGGCAGCCGGTGAATCTGTTCTGACCACATCCGTGAGGGGCTGGTCGTAGGAGATCTTCTCGATCTCTCTAGTCTCTCCCTTGATCAATTTCTTCACCTTACTTTCTCTTGCCACGGTAGGATCGTATCTCGGATGACTGTAGTCACACTCATAGCCCTTGGGGCAGAAACCAGTCAAGTAGAGTGGACACAAGATCTTCCTGACATGTCTATTAGGGCAGTCTGGGCCATCTGGACAGAAACCTTGCTCGTAAAGTGGACATTCAGGGATCTTTTGTTGGGGATCGATATGCAAATATAAACACTCAGCCGTTTGAGTGCAGAAGCCGTTCTTAGAGTAGAAGAGACACTCAGGCATCTTTCTTAGATTATACTCGTGAAGAAACTCACAGTGGTCGTTCTTCTTACAAAGACCACGAAGCCAATGCTTACATACGATCTTGTTGTTGTACATTGAAGGAACATGCTTGTTTGGACATAATGGTCCGTTGGGACAAGAGTCAGGCTGGTTTGGCTTGTAGAACTGGCAAACGGGTCTATCTGGGTCTAGGCCGAAGGAGTGCTCTTTGCGAAGAAAGTCCTCGAACTTGAACCTCTTGTTTTTTGTGTCTGGATGGATAACTGGGTCAAGCCTTAGCATGGTGATGGAGGATGGGATATGATTAGAAATTGGATTTGGTGAAGTAGTAGTGGGAAGAGAGTCACGTGACCAATTTTGAAAAAGTCATGGAATTCGAAAGAATCTACAGCAAATGGGGTAGGATTTGGTAGCATGGAAAAGGGATTCAAAAGTTTTCCCCGCCTTAGAATTCCAGTAAGTGTAGCCTTCGTTTTCGTATAGATCGGTGAACATGTCTATCCATGTACTGATAGTACTAGCGCGGTTTCCAGATAGCACCAGTAGTATACATAAGTACCATAGAGGCTCCAAAAGGGCCCATACAAACAGCACTAAACCAGTGAAAAGTTCATTTTTAAGCTGCTTCTCATATAAAGAAGAAGCTCAGAAATATATTTATATCTTTACTTTCTCTAATTGAACTTCTGTTTGTCGTTCACTTAGTACTACCCTTTACACTACTAGTACTGCCCTTTCGCAGCCATTTCTGCCTAGCCATAGTACCACTGCCTCCAACTACCTTCCCCAACTTGACCTTCCAGAACCCAATGTCTATAAATAGAACCCAATGTCTTCCCCTCACTTCGCTGAACTATAAATACGGGGCCATTCCCCCAGGAATATCCATTTTTCAAGGGCCTTTCTTGTCTCCTTCGCTACACACTGAGCATGCACTGCTGCGCATACAAACCACTACTGTCTCCATTAACACCCACAAGTCCATAAACTTTGGTCATCTAAATAAATAAAAGAAGATTTCTTCTTTTCCACTCCGTCAAATCCCTCTTTAAATTCCCCCCTTCTTGAATCCATCCCTGAACGTCATGAGGTTTCCACATCAGCTGATTTTAATGCATGGCTATATAAGGAGACCCATTTGGCTGCGAAAAACGCTTGGGGAACCACTTTTCCAACCATTATACATTTCAGACTTCTATACTTAAGGCTCCCGCTTTTCCTTGTGGCCACATATTTCTTCGTTTTGTGGGCCCGTTCCTTGACTTACAGAGTAGCTTCCATGTCGACCATGGCGGCGGCTTCTTTACGGCACTACGATGCCATTGTGGTTGGTTCCGGCTTGGCTGGGCTAACAGCGACGCTTTCCTTGGCCCAGAACGGGTTGAAGGTGGTGTTAATTGAGAAAACAGAGAAATTGGGTGGAAATTCCATCAAGGCTTCTTCGGGTATCAATGGTGCCCCTACGAGGTTCCAGGAACAGGGTGATCTGGTGGACTTGTTTGCTCAGGATACGTTTAAATCAGGCAAGGGTCTTTCCAAGCCTGAATTGGTGGATGTGCTTACTAAGAATTCAGCTGATGCAGTGCACTGGCTTTCTGACGAATGTAACGTTGATTTGAGTGCTGTGGCTATGTTGGGAGGCCATTCTTTTGCTAGAACGCATAGAGGGAAGGGTCCTCTCCCGCCTGGCTTTGCCATTGTCTCGGCTCTTATCAAGAAGATCGAGGCGGCAGAGAATGTGGAGGTTTTGAAGCTGACTTCGTTCCATGGGTTCAGAGTACACTCGGATTTCGTTGCAGATGGAGTGGAGGTGGAAGATGAGCTGCAAAATAAGTTTCATCTTCTTGCTAAGAATATTGTGTTGGCTACGGGTGGCTATTCGGCTGACTTTTCTTCACTGAGTCTTCTTGAACGCTATAGACCTGATCTCCTTCATTTACCACTGACCAACGGACAACAGACTACTGGAGATGGCCAGAAGATCGCTGAAAAGCAGCTCAGCGCTAAACTCATAGATATGGATGCTGTCCAGATCCATCCAACCGGTTTTATTCAATTGAAAAATGACGAAACTGCTCTCAGCAAATGGAAGTTTCTTTGTGGAGAGTTGATCAGAGGCATTGGAGGTATCCTTCTTTCACCAAAAACCGGTTCTCGTTTTGTTAACGAGTTGACTACAAGAGATAATGTCACAGAAGGCGTTTTTCAGAGCTGTGCTAACGACAATGGCAAGTCTATCTGTGTAATTGCTGTCAGCGAAAAAGACTATCTCAAGGCAAAGCCACATATTGATTTCTATGTAAGCCAGAGTCTTATGTTCAAAGGAGACGCAGACGATGTTGCTTCAAGATATAAGGGTATTTCGTCCGTGGAGATTGACCCTACAAAGATCAAGAAGGGCTTGGAAGATTATAACAATGCCATTGGCAATGATGACCTTGGAAGAACCAGTTTCGGTAACCCATTTGAACATGAGTTCTATTATGGCTTTGTCACGCCAGTTCTTCATTTCACAATGGGTGGAATAGCCATCAACGAAAAGGCTCAAGTTCTCACTGAACTAGGCCAGCCCATGCTGAATGTGTATGCTATTGGTGAAGTGAGTGGAGGATTACACGGAGCCAACCGTCTTGGAGGAAGCTCGTTGCTTGAATGTGTTGTATTTGGACGCGAGGTGGCCAAGAAGATTTCCAAGTAGACGTAACTTTTTTATGCAATTAATGAGTAATTAAAATGACTGATCCATGTCGATATCTGGGACTTCCATCTTTCCCAATGCCTCTAGATTCTCTTTGGAGAGTTCATGTGGCGGGAACATACCGTCCAAGTTTGCAGGGCTGCTTTGGAGTGGGTTGGGTAGATCTTTTGCAGCTGGAAGAGGTTTTGACTTACGGCGTTCCCTGCGCTCTTTCTTGACTCCCTTCTTCTCTTCAGAAGGACCCTCAACGAACTCCATCATGGCGACTCTTCTTCTGACGCCTTCGTTAATCCAGAACTCGTTTCTGTACAACTCCCAGCCTTCTCTAATATCAGTATTAAAGGAACGTGGCATGAGAGTCAATTTAACGTCGGTAAGGCCAAACCGTGGTTGACACTGCAGCTGAGCTGATACCAAAAACACCTCAAGTCTCGAATTTGGATTCTGGATCATCGATGGGTACACAGTGTGTAAGCTTCGTAGACACATGGTGCACAAGAAAAGGCCAGCTTCACGTATAAGGTCGACGGTTGAGTCGGTCATGGAGGTTTTGATCTTCACCAAACGCAAGTTGAGTTGACGTAAGCCTTTATTGGTGGAAGAAAGGAACTTTCTAGGAAGCACAATTGTCTTCTGGTACTCACCAGATAAATGATAAAGCATCAAAGTCACGGACAACGCCAAAAGCAGGAGCTGAAGCGGCACTCTCACGGAGGCGCTTGTTTCGTTGAAGTACAAATGATGGGAAATAGATGCAATTAAGGAACAAAGCACGGCGAGAAACGTCAAGTACTTCCTTCGAAGCGCCCGCTGTTGCATAACCTGCTGCCGAAGGCTTTCCTCTAAAATAAGCAAGTTTCTAAAGATCTTGCCTGCTGCTGGAGTCAGTGTGTATCCACTTCCAGGGAACTCAGACCGATGAGACTTTTCCAGAAACACATCTGAATTCCTTGATTTCCGTCTCATTCTCTTCTTCTGTTTCGGCAGCAGATTCACCAGGCCAGGCGGCAGCGCCGTCACACCGGGCGTAGAGCTCTTGACCTTCTTTCGTCTCATTTCCTTCAGCCGAACCAGCTGAGTCTCCAGTTCCGAAGCACTCGAGTAAACCGGCCCGCCGTGGTCCCTGCCACCGTCCGATTCCGAGCCCAAATCCGAAGGAGAAGACCACCGTTTCTCCATCTCGTTCTCTCCCATGCCCAACGAGCTCAACGAGCTGGATCCTCGTACGTGGTTGAGGCCAGGTGCATCTGAAAGCATGCTATCGTCATCCGAGCGAGGCGAAAGCTCTGGAGTCTCTGACATAGTGTAAGTTGTGTTTTCTGGCTTGACAGATACGTAGTTGAATAGAATCGTCTTGCCTGAAGCGTTGGTGCCAGTATTGGTGAACCTGGGGTAAAATGTCAGATGTACTAACTGAGAAGTTTTTCTGGTGTTACTGTGCGCAGTGGGACACCAGATAAGGTGAAGATAGACGAAGCAGGCAGTTGGGCAGTTTTGTGACTTTTCGATAGAACTTTGAAATTAAGTTTCGCTTGAAATAGAAGGAAAGAAGGGAAGGAAGGAAGTGAAAAAAGTGAAAAATAGAAGTAATCTACTTGTAGACATGCAATTCTGGTGCTCTTCGTCTCCCCACTGCCTCCTCCACAGTATTTCCTAATGGGTGCAAGTGAGCAAGCGACACAAAACCGTTTAAGCCCCTGGCGATCGGCGAAGGTGAGGTGGAGGAAGGAGGTTGGGAGTGGTAGATGGGTTGGATTTGTACGGGAAATTTGAAGAAATTGGGAGAAAAGTTGGGGGAAACCAGAGGGTATTTATAGTTGGGAGGGAGGTCTGGAGAGGAAGTGTCTTGTGAGACAAATGGCTGCGAAATGATGATGAGAGGGAGAAAGGGAGAAGTAAGAAACAACAGTAGATATGATGTTTAGGGTAAATTGAAAATTGATTTAATTGGTTTATATGGCCAATGGGGACGTCTGGAATGGAGAGTTTGTGGGAGATTTGGGTATGGCTGGGAATTGAATGGGCATGCTGGTTGACTATGTAGACATACCAGAGGTAAGATGAGTCCCCAGTTGCACCGTGATTTCAACAAAGGAGGGTCAGTTGAAGGGGGAACTTTACACTATGGTAGTAAAAATCGGATGTTAAAAACCGTTATAAATTGATTTCTATGGAATTGCTTGTTTTTGGGTGTACTTCTGTGGACTACTACTGGTAGATAGGTACAGCTATACTGGAGAGGAAGCACCACCAACTTCCGCTAAAAGTACCCAAATTGAACGAAAAAACCATCAAACGAACTCTAAGCATCTTAGTTGACCCACAAACGAAACCCACTTCCTTCCATCAACGCCTTCCCTCCAATTTCCACAGACCCTTCTTATCCACCATTGTATGCTCTTGTGAGCTTTTCGCAGCCATTCCATATAACCACCAAATACCACCAGACCACTCCAAAGCCCCTCAAAAGACATAAACCGCCAACTTCCAATAAACCAACCTAACCTTCAAATACCAACCCACCCCTTAACTTCCCCTCCACCCCTTCCCTTCCCTCCAATCAACATCTTCTGCCTTGTCCCTGGTGTACGGACCTACTACATGTATAGCTGTACCTCTTTAGATCATTTTGCAACATGTCTTTGAAAGAACAAAAGGAGCAATTCGTGTCCAACCTCAATGGTGGGCTGATTGAAGAGGTGTACCTTGTTACTGGAGTGGCTATAGCAGGTTATGTAGCCCATGCTATCTTTAAAAAGTACCTTCTTCCAGGCCTTAACTGGGCCCTGTCTGGACCCTTACTTTGGGCTATAGAGTTCTTCTTTGATGAGCTCTTGTTGCTTCAGGCAATTACTGTTTACAGTTCGAAGGTGACCAAGATATACGTCAATGCGTTGGGGCTAGCTGCGTTGATCTTTGTGTATGCTATAGTGGAGAAAGGGATCCTGAAACCGAGGAAACAGACTCAACCCAAGAAACTGAAGGCTGCTACGGATGAATTTCTTCCTAGAAAGTCGTTTATTACGGCTTACAGAGCACATATGCTTGTGATCACAAACCTAGCCATTTTGGCGGTGGACTTCCACGCGTTTCCTAGACGTTTTGCTAAGGTAGAGACCTGGGGAACGTCTTTAATGGATCTAGGCGTGGGCTCGTTCGTGTTTTCCATGGGACTTGCTAATTCTCGTGGCGTGATCAAGAAGAAGTTGGCTGTGGGCCAGAAAAAGGTCAGTTACGGTAAGTTGGTTATTGGTAACACTGTGAAAGCATTGCCTGTGTTGGGATTAGGCCTTGTTCGGTTGGTTAGCGTGAAATCGCTCGAGTACCAGGAACACGCCACTGAGTATGGAATTCATTGGAATTTTTTCGTGACTTTGGGTCTTTTGCCGGTTGTTTTGGGTATAATCGATCCTATTTTGAACGTGGTGCCTCGGTTCTTCGTTGCCTTGGCAATTGGATCCCTCTACGAATGGACTTTGAACAACACTGCCCTTCTTAGTTTTCTTCTTGACGAATCCAACCGGTTTGAGTCGCTTTTTGCCATGAATAAGGAAGGCCTCTGGTCCTTCTGTGGATACTTCAGTATCTTTATATTTGGCCAGTCGTTTGGCTCGTTCGTCTTGACATCCAGACCAACGCCAAACAACTTATGGGGCTCTTATTCTAAAGGCAGAGGCATTCACCTTTTCACCGTTTCCACTACGGAAGGACTTGTGGTGATGACTTTAATCACCCACGGCCTTTTCTACATTGCCAGGGAGTCTTTCCATACTGGTGGCATTTCCCGTCGCTTGGCCAACCTCCCTTACGTTCTTTGGGTGGTAAGCTACAACGCCGTATTCTTACTCGGCTACGATTTGGTTGAACGGCTCACCGGTCCATTGAGTCTGACGGTACTCGATGCGATCAACGCTAATGGTCTCGCCACGTTCCTTTTGGCCAATTTACTCACTGGACTCATCAACATGACCATCAACACATTAGCAGTAAACGAGCCAACCACCTACGCCATTCTAATCGGCTACGCTCTTGTCTGGACCTCGGTGGCTGTGTTCTTGCATCAACATAAGATATACATTAAGCTTTAGCGATGGCTGCAAACCGCGATAGATAAAACACGGAAAGAACAGGAGAAAACAAGGGAAACCCACCCCCAAAAAACATCCCTTATTTCCCCAGCCATATCACCACATTTCAAATCACATTTCTTATCCTAATCCCATTTTTTTGACACCTCCCTTTGTCTCACCCTTGACGTTTGCTGGTTGACTTATACGAGGAGCTGCAGGAACTTGCTGTGGTAGGGAGGCACAGGCAAGGCAAGATGGCCACACCCGTGCCTCCCCCCATATAGGGACTCCATCTTACCCGTCGTTCCGGAAACCTTAAGAGTATAACCTTTGGGCAATCTAGACATCCCTCTTCATAATACAAAAAATCATGGCACTGACGGCTTCATGGACATCGTTTCTTAAGTCCATCACATCTTTCAATGGTGATTTGTCCTCGTTGACAGCGCCTCCCTTCATCCTTTCCCCCACATCCTTAGTCGAGTACTCCCAGTACTGGGGAGAGCATCCGGAGCTCTTGTTGGAGCCCAACTTTATCAGGGATGACACTACTAAGGAATCGGAAAAGGCAATGGCTGTCAAGAGAATGATTGCTGTTACCAAGTGGTTTATCTCTACGTTGAGGTCTCAGTACTGCTCTAGAAACGAGAGCATGGGCTCCGAGAAGAAACCATTGAATCCATTCTTGGGAGAGGTGTTTGTGGGTTCTTGGAAGGACGAATCGAAGGAACAGAAGTATGGCGATACCATTCTCTTGTCTGAACAGGTTTCCCACCATCCACCGGTTACTGGGTACGCGATTAGTAACGAGAAGAACAACATACTCTTACAAGGGTACAACGGGATCCGTGCCACCATCAGCACCGCGTCTATCAGCGTGAGACAGTATGGCCACGCCATTTTGGAATATAAGGACCTTAACGAGACGTACTTGATCACGTTGCCACCATTGCACATTGAAGGGCTTATCACCGCTGCGCCATTTGTCGAATTGGAAGGCACTTCGTACATACAGAGCTCCAACGGATACATTGCCGTGATTGACTACTCGGGCAGAGGCTATTTCAGCGGTAAAAAGAATACTTACAAGGCACGCATCTATGCTGACAGGCTTGCCAGCGCCGATAAGGAGAATGCGTTAATCACCATTAATGGCCAGTGGTCTGGCAAGTCATACATAGCCAAGGGCAGCGAGAGAGCCTCGAGCAAGGGCGGCGAATTGTTCTACGATGCATTGGCCAAGACGCCAGAACATTTGCACGTGAAGCCTATTGAAGAGCAGCACAAGTTGGAGCTGAGAAAGGCGTGGGAGAAGGTTGCAGAGGCGATTCGCAAGAGTGATTACGATTTAATTCAGCAGGAGAAGTCGCTTATTGAGAATGAACAGAGAGATTTGAGAAAGGAAGAAGCCGCCTCGGGCATTAAATGGGAGACCAGATGGTTCGACAGTGTGGATCTCAAGGGAGGCAGCGCTGGAGACGATCCCTTGTTGAGTCTAGCCAGTGTGGCCAACCTCTCAGTGGATAATGTTCCTTCGGGTACGCTTCGTGGATCGAAGAAGGAGACAGGCGAGGCCAAGCACTGGCGTGTGAACTTGGACAAGTGGAAGAGTGAGAAGGAGATACGAATCTAGACGGGTATAGAGCCCGACATATACGAGTACGAGTTAGAGAGTGTAGGTGTTAGCTGGAGGGTAGATAGATGGGGAGATAAGGGCTGGCTCACGTGCGGGCGGTTAGGGCTGAACCACCATCACGTGCCGTTAAAGTAACGGTGAGTGAAAGTGAAGGGTCCTATCTGCAGTACCACACAGCGAGTAAAAAAAAGTCCCCCAGTATGGGGAACCATCACCCAGGCAGCGATAGCAGTATAGAGCGAAGTGAGTTTCCTGCAGTACCGCGAGAATTTTTCCTACCAGAGGCCGAAAAAGTTTTTGAAGATTTCTTCCTCCTACCAACTCTCAACCACTGTATTAACCACCATGGCTGAATCTCACAGATTGTACGTTAAGGGTAAGCACTTGTCCTACCAGCGTTCCAAGAACGTGAACCACCCAGGCACGTCGTTGATCCAGATCGAGGGCGTTGGCAACACCCAGGACGCCAGATTCTACTTGGGTAAGAGAATTGCCTACGTCTACAGAGCCCAGAAGGAAATCAGAGGCTCCAAGATCAGAGTCATCTGGGGCAAGGTCACCAGAACCCACGGCAACAACGGTGTTGTGAGAGCCAACTTCAAGAAGAACTTGCCTCCAAAGACCTTTGGTGCTTCCGTGAGAATCATGTTGTACCCATCCAACATCTAAGCGAGAGGAAGATGAAGAATGATGGGCATGCGCTGGGCCTGGTCTAGGAGACTGGGGGCACTGTGTGGCGTCATTAGGAGATGTTGACGTGGAACGAAATATCTGCAAACTTGCTGGCTGGCGTTGCCGGCGGCGTGTATAAAATTCCATAATAAAGAAAAGAGAAGATGGATGTAGGCGTTCGACCAAGTTCGACCAAGGTCGAGCCGCAGGCGAGAGCTTGGGAGAACTTGGGAGAACGAAGAAGATAGAAAGAGGAACCGAAGAAGATTAGAAAGGAACCGAACGAAGTACCAGAATCGACCTCAATGTCAGGCTGATGTCAGTGACGACTCACTGGTGACTCAGTGATGGCAGGTCACATGCTGCCCTTCTTGTGTACGTTGAAGTGGCATGCATTTTGTGAAAAATGGCTTACCTTCGTGGGACGGTAATGTTTTCCGGGTTTGGTTTCTGTGGCTGGTTTCTGGTGCTGTTGGTGGGAGCCCTTTGGTTCTCATCTAGTACTATGGCTAGAGGAGAGAGCCCAGCCGTGCCAGTTTACAAAGTGCCTGAATTTTCTTTCTGGTGGCCGTAAAAGGTCAATTCGACGTTCCGTAGTATTTGTAGGGCGTTTGGGGATTCTGGTGGTGTGCTTCTGTGGTAGTTGGCTGGAGATGGCTTGATCTGGTTAGTCACTTAAGCATCTGCTAGGGTGCCAAGTGACAGGGTACTAGAAGAGGGACAGAAAGTACAATTATACCAATTGGAACCCAGCATGCTATGATATTGCCTTCTGGAGTTTATATCAGCAGAATTACTGCTTTAATGGTCTTTTGGTGGTCTTTTGGTGGTCTATAGTGCCCTACAAGGCTTATACTATTTGGCTGCGAAAAACGTCTACTATGGTGGTACTCAGGTATACTCTCACAGAAAGACTACAGAAAGGCCACTTACGACTAGCTTAGCTTTGTCGGTCGATAACCGAATTTCCTTGACTTTTACTCTTTTGTTTGCAAGAGAAATGGTGACTGATGACTGGCAACAATTTGGAATGGTACTTCTGTTAAGCTTAACTGTGTGTGCCTGGCTCTCACTGCCTAGCAATCACCATAGGGTCCACGAAACTCGGAGCATACAAACACCTACATATTATTAATACCACTAATACCTCTATCAGATGTCAATTATGCCAATTATACTACTTTCTCCTTGAAAATGTCTATTTGTGTGTCCTTTTCGTGTACCCCTTCTGTCTAGTACTACCCCCCCATGGAAGACCTCAACCAGCACACCAAAACCACCACTATCCTTTAAATCCAAAAAACGAAGCATCATTTCCTTTTATCAACCACCCCTAAACCCAAAAAGCACCTTACCATTGAAATCCACCAACTCTTTTGTCCACTTCGTGGCCCCCTAGTCCACCCACTGTGTATTTCGCAGCCAATGCTCGAGCCAGCACTCCAACCATCCACCGCCAAAGTCCCACCACTCCCTACAAAAACCTCAAAAGCCCAAGTAGACAAGACCGTTCCCACAAAAGTATAATAAGTATCCTCCCTTCTTTCAACCCCCTCTGGTCCCCCCTTGCTTCACCTCTTCTGCCATCTTCAAATGACTGCACGTAGCCACTACTACCTTTAACGTATACCACGTATTCGATCTCACCAACTTTGTTTAGGGCAATGGCAGATAACCTAAAAGAGGACGATCCCACGTTGGCTGGCGTGGAAGATGGAGTTGCGCCTGACTCGTCTGTTCCTCTTGCTGACGATTTGGAAAAAACGGTGGATTCAGAGATCAAGGCTAATGGTGATGCTAAGGAGACAGAAGAGGTTCAGCAACAGAATGACTCTAATGGGAAGATCGAGGATGATGAGTCGCTAAAGCGCCAATTGGAGGAGACAAGGAAAGAGAGAGACGATGCTAAGTTGCAGCTCGAGGGAATCATCGGTAAACTCTCGGGCATGAAAACCATGTTCCAGAACTATAAAGCTACGCAAGCAGAGCTCGACGAGCTTAAGGAACAGAGTGGTAAGTGGAGTGAGACAAAAGACGAGCTTGAAGCTGAGAATGGCAAGCTCGAGGAGTCTGTCAAGGCTTTGACTGAAGAGCTCAAGAACCTTAATGGTGAATGTGACAGACTCAGCACACAAGATAGCGATTTGCGGAGAGAATTGCAGGCGAAGGACCAGGAGCTTCAGGATGAAAAGTACCGTCTTGAAATGGAGTTGAGAACGGCCCAGAAGTCTGCTAGCGGACAGAAGTCTGAGTACTCCGAGCTCAAACTAGCCAAGGAAGAGCTTGACATGGAGAATAGAAACCTTCGGTCTATTATTGACGAATTGAAGACGAAGCTTTCAGATAAGGACGAGGAGATCAAGAAGCACGACAGAAAAGCAGATGAAACGAAGCTTGAGTATGATGATAAGGTGGAAACCCTTCGAGGAGAAGTGGAAGAGCTCAAGAAGGAGGTTGAAACCAGCAAGAAGGCTACACAGTTGGAGAAAGACGAGAAAGAGAAGCTCCAGGGCGACTTGAAACACTCACAGGATGAATTACAACGTGCCACTACGGAAGCATCCGAAGTACAAACACTCAAAGAAGAAATCCACAGCAAATCTATCATCATTGGCAAGCTCAGGCACGAAGCCATCATCCTCAACGAACATCTCACCAAATCGCTTGGAATGCTCAAGCAGCAGCTGAGCAACGATAACAACACTATAGACAGAGAGCTCATTTCCAACGTGATACTAAATTTCCTTCAAATCCCAAGAGGCGACGCTAAGAAGTTTGAAGCGTTGCAGCTCATCAGCGTGCTCCTAGAGTGGGACGAGCAAAGGAAAGTTCAAGCTGGTCTCTCACACGGGTCCAGTAACAAAAATCGGGAAGGCGAAAGCAGAACCAGGAACTTCGTCTCCTTGTGGACAGACTTCTTAGAGAAGGAATCAACCAAGGGTAACTCGGGTAAATAATTAATGCATTGTGGTCTGGAAGACTTTGTAGAGAAGTTGAAGGAAAGGTGTGGTTTACAGTATATATGGTAATCAGATAAATGGGTGCAAAATGTTAGATAATAGCTGAGTATTGAGAAAAGTATAAAATGCACTTATTCAAATTGTTGAAAACAAATCAGGTATAAGAGAAGAAAGTGATTATTTGGTTATTATGGGTATTAAACGATCCATGAATTGATATTCCATGAAAATACCATTCCATGGATGCTGTTGATGGGAACATCAAAGGAAGTAGTATAACGGTGATTGAATGACCAATAAACCAAAAAAAGATAACGAAATCTCAAAGAACAAGTCAAAGTAATACAGTTATGAACATTTAATAAAAACCACTGTTTCTTAGTCCTTCTTCACATTCTACTTCCCCCATCTATTGGGTGCAAATTAAGACACCACTGGAGGCCAAAAAGGGTCCATCATAAACCACCAACCTCGACGAAATCAAAAAACAAAACACCACACTACCTTCTTCAATCCTCAAAGAAACCAACCAACAATTATAAAAGTCAAAAAACACATATCGTGCCATTTAACTGTCCCTCTGGCGAACCACCATAGTGTATGAGCTGATGCGACTGAGTGGATCCACAGGTCCACGTAAAGTGGCACCCCAGCCAACGAAGCCTATTTTTATGAAAACTGAACGAATCCACCAAAACTACAAAAATCGAATAAATACTTAAAATACCCAAAACCAACCTCCATCTTCCCTTCACCACACGTCTCTTCCCATCCATCAACCTCTCCAGCTCTTCCTCTGGCGCGCGAAAAGTAATATATATCTAAACCGCGTACTACTTTTCCACTTAACTGTCATGGTTGACATTCGGCAATTCTTTGGGGGAGACAAGAAGCCAGGCGTATGCAATTGAATGAAAAGTTAATATTCGATATGGTACTAACAACAGGCTCCTAAGAAGAGACCGGCTCCAAAGAGCGCTTCGCCTGAAGTGGGTGGATCAAGGGACTCCAAGAGAAGCAAGACAGAGACTGAGGCCAATTCGGGGTCAAAGAGCAAGTTTTTTGAAAATAAGGAAACTAAGCTGCTGCCCAAGAAGGCGTCGCCAAAGAAACCCAAGAAAGAGACTCCTTCACCGAAAAAGGCGTCTCCCAGGAAAACAAAGTCCAAGCCAACATATGTGAATCTTGATTCGGACGGTTCGGACTCGGCAGATGACTTTAAGCCTGATGGAGATGAAGAGGAGGAAGAGGATGACGATTTTGACGATTTTAAGGAGGAGGACGACGAAGAGCAGGAGGAGAATGACGTGGATAACGACCTAAGCATCCAGGAAATCGAGCCTGAACCAAAACCAGCAAGAAAGAGAAAGAGATCGGCTTCGCCGCCGCCTAAGAAGGCATCTAAACCAAAGGCTGCCAAGGTTGAGCCTACAGAAGCACCTTCAGGTATCAATGCCGAGGAGATTCTTTCTCAGATTGAGGATGCTGATTTGCCTGAAAGTGTTGAGACAGGCGGCAAGATTAACTACTTCCAGTTGAAGAGCAAACAGGCCAGTGTGGCTGCTCCTAGTGGTAATGTTGAGCTACCACAAGCTGCGCCAAACTGTTTGGGTGGCTTGACCATTGTGTTTACTGGTGTTTTGCCTAATCTTGATAGAGACACCGCTGAGTCTGTGGCTAAACAGTACGGTGCTCGTGTTACGAAAACGATCCTGAAGAAAACCACTCTTGTGGTCATTGGCGAGGAAGCTGGCCCTTCGAAGGTGAAGAAGATTAAAGAACTCGGTATCAAGGCTATTAGCGAAGAAGGTTTCATTGAACTTTTGAATAAAATGCCTGCTGAAGGAGGAAGCGGTGCCGACGCTCAAGCTGCTAAGATCAAGAGAGAAGAGGAAGAGCGTAAACTTGCTGAAGAGGCTGCCGAAGCTGAGAGAAAGGAAAAGGCCGACGAAGAACGCAGAAGAAAGCAAGCTGCTGAGCAGGCTAAAAAGGCTGATTCTTCGGGTAGAGCTCCACCTTCACCAAAAAGAGAGATTCCAAACAGCGAGAAGTTGTGGACCGTCAAGTATGCTCCTACGAATATGAGCCAGATTTGCGGTAACAAGGGCCAGGTCAAGAAGCTTCATGACTGGTTGGCTAACTGGCACAGATACGCAAAAAATGGCTTCAAGTACCCAGCTGAAGGTGGAGGAACGTTTAGAGCTGCTCTCATTTCTGGTCCTCCAGGTATTGGTAAAACCACAGCTGCATCTCTTATTGCAAAAGATCTTGGCTACGATATTCTCGAGAAGAACGCTTCTGACGTGAGATCCAAGTCTTTGCTTAACCTGACAATCAAAAGTGTTCTTTCAAACACTTCTGTTGTTGGATTTTTCAAGAGCAGAGACGTCGAGGAGCATAATGAAAACGAAAAGAAGTTCTGTCTCATTATGGACGAAGTTGATGGTATGTCCAGTGGTGACCACGGAGGAGCTGGCGCCTTATCAGCATTCTGTCGTATTACAAAGATGCCTATGATCTTGATTTGTAACGACAAGACCCTTCCGAAGATGAGAACTTTCGATAAGATCGCCTACCAGTTGCCATTTAGAAGACCAACAGAAACGGAGGTCAAGTCAAGATTGATGACCATTGCATTAAGAGAAGGTATTAAGTTGGACCCTAGTGTCATTGGGCAGTTAGTGCAAGCTACAGGTAACGATATCCGTCAAATGATCAACATGTTGTCAACTGTTTCCAAAACGCAAAAGCGTATCGGTCATGAAAACTCTAAGCAGATTGCCGATAGTTGGAAGAAACACACAGCGCTCAAGCCGTTTGCCATTACTGCCGAATTATTGGGCCACGGTGGACACAACACTCTCAATGACAAGATCGAGTTATACTTCAATGACATTGATTTCACGCCATTGATGATCCAAGAAAACTACCTCCAAGCAGTTCCCCTGGTCTCCTCCGCAAAGGAACATTTAAGCCGTGTTGCGGAGGCCGCAGATAGCATCAGTGAGTCTGACCGCATCAATAGTTTAATTCGGTCGAGTGAGCAGCAATGGAGTTTGCTTCCATTCCACGCTGTGATGTCTACGGTGAAGCCAGCGAACGAAGTCAGAGGTAAGATGACGCAGCAGGTCATGTTCACTCAATGGCTCGGTAAGAACTCGCAGGCCATGAAGTACCAGCGTCTTCTTCAAGAATTGCAATACCACACGCGTTTACGTACGTCGACAAGCAAAGACGAGCTCAGACTCGACTATGTTCCTGCCTTTGAAGAGCGTCTTTCTAAGCCTTTGGTCAGGCACAGTGAAGAAGGCATTCCAGAAGTGATGGAGATGATGGACCACTATTACATGACCAAAGAAGACTTTGATGCCGTGTTTGACTTTGGCGTGGGCCCCAAAGCCGGCGAGTCCATTGGCAAGTTGCCTACCAAGGTCAAATCTGCCTTTACGAGAAAGTACAATGCGGCTCAGCATCCAGTGGCTATCTATAAGACTGGTGATTCTACCAGAGGCCAGCCGCGCAAACAGAAGGTGGACTACGAAGACGTGATTGAAGATGATACTGTAAAGGACGACGAAGAACCCGAAAACACCGAAAGCGACGCCATCGACTCCAAGAAGGATAAACTCATCAAGGCAGTGAAGCCGAAAAAGGGACGTGCCAAAGCCGCCGCAGGCAAGGCCAAAGGCAAGAGCAAAAAATAGACAAGTCCCACCAAGAACAAAGACAAAGCCAGACAAGACAATGGGCCGCCGCTCGACGTGACACAAAAAGATAAATGAGGCCATACGAATAAGCTTCCATAAAGCGTCCATTAAGCTTTTCTTTTGTGTTTATGCTTTTGCTTTCGTCTTTTGTTGTTTGCCGGTTCAGCCTTATGTCTTACATTGGACCAGGATGATCCTGCTGGTACAGCCTCGATGCGGCATCACCATTGCGGTCTGGCCACTGGCTGCAAACAACCGTCCTCAAGAATTCAACTTAGAGACTAACTTAGTCATTGCTTTGCCATTCTTCAGTCTCAGTGAAACCTTACTTACTTCTCCATCACCTTTTCCAGTCTTTCCAGATCTCGCACTCCCCAGGCTACGGATATAAGCCCAGACGCGGCGGAACCCGTCCGTTTCTCCAACGTCCCTACTTTGCCCGACACTTTCTTCCCTCGCCAGACACTCCGAATCTCGAAAACGCCGTTCCCTTAAGCCTTGCTAAGCACCTTGTCTCAGTAGGATGCTACTGGGCTACCCACGCCAAAAACGGGTGGTGCAGGACAGGGGAAGGAACGCGAAATTTTACCTGGGCCGAAAGTCAAGAATTCTCGTGAGGGCCCCGACTGACACATTCCCCCTTACCCTAGTTTCTTGCTTTCCAGCCTTGACAGCTACTGCTTTTCCTCCTAGCATGTCGGACCGAAGTCCCTTGTTTAACATCCCGGTGCCCAACGGCTCTCATAGACAACCGCCGCAGCTTCTGATGCCATCGCCGGTTTCCATCAATCCTAACGAGGCACCAGCGTTACCCCTGGGCTTTCAAGGGTCTCAGGGTTCCCAGGGACCACAGGGACAAGCCAGTGGCGAGCCACCGTTGCCGAATATACCGACGAAGAAAACTGGGCCACGTCGTAAACCGCCTCCAATCGATTTCTCCAAGATCGACGGTTCTCACTCTTTCAGCCCTCAGAGCGACAGCCCGGAAAACCACCATGCTGGGTTGCCTCCTAGCCTTAAAGCCAACGTCAATTCCACCGTACGTATTGGCGAGGCCGTTAAAAACCATACAAATCAGCAGCGCGTGCCGCCCAACCACCACCAGAACAATGTCCAACCGCAAAGGCCCGCTAGACTGAAAAACATAGATGATCTCACGCCAGAGGACTGGAACCGTTTGGCCAACACGCAGCAGATCACAGAACTTGCAAAGCTCGGTGAGGGCAATGGAGGCAGTGTCTCCAAGTGCCAGCTTCGAAGCGGGTCCCCTATCTTTGCTTTGAAGCTTATTAATGCGGACCCTAACCCAGATGTTCAAAAACAAATCATTCGTGAGCTACAATACAACCGTCTGTGTAGTTCGCCTAATATTGTGAAGTACTACGGCACGTTTATGGTTGAGGAGCAGCTGATGATTGGTATTGCCATGGAATACATGGGCGGCCGTTCGTTGGATGCTATTTACAGAAGAGTCATTGAGATTGATCTGTCCAACAGAATTAACGAAAAAGTGTTAGGCAAGATCGCCGATTCGGTGCTCGGCGGACTCAATTACTTGCACCAGCAACGTATCATTCATCGTGACATCAAGCCGTCGAACATTCTTCTCGACAAACATGGTAATGTGAAGATATGCGATTTTGGTGTTTCTGGAGAAGTTGTCAACTCGCTAGCTAATACCTTTGTTGGCACGCAATACTACATGGCCCCAGAACGTATAATGGGTAAACCATACACGGTCAGTTGTGACGTATGGTCACTCGGGCTCACCCTCTTGGAAGTAGCGCTGGGTCGCTTCCCTTACCACATTGAGAGCGAGTCGTCCCTTGGACCCATTGAGCTACTATCTTTAATATTGGAATACGAACCACACTTGGAGGATGTCGCGGACGAGGATATCTTTTGGTCTGATTCCTTCAAGAACTTCATCGATTACTGTCTTAGAAAAGACCCCGAACAAAGGCCATCGCCGCTGCAAATGCTCAAACATCCATGGGTCGTTGGGCAGCTGCAAATAAAGGTGAGCATGGATAGGTTCGTGAAGAGGCTTTGGGGAGACAATTTGGATTAATGAGAGTGCCAAGGAGGCAGGACATGAAAAAAATGAATAATGATTGCAATCAAAGGAACGTTTATACAGAAATGAATTCGGGATTCCTGGACGAGTGTAGGAGAGGTGTAGTTTGGTTGAACATTGAGGTGACCAGCACCTGGGAAATATCGAAGCACGCTCTTATGGAGGAGTTCAAGAAGGCGTCTGAAGTAAAGAAATGAAGATTTCAATAAATAGAGATTCTAAACATATTTATAGATATATAATTGCTTCACTGTTAGAGTATCATGTATACTGTACTGGTATGGTGGAAAGGTGGATATAAAGGACTCCCTAAACACGTCACAAAAGTAAGCAAAACGGCACCAGAAGATCAAAATGAGTCCAAAGGCGAATAAATATAATAATACACTTTATTTTAATCTTCTACTGTTCATTCCTGGTCCATTGACTCCTCTTGACCAGTCCGTTTGCAGCCATTCTTATGAACCGCGCACGACTTCGCAGCCAATCAACTCACCATCTTTCCTCATTACAGGATTCTTCAACCTAAACCGAAACCAAACTACACCAACAATGCCAGTTCCTTTCGAAGGCTTGTTGCCATACGCCATCATGACGGCGTTCTTTGGCTTGGCCGGCCACGGTGTCGGCTTTATTAGATACTGGGACAACGGCTGGAAGAACGACAGGTGGGACTTGGACGCCTGGGACGAGAAGATGATGGCCAGAGACCAGCTCTTGACAGGCACCAAGAGAGGCCAGACGAGTGAAGCTATTGCTCCTGAGCACTTCAAGACTTCTCACATTGTGCAGCAGACTTACTGGACCCCATACAAGGACCAGTTTTTCACTTTCAGAGAGAGATTGTACAGAGGTTACGTCTCCGGTTCTTGGGACTTCAGTTGATGAATATAGCATAATACGACAAATAAGAGAGAGGAATGATGTAGGTAGAGGATGGGGGTTTTGTAGCGTGAAGTGTATTTCTAGTGTACATGGCGCTGCGTAGCAGACGCTGATATGGTGAAAAGGAATGCCAGGAATGCCAGGAATGCCGACCAGGAATTTCTGGTCTTCAGAGTCAAGGGTGACAGCAGCAGGAGGTGCTCTTTAGGGACTGGGCTTAAACCAGAGCGTGGAGGTGCCTGACTAGTACCTCTGAATATCCCTGCCAACAAAAAACAACCCTACCCTTACTTGTAGTGTCTGTAGGCGTGCTTCTCGACAATCTTTGGAGCGTATCTTCTTCTTTTTCTGAGTCCCAAGGCTTCGATCTTACCGGTGGCCTGGAGCTTGTGCATGTGGTCGTAGAAGAGGTTACCCTCTGGCTTGACGTTCTTCAAGTTACCAGTCAACTCATCTGAAAGCTTGACATCGATAGGCTTGAAAATAACCTCGTTTCTTCCGTGACGTGAGTACTTCTTCTTTTTAGGGCCCTTCTTCAGCAGAGCATCCTGCTTATCTTCAACCTCTTGTTCGATATCTTCCAAACGATGAAGTTCCTTCATTCTCACTCTAAGATCTCTAAGTTTCTCCTCGAGCTCTCTTTTCTTTGCGTTGTTAGCCATCTTATTTCTTTGGGTTCTGGTCTTCTTGTTCCACTTGGCAGGAGCATTAAGAGAAAGCTTATACTTTTCTTCCTCTGGAACATCCTGCTCTTCTTCAACAGCCTTGACCTCCTCTTCATCCTCAGATTCAAACTCGTCCTCCTTCAAGTTCTCAATAAGAAACTCGATTCTCTTCTCGTGTTCGGCCATAGCCTGGCGCTTGATCTCCACACTGCTCTCAGCGTCAAACTCACGGTCAATCAATGCCTGCCACAGCTCCAAAGAAGGGTTATAAGACTTACCTGCGTCCACGTCGTGCTCAACACTGCCCTTTGACTTATGAAGCGTAAGAGGAATAGGAGCTTCTTGTAGTGTCTTAGGCACCTTGGTAGGTTTCGTGACAGATAAATATGCAGATTTCTTCAACTCTTCAGGCAAGCCGGTTTCTTCCTCCTCGCCCCAGACGTCAACATCGCCACCTTTAATAAGACCATCCTTTTCCAAACGTTTCTTGCTCTTATCTTCAGTAAGCAGGCGTCCTGCCAATGCCATCAACTCCTTGACCTTACTGCCACTGTACTTCTTCTTGACAGTACGAGATCTGATAGGTTCCACCTTCGACTTATTGCTTAAGATCTCAGTCATCTTAAGCTTCTTGGCTTCAGGCTTTTTCTTGGAAACCGTGGCTTGTGTATCGATAACGAACTCATCTCCAGCGTCTTCCTTTCCATGCAAAATTTCCTTATCTCTTTTGGCGTCTAAAGATTCGTCGATTTCCTGGACATCGATATTCTTTCTCCAAGCTCTTTTGCCTTTTCTGGAAGGCTGCGCTTTGGGCGCTTTGGTGACTTTGGCCAGGTTATCCATTTTGTAAGGCGATGAGCAGAGATGAGTTTCTGAATTTTGAGATGCGCCTGGGATCAATAGTGGGTGCAAAAGGGCGACAATGTCGCACGAAGGGTGGGTCCATCAAGGGCAAGACGAAGTCTTGGAAAAGGAATTTAAAGGGTGGAATTGGAATATAGGGGTACGTTTCTATTAAAATCCAGCTTTTCTTTTTTGTTTTGGACCTTGGGGCGGGAAATGGCGGGGGTACTACTGACGGTGCGACGACATTTTTGCACCCACTATCAGCACTGTATCAGTAGAAATGGAAGAAGTGATAAAGGGAAAGGTGTGACTTTTATTTAAATGGTGGATATGGGATGAATGGATAGAATTTATAGTACTGGTTAAATACCAATGACTCCAACAGCCTTGGATGGGCAGATGTATGGGTACAGTGCTTGTAGGCTGATAAGATAACGCAGGAAAGGAGTATGTCAAGAGTTGATACACCTAATTATAAGAGACCTCTTAATACTTGGTAAAATATTCTTTAAACCATTTTCTGTGTCTATGAGATTGCATTGGAAAAACTCTTCTCTACTTAAATGGTGTTTGGGCAAGAGCTCTATGGTTATGGAACTTCAAGACCCCAGTAACCGTTGGATGAAGCATGAAGCCAGAACCATAATGACCACCAACAAGCAATAACAACTACCAATTGCTACCGTCTCTCTAAATCCCCACATGGACAATCTCCCGCCTTTATCAAATTTCCGCCTGGAAACGCATTCCGCATCTCCCCAGATAAGCTCCATCAAGTACAACCAATATCAACAAACACCCAAAACCCACATAATCAGCGACATGAAAAACCCAAACACGAGCCACTTTTAGTCCGAGATTCATCCTCCATCTATGCATTCCCCTCCGTTTCACTTTCTACACGTGAGGTTCAACAATACCACCGGTGCTCGTTCAAGTTTGCGAGTTACTTCGATTGTTGATTTCGCCGCATGTGAAAAGCCATAACGACCCCACCAGCATATGATAAGCCAGGCTGAGGGGATAGTGGAGTTTTGATGGTTTTCGGAATTTATGCTAGTTTGCCAATTGGGGCTGGTTGGATGTGAAAGTGGAGTGAATTCGAGGTATCCTCGGTGAAAAGTCTAGGAGGTTGTCTGGTGAGGTCACAGTAGACGGAAAGAATGAAATGGGATAGAATGGTGGGAAGGTTCGGGGTGTGAATTAGAGTTGGGATGCATGGCCGTTGGTTTGTAACGGTTTTTGTTGCAGAATGGCTGCAAAACGGCTTCCCAACGGCCCATACTGTGAATGCATCGCCTGATCTTCTGTAGTCGTGATTGGTGTGTTTTTATACCGTTGGAGGTGCTTGTACTTATGAAAAGCTTCTATTAATTTGTCTGTCTCTGTATTTGCTTCAAGGGTTCTGTCACGGTGTTCTTCGCTTTCCTTGGCTCTCTGGGTTATTCATGTCAGCCTGTGGAGGTAAACTGATAGCCTTGAGGCTGCAGAGCTTTCAATGGTGTTCATACCTTTCTAAAAGGGTCCTGTTGATGCCAATTCAGGTATTGGATCAGCCGATGAAGCATTTCCATGTCAAGCGAAGTCGTAGGATGCAACACAAGGCATTACCTTGAAATGTCAGCATAATCACCAGAAAACAAATTAAACTCACAAACGAGCAATTTATTTCCTGAAATGTAATGGATGCTTGTGAACGATCCAGCAAGCAATGTCCTCTTAGCCTAGGGTTCAACCCTCTTAGCCATTTGAACTTCATGGCCATTGGCAGTGATCCAGCGGCTTCACCTGATCCAAGCCCAATCCAGTCAATCTGTCCAGCAACAGATAGCTCCCCCACATCCTTCAACGCTGCCGCCTCTCCATTCCCCCACTTAAGAGCTCACCATGGCCACTACTCTTCCCATCAACTCCATCTGGTCCAACTCGCTCACCAGACCACTCACACAAACGTAACTAGGACAACCGCTCTTCTTAACTAACACACGGCCCAATCTATGTGCCAAATCCAGCACTGTGTTATCGCCACTGGCCTGTAACACTGCAGTGTAGACATCCAGCTTCTTTCCAGGAATAGCATAGATATAACAGCCAATGCCACACGGAGCCTGTTCTGTGACATAGACAACATTAGGCTTCTTAGGAGCTTCTCCACGAGTCACACTAACGGTGTATTCACCGCAAGATAAGGGTACTTCTTCAGATATCATGGTTGGTTCCAGTGGTTGGTAGTGGTTGATAGATGGAGATGTGCAGGAGACACAGACTTTTGCAGCCACCAGATGGACACCAGCCATTGGAAGAGAGAGGAGGTAAGTAGCAGTGGGGGATAAGTTAAGAGGGAGAGGGAAAGAGGATTTAAAAATTTGAGAAGAATTCGGTTGCTGGTTGGGGAGTTGTAGCACTCTTGGTGCTCGCAGAGTGGGACCACTTACGGTGCCCACAAAACAAGCAATACGCCGCCTAGGAAGGTTAATTATACTTTTTAACTGGTAAAGTTAACTTTAAGAATACACTGAGTTGCCTATTTCTTGTAATTTGGTTCTGTGAGCCAAAAAGCTATCCAGCCTGGGGAGAAGGTAGAGGACAAGAAAAATCCATAGAGATACCACTGCAAAGCACAAGAACAACGCCTAAGAAAAAAGAAAACACATTTACTGTAACTGGACCACTCCAAGCAAGCCAAAATACGTCTTCCACCGCCGCCACCGCCAACCGTCCCGGCAAGATCTGTAACCTTAGTGTCGTCACCCGGAGCATCTAGAGCAGTCCATAGGCACCACCCAAAGACCCATACTTTCACCAATTTTCACCGAAGTCTCCAAACCACCAAGTCAGCAAAGTCACCAAAACCCAATCAAACAAGCTCAATCATCCACCAATCCGCTTCAGCCCAATCCAATTAGAACATTTAAAGAGCTATTGCCTCCATCTCATGCTTTCTCATGCTCCACCCATACTTCCCCAAAATGGCTGCGAAACTCCCCACCACTCACTTCCAGTCCATACTCTACAAGACACATCTGACACACCACCACCCTCCCCAAGTCCCCCCAACTCCCCCATATATCTCTTACTCTTCCAATACCTTCCTCTTCACTACCTCCATCCTCCCCTTGCCCATCTCTTTCCCACCTCTTTTCCTCCCACCTCCCACCCAAAGCTTAAAGCCCTGCAGGCCATAGAGCCTCGGGCCCAGTCCAGCCAGAGCCAGTTATATCCGGACCACCAACCACCAACCATCCACCAACCAACCAATAACCATCCAACTACTAACCTTCCATCTAACCTTCTCAATCTAAGTCCCCCAAATCAATAACGTTGGTTTCTGTTTACCCTCCACCTGGGGCCAGCCCCCACTGGGGCCCTTGCTTTGTTCTCGTCAAGCCTGCTTGTGATTTCTCGCTCTTTTTTACCCCAGTATGTATGCGCCAGACCTATTGTGTGGGAAAACACCTTTTTCTGTCTCCCAGTTTTCTGACCTTATTCGGTGCCACTTTCTTTCTGACGCTGCGGTCTGCCACTTTTTTTTTGTTTTTAAACGTTTTTGCTTGACCACTTCGCTGCCATGTCTGTTGACCCCTTGGTAGACTCGCTCAATCGCTTAATTTTCCACCTCCCGCATGCTGTACCCCAGACTAGTGAAAACGGCGACTCGGTGGTGGCTCCACAAAACGGGCTTCCTTCCATTCTGAAGGAGTACTTTCCGTTGAAGGTGTCTGTGGCCAGGGAGGGTTTGCTGCCGGGACTGCTTAAATCGCTTAAGAATGAGCTTTCCAAGAACCACTGGCGCTGGGGCCAGTCCCTGGCGTCGATAGACGTTTCCTTCTCGACGAAAGCGGCTGCCGACGCTGCCGTGGCGTATTTGCTCGAGAAGAAGTTCTCTGTGCTGTTTGACTACTCCAAGTTCGTATCTCATCCGGGTACGCTATTCGTGAAGAACCTAGCACGGGCTTCTGTGCTGCAAGATAAGCTCCATGCGTTTTTCAACGATGCCTCCAAGTATCGGTCGGTTTGCGACGTGAATATCATTTCCTCGGCCTCCCTGGCGTCTTCCTCGTCATTGGCCTCGAATCTGCTGGATCTGGAGGCGCTGGCGATTCTCAAGTTTGATAATTACCTTGACGTTGACTATATCACGTCTAACTTGCCTTTGGCCCAGAACCCGTTCCATCTGTCTTTGCCATTGTACGTAAACCGTTACGTTAGCAAAAGAGAACGTGCCATGTGTCCCGATCTGGCGCCTTCGTCGCTGCTGCTGGTGAACCTGGCCCCTGAAGACTCCATCTTGTACGATACGCTTGTCATTGAAAACCTCGGGGATTTCTTCAGTAATCGAGCCAAAATCGACGAGTTGCGTCCTCTCGTGGAGAAATTCGCCCTTTTTGGCCCCATAGACTCGATATACTGGCCAATGTCTCATGGCAGCGAGGACAGTTTGTCTTTCCGCAAGGTTGGGTTTATCTGCTTCGCCCATGAACGAAACCTTAATCAGGATATTCTCCGCTGCTTATACTACTTGAGAGACTTGACATTTGACGAGTTTGATAAGTTTTCGGAACAGGATATCTACGACATCAAAGAAGACATCAACAAGCCTCATAAGTTCCCAGAGCTGCTGGACACTCCAAGACTAAAAATTTCCATTGCACAGAGGAAACATAATCACCATCTTTACGAAAGTGCCGAGTCTTTGTATGCCTATAATGAACCAGGGCTGCTCAAAATGAAAGTATGTGATCCGTCAGCTTCAGATATCCACGACGACACATTCCTTAGCAAATTCATGAAGGCTTCGAATTACCAAGAGACAAACGTTTACGTGAACAATTTACCCATTTTATTTGAAAATAATGACGATCTATGGGCGCTGTTCTGGGACCAGTTTGGTGTTGAAGGCGTGAAAAGCGCCAAAATCATCAAACCTCAGTTCTACTCCAAGAAATCCGACGAGCTGCTTGGACGCATAGGATTTGTATTCTACGAGGAGTTCAAAATGGCTCTCAGAGCTATCATTCTAACCAACAACAAAGTGGTGAGTCTTGGAAACGGCCCTGGCATGGCTGTCCAGGCGTCCTTTGCTATACAGAAACATAATAACCTGCTGGGTAGTGGAAAGCTGGCACTGTCTTCACTCAGCTCAGGCTCAAACTACAATTATTATAATGACGGTTACGGGAAGCGTTTCAGCTTACCCATGAATGATCCTAACTTCTACATGCATGAGCCCAGACTACCCAACCATGCTGCATCGCCAGGGGCTTCTCCATTTGTGCCCCCAGATTACTATTACTATCCTTATTACATGCCCATGCAGCCACCTCCAGAGCCAATAAAGAAGGAGGAGGAGAATGGTGGACATTCACCAAAGCAAGCCCCACCACAGATGAACCCCAATGCGGCACCTTATCCAAACCCAATGGGCTACATGTACCATCCTTACTACTCAATGCCGCAAGTGCCTCCTCAATCTATGGGAATGGGTAACGGACCGGGTCCATATTTCAATAATTACTCAATGAGGCAACCAGGGAAGGAAAGGAAAGGTGAACGGAAGAAGTCGTGAGACATCCAGAGATCTTACATAAAAGTTAAAGGATGAACATTATTTAATAAAAAAAAAATCTTATTTATCAAAGCCTTATTAATATCCCGTGTAATGCAAAATCGTACCCTATTTACAATGAAGGTGGTGCCTCGTCTCTTCTGGCTGGTGTAACGCTAGCTGCGCTGAACTCTGGCTCGGGCTGTTCTTCTTGTTGAGCAGCAGCCTGTGCCTCTTCTTCATCAGTAGCGTCAATCTGTTTGACTTCTTGAACTTCCTCAATGTAGTATTGCAACATGCTCTCAATACCGTTTTTGAGCGTCACCGACGACGAGTCACACGATCTACATGCGCCCTTAAGTTTCAAGTAAACCACACCAGTGTCTTCGTTGAAGCTGGAGAATTCAATATCGCCACCGTCATCTTGAATAGCAGGTCTGATTCTTGTAAAGATGAGTTCCTTGATCATCAGAACCACTTCATCGTCTTCCTCATCAAAACCAATATCGTTCGAGAGCTCGCTCGTGTCGTTCACCACTGGCGTACCATTAGACAAAGATTCAGTCAAGATCGAGAAGATCTCTGGCTTAAGGAGACTCCACTCGAAGTCATCGCCTTGTTTTTCAATAGTAATAAAGTTCAGTCCCAACATGATTGATTTAACGCCATCAATACCAAAAAGCTTCACCGCAAGAGGCGAACACGCCGCCTCCCTACCACTCAAAAACTCCCTGGTTTCGTTCTCCCTAAGGATGTTCATGGAAGGAAGAAACTTTAAAGCATTCTCGTTCGGAGTTTCTGCTGTCTGTATGAAAAGATTCCTGAGCTGTCTGGAAATAGCAGGACGTCTTAGCGTCATAAGACGTGAACTTAGACTTTTGGAAAACATGTGTCAAGTTTGATGGAAAAGATATGGATAAAAGAAAGTGTGGTAACTTTTGTTACGAGATCCAATTATGAACCAGGTAAAGTATGTGCAGCGGCAGATGGCATGGAGCGATTGCGAAAGAAACCCGTGCCTCCGGGGGATTTCGGGTGGGTACTCTGCGTTTCTTTTTTGCAGCCATCTAACGGTGTCGCGAGTCAAGTCCGAGTCATGGGAAGGTGGATCATTCGCCAAAAAGGATCTTTTCAAACATACTGGCGGCTTTTTCTTCAATCTTGGTTTCGTTGCCTTCGCTGCTGATCGACTGGTCAAGCTGGAGTTTGTTTTCTGCAAGCATCAAGATATTCTCGTCTATAGTGTGTTCTGAGATGAGCTTGGTCACGAGCACTTCACTGGTCTGACCGACACGGTGAGCTCTGTCTTCTGCCTGTTTGTCATCATGGGGGTTGAACGATTGGTCGAAGATGACGACGTTGTTGGCGGCAACAAGATTGATACCAAAACCACCTGCTTTTGTAGAAAGAAGGAAGACAGGAATGGTATCGTCTTCGTAGAACCTGTCGATAATGTCTTGTCTGGTTTCCACACTGGTCTGACCGTCTAGTCTGACGAAGGTGATGTTTTTGAAACTCAAGATTCTCTCGAGAATATCGAGCATTTGCGTGAATAACGAGAACACGAGCACCTTCTCTTTCTTCTCAATGACCTGCTCGAGGATCTTTAAAAGCTGTGTAACCTTTCCACTCTCAAACCATTTGGCTTCGTCAAGAACGTACGAGCCAAGCGTTGTGGGGAACTTCTCACAAAGGGCATTGAGCTCGTAGTCGCTCATCACCAGCATATCTTCCACAATGTAGGTTCTGTTGGCAGAAACGTACTCTGGCTCCTTCATGATCTTCGTTGCCATCTCTTCCAACATATCGTCCTTGTACTGGGTTCTGAAAAGCAATGGATGCATGGAGGCCTTTCTCAACGACATCATGACGTTTGAAGTAGAAGCTGTGGGGCTCATACGAGCTGCGTTTGCGTCTTTACCATTAAGCTTCTTTCTTCTTTCTCTCTCTGCCTTTGCTTCTTTACCCTGGCGAATGAAACCATCGTAAATGTTTTTCTGGGCGGTCGTCAATGGACACTTGATCACCTCGTGGCTCTTTCCAGGAAGATACTTGAGAACCTGAGCCTTCTTTCTTCTCAAAACGAACGGCGTCATCATTGTCTTTGCTTTATTAATTGCCTGCTGAGACATGAGAGGGTTGTAATCATCCGAGGTAGTATCCACACTGGCTTTCTTATTAAAAAGACCCTGAAGATCTTCTCTCTTTTCAACAAACAAGTTTGGAAGCATGAAAGCCAAAAGAGAAACAAGCTCCTTCAAATTGTTCTGCAATGGAGTACCAGTGAGAAGTAGTCTATAGTTTGCCTTAAGCCTCATAAGCTTATTGTACCTTTCACTGCTTGAGTTCTTCAACATGTGGCCTTCATCGTACACAATCATGTCGAATCTGTGGTTCTTCAAGAACTTGAAATCTGGAGGAGATCCAGTTGCAAGGTTGTATGTTGTCACCAAAACATCGTATTCAGACTCGGCGAGCTCGTACCTTAAATCTTCACGCTCTGCTTGCGAACCGTAATAAGCTTGAACAACTAACGATGGACAAAACTTCTGGAACTCACGGAGCCAGTTCTCCAATGTCGAAGATGGAACAACCACAAGATGTGCGCTGCCATTATCGGAAGTGGCTTTCAAGTGAGCCATGAAAGAAATAACTTGACATGTCTTACCCAAACCCATCTCATCAGCAAGAATACACGAAAGCTTGTTCTGGTAAAGCAAGTTGAGCCAGTTGATACCGACCTGCTGGTAAGTCTTGAGCTCGACGTCTTCAGCAAGAAGTGTAGGCTTGTGCTTGATGTATGGCATACTACGCCCCTTGGCACCAACATCATCGTCTTCTTCATCCTTTTCTTCACCACCAGCAATCTCTACCATGCTAAGTTCACCTTCACCGGTAACCTTGACTCCCCATCTATCCATTTGGCGAGAGATTAAGCTACCGTAGTCGGAGCATTTCTTGATTAACGAGTCCACGGCCTTGTAACCCTTAAGACTGAACTCTGTGCTTTCGACGATCTTGAGACCAGTAGCTTTCCTTTGACCACCACGTCTTTTCACCTGGGTTTCAGGCTCAGGAGTAGCTTCATCAAATCTATCCTCAGAAATCTGGTAGATCGAATTATAAGGTCTCTTGGAGATCAAGAGCTCGGCGATCTTGGGCTGAATATTACAGATCTCGATGATATCTTCCTGAGGAGCGTTATTAAGAAACTCCAAGATCTGGCCGTCTATAGATGTAAGGCCAGAATTAAACGCATTCTCATCGTCTTCCTGCGACATATCATCGCTGAAGTCTTCCTCCTCGAGATCATCATCACTATCAGCCACATGGACCTTCTTGCTCTTCTTCTTGTTCTCCCTGATCTTCTCTTCCAACTGTTCTAGATCATCAACCCCACCATTAAACGACTGTTTAAGACGCGGCACGGCATCTTCATTATGGCTAAACGCAGCAGTCAAAGCGCCTGGCTGCAAAGACCCAGGCGCCAGACCAACCAGGGACGCCTGATTAGCGAGTTCAGCGTTATCGGCACGAACAAGACGACGTCTCTTTTGTGGCGCCGAACCCAACGATTTCTGAAACAAATAATCAATCTTTGGCTGGTTGTTGCCCTGGTTCTGTCTATACTTCTCTAAAATCGAAACCTTAGGCTTCTGGAGCTCGATCTTCGTGCTTGAAATATCCGGCTTGAGCTCCGAAAGCAGCGGTCTCTTTTGTCTGGCGGTGCCTCTCTTCACAGGCGAAGCATCCTCGTCATCGTACAGCTTACCTGGTTGTGGCACCGAAGACAGTGGCTGCGAAACAGGAGCAAAAGACGAAGCCAAAGCTCTAGTCTTCTCCTCTTCCTTCTTCCTTTCCTCCTCCTGTCTCTTCCTCTCCAACTCTCTATCATATTCCGCAAGCTTAGCCTCCAAATCTATATTGGCAGCCAACCACAGCGAGATGTCTCGTAGGTTACCCTTTCCACGAACCATGCCCTTGAAAATCTCGATCTCCGGCAAGTAGTAAAACCGCTTCGAAAGAATAGGCCAGAACTTATGTGAATAAAACCGGTTTTTCATCTCCAACGTCTGGGGGTCCTGTGTTCTTGAACCACCATTGTGGGTATGAGTATGGGAAGGCATCGCAGGCCTGTCCTGCTTTTCTGGCGACAGCTTCACGTTTATCGGCAGCAGCGACGGCACCTGGAGAGCGTCATTTGCCTGTTTGTGAGGTGTTTGGTCGGCAAACGTCATGGCCTGGTGGAGGTTTACGGAAGGATGTATAGATTTGGCGTTTGGCGATGGAGCACCTTTTTTTCCTCACGTCTGCAGCGCGTACCGTTGGCAAGGCTGGTGGAGGGGGAGGGGGAAAGACGTTTGGGTGGTAGAGGGAAGGAAATGACGGTTTGTAAATGTTAAGAAAGTGGTTTGGTGGTTTAGTGACTTTTTTTTGGGTTTTTTTTTATGCTTTTTGGTGGAAATGGTGGACGGTTGGTGGAGCCTAGGGAAGTGTGGTTGCTCGCGTTTTTGCACCCATTTCGTGAGGGCTAAGGGGAGTTGGTTGGGGCGTCTTAGAGATGTGTTGTTTAGGTATTGAATTAGATTTATTTTCGTTTTACTGATTGTTGTTTTGGTTTCGGTGAATTTTTGTTTTAACGGTTTTATGTTTTGGGGAGTAGGAAGGGTGTTGGTAATTGGGAATGGAAGGACAGGATGGGGTGGAGAGGCAGTGGTTGTGGAAGTAATGAGTAAAAAGTCGTAGGTGAATAACGTAATTTAATTTACTTGATTTGAGGTTGGATAAGTTCAAACGGCTTTGTTACGGCTGTTAAAATGAATTAGGGTGTTTATTGGGTACAACGTTTGCTAGATGTACTTGGGGTGGTTGTCTGGAGGCCGCCAGGAAGAGGATAGTATACGTACGGGAGATATTAAACTACTTCATTTTCCTGCTTTTATTGGTAAATTTTTGGTCATTTCTGGCTAACTGGCACCTCAGTTCTCGAGCTTCTACAACTGTCTCTCGTTTCTTTTTATGGACGTTAGGTAAACCTTACTCTATGGTTGATATAGCTAACCCTATCTTCAATATACAGCTAAGAAGATCAAGACCTTATAATTACCAAATGAATGAAATATACACTTTTCCAATCATTCCAACCGATTTAACCCACTATCTGTTCATCCCTTGACATCTTAACACTACATCCCAGCCATAACCAATAACCTGACCTGCAATACCTAATCCTTGACCTGGATCTTCTATCTATAGCTTCTACAAACACTTCCCTAATTTCTCCCCAAAGCTATAAAAAAAACCCATATGAAGCATTTATACCACCCTCTGCTCCATCTCATCTCAGTCTCTCTGAACCATTTGCAGCCACACTGAACCCATCTCTGAACCACCACCAGGTATCAACAAAAATCCCACAAGAACCTCCCAAACCGCCCTTAAATAACCATGAAATCAAACCATAAAGCTTTCCCAACCATAAATTCTCTCCTTATACAGCCCTCTCCCCTGCCCAGCACGAAATCTGGGGTACTATTTTTCACCGCGCAGAGTATCACCATAACCACTACTCCATGACAGAACAGCCAGTGTATAAGATCCTTAGATGTGGTTCAAACGGTAGTTTCCAGCTTGGGCTTGGAGACGATGAAGACAGAAATACACTATGTGAAGTTGAGACGGATTTCCCTCATACTCGTCCTGTGACGTTTGCTTGTGGAGGCAACCATACACTTATACTATTTGAAGATGGACTGGTGGTGGCTGCAGGCAGCAACGAATATAGCCAGTGTGGGTTTAAGGGACCTGAAGTGGTTGAGAAGTTTACTAAGGTGCCTGGGAAATGGAAGTTTGTGGCAGCTGGTTGGGAATACTCTGTGTTTGTGAGTGAAGACGATACAGTGTATACATGTGGATATGGACCCAAGGGAGAGTTGGGGCTTGGGAAGAACTTTATACTTGCCGAGGAGCTTTTTGATGTGAGGTTTCCAGTGAAAAGTCGAGTGCTAGATGTCAAGTCTTCGATAAACCATGTCATTGTGGTGACTGAAGAGGGTACATATGGCTGGGGAGCGTGCCGAAAAGGTCAATTGGGTGAAGTGACGAAGGTTTCAGAAAAGGGAAAGCCAGTGCCGGTGTATTGGGAGCCAGAGAGGCTTCAGTTCTCGGGAAGTTCTGCTATAATGGCACACGACAGGACAGTGGTATTTGATGGGAAGAAGATTGATATTTTGGGTAAGAATCCTGAAACGATAAGTGCTGAAGGTGCTACTAACGTGAAAGCGATGTGGTCGTCAGTTCACTGGTCTGTGCCCAAAGAGAATGGTATCAATATCTTCTCCCAAGGTAATAATCTGCATGGCCAGTTGTACAAGTTCAATGATGAAGTAACACCCATTGATTTCACAGTTGGATCAGAGCACGGGTTGGTATTGCTTAAAGACGGTAGGGTTCTTGCATGGGGCTGGGGCGAACACGGGAATTGTGGACCACCTGCTGAAGCAAAGGATGAGACAGCTTTGGTGACCTATGACTATCTTAATGAGATATACGATGGGAAGAACGAAGTGGTGAAGTTAGCCGCTGGTTGTGCTACTACGTGGGTTGTTGTGAAGGTGAAGTAATGGGTATGATGGAAGGTATGGACTCGTCAGGTCAGTGGTTCCGTTTACCCAATGTACTTCAACACCTAGCATGGTATGGTGATTTAAAAAACCACGGTGATCCACCATGGTGGATACCATAACAACACCATATCGTAATCTCTTCAACCTTCAATAAGAGACATTCAATGACTACTCGTTCTAAACAAATCTACACGTCCTTGGCCCTGCTGGACTGATACTACCGTCTGTGTACCACCCCAGCCAATTCCCATCGTTGGTCTCCACGTCATAGCCATCCAAACGCTGTAGCGAGGTATCTTTCCCATATTCATCTATGCCACGATAATGAATCAGGCTCAAAGATGGAAAATATGTTCAACGCGTTGCTCTGGGACAAAAGTATCGGCGAGGCTCCGTGGATCTAAAAAGCCCCTCCATCTTAGCTGTCCCATTGCACTGACAACCTCCTGGAACCCAAAAGAATGTTTTACCATCCCAGGCCCAGAAATCATCAGCACAATGTTGAAGAAGCATCAAAAACTCATCGCGGCTTTTTTTGCATGGTAGGGAACCTTCTCGATTGACCCAGTGCGGGTAACCCTCCATATAAAGCAAACCCACCTTCTTTACCAACCCAGTGGAAACCCGTGTTTTACAATATGTTTGGAGCAGTTTGTTCAGGCAGACCGATCCAGTTGGCCCAGCAGGTGGAGCCTACGAAATATGTGCTTACAATTGATAATGCAGCCAGCATAAACCATGTAGCTGTGTTCTTGCTTCCCCAGACAGACTTCACCGACCCCAACTTTACAGCGTTGGTGTACTTCCAGCTTCTGAACAGTGCCGAGTTTAGGCTTCTTGGGGGACTCAATCCAGTGAAGCCGTCGGCGATTTTCAAATTGAATAATACTAGTGGTCTGCTGACGTCGTACTTGGCTGACGACGATGCTATGAATGACGACGCCACAGCTTCTGCCAATGCCACTATCAACATTGGTATATCCATTGAACCTACTCCACAAGCCGAGCAGTTGTTGCTGGCTGAAAAACAGAAGAATTCCTCGGCGGTTGTCCCGAGAAACAATGTTCCCAAGACAGCACCCAAGGCACCACTGGATATTGCCAATTTGGCCAATAGAATTGTGAAACACGCTTATAACTATCTCAGTGGGTTTGTGGACCCTGCCGGGAAGGTGCCCATGAAGGCGTTCGACACATGGTGGGAAAAGTTCCGGACAAAGCTCCAGACCAACCCGAACTTTCTTGAGGAACTTGATTAGATGGATAACGAAATTATACGATTAATGGATAACGTTTTATTATAACTAGACAGTAGTATTAGGTCTTATTGAATTGTTCACGTCATGCTTACAACAAGGCAAGAGCCACGGCACCAGCGACACCGCCAGCGGCCATGAAAGAGCCAGAACGGGCACCGCCGTTGTCAGTGCTGGAAGAGCTGCCAGAGGTACCAGAAGCTGAGGCGGAGCCAGACTTGGAGTCGGAGCCAGACTTGGAGCCAGAGCCAGACTTAGAGTCAGAGCCAGAGCCAGACTTGGAGCCGGAACCAGCGCCGCCAGATCTGGTGGAGTTTCTCAGGTTAGCAGCGGCAACGCCAGAAGCGACAGAGGAAGCATCGCCAGAAGCAGTGACGGAGTTGAGGAAGTCAGAAACGTCAGAGTCAGCAACAGAGCCAATGGACACAGAGCCGCTCTCCATGTCGTTCTGAGTGAAGACATCAGCGTATTCAGAGGCAATGCTCTGGAAGTCACCACCGTATTGGCCGTAGAAAGAAGTCACCCAGGCATTGTAACCAGAAGTGTCGTCGGAAGCGAGAGTACGAGCAGCCTCGACAGCAGCAGCGACAGATGGTTGACCGTAGAAGGCGTCAAGGGCAGCATAGTAGGAAGAAGCCAAAGTGCCAGTGTAGGAAGTAGTGTCACCAAGAGGGTTTGGCACGTCAGAAGCGGCAAGAGCAGCAGCAACGAGTGGGATGAAAGCGAACTTTTGCATTTTGTGAATAAAGGAAGATGTGGGAAATATGAAAAAAAAGGGAAGACGAAAGAAGTTGGAAATCACGGCCCTTTTATACCTGCGGTGGGGAAGGCCAAAAATAATGGGCCGAATTCTTCAGAAGCGCTGCGGCCCTGCGAGTAATAAGGCGGGTCCATCGCAACGGAATGGACAGAAAGGTGAGGAAAGGGAGGAAATTGGGAAAAAATATGTCGATTTTTTTGGCTTATCATAATAAGAAGATTTCAATTACTAAACTGGCCGAGATTGGGGGCGCTGGCGGTGAAGAGACCAAAGAATTGGGGGTTTTCCAGACGCATCCGATTTGGATGTTTTTGACTCTTTGGGCGTAAATGGCTCGCGCCAGACGAGGCAGGGCCAAGCACGAAAAAAAAAGGCAGAAAAAAAGAAAAAGACACAAAAAGGTGGATTGACAGAAAAAAGAGACAAGCAGGTGAGGACCAGGGAGTGGTAAAAAAGGCAGAATTTGGTGAATAAAAAGTGGGAATCGGCCTCTATTTATAGTTGACAGGTACTTTTTGGCTTTTGTTCCTCGGCTGAGGAGTGGCTTCCCGTGGTTCCCTGGCTTTGCCATTTTTTGCCTCGGGCTTTGTTCTTTCCTGATCTGACTTTTGCCTGGCGTGCGTACCCGCGATCTGTAAATATGGCATGCCAGTTATTTATGGAAGTGGACAAGGGGTGGGGAGAATTTGGGAAGGAATGGGAATTTGAGGAAGATAGTGGTAGCAACGGAAAGAGGACGCTGAGACGAACACAATGGTAGTCTTATCGTTTTGTTTCCGTAATAACTGGAATTTTCAGCACGGTTTTCATCTTTTTGGCCCTTGGTCCGGGCTGAGTGGGGATGCATGAAAATGGCTGCAAACGGTGGAAATCACCATACTTTGTGAAACTCAATTGGCAACCAGGGGGTAAAGAAAATGTGGATTTTACCATTCCAAGTAGGAAGAGTAAGAAATGGGTATTTGGGTGACAATGGTCTCCTGGCGGTGCCCAGGTTTCTTAGGTTTCTTAACAAAGAGGAAGAGTATTGTCCAAGGAAGGAGGGAGGGAGTTGTTTGGAGGTTTAATCGGAGTTCCGTATGAAAGGGGAGGGGGAAGACGAGGGGAAGACGCGTAGGCTATGGAGATGGTAAAGAGTAACAATTGGAGAAAGAGGGTTTTCATGGTTTTGTGGAACTGGTGGGGGTAGAGTGAAGTGACCAATGAGGGTGCTGAGAAGGTTACATTGCGTAGTATTAGACTAAGGCGCCAAGGGTAAAAGGCAGGGCAAGGCAACGGCAAAAGGGTAAGACATAAAACACAAAAGGTGAAATATGATTGAAAAGACATAAACGTATAGAATACAACTTCTGGGTGATTATATCTGCCAGAGTATGGTGGTTACGAGTAATCTGTTCAACCAGCGACTCGCGCCGTATAGACAAGCCGTATACGAAAGACATATCCCCAGTTTCAACTACTTCTCCAAATTCACCTTCCCTGTCCAATACCAATTATTCTTCTGTTTCGGGAATATGGTCACTTTTAGCCGACACTCGGCTGGAGCCATTGTAGGAGCCATTGTAGTAAGCTTTACAGTACTAGCAAGACACTTATTGACATTGGTATGCATAGAGGCGGGGGCCCACCGTCTTGTGATACAAGAGTCTCCAGATGAAGAATAGGAAAAAGAAAGAAAGAAAGACATAGCCTTGGTAAAACAATAAAAATGGAATTACAGAAAGTGACCAGATAATGGGTTAAGTTTGGAGGCGGGGCGACTCAGCCATGGCATGGAACCGTCTACGCACCGAACCGAGTTGCAGCCATTTGCAGGTGCTTAGAGGAAAGAGTGCTCAGGGAATGGTAGTATTGGACTGTTTATTGAATTATAGGGTAATTTTTGTTCTTTTGGTTGCTTTCTACACCTCCATTGGAACATTCATACATCTAGGGTATCTAAAGCAAAAGAAGAGCAGCAACGGCAGCAACACCTCCAGCACCGTAGTACTGAGTAGAACGGCCGGCAAGACCGTCAGAAGAGGAGGAAGAGCCGCCAGACTCAGAGGCACCGCTAGAGGCCGAGCCGGAACCAGAACCAGAAGATCTGGAGCCAGAACCGGTTCTCGAGGCCGAACCAGAGCCAGAGCCAGAGCCAGAACCGGAACCGGAACCGGAACCGCTAGCACCGCCAGCACCGCCAGACAAAGCACCAGAACCAGTAGCAGAAGAACGGCCAGAAGCCGAACCAGAGCCGCCTCTGGAGCCAGACGACTCAGAGTCACCGCCAGAAGTGACAGAAGCCTGACCGGCATTGCCAGCACCCGAAGCCGACTCAATGTCATCAGCCAAAGTGGAAAAAGCAGCATACGAGCCCAAAGCGCCAGTATTGCCCAAAATGCTCAGCGCCTCAGCCAAAGCCGAAGTGTAAGCAGCACCAGTAAGAGCAGTGTAGTCGCCCAAAGAGTAGTCGTCGTAAATTGACTGGTAGTAGTCGTCGTCGGTAAGGTACAGAAGGTCAGAGTAGGCTCCACCAAAGTCAGAGTACTCACCCAACTGGTCTAAAATAGACGAGTACTGTTCAGCATAGTCGTTGTCAGCTCTTCTGGCAACAGCAGCAAGAGCAGGAGCAGCAAAAAGGAGGGGAATGAAAGTCATGGAAAAGGTAGATGCTTTATTTCAGTTTCAGCAGATACCTCTCTTTATATACCGCAGGCTCTGCCGTTTACGAGGCTTTTTCGCAGCCATTCCAAAACTCCCCCAATACCAATAGGCGTGTTCCTGCGCAAACATGACGGGGAACGTCCCAATACGACAATGCTACCGAAAAGGGGAAACCGTCTCCAAAAATGACAGACTGGAGGGAAATAGGGGTTGTGGAAATTTCAGTTTTGGTTGGTGTAGTTTGAACTCTCTCAAGGGTGCTTTTTCGCTTCTGCAACGAAGGAAAAAGATGCGCTTGACAGGTGTACGGCTGAGAAAATGGCAGCTGGTAGATATTCCATTTGGTCCTTGATGGTATATTTCACCTGCTGAATGCACCGATCTGCGGGAACCTGTTCCTGAAAAATAAACCAGAAAGTCGTGTTTTCCTGCTTCTTTTTATTATTTTTGTGTTGTTTTAGCGTGTTCAGCCTCATGAGCCCCGCGGCGTAATGGAACAAGCCTATGCTTTGTTGATGGAAGAAGGATGTGCTGAGGTTTTCGGAAATTGCACGGCCTGAGCGGCAGGGGAAGATGGAGGGTTGGGGGTTTACAGGGTGGTCAGTTTCGGGTCCGTCATGAGGCGAAGCTGAGGAGGATATATATTGTCTGGGGGAGACTGGGAGACTGTTGGGGAACCGCATGTCTCTGAAATTCTTTAAGTGGGTGGAGTATTTGGACGCTTTGGTGGACCTTATTCTTTGCGGGAGCCTGTCGTCGGAACGGGATCTGAAACGGGAATCTCGATCCAGTGCTGGTTCCAGTGAAAGCAGCAGCAGTTCAGACGACGATAGTATGATAATGGGGATCTTCTGAGAAGCTCCACGGGCTCGTGTTTTTCCGTTTTAGGTGGCTCGTAAATATTGTGGCTCCACGTCGTCCTGGAATGGCTCTTTCTTTGTGGGAAGTGGGAATTATGGCTGAGACGTGTTTCTGTGGCTGAGAGGGCTACGGCTGCGGGCCAAAGGGTCGTTCTTCAGCCGTGTGGATGAAGAAACGTGGGACGTGATTAGGGAGATTGGAAAGTGGAGGTTGGAGGTTGGAGATTGGAGATTGGAGGTTGGAAGTTGGGGATGGCCTGGGACAGTCGTTGAATATAGGTAATTGGACAAGGATTGGTTCTCTGGGATCCACAGTTCTGGGGCCATCTAAATCTAGTTTGCTTTAAAATATGCTTTATATACATATACTTATGGAATAGATGATATGGACGGTTGGATAATGGTTTTGGGGATCTCCAGTAGACCAATTTACCAGGTGAAAACACGTTTTTGGCCATAACTCGCTCAAAAATCGCCGGATTTTGCTCAAATTTCTCATAGGTACTAATATGAACCTTCTGCACAAACTGAGACCACTTTCAGCGGTCTCAGCATAGCTTCCCCAAATTACCCCTATTATCCCCACCCAACGCAAACCCCTTTGAAATCCTCTCGGTGGCCAAGCTGGCTAAGGCGCGAGACTGTAATGTGATTGTAATCTTGAGATCGGGTGTTCGACTCACCCCCGGGAGATTTCTTCTTTTTTTTCCCACTGCGAAATTTCACGCACAACCCCATTCTTTTTTTTTTTTTTTCACTACCCATCGCATCTCTTCATACATTTAATCTACTTCTACTAAACCACCAAACCTCCACCCACAATGCCTTCCAGAAACGCAGTCAATAAACCAAAAAACAAAATACATAGAGCCCATCACGCTCAACAACTAGGCAAGAAAAGAGCAGCACGTGCCGCCACTGCTTTGCCTACCAGATCATCCCATGGCAGATACAACACCAATACGGTGCCTAGACCAACAGATTCCAAGGCAGTGGCTCTTTATAACGGCGAAATGCCAGCTCGTTCCACAGGAGTCACCACCAACAAATTGACAGGCAAGAGAGCCAGAAAGATCGAAAGAAACAGCAGGTACATTGCTAAGAGAAACGAGCAGTTGAACATTGATCTCCAGGCCAAGCAGGAGATGGATGTGGATATGGCTGATGGTGAAACGGTGGGCAAGAAAAACAAGCATGAGAAGGAACCAACGCAGTTGGAGAAGGTGAAAACGGCGCTTTGGGCTGTTGTTGAAGACACAGACGCTGTGGGGATGAAGTTGAATGTCTCTGGCGAAGGCACCACGATTGGAGTCCAGGCATTTTGAGGAGGCTGAGGAGCTTCCAGAGTTGGAGTAAAGTAGTGATTTTTCTTCGGTTTATCGGTAATAGACATAGGTATTTATTTTCGTGCCTGCCAGCGGTAGCTGGCAGCTGCTTTCTGTATTAGCCAGCGGTAGTTGGCAGCTTGCCCCAACCGAAGGTTGGCAGCTTCTGTTCAACCAACCGAAGGTTGGAAAGCTAACTTCTCTGTTCAGTGGGCAGCTTTCATTCAACCAACCTCCGGTTGAACCTCCGGTTAAACCTTCGGTTCAACTTTTGGTTCAACCTGGTTGGCTCACGAATAGACACCCTTGGCCTTCAAACTCTCATTCACAGTCTCTCTCATAAAATCAATAAGCTCCACCGGGTCTGGAGCAGTAAAACAAGACGTACCTGCTACAATGACATTGGCACCAGCGTCAGCGGCCGCAGGCACCGTCTCCCTGCCCAAACCACCGTCAACCTGGATATTCAACTGGGGAAACTTCGTTCTCAATGCATCCACCTTAGACATCATGTTAGGCATAAACTTCTGTCCGCCAAACCCAGGCTCCACCGTCATCACCAACGCCATGTGCAACTCATCCCCAAGCTCATACAAAACGTCCACGGGCGTGCCTGGCTTCACAGCACATGCTGGTTTCATGCCATGCTCCCTGATCAACTTGATAAGGCCCTTAGGGTCCTTGGTAGACTCATAGTGAAAAGTATACTGGTCACCGCCAGCCTTGGCAATCTCAGGCACCCACTTCTCAGGCTCGGCCACCATCATATGGCAATCAAAAAACGTCTTTTCTGCCTTTCTAGGAAACTCCTTACGCAAACTGCTCACGATCGGTGGGCCTAGCGAGATGTTAGGCACAAAGTGGCCATCCATGACATCTATATGGAGCCAGTCGGCGCCAGAGTCGTACATTTTATGGCAATTGCATCCCAAGTTGGCAAAGTCAGAAGCGAGGATGGAGGGGGCAATGATAGCTTTAACCATGGTGGAGAAGAAGGAGGAGGAGTGGTTGGTTGGTTGGAGAGTCTGGGAAGTAGCAAGTACTGTGGTGGACGGGTGCACTGCGCTGGGGCAGTTTGGCTGCAAAAGACTGAAAAGGCGGGAAGTGCCGAGGAAGGCGTGGAAATTATAGGAGGAAGATGATTTTTGGTGAAATGGGTTTAGTAGAATAATGTGAAAGGATTGGTGAAAAAATTTGGGGAGTTTGTGGTGGGAATTGGTGGGGGAATGGGGGTTTGGTGGATGCTGGAGAGGTGAGTGAGGGCTGGTCTACTGGAAGGGAAGGGAAGGGAAGGTGGTTTTTGGTTTTTGGTAGAAAAAAGAAGTAAATGGGGAAATGGATTTGGATGGAGAGTTTGAAGAGATTTAGATGGAATTGAGTAAATTGGATGTTTGAGGTTAGTGGTGGTGGGTTGGTTGGAGAGTACAGTGGATGGACTGGGAGTACTGTAGTGTCCAAGGCAGGCAATGAAGTGGCAACTGTGACTTTGATACTTTTCATTTTTTTTGCCAATAATTACTATTCTGAATTGAGTTGTTCGGCTTACGAAAGGCGTCTTTTGGTTGGTTTGGGAGGTTGCTAGTGGCTGCCTGGATGGCTCATTGTACAGCAATGGTTAACCATAACCCACTCTTGGGGAAAACCAATAAAAGCTCAAGAGTATTATTTAAATGGCATTTTTAACGTTTTTATAGACCAATTCAACTTCCAATGAGTTGGGTAGTAATTTATATGTATAGGTTCGGATTGGTTAGTACCTCTTTGAGGGAAATGGAGATAAACGAATCATATTCACCATGCCAGTTTTAAAAGCAGATTCAAAATTATTCAGTTTTAGTTTTAGCCAATTAGGGTATTTACTCTATGTATCTACTCTCCCTAGGCTTCCATCCCTACCATTGAATCCACTGTAGTCCAAGAACGAGTAATACCGTCCACTAACCAACACAACGAAACCACCAGACCCTTTTACCCTCTGTAAATTCACTCCCCCCAAAAATAGCAACCCAAAAGGAACCGCCATTACAAACTCTTCCCTTATTTGCATCCCCAACCCACCACTTCGGCGATAACCGTCCACCACCTCCTCTGATCCGAATCCCCAACTCCACCTTCACCACCAATTCACCTCGTACTTTCTTCCTTTCCCTCGGGTTTCCAAAAATGGTAGGCGCCGGTTTGCCTTGGACTTGACAGGTTCGGTAAACTAGCGCATCCAGGGTCCAGCCAGCGGTTCAGCCTTCCTATCACAGACAACACAGACGACTGTTGGATTAGATAAAAAATAAACTAAAAAACTAGACTAAATAAGAAAGTAGTCGTAATGGTTTTGTAAAAATAAACGGTTGGTGTTTTATCTCGTAAATCGCCAGGCGTAGTCAGTCCACGATCAGTCTAAAGCTTATCTATGGAGACAAGGAAGAGAAAGACAAGAGCAAAGAAAAAGAAGACAAAAGGCTTATCGGGGTGCATTCGTTACGAAAAGACAATCCAGAAGCCGTGGAGAAGCAACCATCCATTGTTCGCCAGGAATTGAAGAAAAGACAGGAAGTAGAATAGGCAGAGTAGTCAGAAAAAGACATAGACTGAGAAGGACCATCATCCACTAAGTCTCCATACTTTGCCCAAAATTACCTCCAAACCCACCATATCTTTCTTATCTGTTTAAAAACCACAAAACCAAAACTTCCATCAAATCCATCAATTTGTCTTTTTTGTGTCACTTCCACTTCCACTTCACCTTCTCTTCCTGGTTCTTCAGATTCCGCGTTTGCAGCCAAAGACGCTTCATCTTCCAACTCTCCATCTTCAAACAATGCACAATTACGTTAAAAACTCACTTTATTTCTACCTTCTCCATCCAAACCCATTCTTCTACTTCTTCTCTTCACTTTTCTTTTCCTCCTCCACTTCTTTGTTCTGGATATTCTTGGGGCTTGGGGCTTGGGACGGAAAACCCGCACTGGGTGCAAAAAAGGCAGTCCCTTGCAGACGCCAAAGGTCCACCAAAACAACAAAAAATGCATCTTTTTAAAAAACTAAAAACACCACCGTACTCGCCTCGTCCGTCTGATCACAACGGTACCCATAACTTCCCCAAACTTCCACTCCTTCTCCCTCCACTTCCCCCCTCTAGCCCTTAGCGGCATGCCCATTGGGGAACCTGGAGCCGATGCGATAAGCATTTGTCCCCCACAATGAACCCTCTCAACTGGCCCAAACCACATAGATTTTCGTATAAAACCACCATCAAAACCTCCTCTTTTCCTTCTGTAGAATGTCTGATTTCGATAAGGATAACGACAGAGAGTCGCTGGACTCGCGAGGTCCCCAGGCTTCTTCGTTTGAAAATGTGCCTGGAACAGTTCACCTTTTGGACTTGGCTGGCACTTTAAACGTTCAAAAAGTTCAGGATGGTGATCAGAATATTATTCTTCAACCACAGCCGCTGGAGGACGTAAACGATCCGTTGCGCTGGTCGAAACGGAAGAAGAACTTGCAGTTTGTGCTACTATGGGTTTGGAGTGTGTTTTTGGCGATTACCGTCAACTGGGGAGGTCCATACTGGGGGGAATGGCAGGAGGACTTTGGCGTTACTGCTAGTAGGCTTAACGTTTGCCAGGCGCTTAATTTTTTGTTTTTGGGCGTTGGGTGTGTGGTTTTGCAGCCAACAGCGATGAAGGTGGGCAGAAGAGTGATATACTTGTTTTGTACAGCGTTGGCGGTTGTTGGTAACGCTATGGCTATTCATGCTGACTCTGTGGACTATATTATGGCGCTGATGTCGATATGTGGCTTTGCAGCGGCTCCAACCAACTCGTTGGTGGAGATTTCATCCACAGATGTGTTTTTCGTCCACGAAAGAGCCAGTAAACTTTCGTGGCTTGTTTTTGCTATTTATTTTGGCAGTTACATTGGGCCTGTGGTGGCTGCCTACTTGCCCAACTGGCAATGGGCATTTAAGCTCCAGGTGATTATTCTCTGTGTGCTTTTCGTGGTGCAGTTGTTTTTGATGGAAGATACGTCTTTTGTTAGGGACGAAAAGGAGACAGAAAGGGAGATCTTGCACCAGATCAAGTCTAGAGAGACTGGCATGAGTCCAGAGCATTCTGGGTCTGGTAAAGCTCATCATATTATCAGCCAGGAACCAACAGGCGAAGCCGATCTGTATTCAGACCCTCTGACAGTCAAAAGGTCGTATATCAAGCGAATGCAGCTTTTGGAGCTTGAATATAACGATAAAAGACCGTTCTGGAAGATCTTCACCAAACCCATTTACACTGCATGTTTCCCAGCTGTGTTCTGGCTGGGGATCGTCTATGGAGCCCAGATGATGTGGCTTTCTTTACTTACCACCACCCAATCCGAGCTTTATACCACCTACTATGGCTTTTCCACTTCTTCTACCGGTTTGACCAACCTAGCTGCTTTAGGTGGAAGTCTTGTGGGAATGGTTTATGGTGGACCGTTTGTGGATTGGCTTACCGTCAAGTTGGCCCATAAAAACAACGGTATTCTCGAACCTGAGTTCAGACTCTGGGCCATGATTGGGCCTACTTTGTTTAACGCTGGAGGCCTTTTAGCATATTGCATGGCGCCATTGAACGGTGAAGCATGGGCTGTTTCGGTTATAGTTGGCCAAGGGTTCCTTGGTTTTGCTATGGCTGCTGCTGGCCCCATTTGCTTGACTTATGCCATTGACTGTTACACTGAAGCAGCTTCAGAGAGTCTTGTGTTTATTCTTTTCCTTAGAAACATGATTGGATGTGGGTTCACGTTTGCTATCCAGCCGTGGCTTGATCGGTGTGGATTGGCTACCACGACGTGGTTGATGTTTATGCTTTCTGTGGTGATCAACGGTAGCTTTTTGGTGTTTATCGTGTTTGGCAAGGCCATCAGAAGGAAGACGAGGCATCTTTATGAGAAGATCACCGCCATGGAGTAGATATAATGAAATGATGAATGTGGAGGGGTGTAGGACAAGGAGTAGTCAGAAAAAAAAAAAAAAGGATCAGACCAGAAGGTTGGATTTGATAGTTTGGTGACGAAAGTGTTGATGGTGTTTCTGAGGATGGTTTAGGCTCAAGCTATCTACCAGGAAGAAGCCAGTGGACGAAGTAGCAACAAAGCAGTGGGAAGTGTAGAAAAGAAGTCAAAAAAAAAAGCAAGTCCTCTTTCAGGTTTCAGTAAAGGTTCGTTTGGTTCATCATTGTGGAATAGGTAAAACTGTCTTCAGGCATTCATTGCTCATACCATCCATTGAGTCCACAGCAAGCAGCGACTTCTTCACTTCCAGCAAAACAGTGACAGAGAACGAAGGCATTTAGGTCTTCTCTCCTTCTTCTTCTTCTTTGAAAACTCTCATTATCAACTTCCCTCTGGAAATCCAATTCACCTAGATGCACCCTTCATTGCTCACTGGAACAATCTTCCACAAACCCACACCAGCACCAAACCACCGGAAAACCCAGCCTCAACCCACCATCTTCCCATCCCTCCAGCTCCAATAAACCCATCCAAAACACCCCATTTCTTTCTCTTCCCTCCCTCCACCCACCATTTCCACATCCACCTGGATTTTGCAGCCATTCGCAATCCATCCACTCCAGCCACCCTCCGCCAACTCCACCACCAGCCCAACTCTCCAAAAACAAACCATATATCCACATTCAGGCAGCCCAGTTTACCCCGAAACAGCCTTTAAACACCTCCAAATCAGTCTCCCTGGCTCCATCGACTACCCTTTCCGACTCAGCCTGGAGTGATACTGCCCTACACCCAGACACCACACCACTTGTCACCTCGGCTAGCTCAAACCGGTCTCTCCAAGCCTTAACCTACTTCTACACTTGTCCATTCGCTGCCCAACAAAAAACAAAAAACAAATGACTCAGGACAACAGCGAAGGAGCCAGCTACGCCGAGCAGCTCTTGGAATGTGCTAGAAGAAACAACGTGGAGCTTTTCAACACCATCAAGGAAGAGGTGGATTCTGAAAAGTTGGCGCATTTGGTCAACTCCACCAAAGAGATGATCACCAACAACTCGCCTTTGCATCTTGCGACGCTGCTTGGCAACTGGGAGTTTATAGATGCGGTTTTGGACGTGGAAGGCGTGGAAATTGATCCATTGAACCGGGATGGAGACACGCCGTTGCACCTTGCGGTGAAGTTTGCTGGAGACGAGCCCGAGTACGGGTACTTTATTATTGACAACTTAGTTGATGCTGGCTCAGACGCCAAGATAGTGGACCGCCACGGGTTGAAGCCGGTGAATTATGTGCGGGAGAATGACAAGTTGAGGAGTCTTTTGGAGAGTGCTGAGTATGGGTCATTGACGGAGGAGATTGTGGAGGAGGATGATGACGAGGGTGAGGCTACGCCTTCGGATAGTGATTAAGAAGCTGGCAGCCGAAGGCTGGCAGGTTCTGGCGACAGGTTCTGGCGGAAGCCAGTAGGCCAGCAGGCCAGCTGCCATAAGCAACGGAGGACTCAGTGTGCTTTAAGCAACTGAAGCTGCAGCAGAAAAAGCCGCCTCGGGCTCCTCGCCCTTAGACACCACCGGCAACGTTAACGGGTATATAGTGCATGCATTTAGAGAGCAAAGTCGTCTGGCGTAGTGGGCGTCCAGTTGCCAAGAACGCCATGGAGAGCTGCTTTAAGAGCCTGCCGATCAGAATTGAGTTCCTTAACGTCCAGGTACGTTCTAAGCCCTTGGTAGGTGTTGAGAAGCGGCCTGGCTTTTTCAATTAACCGTTGGTTGCAAATAATACTCGACCCAGACGGTTTTGGAGGTTTATTTTTGATGAAACCACCGTTTTTAGCCCCGTTTGAAAGCACCTGGGTCACCTTCAAAGGCGGACAGCTCACAAGACTCACTGGCGACGGAACAGCATCGTCACGTTTATGGAAACCATACGAATCTTCCGTATAAACCAACGGTTCAATAAACCTTCCCTTATCCGGCTGGATTCTGCCAAAACAACGCTCAAAGTCCCCCTGTTCAAATTTATCCTCCCCCAAAACAATATAATCAAGGTAAACAGGTTCCACAAACAAAGACGTCACCAGATTAAGTACCCCTAGCTCTTGTCGTAGACATAGCTTATCTGAGCACGATTTGGATAAAGTGACCCTGCTATCGGCTCTTCCCGGTTTTGTTCTCACCACTCCAAGCGTATCGAAGCTTTCCCTGCCTCTATGGAACGTTCCCAGGCTCTCCACCTTTTGTTTCTTCGCCAAAGGCTCATCCCAAGCTTCACGGCCTTGTGCAACATATCCCATTGAAGCATCACCACAAGGCGGTTCAGACACATACAATGCAATTCTAAGGCCTTCTTTAAGCTGTAGCTTTCCATCCCTGGCCTCCAAAAAGCCAGTACCGCTTCCTTCTCTATTTTTCACCACCTCTTCAAGCACCATATAGTTGAACATCCTGAGGCAGAGAATCTCTGCATGCATATCGTGAACCATCCAGCCGTTGGAGTAGGTTCGTATTTCGTCAGGCAACGCCTTGACGCCAGTGGCTAACGTCAAAACATCAACCTTGTCTTCCTCATCTATAGTTACTAGACCAGCTAGAACTGTCCATTCTGCGACGCCATTGTCACGGGTTTTCGGTTTTCCAGCTTTGCTAGGGGTGGAATTGAACGTGCTGGTCACGGCAGCAGCTATTTTGTTCCCTAAACGGGACTTTTGGTCCATCAACTGGAAGAATCTGGGGTACACTTGAATGGTGATACTTTTCGCACCCAACATGAGAAGAGGTGGAGAAGTAGTATAGAGAAGCAGAAGTTAGGGAAGTAGTTGGTTAGTTGGGTGGTTTGGATTCTGGAGAGTGTCCAGAAACCAAGTCCAACTCCAGGTGTTATCAATAAAATTCATTAAAATCCAGTGGAATGTCGTAAGGTCAGACAGTAAGCTTTTGCTGGTAAAGACCCAGCCAGCCTGAGGGCTGCCTGTCTGCTTGGTCTGCCTGGTCTGCCTAGTCCATTGAGACCCGTTGACAACCAGCCAGCCTAAGGGCTGCCTGGTCTGTCGAGTCCCATCCAGCCTACGGCTGTCTGGTCCTCAACGGGTCTACCTCTTCTTCCTAAGCACAGCACCCATAATCCCAAGCCCCACAGCCAATACACCGCCAGCAACTCCAAGCCCAATAAGCCCATCCTCCGTAACCCTTTCATCAATGGCCTTTTTCAACGCCTTAAACTGCGTATTCTCGGGCTCCTTCTCCAAAAGCGTCTCCGCATACCGTCTAGCATTGGAGTACTCTCCTACCTTGACACTGCCCAACGCCAAGTAGTATAACGACTCTCTTCTCATACGTGGCACGTCTCTGTAGAGCACGGTCAAAATGTCCATGCCCTGTTTTTGCTTTCTGGAGCTTTCTGTCTTGAGAAGCCCCCAGGCGTAGTTGAACTGGGACTCTGGGGTCTGTGGGTCTTCTGACTCCAACTGGTTTTTCAAGATTTCCAACTGTTCAGGAGCAATCACCTGTTTGATTTCTTCGAGTGCCGAGTAGTCTTTGCCGAACATGGAAATTGGATATTTGAAGGGATTTAGATAAGGGATTTGAGTAAGGGATGTTTAGATGGATCAGATCAGGAAGGTGGTTTGTGGAATGTAAAAGTGGATTTTCACGCTTTATATACTGTAAATTGGGAATGTACGGTTTTTGTAGTTGTCTTTCTTTTATTCTTGAATTGTTTGCCTTTGGTTTTTATTACTGGCCAAAGAAGGTTAAGTGTTGGTGGTTCTCAGTTTCCCTGTACAATTGTATGATAGTGTGAAAAGGTGTATACACGAAAAGTTAAAAAATGGATTTTTGGGATCGGGCTTTTTTTGGGAATGGGAAGAAGGTGGTTGGAAGAGAAGGCGGTGGTGAAAAGATGGAGGAATTGGGTGGCAGTTTGGCGGTTTTGGAGGGCTGGAAAGTGGATTTCGCAGCCAAGTGGGAATAGAAGGTGGCGGTGGAAGGAGACAAGGAATTGGAAGGAAAGGGGAGGGGGTTAATTCGTTTCATCTTGGCTTAAGGAACGCAATTGGTGGTTTTAGACAGAAGTTTGGATCATTTTGGGTGGATTGGGTGGTGGTTTGGTGGACTGAGGAAGTGTAGTGGAGTAGACAGTAGAGGAAGTCAATGGAGGTATCTTTTGGACGTCTGAAGTGGGATATACGGACGATGTGAGGTTAGTAAGCTGGTTTTGCAGGTCTTTTCTTGAACAGAGGTCATTTTAAGTGACTAGCTAGAGGATATGGATGGGAGTAGGTGCTCTGGTTATATGGAATAATGGTGCTACGACAGTACCCTAATTGAAGAAAAGGGCCTCAAGTGTGTATACTTTCTTTCTTTGGGAGGCTTTGAAAATTAACTGAATTGACATCAAGGGGTACCAGATGCTTCAGGTTAGTCGTGACGGTGAAGTGGATGGTAACTGGATGGAAGTGTCTCACCAGTGACTCTACTCACACATATATATGTACTTCTGTAAGATAAATCAAGCAATTGAGTACTTAAAGGGGTATTAAGGTCTCTTTTAGTTCTCCTGCTGCCAAATCCCATGCTATTATGTAATCACATTTTTACAATCTCCTCTTACCTTAGGAAACCTCCAGTCAATCCACCTCTCGTCCCTAATTCCCTTTCTTATAAATTCATAACTCAAAACCACAAATCAGTAACCACAAATCAACAGAAAATACCAAAAATCATCTTTTAGTCACTCAATGGCATGTAGTGGTACTTCTTCAAGCCCTCAATGGCATGTAATACCATATCTTAAGTTCCTCCCTCAACCACCCCAAACGTACCAGTCCACCACCAACCAAAACCACCATATTACCCTTTCTTCGCTTCAAAGTCAGTAAATTAACAAATTCCAGTCATAAACCATAAAGCACAAAAAAGAAAAAAAAAAAAAAGACCCATCCTTTCCACTTCTTTATCTTGTCACCTTCAGAACTCCCATACCTTCCACAGCACCACCAGATCCACTCAAAAACCATCCCCCTTCGAAACCACCAAGTCACCTAAAACAACTCAATTATTTCCCCCAAAACACCTCTTCCCACGTTCTTCCCTCCTCCCACTACCTTGTCTTGTCTTCCACACTTCCACTCACCTTCCTCATTTCGCAGCCATTTCCATCATCCACCATTTCCATCAACTTCCCCAGCCAACTCCACCAAACCACCCCAAATATCACCAAGAATACATCCCCCACTACTTCCCCCACGACCTCCCTCAATTGCCCCCAAACAACCCCCAAAACCCTCCACCTTCCCCCAACCAACCCCCAACCCACTCCCAAATGGCACTTTCCAGTGCGAAACATCCATTTTCCATCTACCCATCCAAATCTCCCCATCCACCAACTCCCAATTCCCTGCCTGCCATGCCCCTGCCTGAACGTACTAAACAGTACTCCCTTCTCAACATATGGTGTGTCTCGTTGGCCCTCAAAGCCCTCCTCTCCATAGGCTACCATTCTACAGACTTTGATGTCCACCGCAACTGGCTAGCCATCACACATAACCTTCCCGTGGCCCAGTGGTACTTGGAGAAAACGTCGCAGTGGACGTTGGATTATCCGCCTTTCTTTGCTTACTATGAGTGTGTGTTGCTGTACTTGGTGCCTCGGTTTGTCAGGGACGACGGGTGCCTTTCCATCGTGGAGAAGGGCTTGTATAGTCTTCCGACGGTGTTCTTCCAGCGGCTTTCGGTGGTTTCTTCTGAGGTGGTGTTGTTTTTGGCTTTGCAATGGTACGTGAAGAGTGCCAGGTCGAACCAGGAAGCGACTAGGGCGTACGTGGTGGCTCTGAGTCTTGTGCTTTCGCCTGGCCTATTGATAATTGACCATATCCATTTCCAGTATAATGGCATTCTTTATGGCTTTTTGGTGCTTATGATCAATTGCGCCAGGTTGGAAAAGTACTTGTGGTGTGGCTTTTGGTTTAGCGTGCTTCTTTGCTTTAAACATATCTACTTGTACTTGGCGCCGGCGGTGTTTGTGTACTTGCTTCGTGCTTATTGTCTTAATTTAAGCTACGACAGGAGAAAGAGCTTTGCTAATAACGCTGTGCGTCTTGTGAGGTGGAAGAACCTTTTCAAGTTGGGTTCTGTGGTGATTGGCGTGTTTACCGTCGCTTTTGGACCGTTCATCTACTACCATGTTATTCCAGAAATGGTGGAAAGACTCTTTCCGTTTAGCAGAGGCCTTACACACGCGTACTGGGCTCCAAACGTTTGGGCATTGTACTCTTTTCTCGATAGAGTGCTTATTCAGATCTATAAGAGGGTTCCGCTTTCGAGATTGCCTCTCCAGAGAGTTCTTCAATTTGAACCTTCCCTTTTGGATAACAAAAAGTTGCTCCTGTCGTCTACAAGAGGCATTGTTGGTGAAATTGAGTTCCTCGTGTTACCTACCATCACCCCACAACTCACCTTCTTGCTTACGCTCTTCTACCAGTTCATGGCGCTAATCCCACTCTTCCTTCAACCTACGTTTGAACGGTTTATCGGCGCCTTGACGTTGTGTGGATACGCTTCGTTCCTCTTTGGCTGGCATGTTCATGAAAAGGCCGTGTTGATCATCATTTTCCCGATTTCCTTCCTTGTCACCAGAGACAAGAGGCTTTTGAGCAGCTTCAACCTTCTTGCCTCGTGCGGCTACGTGTCTTTGTTCCCGCTTATCTTTACCAGCGAAGAGTGGATTATTAAGGTTGTGTTTACGCTTCTTTGGTACATTATTTTCTACTTCCACTTTAGAAAAGTTGTTCGTGTGCCTTCCCATTTGGCTGAGCAGTCAGGCTTTATGCTTGAAAGAGTCAGCAACCTTTATATATTAGGTCTTTTACCGGTGGTTTTCTTCACGAGCATGATTGACCTTTTCCAGCATAAGTTCGAGATTCTTCGCCAGCTTGAATTCTTGAAACTCATGATCTACAGCGTCTACTGCGGCTTTGGCGTTATTAGCTCCTGGAACACCTTCAATTGGTTATATTTCGTTGACGAAACGATATGGGATCCTCTTAGTTAAGGTGGTGTCTGAGCTGCACGAACGGCATATAACCGGCCTTTGACACGATCCGGAAAAACCTAGTGCATGAATTGGAGAATATCTATTTTGACACAAATACCAGTTTTAGCGGGTATAGCCTTGGCAAAACCACCTTCCCGCCTCGTTCTCGAGATTGTGGCACGGCCCACATCCCGGGAATTCCGAATAACCGTGTGTTACCGTGACTTGCCGATGTTCCTGCGGACTATGCATTGCTTCGGTTGCTAAAAGCAATTGCTCATGGTTCCAAAGTTTAAACTAGGGGGCTAACCGAGCAAGAGGGAATCATTTATAATGGGAGCATTTGCTTTTGTTTGAATTAACAAAAAAAAAAAAAGAACAATGTCTACTATTTCCCTCGGTACATACCTTTTTAAGAGACTTCACCAGGAGCCATTTGGCTTGAAATCCATCTTTGGTGTTCCTGGTGACTTCAACTTGACGCTTCTCGATAAGATTGACGACGTTGACGACTTGACATGGCGTGGTAACGTTAATGAGTTGAACGGTGCTTATGCTACTGACGGTTACTCCAGAGTGAGAGGTAACGCCAAAGGCGAAGGACTCGGTTTTGGTGCTCTTGTGACGACTTTCGGTGTGGGAGAGCTTAGTGCCATCAACGGTGTTGCTGGCTCGTTCGCTGAACATGTGGGTATGATCCATATTGTTGGTATTCCATCGCTTGACTCTCAGCGTAAGCAATTGTTGTTGCACCACACTTTGGGTAACGGTGACTTTAATGTGTTTTCCAGAATCTCAGAGAACGTTTCTGTGACACACGGGATCCTTGACGATCCAGCTCACGCTGCTGAAGTTGTCGATAGAGTGATCAGAGAAGCTTACATCGGACAGAAACCAGGCTACTTGGCTTTCCCAGCCAATATGGTCGAGGTTAAAGTGCCTGCGGAGCGTTTGGATACCCCAATTGACGTGAGCATCGCCAAGAACGACCCTGAGGCGCAAGAGGAGGTTTTGGAGATTATTTTGGACTTGATCAGCAAGGCAAAGAACCCTGTTGTTATCGTTGATGCTTGTTGCGCCAGACACAATGCCAGTGCTGAAGCTGCCAAGTTGATTGACGTGACAAACTTCAAGTACGCTACTTCTCCAATGGCTAAAGGTACAAAGCACATTAACGAAGACGGCGACCGTTTTACTGGCGTTTACGTTGGATCTTTATCGTATGAAGACGTCAAGGCCTCAGTTGAAGAATCTGACCTCGTGCTTTCCATTGGTGCTATTCTCAGTGACTTCAACACTGGTGCTTTCTCGTACGCCCTTAATAAGAACACCGTTGAGTTCCATTCAGACCACACCAAGATCAGAAACGCCTACTTCCCTAATGTCGCAATGAAGGAGGTTCTTAATAAGCTCATCGACCTGCCCAAATTGAAGGAGGCCACTGCCAACTACAAGCCTACGGGTATCACCAAGCATCCGTTTGAGCCTATCGAGAACATTGAAGGCAAGGAAATCACACAGAGCTGGTTGTGGCACCGTCTTTCTGACTTTTTGCAGCCTGATGACATTGTTATTACCGATACCGGTACTTCCTCGTTTGGTATCATCCAGACAAAGTACCCTAGGGGCACATTGGGCATTTCCCAGGTTCTTTGGGGCTCTATTGGATACTCTGTTGGTTCTACGTTTGGTGCGGCCACTGCAGCTCACGAGCTCGATCCTTCCAGGAGAGTGATTCTCTTTGTTGGCGATGGTTCTTTGCAATTGACCGTCCAGGAGTTGTCTGCCATGGTGAGAAACGGCTTGACGCCATATATCTTTGTTTTGAACAACTCTGGCTTCACCATTGAAAAGTACATCAACGGTCCAGAGGCCGACTACAACAATATCCAGCCCTGGAACTATAAATTGCTCTTGCCAGCGTTTGGCGCCCAGAACTACGAGGCCTTGACTGTGGACAATGCGTCTGATCTCGATAAGCTCTTCAAAGACGAAGCGTTCGCCAAAAACGATAAAATCAGACTCATTGAACTTATCATCGACAGCAAGGACGCTCCAGATAACCTCAAGAAGCAGGCCCTCTTTGCCAGCCAGGCCAACGCCGGTTGAACCTACATTGCATGAAATAAACAGTTTCTAATATCCTTTTTGTAGTGTTACAGGTCGTGTGTTCTGGAGCTGAAAATGGAGTCCGGGAAAAGCGCTTCCCAGTCTTCGTTAAAAAGATCCGATGTCATAAGCACTGGAGGCCCAAAGAACTCCACATTGGCCTCGTCCAAAGGAGGGAAATCAAGATCTTCAGAACTGGGTTCTGGTTCTGGGAAATGAGGAGGAACCGGTCCAACGCTGCTTATATGGTTATGCTGATGATGGTGATGAGGAAAAGCGTCCTGGGCGTGGGAAGAAGCCAAGGAGGAGGTTTCTGACGATGATTCCTCCATTTTCACCTTAACGGGCTGGTCCTGGACTGTCTTTTGCGGAGGCTTCTTCTTGTCGACCTTGGGTTTCTTTGCCTTTCTTGTATCTGGGTTGAAATCTGGATCGTGGCTGAACTGCAACTGGAGCTTGCCTCTGATCAACTTGTGGGACTTTTCAGCCAACGCCCAGGTCTTGGAACAGCCCACGAGAACGTTTAGAAAGTAAATAAGCTTGGCTTTTTTGTCTGCACCAAGCAGTTCTGAAGTGGTGGTTAAGAGAATCACCGAAATCGATAAAATGCTGCAATAAACAATGAAAATGGATGCTCTTCGCAACCCGTGGGCTTTCTGGAACGTCTGGATGGCCAAGAAGATCTCGTCGATGGCGTTGTTGCACACGACCGCTGGCGAAAGGTGGTTTTTGTTCCGCATGTTTCTGGTGATGCCTACAAACGGACGGTTGAGACAAAGCACCAAAATGTAGTAGTAGTAACGCACGCCAGATACTGTAGGGTTATCTGAGGTTCTTTTCAAACTTTCCTGGTCCCAGTTGAGGTCTGGCGGCAAGTTGTGCTTCCATTTCATGATCTGGTCGTTATAAGCATACAACATGGAAAGACGAGACACAAGGTTCAAATCGTCGCCTTCAAGGTCGTGGTGCTCCAGATCGTGGTCTGATTTCGTGAAAATATCGTTAAGCATGTTGTCTGAGATATTAATAAGGTTGATAATGTTCTTAAGCGGATCTGAGATGTTGGTGACGTTATCTGGAACATACTTGTACTCGTCGATCCAGTCAAGTTCCGGCAAATCCTCTGTTTCCGGGATGGTAGCGTCCGACAGCTTCAACAACGACGGACGGCCCAAAATAAGACTGATAAAGTGGTCAGCCATGTAGCAGCCCCAGTAGATCCTGCTTCTGATGGCCACATCTAGCTGTTTCAAGGCGCCTCTGTTCTTCAAGAACCACACTTCCGGGTGAAGCTGGAACCCCAAATCGAAGCCCATACGCATCGCGTTGCCTGAAAGCATCCAGCCCGTGGAGTTGTTTCCGTTGCAGATATCGTAGAAAGCCAAAAGAAGGAAACTCTGGACAGACGTGATGGACGGGTGCTCCAACGACGAGAGCAAGAGGCTGCGGGCCTCGTTATAGAAGGAAATGGACTTGTTATAGATGGAGTCCACTTCTGACATTCTGGCGCCTAAGGCACATATGCTGAGGACCAACACTGGCGAACAGTATAAGGTATGAGGCTTGGGGTGGAAAAAGTCAATCAAAAACGCTTCTCTGAACACGTACATGTTGTGGTCTGGGTACTGCCATGTGAAGAAGAGCTTTAAGCAGTGGAGAATCTCCTGGGACTTGTTGAGCTGGTTTAACTGGGACAAATCGTGGGTTCCTCTTTTTTCACTAACCGGCTGCATTCGATGATCCTGGTCGTTATCGTAAACACTGGTTGGTCCGTAAACCGGTCTGATTTTCGTTGCTGGCGTGGCGTCCACCGAAGCAGACTTATCTCTTGAAGGGACTTCTTCTTCTTTGGGAACTGGTCTTTCCAGTTGTTGTTCTTGTTCTTGCAAACACTGGTTTAGCTCTCTGGCATGGGCATCCAAATAAGCCTGTTTTTCCTGGGCCGAAGGGAGAGCCTCTAGTTTACTGAAAAACGTGGTAAACTGCTTGATCTGCCGTTCTAACGTCAGAACGTACCCGGCATTGGGCCGTTTCTTCCTCATATCACTTAAAACGATGCACTCAACGCCCAAACGCACACAGCTCGAGCACGGGTGTTCCAAATTGCACTTGACTTTCCTCAAACGGCATCTCTGGCACGAAAGAGGCATATCTTTCTTTTGAGAGCCTTTTCGCTTAAGCAGGTCGCTGTCACTGTCAAGGTTAGACTGTGCATTGACAGCATGCTGTGGCTGGTTAGCGAGCCGGGGAAGTTCGGGAGCGTCACGGTTCTTCTCTGGGTCCATAAACAATGACTTTTTATCCAAAGATCTCTTTAGAGTCAATAAACTGCCTCTTCACTTCGGACTTTTCTCGGTACTCTGTTTCCCCACGAAAACTTGAGATGCGCTGCGTGTATCCACCAACAGAGTCAGTGCTTGGGGTGAAAAAAATATATACGGATATGTAAATGGAGAGGTTTTTCTATGATACGGAGAAGGGTGCCGTTCTGGTGGAACTGGCTTTTTTGGGCGTTCTGAGAGGCCAAAAACATGACATTTTGTGGATTTGTGCCCATGACTCACGATGATTCACGTATCGCAGTGTATTTTTTTCCAATGCAGCGTGATTGGTCGTGATTTCTGTTTAGGGGTCCTTTCAGGTGTACTTTAAGAGCCCTTTCAAGGCCTAAATCTGGAACAAGATCTGACGGGTGGTGTAAATCACAACAACTATACCAACGACAATCAACAGCCAGTCAAACGTCTGGACCAACGTGTTTCTAAACGTCAGCGGTTTATCTTTAAACGTCTTGAGATGGATCATGGGCGGGTAGATGTAGACAAGCGGGATACACGCAAAGCAGCCGTTGAAACTGACGAACTTTTCGATGTTTTCGGCGTTGAGGTACGAAATGACTGAAATGAGCACCACTGCAAACGCTCTGAAGACGTTTTTGAGCCACTTGATATGTGGATTGTATTTGCCTGAAGTGTGGTACAATCTACCGACGTCGCTGTTGGACTTTCTTTGCTCTTCCAGCAAAAAGAGACGAGAGTTGAAAATGACCGATTCGCCGATCTTGATGGCTGGGAAAAGCTGCAAGGGGCCGGAAAGGAAGACCGCAATGGAGTAGAGCACCAAAATCAGCTGCACAAACACGTTTCCTTGCGGTAAGTTAAGGATTATGATAGACCTAACCTGGTCGCCAAACGCAGTGTATCCAATAATGCCCACCGACACGAAAAGCGTCGTAATGACAACCATACTGATGGCCAACACATAAGGGAACTTCTCTGGACGTGCCATTGACGACTGGATAGGCAAAATAAGACCTATACCTTCAAAAGACGTCACTGCCACACCCACCATCATCGACCAGTTCTTGGAGTCAAAGTTGACAATGTTAGGACCAAGCCCTTCATCAGCAAGCTTCGTTCCTGAAAAGTAGAAAATAATAATCAAGCCCATGACAATAAACGTAGACGAAATAAGCGACGTGAAGGAGAGTTTGGTCAAATCACGAATAAGCACCAACGGGATCAAAAGGATACATTGGGCCACCACCACGGTCGATTTCTTCACTTCCACATGGACAACGTTGCTCAAGAACGACGTCATGTTCTCGGCGGTAAACAAAATATACGTAGCCACGAAGCCAATCTGCGTAATGATAATAGACACCATAATGGAGTATTTGAGTGGTTTTCCGTACGTAATGTACCCCAACTCACCAAACGACGACCTGCTGAACGTCTGTTTGCTCTGGATCAACACGATATAACACAAGAACGTAAGGAAACCGAATCCAGACAAGGCCACGGTCGAGAAAAGCAAACCTCCATTGCTGAAAGCGCCTGGAAGGAAGAGAATACCTGAACCAACCAACGCTTTGAACACCAAAAAGAAGGTTTTGGCCAGCGAAGCCGTTCCTTCCTTAGCTGCCTTGGCTTTCTTCTTGCGGTGTCTTGGAGGAGGAATTCTACGTTCTGCCAAAAGCGACGATTCCTCGTCAAACACTTCACTGTAAGTTGCCGAGCTTGCATCGTCATCAGTTTCATCCTCATCGTCCTCATCACTAAAGTCTTCACCGGCAAAGTGCCCATATATGCTTAAAAACTCCACAAAGTTGCTGGTCAAGAAGTTAGGCGGTTTCAGGTTCCTCTGCAACGACCGATTGATAAGAAACTCACGTCTAAACCCGCCAGGAACGTTGATATCGCTCGCCATGCTCTCCCTCCGAGACTCAGCATCGAAATTCGAAAACGAAGAGCTTCTGGTTCGTCTCTTGTCACCCACATTTTCACCTTTACTGGCATTTTCAATCTGCTGGTACATATACCGAGCCACATCGCCACCCTGCATTTTTAGCGTATCCTCATGGTTGACAAGATGCTTATTGACTTTATTATAGTCGATATTCAGGCCATGCAAAAGGTTATTGATCTGGCCATCATAGGACTTGGAGTGAGAGTCCAGTTTAGCCATAGAAGAAGACGTTCCCTCGCCAGATTCCGACGTCAAATTTGGATTCGATGGGTGGGAGTGGATCAGCTGGCCCGTAGGCGACCCAAACGCTGAATTCCCAGTAGCTATATTGCCCAGAGAGGCGTTTTCAGGCACTCGAGGCGTCGTGGAAGACATGATGAGATGGTTTGATGGCACTTAAGAAAAGTGAGATGGTTTTGAGAGAATTTTGAGATGTTTTGGATGGAAGGAGGAGATTTCTGTGGTTTTGTGGGAGATTTGAGCAAGTTCTTGGTGGATTCCAGGAAAAGTGGGTGGTGTGGAGCAGTGTGGGTGGAAATTGATGATATGTTTTTCGCAATACTTGTGGCTCGCTTATAAGCCGCACGAGTAGATGGCAGGTGGATTTTGAGGTTTTCAGGAATTGGGGTTGGTTTTGGGGGATTGGGGGGAGGGGAGGTTTGGGGAGGAGAGTGGAGGACGTGGGGGAAGTTGGGGGAAGTTGGGGGTTAATTGGGGGCAGGTTGGGGAGGTATGTGGGGGATGGATAGGGTGAGCTAGAAGCAGTGGAAGTGGTGGAAAATGGAAAAGGACAGTATGACGTGAAAGAGGAGGGTTTGGGGAGGCCGGGGGTGAAATTTTGGTGAAATTTGGATGAAAATTGGTGGGTTGGCGGTGTAGAAAGTATGCTTTTTGGAAGTGAGTGGATGGTGGTTTATGGATGTTGGTGATTTGGAAGTTTGGAAAACTAGGGAAGGTTACGAGGGGTTTGGAGAGGTAGAGAGGGTGATAATTGACGGTTTGGGCGGTTTTGGGGTGGAGGTGTTGGTGGTTTGGTGAAGTTAGATGGAGGCTTTAAATGGGCTTATCTATGGAGAATGGGAGGTAATAGAAGAAGTAAGGAAGACTTGAAATTGATGGTTTTAAGGGTTGATTTGGTTTCTAGGGGATTTGAAGAATATAGATAAATTTCTTTGACTTGAAGGGACCACTGGTTGTGCTGAAACTGGAGGGTTGTTGCTTCTTCTGGTTATACTACAAAGAGGGATATCTAATGAAACTTCAGGTCCAGTAAACACCATAAAATCTCCAGTTTCCCAAATTTCAAATTCAAGTGGCTCCCACTTTTTCCCAAACCCGTCTCCATCTTTTCCATTTGACGAATTCTGATTTTGTGGGTGTGGTTTTTGTGCTTTTATCGTGCAGCCAGCCAATGAGTAGCTGTGGAATTTGCAGGTTGTCTGGTTGGCCAGAAATGGTCCAGGAGAGTTGTAGAGTGGAGGGGAAAAATAAAGAGGTGAAAAGGGAATAGGTTAAGTGGTTTGGAAATGGTGGATTTTGTTAGGGAACTGGTGAGTCTGGTGATATGTGGAAAGGAAGAACAGGAAGCGAGTGGACTTGTAGTTGAAGAGTAGTATATGAACGTTTCTAGTATTTATTAAAATTATCTTTTGTTGTTGTTTAACAATTGCTTTTCGTTATTGGTTATTGGGTGTCTAGGGTTCTTCAATCTGTATACTTCTAGACTTGGAGTGCAACTTCTACAAGAGACAGCTATCTGTTGCTCTGAACGTGGAACTGCAAAGAAATTGATAAACCTTAAATTTTTCAGATTCAAGGAAATACCTGGTTTGGCGATTTGACTGTATTTACTGAAAAGTACTGGGGCATCCACGTAGACTACTTATGGACGTCCACAGTTCATATCCATTGACTGGTGCTCTTCAAGCTTCTCCAAGACTGGTTCTCCTTCAAGCTTCCTTAAGGTTTGTTTGGTCAAATGAGAAACTCAGCAAGAAAATTGATGTGTTTGAGTTATGGCGATGACGTTTATGACAATAATTTGGACTGTAGTGGACGCTTTACGTTTTTGATTTATATGAGTCTAACTTAAAGTAAAGTATGAGCTTTGCTTATGTTCATTTTTATTTTCCAAAATTCACTTGTATGTTCTTGAATGGTTACACTATAAATACTCCACTCTTTCTAACTATATTAGTGCCCGCCTTGATGGCTTTAGCCTTTCTCGAACTTCAGTAGTACTGTCTGCCAATGGAAGCACATCTGAAGGTCAGACGAGGAGATACCAAGAGGAAAGACAAACTGAAGCTATCGTGAACTTCCACGAACTGTCGTATCCTTTTTTCAGAAAAGAATGGTCACTTTTCGTGGCCTTTCCTTATCTCCCTCTGTTCTCCACCAAGGAGGAATACACTCACAAGACAAAACGCCGGGAGGCTAAAACGAAGCAGCTGGGGTAGTTGGATCTTTGAAAGTACTTAAAGAAGAGAGGTTTGGGGTCTTTTTGGGTCTCTAAAGGTCTCTCTGGATTCGGATACCTCACCATGTTCACTTTTATAGGTTGTCTATGGAACCATCCAATTAAACCACAGAAAATTGGCTAGAGGTTTTCTTGAATAGCTCCTATTCTTTTAAGTTCTCCACAAAGAAGCCAAATGTAGCTTTTTTAAACTCTTTATGTAAATTATTTGCAGATACTGGCGTCTTTTGAGCCTCCATAGATAACCCTATAAAGAAGAGCAAAGAGCACCAGCAATCTCACTGGTTTCTCTCAATTGACCAACAAAAACGGCCATATTCTATAAAAGTCATATAAATAAACAGTTTCCAACATCATTGAACCATAATTATAGAGATATATCTCAACCTCTTACCACCTTCTCTTTTCACCTCTGATGCTCTCAAACAACCCCCACCCAATTCCACCAAAACACCTCAAAAATCTCCAAAAAAACAGCAAAGTACACATTTCAACTCCCACATCATGACAAAAGCATTTTTAACTTCATAAAAGCATTTCCACGCCCCAAACTCCTCATCCTCGTCTCACTATGGCTGCAAACGGTCTCACCGCACAAACACCCCAGCCATCTCCCCCAATACCCAACCAAATTCCACGAAACTCACCCAGCCCACTCTCCAGCATTCAACCAACATATCCATCCACTTTTTATTCAAATAGCTACCCCCAATCGCTATTTGTGGACCCCCAAGGGGGTCCACGTCCTGCATACAACCACTCACCACTTACCCCAGATTTCGAATTTTCCACTTCCCCCAAACCTCCCCAAACCTCCCCCAAATCCCCCAAACTCCATGTCGGTGGACTCTTCGTTCCTCGATTCCCCCAGCGAGCCCCAAAACTTCAACACCAACGCGCCCTTCGACCTCCTCGTGCTGGACCTCTTCCTCAAACTCGAATCCACCAACCACGAAAACAAAGGCCCCTACGAAACCGTCAGTGCAAAGAAAACACTGATAATCGAAGATTTCGTGAAAACCTGGCGAACCCACTTTGGAAAAAACATCTACCCGGCGGTAAGACTCATCTTTCCAAATAGGGACGGCAGAAAGTACCACGTTAAGGATGTGGCTCTTACAAGACTTGTCATAAAGCTTCTAAAGCTCCAACCGGGCCTGAACGACTACCAGATAATCAGAAACTGGAAGAAACAGTACCAGCTGAAGGCCACGTTGGCTACGGCGTCCGAACAACGCCAATTGGGCGATTTGCCGTTGATTATCGCCAGAATCATGCTGAGAAGACGAGACCAGAACGAACCTATAAAGAGTACGTTAACTGTGGATGAAGTGAACGAAACTTTGGATAAGTTGGCAGCGAAAACCCAGTCTAAAGAGCAACTAGCACTCTTGGAACCGTTCGTGGAACGCCTAACTATCCCTGAAATACGGTGTGTGTTCCAGATGATCCTAAAAGAGTCCATGTTGCTGTTTTTCGAACGGGCTTTCTTCCAGGCGTGGCACCCGGACGCCTACAATTTATTTAAGGTGTGTGAAGACATGAAGAAGATTTTTTGGGCGCTTACAGACCCGGAAAAGCGACTTCTACCAACCCAGTTGTGTGTTCAGCCAATGTACATGTTTGTGCCTCAGAGTTCACAGAAGTTGGAGATTTCCTATGAGAATTTGTGTAAACGGATGACGGTGGGGCTTCAGGGGGGTAAGGATCCGAAGCTTATGGAATTGTACAAAAAAGAGCACTACGAGAACGCTTTTCTTATTGAAGAGAAGATAGATGGTGATAGAATGTTGATGCACATGGTTGACGGGAAGTTTCGATGGCACACGCGTCGAAGAAGGGATTATACGTTGGTTTACGGTGAAAACGTCCATATTGGGTCGCTTACAAAGCATTTGGGCCACGCTTTTGACGAAAAAGTGCACAGTATAGTGTTAGACGGGAAATGGTCGCCTGGAGTAAAGATAGAGAGATGATTTTACCTTTTGGAACGCTCAGGTCGGCGGCTGTGCAAGAAGCACTTAAACAGTTTGACGTAATTGACGTTTATGAAGGGAACAACAGCTGGCCCTTGTTCCTAGTGTTTGATATACTCCATTTAAACGGGAGAGATCTCTCTGGATTGCCGCTTTTTTACAGAAAGAACTTGATTAACAAAGTCGTCAGGGAAGTCCCCCACCGGTTCGAGGTCTTGGAATGGGTGAAAGCAAAGTCTCCTACAGATATCAAGGCCAACATGCAAAGAATCGTTTCTGAGCGAAACGAAGGGATCATGGTGAAGCTGTTGCTTTCAAAGTATAGGGTTTACAGCCGGGAATCGACGTGGATCAAGGTGAAACCGGAGTATTTGGAGAATTTCGGTGAAAACCTCGATTTGGTGGTTATTGGTAAAATTGGACGAGTAAAGACATCCTATATCTGTGGCCTCAAAGACGTGGACGACGAAGGGTGCTATAAACTGTTCTGTATGGTTGCCAACGGGTTTCTGAACGCTGTTTACAGGCAAATCGAAAGCAAATTGGTCAATTACTGGCGGGACTTTTCTATCCAGAAACCTCCACTTTCACTTCTCAAGTTTGGAACGAAAAAACCAGATTTCTGGATCAACCCGGCCAATCTGATCGTTCTAGAAATCAAAGCCAGGTCCATTGAAGTCACTGCTGAAACTCCCTACGCTGCTGGGTCCACTTTACACAACTTATGGTGCAGAGCAGTCAGAGAGGATAAAGACTACGATGAGTGTATTACGCTCCAAGAGTACCAGGACCTCAAAGCAAAGTATCTGCTGGATATTTATAAAAATCAGGACGTCAACAGGAACAGAAAGAGACCTGGAGAGAACCTGATTGTGGAAAAGTATGAAAAGGTGAAAAGGCTTAAAATCAAAGAACAGCTGGATCTCTTTAAAGGGCTACATTTGGTGGTTGGTACAGATTACAGAGACGTGGATGAACAAAAGAATATGTCTGCTGAAGCCTTGAAACATCTTATACGGCTGCATGGAGGTCAAATTGAACTTAATCCAAAGAGAGATGAGTTATATGGAAAGACCGTGGTTGTTTTGGGAAGCAATGTCACTCCACGGCTCCAGAGATGGTTGAGAGAGGGATTTGATATTATTCTGGGCAGTTGGGCCGTGGAGAGTATTAGATACGAACGGTTGCTTCCAATGGAGCCTTGTTTTATTGTGGGCAGTGAAAATAGGCAGTTTTGGGAGATGGCGAGGCGGAATGTGGACGAGTTTGGTGATAGTTACTTGGTGACGAGGGAGGGGCCAAATGGGTTGCTTCTGGAGTTGATGGAGCTTCACGTTGGTGGAAAATTACACGAAAACAGCTTCCAGAGGTGTAGGAAGGTGTTTTTGGGTGAAAATTGTCCGGAAAAACGGCACTGGATGCTCTTTGATGGTCTTAGGTTTTGCATTGTGGGTTCCAGGGACGTTGGGAGGCTTCAAAGAAGAGTATCACGCTTTGGCGGTTCTTGTGTTGCCGACTGGCGCCAGTGCCAGTATGTGGTATTCGAACGTCCCGAAAACACCAAAAATCTACATTCTGCTGTCAATTCCATAAGTTCAGCGATTGGCCAGGCCTACGACGAGGGCCAGAAGATCCCTTTGTTGCTTAAAGAGACGTTTCTCGATGCCTGTGTCGACGCTGGAATGGTCGTTGACGAAGATCCATATAAGGTTTGAGAGGCCATTGAGAGAGGCAGCTAAAGAAGGTTTGGACAAGAAGGGACAATCAGGGACAGCTTTGGGAGGTCACTTTTATGTTTTGACGGAGTTAGAGACCGCCAAAGCCTATTCTGGTTCTGGAGAAGCTTAAAATCCAGAAAAAAAAGGACTATTTTTTATGGAAACCTTATTCTGCAAAGAATGACTTTACGTGGCAACCCCCGGGTTTATCGCCAGCGGAAGGCCCCCTTGATCATCCGGAACAGCTTTTTTAGGTGTTGTTGCTGTTGGTGATGTCGTTTTTTGATGGTGATGCTTATTCTCGTTGATCAGCTCTAAACGTCACTTAAATGGACTTATCTACTTTGTTTTCGTTTCGTGACGTCCAGCAACACAACCACCGTGATCCTGACCGTCTGAAGCCTTCGTGACTTCACAAGACAACAAGAATTAGTATAGGCTTTGCTGGTTTAAGCCTCGATGCACAGAAAAGGCGTTTCTTGTATGGAAACGGAACGTGCTGCGCTGGAAAGAAAGGCAAAATGACGGAGAGAGATGGAGGAGGAGGGAGAGATGGCGGTTGGTGGTTTTTTGGTGGTTTTACGTTGGTTTTTGGATGATTTGGTGGTGGTTTAATGGAAAGTCTGGATAAGGCTCTGGAAGGGCCAGTTTTGGTGGGTTTTTCATGGGAATTTGATGCTTTTGACGCTCCAGAGACGAAGAATTTGATGTTATCGACCAACTTCAAGAATTCCTGGTTTTTCTGGGGTTTTTCTTCCCGTAATGGAATGGCTGCAAATTGGTTCTTTCTTTGGCATCGACCTTCCCCATTTTGACAATGCAGAAAAAAAAAAAACCGAATTTACATTCTATTTCGGCGTTTCGGCTGCTTTTGCCACCTCTTGTGTCTTGTCTTAAAAAAATTCTTAGCTTTTTTTAGGCTTATCTCCAGATTTGGTGGTCGGTATTATTATTTTTTTTTAAGAATTTTGGGGAAGTCACCAGCCACAATGTACTGCATATAGGACGCGGAAAGAAAGAAAAAGAACCAATTTTCCCCTCCTTCTTTGCATGAAACAGGTCACGTGCATGGAACACCCACCTTTTTTCATGACTAAAATTCCACCTTTCTAAGCCTTCCAAATGCTTGGAAATCGCAATGGAAATGACTTCTACGTCTCGTTATACGTAGCAGGTCATTTAAATGCTGCTTGGTGCCGTCATTATGCATTGGGGAGAAAAAAGCTCTCGGATAAACTAAAGAAGTGACGTCACGTGACCAAAGAGTCACTCAACGTGGGGTAAAAAAAAGAGTGCATCACCAGTAGCGGCGATGATAAACCCGATAAGGTTTTCTGCCATTAAAACGAGGGGAATTCAAAGAGAACACCTCTCCGCACGGCGGGGCAGACCGTTCGGGTTTACGAAATTTAAGTGGGAGACATTTTGGGGAGATATTTTGGGGAGACATTTTGAAAAGTTGTTCCGAGGATGTCTGGGTTAATCTGGGGTCATTTTTTTAAAGCCAAGGCTCCAAGAGAACCAAATGGGGAAGGTAGCATATACGGGGAGAGGCTCAGAGGCTCAGTGGGACGGTTCTGGTGATGGGGTTCCAAGAACGGTTTCCCCGGAAAAACTCTTGGGAGCATCCGACGCATGTCGCGCGACATGCTGCGTGCTAGTAAGTGTAGTTTTTCCGGGGACAGCAGGAGACCGCGAGAGAGAGAGTCTCTCATGTGACGCACCACCTGCATATACCCACCTCCGGCGTGCCTACCCGGGTTACAGTGGCCAACGGCAACAAGTCCGCGGTAAGCGGGTGATGGCAGAAAAACCCGTACACCACATACATAACATGGCCCCTTTTAACTCAACTAAACCGCCCCAAATCAATTGTCCAATGTAATGAAGCTCCCTCCACTATGGCTCTTCACATTCAATTGTTGCCTCTATAAATATCAATTGCAAGGCGTGTGATTGGATCCGTTGCTCCGGCAACCGTGGCAAAAGCCGAAAGGTACATATATCTCATGCGTCCGTAAACTCCTCCTTATACCCCGGGTTGCATTTGGCGGGCGCCTTAGAAAAAAACGCAACCTAGGCAACCGCTCTATGTGCAGGATATACATATCTGCACATGCCTCAGGTGCAAGGTGTGCACACGCCGCAGCAAGCAGCAGCACCCGCAGCAACATGCATTACTTCGTGCGTCTTCTGAAATTTCGTTCTTTTCCTAAAAAAAAAAAACCCACATGTATATATAAACCATGATAATCCCACATTTCCAACCTCCAAAATTTCCCACAACACCACCTTCAACAAGAAATTCCCATGGACGACTGCTTCCTTCGTGCAGCACCCCGCAGCACGGAAAACATCGACTACATGTCCAAACGACCCATTCCAGAAACACATCTCTACTTTTGCTGGAGACAAAACAACCTGATTGCCATCAAATCAGAATACGACGATATCTCCTTTACGATCCCTTCCACCAACTCAAAACGCCTTGAAAACGTCACGTGGCGCCGCTGGTACAAAGATTTACTTGGTCTAGACGAAGTGGCCCCTTCAGAGATCAACTGGGACAAGTCTCATGATATCACCTGGCTTTACGGGCCCAAATATGAGGATGAAGTGTCTCAGGAGGTTGAAGAGAGTTTGACTCCTCACTTGAAGAAACTTGACTTCACTTGTGACTCTGACGCTGAGCTGGTTTCGTCGTGTCAGCTGGGGAGGAGTCTGATGAACTTTGATGAGGTTTCGTCGGTGGAGAGTGATGAGGAGGAAGCCAGTTTGAAGCTGGCAATGAGGAGGGATCTGAGGGGCCCGGCGGGTTCCGGGAAGAAGGTTAAGTTTAATTATATTGTGAGTTCGAGGGAGTTTGTGAATGGGGTGGTTTTTGATTATGATTTTTTGGATCCGCTGTGCCTCTAGGCCCGAGATGCCTTAGCATCGAGGGCCGTACGCCCTTCAATTCCACGCCGGAGACGCCACAGCGTCGCAGGCAAAGTTGTCGTTGGCCAATCCTCAAAAAACCTCAAAAAAGCGTTCTCGAAACACACTTTCAGCCATAACTTCCCCCACAGACTTCCTCCAACGCCGCCGACACCACCACTGGATAGCCAGAGCCGAGAGCTTCCCTCTGGTACCCTTTTGACCCTCCTAAGACCACCATACGACCTTCTATGCCCCAATTTCTATCCATTTTGCAGCCATCCGATTTTGGCCCCCTGGACCCCCTTGGGCCGCCACCACAGCATCACTTTCAATTCACCTTCAATCATTGAGCATTTTTAAACCTTTGGAAAACAAAGCTAGGCTTTGTTTGGGTGCCTGGCGAATCGATTTCGTCATAAAAGGGCATACCTACTTCTTTTCATGAGCATAATACATCTTACACTATACAAGAAATAAGATTACTTTTTAATATATATCTGGGAATGACCCGCCAGCCGGGTCGGATAAAAACATACAAAGAGGATTTGTAGATGTAGTAGAATAAGGTGGAGGGCTGGTGATGTTTTGGATATACTGAGAAAGAGCAAAGATGTCCATGTATTTTGACAACCAGCCATCCAAACTCAACAAAACCCATATGGTTGTGTTCGCCGTGGTCTCCTGATTCCTCCAAACTAATTAGTTTCTTCGTAGCGTTCCTGGTTCGCGAGTTACCGTTGGTTCTGTGGTTTCATGTGAGAAGAAGCCATTGTGGAACCGAAACGGCTGGAAAACAAACAGGGGAAGGGGAAAACGAGTGGATTGTGATAAGGAAGATGACGGGCGGGTGGAGTACCCGTTTTGGCTTGTTTTTGGTGGAGTTACGAGCCGTTTGGTGGATGTAAAAGAGGTGTTTTTAAGTAATTGGAGAAGGTCAACAGAAGCAGACGTAAACGGCCATTGACACTCCAAAGACATCCAAAAACAATTTCCAGGGCAACAACTAATGCCTTGGTACCCCCTGGAACCTCCTTCCCTTCTTGGTCTTCCCTTCCAGGTCGTTTAAACTCCAGCCAATCGGGTTCTGGTGATACTTCTAAGGGAACCGATTGGCTGTATTGAAACAGCACTCAAAGCCTCCAAAACCTCCAGGAAAGTGTTCTTCTACCATAAACAGCACCGTCTCTTTCCCCTGGAACGTCTTTTCCTCTCTCTCCATCCCTCCCGGTCGTTTACAGTCACCTTTCCTTCGTTGCACCTCTTTTCCCAGCTTTCCAGAGATATTCATACGAATTCTTCCCCTTTTCGCCCCAAAACTTCCAAACCTCCCCGTAAACGTCGTCTCATCACCGTAACTGTACTTTGGAAGCTTCTCCCACCGTCAAACCGTCTTTATCGTACGATTGGGTGGTTTGCTTGGAGCCAAGACTAGACGAGAAAGATACATATACGGAGAGCGAGGGAGAGACGGGGGGAAAGAGAGGTGGGTGGTTTTCGATGGAGAAGACGATGGAGAGAAAGATGGGAAGGTCAGTGGAGGCGGTTTGGGTGGTTTTGGTGGTTTTTGGTGGACGTTGGTGCGTCTGGTGATGTTTGAGGGATTGGGCAGTTATAAGGTACGCAGAGAGATGGAGGGTCGATTTGAAGGATATATTTAGATTCTATGGTAAATTAGGAGTATTTTGGTTCTTTTAAAATTAAATTTGGATGGGTTTTGGGTGGTTTGGATGGGACTTGTTAGTATGTATATATACCTCACTGAAAGTGTCCACCAATTGGGCTAAACCCAACCAAAAAACCTCCAAATTGCATGTAAACTCACCCTGAAAGGCCTATTGAACCACCTAGAATGCTTCAAATCACTTCCCAGACGTTTCTTCCCGTCCAGTCGCTACTTCTCTATCTTCTTCCCCCATCTCACCCAAACCCTCGTCTAATTCACCCAATTTTGGCTCAAACTCGCCCGAATTTCTACCACCACCTAATTCAGCCCGCCCAATTCACCTAATCCACTTTTCACTTCCCATTTCCAACTCCTCCTTGACTTACACCACCTTATTCGCTTTTTGCACCCAAAAGGCCTAGACCGGGCGGTTTCCGGTATGCCGCGGAACCTTCCCAGACTCATGTGGAAAATCCGTAAACTGTAACATTCCAGGGGCCAATGCCAAGCACGTGGGAAAATAAACAATCTGGATGACCCAGGGGGGTCTCGGCTTTATCACTATTATTTGAATTTTCGCCAGTTTGGTTTTTTCGGGTACTGGGAAGTGGGAAGTGGTTTGAAGCCCTGAACCCAATCCGGCTTACCTGCAGTCTATCTTTAAAAATCCACAATTTTCACATGAAAATAAACCGGAAACCTGGAAATCTTCACAGTTTTCCATAATAGCCTGGCTATACTGAGCCCTGGTGATTTGCGTGAACTGGAATCCAGATCAGGAAAGCTTATAGCCGACGGTTGGATGGGTGTTATATGCAGGAAAAATGGAAAAATGGAAAAAAGCATGTGGAAAAGTGAAAGCATGTGGAATTCAAAGGGAAGTAGTTTGGGGTGGTTTGGGGTGGCGAAGAAGGTGGAATTGACGGATTTTAGGTGGATTTTGATGGTTTGGAAGGGGTTTGTAAGTGGCTGCAAAATGGTTGAATATGTGTGGTGTACGGGTGTGCCATGGTCAGTCAAAAGGACCCTCCAACTTTCACTCAAAAACAATAAATAAATGATTTTTGGTAAGTTGGGGATGTAGAAGAGGGAGGGACGTTTATGGTGAACTGGTTTTGGTTGGTTTTGGAGGGCTGGTGTGGGAGAAATATGGAGATTTGTGTAGTGAGACGATGAAGACGAAAATGTGGGATTCCAAGGGAAGGAGTGAAGGAAAAGAGCTGTAAATTGGATGGCAAAGTCAATTGCTACAGTAAAGTGGGCTAGCCAAAGATGGCGTGGTTTGGAGGAAAAGTGGTGGAGATACGTGGAGGTTGCGTTGGGTAGAGACGAGTGAGAGCAGCGAGTATACCAAGAAAGGGCTGTTTTTGTTAGAAGAAGCAGAAAAAGAGTGAATTGGGCTATGTGGATAATTAGGAGTCCATTGGTGTTTGTTTCGTGAAAATTGAAGGTTTCTGGGTGCTTTAGTCATGGGAATATGGAAGTATAGCATGAAAGACAGTAAAGTAACACCAATGTCCACCAAAAGGCGTCAAAAGAAGTCCAAAAAAACTCAATTGGCATCAATTGACCTTAAGATGTCAATCGAGTATAATTAGAATTAATCTTACTGCCTCCTCAGTTTGTAGTACCACCTCTTCCACTGCTTCTATAGAATATATAAATACATCCAAACAGGCCAATACAAGTCAGCCAGAAACCATCCAAAAACCACCAAACCAAGTCAATTGTCTTTGAAACCACCCAAAAATACATCCAAAGGCACTTCTACACCTTGTCATAACCTCCAATCACCATTTAGTCCACGTCTTCTCCTTCCCTCTACCAACTCACAACAGACTCTCCATATATCCACCGCCAAACCCCCCCCCCCCCCCAAAGTCACCCAAAAACACTCAAATACCCTTTCAACCAACCCATTGACCTCCCAAAACGCCTCCTTACCTTTCCCACACCCTCCACGTCCAAACTACCCATCCTTTCGCTCCACCTCACTCTTCTCCAGCCAACTCCCATCCAAACGACCAACAACCCCCAACCCGCCATCCAATTACATCCAAACAGATTCAACTACCCTAGCTACATCCCCTAATTGACTTCTCCTTCCTTCTCTCACCCTCCCTGGTCTCCTTCCCTTCCCTTCCCTCAAAACACACCCACTTCCAGCCAACCCTCCACCAATCCACCCAAACACATCCAAATCAACCCCAACCTTCCTCCAGCTACCTCTCCACTGTGACCCAACCACACCAAACCCATCCACCCCCTTCCATCCACCTTCCTTCCTTCCTTACCACCTTGGATACCCCATTTTGCACCCATTCACTCAACCCATCCATATCTGCACCGCCACAGCAACCCAGCGCTTCTATTGCTTCCCAAACCGTCCCACACCTTCCCACAACCGCTTCTCTTCCATTTACCCACAAATAACCTTTCTTTCTCTCTGTAAGCCTCGCTTTGACTAAGCCGTGCTGAACAAACCAGTAAAACACGCGCTGAACGGCGGCTGGGGTTGACAACGAAAAGAAAAGTGCTGGGTCGGGGAAGCGGGACGTGACTCCGCTGGGGGAAGGTGTTTTAGAGTTGTGAGTTGGCGTTGGGGGTTCGGTTTTGGTGATGTTTGGTTTGTTTCTTTTGGAGAAGGTTTGATGACGGAGTTTAGCGCCGCTAGCGGCGGCGGAAGAGCGGGAAAGCTACAGACTGGGGTAATTGGCGATGGGGAAGGCAGTGGAGGCATTCAATCTACGATATTAGGTCGGTTTGATGGGTTTTGACGTTGGTGGTGGGAAATAGTGGGAAATGGGGTTTTGGCTTGTCACGTGAGGTAGAGACATCTGATGGACCTGAAAATTGGCCAGTATGGGGAACCCGCTGCGCTCTATCCACTGAACCACTTTTCATTTATTTGCCATAAAAACTACACTCTCTAGAGGCTGGTTATTGCAATTGGAGTCATCCTGGGGAAGAGTGGGTCTTGTATGCAGTACCTCTCGCTTGATTGGGCGAGCCGCATGCAGCCGCACCATGAAGGGACAATGGAAAAGTATGTAAGAGGGTACTTACCTGCAGTCCACCTGGACCATACACTTTCCTAATTAGGCCTTCCCTCTGCAAAACCGTATAAATAAGAATCCCACAAACCTTGAAATATCCTCGGCTCCGGATTCACCCGAAAACGCCTCAGGACCCTTGTGCTGATTTTAGCCAATCGCCCCATGCAATTACCAACTCTGGAGCGGGTCTAGGAGGCGAGTTATAAGGAAAACAACGTAGGAAACGACCAAAACACACCCAACTCAATGAAACCTTCCTCTTTTTGAACGTAAAGACC